GCGCTCTGCGCTCCGAAGCCCGCATCTCATTTTCATCACTAACAAACCTTAGACAGGGGCCAAGTAATTCGACTTGAGGCTTCGCCGCCGCAACGCCTGGTCGATCAGATCAAGACTCAGTTCGTAAAGCTGATCTGCCTTGTCGATTTCGTATGTTGGTTCAATAACCTGCGGTTTCGTCTTCTCTCGACCTTCCGTATACTTGCCACGCCACTGATAATACGAGCCCGAGTCCGAGAACTGTCCCTGGGTCGCCACTTCGGCTACGCGGCGGCCGGCCTCATCATTCGGAACGTATTGCCGAGTGATGTACTTCTGAAGAATCGGGAAGAATACGTAGCGGAACCAGCCACGCTTTTCGCGGAAGAGGTTGCTGTCGGCGACACATCCCGGAAAAATCGCCACAGAGGTCACCCCGTCGCGGCCGTATCGATCACTAAGCGCCTTCATTGTCAACACGTTCGCGGCTTTGGCGTCTTTGTAGGCTTTTGTGGGCTCAAACGGGCCACTGTCCACCATGCCCGTCGTCTGCGGACCAAGCCCCGCGGCTAGACCAGACAAATCACCGAGACGAGCCTGCGGGGGGATCTTTCCCGGCAACGAATTCGGCGAATGGGTCTGAGTCGTCAGAAACACAATGCGCCCGCGCGATATTTTCAGCTTCGGCAACAGCTCCCGACATAGAAGCAAATGGCTCAGATGGCATACCTGCATGGTTTTCTCGATGCCGTCCACCGTGAAACGCGGTTTCTTGTCCCGCGGATGCCATATTGCGGCATTGCAGATCAGGGCATCCAGGTGATCGACGCGCGCCACACTCGATAGCGCTCTCACAAACTTCAACACAGAGGCGAAATCAGCCAGATCACAATGCAGCACTGTATAGGCGTCCTTTGGAAGGTTTACGCTGTTTGCTGCGCGCTCCGCCCGGTCGACGTCACGACATGCCATGACGATGTGCCAGTTGCCCTTGTTGATCAGAGCGCGAGCTGCATACAGACCAACTCCAGAGCACGCGCCTGTGATCACGGCGATCTGCGACTGTTTCGGGCCCATACGAAGATGCAGCATACGATGCCGGCGCGCTACAGGCGAACGCTGCACCACCTAGGGCAGCGGATGCTGACAGTGGTGACGGTATCGAGCTGCGAAGCACCCGTCACGTGCGGTACGCCGCGGGAACCGTGCACGAGTTGCAGCGCGCGCGCGCGAAAAATGTGTCTTTCCTAGTACAGCGGAACAGAAACGAAAAGAGCTTGCATTTTCTTGGGATAGATTCTCTCCGATGCGGAAGCTGTCGATCGTTTCAACAACAAGAAACGTTCGCTTAAGTATGCGTATCCAGTCAAAAACCTCTTTTGCGTAGCGGCACGAGTGATCGCCCGTCAATTGCCCAGAGTCCGAGCTAAATCTCCCGTAGATTGTCTAGCGTTCAGCGCAACTAGCACAAGCGCTCAATGCCTTTTCAGAAACTAGGCAGAACTCCGACCATTTCGAACAACAACTTCACCAGTACGTAGTGCCAAGGGTTCCGCAGTGCGGCGCTCAGAGATCACAACGATCGTAAATGGACTTCACCACAGCTCTCCGACGAATACCGTAGAGGAGGCATAAGGAAATTTCCTACGGTGCTCTGTATTTTTTGCAAACGTCTGCACGTCAGTTGGAGACTTCATGTCTAGGGCAGGTCATTCGGCATTATTGTACACCGCGGGCGGCAGCGTTTTTTTCAAAGGCATTCGTTGTTCGCTTTGTCGCTTCCGGGCTCGATGTTCGGGTTAGGCTCTTGAAACTAATCTTATAGAGTAGATCAGAATACAGTATGTGCTTTTGGCGGATGCCTCGGTCAAACGGAATGCTAAGTATAGACACTCTATGTATGCGATGCCTCTACCAAGATCACCGGATCCGGGAGAGTAGCAAGCACCATAACTTGGACAATGACGATAGCATGCAAATGGCTTGAACTGCCATCAGTACCAGCCTATGACGCAGGATCGAAGCACAATTCAGGTCAGTTCCTCATTGCAGCGTCCGTGCGGCATGCATAACAAGCATCACGAACAAACGTATATACGAGTTCAGGAACACTAACGTACCTTGTGTGGTTACGATCAATAAAACGAACGAAATCCCTAACGAGAAGATTGATGCATACCTCATCCAGACAACCGTAAGCCGCAGAGAACGCTACGCTTTTGATAGAAGCGTCGAGGGGTTTCGTGCCAGGCCCAACAGCTCCATGTATGTCAGGGCGGTGCTGCGATGGGCAGTTGCGTCGGCACCAGCGACATAACCTCTAGCAAGAGACTGCTCTACGTGAGTTTCCGATCTACGACACTTGACTTCCGCTGCAGCGCGATGCGAACACGCATGTGCCAAGGCGGTGCGTGGGACACGTGTCTTTCATCAATCGGGGAGGCGTCTCGCGCGGTGCACGCATCGCGCCGGTGAGCGCACCTGGGAGATCGGGCAGGCATGAGACACGACGTGTATGTCGCCGTTGATGGGAAACGTGATCTCGTTCAGAAGCGTGTTGTTCAGCTGTAAAAAGCTTTATTTGCGTTGGGGTCATAGCCAAGTGTAGTTTTCAGTCCATTTGTGTTTCAAACTTCAAACAAGTCTAGTCAAGTGTTTTTTCCCAGCATATACCACAAGCGTCCAAAGAGCGTTCTTTTTCAAAAAAAATAGGAAAGCTATGAAAAAGCAAGTCCACGATCCTGGAGGTCCAGTGTCGCCGGCTGCCAGAAAAAACAAAAACAATACCGAGCCCAGAAGATAAAGTAGAGAAAAAGAAGCAAATGGGGGAGGCCCCACGTCGAAGGCGGCAAGAAAGACAACTGGACAACGAGATGGTGGTTAAAGGCTGTCTTCTTAAAAATATCAAAGATTCCTAGAGGGAAAAGTTGGTAGACGCTATCAAAACACGTGTCGACTCGTACTCCAAGAGCATTTTCAAGGCGTCGTCAGGACCGATGCATTTGGCGGGGGAGATGTATCGCGACGTGACGCACATCGAAACGGTCGAGATTCCAGACGAGTTTTTCGACGTGACCTTTATTCGTCACCTGATGCTTGGTACAGAGGAAGCGCGGATGGAAAATGAGCGGGTGCACGCCCTCCACGAAAAATATCCCTCTTACAGCTTCGCGGGTACTCGAAACAAGGGGGACTGGAGTATTTACGACTATGGGGCGATGAAGTACCTCACGAATCTGAAGCAACATTTGACAACGAACCTCGAATGTTTCATGATACGCGCCGTGGTTGCACTCTACCCGGACATCTCTCGCAAAGGAAAATCGGCGATTATCAATGGCATCAAGAACGATCGCAAGCATGAAGATGAGATCGAATTCGTCGGAGAGAAGGCGACAAACGAGAGCACAAAAGAAGCTTCTGTGATCCGTAAGGCTAGAGAAGAGCACCGAGCACTCTTGGGTTGGCGAATCCAACAGAAAAGATATCAGAGTTGAAAAAAGATAAGGAAAGATACTATCGCCTCGTCCTGCGCTATTTCGTGTTTTTGGATCGTGAACTCAAACGCAAGGCGGAGATGAAGCTGAGTGGGGAAAAAATGAAGAGTGCGAGAGACGGACGGCTCTCCTAATGGGGAAGCGCTTCAAACAGTGGTTCCGTTGTGGAACATCAAGTCACATTTTGTGACTATCGATTCCAGAATCCTTCACGGCATCATGAAGTAGAACCGTCCGGATTTCAGTGTCAGCAGAGACGATTTCTCCGGTGAAAATCGGGAAACGTACTGGAAGAATATCTTCGTTTCCGAACGTCTCAAAGTGAGCAAACAAAAGGTATTTATTGGGATGATCGAAACCTATGGAGTAGCCATGTGTGTACACGATCGGCGCTTGAAGACAGATCGGACAGTTTCGTCCTCGGCTTCGCCCGCGACGAAGGATGAAGATGAGAAGAAGGCGGATCTTGCGACGCAGAAAGTGCACGAGAACAACATTGTCGTTGGTGCGGACCCCGGAAACACAAATATCATAAATATCGCAGCACCCAAGGGTGCGGAAGATCGCAATGACGGCAACTTTCGTCGGAAACACATGCGCCTTTTGAGGTTCTCGAGAGCGAGACACTATCTAGAATCCGGTATAATGAAGGCAAGGAAGAGGATTGACACGTGGAATGCAGGAGTGAAGGATCAGTTGGAAGCTTTGAACAAGGTGACGAGCTGAGGAGCGGACTTTGAAGTTTTTTGAAATTCATGGAAGCTCACGTTGCTCATTGGGAGACACTGTGGAAAAAGTATACCAAGCCCCGATGGGCCCGTCTGCGCACGAGTCTATAATGCGTGAAGCAGCGTGCATTTGACAACTTTTCCAATTATTTGAACGCCCTAAAAGAGGATGAGGGTCAGAAGCTCGTTGTAGCGTACGGAGCAGGGCGCTGGATGACCCAAAAAGCGACTGCGCCAGCTCCGTCAGCATGAAAGAACAAGGTGTGCGCAAGGCGTTTTGTTCCGAAACCGATAGATGAGTTTCGAACACCGTATACACACCATGAACTAGGCTGTACACTTCAAAGGGTCGTGATGGAAAAGTGCCTGCGGAGCCCTGAGGGTACAAAAAGTACGGAGCGTTGACGGAACAGCAAATGGAAAGCGGGCGAAAGTTCGAGGAATGCTTGCACTAGTGAGTACCGTAAATAGCAAGGAACGTGTGGAGTTTGTGAACCGAGACTTTAACTCTGCCATCAATATCAGACGGTGTGCAGTGATGTGGAAGAAACTTCCAAAGTTGACAAGAGAGAATTTTGTTGGGCAAACTCTCAAACTCGGACTATATGAGAAAAGAATGGAACCAGTAGTAGGAGGCCGGCCGAGAGCCTGGGAGGCTTCTGCACGTCAGTTGGGAACGTCTTGTCCAGAACGGATTCCTCGCCACTACTGTACACCGCGGGCGTCGTTCGACTTTTGGAAAGTGTTCGGTGTCAGGGGTGCCCACTCTAGACAACAACGATCGCGTGAACAGTTCATGTCCGTTGTGCAAGCATGGAGTCGCTTCAAGAGCTGGGCGCTGGGCCCGACTGGCCTGAAAACAACGCACGCTTGGGGGCCTATCTCGAACGCTGGTTTACCTTTGGCAGGTTTCGCAGACATTACGAAACCCCCCGAGAGTATCAGCGAAAACATGACGGCCGCTATGTGCATCTATTCGCTTCTTTTCATGCGGTTCGCGTGGCGAGTACAGCCGCGGAACTATCTACTCTTCGCCGTTCACTTCAGCAACGAGCTGATTCAGGCTTACCACTTGCAACGTATTTTGGGAGGATACGACTTTTACGCCGGAAAGTACGCCACTGCAGAACGGGCCAAGTCTGAGGCTGTTCCGTCACCGTCGTCGTAGAACTCCCTGCAGATCCCCCGGAAGCATTCCGTTGGTTACCGTCATAAGCGGACGTGTTGTTGCCATATGGGAGCGAGACGCGGTGTCGTAAGCCTTGACTTGAATCCGAAACTTCTTCGACTCTTGATAGCGCACGAAGGTATGGAGCACTGCTGAGTCGAGGCCGAGCACCGATGCGAAACCAGCTTTGCGTTCGATAACGCAGGGTCCGCGCATTGCGCTTCTATCCGAATAGGATCATTTCTTAAATTTTCCGGATACTTCTGCAGATGATGCAAAGCACCTGACAGGGACGCTCTCTTGCACGGCTAACGTACAATATCAGGATCGCAAAACGTTAGCAGCGTCATGCAGCATTCAGCCTTGCCCCGCGATCATTCAGCAGTCTTATGAGCTATCTGCAGCCCACTCGCCCAGATCAATAACTTGGGCATCTGGTGGAGCAGTTCCGCCGGATTCGAGGAATCGGTACCACCACAGCTGCAGTAATTCATAGGCCAAAAGTGTAATACCAAACTGCGGAGCTGATCTCGCCATACGGGGGCCAAATCCCTTCCAAAATGCCGTGCCACCTTCTTCTGCGTAAATATGTCGCACACAGTCCCACATGCCCCGGTAAACCTGAGACTGTGTGCCCCGATGCGCTTGCATCGTCGTCTTGACCACGTCAAATGGAGTTGTAACACCAGCAGCGATAGATCCGGCAATGATTCCAGCCAACAAACTGTTCTGCAGATGAAGGCTACTCCCTGGCAAGGGACCTGCATCCTTCGACGGCACAGCAGCTGCCCGCTCGAGCTCTGATGCTGCTTTCGACTCGAGCGAACCCAGATCAGCGCCCTGTCCGGACGGATTCTTCGAATGCCCATCGGACGAGCGCGTAAGACCAGCTGGTAATCGATCCCTCAATCTATAGTATAATGGAAAAAATATCGCCGCAAAGATGCTATCTCGAGCAAGGCACGGCACACTGCCGGTGTAGAGGCCGCGAATACCCAGCTCACGAACGACATCCAATAGGCCTTTCGGTTGCACCGAGGTAGCACCCATTGAGGAAGCGATTTCGCGCTGGAGGGCCAGTCGCACCATCAAAATTTCGCCAACATTCGTGAAAATAACTTGGGAGGCGCCTCCGCATGCACCGGCGCATACGTCTACTAGTAACTGCGCTGTGCTTGGCGAGAGGCCAGGACGAGCTTCTGCCAGCGCGGTTCTGTGTTCTATATCGCGTACCAGCGGCGACAGCGATGCCCGAATCGCGTCATTTACAGCAAGTTTAATGGCTTTCTCGGGCGCGACGCCGAGAATCTGCGGCACGACTCCTTGGAAAAGCCCCTGTACTCCGCGCGAATGAACAACTTTTCGGACGCAGTCCCATGCTCCCGTATACGACGTGCTGCCGACGCCAGGGGATCCACGGGCTCCCACAGTCCTCTTCTGGTACTGTAACTGCATCTTCACAAAGTTGATGGGATATGTGAAATAGGCGCCCACAGCACCGGCCACACCGCCGAGAAAAAAGTTTCGCAGCGACTCACCGAGCCACGGCGCTGGGAAGCCCCGCGCCAGCGTCTTCTCCGAGGTCGGTGCCAGGCCGATCACAGAGCTGTTGGCAGTCATTGCACAAAACCGACGCACGGTTACAGCAAGAGCCACTCAGCAGCCCTATAAGTGATGTCGCGTACAAGCCTGGGCAAGTGCCCGCCCGCCACAACTCCTGGCGTGCGGGAAGCGCGCTCTCCGGGGACGCCCGTTGAGCCGCAGCTGGCCCCCGAGTGCTTGCCGTTACCGCGTGTGGACTTGTTCGCTCGGCGGACGGACACTGCTCCAGTTGCTTTAAGGTTCCGTACCCTCCGTGCCCTGGACTAGGAGAGCGCGACCTCTGAAACCCCGTACGCTCAGTACACAAACTTGACAGCGCGACTGCGCTTTTTGTGTTGCTATACGTAACGTCCTAGACGCGTTGGCGTTGCGGCCAGCGCGAGGTACCGCTGGCGTCCAGGTGTCGCGGAATTGTGTACAGCGTCTATGAACATTCATGTAAGAATAAACTGGAAAGCTCAAGTTAACGATCTCATTCGTCGAGAAAAAAGGTTCAGTTCTTGTTCTATTGTTATCGAAACCTCTGTTCGCGAGCTCTTTTCGTGACTGGTTTCTTTTCTTCTGTTTATCTCTGGCTTCCCATACGCCGGTGTCTCTTCTCCGTTCAAGTCCAAGATGAACGGTTGAAAGACGCAGATGACAGCATCAATGAAAGGTTTCAGATACTTGTTGTTGTTGTTGTTTTTGTTGCTGCTGTTGTCGACGCATTTCATGTGCATGCGGAAGCTGCGATCCACGCTCCACTTTCCATTTTCATCTTCTTCGCATAGTGCCTCGATGCGCTCTTTGCAGCGATCACACTAGAATATGATAACAGATTCCAGTATGTCGACAGCGGTCTACCTACGACCGCTGTCGGATAGCTCGTGAACACTTGCCGCATCCCTCGGTACATGCCGCTGACGGATACAGAACGCTGGCCTCGGCAACCGCCTCCGTTTCGGCACCCGGTCGCATACCCTCTAATCAAAGACTGTGCTGCGCGAATCCATTGGCTTGTGCACGCTCTTCTGTACACGCTAGCACATACTGTTGCATTCAAGAGAGGATTTGCGCTAAGCAACGTCGTCCACGGTGAAGTATGTATCGGAATGAAAATCCACGCTAAAGAACAGATCGAGAAATTTCGATCCGTCTTGGCTGCTGTCGAGCAAAGTGGTGACGCATTCTCCATTGAAAGCGATCACTGCAAGAGCTCAACGCCGAGTCCATGACTCTTTCCCGTGCAAACAGAAGAGACGGGAGCCTTATAGAGCATACTCCCTGACAAGTCTCTTTTTGCTAAAGAATGCGGCTTCGTCTGTGCCAATGTGGAAATGAGGATTTGTATTTCGAGGGGGGCTAGCTCCGGTTTCTGACATGTCCAGTGATTTTTCGAGATGAGCTCTTGATCAGGTCGTCAACGAAGAACCTCGAGTAGCGTTTGCATGTCCATCTGATGGCGCCAAGTAATGTGCCAAAGAGATGCCCGGAAACAGCAAGACTGAATAATTGAAAAATATCTGAATCGAGCATACAACATACACGTATGGAGAGCAGAAGAAAGGAGGCTTATACGCATGGATTGCCAAAAATGATTTGATCTAGTTCACGGACCTCTGCTGAAGGGCATTGCGAATCATCTTGATTCCAGTGACATACCGAATGCAAGCGGCAGAGCGTCGAAAGAGCCACACCCAAACACGATCGTGCATCCGAAACCCACGTATGAATCGGTAATTCTTTATCGCTGCACTTTAGATATCAATGCTGTTGGTATGAAACAAGTTCGGGAGGAAAAGTCCAGATCTATGAACAGAGCGACTCGTCCCACGTTCCATTTGCATCCCACCCGGGTGGAGCGCTTCATCGTCGATTTCCCAGGGCGCGTCACAAACTCAGCCATTATAGAATTTTGTGCAAATTTATGAAGATAAAACCCTCACGCAAGTGTGGCGAGCGCGCGTCCAGCATGCCATACCAGTAAGCGCATCCGTTTGCCTGCTCGCGCCGATACCTTCATACATGGGTTCAGTCGACTTACCCAGAAAGAGACCCGGTCGCCACGTTCCCGTCGGTATGCGTCCAAGTTGTGCAGCCCGAACGCCAACCGCGACACGTCATTCGCATGCGTACTCAGACAAATATCGATGCCAAGCGCCCAGCTGCATATGCGCGTGACCGGCTGGACGCAGCGCACCCCTAGGCTTCTTCTCGCGTACCCAAGGCCGGTCCGTAATCGAGATTCGCATGTTCGTGCCTATCCCCGTTCACATAACGTACCGAAACGAAGAAACGCTTGATCCATGAACAAGGTGCCGGTCCGCGGAACGGTGACGGTCCGAGCGAACGCGCGGGTCGCGAACCGGTTTGCCTTGCACTTAGTCCGGTACCAATTAATGGACATGAATTTCGCTTGCAAAAAATCCACCTCGATGCATGATAAAAGCCCTTAACTTCTCTTCTGAACGACGACACATGCCACGGCTGTGGCGCTCCATATCTGCGAATGCAGGCTCTGCGTGCGATCACTCCGCAACCACAGCACACCGCGTATAACAGTCTCAGTCGCTAACGGTGAACAGTGCGAATAGCGACTGCGCCTGTCCAACGCTGCCGTGTACATCGCACCGCCCATAGAGGCGTTCGCGACCGATCGCCCCTTCATAGCGGAGACGTTTCGAATTGCTGCATGATCCGTTCGCATCAAGTCGTAGCATCCACGCTAGACTTCAGATCGCATCGCCCAGATACCAATCCGTGGAACTATTCGAGTCCTCCGCATGCTGCCGAGCTCGATTAGTACTGTGAACGCGCGCTGCAGTCGCTGCACGCTGGTCCATTTCAAAGGCGGGATAGACGCCTTTGGGGTACGATAGTTTGCCGACCTCTCGAGCAGGGACCCCGCTGACAATCGTGTACGGCGGCACGTCCTTGAGTACCACCGAACTGGCCGTGATTTGAGCTCCATCGCCGATGCGAATATTCCCTAGAACCGTCGCACCAGCACCCAAAAGCACGCCACGGCCGACTTTAGGATGACGATCGCCAGCCTCTTTGCCGGTTCCACCAAGCGTGACGTTGTGCAGCATCGACACATCATTGCCCACAACAGCGGTTTCGCCAATAACAATGCCTGTCGCGTGGTCGATCATAACACCACTTCCGATCCGCGCTGCGGGGTGAATATCGACCGCGAAACACTTTGAGATCTCGCTCTGAAGAAAGAGTGCCAGAACTTTGCGATCCTGGCGCCAGAGCAGGTGTGCCAGTCGATAGGCCTGCAACGCAGCATAGCCCTTGCTATACATGAGCACCGCTACACAGTGTTTCATAGCGGGATCGCGGCGCACAACAGCGAGAAGATCCGCACGTATCGCCTCCCTATACGACTTGTCTTGATAAAGTGCGTCACGAAAAAGCTTCACGTATTGGGTTGCCTGAAAGAACGGTGAAGCAAGCTCATTCGCCAGATGAAAAGCCAGCGTATCCTCCAAGCATCGGTGGTTAAGTACCGTTGCGTATAGCGAGCTCGCAAGCTGCGGCTCGTTTGCAGCCCCTATCTCTGCCTCTCGTCGAACGAGTTCCCAAACCGGGTCGCTCGAGTAGGTAAGCGTTCGAACCATATCGTCAACGGAAATCACAGGACCGAAACCTCCACCGATCTGCGGTGGTGACCCCAGCGGCCAGACAACTCTAGCCCCAACTGCAGCGCTGCGCGACGTTTCAGAACGTGTATCCGTTATGTGCTCGATGGCGGAATCGCGTGCCTCGGAAACGCCATCGTTGCTGGAACGGCCATGGCCCCGAACGTGCTGCAGGCGAGCGCTGCGCAGCGGACACTGCCCCCTGGAACGCACCCGTTTCCGAACAGACTGCAGCGCTCTGTGCGAAGGGTGCACACGCAGCGTTTGATACAATCTACCTGTTGTTGCGAACATGTGCCACAGCGCAGTAGACGACTACGGACTCAGTGCTCCGACTCCATAGATCGAGTAACACAAGCACTGGGCACCTTTCCGCGCCTCCGCGCTATCCAGGGACACGGCATCGATGCGTGCTGCGCATTGATGTCCAATACATACATGAATATACATATTCCTCCCATGTAGTTCGGAGGCTAGACGGCTGTCGCTATCCAGGGATACGGCATCGATGCGTGCTGCGCATTGATGTCCAATACATACATGAATATACATATTCCTCCCATGTATTTCGGAGGCTAGACGGCTGTCGCTATCCAGGGATACGGCATCGATGCGTGCTGCGCATTGATGTCCAATACATACATGAATATACATATTCCTCCCATGTATTTCGGAGGCTAGACGGCTGTCGCTATCCAGGGATACGGCATCGATGGGTGCTGCGCATTGATGTCCAATACATACATGCATATACATATTCCTCCCATGTATTTCGGAGGCTAGACGGCTGTCGCTATCCAGGGACACGGCATCGATGCGTGCTGCGCATTGATGTCCAATACATACATGAATATACATATTCCTCCCATGTAGTTCGGAGGCTAGACGGCTGTCGCTATCCAGGGATACGGCATCGATGCGTGCTGCGCATTGATGTCCAATACATACATGAATATACATATTCCTCCCATGTATTTCGGAGGCTAGACGGCTGTCGCAATCCAGGGATACGGCATCGATGCGTGCTGCGCATTGATGTCCAATACATACATGAATATACATATTCCTCCCATGTAGTTCGGAGGCTAGACGGCTGTCGCTATCCAGGGATACGGCATCGATGCGTGCTGCGCATTGATGTCCAATACATACATGAATATACATATTCCTCCCATGTATTTCGGAGGCTAGACGGCTGTCGCTATCCAGGGATACGGCATCGATGGGTGCTGCGCATTGATGTCCAATACATACATGAATATACATATTCCTCCCATGTAGTTCGGAGGCTAGACGGCTGTCGCTATCCAGGGATACGGCATCGATGCGTGCTGCGCATTGATGTCCAATACATACATGAATATACATATTCCTCCCATGTATTTCGGAGGCTAAACGGCCTGTGCTGGCAGCGCTACGCGGCGACTGTGTCGCACAGCCGATGTACGGGCAGCAGGATTCCAGGGACGTGTCAGCAATTGGTTTGGCTGGGCGATGGACCTCAGCGCTTTCACAGAAAAGACCGGGTATAGCGTCAGCATCATCGTAAACGGCTGGCGATGACGGAGTTTGGCATGTGGTGCGCTCGTGCCGCCTGCGTTGCCCGTGCGGTTCATATTCGCGGGTAGTGCACGCGGTGGATGGAAGCGCTAGGTTGCTAGGTGCCCAGCCTCTGCAACAAGCTGCAACGTGTCCCAAGTACGGTCTCGTTTCGGGACAAGCGTCTGGGAGATAGCCAATGGAATCAATACGTGAGGCACCATGTCGCGCTTTGCTCTCGAAATGAACGAGCTCGGAGCGATAGCGGAGAGAGGGCCTAAGAACCCGATGCTGGCTTCGCGGCCGAAGTAGTAGAAAATGCGAAAGCGCATTGTCTTGGTCGGTTCACGCGATCTAGATTTGGTCTTTCGGCAAGTGCATGATGCCAAGATGCGGTACACTCGGACCGTGAGCATATGTCGACGAACCACAAGAATGAGCGGTGAATTTCGTGAGCGCTTCCCCATCGGCAATATCAAGCGCTAGCGAGTTGCTGGCTCTTGTGCATCTCTCAGTTTAAGCTGCATCCTGCGGACATGCATCCAATCGCTGTTGTTCAGAGAGGCGGCGCTCTGCCCGTAGACGCGGCATCTGTGCAGTGTGATACATCTGTGGCCACCTAGCAGACGCATGGACGACAGCGTCGCGTCGTCTACCCGGTGCTTGCGGGTCCAGGGCGCTGCGGCGAAGGCATCGTAGGTGTCCAAAAAGCCGCTGCCGGGGCAAGGCGGAGATCACCCTGACTACCGCCAGGATCCGACTTGACGGCACCCGCAGGACTTTCGCTGCTTTCGATTCCCGGTTTCAGACTACGTGAGCGATGCTAGCCGAAACCGTATCCTGTGACGAAAAAGATGATCGCGCTCAGATCTGTTTTACACATCAGATCTATGTATCCTTAAGAAGGGCGCTTTGCTCCGCATTCATTCGTGGGATGACATTGCGTTACAGATTCGACAATGAACCGCACGGCCTAACCTACATGGATCTTAACGTCCTAAAAATATCACCGAGACGTATGAGGAAGACCCAGGAGACCCGTTGCAACCAGGGACCAACGAAAACTTGGGGATACCCTCGGCCGTTGCAGTGAAGTGCACAAACGCTACTCTGGGATCGTCAGCATGACTTTCACTGCACCATTCGCGGCAGTGCGAGCTGTTTCAAATGCAGCTTCGAGGCTGGACTCCTCCAGGCCCATAAAACGATGTGTTATGAGCGGTTTCACATTCACCCGGCCCGAGGCTAGCAAAGCGATACACGTCGGATAAGTGTTGCTGTACCGGAAGACGCCGAAGATGTCAATCTCTCGACTCGAAGCATCAACAAGCGGGACATGCATCGCACTAGACCCCATGCCAACCAGACAAATACGTCCACCAGGCCGAACGACGTGCATCGCCAGTCGCATGGTCGACTCGAGCCCCGCGCAGTCTAAAGCGATGTCCGCTTGAGCGCCATCTAATGCTTGTTGCACAACCAGGGCAGCGTCGTGCTCGTCGAGATCACGGGTATTGATGACGGCATCGGCACCGGCATGCGTTTCAGCGAATGCCAACCGGCGATCATCAATATCGGTGACAACGATGATAGAGGCACCAAACGCTTTGGCAACCATGCAGTTTAGTAAACCGATCGGTCCAGCACCCAAAACAAGCACTAGGGAGCCTATCGTCGTTCCTGCACGTCGGTTTGCGTGTACTGCAACGCTCAGTGGCTCGCACATTGCACCCTCTTCGAGTGATACGGACTCGGGTAGGCGGTAGCACCAGGCGGCGGGATGGCAGACGTAGCGCGCCAGCGAGCCGTCTACAGGCGGTGTTGCAAAAAACTTAATGTTCGGACAGAGGTTGTAGCGACCCTCGCGACAGCGTTGACACTGTAAACAGGGAACGCCAGGTTCGAGCGCGACGCGGTCACCAACTTGGAGGCTCGTAACGCCCGCACCAAGCGCCTCAACGACGCCCGCCGACTCGTGGCCGATGATCATCGGATCGTGGAGACGAAACGGGCCACAACTTCCGTGCCACCAGTAGTGCACGTCCGAACCACAGATACCTACGCAACGCATCTGGAGGCGTACCTCTCCAGGTGCTGGCGCTGGCACGCTCCGGAGCATGACGCGAAGCTCGCGCGGTCGCACCAGTACTCCACACGGGTTCGCCTTCTCGTTGAGAACCGAACCCGCATCCGACTCTTCTAATTCGGTCTCCATTTCACTCATCACACCTAAGCAACACCTGATTTCGCCGGGAAACCTACCAGGCGGGTACCTGGTTCTCAAGAGACCAGCGAACAACGACGAAACGTTTCGTTTGAACCTCCTCACGCTACAGACGCATCGCAGCGTGACGTCACTGCGGACGTGCTTTTTGCGTAGCGACTCGCGCGGCTACCCGTAGTAGGTGTCTTCTGGTGCGATATTCTCAGGATGCGACGTCTATACCATTAAACGTATTCCGTCATATGAGATTACAGAAAAAAATAAATGAAAAGATGCTTCTCTGGTGTTGCGGCAGCGCCCTGGGGATAGCACTGGCCTCGCCTACCATGCTTTGCACGCTTGCTCATGAGCAGAAGCGCGAATAGGTCGTAGTCTCCAGGTGACACCGCAGCAATACGCACACTGAGCGTTGCAACGCTGATCACACACGAGTTGCTACGGCTGATGCCTGCTATCATCGCCAGCCTGTTTCTGGAATCAAAGTGGCTCTTGTCGACTCAATCGGCAGAAACGGTGTCAAAATCGTTCATGTCGGTAAAGCGCCCTGGGATTTCATCGAGACTGAACGCGGAGCAGCAGCCCAGCGACGGCACTTTGTATGATGTGAGTGCCAGGGTCTAGGATACTTGAGTCTCTGTGGGCTCGTGATTCGAGCGACATTCACCACTGTGATATGTCGTGTGCTGAGCGGAGCTCGTGGAGCAGCACGCTTGCAGGTCCAGCTGTGTGCATGTGCGATGCAGTGAGACGTGCCGCTGGAGCCGAAACTGCTCAGCGCTGCTTGGGGATCGGATCCTATTTTCTGGACAGGTACGATAAATTTCGCTGGGCATGCTCAGAGATGCACGAGTGCGACATGTGCGCAATGAAGAGACCATTGAATCCCTTTCGAGGCTTCCTCTTTTCATACGGTAAGGACTAGTCCGCCTGATGCGCGATAGAGCTCGATCGATCCAGGAACAGAGGGTGCGGTGAACGCCCGCAGCTTACGGCTGCCGCTTGTTACGGTGCTTCACCCCTTTCAGAATAAAATGGAACAGGTCTTCGAGCATCCGTGCATGCAGTATAGTTTGGGTCTCTTGCTAAGGCCAAGACCACGAGCCTTTGCAGGCCTTTTCCGTGACTGGTGCCTTTTCCTGTCCCGCATCTACGGCTTCACACAGGCCGGTCTCTCGTTTCCCTTCAGCTCTGCTATCTGTGATCAAGTGGTGTTGTTCGCGACGTTTAAGCCCGGATTTCGTTGTGCCTGGTAGTTGCCGACGCATCTGATGCAAACATGATATTCGTGATATGCGCGTCGCTTGCCACTTTTATCTACGTTGTACCCAGTCTCTGTGTACCTTAGGCAGCGGTGACAATCGTTCCGTAGATAGCTGTTTTCCTGTGTCCACAGCATCTTCTCAGTCACCGAGGACCGTCCTGTAGCGCATGAACACTTGTTTCATCGCTCGGAACGTGCCCTTGACGATTACAGAAGCATCCTCTCCGTGCCATTCTCTGTTTCCGTTCTCGGTGGCATGCCCTACGATCACGGTCTTCTTCTGGGCGTTCTCACTGGTGAGTACGTTGATCAACGCCCGCTCGAGCACGAGATGTTCCAATCGACCTCGAATTACTTGAGCGCGACTTTATCCACACTGAAACACTGCCAGAATTCGAGTTCTGGCCGCAGTACAAGTCAGGAACTTTTGATCCGTTTACGCTAGCTTTGTGAAAAGCGGAATCGAACTCGACACTGGAAGCGATTAATGCGATGCATCATGCTGGAGACTTATACCCTTTTCGATGCAAACAGAAGAGACGGGTAGTCTCTAGCAGCATATCCACCGAAGAGTATCATGCGGGGGTCGAATATAGCTTTGTCGATTCCAATAAAAAAGAAGAGATTTGTCTCCCGAATGAAAACTATCGTTGGATGCGACAAGTTCAGCCAATAGCGGTCACGAGCTAGTGAATAAACCGTGGAGGGATGATGTCGAGTAGTTTGCTCGTAAATCCAGCAGTACCATTCTCTTCAAGTTTGTTTTCGCTTGGGGCATGACGATCGAAAACCTGATGCATACGTGATTCGACAATATTGTACGAAAGAAAAGGAGAAGCGTGGACGCTTGCATGTATGAACTGGAAAATCTTATCTGGTATTTTATGAGGTCCCGCTCGAGTGCCTGTTGAATCAGCATGATGGCGGTGGCATGACCTCCATTCCCGTGGCAGATACCCTCATTAGTATCAGTCGGAAAACACAACCGAAAATCGTTAAACAACCTACGACGCAGTTATTTCGTACCACTGCACTCCCAGCATCAACACCGTTCATCTAAAAATGTTCCGAAGAATACAAAAAAAAACAAGAACAGAATATATCATTCAGAGTTCCTGACATGGGTGTGGATACGCCGCTGCCGCCACACTCGTTGTTCACAGGTAGGGCGGCTTCATGGTGCTTGCGCAAGTAGCTTATAGGGACGTGAACTTTTTGACACAAGCAGCGGTTGCGTTTGCGCAACCAGGCACTTAAGCCACGTGGTTTGCTTGCCCCAGAGGCGCCCGTTGGCCTGGTGTTTTATGAACAAGGCACCAGTCGCTGGCAGGGGAAACGAGCTTTATCACGTGGTACGCGTGTGCTGTTTGGATGTGTTTCCACGTTTGTGTCGCACGACTACACAACCGAAGCCTTTGACTTTACCAGTTTGCGTAGTACCTTCTGGGTATACCGCTCCGCGCAGCGAGAGCACGCTTTCGGGAGCTTCACGCCTTGAACGGCACCCGTATGGCAAGACGAACACTACACGTCAGAAAACCCGCGAGCTAGAAGCAAGTGCACCGTGCCGTGTTCGTTGTAGGTTGAGGTGAACGCACAGAAGCGAGCCCGGTGATTGCTCCAGAGCCCCGCTTCAAGCAATTATCGTGTCGCAGAGCGCTGCAGGTCGCATACACGTGGGTCTCGTCAATAGCTCCGGGCTCGACGCTGCCGCAACATCTGCTTTTGCTCAGAGTGCCTGTCGGGTATACCTGCAACGCTCAACGTCTGTCTCCATGGATGCGGCTCTAGGCGCACTGCCACCCGGTCGCACGGGTCGCGTGCTGCTCTTGGACCCCGCCGCAACCGACACTTTCTCACTCTACGCCGAAACGATACCAGCCTGGCCCGCGGCATGGCACGTTTCGTACTGTGCAGTGTTGGGAAAACGCCCCAGCAGCTGGAGCGTCCCCACAGATTACCACGCTAATCGCAACGGTTTGCAGATTGCAGCACTTCTGCATGCGAGCAACGCCCGTGCAGTGACCTGGCTGCTCGAGTGGCTGGAAGATATTGGTGCGAAGGCAGCAGCACCACCGCTGCTGAGTCACAAACCCGCTGCACACCATCAAAGAGAAGCGGCATATGGGCAGATGCCAGCGGCAGCGCAAACTGCGCAGCCACAACATCGAGTCGTGTTCACTCCATGGATCTCGGAGAGCGCATTGCGTCGTCTCGCCAAAGCTGGATGGTTGAAAAACTGCTCCATTGGACTGCTGGAACCGCGATTCCATCGAGTGAGCCCAACATTGCTGACCCTAGGCTGGGTATCGCTAACGTCACTATCGCACGCGTTTACCTACCAGTGCGATTATGCACAGGCGCTTGTGCGCGCACTTGGCTCTCTCGGGTATGCGTGGGAAGAGATACGAGCCCTGGGATCATTCTCTGAGAAGGTCGCCGAACAACTAGCCAGTGAATATGTCGATCAGCACCACACAGAGCGGCCACTTGAAGCGCGTAGCGCTCCGGAGACGTGTACTGAATCGGAAGCGGCAACAGCAACAGCAACAGCGGGTACAGATGCTGCGACAATCACTTGCACTGCCCACGTTGCCGATACCTCTCCCACTGACAGTACGCCTGATTCAATGCGAGATGTTTCGCGTGTCTCGGCCACGGCTTGGCAACATCCTCGCGTAACGCGCTCAACACTTCACTCTTACACAGCGGCATCAAATGAGGTTGCACCTGATCACCCGTACCGTTCAGTGCGTTCATCACTGAGACATGACATCGGAGACTTGCTGACGCCCCGGGATGGGGTCCTGGAGCCGTGGCAACTGCTCGGTCACGGGTCGCTAGCAGACACCACCGGGCACCACAGTGCCCATGGACAAGATGCAGTCGACGCCAGCACGAAGCGCACGGCGGCTTGTTTCCGCCTCCCGGACCCGGCGCTACGCCACAACGGTACTGCCACTGCATGCGAACAGCAGCCACGAGGCCGCCTCGTTCTCCTCGATCGATGGTTAGATCCTATTACCCCGCTGCTCACGCCGATCACCGTGGAAGGCCTGGCGTACGAAATCTACAGGGAGCCGTTTTGGAAGCGCTGGCAATCGACAGAGCTCCAGTCCGGCACTGCGTTTCAACAGCAGCTCCAGGAACATGCGAAACGCATTCGTAGTGACCTGCATGCGGCTGCTCTAGCCGAAGCGAGCACTCCTGCTGCAACGGAGACCACTTCGTTTCGTCAGCGAGTGCAAACGATCTGTCGAGCGCCGTTTTTCGAGGCTACCGCTAAAATTGGCGAATGGGCTCGTCAGCTGAAGCGTTTTTCAGAGACGCGTCCCGATCCCAAGGAAGCCTCTATGGACGAAATGACCGCCTATGTTCGAGCGTTGCGCCACAACCAAGCAGAGCAGGCCGTGGTGTCTGCGCTCTTGCACATCGTCGAGCGTTTGAGTGCCGAAACCTTCGATCAGGCCTATTTTCGGGAGCTGCTCTCCCTAGAGCGCGATCTCCTGACTGGCGAAGCGGAACGCCGCAGCGCTTCAGAGTCCGTTGCTGCACGCCTGGAGCGCCTACTGGCGGCGGTAGCTGCAGCTCCAGCTGACAGCTGGCTCGCTGACACTGCAGTCTTCTGGCGGCTCGTCCTGCTGCACGGTCTCTGCACCGGTTCTGATGAACTGCTTGATCGCTATCCGAGTCTGCTGCATACTGCTGTATGTTGCTATGGACTCCAGCAATTGCGTTTGGACTGGCAGGCGCTCTGCGAATCTGACCTTTTAGCGCCCCTGACGCGTCGCCTCCAAGGTTTGCGGCACGGGGCTGGTTTTCTAGCCGCCAGCAACTTTGACTGGCCGCTCCTTCGAGAGGTGCTGGAGCTCACGGCAGTCGAACCGAGCGTGATGGACGCATACGCGGGGTATTTGCCGCTCAGTGCCGCCTTAGCTGTAGTCGCTTGCGATGGGAAGCGCTCGAGCCGCCATTCTGCAATGTCGCCGGCTCGAGAGCCGCGCAGCAAACCTCCCGGCCAAAGTGCAGACGTCATGGAGCGGCATGACGAAGACAGCAATCCCCACGTTAAAAGCGTTGAGCACCAGCTGAGCGACATGAACGCTACTTCCCGGATGGATGCGAGTCTGGGGCGATCTTCCCGTTCAGAGAATGAGGCCTCCATGCGTCACGAGCTGCAGACCCTAGAGGCGGATCGCTCTCTGCTCATTCTGCGTCAGACGCCTAATATCTTGCGCCCGGTACGTCCACGCGGATGGCATCACAGCGCTTTCGCCGAGCTTTGCCAGAGGGCGCTTCGATGCCGGAGTCGCCCGCTGCAGAGGCGGATTCCGCAGACGCCAAGGCAGCGGGCATCACGCTCGCCTCCGAGCACACAAAGCCCAACACCAGCCACCACGGAATGCATTGTCGTACTGGGTGGTTGTTCGCCAGTCGAAGCGCATTGCATAGCATCAACAGTGGCGCGCTGCAGGGGTAACGCGTGTGCTGTCCAGGTTCTGAGTACTGGTCTGTTTTCGAGTCGTGAGTGGCTCATCGCGGCCATCCACGACCACGATCGTCCGTCTTGGATGCATCCAGAGCCCTGAAGTGCCTCGATGCACCAGCCATTCTCGACGTGAACGTCGTGCTCATCATTGGGGTCTTCGGCGTCGTACACGCCACCGTTGCTGCAACAATGAATGGCAACTCTACAGCGATCTAACGTTGAGGTTGCGCGTTCAAGTCTCGGCCTGGTGCAGAGCCCTGCAGACTCCCCCTGGAGGACTCTGTTTTTGGAGGCGTACATACAGGCAGGTTCACGCTCGTCGAGCATCCGGCACATTGCGCTTGGCACCCAGAGGGTACTGTTCGGTGGGGATCGGAAGCCTCACGGGCTATGTGGTGATCAGTGCGACAACGACGCCCTCGATGATGCCTGTAGCCAATGTCGCAGTGGCAGCAACAACAGTGGTACGCGTGATCCAGGAACAACGACGCGTTGCGGTAATTTTTAGAGTTCCCTCGGTAACGTTTGCGCGGTATTGTGTTGGGAACTTCGCCCCGTTATCTGTGTTGAATTAGGCAGGCAGATTCCATGAGGCGACTCAAAGACCAAATGAGATTCCTGTTACATATATGTAGACGTTCTATGCGACCGAGGACGTGTGATCGTCACGGGTAGCGGACTCGGGGTGCTCTCGACATCATGCAGTGCCTGCCGAGATACTGCACTTCAGATAGGAGTCGTGGAACGTCTACCACAACCTCAGTCATATTCGAACACCATTCGCTATGCTATATGCGCTGTCCATACCATAGCTACCGAGAAAGCTCCTTGGTATCTGCAGGAGCTAGAGCCTCAACCCTAACAAAAAGTCCTACTGGATCGCCCGAAGATGACTGCGTAGTGCAGGAACACGTTTTCTTGTGCCGCTGGAGTGCGATAGCCCTAGATAGGCGGAACGTCGCCGTTTTGCTAGCTGTAAGTTCTGGTTACGCCGCTGGACCTAAATTTTTCGGGGAAATCGACTGCTTCAAACTTCGTAACGATACGTTCTCGAGGTCCATGTTTACCAATCTGATCCATGCGTCCTTAAATGGCGTCAAAACGTGCCGTCTCTCGCAACGCGTCACCTGGATCCGTTTCGGAGACTTTAAGTGAACGTTTGCCTTGTCATAAACGGCTCTCCCCCAGTGCTCCATTCACCACTTGTTTCCCTCTAGGCACTTGACACTGTCCGGCTGGGCAGGTACGTCGCACAACACCGACATGCTTGCAGGCCACGTACAGCAATTCGAGATAATTTTTATTCACCCCTGCTCTCTGGAATAGAAAGCTATTTCGCAGTGTTCAGCAGGTGATCGAAATCACGATACGATGCACTGCACTGATCGAAGACGAATTGTCTGTAGAGTATTTTATTTACTAAACATTGCAATCAGGACAACATTCCTGCTTCAAATCACCCATATCACAGTATTCAGATGGTTGTGGAACATTGAAAGCAAGAAGTATATGCGCTCCGTAACAAGAACCAATATTCTTGAGTACTCTTTGCGGTCAATGGTAGAGAACGACCCGTTGATCACCCTAGGGAAAGCACGAGCGACGATGGTAGCCGGCATGGGCGTCTCAGTTTTCCAGCAGCTTGTTTGCGTGGTCCTGAAAACGCTGGGGTATAGTCGCAAAAAATGAGTCCTAGTTCAATGACGGCCACTGTCTACCGAAATCACATCTACAGCAAAGTTCCTGGAATCTCACTATCGGTCTGATGTACAGGGATGTCATTGTTTTCTACAGTCGATGAGACTTGCTTCGAATGAAACGGTCAGAGCTTATGTGGATATTTGCGGAGCAGGGAGCCCGTTGTTTGTACGATCGATTTCGAAGAGAGCGATCATATCGTTATTTGGTCAAGCTGCAGTGGATTCAAGTGACGGCCTCAGTTTGGCTCGCAGAGGAGGCTCATACAGGAACACCATCCACTTTGTCGAATGGTTGAAGACTATCGCTTGGTGTCTGGCGACGTGTTTCTATTGATCAGAGTGAGATTTCAGCATCCCCGTCGCGTTCGAGCCTTTGCGGATTGTATCGGGGTAGAGCTGCTTTTCATTCTTCCGTACACTCTATGATTCAACCGCATTGAAAGAGTGATTTTAACCTTGAAACGCAAATGTTCCACCACTGGGCGGATCTCGCGAAGCGATCAGCACACGGTGACATACCAGGGACACATATCGCCTTTCTTCTGATAGTGCGTCTCCCCGCGGGAAGTCTCTTCCCGAAGGCCGTAAATGAGAGCGTCCATTTGAGGAAATAAAAAATCCGAGGCAAGGTATGGACATGGAAGTCGAGGATCCCCGAGGGCCGTCAACGCCGGCTGCCCGACAAGAACAAATGAAAAAAAACAACATCTTCTCGCTGACCGTCGAGCGAAGGAGAGCAAGTGACTGAGGCGAATAAGAAGTAGAGGGCAGATAGGCGAGAAAATGTATTTGCCCAGCGGGACGATGACGAGACGCTGGTGGCACAGAGGCCATGAGTTCGAAGAATCCTTGCTTGCACTGGTGCTTCATCCAGAGGCAATAAACCTATGGTTTTCGTGAATCGTGACTTCAGAGCTGCCCTCAAACTGAGACGGTGTGCGGTACAGAGTACGAGACCCGATGAGCTGACGCGATCCAACTTCCTGGGGCAGCCTCTCAGGCTCGGAGTCTACGTGGAAAAACTCAAATCGATAGCAGGAGGCAGGTCAAACAAGGCTGGAAGGCGTCTGGACACAGACACAACTACACACACACATGTGTATATCCATATCCGCTCGGTCATTATAGAACGTTTTCGTGGCATTGGATATCCATGCATCGCTGGTCGACGCTAGTTCAGGGTGCGGCGTTCCGCGAGCCGCTCGCAACCGGAAAAGTGTTTGCGTTCTCTGGTGCCAGCACGCTAACGATAGCATATGGGAAACGCTACAGCTCTATTCTACCTGGTATTTCTGGCCTGGATCCTGCTGCTTCATTTGCCGCTGTGGCTGCGCTTGTCACCACGTGAGGCGTCAGTATCAAGGGGGAACCTGACTGCGGAAGCGATCGAAACCCTCCAGTCGTACCTGCGCATCGACACTGCCCAGCCACAACCTCAGTACCGTAAGGCAGTTCGCTTCATCAAGCAGGCCTGCAAACGAGCTGGTCTTGAAGGTTTCCACCAGTTCTCGTTTCAGCGTGGTCGACTCGGGGCGGTCTGTAGTGTCCAGGGACGCGAGCCGCACCTTGGAGCGGTGGTGCTGAACTCGCACATTGACGTCGTGCCGGCCGAGTCGTCCGCCTGGCGCCTGGCGCCTCCTTTCTCAGCAGCTATTGTCGACGGAAACGTGGTCGCTAGGGGCTCACAAGATATGAAGACGCAAGGAGTGCAGTACCTGGAGGCGCTGCGTCGGCTACGCGCACAGGCCGGCGACAAGTGGCCTATGCGGCGAACGGTCCACGTGCTCTTTGTGCCGGATGAGGAGGTCGGTGGTCGCACGGGGATGGCTTCGCTGGTGAACTCCAGTCTATGGCGTGATACATTGCGCCCGGCAGTGCTGATCGACGAGTGTCTTCCCGAGACTCGCCTCGGTGTCTACAAAGTATGCTATGGCGAGAGACAGCCCTGGTGGATGACCATTCGAACGAGCCATCACACTGCGCATGGCGGAACGCTCCCCGCAGATACGGCGATTCAACGTCTTTTTGCGCTGTTAGACAACGTACTTGCGTATCGAGAGCAACAGCGCCTTGCTGTAGAGAGCCAGAGGAAAGCGCTGGGCGAGGTGCTTGGCGTCAATGTGGTCCACTGGGCCAGCAGCGGCAACGGGAACGCCACCAATGTCATCCCGAGTGATGCAGAAATCCGACTGGATATGCGCGTCCCGCCACATATGTCTGAACTGGAGGTACTTGCGCTGTTAGAGGAGTGGACACGAGGCTCGTGCAACTGGCACTCGCACAACGGCGAACTTTTGTGTGCGAATGCTACGTACCGTATCCAGTTCATTGATCGAGTCATTGCACCGTATCGCGAAGTGGTTGACGAGGCCGAGTCTATGCTCTATCGGGCGATTGCCATCGCAGGAAGAGCACGAAACATCAGTCTCGAACCGTTTGTGTTCCCCATGAGTACGGACTCGCGGTATGTGCGTCAGGCGGGTGTCCCAGCGTATGGTATCATGGCGCTGGACGGGGTCCTGCAGGGAGCGCAGTTACATCAGCCTGATGAGTCTGTGCCACTGACTGCGTTCGAGCGAGGTATTTCGTTTTACATGGAATTGGTGCGTCAACTCGCCGAGGAAGCGCACTGGGAAGCAACCGCAGACGTTGCGAACGTAACTGCCCGTCGGCATACTTCGGATGAACTGTAGCAGTGGTGCGGCATCGACGTCGTCGGTCGCATTATGGTGCGGATGTCCCGAATATGATCTTGAGTACCGCATTCGCGGTAGTAGCGAATCGCGGAATATCAGTATCGTTCCTGCAACCATTGCCCAGCAAATCCTTCCCAGTGTACCAGTACGGCGCTGTCGCCTTGGTGCAATGCTGAACACCACCGTACCCGTGCCAGGCTCCAGGCGGGAATCCAATGCCGTCTATCCCGGGGTACGGATTCATTGGCATCGAAAGCCTTGCACATCCCAGCACAATGCCAATAACGTGTACCAAACAATCACCTTAGACGCCCGCTCGAGACACAGCCGCTGGACGCCCCGAATGCCCCAGACTCTTCTTCCGAATGGTGATCGAGGTGTCCAGGTCTCGGTTCAGAGCGAAAACACTGGCCGGCACGGCGGCTACTGGCATCACACCCTAGCAAGCATCTCACCAGGTCGAGTCCGTCGGTACATGACACTCGATCAGCTTACCGTACACCACAGAGTGTACCGGGCTCCGTTCTATCCGCATCTTGTCAGCCTGATTCAACGAGAACTCATGCTCGTAATGCAGGTATGTCGCCCTGGAGGCATCCACGGGTGTCTAACAAGAATCAGTCGCTGCACTTATCGTCCGGTCTCGTCCACGAGACGCGAATGGAGGCCACGCGCACTGCAACCCGTGCACCGTCACAGGCTACGACTCACAGAGGCGTCTTGCTAGTCACTTGGCTTCGTGCCGCTCACGGAATAAGTTCGTGAATGCACGCTCCTCGCTGCCGTACACGAGACGCAGTCTAGGACTCCAGCACTCTATCATGTACGCCTGTCCAGGGATCGTCCGCAGGAGCCTGCGGGACGCTGAGGCACGCGCTGAAGCGCGGAATCCCTCGCATCAGTCTTCGTGTTTTTCGGTGGCATTCCGGTGAGCGGACAGCGCCTACATCAGGCGCGCTCCACACGGACTCGGTTACTCTTCTGGGTTTCGACTCTCGTTAGAAACGCTTTGGAGCTTGCCTCGAGTGTGCTGCAATCATTAGCATCGCTACTCGACGCGCCACTGTATTCGGGATCAGCTGGGCAACGTCGTTCGACGTGTTGCCAGCGTACTGCATCTCCTGTCGTGAACGTTGGCTGCAGGGTCGCAACAGATCTCGATCAAAGTATTCCAGATACATGTGAGCAGCTGGTAGCTCTGGTCCTTCAATTCCGAAAAGCAATTGCGTGATAGAGGGCGGCATGCCAAGAGAAGCTGGGCAAGCCATCCTCGAATGACAATTTCCACGATTCCCAATGACGTGCGGAATCTCACGTTTTGGAGTATCATCCCGGTTCATGTATCGAAGCATGGAGTTCTTGACAACGATTTGAGACTGGTGCTTGCGCACCCGCATGTCGCCGTTAGCGTCATTCCCCGTTGTTTTTTCGAGATCAGCCTTGTCTCCGTTGTGCGATGGTTTTCTGCTCTTTTCTCGTCTCCGCCTGCTCCTCACTTACTTGGCCAGGCAGCGTGGATGTGGTCGCTGGACTCTACACCCGACCTGGTTCCTCGCGATTCAGGTAGGCTCGATGGACAGCTGGGCTGATGCGTGCCCTCTGTATATACGTATGAATCTACTATTCATCAAATACCTTTTTGTCACCGTCTCCGTCGCGAGCAAGCCCAAAGACAGATGCGCATCATGCCGCTTCCCCGCAAGCCCGAGCAGCGGAGCGAGCAAGCGAGCGAGCGGTCCAAGACTGATCAAGGCAGAGGTCGGCTTGTCGGAGAACGGCTTCCCCATGGGTTTCGTTCCCACGAATGCGAACGACTGGTCCATTGATCAGTGAACGTCAAAATGGCGTCACATAACAGCGGAGATGCTATCGACTTGATTGAAACAGGGATAACACGCTGGCTCGAAAAGCAGCTCATCACGAATCTCAGCGATGTACTCCACGAGCGCGTTTGTGTGATGAACAGCGACACTGTCTTACAGCGGGACTCAGACGTATAGCGAGCAGCCGCCCCAGAATGTGCATCGATGAGCGATGTGGTGTTGAGCGACTCTATCTGTCCAGGGATGTATAGACGAAGACGCGATTGACTCGCTGCTCGGGGATGCTGATGTCGATGCGCTCACCTGCCCCTTCTCCACGAACCGTTGTGTGCTCAGTTTTGAGTACACGGATACAGGTCTCATCTCTCTCTGAAATGGACGTCCATCGAGTGAGACGAACACCGGCCGTCGACTGGAAAACGCATGCGCGTTTCACTACGAACTCACTCACGTGATGCTCAACAAACGACAGTCTCTCAGGGAAGCACGTCCTTCTCTTTCCGCAAACGTGTCCCTCTATCACACGTTTGAACGAACGATACGGAAACGTTCATACGCTGGCTCCTTTGGAATTATTTCATGGATAACGGATGGAGTGAAATTGATTTACGACAGGACAGTCACGCGTATACAGTTTGGTGCGTTCTGTTTGCGATGCCCGACATTCAACCCAGGGAGTTCGAGACGGGCGCTTCATCCACCACCTGCTGACCGTAGAATGACTAACTTGCATCCGCAAGACAATTTTTAGCATCAGCAGCAGTGACAGCATAGAGTTTTTTCTGGCCTTTCCCCAATTCACAGGATCCATTAGTTGCGTAGCATACCGTCGAGGAAAAAACAATAACGTCATATAGGGTGTACCGGTATCCACGGACCAGCATTCACTGCTCTGAACATAACGCTTTGGACGGGCAGCATTCGTCATGCTAGCGTCCGTCTCACCTTAGATTCCAGCGATAAGCTTTGGCGTTCGTTCCGCGGACTGGAGCCGCTTTCTTCACCATGACACCTTTCGGTAAACGCGAACTATTCGACGGGGCCAGTTACTCCGTTCCGCTGCGATATCAGAAAAAAGCAACACGCTCTACAGCGCGCAGGATAGTACCTGGCGTCGACAAATCAAGACCTCGAAGCACGCGCACTCGCCACGAAGAGCCAGCAACCTTGATTTATATGGACTGAACAGTACAACGGCACAGCAAAGCGTGAACGTACCTCGAGCTGTACCCGATGAAGACTACTGCCTAACCGTACGAACCTCTGTAGTTTTTCCGTCGCCGCGCTGCGCTCTAACGAAAGCACCTGTGGACGCGTTTACACTCATTCAGCGTATGAGGTTCCAGAAGCACCGAACACAAACCCCAAATAAGCACCCCTGGCTAGCTCCGCATACTTCTGCGCTATTCCCGTGCGTACACTGCGCTTTGGGAAGCACCGGTGGACGCGTTTACACTCATCCAGCGTATGGGGTTCCAGAAGCACCGCACTCAAAACCAAAAATAAGCACCCCTGGCTAGCTCCGCATCCTTCTGCGCTATTCCCGTGCGTACACTGCGTTTAGAGAAGCACCGGTGGACGCGTTTACACTCATCCAGCGTATGGGGTTCCAGAAGCACCGAACACAAAACCAAAAATAAGCACCCCTGCCTAGCTCCGCATACTTCTGCGCTATTCTCGTATGTATACTGCGCTTTGGGAAGCACCGGTGGACGCGTTTACACTCATCCAGCGTATGGGGTTCCAGAAGCACCGAACACAAAACCAAAAATAAGCAACCCTGGCTAGCTCCGCATCCTTCTGCGCTATTCCCGTGCGTACACTGCGTTTAGAGAAGCACCGGTGGACGCGTTTACACTCATGATCGTGCCCGACCCCAGCGACGACGACGGCAGCGGGTACGCGCTGGGGGCGCACAGCGAGTCGACAGCGCCGCACCGCAGCACTCTGTAGCAGACGCGCTACCGTCTCGAGCAGCGTAACGTCGTCGCACGAGTGCCCCAACCGGTGTGCAGTGTTTTGTGGACGACAACCCGTCTTATACCCTTCGCCGTAACTGGGCTCATGAACTCATGTTTATTGGTCCTATAGGTGCACTAGGTTCAAACCGGGGCTCGCCTAGAGCAGCAAGCACCCGTCCTAAGCCGTCTGCAGCTGCAGGAAGCCGCTGTCGTTACTGCCGGCACCTGAGGACGGCGAGTGCCAACCAGCGCTTTTGGCAACAAGAGTACTCGGGGACCGGTCCGGGGGTGACAAGACGCTCGTCTGCTGCGCTACGACGCAGGTGTCGTGGAACACGCTGGACGCTTGCAGCACCGACGCCTGCACGACGGCCTGGTGAGCGGTTTGGACGTCTCCACTTTCTGGGGCGACAAGCGTTGCTGGGGACGTGTCGGCCTCTAATAGAGGCACCTGCTCATAACTGTCGACGAATTGCTGCTGCAGTGCAGATTAGTGCACCGATTGCTGTTCTATGGAAGGTACTGACAGACTATAATCACTTGGCGGAGTTTATTCCGAACCTTGCTGTGTCCCGTACGTGCCCGCATCCGAGCGGCGGAATTCGGCTGCAGCAGGAAGGTATCCAGAACGTTTTTGGGTTCCGTTTTCGCGCCGCAGTGCTCATGGACATGAGTGAGGTGGTAGGCAACCCAGACGAGGTGCCGCAGCGACGGAGTATCTATTTTGACATGGTTCAAAGTCGGGACTTTAGTCGCTTCGAGGGTGAATGGTATCTCGAGGAAATAAGAGAAACCGCAGACGATGCTGGGAGCGTATCACCAGCAGAGGAGGATCGTGCAGCTGCCGAGGGCGGTGACGCTACACATCCTGTACCCAGTACGATCCTAGGCTACGTGGTTGAGATCGTACCCCGTCATATGGTTCCCGTGCGATTGGTAGAATGGCGCATTCGGGAGGATCTCGTACCGAATCTACTCGCTGTGAAGCGCGAAGCTGAAAGAAGATATCTTGAAGCGTACCGATCGGAAGCGATGCTGCAAGCGCAGCGAGAATCACCACCTTCGGGCTGAACGACTGCGGTTTTTGTCGGGCGTGGGTGCATACTGAGCTAGTGCGCAGGACAGCGTGCCGGCATGACGCTGCTTCCAAACTCGACGCTTGTCTCGTATAGTCGAAGATGCTGATCCGAACACTGGGCGTCCTATGGCTCCAATACGGGAACCAGATCGATTCGAATGCACACGAAGGTGCTGCTGTGTGCACCAGAAGTTTCCCTCCTGCCAGCATGGGAAACGAGGATATGCTATTTAGCCTGATCATCGCGCAGAAGACATGCAGGGAGCATCACGCTCGACCGCAGATACCCAACTCCTACAGACAGACCGAACCAGGAAACAGTATGTGATTGCTGCTTCTTGGCACATGCAAGCGACGATGAGCACGATAGCGCGACACGGGTCTTGGATTCTTTGGCACAGTGTGTGTCTCGCCAAGCTGTGTATCAGGCATTGGCAAAGCAGCAGTCACGCCAAAACCTGTGTCCCGAGTCACACTCTTGCGGCAGGTCGTGCTCGCGTAAACGGTTTCAGCTCTAACACGTTTCCGAAGTTGGAATCGTGGCAGATACGCATACTTGCAAAAACTTTCATCCATTGCGTCGCGCCTTGGTAAAGTAACGTAGCGTTGCTTTCGGTCCGAAAAAGCGCCGAGACGATGCCGTCGTCAAGACTCATACATCATTCCAGAATATGATGCAGCGAGCGTGACTTGCCTCATTGCGCTGTGGATGGGTCATCAGTTAGCGCTGATCCACGTTCGGATGGAACCTAGAGAGGGCGCGTCGCGAGCGCAGCGCAGCCTGGGCGCCAGAGCCGCTGTCCAACACAAGGAGCGTGCAGCCTCGCTTGTATTGTCTCCTGAGAGATCTGCGATATGCGCAGCTCGCACGGCTCAACGATACAAGGCGCAAATATTAAGAGGAAAGAGCGAGCAGGTACAAAGCCCGTATCCGACAGCTACGGATTGTAGAGCGAAAAGATGGGATTCAAAAGGAAATTAAAAAAGAGAGATGTGTCGTTATAGAAAATATTCCGCAACCACGCCTCCATGCCTATACGCGGGAATAGCGAATCGCGGAATATCAGTATCGTTCCTGCAACCATTGCCCAGCAAATCCTTCCCAGTGTACCAGTACGGCGCTGTCGCCTTGGTGCAATGCTGAACACCACCGTACCCGTGCCAGGCTCCAGGCGGAAATCCAATGCCGTCTATCCCGGGGTACGGATTCATTGGCATCGAAAGCCTTGCGCATCCCAGCACAATGCCAATAACGTGTACCAAACAATCACTTTAGACGCCCGCTCGAGACACAGCCGCTGGACGCCCCGAATGCCCCAGACTCTTCTTCCGAATGGTGATCGAGGTGTCCAGGTCTCGGTTCAGAGCGAAAACACTGGCCGGCACGGCGGCTACTGGCATCACACCCTAGCAAGCATCTCACCAGGTCGAGTCCGTCGGTACATGACACTCGATCAGCTTACCGTACACCACAGAGTGTACCGGGCTCCGTTCTATCCGCATCTTGTCAGCCTGATTCAACGAGCACTCATGCTCGTAATGCAGGTATGTCGCCCTGGAGGCATCCACGGGGGTCTAACAAGAATCAGTCGCTGCACTTATCGTCCGTTCTCGTCCACGGGACGCGAATGGAGGCCACGCGCACTGCAACCCGTGCACCGTCACAGGCTACCACTCACAGAGGCGTCTTGCTAGTCATTTGGCTTCGTGCCGCTCACGGAATAAGTTCGTGAATGCACGCTCCTCGCTGCCGTACACGAGACGCAGTCTAGGACTCCAGCACTCTATCATGTACGCCTGTCCAGGGATCGTCCGCAGGAGCCTGCGGGACGCTGACGCACGCGCTGAAGCGCGGAATCCCTCGCATCAGTCTTCGTGTTTTTCGGTGGCATTCCGGTGAGCGGACAGCGCCTACATCAGGCGCGCTCCACACGGACTCGGTTACTCTTCTGGGTTTCGACTCTCGTTAGAAACGCTTTGGAGCTTGCCTCGAGTGTGCTGCAATCATTAGCATCGCAACTCGACGCGCCACTGTATTCGGGATCAGCTGGGCAACGTCGTTCGACGTGTTGCCAGCGTACTGCATCGCTGTTGGAGGCGTTATTCGGTCAGCATTGACCGAAGCACTCGAGTATCGTTTCAATTCAGTCCACGCCTGTGTCGGGATAGAAAGGAGCGCTTCCTCGAACATGAGCAGGCGCTCTGAATATTGCGTCGTTTTCTAATGTCATCAATACCTGGCTCTGAGTTTTTTGACTGCGACTGCATCCTTTTCATCAACCGCGGTTGCCAGCAAGCGAGCGATACTACTGGCACTGTTATAGACGCGATTCGCTGCTTCCGGTTTTTCCCAACACATGCCATGCACAGACAGATGATTCGATACGTGTGCTGCCTTTTATATCTATTTTGTTGTGCGTTTACACCCTCAGTGCCGCCTTCGCAGCGGTGACACATGACTATGGGAATGCGTCCCTTGTGTCCGTCATACTATCTCCTTCGAGAACTGAACTGCGGCGCGTGAAGGCATGCTGTATTGTTCAGCACATGCTCGTGACGGCTATCGAAATCGCTCCTGAGCGCTGTCCACGGTTTGCGCACCCTGTGCCGTACGCCATGATCACGACTTGCTCTGAGCGATGCGTCGTCAACGAGTCTGCTCACTGCATCAACAAGCGCACTGCATCGCATTGGATAGAGCGTTTAGGGTATGCGACGTGCTCCACGATGAAATACGTACCGAAAGGAACAACCAGGCCGGAGCGACTCGAGAATTTTCGATCCATAGGCATGAGACTGGGAACCTCTCATCCACGGACGACGTCAACTAGAATGCCTCGTCGATTCAAAAAGTTCGATTTCCTGTGCCAACGAATTGCCTCGAAGCACAACATCGAAAATCTGAAAAATGCTGCATTCCAATATGCTGCACGCGAGAAGAGGTGAACACGCACGGGAGGCTTGTATGGATGCGCTTCTTCACAGTATCGGATTTTTTTCCAACGCTTGTTCCAGGGGGGTGCGAATCCTCTTGACGCTGGTGACGACACGAATTCCAGTGCAAGAACATCGAAACAGCCACTCCCAAGAGACAACCGAGCATCCCAAAACGATCGTTGAGTCCATAGGCCGGTAGTGCTGCACGTCGAATGTCGAGACTGTCCATCTAAAACACAACTGTAAACTTATGAACAAGATAGCACAGACCGCGTCATTCAGTGTCGCACTCGAATCCGACGTGTACGCAGTGGAGCAACGGACGCCATGCTACCGGTCGAGTCGATATCGAGACTCCGCACGTCCACGATGCACATCATTCCAGAGGTGTTGCTCGTGGATCTCCAGTTTCATCAAGCTCCTCGGCACTGGTCCCAGGAACCCAGCGCGGAAACACTCGCTTGTACAAGCTCATGCAAACCGTATCACTGTGCAGGATCATTCCATCAAACGAGGCTTTCAGCGCTCCATGCGTACCGAGCGATTCCTCGATGCGTCCCAGACGACCGTGTTTTGTCCACAACGGTACGTGCCGGTAGTATTTCACATCTTCGGGATTAAAGAACATGTAGCGCACTGTTGCACGATTCTTGTGGGCGCGGTACGGTACCCCTGTGAGCACGATCCGTTTCAGCACAATCCGTTCGGGATTCGCACCCAGCACAGAGCCCCGAGCAACCAAGGCCGGCAGAACTGGAGTAGTGGCGGCAGTGCCTGCTGGACCAGTGCCGTGTGATGGGCGCGTCACCAGCACTGGTGCTGGCGGGAACGTCACCGGTGCGTAGAGCGAGGCTACGCTCCAGCGACCGGGCAATAGATAGCGTTCATAGCGATGCTTGTCGCATTTGGAATCAGCCTCGGAGAATATAGGACGAGCGAGAAGTCGGCGAAAGCCAATGTGGAAGCAAAGCAGCTGTCCAGCATGCACGAGTCCATTGTCTGGACAGGCCAACGCCGGGCTTTCGTTGTCTTCGGTGCTGGTCAAGTTGGTCATGACGTGATAGCGCTGTACCAGGCACTGCAGCACCGTGGGACGTTCTTCGTACGAAAGCAGGCACGACGCAACCAGAGGGCCAGGCCAGCTCTCTAAGCGGCGCGCCTTCGGCTCGGCAATAGCATCCAGTACGAACGCGACAAAGCAGTGTGATTGCACGACTCCGTGGCAGGTTGCGTCCCGCGCTCGCTGGAACGCCTCGCGCGTCGCTCGTTGGAAGTGCTCGAACTGCACAATGCGTGCATACGCTGGCGGTAGACCAACGCTCGGATCCCAGGGTGTTTTCCGAAACGAAGGCAACGGTCGATAGTTTGCGTACCGTTCCCGAACAGGGCAATCGGTGGGTGTATCGACCTCATCCGGAAAGAGGAGCTCGTCGCGTTCGACCTGCTGGGTATCGATCGCATCGAGCGAAGGTGTCTCCTCTGAAGACGTTTCCGCCTTTTCGGATGCAAGAGGCTCACGAGTCGCGCGTTGCCTGGAATGCGGAGCACTCGACGCATCGCTTGCAGTCCCTATGTCTGAAGCGTCATCGGATACCGAGTCGTCGTCGTCGTCGTCGTCATCGCTCGCAAGAGATGCGCTCCTGCTACCTGAGCCCATGCACGAATCCTCTGCTGCTTCCATTGGGGGTTTATCGTGCACCACAGCGACATTCTTTGTTGACGGTTCCAGAGGTACACCAGCCGCCGGTACACGGCCGTTCTGAGAAGGCATCTGGGAACGCTCGCTGGTTTCGAGCCATGCCGACTCGCACCTAAACGTTCCGGTTATCGTTTCTACACGATTTTGGATATGAATGGCGCATCTTACCCGTGGGGGTTCGGTCTGCGACACGCTCCCTTGCCGGCACTGCATACCGGATAGAACGGCCGCCTCCATGGGGGATGACGATCCAAATGCCAGGCGCTCTGGAGCGTCATCTCCAAACGCAGGGAGTCCAGCAGCATCGGTTCCATCGGGAATGCGGACTACAGGGTCCAAGCCTCCATTCCCAGCTGTTGGAAACGCAAATTTCGCACCATCAGATATGTCCATGGACGCGGGGTGATCAGTATACCCCCTGGGTGCCATGTGTCGCGCATATGGCGCCTCGGCCCGCTCTAGACCCGCTACCACAAACGTGCCTACCCCAGTGATATGCAGTTGTTGGTGGACGCTGGCAGCGGCACCCCGCAGCCATCCATAGAGCCGCACTCGACGACACGGTGCAGTCGGTGCCCGCTCACTGACGACACGTTCCACCAGGAGATACGAACGACTCGCTCGCCAGCGAATGGCTCGACGTTTGCCATATTCGAGCTGTCGTCGCGAATGCTCGACCTCGTCTGGATGACTTAGTACTCGAATGCGCACAGGTTCCTCTTTGGCATCCAGAATCGACAGAGCGGCGAGACGTTGGTGACACTCGGCTAACCAGGTGGAGCTATCGGCAGCATGGGCAGAGCTCGCGTGCGCTCGGCCCCTGAATGGATGCTCGGAAACACCGGGGTGCTCTGCATCACATCGGTCAGCGTCCATCAGAGACTCGAGGGTGTTGGTGGCTCGTGGAAGCGCCACAGCGACGAAACTCAGGAGGCCTTGCGCTTGGATCGCCGCCAACCAGGAGTCGGCGACATCGTGCAGTCCCTCACCCTCGCCGTACACCAAGAGACCCAGATCAGCAACCTTGGCGGCGTCAAGCACCGCTTCAAGAGGAGCTTCAGCATCAAGGCATATCCACTGATGTACTAGACTGACTTGACGGGCGCGTCTGCGGGCCACTGTGTACCGCAGTCGATACCAGGGCGCAGTAGCGGGTTCGCCGCACTCCGTTGCCGTTGCCAGTGCCGTTGACTCCAACTGTTCGCCGGTCCGGCCACAGATTTCGGTATATCCCCATTGCTTAAAGCAGTACGTCAGTGCCGGTGCGAGGCGTTGTGAAGAAGTGAGGCCCAAGACCACGATCAAAGTGGGGCTCGCGCCACTCGCCTCAGGACTTGTTGATACAGGTCGCTTGTTCGCACGCCGCTGTTTCCGTGCCAGGACCCTTTGGTGGACAACTGATCGCTGTCTTTTCCTCCCGGCCATGAACTTAGTAAACTGCTATGATGCAGGCACTCAAAGCGTTCTAGGAACAAAGCGGTTGCGACAAACGTCTGAGCACGAGAGTCGACGTCCGCGTCGCAGTACGCGCCGCAGACTGCTCCGCAGCGGCGACGTCCTCTGACTGCTTTTGTTACGCTGTTGACTGGAGTGCTGCTCGCGCTCGGTGTGAAGCACCTGAACGGACGGACAGACAGACAGATAGATAGAGAGGCAGAGAGGCAGACAGACAGACAGACAGAGAGGCAGAGAGGCAGACAGACAGACAGAGAGATAGATAGAGAGGCAGAGAGAGGTTTGGTGTTCGCTTTCGTCGCAGAACAAGGGGTTACTGGAGAAGCTGGTGGATGCAGAAGGAGTAGCGCACACGCCTGAGCAGCGACTGGTGTAGAGAGCGTCCACGGTACGATCGCGCTAGTGCAAGCGAGTTGCAGAGCGACAGAACAGTAGAGAAGCAGTGCACGGGGTTTCGTTCCACACTTGTGTGAGTCACTGCTGAGATCGCGTTTCAGTTATATATAAGTCGTTGTAGGAACATCACCGGAAGTTTCAACGGTCTCCGAGCGGACTGCAGACGTTTCGCCGTACACACGGCAGCGGCTGAGCGCTGTTCCCGAGCAGTGCGCGCTCGAGGTGCTCTCCTTGTGCTCGCGAAGGACGCTGATCTACTTCAGCTGCCACTGGGAACACTCGGAAGGTCGTTCGGTACTCGAGGCGGGAAACGTTGTGACTCGTGAGCATCGAACGGAGTCTGGTCGGCGTCGTTGCAGCGAGCCTTCAGCACACGACTCTTGTACGTAGGTAGCGGACGGGAGTTTCTCGGGGTGCGTTCATCCTCTCGGACACGCTGCCAACTGGCCTCCCAAGACTCATCTTTGGTTTGTTGGCGCTTCCGGGACCTAGCAGCAATTAGGAACGGCTTGTTCTTTGCTGCTGTCGCCGTTGTCGTTGCGCTCCTGGGGAAGACGCCGCTGAACGGTGTACTGTGCCGGCCCGCAAGACAACTTGCTGCTGCGTGAACACAATCCTTCTATAATAAATTATGAACGGAACGGAACTACGAGAGACACTGGAGGATCTGATCAAAGAGGTGGTGCAAGCATCGCGGGAAGCGTTGGATACCCAGGGAGAGCTGAATGAGCGCAATGAAGCAGCCTTGCGCACGCTAGAGGCGCAGTGGAGGCAGCGCCTCATCGAAGAGCTGCACGAACAAGGCTCCTTACGAGTGGTACTCTGCAGGACGGATCTACTGGTACCGGGTTCTGGAGCAACTGGCACGACTACCACGAATAGAACGGATCCGCTTCGTTACGTGTATGAAACTTTACGTCAAAGGGATCCCCGTGAGCGTCGACGGAGCTTACCGCCCGAACGTTCATCCCAGTCTTCAGAACTTGAGGATACCGGTACAGACTCAGGGGAAGCGCTTTCCTCTGGTGACGATGATGACGAGATATCCCAAGTTGCCGGCCAGCCAGAACCGGAAACTGCGAATTACGTGCTTTCTCAGTACGAACGGGTTTTGGCACCTTCTACAAACAAGCAACGAATCTGGCGAGTCTTCCTTCGTGACGCTATGGTACACATCAATGGCCAAGACCTTCTACTGAACCAACTTCAGTGTCAGTTCGACTGGTAGCGGTTTCGACGGCTGGAAACGCACCTCTCATGCATTCATGGAGATGCTGCTGGTGACACGTGTATCGCCTCTCGAACGTGGGTGCTTCAGGCACTCATTTGAACTCTAGAACATCGACACGAAGAGTGATCCTGGTAGCAGAAGTCGTATTCATGCACGCAGGAATGAGCGAACGGGTCTCACGGGTGGATCAGCGTGTTCGACGCACCAGCGCGTCCTCGCGGCTGCAAGTGACGTCCCCAAAATGAATTGGATCATGAGCAACCTCGTATTCATGGACGCTGGAACACGAGGAATGCGTCGACGAGTGCATCAGTGTGGATGGCGTACCGCTGACTTGGCCCCGCTGGAAACTCCTCTAGAGCTGCCGCTTGAGGCAATCAGGTATCCGCGCGGAACGTCTTGAACGCGCAGTGCATACCACTTTGAGTTTCAACACCGAGTGTGCGGGTAGGCTCATGATCGCTTGTAGCATTTTGCTTAGAAAATATTCGGACTTGACCAAGTATTGTTTTTTCTTGCGTCATATTCGAGACTCCTGGCCCAGAGTTTTGAGGTAAGTGGTGTCGCAAACGCGTGCACGACGCGGGGTATGTGCGACGTGCCTGGCCTCGGCGGCCCTGTTTGGCAATCAGACCCGCTCGCGACTACGCCCTTTGCATACCGTCGTCTGGAGTTCTGAAATATGACCTAGAAGCTCCGCATCTCGTTGAGATAATCGTAAAACGGAAAATGATCGCGAGGTGCCCATGTCGCTCTGCACGCCAGTGTGCATGCTTTATACCCGTATGCGAAACTAACGCAGCAGGGTCCGCGTACTCGGGCGTACAACGTAGATCTTTGGTCTGTGGGTTCTGTCGTCAGTGCCAGCCTTTGCGGGATTTCTGGACTGCAGTTCCTCTTCCTATCTGTTATCTTCGGCCGGAGGTAAGCCGGTTTCTGCTTTCCCTGCCAGCTCGATTGTCAGCAGTTGAGGGATGTCGATGGCAGCGTTCACGTCCCGATGTCACCGCTTTCTGCCCTGAGCGACGTATCCCATACGTAGGCAAAAGGTGCGAGCGATGATTTGCTTGATGAGTTTCGATACGTATAGTCCATGTTCGCGCTTCGCAGCGGAGACCCATTATTGTATGTACGTACTCCATTGTGTACACGAGCGCGACTCTGCAAAGAGCCGCCTTATGGCCTCGTAACGCTTGATCCATTGATTGGTACAAGTGATCAATGGGTACTGAGTGCTCCGCTTGGTGCCTTGCTCCGTTTCCGTGCACAGTACCGTGCTCAAAAATCATGGGTTTCATTCGGACAATCCCCTGGGCGAGTGCGCTGTCCGCTGTATACCAAAGCGCACACTATTCAATTCGATAACTCGTTACCAGCTTCCGAGCACGCTCGTCGTATGCTGTGTACGCTCCCCGCGAAACGTGTCCACGCGCATCAAGGGCATCAAGGCATGCCTCCAATTCGTGGGCAAAATGTGCACATGGCAGAGCGACTTGCGAGAATGCGTCCCAGACTTGTGAGACTCTTTTCGGTTTCGTTCGCACGCTCGTCGTTCTGTTCTTTTTATGTGCCTCCATCCGGTGAAACCAAGATGAGAGACGCGCGAGTACCACATAACGACAGTGGGTGCATTTTGGTGAATTTGGCAATCATGGCTATGAAGCGTCGCCGGTGTCAACAAGTCGTGTTCTTGTTGTTGGTGGCTTTTTTGTGTTTCAGGCTCCGCTTTGGGTCTAACGGAGGCGCAGGTGTAGAGATTCGCGCTACTGCGGCCTGCACCGATGCTCACCGCACTGCAGACCAACTTCTCGAGGCAAACGCATCTGCTTGGACATGGGAACTCCACGTATTTCCTTATCTGAGCTTGGGGAGCGTTTCCGCTCCGAGACGGATCGTAAAGTGTCCGCGACACTCGCGTTGACGACCATGCATACTGGTATACACAGCACCGGTCTCGATAGCGGGCAGCAGGCCTCGTTGCCGACGTGCGAGCATCTCGCTGGTCCACATTTCCTCGCCTTTCGCATCTTTCTCTGTGCTCCGCCGATCTCGTTTCACCAATGGTTCACGAATTGCTTCGAATTTTTGTACAAAAAATTTACAGTCCACTTTATGAACGTGATAGCGCTGCTCAGCTCCTATTTGCTCGCCTCGAGTCTCTTGGTCTCCATCAAACGATGTTGTACCGACTATGCACAAGCGATTCCCTCTACAACGAAACGAAAAATGCACGAATCGAGGTGCTGGTGCAAGCGACCTGGAGACGCATTCGGAGCTGCATAAAAAGTCTATACTCATCAGGGGCGCTCTGAAAAAGCATACCAGACCCAGAAGCACAACGTCCTGCCTAGGTGGACTACACGCCAGCGGCAGCTGCATGTTCTCCTGAGTATCTTCGAGTCTGGGGAGTCTTCGATGACGTTTTCTCGTGTTCTCCATATGCGCCGAGTCGATGCTCTTCGGGATAGCGCCGGTTCTGAAGAGGTTCCTCATGCCGTCCCAGTCTAGTGACAGAATCGTCGCTCGTTTGCCAGCGCTGCATCGTATCCATCACTGGCCGATGGCAGTGAGCACCCAGGTTATTCAGGACCGCAGTGCGTACTTTTCGGTCTTCGTGCTTGTCTGGAGAAAGCAGACCCCAGAGAATTCGATGTGTCTCCTCGCTGTTCTTGCGTCGTGATGAAGGACTCTTCACAGTCATCGATCACTGCTGCCCAATGCCATATCGTCGATGGCAACAAATAGAGGAGCATGTGCCTCTCGAACGGAGTCGATTCTTTGACGTGACACGTTCATTGAGCTTTCGGTATGATCCTATGGACGAATCTTCACGAGATGACGTCATGTTTGCTCTCCGTGTCAGTCCCGAAGCGCGAAGAACTGCACCCATTCGTTGCCATGGAACAGAGAGATCGAAACCTTGAGGAATGCGTGATATGAGTGTGCTGAACGTAGGAAAAAAAGAGAAGCGCAGAGGGTTGTACGTATGCCTTGAAAAATAATACAATTCGTTATCTTACGAACACTTGTTTGACGGCGTACTGAATCACTTTGACAAAGGTGAGGTCACGAACTTCAGCGGTAAAGCATCGAGAGCGCCTCCCCGGAAACACAACCGAGAATCCAGAAACTGCATGTGCGTCCATGAATCCTTTCTATTGCGGCACTTGGCATGTCGATACTGTACATCTAGCCAAACCTCCGAAAACCTGCAAATCACGCACAATTCGAGTGAATTTGTGTCCCACGTAAATCGAACACCGGTGCAGCCTCGAGCGCGACTCCCTACGAAGCCTCCAGGGCTAGGGGTCCGGAAATCTGCACGCGCGTCTCCCTGCTCCTGGTCGTTGAACGGGTACAGTGCCTATGGATCCAAATCATTTCAGCTGCTGGCATATAGGCACCATCCACACGACGAGAGAACGACCCTGGCGCCCGGCTTTGACTAGTTGTGCGCCCTCGAGCGCATTTCGGGTACCAGGCATCGCGTGATCGATCGGCTATCGCCTTCTATGCACAAAAGGGTGTCGTTCGAGAAACCGTCCAGGGCCCCGAGCGGCTGGGAATTCCCCGGTACAAGCGGCGACGACCACGGCTTCAACGCAATCCAGTGGTTGCGTCTTAGGCTGCTTTGATCTTTTAGGGTCAATACATGCATCCCGAAATCTGTACTGAGACAGCAGATGGAGAAGGATCCATAGAAGCAGCAGCGCACTGCTTGGAAACGGACGAACAACTAATGAACATACATACTGTGTGTGTGCGCGTTCGCGTGTGCATGTACACCTGCCACAAACGCAGGCACCCCACACGAGCGACAAATGCGGTGTTGCGCAGTGCACTCCAAGTCTGCACTGAGCGCGACATCATAGGCGACCAGGATACGAACACACCCGGATGAAACTGCGAAAAGCAGCATACAGACAGGTCGGACGTACCGTGCTCGCGTTGAAACACGAGCCTAGTGCGAGAGCTGTGCACCGCATCACCAGGCACTGGAGATTAGAAGCGAGCCGTCTTGGGTCGATGGTTGCGCAAATCATCCGACGGGGTGCCGTCGATGTCCGTCTCGGACTTGGCACCGCGCGGGACTCGTTCCAGGGTAGCGACCAATGCCTGCGCGACTTTCTCTTGCCGTGCACGAACGTACTTATCGCTGACCTGCATCCGTTTGTAATAGCCATCGATTTCAACGGACTTGAGGCCTGCCGCAGAACAGATCGCTCGCTTCACTCGAGCTGCAAACTCGGCGGCCGATTCATTCGGTTGTTGTTTCATGGGCTCCAGGAAGTAGACGTCAGCAACTAACGCCCAACTCGTCCAGATACGAAAGAGATGCCAAAGAAACGACTCCTCCATGGAGTTCCAGAACGCGTCCGCGAAAAGCTTGTTGTACTTGATTGCAACCGGGTAAATGACGGCATCCTTCATCTCGAAGGCGCCCTTCTTAAACATTAAGCAGTATTCATTGTTCACACAGGTACCCTCGGGAAAAATGAGCAGTGGTGGAACATTCGGCTTCTGAAGGTGTTCTTCGATCCGTTTCCGTACAAGCTGTCGATCCTGGAGGTCGTCGCGCGAGAACCAGATGCATCCAAGACACTCGAGGACGTGCTTTTGGAGCAAGCCCACGATACCACCGTGTGCCTGGCCAACGGTCGCAAACGGACACAGTTGCTGGAGCACAATCAAATCGATCAGCGACGAGTGATTCGCAACGTAAATCGCATGCGGTCGCATTCGTGGACGAGTTCCATGATACGCGATAACGCCGCTCATAGACATGATCCAGCACGCTGAGTACAAGACAATAAGCTTTCTTTCCAGCTCGTGACGACGTTCTGGATTTCTTCGATAGAGCCATTTGGTTATGGAGAACGCGAGCGCGAAAAGCACGCTCCCACTCACGAGGCAGAGTACGCGCAAAGGCAGTAGGATGCCGTATCGGATAACGACACCGAATACCCATGGTAAGAAAAGGTACACGTTCCAGTTCCACGCAGGGACAGGGGTCCGTTTGAAGCACCGCGAAAACTCATCTTCAACCACATCCTCCATAGCTTCCGTCGCGAATGTCAGCGGAGCAAAGAGAAGCGGTAACCCGCTGACAGGCATTGCCTCTGTCCCGAGCACCTCCATGAGCGCCCGCTCGAAGCGCTCTTGCACGCGTTCGCGATCAGAGGAGGCATCCAGGTCACCACGTACCATTCCAGCAAGGTCGGCCCAGGATTCGCTTGCTCTCTGGAGCGCCAGTTTCGTGCGAGTCTGTCCTCGGGTAAGCAGACCCTCGCGCGGACCCTGGCTCCTTGCCGACGGCGACGCCTGCGCAGCATTCATCAAGACCGTAGATAACTCCTGGGTCACGGCCAGCGGCGAAGCGCGCTCCACTTGTTTTCCTTGACCTCGCATTGTCTGGGTGATGTCGTAGGCAGCGGGCCGCTCTTGAGGCGCCTCGATCAGAGGGGTTGGAGGTCTCTCCCTACTCAGTGGCGGTGCCGTTGCAGGTGACGTGTTCCGATCTCCGTCATCGAACACCTTATCTTGCGCTTTCGCGAAAGAACCAGTTCTCTTTTCAGCGTCGAGGTACTGGGCCACACGCGCGTCCACCGGAACGGGCTCTTCCCCAGGGTTCTCGCCCAGAGGCGGCTGTGCTTTGGCGGTGGTCGCTGCCATGCCTCACCGACACCGTTCAGAACCAGGCGGAAGCTGCAGAAGCTGGATTCGCCACCGAAAACCCGACGGACGAAAGACTTGAGTCACGTCGGACCCGTCTCTGGAATAGAGAAAAAAGGTTTTGGCCAGTTTATCGTGACGTTGTCGAGCAGGCGTGCGCTGCGCCTCAGGGCGTGTGCTCCAGAGGCAACGCCAGTGCCGATTGGTGCCGGCGCACCGTATACCGCACTCAACTGAAGCGTGTTCCACACAAAGGTGTGTGGAAGTCGATGCTTTTTTCGTTGTATGTAGCAGACGCTATCGCAGGTCGTTCATTAGACGTGATAAAAAAATCTAAGGGAATGGTATGGGGGTGCTATGCGGAAATCCCGGAAGGCTTTCATTGCCGGGTTGAACAAAACTGGAAAGCCGTGCCGAGCATAGAGGAACGGGAAAGGACGATGCAGCAGAAGCAATCGCGCGAGGCCGGACGTTGAAAAGGATCTCGAAAGACGACAGTACGACGGGATGGTGGTGAAAGCCTCTTTTCTTGGCCATAGCTAGTATCCCTACAAAAAAAAGTTACGAGAAACGATCAGAAACCTTGTCGAGTCGTATTCAATGAGTATTATTGAGGCTTCTTCGGGACTGGTGCATATGGCGAAGGAGATGTACGACAATGTGACGGACATTCGAAGAGTCAAGATTCCGGACGAGTTTTTCGACAAGACCTTTATTCGTCACCTTGTGCTTGGTACAGGGGATGCGCGGGGTGAAAATGAGCGGGTGCACGTCCTCCACGAAAACTTTGCAGAATTCCGCTTCGAGGGTAATCGATACAGGGGTGACGCGGATGCTTACATATACGGGGCGATGAAGTATCTCACGAATCTGAAGAACCATTTGACAATGAACGTCGAACGTTTCATGATACGCCCCGTGTTTGCACTTTACGCGGGCATCTCTCGCAAAGGAATATGGGCAATTATCAATGGCTTTACAAACAATCCCCAGCATGAAGATGAGGTTGAATTCGTCGACAAGAAGGCGTCACACAGGAGAAGGAATGAAGCTTCTGTAATCCGTGCGCCTACTAAAGAGCACCGCGCAGAATTGGGACTGGCGAATCCAGCAGAAAAGATATCAGAGTTGAAAACAGATACGGAAAGATACTAATATCTCATCCTGCGGTATTTCGTGTTTTTGGACCGCGAGCTCGAACGCAAGGCGGAGATGATGCTAAGTGAGGAAAAAATGAAGTGCGGGAGAGACGGAAGGCTTTCCGAATGGGGGAGCGCTCCAACATCGTTCCGTTGTGCAACATCAAGTCACATTTTGTGCGTATTGATTCCGGCGTCCTTTACGGCATCATGAAGGGGATCTGTCCGGGGTTCGATGTAAGGAAGACAGAGTTCTCCGGTGAAACCCAGGAGACGTACTGGAAGAATATCTTCGATATCAAACGTCTCAAAGTGAGCAAGAAAAAGAAATTCACTGGGATGATAGAAACTGATGGACTAGCCATATGTGTACACTATCGGCGGTTCAAGACAGATCGGCATGTTCCGTCTTCGGCTTTGCCCGAGACGAAGCATGAAGATGAGAAGGAGGAGGATCCTGCGATGCAGAACGTGCAGAAGAACGACTTTTTCGTTGGCGCGGACCCCGGGAACACGAACATCGTAACCATCGCAGTACGCAGGCGTGCGGAAGATGGTACTGATGGTACCTTGCGTCGGAAAGAAATGCGTCTATTGAGATTCTCTAGAGCGAGATACGATCGAGAATGGGGAATCATGAATGCGAGGAGGAAAATCGAGACTTGGAATGCAGGAGTGAAAGAGCACCTGGAAGCTATGAGCGAAGTGACGAGCCGCGAAGCAGACTTGAAAGCTTTTCGGGAGTCCATGGAAGTTCGCGTTGCGCATTGGGAGGCGCTGTGGGCGGCGGAGTATACAAAGCCCCGGTGGGCTCGTTTGCGAATGAATTTGTATTTTGGGAAACAGCGTGCATTCGCGAATTTTTTTTCAATGAGTTGAGCGCCTTGAAGGAGGATGAAAGTCAGAGGCTCCTAGTAGCATACGGAGCAGGGCGATGGAAGATCCAAAAAGAAACTATGCCAGCTCCAACGACGAGAACATTCAAAGAGTGCGCAAGGCGCTTCGTTACGATACCTGTAGATGAGTTCCGAATGTCCTACACACACCATGAACTGGGATGTACACTTCAGAACGTCGAGATGGAAAAGTGCCAGCGGAGCCCTGAGGAGGATATAGCAAAATATGGACCGCTGGCGGAAGAGCAAATGGAAAGGAGAGCGAAAGCTCGAGGACTACTTGCATTAGTAAGTACAACCAACGATGGCAAGAAACGGATGGAGTTTGTGAATCGAGACTTGAACGCCGCGATCAATATACGGGGATGGGCGGTGATGGAGCATAAACCTCCAGACAGGACAAGAGTGAACTTTATCGGACAATCACTTCAAGTCGAACTATATGAGAAAAAGTTGAAACCAGTAGTCGTTGGCCGGTCCAAAAAACTGGGAGGCGTCTGCACGTCACTTGGAGACTTCTTGTCTAGGGCAGGCTTCTCGCCACTATTGTACCACTGGCAGCAGCGTTTGTCTTTTGAAAGGCGTTTGTTGTTGGAGGTGGGCGTGAACGAAGGCCACTGTGAAAAGTCTGCGTCAAGTCGCTTTTTCTTTCGTACTCCCAGGCCTTCTGCAGCTGAGCAAACTACTGAACCGAGCGCTTAGGGCGACTCGGGTTTCTGTGAGAGGCAGCCCGCGGTTGGTATCATGGTGCGGCACACGCCTCGGCGAGGTTCGGGTGTGGGCACTGCAGCCCCAGCGGTTGCGTCCACATCCAGAGCAAAGCACGGACCTGTTGCTGCAACAGCGGTGCCACAGCAGGCATCCACACCCCCGTGCGATGTCTCTGGAGAGGACCATGCGTCCCAGCCAGGCGCCTCAGCGGAGACGCTTGAGGTGCCCAGCGACTTTGGGTGCGACGACTTGCGCCCTGCAGCAAGCGCAACCCGGGATTCGGGCAAGCACCTGGAGCCGGACGCCGAACGGTTTGGCTCTTTGGAACAGGTGCGTCAGGAAGCCGAAGCAGGAACGGAACTGACGCGCTCTGCACTGGGTCCTCGCCAAGTGCGGAAGCGAGTGGTGCAGCGTCGGTCCGCGACAGGCGCTGCAGAGCGAGCCCCAGTGAGTACGCACCCGCCGTCTGATGCGGCTCCAAGGAGCGGCACCTCTGTCGGAGGAACCAACACAGGACAGAGCGGGCAGGATGCTTGGCACCCAGCGGGTGCTTCTGGACCGGATGCCCCGGAAACCCCAGCTGCGTTCATCACCAGTGCTGCTGTTCCCGAAAGCACCGGTGCTGATCTTCGTTGGACGCCTGCTCCCTCATCGGAGCATCTCACCAGAGGCGCTGTCGTCATGCGTTCGCCACAGGTCGACGGACCGGCCACAGCCGTCATCAAGCGCTGTCCGAACTGCGGGGGTGATGATCTCGAGTTTGGTAGCAGTTCGGGCCAAACAGCGTGCATGCTCTGCGGACATGTCGTTGAGGAGAACACCGTAGTCAATGAGCTCCAGTTCGTAGAGGGTGCTGGCGGTCACAGTGCCGTCGTAGGTCAGTTCGTACGCACCGGCAGCAGCGGAGCAGCGTCGCTGGGCGCAGCCGCTGCAGCCACCGCAGCCGGTGCGTCGCTGCTCTATAACGCATCCACGGCCGGTGTGACGCGTCTCACCATAGGGCATCGGGAGTCGCGGGAACTCACGTACGCAGCCGGACGCCGGAGAATCGCCACCATCGCTTCGCAGTTACACCTGCCGCCGCGGTTTGTGGATGCAGCGCATCGTTTGTTCACGCTGGCTGTCCAGCACAATTTCGTGCAGGGCAGGCGTACCCAGACGGTGGCGGCTGCAGCGCTCTACATTGTCTGTCGACGGGAGAAGACGCCGCATCTGCTCATTGACTTTAGCGATACGCTGCGTATCAATGTGTACGTCCTGGGTCATACTTATCTGAAATTGTGCCGCGTTCTGCATTTGGCATTGCCGATCATTGATCCTTCGTTTTACATTCACCGGTTTGCAAGTCGGTTAGATCTGGGCGAGAAGCAGAATGCAGTAGCGCAAACCGCACTGCGTCTGATCAGTCGAATGAAGAGGGACTGGATCCATACTGGGCGGCGTCCGGCTGGTCTCTGTGGGGCAGCACTGCTCATTGCAGCTCGTATGCACGGCTTCCGTCGCTCGCAGCGTGAAATAGGTGCCGTCGTTCGTGTCGGTGATATGACCATTCGCCAGCGACTCTGTGAGATCGAAGAGACGCCCACTGGAACGCTCACTGGTCGAGAGCTTGCCGCCGAGTCGGGCTTGATCGAATCCGTTGCCGAGGAAGACACCACCGAGGCGCCTCTGGCGGCAACCGCGGATACCTCCGCAAACGCAGTGTCACCTGAGGCAGTTGACACACTCGACGGCTGCGACCCGCCAGCGTTCCGGCGCCGGCACGCGTTGTCGTCGTCGTCGTCATTGGAGTGGCTCGAGCAGCAACACCACGTCCTGGAACAGAGCAAGGCAGCTGAACAGGACATTGTCGCGGATACCTCGCTTACCGAGCAGGAGCGAGCTTTTCTGGAAGCCTCCGCCACTGCCGAGGGCGAGCGCGTACCCGTAACGGTACTGGTGGCACCGGCAACGTCCCACGGTGCAGTCTCGAACTACGTCGGCTCGGTGAGGCGCGAGGCCTCGGGACCCCTGGCCCCGCTTGGCGCTGCAGCGGATGAGCGTGCCGCAAACCCGGTGACAACGGGCGTTATCGCTGGTACATCTGGTCTGTCGACGCGATCCGGCCCCGAGGGCGGAGCGAATTATCGCTGGCTAAGCGACCGAGTCGAAGAGCTCAGCGACCTCGACTCCGAGGAGGAGGCTATGTTCGTGTGCACGCCCGAGGAAACTGCCTTTCGGGAGAAAATATGGACGGCGATGAACCAGGAATGGATCGAGCGTGAGGCTGAAATCGCTCGTTGGGAACGCGACGATCCCGAGCGGTACCAGCGTCTCATGCGCAAACGAGAGTACATGCGTGGTTTCTACAAATCCAACGCCAGCAACAGCGCCGCTGCTGAAGCGCCCTGGAGTCACAGCGCCACAGCAACAGCAGCAGCAGCAGCAGTTGCAACAACAACGACAGCAGCAGCAGCAGCAGCAGCAGCAGCAGCAGCAGCAGCAGCGCCTGGTGGCGAGCGTCCCAGTACAGTTGCACCTGCCGCAGTCGAGGCGGTCGTGCGCTCCGTACGCGACGCTGTGCGCAGCGCAGTGACGCACTCGAAGCGTACGAGCAAGAAAATCAACTATGATGCCCTAGAACAGTACGACCTTGGCGGCCGTGGCGACTCGATTCCAACAAACGATGCCGAAACAGTCGCAGTCGCAGATGCTGCCGGGCGTCCATCGCAGCCAGCACCGAGTCTGTTTGACTTTGGTGATCAACCTGCACCCGAGAGACGACCACCGGTTGCGCAGTCGTCGATACCAGCACCAACGCGCGTAGCGAAACGCGTTGTTCGGCAGCAGCAGCACCATCAACAACAACAACAACGCGCCGCCTCCGCTACCCCTCAACCGACGCACCAGACATGACGGAGCTAGGCGACGGAGCGTGCAGCAATCCAGGACGTTTCGTAATACATGGTGTTTAGGTACGGATCCGAGCGCATGACGGATACAAGGCTTACGCGTGTGCTGCTTCCGTTTCCCCGTATGCGCCTCGGATGACTTGCGCAATAGACGGGACATATCCAGCTGCTTGGTGTAAACTCTGCTCGATGCTGCGTAGCGCCTGTGGACGTGAACCAGGCAAAGGCACGTGCAGGTCGGAACCTACCAACACCATCATCCTTGGATGCGAGGCTGGTGTTCGTGACCCTGAAGGTGGCGCGCGGGCCGGTGGATCACGGATGTCGCGTGCCTTCCTCCAGCGCGCAGCGCGAACGCAACGTATGACAGTAGCTAGCGGTGGTAGAGGCGAGTTGTTTCTGAACGCCTCGCGCGATACACGAGTCGAATGCGGGAGCGTTCAGTGATCCAGTGAGAAACTGCGGGAGAGCTCGCGAGAGCTTGCATCTGTCACCATGGAGATACGAGGCAAATCCGACGATGATTGCCTCGCGCGTGTCTTCTCCTGATGGCATCGAGGGCAGGCTTTCCATTCGGGCGGCAACCTTCGGACTTTTTCTGCGGTGACAATTTCTTCGACGCAAGCAGCTGCGTCTTCATCGCTTTCGTCGCCGGTGGTGTTCTCGGCATCGTCATGGTCATCATCATCATCATCATCGTCATCATCGTCGTCGTTATCATCGATCGCAGACGGTGTATACGACGACATGGCTCGTTGATTGGCCGTGTTCGACGTTAGTGTCGGTATATCGTCCATGGAATCGTCGAACGAGTGTCGTGCTTCATCTATCGTTCGAACCGATTCGATACTTGTCCGGTTCGTCTCGCCAAGCTGTGCGCTTTCCGAGCGCTCCATCCCTCGAGTTTTGCACATATCATTCTCACTACTTATGGTCGCCAGCACTGCCAGGAGCTGTTCTTTCGCGGGTCCGCGGATGACACCGTCACGTGGCCATTCTACATCGAATTCAATAAAAAGATCTCCATAGTCGAGCGGTGTACTTGCATATCTTCGCCGTTTTGGCATGCCCTTGTGCGGGATCCGTTTCACCGTGCCGGGGCGTGTCACGCTGCCGTCACGACTCTGCACCATGATGGTGCGTCCGTCCAGAAGTTTCAGCGTAAACGAGAACCCGCACAACGCCTCTGCCAGTGTGAGCTTCTTGCGCATTCGCAAATCATCGCCTACACGGGTGAAGCGCGGATGCGGCTTCTCTCGCAGAACGAAGATGACAGCGCCGGCTTCCGCCCCTGGATACGCGGCGTTTCCGCATCCGGGGAATTCCACCCGATCGCCATCGCGCATGCCAGGTTCCACCCGGATCGTGAGCGCGCACTCCTCGCGGCAAGGTCGTCCGTCTAACCCAAAGCCCGATCTCTCAATCGCAACGCGTATCGCCCGACCCCGGTAAAAGTCTGCCAGATCAAAAGCGAGCTCGTGCACGATGTTGTGCACAGCTGTTGCGTTGCTCGTCGATTTCGTGGCCCGCTGGCCATCACCACGATCCGTGCCCTCGGTGCCAGTGCTCGCGCTCGAAGACAGGCTGTGCCCAGACCACAAGCTGAGCTTTTCAGGTTGCGAGGCAGAATCTGACACAGTATCACAGGGCATCTTGTGGAGGCACCGATCGAGACCTTGACGTTCCGCTATCGACGCGCTGCATCCGTTATCCCACCAGCCGTATGCGGGACCCCCAGCGCCAGTGAAACCGTACGGAGTCGTGGTCGCTGCATTAGCCGTCCCCTGATCAGTGCTAGCGTGATCGCCAGCGTTCGGTCCACTGCGATTCCGTGAGGCACGGAGCACCCGCTCCCGAAGCTGCCGAGTTTTCAAACTGCGACATCGAATGAAATCGCTCAGTTGCAGAATCATGTTCAAGAGACGCCGATCCCGCACGCAGCGGTAACCAAACGTATCGTAGACGCGACGGCGCTCGGGGTCACTGATCGTCTCAAAGGCAAGTTGAATCTCTTGCGTTCGATCCACATACGCCTTTCGAATGTTCTCCAAACGTTCCAAGCCCTGCTCCGTCGTCTCTCTGCTGCAGTGAGCATGTTCACTACATCGTCGGTACGCGTTCATTAAGGCCGTTATGCGATCTGGATGGTACTTGCATATCTCTCGAAGATACGCGTTCCGAATCTGACGCAAATTATGCATATCCCGCGGTATCCCAAGGACCTGATACAACCGGTCACGCTCCTCGGTCAGCGGCGGGGGCATTTGCAGCTGCTCGATCGAGTTCAGCACGGACGTGAGCCGTTGGGGTGCCTCTAGGTTGGCGCCTGAGTGCCCGTCCAGACAAGAAGCAGTTGCCTCCATCGATGCATGCTGCTCCGTTGAGGAATCGGAGTTTTGCGAGGACCGCAAACCGTTGGTCGCGCCATGCTCCAGCAAGTTACGCACACCAACGCCGAAAGGCGCCTGTGCCCTCGCCACGTTCGTTGTGCCTTGCGGTGCTTGCTCGCCGCCGGTCGGCCCATACAAGGACCCAAGGTCCTGCTGCCGCAAGGCGATATCCGGGAACGCGTTCACAGCGATGGCGGGACTCTCGGATATCGCACGTACAGCAGACGCCACCGGTCTCCCGAGCGTCTTGAACTGGGGCGTCCCCGACGGACGCATAGCGCGACGGACCGCACGCGCAGGGCTCCCGTCATGACCGAGCCGTTCATCGCTCCCGGAGTTTATCATCCTGGTCTGTCCAGAAGCGTGAACAGAAGCCGCAGGTAACCTAGCGCTACCCGTCAAGTGGTGTGAAGCTCCGTCGCCCCCCAGCTCCATTCTGTTTCCCCCAAACCGTTCACCAGTGGGCAACATTCAAACGCCAGCTCTGCCCTAGCCGCAATACATTCAAACCCTCGTTAATCCAATCACAAAAGCAGAAGAACAATCCTCTAAACCGAGAAGCGCACACAAAACAAAAGCAAAGCACCTGCTCTAGACGACAGGGAAGCGCGCAGAGACGCACGCACCGACGTGTTCGTTATGCGTGCGTGCGTGCGTGCGTGCGTGCATCTGCGCGTCCATGCGTGCAAATCGATCCGCGCCAGCCACGGAACTGGAGACGACGGCGTCTGGAAGGCATCCAAAGTGCGTCTCGATCGCGCGCGCGCGCACGCAGGCGTGGGCCCCCAGAGCGCGATGCGCGCGAGCAACAGCAGCAGCGGCGGCGAGCGCGCGCGCGACGCATCATCACGCCTTCGATCGCCGCCAGTGCATCGTGCAGGCAGGCGCTGAGATTGCGAGCGCGCTCCTACGACGCTCATGCGGATCGAAGCGGCACTGCTGCGTGAACGTGCGCTGGCGCGACGATTTGCAGCTGCGTGCCCCTGCGATCTCATCTGTCATCGAGAGACGCATCACGCATCACCGCAGGGACACGTGTCGCGCTCCGAGTGTTTTATTGCAGGCAGTAGGCTGCGAGGCGTACCTCGATTCGGACGGGCAGCTCGGTGGATATCTGCAGCACCACGTACGTTACTGCTTGGACCTGCTAGTATTTCTGGGTTGCTGGATAGTGCTCGTGCATGCCTATTTTCACGAGGCTGCTTCGGAAGCGCTCTCCACGCAATGTAGCCGCTGTTGGTAAGCGGTGTGGATAGCGAAATATGTGCGGCTGCGCTGCTGTCTGCTGCTTGGTTGAGTTTCACGATGAGCAAGAAAAGATGATTTTTCACCTGTTGCTTTACTGATGCCTTGCTTGGTATTGGAATGCATCGCGCAAGCAAGGTCAAGTTGGGACATCCAGTACGACGCACTGCTGCATTGCTTGCGGCTTGCGCATGACGTATGGGTGCGCGCTGCCGCATGCCCTGCTAGGCGCGATAGAGCACGCGGTCCACGACACCGGAGCTCGCGCAGTCACACCGGCACCGCTGCACTGCAAACAATGGAAGCGTTGCTTGCAACATGGAAGAAATCGGATACGTCTGCTAGAAGAGTGCATCGCCCAAAAGCGCTATGATAGAGGTGTCCTGCTCGGTCGCGCACAGGCACCAGTCGCTGCACCTAGCAGCCTCCAATGGCAAATCAAACCAACCTAAAGCATTTATTAGCCTCTTTGATCCAAGCGTTCGACATACGCCCCACAGAGTACTTGGATATAGCTGTTCAAGGTGGTGCGTCGACGAGGCTTGCCGCTCCTGTCGTCCAGTCCCGTACGACGTGATATCGAGACTGAGCACCAATGAGCCCGATTCGTGAGGACGCTGAACTTTTGGATTGAGTCCAGAATCACCCGGGCTACCGAAAGACTTTCCAATGTACGTTTTACACACTTTGTGCAATGCACTGACCTCGACGAAGCGTATGCTCCCCGACTCGGCCGCGGAAGAGCGAGCGGGCGCCTGCCGCCCAGCCGCCGGTCATGCCGCCGCGCACACCGCTGCACCCCAGCGCAGGCGCTGGTTTCGCGGCGGCTGCAACGCCTGCCAGCAAACACGATAGCGAGACGGCTGAAGCGCTGGCGAGCTTGCAGACAAGAACGCGTGCGTTGAGCTGTTTCGCCTCAGCACGTCGTTCTGTGCTTTCAGTTACGTCAGAGTGGGATTGCGTGCGGTGGCCAATTGTGCTGACGTGGAACGATCTCGTTGGCTTTGTCGTACACGAAAGCCATTCAAGTAGGTTAGGCGTTGGAGGTAGAGGTGCGCGAAGGGCGTTGGACTCGCAGCTGCTTGTCAGCGTTCATACAATAGTATGAGTTTGCTGTTTTCGTCCGCAGCTGCCTACAGCTCTGCCCGCGGACAGCGGCAGGCACTGGCGAGGGTTTCTTGCTGCCACGGTAGCTGGCGTTCGGAGCGAGCCCCACACCTGCCGTCAGCCGCCACCAGCAGGGTGCAGCCGCGCGCAGCTCGTCTGCCTTGGCGCATGGGAACGGACGCGCCTCCGCGGTCTGCTGAACCGGCTCCCGACTGGGATGGGCACCAAACTTTGCCCCGGTCTCATAAGAGTCCCTCTTTCCCACCGGACGGTCCGGAGAGTACCAGCGATGAGCGCACACGAGTTCTGGCGTTGGCGAACGAAAACGAACCTGAGCGAGCGCTTGCGCTCTGCACCACGCTCTATCAGCGCGGCGTTGCTGTGGATACACATGCGTACACGTCTATTCTGAACGCCTACCGCCACAGAGGTGACGCTGACGGAGTGGTGCACGTGCTAGGAGTGATGGCGGCGCGCGGCGTGCCTGCGAGCGACGTTACCGCACTGCTCGCTTTTCGAGCACTTCGAGATGCCCGCCGAGCAGACGCAGTGGTGCGCGCTGTGCAGCTCATTGAGAGTTCAGGTGGCACCATTGGCCTTCGAGGATGGAGTAACGCGCTCTCCTGCCTTGCCGAAAGGATCCGCTCGTTACCCGCCTCACATCCGGACCTGGACACCTATACCAAAGCGGGCTGGACGGTACTAGCGCGCATGCAGCGCATGCGACAGCATCGGAAGCCGAATGCATATGTATTCAACTCGTGGATGGCAATGTACGCGTCTCGAGGCGACTGGGACGGCGCAATGGCAGTGTTCGGAGCTATGGTTGCCGGTGCTCGGGTATGTCCCGATGTTGTCAGCTACAACATCCTCTTTGAATGCCTTGCGCGCCGCTTTGCACGAACAAGGGTTCCGGCAGAGCGCGATGCCTGTCGAAAACTTGAAGCAGCGCTGGTGGAGTCCATGCGCTTGCACGGTATTGAACCAGATGCGCGGACGCTGTCGGCTCAGTTACGACTTGTTGAGCATGACCTCCACGCCGTACGCGCGATCGAGAGACGTGCCCTCTGGTACGGCGTCCGACTTGATTCTTTCTACGTGAACGCTTTAATTGATGCCTACGCTCGTATTGGTGAGCCAGCCGTAGCAGCAACCGTGCTGGAACGCCTCGCCGTCCACCATGATCAATGTCAAGCGGCAGCAGCGCAGGGACGATTCTCAGCGGAAACCGCCGCCTGTCCAACGGCGCTGCCGCCGATCACTGCCTACGCTCTGAACGGCGTGCTGAAAGCGTGTGCGCGAACCGGTGACGCTGAGCGTGCCTGGAAACTCGTACAAGGGATGGAGGAACGTTTCGGCATTCAACCAGATGCCATCTCGTTTACCTGTGCCATAACAGCAGCGGGCAAGGCGTACGCGACGACGCTTGCACGCCATCTCTACGAACAGGCACGCGAACGCCTTTCCGACAAGGCGAACGTACGCTTGGCGACTGCTGCGATCTTGGCAGAGCACGAAGATCCGGAGCCTGCCATTCGAGTATTCGAGCGGTTGCTACGCGATGCCGAGAAACTTCCATCAGCAGGCGCGTCTCTGTCTGGGTCATCCGCATCCGGCTCCATGGACCTCAGGGTACCTGTGCAGGCGCTTGTGCGCGTGTGTGGTCGAGCCCGTGCTCCTGCGCGAGCCAGAGAGATAATTTTAGCTGTCAAGCGGAGGCGCCTCTGTTTTATTGACTTGACCTATTACCAGTCGTTCATGAAAGGTGTTCAGGAATCGCAGGAACGTCGTCGCAAGCAGGGCATACGCGATCTGACGCCCCTGTCACCGCTCTCTGCACCATCACTCTACCTCTTGAAACTAGAGTGCACTGCACTCGGAGACACCCCGAAGATTGGTAACTATGGTTCATCGTGGACGATTCGGTAATGCCGTCCGACGCGAGGCTGTCGTCGATCCGTGGTGCCGCTACGGCTCTAGTCTAGAGGTTGCGACTGCGTCCAAGTGTTAACAGGAAACAATTTCGAGCCTAAGAAGCGAAGCCGGCTGACCCAAATTGTTTGGGCATTCACGCGGAAATCGTCCCATGTGAAGATCTCGAAACTGCTTGTTCTGGTTCTCATTGTAGACGTCAAGAAGCGCAAACCTCCTGGTGTTTTCTGTTAGGCCGTTCCAAGCCCTGGTTCGGTTAGCACATCTGCATGATCATTCGGCGAGACCGAATCAGCACACTCGCAGTTCTTTTGTGCACAGGTCTTCTTTTCATAAGGTTTGCGCCGCTTCTGAGCCGCTGCGACTGCATCGGCGCCGCAGGTTGAGGCTATGAGCAAGGGCGCGAGGTTCGGACGCATGCGACCGCCCGCAGATTGGCGCATTCGCGCGCGGAGAATGTTCCGAAACTTGTCTTTGAGATTCATTGGCGTGCGTTTCGGATGGAAGCCCTCCATCTTATTGAGGATTGTCTTCCAGTTCCCGATGCCATAGAGCGCGACGCCTTCGAGAAGGAGCCGCTCCTCTTCCTCGGTAAACCGCAGATACGCCATCCGTTCTTCTTTCTTTTTCTTGGGCTTTTTCATCCGCTGGTCAGCATGCGTTAACGTTGCGTCGCTCCCCGAAGATGGCATGTCGGTGACATTTCCAGGTGGCGATGCAGCCGCGGCGGACGGAACTGCTAATGCTGGAACACCGTCCGGGCGTGCTGCCTGTCCGGCCATATGAGCAGCTCCCATAGGCCAGTACGCTGGATGCGGCACTGTCGGACAGGCCTGGACCTGTGGTGGCCATGATTGAGGACTTGCATACCAGATCGGCCAGCTCATTTTCGAGCCAGACCCGACAACGCTAGTTGGGACGGCCCCAGTCGGAGGCAGGCACCGCGCCTCGTCGTTCCAGGACGACTTGGTTGTGGACCAGCCCTTGACATTCCGCTCAGTATTTTGGGCGAATTGCACCGTCTGCCAACAGTTTCTGTCCAGCAACACGGGTGCCGAGTAGGAGGGGTTGGCGTAAACCACCGGCGCTCGGCAACTCGGTTGTAGTTTCGGTCGCATGTAGGCAGCATCCACGGGCTCAGCGCCCGCTAGATAGTGCCCGGCGTAGTTCCAGTATACTGGGAGCCTCGATTCGATCCAGTTCGAGCGCATAGCGTGCCTCTGTACGGCAGGATGGTCCAGGTCCCAGTACAGCGAGCCCTGTGTTGCTGAATTACTCGCAGTGTTTGCTAGAGCGTCGGGCCCAGTCCACCCGCCGCTCCGCTGCGGTGAGGCTGGGTCGTTCCCCGCCACCCACGTTCGCTGCGTCAGCGTCTTTGCGTCCGAATCGTGCGACCTCGAACCCGCACGCAGTCCGTACGCACCGAGTCGCCCACAGGGCTTCGGTATAGTAGGCTGCGCTGGAGCGTCTCCAGGCGTTGACGAGGCCAACACGTCTGCAGCTCGAGAACCGCAGTGCGCAGCAGAGCACCACTCCGCCTCCATGTTCAAGTGGTGTCCAGACTCGTATAAAAAACAAACGTAGCTGACGTTCTGACGTCCACGCAGCGCCCCAACGAGAACAGGGCACGACACACCACCCGTCAGCCAACTGAACGCACGCGCAGAAAAGACCTCCAGGGCGAATGCACGACTCTAGAGGCACATGCGCCGCAGCGGCTGTCACTCGACGATGCCATGCCCCGAACCGCCGCCATCACCTGCCTTGCCTGCGCCAGGGTATCGCCAGCGTCGCCGCCGCCAACGCCATCGCTGCAGGCAGCCGCAAGGCATTGAGATTGTGATCGTTTCCTGGAGCGCGCCTGCGTTGCTGCAGTGCAGATATTTCTGATGCGCCGCCGCCGCCGCCAACGCCATCGCTGCAGGCAGCCGCAAGGCATTGAGATTGTGATCGTTTCCTGGAGCGCGCCTGCGTTGCTGCAGTGCAGATATTTCTGATGCGTCGTCGCCGCCGCCAACGCCATCGCTGCAGGCAGCCGCCAATCCGCCTTCAATCGATTTTTCGTTGGATATAAGGTTTCCATCGTGGACCACGGATGCCGGATGGCGAGTTGACTACGGGCATTCGCGAAAGCGTCCATGATTCTTTACTCTGCGTCCATTTTCCATGATCCGTACTTCCTCCTGAGTGTACGAATCGTTTTGGTGATTCCATCGTGCGCTGAGCGTCTGCTCTGCTGCACCCGCAATGGCGCCTATATCCTAGTGCGGATACAGCTCGAAGACAGGACGAGATGGTCATATGAATGAGGGCGCCAGCTCGAGGCATGATTCATTCAATACGGGATCGGAATTCACCATCTTTCTGGGAGCCTGCGTACTGCGCAGACAGACCAAGTGCGTGCGGCAGTGCGAAGCGATACGCTAGGAGCAAACGCTACCAGCGCGACACCGAAATGCACTCCAGCCACTCCTAGTCGCAGAACAAAATGCGCTATGAACAAACTGTTCAGATGTTGCAACAGGACCGGGTACTACGGGATACCTTGCTTCAGTTTTAAGCGCCCGGTGCCGTACTTGGCGATTATGAGCGTCTTCCAGGCGATCTCGCCGACAAGTACACTGTGCGCTGTACACGCAAGATCACGCTGTTCCATGCGATAGCGCTGCTGTGGAACGCGATGTCGTCGATGATGAAACATCTACCAGAATGAGAATCCAGATCAGAAAAGCATTCGAGAGATTTTTGGCTGAGTGTATGTTCCATTCGTGCGAAGCGGTGACGCTCTCTCTATAAGAAGCGATCACTGCACCGACTCCAGTCTGAATGCAAGACCCTCTCCCTTGCAATCGGAAAGACGGGGAATGCCCTGCCATTCAATGATGCTGCTGGTGCTGCTCCTATTGAATGCCGCTCCGTCGATGGTTTTACAAAGACACACGAGGATTCGGCTGCGGAACGGGTTGATTATTCGGCGCAACAAGTTTCATAAACTACCGGCATACGCTAATGAAAAAGCCTTCAAGGCATGATGAAAATTTTCTACTCGTATATCCAGCAGAACGTATCGTGGCGCCCACGAGTTTCCTTCCAACAGAAAGATTCAAGGCTCGAAGCATGCGTGATTCGGACACGCTGACTGTAAGGAAAGGCAACGAATGGAGGCCTGTACTTATACATTGGATGGTGATATCCGTCATTATATGAAACCCCTTGTTCGAGAGCGCCACGAGTCATCTTGACGCGGGTGCCGTCACGCATTCCAACGGCAATACGTCAACGTATCCACTCCAAAAGACCACCGAGTATGCCGAGACTGCGCATAAATCCGTATGTTCTTGTTGCTGAGCTTTGAATGGCTAAATAGCGCATCTGAAAAGCGTTCTGAAAAATTCTGAAAGGCACGAACAGAGCAAGCACTTCTACATCCATTCTAACCTGACACGAGCGTAGCGCCCAGACGCCAGCCAGCGTTGTCAAGTTCCACGATAATCCGGCTCGTTCACAGGCGTTATCGGGCGCCATCATGGGACCAAGGTGGGCCGGTCCCGTTGCGCTCTTTTCTCGACAGTGGCCCCAGCTTCGATTGCACACACACACACACACACCATTTCGTTAGGCGTGATCATGGCCAGCAGATGCAGCTCTCGATTGTCCTTCGCTAGATCCGTAAATAGGTGTGCCTTGTGCCATGCACATGTTGAAACTGCTTCGAGCACGTTAACCTGCAAAACCAAGCTGCTGGTTTTGGTAAGTACACAAAGCGTATCTGAAAAAGGTAACCAAAATGGAACCACAGGTCTCGGTACACACACGACGATATCTCCCTGGGACGGGACCGTGTTCGTGATCCGACGCACAAGTCTTGCTTGACTACGAAATACGACGGCTGCTTTAGCCGAATCAGGGAATGCTCTAGCGTGCGACAAGTGGGACATATTGAATGCTAGTTTACGGGCGTCTGCTGCGGCCGTCGAAGTAGCCTAGGCTGTCAGTGCGGCACTGTCCTACTGGAATCGTTGTTTTCCCGCTCACAGCAACTAAACGTCATCATGCAAGGTGCAGTCCAAAATAGTCCGCCCGACTCACAGTTTCCGGACGAAGCTCATGGATTTGCAGCATCGGTACCGGAAACGAATGTCCCCAAACAAAAGCGCAGCGTTTGTGCAACCGCAACGCTCGTCGTATACCTGGGACCTCTAATTTGCTCTTGAGCAAAGGTATGCGCTCATTAGCGGCATCCCGCTCACCACGACGTCCATGGGCCTGGCTTTCGTTCACCTCGTGCGCATGCCATTCGTAAAAGCAGCTCGGTCTGCACGTACAGTGCGATATGCATCGTCGTCGTCGTCGTCGTCGTTGTCTGTGTGCTCGATACACATACCCCATAAACAGCCGAGTTGTCTCGCCGCAAAGCGATCGTGCCTGTTGCAACCGAGCGCTGCCTACGCTACGAAGCGACCATGCACGGGCACCAGCGTTGACGGACAACTTTATAGAGTCGCGCTTTTCGTCGACCGACTCGAGTTGGATCCACTGGTCGCTGCGCGCCTCCGGATGCATCAGGGACTGCGAAGCGAGCAAGTCTCACGCCGCATCCCGGTGTGATGGGCCAGCTGATAGAAACCGCTGCACGTCCGGACCATGGAGAAACCTCGATGTCGGAGAATTTAACTTTACGTTCTTACCATTGCCATGCAACACATTGCGACCTCTTGTGTCTCACATCTAGCGCATGCACTGCATCATGCGACGATATCATTGGCTACCCATACGTTTCGCAGACGACAGATGTCGCTACGGTCGCGTTCCGCGCTCCATCGCCAGCATTCATTCGAATTCTCTCGTAGAGCTTCCCAGCATTTTACACTTGACGGTCTCGATGACGACATCATTTTTGGGTTATACGGAAAGCGCGTTCGTTCGCCGAGCCCTCGCGCTAGCTCGCCAGACACGACGAGTTAAAGACGATCCCGACGCCGGATTCAGCGCCGAAGAACGTCGAGTACTCCGCTGTCGAGACATTGAACACGCTTGCCATCACAGATGGTGAGGTTTGTTCAAAGACGCTTGCCCGGCTCGCAAGGAAATAGACCTGTGGAAGACCGCTCAGATAGTTGGCGAGGAGCACCAACGGTGTCGATGATGTCTCCGGCCCGGTGATCATGTGCGGCCACCCGGCCGGGATTATCATGAAGCTCCCGTTGGTTATGGGCGTCTTCAGGTGGACAACAGAGCCGTTCGAGGACCAAAGGCTGAAGGTGCCCGTACCGGAAATGACGAAATAGAACTCGGGTGTATTGGTGTGAACGTGCGGCTCCAGAATCGCGCACTTCTTCAACGTGAAATACAAAGCAGCCGAGCCGACAGAGTTCAACAACGGATTCCGTGTCCCTTCATATGCCTGTACGGACCCTGCCGCAGTTGAGAGTGCAACCACACCGTCGACAAAGATATTCTCTACGTACTGAGAAGCCGGAGCTTCCAGCAGCTCTTGGATCGTACCAGCTTGTGGACGCGCGAACGCAGACTGCACGAGTGCTATGACGCACCACAAACCCCAAAACGAAAGCAAAGTTCTGCGCATCATGATTTTCGTTTTTCTTGACAACACAAATATCCGTTCGTGAATGAATTAGGGAAAAGCGTTTCGCGGTATCATAGCGGGAGATGCTACCGCTCACTCAAGAACAGTGCCCCAGCGCATCCCAAATTAGATCCTCCGCTTGGTGCACCGACACCGCACACGCCGCGTTGGAGGGTAATCGCAGGCGGCACTGTTCATTGTTGTTCAACTTAATTGTGTTCCGCCCCCAGGTGATTGATATCAAATGGCATTTCGCGGCGCATAGCGGATGCGCTCATCCTTCGCTCATTCTCAAACCAACGAATTCCAAGCTACAGGTACAGACATGGACGTCAGAGATCCCGCGGAGCCGTCATCGCCGCGTGCCAGAGAAATCCGTGCAAAATACGCTTTTCATCGACTATCGAGCGTCGAAGAGGAAGAAGAACAAGAAGAGGTGAGGTAGGCGAGAAAAGATGCTTGCCCGACGGGACGATAACGAGACTGTATCGGCCCAGAGGGCACGTGTTCGAGGACTTGTCGCGTCGGTGAGTTCAGGCAGCGGCAATGCACGCAATGAGTTCGTGAACCGGGACTTTAGCGCCGCTATGCAGAGTAGACGATTTGCGGTGCTGAAGATGAGATTCGAGGAGCTGACGCCATCGAACTTTATGGGGCAGCCTCTCTGGCTCGAAGTGTGCCTGGATAAAAAGCCAAGCCGATAGCTAGCGGCCGGTCGAAAAATGCCAGGAGGCGTCTTTGAGCGGGAGTGCACATACACTCTATGGTTGAGGGACATTTTTTTGCTTCATTGACATGTGGAGCAATCGTGTTCACATGACCGGTGATTCGCTGCAGACGGGTTCAGGAAACGACGGGGCAGCAGGAGAAATGCATCGCCAATCGGATGCGGTGGATCGCGGCACCCTTCTGGTTGACAGACCGTTTACGGAAATCAGGGATGCCCTGTTGTACACCATGGGTAAACGCAGTGCCGTGATCGGTGGAACACCTGTGCGAGGACGCATTTTTGCTATTTATGGATGGCTTTTTTTGCGGATAGTCAATAAAAGGAAGGTATTCTATTGGTTGGAAAAAGTTCGCTGAAAGACTTGATGCCGTCACTGCGAGTCTGCAAAAAAAGGTCTTTTTTGTCCAAGTCAGTTCTTCTACGCTCAGCAAGCGGATGAAGCGCATTTCTCGTTGTCCATATTGTAAAGGCCATGCACCCTAGACGGAAGTTGTTAAACCGCATCAATACGACTGTCTTCGGGTATATGCATTCTACTCCATAGATTGTTTGACGAATGCTGATACAGAAGCCAAAGATTCTGAACTTTCCGAAACAATGACACGAATGGTGAAGAAGAAACGGGCGCGGAGAAAGAAAAAAGCGCGCTTCTCTGGGAGATCGTCGGGCGTTGAATGATACACGGCAGGTTCTATCATGTAACGTGACCGCCTATAGCAGGAGCGACGCGTATTCGTCTCGTTCGATGGGACATCATTCGGGAGAAATCGCAGTCTTCTATGTAGATGCTTAAAGAGAGGCAATCTGCTGCTCGCTAATATGAGAGAAGCGAGCGTGACGAAACCATGACCCCGAACGGCAATCATACCGAGTGGGCGCCCAGCATTCTCTCAACGGACAGAGTTGTTGAACGCCTCCGGCTTTGTTGAAGCGCTCTTCATGGCATCTCCTTCCAGCACTCTAAAGTCCTGCTATAAAAGAAAACCACATTCCATCAAGAAGAAACGGTGAAAGCGTATGCAGCTGAAACTGGCTTTGATCTGCTCTTCGTGTCAGCGTATTAGACTTGCTTCCGTCTAGTCAAAGACGTCTCCTCTGTTGCCAAACGCCATTTCTATGTCCAGCGCACGATAGACGGCTCGTTCGCATCCGTGACACCAAAGTTCTGTGGCAAGTCGCTCGCTGTTACCTTCACCAGTCCTGAACTACTGTATTGCCCCCGAGCCCGTACACGACATCGAGCGTAGAGGTGCGCTTCGGTCTGTGCGCGTGATCGCGACGCAGAACGGAACAAAAAACCCTGCTGGAATACGCAGTGCATTCGTAGAGGAGGCGCGCTTCAGTGCAATCGATCATCCAGATCGTCTGAGAATCTAAGAATCAAAGAGATGCGGAGTGTAGCGATCACAAGCGTGACATCCCACCATGTAAAGAACACAGCGACAAACGAGATGAGGTAGAAACCATCCGACAAAGGAGAGGCAGATCCCGCAGAAAAACAACGAGGACGAGGAGGGACAGCGATGAAAACCTGTCGGAGCAAAATAGTCAGTTTGAAACCACTGTCAAGGTTTCGCTCCGAAAAATGCAGCGTGGGGATTCTGCAAAACAAACCGAGATGCAGAGCGCCATGATGGATAGTATATAGCTTCGTACTCGATCAAGGCTCGCCTAGCTTGCCTCACCATGAAGCGTCATCTCGAGGAACGATTTCTAGACGTTCCGGATGCAGGGCTCCCATCTGTCCATATTCCCCTGGAAGTTCTCGATCAGACCTTCGTGCGCTAACACAACTGGTGCTCGGCACAGAAGCGGCAGTACGGCCGGGATCGGAGGATCAGCGATTTCGGCACGCGCTTCTCAGAATACCATGACGAGTTGCCATGCCGTATCGGCGATGGGCACAATCCACTGCGCAGTTGCCGAAAATCATCAAAGCAATCTCGAAAACCGTATGCGAGATAATCAAGAGGGTTTCATAGAAAGCACGCAGTGGGCGTTGCAGCCTCACCAGACTGACCCAAACATGAGGAACTTCATGAAAGCGGCTCTCCAGTTCGGAGATTACACGGGCGTCAGAATGGCTCACGCGAAGGAGCTTTGGCGGCAGTGCATGATACTGCGCTTTGGATCACCATCGGTTTCGGTTGTGCGGAGGCAAGAAGCTTGGATTCGCCAATTTGTTCAGCGAGCTGGAAAAGGAAACGATCGAGAAAACACGGCGCGAGCTCGTGGTAGCCTATGGAGCTGGACCTGCGGTACCAGGCGCGCGCCGCACCCCTGGCCCTTCGACGACAGCAAGCAGCAAGTGCAGGCATCGATTGTAACCGATTCTCATCCTTGGATTCAGAAGGATCGAACCGCATCACGAGCACGGTCACACGCTGGAACAGGTAGAGAAAATGAACATGAAACGGATCCAGATGCACGAAACGGTAAACACTAAGATGGCTGAATATCGATTGGTGAGGCAATCGAGATTTCCTGGCTTCGTATGGTGTGATTCCACCAGCAGCGGAGCGCGCGAGCTCGCCATGCACAACCTCGTGAACGCCTCGATCCACGTCCGGAAATGTCGTGTGTTTCCGGAGCGCCCAGCAGCATTGCATCGAGCGAACTTTCAAGGAAATCACTGAGTATTCAGTGTGGACGTAATGCTGAACCGCTGAAGAGTCTCGATGAAAAACCAGCGGCCGTCAGAGGTGCATTGGATGCGCATCTAGAGCAATGCAATGGACTGGTACGCGTTCGTAATGCAGAAAGGAATGGATTCCCGATATATACAACGAGAAAGGTTCTCTCGGACAATTGGTGATCGCTCACGGTAGTCCATTACTCGAAATTCCTCTGTGGCTGCTTTCATTGTCTGCAGAGAGGGATCGCATCGCACGTAAGATCAAGAAATTATAGACGAAGCATCCGGGGCCTACTGCCAGCGAATCTTCATATTCAAATGAAAGTCCATGGAATGGTGGCAGCGGCACTGGCGGTGTTAGATTTATGGAGACTGGAGGACATAAGGCGCAACCATGAAGGCTCCCTCGGATGTCGATACCAGTCGCGCCGTTCGGGATATCTCGCTCGTGTCCACAAAATCCAACACAGCCTAAAAACCCAGAGCGGGATGCGGCTACGAATATCTCACGATAAACGGATGCTGGACGATGAGCCCTGAAGCACCCGACGTGTCTAGATGAGCAGCTAGTTTCTGGAATAGCCCGCTGCCAATCAACGGCGCTATCCACATACCTGTGGCCCTGCGAGATGGAGCACCTGGAACGCAGCTCGTTCCTGGAAGTGCCTTGCAACCTTAAAAGTGTACATCCTTGGGCCCTTATCGCAGACAAGAGGTAGTTCTTTCGTGGCGACTCGCCTCAAGCGAATGCATATGCCGTAGGTTACTTTATAATCGGGGGTGTTTCTAGAACGGGTATCTCTTGCTGGGTCGTATGCTTTTTCTGAGCGGAAGCGCACGAGCGAACGTTTCAGGTCGCTGAGGCCTTGGACGCCTCCCGCTGCGACGATAAACGACGCGCGTGACTTGGCCACAGTCGTTCTGCGCACCCGCACCCAGCTGTTCGCACAAAGCAGCACTGGTGCGGTCTCAACGACGACGAGACTCGGAGCGTTTTCCCGCTGTTACATGCGAAAGCGCTTCAGCATTACTATCGAGCTTGCTTAGTATCGAGGCAGCAACAGCGTCAATGCGTGCGAGAATTTCAGTTTTCAAGGCTTGCAGGTCTGCCGGTGTTACCGCCGCAACCGACACGGGCGCAGACTTTGGCACCGGGCGTGAGCTCCGACCAGCACCAGCACCAGCACCAGAACCGGGCGCACCACTCACTTCCTCGCCAGCGACCAGTCCGGTATGCACCTGTCTTCGTCGACCGGCTGCACCGCTTGGAGCAGCCCCCGTTGGATGAGAGGTTGCGCTCTGGGTGGTCTGGGCTTCGCCACTGGCCTGGAGTGGTCCGGCACCAGCAATCGTACCCGCTGCTGTCTGATGTTTCCCGTCGGTGCCCGTTCGCCCATGCGCAGGCCCGTTCGGTTTCGGAACACCGACACGAGCTGGTCGCCAGCGTGTGCCGCCACGCTCGAGGTTGAGCATCTCACTGGACTGCGTCTCTGGGAAAAACACCTCATAGAGTCCAGTGCCCTCATCCATACGCAGAATCGTGCACCCCATCCAGGCACGCAGTGGCGCGTAGAAGACCTCGATATCCGTATTCGGGTGTAGGTGTGGTCGAAGAAGACGTTCGCGCTGCTGAATATGAACTTCAAGTTCTTTTAGCCTCGCGTCCGCAGCGGCAGCTTGCTCCTCGTAGGCAGCAACTTCGGCGCGATATTCCAGCGCCCTCTCCTCGGCTGCCTCTAGAAGAAGCTCGGCGTGCTGACACACCCAGTTCTCCGCTGGATCCTGGTTGTACGCTAGTGTGTTGTCACGCATGAGACGCACGTCGGCGAGGAAGGCATCCAAACTCGCGTACATGTTTTTGCGAGCCCGTTCCCGGAAGTGGTTCAGAAAAACAGGCTGTTTGATCCTCCGCCGATAGTCATTGGTGGGCGGAATCCGCGTAAAGTCCACCCCGGTATTCGCCGGACGCGACAAGAGCGTCGCATTCGGCGGCCTCTGCTCCACCGGAAGTGACCGCGGCACGCGTCGAATGACCAAGCGCACTGGGTCATTGAGCTTCGCCGTGGCCTCTTGGTCGATGTACGCCAGCTCCTCGTTCCGAAGGGCTTCCTCGATGGCCAGTATCACCCGATTAATACGCTCGCGAGCTTCATCTCGTCGTTTCCGTTGTGCAGCTACCTCTTCGGCCTCAAGCGCCGTTATTTTCGTGAGCAAGTCGAGGTACTCTTCGTCGAGCCGTTTCCGTTTTTCAACAAAGTCCTCCAGCTTGGTCGTTGGCGTCACCTCGGCAAGTACCATCTTGCCCCAGTGGAAGATACACTCTGCCGTCTAGCGCTCTAGGCCCGACAGACCCCGACGCCAAGCCCTGTAACGCACAGTACGGCGCACGGGATGGTGTGCGCTGCGCCCCCGACGCAATTCTCAAAATCGCTGTGCGGAATTCGGAGCGCAGTGCCCCCGATGCACAGCCCTGAATCCCTGGGGGAATTCTCAAAATCGCTGTGCGGAATTCGGAGCGCTGTGCCCCCGATGCACAGCCCTGAATCACTGGGGGGGAATTCTCAAAATCGCTGTGCGGAATTCGGAGCGCTGCGAACCCGATGCACCGCCCTGAATCACTGGGGGGAATTCTCAAAATCGCTGTGCGGAATTCGGAGCGCTGCGAACCCGATGCACAGCCCTGAATCCCTGGGGGGAATTCTCAAAATCGCTGTGCGGAATTCGGAGCGCTGCGAACCCGATGCACAGCCCTGAATCCCTGGGGGAATTCTCAAAATCGCTGTGCGGAATTCGGAGCGCTGTGCCCCCGATGCACAGCCCTGAATCCCTGGGGGGAATTCTCAAAATCGCTGTGCGGAATTCGGAGCGCTGCGAACCCGATGCACAGCCCTGAATCCCTGGGGGGAATTCTCAAAATCGCTGTGCGGAATTCGGAGCGCTGTGAATGGTATCCCTCGTAGAGATGCTATGGATGCTATTCTTAAGAGTGATGGTATGAATGTTGACGATGATTCTGCTTCCCGTGTCGCTCGCAAACGTTCGTGCGATTGCAGCAGCGCGTTCCATGTGCACAGCTACGTATCCGGTTGGAGATTGTGCGAGACATTGCAGGAGTCTCACGTGCGTGCATGTCGTCAGGCTTGATGACGAATCGTTTACCATGGAACATTGCTGCATCTTACGGACGTTCAATGCAATGCTGTCCAATTCCCGCTGAGTGTAGTCGACTGCTTTTTCGCAGCGTTGAGCAGGAGATCGAAACCGCTGTAGGATGTACCCGATAGATCGTAGCCGAATCGCTTGTCGGCTATATTTTCCCTACTGGAGCGTACAAGCAGGATTGCATTCATCATTCAGGAAGGCCATACCGCAGTACTCAGATGATTGAGGAACAATGAAACAAAGAAGTATCTGCGCTCTACGTCAGAAACTGATTTTGTCAAAGACTGTTTGCTGTCCATGGGACAAGTAACAACGGTTGATCATCTTACGGGACGCAAAAGCGACGATCGAAGCAACCACGCATGTCACGGTTTCGCAGAAGCTGGCGCGTGCGGACCCGAAAACCCTGGGATACAATCGCCAAAAAAGTTCTAGTTCACGCGCGGCCATCTTCCAACGAAATCTCAACGACAGCATTCCTGGAACTTTGCGACCGGTGTGAAGCACAGGAGCATCGGTTAGTTCTTCCAGTTGATGACGCTTGATTTGGCCGAAACAGTCAGAGCGTATGTGGGTAATCGCGGGGCGCGGAGCCCGTTATATGAAAGATCGGACTCGAAAAGACGGACATCATCATGTGTTCTAGCTGCAGAGGATCTTTTTGGCGGCCTCAGTTTCGCAATTGGAGAGGACTCGTACACCACCGACCACTTCGTCGATTCAACGAAGACGTTTCCCTGGAATCTGGCGACGTCCTTCTATTGGACAACGTTTCATTTGACCATTCCCATTGGGTTCGAGCTTTTGCCGATCCTATCGGGGTAGAGGAGCTTTTCATTCCTCCGTAATCTCCGTGGCTCAACCAGATTGAAAGAGTTTTTTCTAGTCCGAAACATAATGATCGCTCCACTGAGCGTTTTGCCGAAGCGTTCAGCTCACGATGTCAAACCAGGGCGCATGTCGTCATTGTTGCACAGGTGCTTCTACCTCCTGCAATGACTTCATCTATGGGCATAAAGGAGCCAGTTCATTCAAAAAAAATTCAGGGATGAGCTTCGGTATACACTAGAGAAGGTCGAGATGGAGAGAGGGCAGCGGAGCGCTTCGGCGACAGGAACGCATTCAGAGCCGACGGAGTAGCAAATGGTAAAAAAGGCACGAGTCCGAGGAATCCTTGCATCGGTGACTTCAACCAGCGGCAAACAACGCATGGAATTCGTGTACCGAGACGTCAACGCTGCTATCTGTACCAGAAGATGCGTGGTTCTGAACACGAGCTCAGAAGAGATGACGCGATCGCACTTCGCGGTGCAGCTTGCAAGGCTCGAAGCGTACAATCGAAAACTGAAGCCGGTAGCATTCCGCCGGTCCGCAGAGGCGAGAAGACGACTGTGAGTGAGTACCTATATTGACCCTCCATGGACTTCAAACATTTTTCGTTGTACTCTACATAGCAGAAGCCGCTGGATGCTCGAATGCTGTAGGCCGCGGGGCACGAGGCTGTAGATCCACTGTCAAAATGTTCTCGTTGCCCGAATGCCAGATCCGACTTCCAGCCCAGCACCACGGTTAGATTCAAGGAGATTTCAGACAATTGATCGTTGCACGACTACCAGACCAGACATTCTATCGGGTATCACGGTCAGATTCAGGGATTTTCCAGATACAGAGCCTACCGTGGGTATCTACTGTGGCATTGGAAGCTCCGCTTTGAATGCCATACGGAGACAGCACGGCTTCACAGGAAGCGCGTCGGGTACTCGAATGTTCATCGCCAAGGCACGCAGTACTCGGGTACGCTACACGCCAGTTTCGCATCAGGCTGTGAGGGCGGCTTCAGAGCGCCCGACGTGCTTATCATATAGACCTCAATACAGCGTCCAGTTGACGCTCAGGGTGCAGTAACTAGGGTATGTGTGTGTTATGCTTCCCGCTCTGCCAGACACGACGTGTCCAGCCCGAACGTCCCAGTTGACCGTGGCGTTCGTGCTGTTGAGAACAAGGCATGGATGCACTTGGGCCACGCCTGGGCCACCTCGAAGCAGTCCCTTTACCAGTGCGCCCGGGGCACGCAGTTGGTCCCAGCTGCACGTCACCGCCAGCGCCAGAGGCTTTGGAAACTTTTACTGGTTCGTAACGCAATGCTGCATATCAACAGTTCTCCCGTATGTTCTGGCGACTTTGGGTGCAAGATGCAAAGCCACAAGCCCACAATGACGGATGCACGAGCTGCGAATATGCATCGATACATCTGAACATCCTCGAGTGCGTTCACCATGGCCGCATGACCCTCATCGCGAATGCTGAAACGGCATGGCAGCGTTTGCCACAGAGTTCAGCAGCAGTCTGGGACGATAGCTTTTGCGCTGGCACTTATGCCATCACGACGCCAAGGTGTGCAAGGCCCCGAAAATGCCGGCGGTTCTCCGCGCCACTAGGAATCCGTTTCTCGACCGCATGACGAGAAAGAGAATCCGAAAACGAGCAAAAGAGGCGGCTGTACCTGCGCCCTCTGGTCACTGTCGTTTATGGTTAGAGGCATGCAATTTCGATCGCGTTCGGGGTGTTTCGGCACCGGTCCGGCCCTGAGCAAAACCGATGCCAGCTGTCTGCAGCAACTGCCCATCATGGTATTCAGGTCTGCATAACGAAAAACATATCGTTCGCATAGAAACCTGCGTAGCATACCAGGCTCTAACGCAACTCCCGATACGGTATGGATCTGCATAGCTGCTATTCGACCTGGACGGCACTTGCGCAATATTCCCCACGGTAACGAACCGAAGCGCGCAAGACCGCAGCGATCAATGTGAAGAGGCCATGCACCGGGCTATCGCGTTTCCAGGCATTTTCCACGTTCACACGTTGCAGCACAACCTGATTCGTCTCGAAATCGAATGATCGTGTCCGGTGCTCCAAGCAATCAGCATGCTGTAGTGCACAGTTCGTACAAAGCGGATCAGCGGTGCACCTCGCTGATCCCGAATGCGTCGCTCTGCTTCACGCGCTCCAGCACTGCGGTGAGCGCCTCCTCTGTGGCGAGTGGGCCGCTAAATGTGCTCAGTTTCCATTCGGGGTGTTCTTGAATTACGGCCCGCACGTGCTCATGGGAAACACTCGGCAGGTAGGCGCTCCCGCACCATTCAGCGAGTTCGATGTCGTTGTCGTCGTCGATCATGGCAACGGCCTGGTCCCTAGTACAACCAGTTCGCGCTAAAATGTATTCGGCTACATTGCGCTTCCCAGAGCATCCGGGAAACACATCCAGCTTTCCCAAATTGGACGCTGTCTGCAAGCCCAGCGGGGTGACTCGAGCCCGGATATCCGCGGTTGCGGCCTGCATGTGCTGCTCGGTGACGACTCCGTTGACCGCGCTCGTCGCTGCTGTCGACGACGCAGGGCGTTCCCACTGCACGTTCCTAGACCGCAGCGACGACGCGATGTCGACGCGGAATGCAGTGTAATATTCGCGGGTGTCGAGCATCCATCCAGCAGTCGCCAGCTCGGACGCCGCTTGCCACAGTGGTGCAACGGGGTCAGGGTGCTCGTCACTGCTCCCATCGACCGCCGTGGACGGGTACGGGCTATCCTGCTCCCGCGGTACCACGCACTCGTCAGCTGCACACCAGGGGTGCGGACCAGTCCACGGCTCGAGCCGTCGCGCCCATGTGACGTCCTCAACGTACGCTGTGTCCGCTCGCCACATCAGACGTCCGCCGTTCTCCCACGCGATAGCGTCGACCACCGGCAAGAGCGGCAGTCGGCGGTAGAGGGTGCTGGAGCGCGCTCCAGTCAACAGCGCCACGAAGACGCCGTGCACCCGAAGCGTGTCCACGAGTTCGACAACGCGTTCGCTAAGGTATCCGCAACCTTTGGTCAAAGTCGGGAGCACCCTACAGGGAACGATTGTCTTCGGTAGGGTGTCGTAGACGAGGTTGACTCGACCGGAGACTCCGTCGTCCGGCTCGATTCGAATTCCATCACTGAGCTGGTCCTCATAGTGTATGAGTGTCCCGTCCAGGTCACTGAAAAGCGCAAGCGCGTACTTGCGAGCGTTCTGCTTCCGTGGTACCTCCATGTACCCCGCAGCGCAGACGACGGTGAGCGGTGTGTGTCCCGGTGATCGAGTCCCAGCGTGGCGTTCCAGCCACTCCAGCCTCAAACCAGAGATAAAGCGTTCAACACACCGGTTAACTCGGTCGATAACAGTGTTTCAGGGCAGGGTTACGTAATCCCGTTACCCTGGCACCGACGCCGCGGCGCTCATGGACGCAGGTGCTTGGATGCCGAGCACGCGGCGAATGTAGTTGCGATTTCGCTTCCGACAACAAAAACGCTTACATGGACCATGGATCCAAACTTGTGGGATGTATAGGTATTTGCTTTCTCGAGAGCATCCATCATGCTGCTGTGCTTTACCTCCAGGTTCCACTACTGATAGTTCCTCTCGGATGTACTGGTCGTTTCGTGCGTTCTATCGTGCGCCGGGCGCCTGCCTTGCTGCACCCGCAACCGCAGCGACACCGTTGGTACGAATGCATCAACGAGGTCGAACGGCATTCTCATATCACTGAGGGCGTCTGATCGACGCGTTTTTCTGTACGACACGAAATCGGATTTCATCATCATTCTGGGGGCCTGCAAGCTGCGCAGACAGGTACATTGCCTGCGACAGCGCAAAGCGGTCTACTAGGAGTCCAGTATGACCACCACGACACCTGGATGCAGCCTGAATAACCTCAGTCCCAGAATAAACTGCGTTTCGGACGAGTTGCTGCTCTGAACTCACCACGGCACTCGCTACTGCTGAGGCAGATAATGCGCGAGTCGAGCAGACTCGTCCGACGTACTGGACCTGCCTCCTAGGAGGTGAATTTTCGATAATATGGAAACCTTTTCACACTTTTCAACGTTTACCGCAGAGGAGTAAAGAAGCTGTTGTCTCGTTGCTAGTTCGTGCCTAGATTCTAGGCTTTTTTTCTGTTTATAGAGTGCGCCGCGTGCACGCACTGCAATCTCGCACGCAATCCGCACAGCGACGTGCGCGGCAGCGGGCGCTTGTGAGAACGCACTCATAGCCTTGGCGCTCGCCCGCTCTACGCTTATACTGCTCGTGTGGAGTCGTGCTCCGCACTCGCTCAGTGCAGGTAGGAAGTGGTCGTGTGTGTACACTCACAACGCACTTGTGACCTGTGCGAGCGCTGTACATAACGCGCTTGGTGTTTGTCAAGCGCACAGGAGTTGGCGGAGACCGGCATCGAGTTCAACACTGCGCTACGCGCTTCTGCGCTGGCTACGACAGAACGCGGGTGCGGCACCAGGAAACACACGTGCGTTCTAGAGAGGTACCCGTTTCCTGTACACTGTAAAAGCGTACGTGACGGCGCTTTGGTCCTGGGCGGGTGGTGTTGCAAAGTGCTTTCACGCGTCGTTTAAACCGTCTGCCAAGAGTAACAGACGCAAAGACGATGCCAGACGCTGGAGACGCATCTGTTGCCGCTGCGAGGTGGCTCGAAACGCTCGGATATAGTCCCGAGCGCCCTGCCGAAGCGCTTGCGTTGGCGGTGCACGCGCTGCTCCTACGCCACGGCTTGCGGACGCGTGAGACTGCCCTCGAGGTGGACCTGAACCGGGACCCGTTGCCTCAGGCACCGGCAGCGCTGCCGAGCGACTGGCTGCCGACCACCGAGCACGCCGGCTACGGAACCCAGTATCGACATTTCCGCAGCGCTCTGCTTTTCCAGATTCGCTCCGTACCGTGCGGTGTGGATCGACTAATGGTGACTGGTTTCGCCACCGAGGAACCGGACCGAGTTGCGACGCTGTCGCTTCGAATCAGCGACTACATTCGGACACATGTCTGGGAACAGAGTCGCGCTGCTGGCTCGCCACCCGATTGGACCATGCTTGTCCAGGGCTGGCAGCGTCTCGCAACCCTCGTCCAAGTTGACCTGGTGCACACGTTGATTCCGGATAGTGCCAAAGATGGATACGAAGCTCGTGTACAGGCACAGTCGGCGACCGCCGGGAATCCGTCGACAGCGGCCTCGACGGGCGACCACGGTGCCGGCACCCGAAGCGAGCCCCGCAGTGGAGGCGGCCCCAGCGCGGTGCCGTTCGGGTACCGCCAGCCGCGGCCCCCGCAGCCACAGTTGCCGTCATCAGGGGTGCTTCCAGTCGTTGGCGACGATGATCGCCTGCCCGCACTGGGACCTGTTGGCGACTGGCGCGGCCCGTCTGTACCGGGACTGGGGCCCCCGTTCCGCACCGATGATGAACGTCTTGGAGGCGGAATGCTCATGGGCCCGCGCCATCCGGTTTTCCGCTCGGGCTTTGAAGACGACGACGACGACGACGCACTGCATCGCTTCAACGACCCTGACCGCGATCCCGGTTTCCCGCCTGACCTGCGGCGCCGTGGTGAGCGCCCTCGCCGAATGACGGAACGGGAACGTCTTGCGCTGTTGCCGCCAGGCTCGCGGGTGCCGCCGCCCCCGGGCGCGCGTATCGATCCGTTCGGGCCGCCGCTCCCGTCGCCACCCGACGGGTACGGTCAGGGAGCTTCTCGTCATCGTCGGTACGGCGATCTGGACCCGCCACCACCGGATACCATGTATATGTAAAGCTATCGAGTTCTTGAAATGTATCCACTGTTCTTTCGCGTATGTATCCCAAGGGGATTTTCTACCCGATACCATATACAGGTAAATCTATCGAGTTCTTGACATGTATCCACTGTTTACACCAGTGCGTATTCGATAAAATTCCCCTTGCATGCTGCCCATTTTTGCATCGCAGGGCGTTCCGCAGCGTGCTCTAACAAATCCACGTCCGAACAAGCTGCAGCACACAACTGCAACGCTAGAGCAGCGCGCCCCTCCAACGCACAAGCATGTCGCCAATATACATACCGATGCAGAGGCAGAAGCAGAAGCACCAGCAACAACAGCACCAACGACGGCCGATACCTCAGCCGGCATGCCTCCTCAACCTGCACGCTGACGTTTCACCTTGAACACGCGCTCCCGCGACGGACGCACCAGCTCGCGCAGCACACCGATCGCATGGCGCTCGCTGTCCACCGGCTTTCGTTTCGCCCCAGGACGCCGGTCACCGACCAGGGGCACGTAGGCGTACGGCTCCAGTAGGACGCGCCTCCCGTCGTCACGTCGGACGGCACGGGGTCGATCGCCGCGTGCACCGCGCGCCCGAAAGCGCACCCACGACCCCGATGATGCCGGGCGCCGCGAGCGCGCCAACGAACGCCGCCCTGCTGCTGGCGCAGTCGCAATCGTGGCGCGCATCGCACCAGCGTCATCGGGGTCATCGTCGCTAGCGGCGGCGGCGGCGGCGGCGGCGGCGTTGCTGCTGCTCCTGCTACTGCTGCTGCTGACACCGGCGTGCGGCACGCGCGCAGAGGCGACTGGCGCGCGGGCGGCAGGCATCGCGCCTCGATCGCCATCGCCGATTCCCGGGTCGATCGGCTGCACGTGCAGGCGGCCGCCATCATCCCAGAACATGGACAGTTCGGAAGCATCGCTCGAGGCATCAGCGGCCGTGACGCTGCCGCTGCGTGCCATCGATCGCTTGGACAGCGCATGCGCCGGGCGCTCTGCGGCAGCGCCGCGTCTCCGTGTAGCGGCATCGGGGTGCTGCTCCAGTGCCCGCGCAGCGTGTCGCCTACACGGGTGCGCTGCGTCCATTCGCGGCAGCGGCTGCTGCGTGCCGCGGATGCGCCTTACCCGATCCAATCTGGTTGACGCTGACGCATGCCATTGATCGCGCACGGTATCGCGTCTATCCACCAGGGTTGCTGCTCCATTCGGCTGCGAGGGCATCATGGAAACGAGCAGGGCAGCGGTGTTGTCGTTGTCGGTGTCGTCGTCGTTGTTGCTGATGCCGCCAATCATGGACTGCTGACGCGACGCGTTCTGTCGTTGCCAATGGCGCAGGCGTTTCCTGGCGGACTGCAGCACTGCTTTCAGTGCTGCGCTTCGACAGAGCGATTCGAGCAGGGAATCAGGGCAGCGCCTTGCCATGCGCATCACCAGACCTCGTATCTCGCTGGCGGTACGCGTATGGATCGTGCCCCGAGCCAGGAGGCGGTCAAGCGCCTGCACCACGCTTCGCAGTAACGGTTCAATGCTGGCTTGTTCCAGTGCGCCATTCGGAGCGGATCCATGCGCGCTAGACCGTGCTTTGACTAGTTGAAACCAGAAAGGGATAAAATGCTTCCATGCGCGCAGCAGCGCTTTGGTTACGATCGGTGTCTGTTCGCGGTGCAGGAGTGCGCGCAGCGGCTCCCAGAATGCTCGCTCGAGATCGCGGACCAGTGCCGACTGTTGCACCTGTGGTTGGCGTTTTTGGTCACGGAGCGCGTGGTAAACGCGTTTCGTTGTCAACGAGCATGCGTCGAGGCAGGCGGCAATTGCCGACGTTCGATCCGCCAGCAGACCGGCTAAGAACAGCGCAACGAGGCGCTGGGACGGTCGCGGATGCTCTTGCTGCACTCGCCTGTCCACTAGAAGGAGCAACGTCGTCCGTGCAGACGCCCGAGCGCGGCTGGATGCTGCGCGTAGACCGAACACGACCTCATACAGCAGCGTCGTTTCGGCTTCGGCTACTGGACTGGGAGCTTCCATTACGTCCGACGCAGATGCGGCGTTCATGCTTCGCTGAAAGTACCGATGAATACAAGCGAGACGAACCGCTTCGGCTGCGCTGTGCGACTGACGATATGCGGCAGCAAGCGCCATCACGACCTGTTCCAGGGACACTGTCAGATTCATGGCCTGCAGCAGTGCTCGGTACGCTCGTTTCTGGACCTGCATAGGGGCAGGTGCGCCAAGAGCGCCCCTCACGGCATCGAAGAGCAGCGGAGCAGTCTCGGAGTCGACCAGTGCGGTTGTGATTTCAAGCAACAGCGCAATCGCTTCGGCGTTCGGCCCGGCTGCAGGCTGAGAACTGAGCTGCGCCAGACGCTCCAAAGCCTGGTGAAAGTACAGACGACGTGTCGCATCGTCCGCTAAACGCAAGCTCGTCGATCGTATTGCTGCCAAATATGGGGCGCGTCGATCTACTGACGCCGCACAGGCGCGCTCGAACTGCGCGCGCAGGAGCGCCTCGACAGTCGGCCGAAACGCAGGCGCCTGAACTGCTGTGTGTGGTGCAGCATCGTTCGTTGACTGCACCAGCGCCGGCACGTTCTCGCCCAGCGCAACCATGTACTGGCAAGCAAGCAAAGCCCATGGCGATGCTGTCTCGTCCGCCGCGGCCTGCTGCATCCCAGCAGTTCCATCATCTGCAGTGACCAACCATTCACGCAGACGCTCCAAAATCGTGCCCCACAATGCATCGTGCCCGGGCTCCCAAAGCTCTCGCGCCCCACGACAGACTGCCGGCCCGATCAACCATAAATCATACCGCAGAGCGTCGACCTGCGCAGCGTCATCCGCTGATTCCGCACCAAAGCGCTCCGCGCGCAGTTGGCTATCCCAGCGTTCCGCCCATTCTACGTACGCTCCGAGATGTGACGACTCCAATGAGTGGCGCAAAATCGGTAACAGCCAGGGAAAGAAGGAACGGCAATCTCCGTGATGCGCCAGAAAGGCTGCAGTACCGAGTGCGCGCACCGCCATCACAAGGAGCGATCGCAGCGCACGCGCGCTTTGCGGCCGTGCGTGCCCCGCGCAGACGCACGCATCGTAGCGTGTCAGCAGATGCGCCACCACCAGATGCATGCATGGTAACCAGGGACACGTGTCCGCCTGGATGCATGCATCGGCACGCAGCGGCGTCGATTCGTGTGCCCTGTATAGTGTCCGTTTCGAGAGGCGCCCCGCTGCATCGAATCGGCGATTCCCAGTCAGCGCCGAGGTCATCGTGCCACAGCGCCGTACCTGCTGGTGTTCATCGAGTCTCTGCTCGGCGCCGGGACGCATCCTCTGAGACCCTGCTGCATGGACGCGTGCATGTGTCGCCACAAGCGCTCGCAGCGGCTGCTTCAAGAACGGCCATAATGGCTCCAGAGCTGGTTCGAGAAACTCCTGGATGAGTTCTGCATTTCGATCTGGCTCTGTGAACTGCATCAATCTGGCCAAAAGCGACATGAACACCGAGATCTTGTCTTGGTGACCCAGGTGGCGGCAGAGCGTTCGCGCCAGCCAAGCGAGTGCACGGCTGAGAAGCGCATCCGCTGCTGGGACCGGCTTCGTAGCCGATGCGTTGCCTTCAATGGGCGATGCTCGCAGATGCACCGGCATCGGCCGTCCATCGACCCAGACGTGCTCCGAGCGCTCCATGATCGACACGAGACATGTCGTCCACAGGATGAGCCGCCGGCCGGCAAGTTGGGTCCGACTCTGGAGATACTCCAGAATCTTAGTGCCGAGTGTGACGAGCTTTTCGCGGGTGGCCGGCGGCTCCGTGCGCGCATACGGATGCCAGACGCTCATCTTTAGCAGCGTCAACAACGATTCATGCCGACTCTCCGGAAGATCCCGATTCAGCAGAGTCTCTGCGAGTAGTTCAAGCGTCGCCAACGGGACAATGGCATCCGCAGTCCGCATCCAGAGAACGACAAGGCGCCAGACAGGCGATGATGGAAGCTGTCGCCGGTCAGAGGGCGCCGCTTCCACGCCAGAAGCTCGCTGGAAAGATTCGCGCTCGAGCAGTTCGGCCAGGGCGTCTTCCAGGATATGATAAACTTCCTCTGCAACACGCTCGTGCAGCGCCGGCTTCAACGACTGCGTATCAATGGCAACGCTCTGCAGCAGCCAGCGCCGACAAGCGCGCCGCACCGCCGCGAGACGCCATGTCGCACGGTCCGCCGGCAGATACCGCACCAGCTTCGCACAGACAGCCTGAACATAGGCTCGATCTTGGTCGGCTGTTGGTCCGGAGCCAGCGGCTTGTTCGCTTACGTCTGCGTGTTCCAGGACAGCGGGCTTTGCGTCAAGCACAAACTCCAGGGCTTCAAGTGCGATAGGTGCCACCTGAGCGAGAAACGCCTCGGTCCAGTCATCGGTACGGTTGAGGCACCACGACACGCGTCCTGCGGCCTCACTAGCGACCCGCCATAGTGCCGCCCGCTCTCCCGGCTTTGCGTGTTGCAGTTGTGCTCGACAATTGAGGATGAGCGTGATCTCGTGCATCAAGTCAGCTGGCGCAGCTCTCTGTTCCTGCGACGTACATCCAGGCAGTTCAGCACACTTGTCAGTTGGGAACGCAACCGGCACGTGCTCCACGCTATGGACTGCAGGGCTATGCCCGTCATGCTGATTGGCCGCGAGTTCCAGTTCGGCAACCGTGCCCGCGAGCAAAGACACCCGCAGATCACGTAGGTTCTCCATCCGTTCGACTCTGGTCGCGGTGTACCAGAGTGCACTAGGTGCACGCTCGATGTCAGCAGCACCCCAGGCAGGCCAACGGTCAAGCAAGCCCTGACTCGTGCAACGACTAGACCGCAGCAGCCGCAGCTACGGCCGCCGCCGGTGTCGCCTGCCGATGCCGTGCCCTGCACTGCACTTCGCCGTTGTAGTCGTGCTGCTAACGCGCAACTCCCGCTTCTGCGCAAGAGCGAAACTGGTGCTCGTTACGAGCAACGAAACATGTTACCTGCCTTCACGTTCAGTGTCACTGCTCCTGATTCGAGGAGCTTCTCACTACACCATCGATGGAGCGCTCGTGGTGCCGTGAGGTTCGTAACACCTCACCGACGGTGTCGGCTGTGGCGAGGGCGGCGGCTCGCAGCCGGTGACCTCCAGATGACCCTTGCGGAAGAGGCGAAGTCGCCATCGAACGCGCCCCGGTCGCATCAGAAGCTCGTATCAGAGCTATTTCCGGAACGTTTTCGCCCTTTTTTAAAAGCTCTTGACGACGGATCACTGCCTCTGGAGGATATACCCGCCTTCAACGCTCGTCGAACGAAGATCGTCTGCACTATTGGGCCCGTAACTGCGAGCTATGAACAGTTGCTCAAAATGGCAGCGCTCGGAATGAACGTCGTGCGCTTGAATATGTCGCACGGTGACTATATGTTCCACGATCAGGTCATTGGGCACGTTCGACGAATCAACACCGAATCGCCGTTCGTGCTCGCGACGATGCTGGATATTGGCTCATTCGATCAGGTTCGCCTGGGTGAATTTCCCGGCAACGATCTCGTGCTTCGTTCGGGTGATATGTTGACGATTACCGCTCGGCATGAAGCATCGTATCCGGAGAACGTTACGGAGGTGAGCGACGATGCGTTTATAGAGGTAGTCCAGCCCGGCGATGTTATTGAGATTCTTGCGAGTCCGGACGGGAACATGGTGCTACTCCGGGTTCAGTCGCTGTCGAACGACGGCAAAGATGCACACTGTGTTGTCATGGAGGCAGGACGTGTCCGCAGTCGTTCACCGGTGGCGATTCGTGGAAAGAGTTTCAAGACGCGACCGCCTCAAAGCGGCGCCTTTGAGCACGACCTTGAATTTGCGATACGAGAACGCGTCGAAATGATTGCGCTTTCATTTGTGGAGCACCCAGAACAGATTCTAGAGGTAAGATCGCTGCTTCGGCAGAACGGTGCGAACAATACTGCGATTGTCGCGAAGATCGAAAGTGCTGCTGCGCTGCAGAACTTGCCAGCGATTATACAAGCGACAGATGCTGTAATGATCGCTCGCGGTGACCTCGGCACTGATATTCGTTACGATATGGTGCCGTTCTGGCAACAGCGAATAGGCCAAATTTGTCGCGCTTATGCAAAGCCGTGTATCGTGTCAACGCATTTCCTCGAAAGCATGGTTCTTTATCCAACCCCCACGCGGGCTGAGGTCACGGATATTGCCGAAGCAGTGAAGCAGCAGGCCGACGCCCTCATGCTGACTGCGGAAACCGCCAGCGGCAAGTATCCGCTGCGGGCGCTGAGCCTTATGAGCCGCGTTGCGCTGCGCATAGAGCAGCGCTTGGCAGCCGGCATGCGACGCCTCAACGCGGTACCCGCCTTCGAATCGAACAACAACTGGTCACCGGAGGTGCTGCGGAACACAGAGCGAGTCTGTGCTACAGCGTGCACAATCGCAGAGCAACTGCGAGCAGCTGCGATTTTATGCTTCACACAGCGAGGCTTCATGGCTACGTTGCTTTCGCGATGTCGCCCGCATTGCCCCCTCTATGCTTTTACCAGCAGCGTCATGGCAAGAAACAAGATGAGCATTCTCTACGGTGTGCGAGCATTTCGGATATTGTTTGATGGAGACCCTGAGGTCACCGTTCAGCGCGCTATGGATGAGTTGCGAGACCGTCGGGCGCTGCAACCCGGTGATCGCGTCGTCGTGGTAGCCGACGTGCTCGGTGGGCGCAATCGAGCCACAGAGGAGGAGATGCTTTTCGTCTTTGGCAATCTCGATGTGGAGAATCGTGGCTATATTAGCCGTGCGCTTGTCCGGCGAGGTTTACGGGAACTCGGTCTCAAAGCTGGCGACGATGTAGAGCTGGAAACCTGGCTCGATGATTATGAGCAGGATCAAGCGCTCATTGAGGAATGTGCTGTTGCACCGGATTTTGAGGAATGTATGGAGCGCGTTGCAGGTTCAACTGAGCGTGATGGCACCGAACCTGCGTCGCTGGAAACCGCTCGCACCGGAACGACAGGTCGTCGGCGGGTGCTCGATCAGGTGGATTATGCTGCTTTCCGTCAACTTGCCCAGGATAGCGCTGAAATTGTTCAAACGATTCAGTTTCGCATCATGGAGTAGTTCGCGATCCGTACGGAAACGAGTGCATCATTTCTAAGAACGTGATGAAAGGCTGCAGGATGCCCCGCGTGAGCATAGTTGCGAGTCTTCGCACGTCCGTTCGTAGCAGAGGCGAATCATAAACGAGAATGCACGGTACCAGATGAACTCGATGAAGGACAGGGTGCACGGGTACGGAGTATCTGCAGCTTTCGCTGGTACAGAGACGCACGCGCTTTAAGTGGCATCGGATGCGCCAGGTCGTTGACCCTAAGCTTGCCTCGTTGGCGTTGCGCAACAAGGCAGTGGCCGCCGCTGCTACGCACTGCGTTACGTTCCTTGCTGTACGCCATGCTTATAGTCTTTCGTTTCAGTCTTTTCCCCTTTTCTGGATGTAATCGAGTGCTTTTTTTTGTAGTGCATAGCAGGAGATCGCCATCAAGATGCAATGTACTCTATAGATCGTAGATGGATTGCCTGAAGGATACATGCTTTACTGAATCGTGCAAGGAGGACTGCATACCTCCTTAAAATGAGTCGTATCATAGTACTCAGATGGTTGAGGAACTCTGAAAGAAACAAGTATATGCTCTCGCGACAGAAACCCGATATTCCTGCCGGCTGATTGCGGTAAACGGTAGTGAAGCGGTTCCTTGAACATCTTACAAGCAGCAAAAAGCGACCATTGAGGTCACGATAAGCGTCTCTGGTCTTGTCCAGCTCGTTCGAGTGGTCCTCAAATCACTGGAATACAGTTGCAAAAAAGTCCAGTATCACGTACGGTCATCTTCCAGTGAAGTCGCAACGACCGCGTTCCTGAAATGCAGCGATCCATACGAAGCACAGGGACGTCGCCTTGTTTTTTTCGGTTGACGATCGTTGCTTCGGGCACACTGGTCGGAACGTATATGGGTACTTGCGTCTGCGGAGCTCGTTCCATGTGCAATCGAACCCGTAGAGCGCGATATCATCATCTGTTCGAGCTGCAGTGGATTCATTTGACGGCTTCAGTTTCGCTCACAAAGAAGGTTCATACAACAGCACCAACCACGTTGTCGAATCATTGAAGACTTTTCCCTTGAAGTCTGGCATCGACCTTCTATTCGACAACGTCGCATTTCAGCATGCAGCTTGCTTCAGATCTTTTGCAGATTATGTTGGGGTAGAGCTGCTGTTCATCCGTCCGTACTCCCGGTGGTTCAGTTCCGTCGAAAGAGGGTTTTCGATCGCGAGACACAATGATCGATTCACTCGGCGAATTAATGATAACCGATGGGCATACAGAGTTCCGTCGATTCGGTGAAATAAGAAATCCCAGGGAAAGGTATGGGCGTGCAAGTCGGGGATCCCGGCGGGCGGTCATCGCCGGCTGCCCAAGAAAAAAAACGAAAATATCCCGTTCTCACCGACCATCGAGCGAAGAAGAGCAACTGTCGAAGAAGACGACGCAAAAAAAGGGAGACAGATGAGAGAACGTGTTTCCCCGACGGGTCGAGGACGAGACTGTAGTAGCACAGGAGGCATGAATTCGGGAAATCCTTGGAACAGTGCGTCCACTCAGCAGTAATGCACGCAAAGAGCTCATGAACTCAGACCGCAAAGCGCTTTCAACATCAGACAATGTTTGGTGCTGAAGACAAGACCGGAGGAGCTGATGCGAGCCAACTTCGTGCGGTAGCTTCTCAATGTCGAAATGTACAAGGAGAAACAAAAACCGACGAGAGGTTGCCGGTCGAAAACGGCTAGGAGGCGTCTGCGTCTGGGCTTCCATGCACTCTATATTATTGTGAAACGTTGTTTGTTTCATTGACATGCATGTAGTGGCTGCGTTCATGCGCACGTCCACCATTTCGTTCCGTAGCCTCAGAATCCGACAGCAATACGCACCACCACCACCACCACCACCACCACCACCACCATCAACATCACTACCTATCCATCTCTCTGGAGATCACGGGTCATTCGTGCGTTCCACTGGATGCGAAGCTGTGACGCCAATTGTCTCCAAACTTGGTTCGTGCATCTCTATGGTATACGCGAACGGTTGATGAGTCGGCCTTGAAGTAGTGCATACGGCCTCGAATCTCGTTTGGATTCAGTCCAATAGATTTGCACGAGCATCCGATCGAGCGACACGGGATCCACGAAGGCGCGTTTCCCGTCCGGAGCAATGCACGTGGGCATCAGCTCGAACGCTTCGGACGTCGGCATGCGGTGCTGCCTCGTCTGCAGGGTCCGCTCCAGGTTCTGAAAATGCTGGATACGGCGAACGTCTTGCATCCATTGTCCCGAGATCGCAGACGCATACCAGTCGGTAAAGATTCTTCCTGGTGCAGCGCATGATGTTGTCCCCTGAAATTCCAGCGGACGCAGAAAACAAACTGGTAACCGGGGAACAGGCATCGCGTTTGTTTTCCACAGCGTCTGCCACGTTCTACCCGTATCAGAGAGGCGCCCTCGTACATGCGGCTCCATCGAAGCTGACCGATAACATCGCAGCAGGCGAGTCGCACGCTGCACATTCGTACTGATCACCCGTTGAATACAGGGTATACACTGCAGCGCATGCACCCTACAAGACACTGGGGCGCTTCAACGTCGACTCAACTGCCGTGGCGTTCCGACTCGCACATCAGGTCTATGTGTGCGGACGCGGTTACCCATTTCCAAACCTGGACGCTCGGTGGGCATTGGGTCCCGGCCAGCGAGAGCGACAGCATCGGCAAACGGGTATGCCCCTGTGTCATCATCCGGTTCTCTGGGCACCCCGCCCCCTGATTAGGATTCTCGGAAATAGAGTGCATCTGAATACGTGTTGGCACGCGTTTGGTCGATGAAGACGGCTCCGGCTTCACGACGCAAACCTGATGTGTTCCGCAAAGACGAAACCTCGCACACACGAAGGATTGCATGGCGTCGAAGCAGGTCCAAGTACCGTACCGGTCGACGCCAGAGAAAAAAGCGATGCCATGGCCGAGACTCGTCTCTTTCAGAGCCAAACTTTATGCACGCGTAACGCGCTCACGACACTCTAGACGACACGGGGTTTGCTGCGGTGACGCCCGTGCACAGCGCGAATGATGCGTTCAGACGTGAAAGAGTTGCTCCGGCGTTTCCGATTCTTGGATCCTCCCGCATGTTTACCAGAAAAAATGCTACCATCCCCCGGGGCTCTACCGAAAGTCGTCCACCCCAAGTTTCTCGCGACTAGGATTGAACACGCTCTGTGGACGCCTGACGAAAGCACGATCCGGGGCAGCGTTCAGCACAGAGTACGTTGCTTTGTTGGCGAGACTGCTGCCATGGTCTTGTCTAGTCAGTGTGCAGCGCATCAGGCCATGAAGTGCTTGAAGCGACTTGCTGAAGCGGATCGCCTCCAGCTGCTTTGCTATAACCGATGAGCGAGGTGGAAGCGCGAGACGCCCATACCCCTTGGACAACGGGACCGCTCGGTGCGGTTACCACGTTACCGTCTGCGGTACGCAGCGCCAGAAAATCGTCGTCGTTCAACGCTTGCCGCGTGGATGCAACTTGCGCGTGCCCCGGGTCGTCGTCAGCTGGGAACGCTTTGCGCACGCTCGCATCACTCGCTTCAGCATTCGTGTCAGGAGGCGTCGTCTGGCTCCCGCTAGGGACCAGTTTCGGAACGGGAGCGTGCTCTCGGTGTAGCGTCTCCCCCTTAACCACGGAATGCGGTTCAGTGTCTGCTGAATACACTGGTGGCGACTTGAGAACACCGCCTAGCTCCGTACTCGTCTCCGTGCTGGCGGGATGCGACGATGTCGCAGAGGCGTCATCCTCGGCGATATCCAGATCATTCTCCAACGCTTGAATGCGTGCGAGTCTTCGCGAACGCTCATTTTCTAGAAATACCTGGCTTTTCTCCTGCCATGCCTTTTTGGCAGCAACCGCTTGTGCGGCACATGCTGCAACCTCGGCCATCGCTGCCGGTACCTGAACACCACACTTGTGAAATGCGAAAATAACCTCAGCAGCAAAGTTCAGCGCATTCGTCTGGCGGCGAGCAGGCCCCGTGCGCTGCGCCACTGCATGCTTGGAGGCGTCACGTTGGCTAGGCATCCCGCGAGTCTTGTTTGGTTTTCTTGCATAGAGCTCATCCACGCCATCTCGATCTGCGGCTACTTTTCCCACAGGTCTAAAGCCGGCCAGTGAGGCCACGTTGCCGCGCAGCTGATCTGCTGCGTCGTGCGCTTTGCGCACTTCCGTATCGACTGCGGCAGCTTCGCTGGATGCATTCGCAGACGAGATCGCATGCGCAACCGTCGTTGGACTTGGACTCGGGAGAAGCGCGCGAATCTCCGCCTGAATCGCATCATCCTCCGGCAGCATGCTTTGAAGCGCTCGAAGCACTAGATCACAGGAGTGCTTCTGTTCGATGTACGGGTCAACTGGCTCCTCGCGGAGACGAGCCAGTTCCCGCTGCTTCCACTGCTCACGTCGACGGGCTGCTTCCGCCTCACGCCGCTCTTGTCGAGCTTGCCGTTCCTGCTCCCACCAGAGCCGCTCATTCTCTTTCCATTGGCGGTCTGATTCGCGAAACGAATCCCACGCCGACTGTATCTCCTGACGCAACGCAGCCATTCTTGCATGCAGCGACTCTCGATTGACGGGCCCAGCAGCAGCCTCTACCTCTTCGACTTGTCGATCGATGCGTTTCCGTAGCTCGTCCAGTTGGTCGCGCTGGCGATCCAGGTCGGTGCGGGCCTTGTTCAGCGCATCGTCGAGTTCGCGACGCTGAGCTTCAAGTTCTTCCCGCGCAAGACGAAGTTTTTCTACTTGTTCGCGTCGGCTTTCGTGTTCGATTTCCGCTCGGCGAGCTTCTTCGCGTGCGTGGATCCGCAAGTAGGTGAGCTCTGAAATGAGCCGTTTCTCATCAGAAAGGCTCAGTGTCGAGTGCGCTTGCGCTCCTTCAAGCTCTGCGATGCGTGCGTCGACTTCTGCTACGGAGCGGTACTTTCGCGTTACAGCCGGCGCACTCGTTTTCGGCCCTGATGCAGAAGTGCTCTCGCGCAAACGCTCCTGCACAGCACGCTTTCTGTCCAGGAGCTCGCGCCAGCGCTGCTGCGCTTCCTGGAAAGCGGCCTTTGCCGATTGCAGTTCAGCCTGATAGCGTTCTCGTATCGCCCGCACTTGCTGTCGCGACTTTGCCGACTTGGAGAGCTCTTGTCGAATGCGATCCACCTCAGAAAGTTTCTCCGCCTCCAGCTTCTTGATCTCGTCAATACTCGGGCGCGGGTAACGTTTTACTCGGGTGTGCGAAGTACCTTCTTGCAGAAGTTCACCTCGAGAGCCAGCAGCTGGCGTCGCATCAGGCACCGACGTCAGCGCTGCCGTCTTCGCGTTCTCAGCACCGATTATCGGAGCCGATGGCCACTCGGACGGCTCCATCATACTGCCTGCTTCCTGCCGACTAAACAAGATCCCCGTCCAGAAGCAAGCAATGAGTAAACCTGCCACACGCTTCGCGACCTGTCACGAGCACCGTCTCACTGCACGGTGCGGCTAGGCAAGCGCAACGATAACCGTTTGACTGGGCCCCAGCGCCGCAAAGCTGCGGCGTACGCGTCCACAGGTGCCCCCGCAGGCGTTGCCCCGACGCACTCAGTACCGCCGGGTATCCGCTGCGCTCTGGCGATGTTTTGATGCAGCGCGTGCCGTGACACCAGCGGATCTATTGATCGATCCATCGATCCATTTTCTCATCGGCAAAACGTTTCCCTAGGCCAGCGTTCTCCGATTATGCGCATTTTTTTTCTTTCTTTTTTTGTGTTATTTTTTCAGTGCGCGGTATCGATCCATCGATCCAAAGATCCTCCGGCAAAACGTTTCCCTAGGCCAGCGTTCTCCGATTATGCGCATTTTTCTTTTCTTTCTTTTTTTGTGTTATTTTTTCAGTGCGCGGTGAAGTATCCGTCGATGCATGCAGCTTCGTTTGAGGCGCCTGGCAAACCGCGCGATTACTGAAGAAACGTCGCTGTTCGATGATAGCCATGCAAGCAGCGTATGACGTGATGAAACATCGCCTGTCCATTGTAGCTACCAAAAATCGTGTGTTGCGGTGAAACGTTGCTATTGGATAGCGGTAGCTTCTGTGCTGATTTCGGAGCAACGTACACGCACGTGGACGAACGTTTCATGCAGACGACGATCCACTGGCGAGAAGTGAGGAGATCTGGCATCCGCCGTGCACCCGTCGAAGCTCTCAAAGGTACTGCTGCATCGGTGCATCTTGCAGAGCGTCCATGCTTTCGACGGCATAGGCATGCTCATGAGATCTGGGGGGCTTTTTAGAAAAGGATTCCAATTCAGCTGAGCCTTCAACAGAGTGCGTACCGTTCTCCGGCCAGAAGCGTCCTTACGGAAACGCGAGTCCAGCTGACTGGTGTGGCGTAAACGTCAACTCGTGGGTGGACACAGCCTCATGCAATGTGCAGCGTGGTGCCCTTGAGCACAGAGGCTCAATCTGTCTAGCCTTCGCATGCAGTGCACGACAGCAGGTCAGCGCGACGCCCTGGCACGTGTCAGATCGAGGCGCGACTGACCCAGCGCGAGCCTGGAAAGAAAAGAAAAACTCCTGGAAAACATGTTGTTGCAATATCTGCCAGGGCCTCGAACAGCATGCGCTCCGCGCGAACATCACGGAAGTTTGATGGATTCGCTGCATTTGGTACGGATGAACACCTTGCGAATCGCTGTTTTAAGGCACAGGATCCACGCATCTAACTAGACTCCCTCGAATGCGCAGCTTCTGCTCATAAAAAGGCAAGCGACGCATGTGTCTCTATAAATAATTTTAATGTTACACTCAATCCAGACCACAGCTCTTCCTGGAGACTCAGATTTGATCGGTGCGGCAACGCTGGAACTGCGGTAACTGGGGAAGCGCTTTTCCAAAGAAGCTGGACTAGCGTGCTGCGACGTCGAACGACGACGTTGGGAGGTCCCGTTCGCTGGTCGCTCTAGCAACGCCGCCAGCTTTTCCTTTGGGCATCAATGAGGCGGCACGAGCTCCGCGCGGCATCCCCTGTTGTCATCATGCAACCCGCGCTGAACCGTGTTCACGAAAGGAAGCGATAATCTGCAACCCGCTGCTCAAAACATGAGGTTATGTCGCACCCAGGTCTTCTTGTCTTTTAGCGCACCGTGTTACAAACCGATCCAGGCCATATACCGAATGCGCTGCACCAGGAAATCGTCGTTCGAATCAGAAGAAGAAAAATGCAACCAATGTGCCGAGAATCGCAAGAATCCGCTTGCATCTTGCCAGCGCAACCAGCCGTTCGATCACGAACCCCTGATCACAACACATGCATGGATCCATGGAGCATTCACTGCCTTGGGATGGCGACTGCTTGACATCCCGGTTGCATATGTGTTTGTGGGGAGGATGTAGGCTGCGAACGCAACGGCGTCTCAGCGCCCGCGAAGCGAACAAAACGGACTCGGAACTGTGGGATACGCTTCACTGCCCGTGTGCCCGTCGAGCGATTCCGGCAAAGAAGAATCATATCCGCTTAATCGGCATCGAGGCAGCTTACGTTCACGTACTTGATCGTGCTTGGCTCTGATCTCATCCCGGGCAAGCGTCACACAGGCGTGAGGTGATCGTATACACGGGAAACGGGGCGGTATGCTCCTGTCGTGCGAAACGTCGCAGATTTTAGGGTGGTGCTGTTTTCACAGTTCGCGGCACGGTCTGCGGAGTGTGCGACAGGGCACCCGCTTGGTAACGCTTCGATATCAGCAGCGAGTGCCTGCAAAGCCTCGATATCTACGAAACGCGCATACGTTTGGTGAACACGCTCGATCAAGAATGGACGTGCTGGAGCCAGCGCGCTTGCTGGAGGCGTATCGACGGAGCATTCCAGACTGGGAGACGCTACGGCACAAGGGTGCTGCTGGACGCGTAGCGGTTGTCGGTGGTTGTCTCGAGTACACCGGCGCGCCGTACCTTGCCGCTATGAGTGCCACACGAGCTGGCGCAGATCTCGCTTACATATTCTGTGCAGTCGAGGCGGCATTCCCGCTGAAAACCTACGCCCCAGACTTGATCGTTATTCCCGCTTACAGTTCACGGCCTTTGGCGAGTCTGCAGCCGAGTGATTCTGTTCATAGCTCCGAGCCGGCTGCGGTAGACCTTTTCGTTTCATGGCTACCGCGCATGCATGCGGTGTGCTTTGGACCCGGCCTCGGGCGAGACCCCGGTGTGCTTGCTACTGTGCAGGAGCTCTTGGTGCGCGCCCTCAAGCATCCAGTGCCCGTGGTTATTGACGCGGATGCTCTGTTCCTGTTGAGCCAATTCGGTCCACGACACACCGGAACGGCACTAGCGACCACCCTGGAGGAACGAAGAAACGCAACTGCTGACCGAGGGTCTTCCTCCAATCGCATTGCTCCCATCGTGGTGACCCCGAACGCAGTGGAAACTCGACGACTGCTGGAGTCTTTTCAGATCCGCTCGCCGCAAGAATGGGTCCGTCATGTACTGGCTCCTGGCGATGTCATGTTAGAGAAAGGTGAAACAGACCGAATCCATGCGGTATGCGACGAGGCTCACGAACCTGAACCATCCTGTGTGACCGTGGACTGCGCGGAATGCGGCTCACCGCGACGCTGTGGCGGCCAAGGTGATATACTCAGTGGCATCTTGGCAACATCTCTGGCATGGATGGGCTTTCAGGGCGAATCCGCAAGCGCCCTAGTAGCAGCGGTGGGGGCATCCACGCTAACCCGGCGCGCATCACGAGCAGCCTTCGGGGCCAAATATCGGGCCATGACAGCAACAGACGTTCTCGAGCAAGTCGGGCCTGTATTCCATGCCTTTGAAACAGAGTCATCCAGCTAGATGGGTTGTCCACGTGACATGCGCTGTTTGCTTCTATTCGGGAGAAGCATCTGGGTGCTGGTCGGCGCACAAGAACGTCTGTCCGAAACAGACCCATGTGCTTGATTGAACGTGCTCATCGATGCGAGTTGCGCCTCGATACTTTTCGCAGGGAAGACGGTTTCTTCGTGGAAACGAACTTTAACCACAGGAAGCTACTGGATGGAAGCCTCGTCAGTACGAATCGTACCGAAAGGCGTGCCTTTGATTCTGTCCATGCACATGAGAGCGAAACCATGCAGGGATGCCCAGCATCATGTCTCATCTATGGGGAGCAATACCGCTTCGTACGTGATTCGATGGGTACGCGCGTTGTCGCCTGTGCTGCGGCGCGTGAACCTCTCCGGAGCTGGAAGCCTTGCCAGGAAATCTAGAGCTCCAGCTCATGCGCGCGGCATGCTCCACAATCCATAGAGATCAAGATAGCCATCGCTGATCATGGCAAGCACGCTCATCCCAACGAAAACGCGATGCACCCAAAAATGCAGAGCGCTTCCGTTCCTGTTCACAGAAGGAAGCGATGGTAACGGTGTAGGAACGCATTCGTCAGTTCGAAATGCGTTTTCTGGTGTACCGAGGCTGTGCGCCTGGATACGAGCGGTTTTGCGAGGCAACGCAGCACATCGCAGATGCATCTACCTGATAGAGAGGCGTCTCCGGTCACAAGCGCGAGTGCCAGAGCCATTCTCGAGGCACAAGTCCTCCCTCCGTTCGGTTTGGCGGAACGAATATGCGGAAACCTGGAAATCATCGCAGAGTCACAGCCGGGATGCGCCCTTGACTCCAAGTCGGCGAAGGCGGCTTTCGTGTACTGCGCCTCGGTCAACGGAAAGCGAAACTTGCATGGAGCGAGTGACTTTATTGGCGCCTCTGCCGATTGTATGCTGTTCTCGTGGATGTCTGCGCATGTCCAGCACGAGCGCATAGCTACGATCGGACGCGCTGCTAACGCAAGTCGGGCCATGCGCCTGCCATGAAAAATGGCATGTGCCCGACCCGTCTCTCTACACCCGTGTCAGATTAAAATGGTAGCGTGGATTACTTGCTTTTTTCCAGCTACTGGATATTTTCTCGGAACGGGTTTTTAGATGTACAGCCTCGAGATTCGAAATGCGGCAGTAAAGGTTTACGGATTCATAGCTAGTTTGAGGATTCTCGCTCCTCTTGTGAGAACGGCTTCTTTAACTCTCTGCCGCTTGATTTCGTTCCGTCACATGAATCGAGGTGATTCGTGATGCCATCGAAAAAGCGTTGATAAAAACATCGACATCGGTATCCTATTCTTGCGTGCCCGTCTACGAGCACTCCTTGCATGTGGCATGTTCAACTTGTTGATTTTTGGAGTTCTCGATGCTTTTGTCTCAGGGCAACTCATGGGCGCAATATTTCGCGTCACTGGATTATCGAGACAAATACGCAACGTCGTCTCTAGGCGCTGACCTCACAAGTGCATGATGAAACTTCACTGGACTCTTGATACGGCATAATCGATTCCGTTAGAGCGACCGATGCTCCGCTCTTTGTAGTCATTGACAAGGCGCCATTCGACAGCAGTATGATACTTGTCTGATCCGACAAAGAGGCTGGTGCTGCCGTGTTAGCCTTCTCAACGAGCGCAACTGAGGCCGCCAAATCAATACATCCCAGCTGGAATAGATTACGATCTCATCGTTCTCTGTCGGTTCGATCATACAAACGACGGGTCCCTTTTCTACGAATGCGCATAGACAGTCCGGCAATTTCATCGGGTAAAAGTCTCATCGACCGAAAAAAACAGTTCGACGTCCCACTGCTGTATTCGGATGGCGACGTTCCAAGAAAGCTGCAGCTGCGATTTCGATGGGAAGGGGCCGTGTTTGAAATAGAACCCTTTTTTGCAACTGTATCCGAGTCTTTTCTGGACCATACGAACTAGCTGTTGAGAAACAGAGACGCCCTTGCCGGCCACTATCGTCGCTTTTGCTTTCCCATAGGTGATGAACAGGTCTTTTTCTACCACTGACAACAAGTGCTCTTAGACAGTCCCAGTTTTTGGTGCGGAGCGCATATGCTTGTTTCTTTTATTGTTCTATACTTATCTGAGTACAGTGGTATGACGGAACTGAATGAGGAATGCGGTCCTCCTTGCAATGTTCAGTGAGGAAGATATCCTACATTCAATTCGTCTACCATCGATAGGGTAAATTGTTTCTTGATTTGGATGCCCTGCTATGCACTGCAGAAAAACATTCGATTACACCCAGGGAAGGGTAACATAATTGAGTTGAAAGCGTATAAGACGCCCGGCCCCCTGACCGTTTGCATGGAAAAATGATTGTGGACTTGGGCTTCAGTCAACGCAGTGACTACTTCCAATAAAGTATGTGTCTGGGGTTCGTACGATGAGGGAGTACACGGATCGAAATTTTTCGACATGTTCTCTATCCCAGGTTTTCCTTCAGGTAACTGCTTAACATGGACAACATCCCGTTCCACAAATCCTATAGCGCATAGAACAGCTTGCTTTTGCATGCGCAGCGTATAAACTAAGCGCTAAGGGGATCTCCCCGAAGAAGTCCGTGATCAAAAGGCACCACAACAGGCGCTTAGACTGAAGAGCAGATCCGGGCCAGTCTTCAGTACTCTTTTAGGACGTACACTGAGCCAGGGAGCGAGCCTTCATGGACCATAGGGTGACACTCGATGGATGAAGTGCTATGAGCACCCCGGAGCGCACCTGACCTCAGCCAAATATCACTGACACAGAAGGCGCACCAACGGCATCTACAAACAAGATGAAAATGGCAAAAAATATTAATCACAACGAACCTCTGTGGAGCAAATTCGATGACAACGGCTGAAAGCCGTAAAAGACTAACTCGCCCGCTGCCATGAACTTCCTTCGATTGCTGACAAAGGTACCGGGGAAACACGGGAGAGCATCCCCGATAGAAGCTCGCGTCATCGGTTTACCCTGCGATGGCCGACACGATCCGAGATGTCCGAAAAAGCGCAGCATCCCTGCGCAGGATCATTTATGTCTTTATATGTCTAGTTTCTAATCGATCGCGCACGCACGCACGCACGCACGCACGCACGAGCAGGTGCGCGTGCCGTTTTCCCGCGCTGCACCGCTGCACGCAGGGCGACACGCTTGTCGACGTGTTGTTGTTGTGGTGGTGCTGTCATGGACGTTTTGGAGTGTCCTCCGAAAGAGACGTTCTCTGATCTCCCTGAGTGGCTGCAGCGAGATATCGGTAAAGGCATTCAGCAGCTTCAGGATGTGATACGTTCCAGAACGAGAGAAGAAGCCGGTGTCGTCGACGCTGATCCACATGCACCAGTCGAGGAACAGCCCACGTTCACGGACGTTGCGAGCTTTTTCTCACAAGTTTTAGAGCGTTTCGAGACAAGCGAAACGTTTACAGGACTAGATGAGTCACCGGCGTACGCTGAACTCTTACTTCTATACGGAAGGGCACTGCTCGGGGCGGCCTGGAACGCGCTGGAGCAGGAGGCTGCGGCGAAGGTGCTTGGCCCACCGGTTCCACGCTATATCGCTACGGACGCAGGCTCAGGCGCCGATGCGGTTACAAGCGATGACGAGCCCGAAAGGAATGAGGAAACGACATTTGATGAGGTACCTGACGGGGTTCAGGAGCAACCGGAAGACTTCACGCAAACGGGCCAGAATAATGCTCGAATACGGAGCGGAACCGAGCCCGCAAACCACAAGGCTGCTGCTGCGGAACCAGAAGTTTGCGCTGCAGTTGCACACGAGGCAGGCGAGTCAACCGGCGCAATGCCGCTATCGTCCGCACAGACTGGCAAGGACAAGTTGGACGAGTTTGCCACGGACACCCGAGAGGGACACGGGTTGCTTGGGACGCCTGAACATAGCCGCTCGCCCTGCGAACGCACCGTCTCGAAAAGTCTCGAAAAGGAATCACTCGGGAGAAACGGTAACGGTGCTGCAGAAATTCTTTCCAAGCAGGATGCCGATGCGGCAAATTCCGATCATCCAGATTCAAGTGACGTGAGCGACGGCGACGACGAGATTGAAGAAGGCCAAGTCGATGACAACAACGAAGATGACGAGGACGACGCACAACGAGCCTGGGAGGTTCTCGAATGCTCCCGTATGATATTCCTCAAGGCTGGCGAGCGTTATCTGCCACGCGTCTCTCTTTGCTATGAATTGCTCGGTGATTTTTCTCTGTATGTGAACGACGCTTTCGAGCAAGCGGCCGAGGATTACGCGCAAGCCATTGCCACAGCAGAACGCGCTGGTGATGCCCGCAGCAGACGGGTTGCGTCGCTGGCCCACCGGAAGTATGTTGCTTTGCGAAGCGCCGGCCGCTGGACGGATGCGCTCGACGCCTTGCTCGTCGCGAAAGCAATTCTCACTGACCAGTTCGAGCAAGTGCCGCAGGAGGAACGCGAGGATGTAGCTGCGCTCGTGCAAGAGTTGGAATCAGAATGCCGGATGATACGTGATGCTGTGCGCGGACTCGCAAAACAGGAAGAATCCGCTCGTGAGCATTACCCGGCCTCTTCTGACAATCGAAACCGGCAGTGCCTATCGGCGAAGACGGAGAACATTACTGGGCCACCACCGGCCGATGCTGTGCCGGTTATGCCACGACGCGGTGTGAAACGTGTCGCCGCGGACCTGAAAGCCGACCCTGGGCATCACGACGAGAAAACCGGTCCAAGTTCAGCAAAACTGGCAACAGGGAGCGCTTCCACAGATCCGACGTCTCCGCAGTGAGTTGCCGACTTGGTCACAGGGCGCGGTTTACCGATGTAGCTGCAGCAACCATAACAATAGTAATAATCGTCTGTACGAAGCGTCTACACAAATCTGACGATCCATTGCAGTAGCGCGAGGCAGTCGGCGTCACCGTACGGCACTGTGGCGATTGTCGTTCTGGCAACGCAGACGCTCCAACGCATGCACGACTATGAGCATTGCAGTTGGCGAATAAAGCACCACAGGCCACGCATTCTTCAACTTATGCTGAATGCTATTCGCCTGATGGCCTTTCATCAACCGTTCTCCGTGATCGCACTCATGAAGTATGACGAGAATTCGAACAGCGCCCGTCAGAGAATGACTGCACGTTTCTCGACCAGAACAGTCTGGATTAAGGAGGATGCTCGGTACCGGCTCCGATCGATGATATCTAAACTTGTTCAACATGGAAAACTTACAAGTCCAGCCCGGTGCGCTGATGCCGCCCCGACGACCTTTCGTCTGCGGATAGCCGCCCAGGACTGGGGCGTTTTTATGTCCGCCTGGTGCTGTTGCGCGGTAGCCGTGCGCGTGATGCGAATCCTGCTTCTGCTGCTTCTGCTGCTTCTGCTGCTGCTGGCATGTAAGTACTCTCGCCTGATGCTCACGAAAAACATCGTCAACGTCGAATGCTCACTCAGCGTACAGCGTCACTGACTCGCGGCGGTGGCAACAGCGAGATCGGAGTCGTCCGCAGATACTCCCAATCGCTCTCGTCGAAAAGGTCGCCAGGCTGCAGGGCATTTCCTGTAGCTGTCTTGGTCTGCAGTAGTGCCCTGCACCGCTGCCGTGCCTCCTCTAGGCCGCAAACACGTTCAAGCAGCTCTGCCCGCGTCACATTTTCCGCAATCGCCTCCAAACAATCAATGACTACGGAGGCGTAGTTCGGTGACTCTTTGTCGAGACGCGGGCGCAAAAAGCGCCATTCGCCAGCCAAACGATCATAAGTGCATTCGATCACCGCCTCATGCCAACGAGCGTAGTCTGCGAACCACTCGCGCTTTAAACGACTCGGAAAATATACCTCTCGATAGCGCACGACTCCGTTGTCGCCGCGATAGCCGAGAAACGCGCGGACGTCGTTGGCCGGATCATTCCCAGCCTGTAGCCAAAGAATGAAGTCGACCGTGTTATGCGTTGGGTATTTGTACTTGAGAAGTGCTGCACAGGTGCGCAGGGTATACGGCAAGCCAACTGGGGTAAAGATGATGCCGTCGTTGCCACTCTGAAAGACGCCATCGCTCCGCAAGTGCCGATACGTGTACGTCGGAGCGCCGCCTTGAGGGTCATCGGCTTTCCCGGAACGACCCTGGTAAATGCGCGAAAAGAGCAGCGGAAGCTCAGCCTTCTCATAGACGTCTTTGCGTCGCACTCGCAAACAGCCCGCAGTAGCGGGGTGCAGGGCACGCGGCCCCGTCACGTACCGCTCGATAGCATCCAGGCGGACGCGGTAGGACTGGTAGGCGATGCCGGTGTCGCCCTGGATAGCGATCACGTCGTAGGCGAGGTACTCGAAGCGCTCGATGCACTCGTTGTAGACCAACTCACCATCAAGAAGTGTGTCTTGGTGCAGAGAGCCGTCAGGCATCATAAGCACCGGATATGGCGTCACAGCAAATAGGTCGAGACGTCGATCCACCAGCAGAACGCCCAGCTCTGTAGCAAAGAGTAGATAGCGAACGCCGTCCGATTTCTCCAGGAGCAGGTAGTCGCAGTCACGTACCATTGAGAAATGGCGTCTTGACAGCGTCACCGGCATACTGCCAGCGAAGGAGCGCGGCGGCTCGGACGCTCGTGCTACCCTTTGAAAAAGGCTCTGAAGCCGGACGAGTAGTTGACCTTTTTCGGCTGGTGGCAGACGCACGTAGCCGGCCTCCGCCATTTTCGCTTCACGGTTGGTTGCCTCTGTTACACCGGCAGCAGCGGTTGCAGTAACGCTCGAGCGACACCCAGCAGAAGCACAGCAGGCTACTGGGCCTGCAGTGCGCGAGGCTGGACCCGTAGCCGGGAGCAGCTGGCAGCGGTACCGGCAACAGACGAACGAAGTGCAACACGACCCGCTGGCGCCGAATCCCGCTGCGTCATGGACGATCAGGACCACCTCGTATTGTCCGCGGTGGATCAACAGATTCGGAAATACTTTGGCGTGGATATTCTGGGCCCTGGATCCGTAGAACCTGCTGGAAAAATCTAGCATACAGTCTCTGGAGGTGTATGCCACTGGTGACCGTTGCTCCCGAGCGACCTGCGTGTATGCACGGACGCTTTGCTCGCGAATATTTACGGGTGCGTCAGCATCTGTCCATCGACCTGTATGCACTGATGCTTCGCGCTCGAATGTTTTCAGGTGCATCGTCGTCACTGCATTGGCCTGGGGCGCACCCGCTCGCGACCATGAACGCGATAAACAGGTAGATGTCGCCATGCTGCTTCATTCATGGAGCGCTCTACGAGTCCTCGTGCTCTGGGCAGTACACCATTAGCTTGTTCTCGATACTATGTTTGCATATGAGATTAGCTGAGCTGACATCTTACAAATGGCCAATTCGCTGCGAACCGGTGCCCACTGCGCTGAGCTACGAGTACGATTCCTGCAGCAAAACGCCCCTTGAGAGGGAATGCGCAGGTTGGATTCTCTGCCAGGTATCCGTACGCATGCAACAACATGATATTCGGTGTTGCGCTTACGTGGCGAGCGCGGTGCCACCAGGCTCGTCGGATGGCTTCAGGAATGTCCCTCGCAGCTGCCTCGCAGAGGTCGTTATCGATGGAAGTGCATGTTGCAAGTGTACAGGCACGTGCTCGAGCGTCGCATTTCTGAACGACGCGGAATCCAGGCAAGTCTCGGGTATATTTGGCCAATACAGAGGGAACAGCTGGGCAGAGAAAATGGGTGTTTCGCTGAGCCTTGCATGATTGCAGTTCGCGACAACATCGTCTCGTCCAGAGAACGCACAGAGCAGCAGCACTCGCTTCACGGAATTCGCATATGCGTCTCAAGTGCGCGTTGTCCAAATAGAACTCGATATAGGACTTGACAAATTTGCGGGTCTGTACTGGGAAATGAAGCGTTGTGGATCTGCTTGTAGTGCGTCGCGCAGCAAGGGTGCGTATCGCGCTCGCGAGCATGTCTTGCGCATGCGCGCGTGCTCGCAGCGGCAATCAAGCCCAGCTTCCGTATGAGTTACATCGCATGGCGCGACAGTCAGGGAGCAGCAAAGCCTGATCATGGATTTATTTTTGCAGTACGCTCCAAACCAAAGCCGCCGTCTATCCCCGTGGCATTTTCGGAACAATGCCGAAATGGCTCTCAAGGAACGCATCCCACAGGACAATCGATCCCCGAATCCCGGCTGGCTGGGGCTCGCGGCAAGCCATCCATGCAGCGCTGAATCGCGCTGAAGCCCAAGGCCTCTCTGCCGATCCAGTTCGTACATGCACCATGCGTGTTACAACTTTAGCGGGAAATATGTAGTTGCGTGCGCGAAACCGCTTCCGCCGATCTAGTTCGTACATGCACCATGCGTGTTACAATTTTAGCGGGAAATATGTAGTTGCGTGCGCGAAACCGCTTCCGCCGATCTAGTTCGTACATGCACCATGCGTGTTACAATTTTGGCGGGAAATATGTTGTTGCGTGCGCGAAACCGCCTCCGCCGATCTAGTTCGTACATGCGCCATGCGTGTTACAATTTTAGCGGGAAATATGTTGTTGCGTGCGCGAAAGCGCTTCCGCCGATGTACGCGCGTCGGTGCTGTGGCGACGATTGCGGCCCCGAAGCCAAGCGGCGCTCGCCGAACAACAACAACAAGCGCACCGCACCGCATTCGAGACGCGATCCCTCTAGCTTGCTAGCGCAGACCACGACGCTGGAAGAGGCGGCACGCTCGCAGCGAGCGACGGGCTCTCGGGCTGGCCTCTCACTACAGGCAGTATGGGGCACAGCAGCAGAGTGCACTGGTACATTACGTACGGCGATCGAGTGCTGAATCCTTTGGATGACACCGGCTTCCCCGCCGATATCACCTTGAAACGCTTTGTTGAGCGACTTTACGCATGGACCGGCGTGCCACCGGCTCAGATGCGCGTAGTGCTACGTAGCAAAAACGGCCAAGAGCTGGTTCTGGACTCCGAAACTATCTCGTGTGCCGAAGCAGAGACGCTCACGTTGGCGTCTGTCGACTCGCGTCTCCCGGAGCCTGTGCACAGCGCAGAAGTGATCGCCACTGGGCTCGTAAACCCGACAGCGAGTACTGCTGCCTGCTGCAAAGACACTCATGATGGCTCAGACGACGAAGTTAGCTACGAAATTAGTGAAAGCACATACGCTACTCGTCTGGACACATACAGGGCCAAGAAGCAACAGCTGTGGGCGGCAGGTCGCAGCCAACTGGCCGTATCCCTGCGTCCCGGCTTGCGATGTAGTCTGCGAAACTCCAATCGCAAAGGCCACATTGCCTATGTGGGACCTGTTCCCGCACTGACGATCGCTGGTGATGACACTTGGATCGGCGTCATTCTCGATGAACCGAACGGAAAGAACGATGGCACTGCACCAGACGGCACGCGCTACTTTGAATGCACTGCGAATCACGGGCTCTTTGTGCGTCCAGAACGAGTCCAAGTGTGCACAGACGACGCTGAGCATCCAATCGACAGTGCGGCAACGACGAAAACGGATACAGACGGGATTCCTCTGGAAATCTAACCGACGCCTTCGATGCAGAGAGTGTTGTTTGGAAAGCGGTCGGATACGTTTTCGGATAAAGTGGCTGGATATGATGGCGGCACTTTACAGACGCTTCGCCCGCGCGGCATCGATACGAGGTCCGGTACGACGGGTACGAAATGTTTTGACGGGAAAAATGGGGGCGCGCGCTGTCCCCGCTTCGCCGCATCCCTACCGGTACACACCACAGCGTTATACCTGTAGAAAGCTTCTCATAAATTGCTGTATTTCCTAGTAATGTATCCGTAGCAATTCGAGACACGACGCGACGCAAACGGATCGGATCGTTTCCGTACCGACAGGGTGTGTGCGCTGGGCGAAGCGCTCATGCGCGTCCATACGCTTTAATATCGAGGAGTCAAACTGTACGATCGTTCACCAATCGCTGAGGGAAACCGTTCCCATTATATATATCTCTATATTGATCTCGAGCCTTGTTGGATTGCTGAAGCGTAGGAAACTAGTGCGTGGCTCGGGGCGAGCATCCAATGCACTCGCTCTCTGCAGCTGATTTCTATTTCATCGAAGTTCTTCCACGGTTTGGCTCAATGCTTCCGATAAGTCCCATGCGATACCATCGAGAGTTCGCTGGACACACCCGCGGATCGTTTCAGAAGTATGGCAAATTTCCCGGCGTTGATCAGGACGCTCAAGATCTGGTGCAGCATGCGTTTCCAGGCTCTTTTCCTGGTGGTATCACTTCAGAGCAAGCCTTTCACCTGCGAATGTCTCGCCATTTAGCGTTCGGTCATCATATTGTAGTCCATTTCGTGCATCCATCTCTCTTGCACTCTCTGATTCTCTACCTGTTTTAGCATGCGCTCGTGCTCGTAATGCATCTAGATCGTTCTGAAATTATCGATGCAAATCGTACGGAATCGATGCTTGCATCAGGTGTAGGCACTGGCCGACAGAGCAAAATGCAGGATTTGTATGCTACTGCATGTCCAGCGGCACGAGGTTAAACAAAATGACAGAACTTGCAGGCCGTTTTCCTGTATGACTCGGTAAAGAGGGCGGCGAATGCAGGTTTTGCGCCAATGTACGTCGAAAACCGTCGACAAACTAAAGCGATTTCTTGTACGCTCGCCAAAGAGCGTTCGCATCAGCCATATGGACACTCATATACTCTCTGAATACAGCGCACAAAGCGCAACCTGCTGCTCGATGGGATGCTCGAAGCGTCGAGATGGGTCCTGATGCCCTCGCTCCACTCGCTGGTGCGCCTCGTGGTGTCGCTCATGTCCGACTCTCGATGATACCGACACCTGGAAATATTGAGAGGCTTCTTCTGTTTTCGAATCGAGTCATTGGCTGGTGCTCTTGATGAAGAGATATGGCGAACGTGTTGAGGTGCTTCAACCCGGGATCCACGCCCTTGGGAGAGTCCTCCGCTTCATCTTCCTCGCATGATTTTTATGGGGCTCGCTGCTCGACTCTGGCAATTTTTTCACAACATGCTTGCAAACGGATATTCCGATTGTCTCCATGGTCCGTGAAAGCCGCTTTTCATTTGCTCCCCGTAACCGAGAACGCTCGAATGAGCTCCGCAAATGCGCTTCGCAACGATGCCCAATGCTGTTTCAATGCTCGCAGGGACCAGCCGTTCCTCACTGCGCAGGCCATGAACGATTCTATACGATTGCCTACGGTCATATCACGGTCCCTGATAGGACCCATAGAGACCAGATGACTAGGCGCTTGACGAGGCTGGAGCGCTCGGGTACCGATGTGGGCGTCTGCTCTGCTCCAGAGCGCTCTCTTCAGGAAATCTTTCTCGTCCAAAACGCAAGCACAGCAGATTCCAAAATTCCTTTGTCCTTTGAATGCAAAGCGCATTGGTCCGCATTCGAGAATACCACGGTGAATGTAGACGAACTGAGGAGGCACTCGATCTCACTGCGACTCCTCGTCTGAACTCGCTACCACCTCGATCTCTTCCGCCTTTAGCTCATCATTTGCTTCCATCGCTACCCCAAGAATTTCGTCGATTCGTCCGCGAATTTCTGCGCCAATACGATTGGGGTACAGCGCCCACGGGATGCCCCTAAGATACGCTCGAGACTGATCCGCGTATGCTTTTGGTTTACGATGACAGTTTCTTATTTTTGGTACCAGCGCTGTAGATGTTGCGATCGCCGGAGTGGTGCGGGCACGCGTCAGCTTGTTCAACGGAGCAGATATGCAAATCTCTGATCCTATGATGGATGCGCACCTCATCTTCTGTCCCGAGCATCAGCTATGTTTTCGCATGGGAATTCGATCGAAGTATTCCACAGACAGCTGGACAGCTTTCTGTCCTGCTCTAGGAACGCCTGTGAAGAGTTGGTCGACGAGATGCGTCAAGCCGAGAGCAGACGAGCGATACTCTCTCGAGTTAGACTCTATTCGATGCTCGCTGGTACGCTGCATCTATCAGAGTCGCGTCTGCGAACGACTCGTCAATTGGGCCTTGCGCGTAAAACTGGCGTTTGAACAACGTCCAGTACGCTCTCGACTCGATTGTACCGCAGATAATAAGCTGGCAGGCAGACCAGCTCAATGCTAGTCCCAGATGCCTGCTGCTTGACCCCTGTTTTCTGGTGGAAAGCGACGTTTTCTATGATCAGGACAGAGTCATCTGGGAACGATGGGTCACGACTTGTGCTTCGACGACGGATGAGGTATTGAACGATCCTGCCCGTTCTGCGGTTTGCCGGTCACCACACGAATGCAATGCGGTTTACGGCGGTAGCTGGTCCCCTTCTCGCTTGTGTTCCATTTTCGAATGACAGTTTGCCGCTCATGGAGAGCCCATATACAACTCTATTATCTCTCGCCGATGAAGCCCCATTGAATGAGACAAATACAGGGAGTTCCTGTGACAAGCGTTCGCGTTTCAGCACGAAATCGATGAAGCATTGGTCATCTTCAGATGGTCTCCCAGAGAAGCGCATTTTTTTCTTTATACACCTGTATCTCTGTATCCTGCATATATCCATGGTGCGGACGCTTCACAAGCTGTGCCCTCTCTGGAAGCATTTTTCAGATCATGTACGTAGTCGATTGGACTGATGAGTAGGTAGTGTTCCGATAGCGTTTAACATGTTCTTTTTTGGGCACACGACCATCCGAATAAGGTCTAGACAAATAGCAGTTCATCCATCTGCTGTTCGTTGAATGCCTAGCGTGCAGTAGCAAGGCCGGTTTTCCATAAGATATCATGCAAAGCGTAAACGCATTCCGCAACCTTCTTCAATTTTCTGCACAGATTCCTATCGTTCACTACCAGCGGAAAAAGCCAACAAAAACAAATTGGCGTGCCTGTACAGGTATTCACGAGATCGATGCGATGAGTATAATGCCGCCGTAGCGCGTGCCCTTGGTACCTAGGCGAACGCTGTCAGCGCCATCATGTTCCTGGATCCGCTTTAGAACCAGTTCGCTTTGAGGCCACTTGGCCGGTCTCCATGAGGCTTCTCGTAGCGATTCGGCACGGCTTCGGGCAAACCAGCGACAAGCAAATGACCGACATCGCCCAACGCTAGACAACGCGGCACCGCAGTCGTTGGACTGCGAGTCTCGAATAGAACCGTCGTGACTGAGCTCGGCGCAAGCCAGAATGCATTCCAGAAGAGAGCCAGCGGCAGCTCCAGGAGATGTGCTAACCAGGTCAGTCCGAAACCGCCATGGCATACGACGACAACCGCAGCATCACGCCCAGCAGTGCCCTGTGCTCTGGCGACTGCCGCATCGACCTCAGTGAGCCGATAGACACCGTTCGGCTCACGCGTATAGCCATGCCGTGCAAGAAACGCATCGCTATTCATTACAAGCGCCTGAAAGTCGGACCTGATCTTATCGTCGAGTCCAGGAACGAGTTTCCATTGGCTCTCGTGGTCCGGTAGCGCTCCGGTCGTACTGCGACAGCGGCTACGCACCAAAGCAGCATCCATATCCCAGAGCGCCCGCCCGCCTTGCCCAGCAGCAGGCGCTGTGTCTGAGGCGCCCGCGTTCGAAGCACTCGCTCGCCAGGTCACCAGTTCCTGGGTCCAGGTCTCGATCTGGAGAGGCAAGTCCAGTTCCCTTGCTATGTACCGAGCAGTCTCCTGAGCCCGACCCATCGGTGACGTGTACACGCAGGCGATGAACGGTCGCCTTCGCACATGGGCGTGTCCGAGTCTGCGAGCGAGCGCTGCCGCCTGTAGTTTCCCATCAGCGGTGAGCGAGTCCGTCGCATAGTCCGGGTCAGCGTGTCGCACTATGATCAGTCGCATCTGCTAAAGCGGAACGATAATGTCGTCTATGAGAGTGCCAGAAGCAATCGTCCACACAACGTGTCGACGAGGACGCGTTGGTGACGTGTTTCCCAGCCGGTGTTCGCCCGGCGAGTGCCCAGCGTCTCGAGTCGCCGCCCTGCCCACCGCGCACGGTAGACGCTGAGGGAAACGGAAACCCGGTTTCCAGACCAGTTGTACTGACCTGGCAACGCGTGGGTGTGCGTGGAGGTGCTCGCGAGGCGACCAACCTACCGGACTAGGAGATCTACCCTCGACTGCCTTCCGCGGGGTATCGCTCCGGAGTTCGCTGGACAGCAACAGCGACCATTACGCCTATCTCGGACGACAACAGAACGGGTCTAGTTCGCTGACTCTTGCGTACACCTAGGCAGGTACAGGTTTCTTCCCAGTGCCATGAATAGCAGGAAATGGGGCCCTGTTCTGCGACTGCTTCATTTTCCTCTCTCGCATCGCCGGCATTGCATGCTCCGGCCTCCTTTTTCCCTATAGCTCTGGTTTCAATAGTCAAAGGATGCTGATAGCAGCGTTCAAGTCCCAATGATGACGCATTTGATGCGCATGCGGAAGTTGCGATCTACGCTTCGCTTGCCAGTTTTATCATGGTAAACGGTCTTGATGCGTCCTTCACAGTGGTGACACTTGAGTGTGGTCGGGTGTTCGAATCTGCCGTCGATACCGCCTCCACCGGGAGCTGCCCTGTGGCGCGTGAATGCTCACGCCATCGTTTGGTACGTGCCGCTGACGAGTCTAGAAGTCTTCCCGAGGCCATCCTCTGATATAACGCCCGGTACCGTACCCTACGATCAGGGTCGTCTTCGGGTGATGCCCTCCACGAGCATGCTCTCTGCTGCACGCGCAGGTACACGCTGTTTCATGCGATAGAGGATTTGCGCAACTAGATGCTGTTCATGATGATACGAGTCCCGTATGGAATATCCAGGCTAGAGAACGAGTCGAGAGGTTTCCAACCAGCTGCGCTCCCTTTGTGCGAACCGGTGGTGCACGCTCCACTGCAGGCGATCGTTGCGACGATTCAGGTCTGTATCTAAGACCCTCGTATATGCCAACGGAAGAGACGAGCGCCTCTGAAAGCATATCTCGTGAAAGATTCGTATACGACGTAGAATTCTATTTCGTCACTGGTTCGATAGAAAGCAGGATTCTGCTCTCGAAAGGAATCGAATATTTTCCGTGAGAAGTGCACTGAAGTTTCTGCGGGAGCCTGTGAACAAGTCGCCCAGGGACGATGTCGAGCTCTGTTCGTCATCAATCCAGAGGCGCGAGTTGCTGCGCGTACGAATTGCCTTGCACTCGAGAGATCGAAAATTTGAAGACAAGCGTGATGCCAGCATCCTGAACGCAAGGAAATGAGACTAGAACTGGTTTTCCCATTTGCGTTGGATCATGGTATGGATTATTTCACGAAACCTTGTTTGAGGGCGTCGCGAATCCTCTTTATTCCAGTAGGCTGACGCATTCCAGCGGCGAAGCGTCGAACAAGCCACATCGTAAAAAACCCCCAAATATCCTGAAACTACCAATGAATCCGCAAGCCCTCATTGCTGCGGTTCCAGTGCAGCGGCCATTCATCTAAAAAATGAAGGAAGAATCACAATGCAGGAACAGCAGGAACAGCAGGAACAGCAGGAACAGCAGGAACAGATCCTTGTTCCAGATCAATCAGATGCATCATTTTAGCGCACCATTGACGAGACTCGAACTCGAAAGCGCATCCCAACCAGGATATTTTCCAGACTGTGTGATCATACGGCGTCCTGATTTGTCTCCTGAAGGCGGTGCAGTCTTCGAAGATGACGTTTGGAGCGTGCATGATCCCACATATCCCGTGCATTCAGCAGGACGACTTGCCGGCAGATCTGACACTGAAAGGTATCCCGCGAGCGCTTCTCGATGGCTGGGGGTAGCACGCTATGATCGCCGTCGGACTGCGCATCACTACAAGTCGCTCGACTGGTTGAGTGCAACTTCACGATGCGAGCAGTTTTGACTGTGAGCTGTGTCTCAGGGTCGTGCTGTTGGCGTCGATCGTCTGCACGGCACTGCGGAGCATCGCTCGCCTCGCCCGAGTCGCTCAACACGTCATTCGCTGGGTCGTACGAAGGTTTGGTACTCGAGTCCATGACAGCGTCTAGCGTAGCCGCATCTCTAGGTGCAACCTGGTAACGGCTGGCTTGCATTCGGGACAGACGGGCGAGTTGGTCTTCGGCGACGTCCTCCTCCTCTGGATCGGACTCGCTCGCCAACGAGTCGGGTCGATCTCCAGTAGACACCGTCGTCTCGGAGTCCTCGGACTCGCTGGTTGAAGTGAGCGCATCATCACCGTACCAGGTGTTCCAGGCGATGCGTTTAATCATGGCGGGTCGGTGGCCTGTGCACGCTTCCCCCTGCAATTGAGACTCCCGAGAGCAGTACTCGACGCGATCGCAAACTTTGGCTCTCTGGAACAGAGGATCCGCCACCAGCCGCCAACGCAAGATCCTTACAAGGAAAGTAGCACCCTTTTGAAAAAAAGCGCTCTTTCACCAACCCCGAGCAGAGAACGGCACCGCTCTTCTGCAACGCCTCCTTTAATACAAAGGCGCACTGCTGGCCAACTGGTGTCTGTTCTCAAGGAAGAAACTCGGCAAGTTCGGGAATCGGTACCCTTGCCCACCAACCAATCAGATAAACACACCAGCAAGTGGTTCGAGTTTTCCGCTTTGACTCGTTGGAACGAAGCAACGCCTCCGAGCAAGTCGAGCGCAGTGGATGGTGGAGCTGTTGCGGCCCGAGCCAGCTCGAGATAGAATTCTTTATCCAAGCCGCGCTGAGCATCGTTTTTCACCCGCGGTGCCACTGGCTTCCACGGATGGTATCCCAGAAAGAGACGTCGCGTGCGGATGAGGTAACTATCACCATTCCAGTAGAGCCTGGTGATGCCGAGGCCGGACGAGCGGCTGCTGTGTCGGCAGCTGCCGTGGGGCGCGCTCTCCAGACGGCCTTGCAGCGAAAGGCGTCTGCGGCGCCTCGACTGGCCCCGCGTGAGGTCTGGCTCTATGACCCTGGCTATACAAGCACGGCCTGCTGTCGCTCTGCAATCACTTTTATTGACGGTGAGAACGGTATTTTGGAGTATCGCGGGTTTCCAATTGAAGCGCTCGCAACGACCTGCGGCTTCTACACCGTAGCGTACATGCTGCTCGAGGGAACGTTTCCGGCGGACGCAAAGGTGCGCGCCCAGTTTGCCAAGAGCATTCAACCAGGTCTCGACCTCGACCCTGTTGTCGCAAACGTCGTAGAGAGCTTCCCGCAGGAGGCGCACCCGATGACGGTCTTTATGGCTGCGACGGCTGCATTGAGTGCGAGTCGCCCGGCATGGAACCCCGCCCTCGTTCGAGGCGATGGCGGCAGTTTGCGGTTGGTGTATCGCACTCGCGCTGAACGTCAACGTATCGCACAGGAATGCATTTCGTCACTCACCAGTATCGCTGCAGCGGTTTTCCGTCACATGCGTGGTTGCCCTGTGCGCTTTCCGAAGAGCACACAGCACCTGCGGGAGCATCCTCTGGATGCCTTTGCCCCTGACGGGTTCGCGCGAGCCTTCCTGCACGCTGCTGACCCCGAAGGCACACTCTGGCCTGAGCAACGTCATGCATCGGCAGTTTTCGCCGAAACCCTGGATGTCATCTTTGTACTGCATGCAGATCATGAACTGAACTGCTCCACTGCAGCGATGCGTCACCTGACTTCAGCAGGTTCCGATGTCCTGACCTGTTTGGCAGCTGCGATCGGGGCACTCTATGGACCGTTGCATGGCGGCGCAAATGAGGCAGTTCTGAACATGCTGGAGGAGATCGGCAGCCCGGAGGCGGTGGAAGCCTTCGTCGCATCCGTGAAGCGTCAGGAACGGAAGCTCATGGGATTTGGTCATCGCGTTTATCGGAGCTATGATCCACGGGCAAAAATTTTGCGAACGCTAGCACAACAAGTGTTGCGGGAGGCGTCCACGGAAGGTCGTACTGCAAACGGACCGACGACTGCGAACGGCGCATCAGACCCGCTGCTGATCATTGCTCAGACGCTGGAGAAGCGAGCACTGGAAGACCCCTACTTTACGGAACGGAAACTCTATCCTAACGTTGACTTTTACTCAGGGGTTTTGTATCGCGCGATGGGTTTTCCGAGTGTTTTCTTTACAGTGCTGTTTGCCATTGCGCGCACTGTTGGCTGGCTTGCGCACTGGATGGAGATGCTCGAACGGGACGCAACGGATGCTGAACGCAAAATCGTACGCCCTCGACAGATCTATATCGGAAAGCGGCGACAACGCATCCCGCTTGAAGCGGTGGAGAAACGACCTGATCGCCGTTCGAGACTGTGAACCAGATATGAACTCATGATGAATGGTCGCACCTTGCGCATACGATGCCACAGAGCGACGATTTGATCGCCATACGCGACGATGAACCCGATATGAATTCATGATGAATGCTCGTATCCTACGCTTGCTCGCAATCTGTCCATATAGCTGACGGATCCGTGCCCTGACCCGTACTGGATTCGTTCCTCATGTCGTTCGTAAACGACGCGTGCAAGGTACCGCGTGCTGCCTAGACCCCAACCGACTCAGCGGCATGCAAGCCAACGCAGGCCTTGACCGGCCTGTACTGCGCCCTCGGTCCCGTAACAAGTGTTTGTATCTCGAACACGACTCGAAAGCGCAATGTTCCGTTCAAGGCGTCACGGCGATAAGTGCCCGCTCCTATACGGTACGCTGCACCACCAAGGCGTCTTCCATAGCGAATTGGAAGCTATCGTTGATGCCGTCTAGCTTCCTGGTTTCCTGGGTGCATACGAGCGAGCCTTGACGCCACTCCCCGCAACGTCAAGTGATTCATTGCCGAGCCCAACTTTAGATTTGAGAGCGGTCACTTTCTGGGAACTGCTCGCGTTCCAGTCCCGCATTTTCGCTCGCGTCGCAGACGCGCGCAGGTCACAGTCCAACGACCGGTCGAAGCGAAATGCATAAATATTCCAGGTACGCTGCTTTAGAGCTGATCCATGAAGGCCTCGAACTGAGATGCTCGATCGGGTCCAAGACGCAGAACGACAACCGCAGCAGACGTCGCATCTGCATCTCCCAGCACGAGCGACCTGCTCGACGAGATTCTCACTCAAAGCCGCAAAGTTGCCTGGTCGACGAGAGCCTGCTGTGCTGACCAGAACATGGCTAGGAGGCACATCGACGTCCTCACTCGAGGGCACCCCGCTCGGCCTAGCAACGACAGACCGCACGACGATGAAGTTCCTGCTGCTACTGCTAACGCTGCTGCTGGCGCTCTAGTCTGACCCTTCTTTCCGGTATCCATGAGGGTTCTCGCTCTGCCATTTCCACGTGGACGCACACATTTCATCGATACCGAGCTTGGCTTCCCAACCGAGGAATGTTTTGGCAAAGCTCGGATCCGCGTAGACAACAGCAGCATCGCCTGGTCTTCGCGCAACAATTTTGTACGGAATACGACGCCCGGACGCTTTCTCGAAAGCTTTCACCATCTCAAGCACGGAGTATCCTCGGCCGGTGCCAAGGTTTACCGCAACGCAGCCCACGTTTGCCTCGTCTTTTTCAAGTTTCTCTAACGCCGCCACATGGCCCTTTGCTAAATCCACCACATGAATGTAGTCACGAACGCCGGTTCCATCCGGAGTGGGGTAGTCATTCCCGTACACCGAGAGAAACTCTCGGCGTCCGACGGCAACCTGTGCGATAAACGGCATCAAATTATTCGGAATACCCACGGGATCTTCCCCGATACGCCCGGAAGCATGGGCACCAACGGGATTAAAGTAGCGCAGGATGAGAATGTGCCAGTCGCGTCCACCATGTGGCGAGGCGTGCAGATCCCGCAAGAACTCTTCAATAAACAATTTGGTTTTGCCGTATGGATTCGTGGCACCAAGTGGTGATGTTTCCGAAATCGGCACCTTTTCTGCCTGCCCGTACACTGTCGCCGACGATGAAAACACAAATCGACGACATCCGTGGCGGTTTAAGCTCTGCAGAAGGTTCAACGTGCCAATCAAGTTGTTCCGGTAATACCGCAACGGTTGCTCTACAGACTCGCCTACAGCTTTCAGGCCTGCAAAGTGAATACAAGCGCTGATTGGCGCTGATTTTGCCACAGCAGCGTCCAGTGCAACGCCATCCGTGAGGTCAACGGCTTGAAACTGCAGCCGCTGCTCACTGGCCCCGGTGAGCTCCCGTACCCTGCGCAGCGCCTCCTCACTCGAGTTGCTCAGGTTATCCAGGACAACCACATCGTAACCCGATTCAAGGAGCTCTACGACCGTATGACTTCCAATATAACCTGCCCCTCCAGTTACCAATATCCTTTTCGTATGATCCATAGAAGATTACGACGACTATGATGATGATAGTAGTAGTGGTGGTGGTGAGGATGAGCTCGTCGGCGAGGGCGTATACGTGCCGGTGTACCAGAAAGCCGACACGTCCCCGCGCGAGCGATGCTGAGACGCGTCTCGGGATCCCCGGGCTGCACCGGTGCCTGCGCGCACATCGTCGCGAACCGCGCCAGCTGCGCTCGTGGCCGCACATTCCTGTAACCGCTATGTACCGATTTGGAAAGGGCGCTACGCGAGCGCCCCATAGGCGTTCGTGCTGCCTTCGGGAACGACGCAGAAGATCTCCTGACCCGCTCGATACGGTGGCGTCTCTGCTAAGTGTGCGTGCGTGCGTGCGTGTGTGCCTGCGTGCGTGCCTGCGTGTTTCCACACACTGATGCTTGTCGATGCGCAGCGCAGAGCGTGCCGCTCGAACGGAATACGAGTCGCTCTGGATAACGAGGCAGAGGGTGCGCTCCCAGCGCTCAGGCGTTGCCCGGATCGCTCATTTCCTCCAGCTTGTCATTCCGGGCTCAAGGCAGGCTAGCTTGTGTAACCGATCAGCGTCCTGATCGACGATGACGATGACGTCGAGTCTTGCGTTCTGCAGCGAGTGAGCTGCGTCTGGAGCCGGCGCCCTCAAAGGCTTCGCAAAGGCATGCATGCCTCGTAGGGCGAGCGCAGCAGCGGCTTATCCAGTGGAACAGCATTCAGTTGCGGTAAGCTTCATGTCCATCTAATCAGTGTATCGAGCATGCGATTATGCAGTCGACGCATTCTGGTCTGGAGTTCGTGGAACGCGGCGGCATCCGGGTGGGGATATGAGCGGCCTCTTCGCAGCTGGTTGCCGCCAACCAGCATGCGCTTGAGGACCTCCGCTTCGGATCAAGGATCTTTCAGCTTCTAGCAAGCTTACGCACAGTAGTAGCCGCAGACAACCAAGTCCGTCGAATCATGGAAGAGCGTATGCTGAGGTGGCAAAGAGCCGCGACGTTCTTGCCAGCTGCCGAGATCGCCACGGAGCCATCGCCGCTCATGGGAGCGCACTCGCCAGCCCGCCGAGAAACGAAAACGTAAATGCGAAACACCATTCTGCACCTAGAGGCCGGCAGACATGACTACCTACCATTCGAACAAAATCCCACTTGCGCTATTGGCGCAATGCTCGCAAAGCGAACCCAGCGATGCCATGGGTTATCATGCGCCTGCGAACGATCCGATGATCCGCCGTCCCGTGCGCAGTGTTCCGCTTGTAGCGCTCGATGCTGCCGCCGCGACGCTGCAGCCTGCACTCGAAGCGAAGCTACCTCCCTGGCATTGGCGCTATCCACCGCAGATCAGGCACTGGAGGCGCCGCCTTACGGCCATTGCCGAAACTACCGCCAAGAGCGTTGACGCTCCAGAGCAGTGGAACGTACGCCCGTCTATGATGCAATGCAGCAATCCCCAATGTATGATGTCCATTATGATCCAAGATTGAATCAAATGGACTCAAGTGCGAACGGGTGGCGATCTATGATGCAATGCAGCAATCCCCAATCTATAACGTCCATTATGATCCAAGATTGAATCAAATGGGCTCAAGTGCGAACGGGTGGCGATCTATGATGCAATGCAGCAATCCCCAATGTATAACGTCGATTATGATCCAAGATTGAATCAAATGGACTCAAGTGCGAACGGGTGGCGATCTATGATGCAATGCAGCTATCCCCGCATCCATCATATCCATAATGATCTATTTAGTATAAATTTAGCACAGCGCTAATTTACACACGAGCCCACCACCTTGCATCTCGCGGACCTGCAGACGCTCGTCGCCTGGCAAGTGCCACCAGTACGCACGACTGGGCGCCACCAGCGCAAACGCAGCCTTTGCGCTCAGGGTCGCGCGTATGGATGCACCTGCGCCTGCAGAAAATGACGCGCTTATAGTGGCTGGAAAGCGTACACCGCTAGGTTGTTTGGGAGGCGCTCTGGCAGGTGTTTCCGCTGTAACCCTGGGTGCTGCTGCGGTACGAGGCGCCCTCGAGGCCGCCCGCATACCCGGCGCTCTCGTTGAGGAGTGCTATTTCGGCTGCGTCCTGAGCGCGAACCTCGGACAGGCACCTGCACGCCAGGTTGCGTTGCAGGCGGGCTTACCGGTGACTTGCTGCTGCACGACCGTGAACAAGGTGTGCGCGAGTGGTGCAAAGGCCATAGCGCTGGCCGCACAGTCCATACTTCTGGGGCAGGCTGATGTAGTCGTCGCCGGAGGCATGGAGAGTATGAGTCAAGCACCCTATTGCATCGGGAATGGCGGCTCTGGTGGGCCTGAGGGCGTTCACCGCGTCCGCATCGGTGGCCTGCGCCTCTTCGATGCTCAACTCGTTGACAGTATCATGCGAGACGGTTTACTGGATGCATCACCGGCAGGGAAACCTGCGCGCCCTATGGGATGGTATGCAGATGCCTGCGCTGTCCATCATTCAATCACCAGGGAGGAACAGGACGCGTACACGTTGGAAAGTTACAGACGCGCCCAAATGGGCTGGGAATCGGGTTCCATGGCCGAAGAAGTCGTCCCTGTCCCGCTGAATTCAGCAGACAGCGCATCGATTGCACGAGATGAGGAGCCGTGGCGTCTCCAAGCCGACAAGCTACCGCGCTTACGACCGGCTTTTGATCGAGAGCGAGGCACCGTCACAGCTGCAAATAGTTCCAAGATCAGCGACGGTGCCGCTGCAGTGGTGCTGGTCTCGCGCCGCAAGGCTCGCGAACTCGGCCTCATTTCCGCTGACAGCGCAGCAGCCGAGGATACGCTTCGTGACGGCAGACGATCTCGTTCCATTTTTCAACTCGTTGCCGCAGCTGATGCTGAGCGTGAGCCTGAATGGTTCACGCTCGCTCCCGTGACCGCGATTCGCAAGCTCTTCTCGACTCGCTATGGACTTGATGCTAGCGACATGGCAAATGTTGATTGCTGGGAAATCAACGAGGCATTCAGTGTGGTGCCTCTGGCAGCGATCCGGGAGCTGCCTCGGATTCGTTCCGAACGCCTGAACATGCGAGGTGGTGCGGTATCGTTGGGTCATCCTCTCGGTTGCAGTGGAGCGCGCATTGTTGTCACGCTGTTATCTGTTCTAGAGGAGCACCAATGGGAATACGGCGTTGCTGCCATCTGCAATGGCGGCGGCGGCGCTACTGCGCTTCTCATTCGGCGACTGGCTTAGAGGGCCAAGGCGGACGTGAATACCGCGGCCCGGAGCTCAGAACGCCGCGCGTCTGCGCACAGCAACATAGCAGAACCGCATACTGAGTGTGACGTAAGCGTCAGGGTAGACTTGGTCGCGCTTGGAGGACGTTTTGGCACAGGAAGCGCGGGCTTGAAAAGCAACCCGCATTCCAAGTGCGCTGGTGCGGCTGCGGCCATGGGAGCATCTGCGAACTGCACGTACACGACAAACAACGGCACGGTCGAGCCGACTATATGCGTGTGGGCGCAGCTCCGCCTTGGTTTTGTCTTGAGTGCGAATAGCTTCCATGTGTTGTCTGTGGACGTCGTCTGGCCCGTTGCCTGCTCCGAAAGCTTGGCACTAGAGCATCCCAGCTGCAGTGCGGCTTTTCTGTATTCGCGCGTCTACTGCTGGGGCTCGAAACATGTCTCGCCAGGATGAAATGGCATCTGAGGGGATGATCGAGCGCCTGTGGACAACACTGCGCGACCTTTTCTCATACGCTAGCCGTATTTCGCAGAGACATCCAGGAGAGCGAGCAGCGGCAGCGAAGCTGTCATTCGAGTTGTCAATCCCTGGCACTCTGCCCAGCGCTGATCGTCATGATGAAGCGCTGCTGTGTTGCTTCGCGATCCACTTGAACGCCGGACTCGTATTCCCCTGAGACCTCGCTGCCTTTTCGAGTTCCGGCTGCGATCGCTGCTGCACGGAAACCAATTGAATTCCCCAGCAGCAGGTCTTCTGCTCCGGTGGCGTTGCTATCGAATACGCTTTCATTCGTTGGCGTCGGCGGAGCGTAGAGGCTAGTCTCAACCGAGCAACGTCATTCATTATCGAGCGTGCGTCCATCACATCCCTGGGGCATAGCGATGGTAGGTTTGCCGCCCCGTACCATATCGGAGAAGTATTCTCGCGCTAGGGTGCAATCAGGTTCCCGAAGCGACGCTGATCGTGGCGCTTTGGGCATCAACCCAGACGACAACGCTCTGTATCCATCGTTTCCTAACGAGTCGAACGTCGTTGCTGAAGCGCGCTTTGATACAAGCAACAGGCAGACGAAGGCACGTGATGCACTTTCGTGGCTCGGGAACGCCTTGAACGCCTTGGACGCTCTCCTGCTGGTCGAAATGCTCCTTGGGCCCAAATCCTGACGACGCTTCAAACGATACTCAATCCTCAGTAGTCTCGCGTGATACAAACGCATGATCATTTATCCGTTCGAAAGAAAGAACGGTTTCCAGTGTGTGTGTATCTACAGCTCTTCAAGCTCACTGTACTGCTGCAACAGACTCCATCAGTGGCTTGTTCCAGGCGGGAATGCAGTGCCCGCTCTCCCTGTTATTACAGTTTTTGCGTTGCATTTCTGGAGCGCTCCAGCACAATACCTGTCTCCAGGACAACACGATTCCCTTGAACGTTCGTTCGCCACAAACTCACTGTAAGTTCCGCAAGCAGGACACATTTCCTGGTTTTGATCAAGCGGTTCATCGCTTGGTCCAGAGCGTTCTTATGTGCGTGATTGCTGGTGACAGCAGACTAGCGCAAGCCTCTCGGTTTCAATTCCGTTGCCGTCTGATGTCCGTACAGCTTCGTGTACACCATTTGGTGCATCCGGCTGGATCTCAAGCTGTTCCCGTCAACCAGTCGCCGAGTGCAGACGTGCTCGTGATACTACATGCCGTCCTAGAGTCATTGATGGGAAACGTACACCATCGCTTCCTGCACGCGCTGGACGCTCTTGTCAACGGAGCATGCGAACAGTCTCTGGACGCCGCAGCACGTCCAGCGCCCTGGGCAACCAATTAGCAAACCGAGCTATCGATCGTTTCCTGGTCCAACGCATTGAAGTTCACGTATGCACGCTTGTCGCTTTCGTGCAACTGGAGACGTTGGAGGGCCCCAGCGCTGTCCGACGTTCCCCCTGTGAACACCATGCGCATAACCTATTCAGACGCTGACGTACTACCAGACGCGTACGCTCTCATACATCAGTCGCGCTCATCCAGACCAGTCAGGTGAGCGTGAGGCGTCTTCAAAGCCAACAGGGTACGCTTCATGATCCATTCGGCGAAGATCAGCACATAGTATTCGGGTTTGGTTTCGGATTGATACTTTTTGGCAACCGCCCTGTAGATATACATTCCCATTGCCGATATGGCGCGACGACAGGTCATGGTACTCTGGGGAGCGTGTGTTTCATGCTCTGATCCTACGATCAGGCCGAATCGCATGCTGTGTACCGAGCATCAGTTGTGTTTGCGCACGAAGATTCGATCGAGAAATTGCAGATGAATGTGAAAAACCGGCAGCCTTTCGTCCAGAGTCCGTACGAACTGTTTCATCTCGGGTTGCGTCCAGGTGAGCGACGCTCAGCAGACCATTCTCGACTACTAGGGGCCACGATCGCTCGTGGCGTCCAGCAACTCACTTTTCCGGAATGCTGGCCCTACTGATGTCCTCTGGCAGGCAGGCCTTGAATATGGTTTTGAGAACGATCTTTCCGCTCCGACAGTTTACCTTCACGTCGCGCGTCGCCCTGTTTCCGGGAGAATCTTTCTCCTCATTGTCCGATGACTCCTCCTCGTCCTTCCTCTTCGCCTTGTTATAGACATGACGGTGTGGCATGGATGTGGTCCCCTGTCGTCGTTTCCGTTATCTTCCTGGGACGAAGAGGCGCTGGGTGGACGACCAGACCCGAACTAACCTTTTCCGTGCATGTACCTCCGACTCCTCTAATATCTTTTCGTCTTCCGCTCCGTCGTGCGCACGCCCACGAACCGAAACGCGTGTCTCGAGTCCGCATTGCGTACGAGCAGAAAATCAAAACCGCAGCTCAGAGTTGATGAAGGCGGCGCAATGCATTTCAAACCAAGGCGCCAAGGGTGCGACTCACTCGTCTATTCATCATTGAGTGTAAACTCGGCGTTCGAGATACGAGATAAGACCTTCGAGTACATCGAATCAGCGAGCATAGGCTTGTACGACGAATAGCTCAACGCCAATGTCAGCTACATACTCCTTGACTGATTGTAAGTGATGGAGCCTGGCGTCATCTACGGCCAGTACAAGAGAGTACGGGTCCGACGAGCAACGATGAATTCCTCGACTGAGGATGAGGTATTGAAGGATCCAGTCTGCACAGCGATTCCAGCTTCACCGTACCACTGAGTCGCCGCAAGTGTAGATGCTCTCGGCATGCTCGCTTGTCTCTTCCTTACCAGCAGCGGTTTGCTACGCCTTGCGTGCCCTTGCACTGGCACACGACTGCTCGTGTCTGAATTCCCATCGAAAGAGACGAGCTCCCGTCGGTCTTGGAATACGCGTTCGCGTTCCGTTACGAACTTGATCAGGGGTTACTCAGCGCGCGACGCGCTCCCATGGACACGTGCTATCTCCTTGGTCTGTTGGGGTCTCTTGATTCGCGTTCGTACCAACCGTTCTGAAATATCGTTTCCTGTATATCCTCGGTACTATTTCTTAGAGAATTATGGGGTGAAATGGATTGAAGAGTTGACTCTCGTGTACACTGAGATCGATAAGGTCTGTTTTGGCAGGTAACATGCACTCGACGGACACCCAGCAGCGTGATTCACTCACTTGTTGACCGTCGTTTGTCTGACGTGCATATTTAGCGCAAACTTGTCGCTAGTTAGCAGTGATAGGAGCACGTCTCCCCGCAACCTTTTCCAATCCATAAGTTACCATCCTTTTGTTCCATACCCCTGAACTATCAAATAAAAACAAGAACCGCGTGCTGTAGCAGGTACGCCGCTGCGCCCCCAGCCAAGCACAACCGACACCAGGCACAGCGGGTGCGGCGAGTCTCTCTCTCACCCGGGACGCTTCACTCGGAACGAGCGTGCCGGGCCTTCAAGTCTCACGGGTACACTCACTACACCACGCAAAGAATGGCCCACGTACTCGAGCCGCAGACTCCCGAATCCCGCGAAAACTTCGCTTCAAAGCCGCAATAACGGAAAAGATGCCAACATCGCTGCGCATCGAAGCCCATTCACTCGCCCATGACCTCGTGTGGACCTCTTCACATCATATCACATGAGTTGGGGACTGGTCTGGTTTCGCAACGACCTGCGAGTTCGGGATCACGAAGCACTCTTAACAGCTTGTCTGGAGCATGCCGGAAGAATCATCCCTGTCTATGTCTTCGATAAACGGCAGGTTGGCCCACACGCCCGAACTAGACTGGGCCAGTTCAGCAAGTGCTCGACGCCCCGTGCACAGTTCCTTGTAGAGGCCGTTCAGGACTTGGCAAACACGCTACGGACGCACTATCGTGGCATGCAACTGCTCGTATACAAAAACGCTCTTCCAGAAAACGTCATTCCGAAACTCATCGCTGAGCTCTCAACGGAAAAGCAGGTTCACGTCGGGGCCGTCTACTATCACCGCGAGGTCTGCAGCGAAGAGCGCGCCGTGGAGGACGCCCTGCGAGCCGCTCTGTGCGCCCTCAACCAACGAGGCGAGCTTCCTGCGGTCACACTGCGGGCGCTGGACGGAAGCAGCACCCTCTATCACGCCGATGATCTACCGTCAGGAGCGTCCGTGGGGAACATGCCGCCAGTTTTCACCAGCTGGCGCAAACTCGTCGAGAAAGGCGCTCGTATCCGAGCACCGTTGCCCATGCCGGATCCCGCGAAGGTGCAGCCGCTGCCCCTCTCGCTGGGCTGTGACCCCATACCGACCTGTGCTCGCGAAGTGATCGGGGATAACTGCGAACAAGCACGCTTACGGCATCGTGTACCCTGGACGTTGCCCGATGATGCCACGAGTCGAGTGGATCCACGACATGCCTGTCCGTTTCGGGGCGGAGAGTCGGCTGCACAGGAACGTGTACAGGCGTACACCTTCGGAACCGACGCCATTGCTCGCTACAAAGCTACTCGCAACGGACTCCTTGGAACCGAGTATTCCACGAAATGGTCGCCGTACCTGGCGCTGGGGAACGTCACACCGCGGCAGCTGTACGCCGTACTTCGTCGTTACGAAACAGAGCGACCAGAGAAGAAGGGTATCTCAACCTATTGGGTCCTGTTTGAGCTCGAATGGCGGGATTTCTTTCGCTTCACTGCAATGCGATACGGGAATGCCCTATTTTGGCGACGGGGTCTGCAGGCGGTGCTTCGGGGCGACCCGCAGGTCGCTGGGCCCTCGAAAACATGGCGGCAGGATGCGGTGCTCCTCGATCGCTGGCAGACCGGTATGACAGGCTTCCCGCTGGTTGACGCCAATCAGCGAGAGCTCCTGGCGACCGGCTGGATGTCGAATCGGGGTCGCCAGAACGTGGCGAGTTTTCTTACCAAAGACCTTGAAATAGACTGGCGCCTTGGTGCCGAGTGGTTTGAGTCCCTCCTCCTCGACTATGACGCGTGCTCGAACTACGGCAACTGGCAGTACGCTGCGGGTGTGGGCCTCGATCCCCGTGCCGATCGTCATTTTGATGTGATCCGTCAGGCCCGCATGTACGATCCCGAAGGACACTATATGCGACGATGGTTACCGGAGTTGGAGTCATGCACCGATTGGTCGCAAGTTCTTCATCTGCACGAGCACTATCCGGAGTATCCGGCACCAGTCGTGCGCCATCTGCACGGCGGGCGCAAGAACCTCGACGATGCTGCGAATGCACCCAAATGCTCTGTCCGCGGCACCAAGTCGGGGTCTCGCGGGAGACGGCAAACCAAACAGACGGGGAAACCACATCGGGAACCGGGTTGGATGCGTCAAGCGCATACCGGAGCTGTGGACATCCTCGATAACCGAGACGGGAGCGCGGCGCTCGAACAAAACCGGCAGACGGTGCTCGATGCATACCTTCGATCCCAGAAGCGGTAAAATCGAGCGCTGTGAGACACAGACAGTCTAGAGGGATATCGTCTTTTCAGGACGGTCCCAGGTCCCGATAAGTCGTCACACGCGTTGTCTCGTTGCATCGCCGGCAGCAGGGGACGCATCCAAACGACCACGAAGCCGTGTGCGCGAGTCGGTTACGGATGCAGACTCCTGTGCAGTGATGTTTCGGGATTCATCAGCAGAAGCATAGTGTGCACTGGTCAGGAGCAGACCCCAGACGTGCCCTGTGCATAGCAGCGTTTCGCGTGGACAGAGAGCAAGTACGTGTTGTGCACGGGTCTGTGCGAGAAGCGAGACGTGCACGATGGATGAACAGGAGCAACACGTTCGGGTTGCACTGACGGAGCCAACGGTCGGGTACTCCTGGTTTCCAATTCCTGCAAACGTATCGAGGAGTGCAACGCTCACGTTGACCATTGACCTATGCAAACGTGTTGCATTCTACGCGCTTTTGCTGGATCCCGCATGATACACGTCTCTGGGTGGTGGCACCAGCAGGAAACCGCTCACGAACGGACATGTGTCGCTGTATGAAACGCTTGAAGAGGCCGCACGCGACGTCATGTTCAAATGACGCAAAACGAATGCTGCAGACCTGACGGATACGTGCACGACGTTCGCAGCCTCCAGGATGGTGCTGGAAGCTGAGCGCTCTGGTGATGCGTTTTCCTGGGAAAAGCTGCCTCGAGTATCCATTTCCCTGAGATCCCGTTACCAAGGAATTCTCATTCCGCATCACATAAGAAACGCTAGTGTCATCGAGAAACATGCTTCCGCATTCCCGGTGAGCGTTCCACCAGCTCGCGAGAACACAACTTTACAGCATCTGCTTCGCTCAATGCCTGTCACTGGAGTACACCTCTACCCGAACGAACCGGTTTTTGAGCACCCGTGCATTCTACTACGCAGTTTTCGTCGTGTTTTTCGCCCAATGCACCTTGCGGGTTTCTGTCTCGTACGCGATGCTTACGCAACGAGTTCGCGCCGCATGCGATAGCGAAAAACCAGCGTCCACGACCAAGCTCGAAATCCTTTACATTTCCTAGATACCAGAACTGCTATTCCCGAATCAAACGCTTGTTTGGGTCGAAACAAACCCGCAGTGGATGCGCACCCAATAAACCAGCAAAGCTGAAGCGTTGCTCTGTCGCTGCTGCACAGAGGCCGGTAACACGTCGCCCGTGTCGAAGTCGTCGCCAGGTTTCGCGCAGGTGCCAGGGCTCCAAACATCGGGTGCTGTGCTTCGCGAAACCTCGCCAAAATACACGTCCCGGAGCCACGGTAAGCTCGAAGAGCTCCAACTCACGACGCAGCGCCTCGTATTCTCGTGTCTCCAGGGGCAGCACAATAGCAGTGGCGATACCGTTGCCGAGTGCTGCCAAAATATGACGCGCTGGACGCCAACAGACAGCTCTAGCGTCACCACGTTCGTGTGCAATTTCATCATAGTGCCGAAAGAGGAGTGCGGCTTGCGTCAGTAGGCCGGTAAGCTCCCACGCGACGTGACCCAAGGCGTGCAAACCATCCTCGGTGACAATGACGCCCTCCTCTGGAGTCAAATGTAACCAGTCGCGGAAGAGGACGGCTCGTGTAACGCCCTGATGTGCACGCGACTCCCCGTACGTATACCGCACGTTTCGACACGCCACAAAGTCTGCGTATTGATGTCGAGGCAGGCACTGTTTGAGAATAAAATCAGCTCGAAAAATGATCATGAATACTGGGTTTTCAGAGGAAGGCTTGCCCGAACTCGACTCCGTACGCGTCTCGGACTGGACCTCGATCCAGGTCTCGTTATCGAGTCGGAGGCGTTTGCGTTTCGCTCCTGCTGCTGCTCCTGCTGCTGCATTGGCTTCACGTTCACCGGTGTCCGGGCTCGGTTTCTGTGTTGAGGTCCGTTGCGCATGCGGCTCGGATGCTGCTTCCAGCTTCATGGTATCCGCTGCTTTCGCTCGTATCTGCGGAACGCTACGATGCATAGTTACGAGCGCCGGTTCCGCATCTGGAGTAGTTGCGTACTCGTGAGCCTGCGTAGAGCCTGGATATCCACCAGGCTCGCGATGATTGGCGTGATCAGCGTCAGGGAGCGCTTCCGACGGACCGTCAACACCCGACGATTCATCCGCAACGCTCGTATCCAGTTGCAAATCGTCTCTGGGGCCTTGGGAGAGGCGCTTCTCCTCAAGCGGTCTAGCCTCACCAGGTGCTGCACTCGTCTTTGTCGGACTTTGCCGGGCGCTGGCTCGCTGCAGTCGCTGCTCATGACCACCGGTGTCGTTCGAACGTGTTTCGTGTACGTAGTTGCCAGCGTTTTCCCCAACGGAAACGTCTGGTGCGGGCGTTACCACTCGATTTGTCCCCAGTACCGGTGTTTTCGGTTCTTCCACGTGCTGGCCCAAAGCTTGCGCTTCCACTGCTAAAGTCGCAGAGGCTGGCGTTCGTGATGCGACCTCTGGTATTCGCTGAGCTTCCGCTGCTGGTTTCCTTCCCGACGTGGCATTGCCTGGGCCAGTCTTCTGAGCGTTTTGGGATCCAATTACGGCGCTCGCATATCCGACGAGTTTGGCACTTGCCGTTTGCTCTACCATGCGGACAAGCCAGGAGCAGTGTGCCCCGCCTCCGGAGTGCGAGTCAGCGTCGTGGTCCGCAAAAGACGGAAGCGTCATTTCGGTTTCCTGCAAGAACGCCTCCAGTTCCGCCGCGGCCTCGCGGACCGGTCCCTTTGCCTGTTGTTTGGCCATGATTTCGACGAGCTTACATAGCCTACGTAGCGCTCGCTGGTCGTGACAGAAGCGTCTTGCCACAGCTGCTGCTGTGATGCGGCCGTCGGGCTCTCGGGCCGCCACCTCCAGTGCAAAGAGCCGCACACCGTCCCGAACCATATCTTCCATGAGTTCCAGCACGTCGCGGGCACAGTACCGGACTTCCCCAAAGGCGTGCATAAGGCACTGGATCTCGTGGCCAAACTTTCGACGTCTGACGAGCGTCTCCGGTGGGCCGTACGCAGCGGCCTCGAGGCTTCCCTCGGCACTCGCGATCATCAGCGCTTTGCCGGGAACCACTGCCGCCAGCGAAACCCCTTGGTCGTCGTACCCGTCCAACTAGTTGCAGAGGCCCCGTAGAGCAAGAGCACGCTCCTCGAACAGGTGAGGCAACAAAGGCTAGCTGCTGGTCGCAGCACACGACCCGGGCGTCCAGACAAGTCGCAGCGGAACTCGCTTCTAGTCCGATGGACGCTGTCGGAGATATGGGTGCAGCGCAGCGGCGCCTCCTCGCTGTTTTGGCACCAAAGCGTTGCTTTCTGGATCTAGAGAAATCATGTGAAGACAACTTCGGGGTGCATGGCGAGTGTGTCTATGCATACGCCCGTGTCAGATGAATGTGGAGAAAATAAACTGCTCGCTCTGTTCCTGCCGCGGGATTCGTTTTCGAACACGCTTTTATGTATGGCGTTGTGAGTCGAAGTGCTGCAATACACGTTCACAGGTTCTTCGGTAGTTTTAGAATGCCAGGTCGTATTTTCCGAGTGGATCCTTGGACGCTTTTCCGCGGATATTTTTTTACCGTACCTGAATCAGCATAAACCTCGAGGCTCCCGATCAGGGGTTCTTTTATACTACCCGATAGCACCATCGAATTCAGATGTAGATGCAAGCTTTCACGCTTCTCTTTTGCTGATATATGGCGTGCTCAAATCACATATGCTTCAAGTTTTCGATCTTTCCGGGTCAAGACAACGTGTGGGCCGAGCGATTTGCACTGTTGGATTGACGAGGAGCAAAACTCGGCATCGTCCTCTGAAGACTTGTTCGCCCACTCATGCGAAATGTCCACGGAACATCTCGCGTTCCGTAATCGATTTCGTTCAGCAGACAACGCTCCTATCGTTAGCGCTATAGGCTGAACGACTTTCCATAGTAGCATCGTTTGACTGACGGAATATTTGCTCCAAGAGGATCCCCTTCTCTTCTCTTTGCATGGGAATGCTTCTTGGATTCGGACCGAAGTTATCGCAGCGATTATTTCCGATAGACTGAGCTTCACCGCTTGGACGTATGGAGCGCTGACGACTCGAGAGATTCCTCAAATGGTTCTCCTGCCTTAACTTTCCCTCCGGTTCTTGTTTCACCAGGGACAAGATGGCGTTCCACAATTCCCCAATTGGAATGGACAGCTCGCGCTTGCACGTACATCGGAAAGGGTACGCGCCCCGGGGAAGCAAACATCAGAAACTCGTCATCATCTTGCATAGCACTGGGCACAGGAAAACCCGAGGGTATCGAGGCGAGTCCTCTGTGCCCGTCAAGGGCATGGAACTACCAAAAAAGCATGTTTTCACGCGTCATGGAGCGGCCTGCGGAGGAGCGAATCTTCTGGACTTATGGGCACAACTGACCTCTATCGTATGTCACAGCTGGAAAGGCGCACAGAGACCGTATCCAAAGATAATGCACATGGCAAACGAAGCATGTATCGCAATATACGTCTGTGCATGAAATGCATGAACCGCAGCCGGGAGCAGTGATGTCGGGACGTTCGCTGCCATCAACTTCCTGCGACTATCGATCAAGGATCTGAACGGAAACCTTCATCGGTCGTGCTCTTCCAGCCGGATCCAGGAGAGAATGGAAAGAAATCAGTCACAGGAAAGCCCGCAAATGTTGATGTTGATCACTCTGAGTAAAGACCCAAAGTTTCGCATGGACGCCCGAGTTACGGGGTTTCATTCATTTTTTCTTTTTATGTTCAGTGGAACGATAAACGTGTCACGACCAGAGAGTATATAGATACATGCGCACGCGCAGACGCCTTCCAGTCTTTTTGACGTGCGGTCTGCTATCGGTTTCAGCTTCGCCTTGTCCAATTCGAGTATGAGAGGGTTCCCCACAAAGTTGGATTGCGTCGGCTCCACGGGTCTCATCTTTAACACCGCACATCGCCCGGTTTTGAAAGCGGCGTTGAAGTCTGGGTGGACAAAGTCAGTGCGTTTATTGCCAGTGGTAGAACTCAGCGTTGCAGGCATTGCTACAACTCGCTCCCTCTTTGCCATTTGGTGCCCCGTCAGCTCTCCATCATCTGCTATCGTCCAGGCGCTCCGCTGGCATTTCTCCATATAGACCTTCGGCATTGTATACCGCAGCCCATCCCTTGGTTTCTCTATTTCTTCAAATGAACGCACTTCTTTATGCCTTTAGGTGAGGACCTGCTTGGAGCGAGAGGGACTTGCGGAAGAAAGACGACATGAGCCCTGCTATGTCATCCTGTGCTGAACGCTTCAGTGATTCTCTCAGTGGAGCGATCCTCACGTTTCACGATAGAAAATACTTTTTCGATGGGGTTCAACCACAGAAAGTACAAAGGAATGAAAAGCGGCTGTTCTACCCAATAGAATTGGCAGAAAGCTCGACCGCACCGGGAATAGTGAAATGCCACGTTGTTTGTCAGAAGGACATTGTCTGACGTCAAGGCAATAGTCTTCAATGATTCGACAAAGTGGTTGATGCTGTTGCTTGAGCCTCGTCTACCAGCGAAGCTGAGACAGCCAAGAGAATCCATTGCAACTAGAACGCATGGTACTGTCGTCGCTCTCATCGAGTTCGATCATACGTAGAACGGGCTCTCTTCGTCTCGGATACCAGTAAACGCTCCGACCGTTTGTTCCGATGAAACGCTCATCAAATGAAAAAAAAACAAACTGACGGCCCTGCGCTGTATACCGATCGCTGCGGCCTAGGAATGCCGGATTTGTCATTTCGGTGCGAGATGACCGTCTGTGAACTAGTGCATTTCACGCGATTTTATTCCATTGTCTTCAGAGCTACCCGAGCCAGCAGCATAGAGGAATAGACGCCCGTGGTGACTAGAATCATCGCATTCGCTGTCTTTATGGTCATCAAAGCGCCGCTTTCCACCGTTGACCGCAAGCAGTCTCCGAGAATATCGGTTATTGGCGCAGTGCGCATACCCCTCTTTCCGAACCGTGTTCCTCAACCATATGCGTACTGTGGTATGCCTTACCGGATTGAGTAACTCAGTCCTCCTTGCACTGCTCAATAAAGAATGTATATTCTGCAGGCAATTCGTCTACGATCCATCCGGTACATTGCATCGCGACAGCGATCGCCTGCTATTCACCGCAGCGGAGTTGAAACAACCTCTACCTGATAGGCGATCAGATGACCGTCCAGAGGATCATGCGTGTGGATCAAGCAGAGCGATATCCAATTAGTCCCTAAAAATACATTTATATCCATATACGTTCAGAAACGCATATCGCCATCCCGCAGCACCGGCCTGTGCGCGTCTGCCGCCCGCCCACGGCGCATCGTCGGAGGCGGATCACGCGGCAGAGGAGCGCTCGCGCAAGCCGCACCGCGACAGCTCTAAAGGATACAGCGCACTGACGTTGCAGCGTTCGCCTGCCATCGACGATTTGCCAACTCATCGAGGACGCTGCTCGCATGATTGCTTTCCTACCATCTTCACATGGATGCAGAACGTTTTCTAGCATCAGGTGGTCGAGGTCCGGTGCTCAGCGGCGAGTTCGAGCAGTCGTAACGTGTTCACGGGGGAGCGTCTCGCCAGCGCAGGCACCCGGAGAGCCCAGTCAAAACTCCGACGAGGCTGCGGTGCGGGACAGGGAGAGCGCGTGGCGCCCTGTTGCCTGCAGCTCCGGGCAGCTGGTCACGAACTGCAGCTCACTGGTGCCGGCGTGCACGGTTGGTGCGGCTGCCACTGAACTTGCGTTTCCAGGGGCCTTGACAGCTCCCGGAGCGCGACTTTCCCGCAGCACCCAGCGCCAAAACGGTTTCCGAACGGAACCTGCTTCCTGTTCAGAGCGTTCTATGGAGATCTCGTGCGCGGCGGGGCGGGCACCTGCCACGACGCCGCTCTCGTACCGACGTGCACAGCGTGCTACCTGCCGGGGCCGAGTCGGGCGTCCACAGGAAGCGCCAAACGCCAGCGTCTACGAGTTTCGCGCAGGACAAAGCGTCAAAACTGCTGAGCTCGCACCTTGTGACTCGGACGTTGTTGACCCAAAAATAACCACTCTCGTAGATGCAGAGCACCGAACTGAACAGGCAGCGTTGAATGAGACGCATCCTCGACTTCGCCAGATACCGAGGCCAACACACTGCGTCCCGCGACGTGCGTTTCTCTCAATAGCCATTGCACTGGGCGTTGCTAGTCTTGGGAAACCGCTCGCTTCTGTGGCAGCAGCCGCAGCCGCAGCAGCACCGGCGTCTTCGAGCGCAGAGCCCGCAACTACCCGGATCCCGGGCGATGTGCGCATCCTCTTCTCTCGAGCGCAACGCCTGGAAGATGAGGGCGAGTTTCAAGAGGCCCTCAAGATTTACGCTTCGGTCGTCGATCGCGAGCCAGGCCTCGTCTGGGCATATGCTAACCGCGCAAACCTTTACAGTCGCCTGGGGCAGTACGATCAGGCCCTCGCGGACTACACACAAGCGATTCGGTTGCTCTGCAAGACGGTATCTGGAAACGAATCAACCGGAGACGAGCGGCTGACGGACGCTGACGCCCCGTGTTTGGAGCGCGAGCTATGGGTCCTCTACCTGAATCGAGCTACGGTGTACCGAACGCTTCGCCGCCACCAGGAAGCGCTTCGCGATATGAATCGAGCTCTGAGCATTCGTCCGTATGAGCCGCTGCTCCTTGTAAATCGTGCAATGGTCTATGTGGATCTGGCGAAATACGATGCTGCCCTGTTGGACTATCAACGCGCTGTGGAGCGACGACCGGGCGATGTGCAGCCCTTCTGGGTAGACTATGCGTTGACGCTCTTCCAACGCGGACGTGACACCGATGCCCTCGGCATCATGCGCAGAGTAGCGAGTAAGCCGAGTTTTGCCCAGTCCGATGAAGTGAAAGCAGCCTACGCAGTCCTTCTTTATGACCGAGGCATGCTCAGTGACGCAGAGGGTCTATGGGGTGCGTTGCAGCGCCCACGCCGATTTCAAGACGAAAACTTTCTTCGAAACGAGCGTCACTGGCCGCCTCGAGCCATTGAGGTTGCGCTGCGATATCATCCACAACGTGGCAGGCAGAAGACATCATCTTCCTCGGCGGCGACCAGCCTGGCCCCTTCTACCGATTAATACGTCCAACGTCCGTGAATCTGGAGATGGCGAAACACGGCATCCCACAGACCTGGAGTATAGGTCTTATCTGCCTATATGCCGCGTTTTTCTTCCGGATGATCTGCGTTCCTGGTGCACGCCAGGCGTGTCGTTGTACCTGGAGATGGACCGATCGGCTCTATTTATGCGGTGACGCATGCCCGTGCGTATCCATCCAGCTGACAAGCAAATAGAGCATGCACGCAAGCACACCCGCAAGTAGACAGGCAGGCGGGACAGCACCAGGACCTCGTGCGAGCGACGGCTGCGTTTGTCAGGATAACAACGCGTTGTCCTCGTTCGGGTCTGCGTGGCGCAGGTCTGGTTCCATAAAAAGCTCTCGACTAACCGCTCGTAACCACACACTTACCGGGCACAGTATCCTATGCTGTGCTTGTACGCGTCGGAGCAGCGCCAGACTTGCCTCCGCTGTACGACAACGACGAGTGCTTCTGCTCGCGAGCTGGAGCTCGACTCGCGCAGTTGCCCTTCCCAGGGTCCAGGTCGAACAGAAGTGGGCTATGGTGCCGCCTCTTGCACTTTCGGTGTGTCAGGCTCTCCTCCTGCTGTCTCGGAAACGGGATCAGTACCTAGCGTTTGGGCTCGCCCGTCCCGCACAGCCTCTCTCCGCCGCCGGATCTCGCGTTCGAGTCTCGCGTAGTGCTCACGTCGTGCAGCTAGCGTTTCGTTTATCCGCGGAACGAGCTCGTTTAGCCCTTGAAGCAGTACAAACGTACCAGCAACATAAATCGCGAACCGTACAAAGGACGGCATCTGTGTTCAGCACGACTCTGGAGAACGTCAGCTGCAGACCCGGACTCGCGCATCACCTGTCGTCAAGGTTTAGCGGCTGGCAGCGGCTTCCGGCACGCGACACCCGTACCTGATCCTAGCGTGGGACGCTGAACTCCTCGAACTATCCTTTGCATGTGGACTTGTTTCCAGACTTTATTCATCGATGGTGAGCTGCCACATTCCAAGTACGGCAGTGTGTGTGCTTCCGGATTCAACCGTCGTTTTCGGATCATCAGACGTCTTTTCCGAGTGGCTCTCTGTTGACGCTTCGCTGGTGCACTCTACGATGGCATCGGAATTGTGGTAGCTCGTGATGCCGTTGAAGCGGGACTCGTAAAATATCTGACAGCATGACCCGGTGCATATATACAAGCCGCCACGCTTCTCCGCTGGATACCCCTTGCATGCTCAAATCACGCGTTCTTCGGATGGTCGATGTTTCCGTTTCCGGGCAACTCGTGAGTACTCTCCATTGCATCGCTCGGTATGATTTGAGCAAGTGCACACGACGGTGCCCGTGACGATTACCTCTTCACAAGTTCATACCAGAGGTTCACGGAACTTGTCACGTCGTGTAATCGAATCCGTTCGGGTGATGAATGCGCTTCTCTGTGTGGCCGTCAACGGAACGGCAGGCCACCGAGGCATGGGAACGCTCAGCGAATGCGCTGTAGAGGCTCGTGTTTCTTCGCTTTGCATGGGACAGGGTCTTGGAATGCGACTTGAGTCATCGCAGCGATCGCTTTCAGTTGCGTATGGGTCGCAGCTTTGCACATAGCGAGCGTGGATAGATCGAAATTTCTCGACTTGAGCTGTAGCGTAGATTTTCCATCCGGTACTTGTTTCATGATAGACAAGATCGCGTTTCGACAAATCCTCTGTCGAGTGGAACAACGAGCTCTTACGTGTGCAGCGGACACCGAATTCGCTGATGACATCGTCCAGAAGAAGCCGAGAATCGCTCGGTACGGCACCAGGAGAAGAAACGGAGGGCATCATCGAGGCAGGCCTGCTTTATGCGTCAAGAGCATGTCGAGGCCAATGAGGGAAATGTTCATGCGCGCCACAGGATGGCCCTTCGACGAAGAGGCGTTGTGCTGGACATCTATGGAAACGCCTGATCACTGATCGATAACTCCGCTACAAGAAGCGCATCTTGGTCGTATACACACAAAATGAGAACGGCAAGCAAAGCGGGCATCGCGACTTCCATCTGTGCATGAACATCGAAGCAAACAGCCGAAAATAGTAAAGTCGGGAATCCTATGCTGCCACCAACATCCGTGTTTTGCTGACACCAGAGCTGGAAGGCTAGCAGAGAACTTCGTAATTTAAAACGTTGGTAAGATAGGGGTGCAGGCAGCAGAGGCAGAAAGACCCGCAATGGCTGGTGCTCGTGAGCATGCGTGAAGGAGTTTACTTTAGCAGGTATCAAGCCCCACCCCCTCGGGTAGCAGCCTAGACACGTCCTAGTTTATGTTGACATGAATGCACTGCGACACCTGCCCGCACCGCAACGGTTGAGGTGCGTCCCTGTCATTCCTCATGCTTCGACTGTGAAACTGATTCACTCCCAACCACCGAGCAGTATCACATAACAGTAGACGTATCCGATGCCTTGGACACAGCACTTCTGACATGGGATGAGGAAAAGTTTGTGGGTGCAAGCGCTCGCGCTGGATCCCGTGACTGCGTCAGCGGCATAGACAGGGCACCCCGCTTCACCGAAGCCAGCGTTCGTTGGCACCAGATGAAGCGCATGTTCCGGGATCGTACAGTAGGATCGCCTGCGTATAAGGATGCTGTGCATGACGAAGGAATGATAACCGAGCAGCAGCAGCAGCAGCAGCAGCAGCAGCGCGTATTGCGTGATGTCAGGTGGATGCACCTGACCATGCGCTTCGACATACGTGAAAGTTACGATCCAGTGCCCGAGGCAGATGCCGAATCGCTCTCACTCAAAGACGCTGCTGCTTCGCCAGACCCAGACATGTGAGCTTGTTGGTGGCACAGAGGCATGCTCCCATGATACGCTGGTTGTGGAGGCCATCCATCGTGGGTACCTAGTTGGCGTCCGATGCTTCGCTGCAAGGCGCATACCGAGGCAAGTCGCCTTGGACACACCCTGCCGGACTTGGGCTTGATGCTGCTCCCGCTCGTTAGCCCCCGGCGATAGCTATGCACAGTACGTGCACAGGCGCCACGGTGGGCGCTGCGACCTGCGCCCAGCCTAGCTGCGACAGCGGCTTGTGAAGCGGTACCCATCTGTGCGGACTTCGTGCTGCACCTTGATGCAGCGTAGGCGGATCCGAGTTCTGCCGCCCGCTGGGTACCGCAGCAAGCCCGCTGGCAAGTTTTCATGATGCTATTGATGCATTGTTCATCCCGCGCCTGGTGGTCGTTTCGAGGACACGTGTTCGGCAGCGGCATGGACGGCAACTGCCTCACTCGCGATCCTGCAGGCGCAAGCATCCGTTGTTTCACACGTGAGCAGCGCCCTATCGACGTTCGACTAGCGCCATGGTTGTAGAGAGGGATGCCATCGCGTGCGGCAATCGCTACTGCTACTGCTACTGCTACGGGTTACTGATCCTGGAGGCGCAAGCATCCGTTGTTTCACACGTGAGCAGCGCCCTATCGACGTTCGACTAGCGCCATGGTTGTAGGGAGGGATGCCATCGCGTGCGGCAATCGCTACTGCTACTGCTACTGCTACGGGTTACTGATCCTGGAGGCGCAAGCATCCGTTGTTTCACACGTGAGCAGCGCCCTATCGACGTTCGACTAGCGCCATGGTTGTAGAGAGGGATGCCATCGCGTGCGGCAATCGCTACTGCTACTGCTACTGCTACGGGTTACTGATCCTGGAGGCGCAAGCATCCGTTGTTTCACACGTGAGCAGCGCCCTATCGACGTTCGACTAGCGCCACGGTTGTAGAGAGGGATGCCATCGCGTGCGGCAATCGCTACTGCTACTGCTACTGCTACGGGTTACTGATCCTGGAGGCGCAAGCATCCGTTGTTTCACACGTGAGCAGCGCCCTATCGACGTTCGACTAGCGCCACGGTTGTAGAGAGGGATGCCATCGCGTGCGGCAATCGCTACTGCTACGGGCTACTGCAGCGACATCCGTCCCGTATCGCTGTTGCTGCGAGGAAACAGCTCGCTCACGGATTCCAAAGCGTCCCCAACGTTCCAAGAGTCAGGTGCTGCCGTGCGCAGATTCCATGGTACGTAGACATTGCGAGTGACTCGCGCGCACCCCGGCCGTCGGATGCCAATGAGGATCCCCGTACCCACACCTATACCCAATTCAAACTCGGTGAGAAATGAAGGCATCGGCACGCGCTCGACACCAGATGTGCGTTATGCGCAGTGTTGTCGGGAAAAGCTGCACGCAGCTGAACACTGTCACCAGTACCGCTGCCTGAGATGTGCACGGTCCCGCGAATCTTGTGCCCCGCGCTACGTTACGGAGATTGACTTTGGCCCATCGGCAGCGACCTTCAACATGACAGGTCCAGCTACCCGGATATGCACCCGAGTCCAGCGATTCATGCGCCCTGCCACTGGTGGATACCGAGCACCGGCCCGCATCACGAACCGACAGCGCATTCACACACGAGAGAACGACATGAAAACTCGGTACCCAGCATTCGCCCTCATCGCGGGTCTGCCCCAAGGCGGCGCGCTGTGGAGGCAGGCCTATATTCGCAGGGTGCACCAGAACAATCTCACGATGAAGCCCGAGTCGGTGCAATACGAACCACACCTCAGTCCGGAGCGTCGCGTCAGTGAACTGACAGAGCCGTACGCGCTCCATGCTACTGCATCCACACCTGCACTATACCGCCGCTATAGCGAATACACACAGCCGGCACCCAGCACATACACACACACACAAGCACGTGAAAAATAACCGGTACCTCCGAGGCCCAGAATGGAGTCTGGAATCTGTACGTACGGTGTGCTACCAGCCATGGACGCTTCACCATACGCTAAGACCAAGCGTGCAATCAAGAGTTCCTAGATTGGCCTCCTTACGTATGTGTATATAAAGAGAAGCATCGCCCGTCGATCGCCTCGACTTGAAAACGCGGCATCTGCGATGCGCCGCTGCGGCGCTTGCGACGTCGCCGCAGCTTCTTGACGCGGTAGCGCACCTGAGTGTGTGTTTCACTACGCGAAAAGGTATTGCTCGCTCATTTACCGAGCGTTCGTTTCCCAAGAGTCGACGAACCCCACGTAAATTGATCCGTATTGGACCTGAGAGTACAGGTCTGGGGCTTACCGACTGTAATCAGGCCACATCGAAAGAAAATACTTACGTACTCAAGGCAGTTCCCGGGCGAGCGTTTGCTTTGGACCTGACTGGTGCGGCGCTGTCGTCGTGTCGTTTTTACCGCTTCACCAACGCTCATTAACCGAGATCGGCTTACCTAGCCGTCTTGGTAGCGAGTAGAGACGCCTCGGGATATCGAGAATTCCCGACAAGGTACCTGCACTCGCCAGCCCGTGCCGACGCTTGATCGAGGCAAGCGACTCGAAAGGCACGCAGCGCACGCGGGAACGCTCCAGGATGCCGTCTCCAGCTCTTACGCTGTCGTTCGTATGCGCATCTGCGTGGCTCTCGGATCGACATAACATCAGCACGTTCTGTTGTGGGCAGACAGGGCGCGCTTCTACGAAGCCTGCGCGTGGACCTCGAGGCCTTGGTTACCCGCGATCAGTCGGGAACGCGCAACCGCTGAGGTTCATAAACGCCAATCTGCCTGATCCGCGGACCAAGCCCCTGGCGTCGCATCACGAGAGCGTTCGTTCGGAGGACGAGCTTCGTCTAGAGCCTATACGTCGACTCCAGGGCGATGTCTACCTCCCCGGATCGAAATCGCTCTCCAATAGAGTTCTCTTGCTCGCGGCCTTGTGCGGTGATGGAGCGGATACGCCCCAGATCCGGGTCGAAAATCTGCTCTTTTCCGATGACGTCTGGGCCATGATTCGAGCGCTGGAATCGCTGGGGATTCCTGTCGAAGTCGACGAACACAACCGAACAGCAGTCGTCACCGGTTGTGGTGGCCGCATCCCGCGACGTAAGCCCGTCATCGAACTCCATCTAGGAAATGCTGGAACCGCAATGCGCCCTTTAACTGCCGTATTATGCGCGGTTGCGCCACCTGATCCATCGCTATCGGAACAGATCTTCGTCCTCGACGGTGTACCGCGTATGCGAGAGCGACCTATCCAGGATTTGGTCGAAGCGCTGCAGCAACTCGGTTGCGATGTGCAATGTGTTTTGGGTACCGGCTGTCCGCCAGTGCGCATTCGCCGCACCGGGGCGTTTCCAGGCGGTAGAGCTTCGGTGAGCGGCAAGATCAGCAGTCAGTATCTCAGTGCGTTGTTGATGGCGGCCCCGCTGGCGCGCAATCAAGACGTGGAACTCGAAATCCGCGATACACTCGTCTCTGTGCCGTATGTGGAAATGACCGTGAAGCTCATGCAGAAATTTGGGGTTACCGTGCACCAAGAGCACCGTGTCCTGCCTGATGGGCGCGAATCGCGCCGCTACCGGGTTCCGGCGCGGCAGGAATACCGACCGCCAACCCATCACTGCATCATGGTTGAGGGCGATGCTTCCTCGGCTTCGTACTTCCTCGCAGGTGCCGCCATTACCGGTGGCGATGTACAAGTTCATGGATGTGGATCCGCTTCAGTTCAAGGTGATGTGCGCTTCGCCCAGATTCTTGAAAAAATGGGGGCCAAAGTGTCCTGGTCTCCGGACTCGATTCGCCTTCAACGCGAACCGGGACAAGTGCTTCACGGCGTCGATGTGGACTGCGGCGATATCCCGGATGCAGCCATGACGCTTGCCGTGGTCGCACTCTTTGCCAGAGGCCGTACTGCGATTCGCAACGTTTACAACTGGCGAGTGAAAGAAACAGAACGCATGCGGGCAATTGTGACGGAATTGGGCAAACTCGGTGCCCGGGTCGAGGAAGGCCACGACTACTGTATCATTGACCCGCCGCAGCCGGGCGCGCTTCACGCAAACGTGTCCATCGCGACCTACGACGACCATCGGATGGCGATGGCATTCGCGCTCGTGGCATGCGGGGGCGTCCCGGTGCGTATCCAAAACCCGAGCTGCGTCCGAAAGACGTTTCCTGACTATTTCCAAGTACTACGATCGGTATCCGTTTTTGAAAGCACGTGACGAAGATCGCCACGAGTCAACGCGGGCGCCTCGAGCATCGCGGATACGAGCTAGCGCCACTGCAGTGCAGTGTACTGTAGTGTAGCGTTATGAAGCGTTGCATTGCGGTGTGGAGCTCGTACATTCCCCGGATATCAAGGATGCCTATCCATAACATCCGTACACGATCCGTGCGTGGAATTAGAGCATCGTGCGCTGCCGATGGTGACAATTCGCAGCTGCGCGCATGCGTGCAAATCATCGGCTGTGGATGCCATGCACGCTATGTGATGCACCAGGCATCAAGGATGCTTGATGATTCTATCCGATTTCTGGTGATCGACGCACGGATTGCTATGCGATGCACCAGGCATGTGTGGTGCAGATTGCGCGACTGTGCGTGCCCGTCACGCATTGCAGGCGGCAGCGGCGCAGGGCATGGGGGAAACGTCGTGTTCCCGGATGCAACGTAGACGAGTATGCATGAATACGTAAAATTTGCACTGTGGATGATCTTGGTAACGTACGTCATGAATCAGCAGATGCAAACGTGCGGCGCTCTACGATCGTAGGCACCTTTACAAACAAAGCGAGTCAGGTGCGATTAGCCGGGATAAAGGCGGAGAGTGCGCGTTCGCCATGGCGCGGGCACTGACACATACACGCATGCACCTAATCACATACGCAAGTGCGTTGCTTAAAGGCACCATATGAATCAACTTGCGTCTGGGTCACGTGGCGATGCCCGTACGAAAGCAAGTGTTCGTGAAGCGTCTGGAACGTCGCTCAGGAGGACTGGTTTTTGAGATGCTGCAGCGCATCGGCAGCGATCTGTTCCTCCCAAGAGGCCGTGCCATAGGCTCTGCTTGTTCGAGCGATACCGGGCACGTTTTGCTCACCAGCAATGTCATTCGCATCTGCTCGTTTGCCGGCAGGCAGGCGCAAGATGGCGCCGTTCCGGAGCCCGGCATTCACCGCGGAAAAGGATGCTATGTTTGCTGCCGTAGCAGCGGCTCGAGGCGGCGGTGTCGACGGCGTCGACAGCAGCTGCGGCCTGCCCCGCAGTGTCGGGTACTGACGGTACATTGCCTCGCTCAGATCGATGGCGCGCGGGTTATTCGCGGTTGCTTCCGGGTAGTCGGTCATGGGCGGGTAGAAAAACGCCGGATTCCGAACATCGGCGACGTTCATGAACGTCTGAGGCGCTCCGCGGACGCCCAGCCTCATGCCCGTCGTGGCGGTTGTAGCGGTGATGGCGGCGGACTCTTGCGGCGCTGTTAGCGCACACGTCTTGCATGGCGACACAAGCGATGCCATACCAACAACCGTGCCGGCAGACGCGTACGACGGCGAGGCGCATAAAGCGCCCGGCGAGTGACCCGAATCCAGTCGGCGACGTTGGCCGGACAAGACCACTCTTGACGCGTTCCGCTTGGACATCCTGGTCATCGACGATGCGCGTCCGATGCCAGCAACACCATTGCGCTGTCGAGCACGCTGTTCCGGTAGGGACGCCCGATCAGCCAAACTCGCTGGAGCCGATAATGATGATGGTGATGGTGATGGACTCGCCTCGGAACTGCGATGCGACTGCGGCGAATGCCGGTGCCATGCTTCCATATTCGACGGGGAATCATTCGAGACTTCATGCTCGGATCGCTCAGACTCGCATCCGGTTCGCAGGTTGCCACCGGATGGCGACGCCACAGGTGACCTGTGCGGCGTCCCCGTGTCCGTTGCCATAAAGCTGTTGCGCAACTTGGCCGTCGGAGTTCGTGGCGACGACTCCACTGTGGAACCGTTGGATGTTTGAGCATATGACGTTCGCCTGCTCGTCTCAGAGCGCTTCGCACGATGTGACTTGCTGGAACCCGTTGACTGCGCATTCGACTCGCCTGGTGTTCGTTTCCGTAACGATTGGACCTTTTCTAAAATGCCCTCGAGTCCAATGTTCCGCACGCTTTCCTCAGAAAGCAGTCCGGATTCTACCACGCCAACGAGAGAGCTCTTGGTAGGCGTGCCGCTTGCACCCTTCTGGTGCGAGAACGATATACCAAGCTCAGCGAGCACGAGCCGCTCGCGCGCCTGACTGAGCTCAGCGCTTCCCTCAAAGTTGCGACAGTTCGAACATCGGCAGGATGCGCTGCAGTACACGCCATTCTGGAAACACTCGCAGTATTTTTTGAGACAGAGGCTGCGCAAGCACGAGCATCCCTTAATATGCTGCGCGTGACGTTGCGTCGTCGTTCCGGTCGTTCTCGGTTGCGTGCTCGTGCTGGAGGCCTCCTCATTCGGAACCTGTTCCTGGACAGGTTCCGAAGAATCCTCCGGTGCAACGTCCGCGGACTTGGCGGCAGCAGCAGTAGCAGCACAATTTTGTCTCGATGCCGTATCCTTGCTGCTGGTATCGTATTCGAGGGTAACCACCTTGGAACGGAACGCGTGCGGGTTACGTTCAAGCGAGGTCCGGATCGCGTTCTGTCGTAGCGTGTCGTATGCAGGCAGATTCAAACAGTTTGTGCAGTGACAGCCGTTGCAGTACGTTCCAGCAGCAAAACAGTCGCAATAAAGTTTCAAGCACTTGGAGTTTTTGCAGTTGCACGGTTTCCGCGGCCGCGTGACACTCCCGCCCTCCAGAGCGTTACTCGAGAGTCCCGGGGACGCCACCGCGCTCTTGCGCAGGGCGCTGAGCAGAAGCGCTTCACCAGAACCTTTGGATGGCGTTTGTGGTGAGGTACTGGGCGTGCTCGCCGGTGCAGCACGAGAAACGTCCGCCGGCGAGGCGAACACCGGCTGCGACGCTCGGCGTTCAACATCACCGTCGACCTCTCGTGACAAAGCGTCACCCGGCTCTTGTCCAAAGCTCCGCTTCTTCTCCTCTTCAACAGGTACTCGATCCGAATCAGTCATCAGGAACACGAAAACGAACCGTTCACCAGGGATATAGAGGCGACCCGCTCCTCCACGGGCTCTGACGTTCTCGCGAGAGCCGCGGGTACGAACCCGCGTTACCGCAAGCGGCTTTGAACTTTCAAAACTTGAAAGGAATCCCTAATCCCCGGCCAACGGCACTTAAGGGAATACCCTCCGTTAGATGCGCGGACCGATGCGGAATCGATGCATAGGGCGCGGCGCACTGCAAGAGCTGCGCTTGCGTGAACGTGTGACCTGCGCACCCCTGCCGCCGGCAAATCCCTTAATTCAAGATCCCGCGCAGACGCTGCAACGTCCGGCGATGCCCCTTCTCCCGATGACAAAACGTTGACCTTGACTATTGGATGGTAGAATGCGGGATGGGTATTGGCTTTCGGGACAGTAACCACCATGCTGCATCCTATCTTCAAGTTCCATTACTTGTTCTCGGATGTACTCTTCATTTCATGGGTTCTATCGTGCGCCAAGTGCCTGTAGTTCGTTTCCTTTGTCGCGATGGCGGCGCAGGTGCGGATGGTACAGCACAGAGCGATGACGACTCTGTCAAGCTACTGTGAAGATTCGGATTGAGGCCTCATTCAATTCATGCCGCGTCATGTTTCGTCGTCAGCTTGCATACAGAAACTCTGCATAGGCGGGCCTGCCTTCGAGAAACGAAGCGTCTGAATGCCCCTCGAGATGTGCATGAATCCCGGGGGGTCCGTGCTACCCCCTTGCGATCGCGTGTGCGCAATGCATCGTCCGTTCGCGAAAGGGAACGATTGCTCGGTACCTACCCGAGAGGAGGTGTACGTATCGCTGGGCCCACGTACGCAACTGGTTCGCGGGACCTTTCATTCAGAAGATCGTGCGTGTGTTTTTGTCGCGACCCGAGGGCGTTGCGGCTCGGATGCAGACCCATCAGTTGCCAGGTCCGTACTCAGCCGGTGTCGTCTCGCGTTACCTTCTATGGTGACACCCAGAAGCTGTCGTCCCTCAAAGAGGAGGCTGCGTTCCAGATACCATCGTGGTCGCTGTATGCGCACGTGTATCGGAGTCTCAGCGTTCGCATCCTGACACCAGGTGCCGTATGACTCGTACTGTGTGCATCCAGAGTTCCGACACGACTCAGAGACAGGGCGTGCGGGCGAGCCGAACCCCCGTCGATGCGAACTTTGGCGAGCCGACGGGTGCATCGAGCAAGCTCCAGGGATCCGAGCGCCTCCCGCCAGTACTCGCGTGTACTTTCCAGATCGTAATCCCAAAGTAATATCCAGTCACCGTTTACGACAAGACTGTTGCCAAAATGATTCGTAGACCGCAGGTTGTAGGCATTCGGAGCCTCGTTATAAAATAACAGCGGACGACTAGAGTGTATGTTCGCCGGCGAGGCGCTTCACCCAGATCTGAGTCGACTCTACCCGAGTACGCCTGCGATGCAATCGCGTGGATGGGATTATCCTGCCACGCTAGGCGCGCTTGCTGGGCACTGTAACCCATGAGCGTACTCGGCCAGTCATCCCGACTGCCGAATGAACGAAATAACTAGTTTTGCATGCCACCAGGGTCGCGCTGGAAATACACCACACGCCCTCAGCTGTCCAGCAGCCAACTTGCACCACAGATGCCCCAGGCACGCCTCGCCGTCTCCGAAGCGCATGCCTGGGTGACCAGCGTCATTGGCGCATCAGCAGGGAACGAAACGCAATGCACCCGTCTATCCTATCGCCTGGAAATGGCAACAAATGCATACATACGCGGATGTCAGATGAAATCCAGTCCTTTTGGGCGCCGTGAGCATTGCCTCCGCGTCGCAGCGGATCACGCCAACCCGATGGGATCCATATGCACGAGAACGTTGTGCTCGATATCCGCACAAAACCTCACGATGCTCTTCATCCATCTCTATGCATACGTGCCGCTACGTGATCGACGCACACGATGATACCCGTTCTGGAGCAGGTATCGTAACCGTTCGGGAACTCGAAAGCAAGCATCCGAGGCAGGGCCGCATGAAGCGCAACCTCTCGCCAAGTAGGTGTGTTGCGGGCAACGCACGCCCGTTCTTTGGTGCGAGCGATGCATCGGTAGCGTTCGTCTGTCAACCGTATCCCGCATCCGCCACTGATCTGGGATTCCTCCGACAGAGGACGCGTCGAAAGGCCTCGGACGCACCAGCGATGCAGGTCAGCGCGACGATGCCGACGATGCCTCTCATGTTGTCGAGTGACAGCGTACCACGGGGCGTTGCCTGGCGTGCCTGCTCTGGTGTGCTCCGGGGCGCCAAGAGTTGAATGTACTCCCATACCAACCGAATGCCTGAGTGTCGTTCAGACAGACCTGCTGTATTGGGACGCTTCGGGTCGTTTGTTGTACCGGCCTCGACTTGAACGCGTCGCCACCCTTCGATCCATTCTTCTGCCATGCATCAAGCAGCAGCGGTACGACGGTACCAGAGCAGCGCTATCAACGCTTTCGCCCGCAAACGCACCTTGTGGAGTACCCGTTTCATCTGGCGCAAGTACTGCTTCTCGCGTGCCGTGCATAACCTCTGCGGAGGGCGGCGGGGAAGGGGGCCAAAAACTCCTGGTACCCCGCTTCATGGCGCCAGCTCGTGGACTCGTTCACGCGTGCCCGCTGGTTTGCAGGCTCGAGGCGTGACGGGTAAACTGGGGCCTGCTTCCCGCTCCGAAAGTCGTCTGAACACCGGCGAGTACCTGGGCAGCAGCTACGCAGCAGCATCGACGCACGATCCCGCGACTGCGCTGTGCTCAACAAACATCAAAACGAGGCACAGACACAAAAGTTGCCTGGTGAAGACCCGCCAGACCAACACTTCCCCGCACGATAAAAATGGGCGTCAGAACGAGGCAGTCTGCGGTTCATGAAACACGTGGAGGTCTGGAACGGTTTCGTGGTTGCCTCCCTGACTGCCCGTAGGCAACGCACGTGCGGAAGCTGCCTGGTTAGATCCGTTGGCCGTTGACAGTGAAAAGAATCAGAACGGGTCTCCGTTCCGCTGTCTGTTGCGGTCTGTGCTGGTAAATAAACAACAGCGCCATGCTCCAGTACACTTTGAACGCTTTACCGTGGCGACGCGAAAAACACAAGCTTGATTTCCGGCTCGCCGACTTGCCTTGGAGAAACAATCGGTCCAGCTTTCCGTAGTCTTCCCTTGTCGGCCTCCTATCACTTTCCTGCAGCCGTGACGATCAACAACGCCTCAGATACCTGTGTGCTCATGGCATCCCACCGCGCAACAACTGGGCTCCATCTGGGCGTAGCATGCGAGGCACGCGCGACGACTTGTTGTACCGCGCGCTGCGCTCGTTCTCAGAGCGGATGCGCTGATCCCGCTGGACCCGCTTCAGAGCTGGGCAGCGGCGACGACGACGATGACGCTTCTGCCTCTTTTTCAGACTGCCCAGAGGTGATCCGCGCACGGCGCTGGCGCTGCGCATTCGCCAAACGACGAAGCGCAACCAGCTCCGCAGTTACCGATTCCGCCTCCAAATTGCGGCCCCAGACGAGCGCATACGAGCTGCTCGGACTCATCCCACAAACGTAGAAGCAGGGCGGAGGCGTAAAGCCGTTAAAACCACCAGCCAGACTCAGCGTATAGGCACCCATGCCAGTCCACCAGAGCCAGTCACCAATTTGCAGCGGTTGCGGCAGGATGACGTCGCGGCGCACCACGTCGAGGGAATCACATGTCGGCCCGAATATCGTGCATCGCACCGGATGCAAGAGGGACGCATCCGTAGCACAGGGTGGAATGGGTTCCGGAAGTAGCAACCTCGGCGTGAACGTTACACCGAGCAGCGCTGCATCCTTGAAGCTTCCGTACATACCATCTCCAATATAATAGTCCATACCGCGTTTCAGTGGCGTTGGCGTTGGCGTATCCTTCCCGTTGACACCGATATGCTTGGGACGTGCGCTGATCACCTGCGTCGCCAAGATCTGTGCTGCACCGATAAAATAGCGGCCTGGCTCGGCGATCACATCGACACCGCTGGAGGCCGGAAACAACTCCTCCAGGGCCGGTCCCAAACGAGCAGCAATTTCGGCAAACGAGATCGGCGCGTCACCATCATGGGCTGGGAATCCGCCACCGATATCGAGAATCGTGAGCGGTTCTCCCAGAATCACCTCTGCCATATCGAAGACTTTGCGAGCATCCTGAAGCGCTTGATAGTAGGCGGCAAAGGAGCGCGCCCCGCTGCCCACATGGAACGCAACGCCGACGACGCGGACGCCGAGCTCGCGAGCCACGCGTAGCAGCTCCGGCACATCCTCCAGCGACGCTCCATACTTGCTGCTCAGGGGGCACAAGGAGTCTTGATCATGCGTTGCGATACGCAGAAGCATCCGCGGCACCGGAATCATGTGTTGGTTATCGGTTCCCAGCGTACCAGCCGCCGTGCTGCTGCAGCTGCTGCTGCTGCTGGGCTCGTTCGACGGTCCAGGTGCACCTGTCGATCCGCTCGCGTCTGCCACGGGGCCAAATTGACTCCCCGCGTGACCAATCGCGATCCCGGCTACTTTGCAGGCGGCCCAGTAGACGTCCCTAACCTTGTACAACTCGAGTTCGTTGTCGAATGTCATTAGGGACACACCGTGCTTCTCCAGTGCGTAGCGTATTTGTGGAGGTGCCTTACACGGGTTAGCGTATACAATACGCCGGGGGTCAATCCCTGAGCCGCCGAACCCTACACCGCCGACCGGGAATCCTTTCTCCTTGCCCGACGCCGCCAGCGCTGCGCAGGTATCCATCACCAGATCAATTTCGGTCCGGGACGCACAGTCGAAGCCGCATCCTAGAGCCGCCAGTACCGCGACAACACAGCGATCGGGGTTGCATTTCACTGCGTAGTGAGGGCGCACGCGCGGCAAGAGTCGCCGAAATTGCCAATACTGGCGAGCGACATGTCCCAGATCAACCACATAAAATGCCGACAAATCCGGAGACAAACGCGCGTACTGGGCATGGCTTGCGGTCGGTTTCCCGGTAATGATCGCTCGGGCATAGGCAGCCATCGCTGCCGCGGACGGTGAGATGGTATGGTCTCCACCGATGCGGTGGTTGTCGTGCCCTGAATCGGTTTCCAGGCCCGTGTCAGACTGCATAATCATTTCCGCCTCTTCTGTCCAGGCATCGGGTTCGCTATTGCCGGCAACCGCAGACGTTCCGGGCGCCGAGCAGGTGTCGCCGTCCGGCTGGGGCTTGGCTCCGATTCCATCCGTCGTATCTGGATCGAAAGCAGAATGTAGCTCACGAAAGAGTGCCGGCTCTGGGAGCACCAGACGATCAATGGCAACGCCGGGCAGCGACGTCATAATCCTTTCCAGAAAATCTTCCTCGGATGGATCCAGGATCTGCAGCAGTTGCTGTTGTTGTTGTTGCTGCTGTTGCCGCCGCCTCAAAAGTTTCTGTACGAGAACATTTTGCTGTCGAAGACTTTGGGCGATCTGCTCGGATACCGAACGATGAATTCCACTCCCCAGCTTGCTTTTTCGGCGACTCCCTGGAGACACCGGTAGCGTGTGCTCTACACCATAACCACGAAATGAATACGCCGTGCCATGCACTGGCGCCGAGGACTCGCGCGTCAGCGACGCTGGCAACGAGCGCGCGACCGACACTTGGCAGTCCCTGTCGCAGCTGCCTGTAAGTGATTCGGCCCAGGGCGTTCGCTTGCCTCTCTGGCACTCGACAACGCTGGTTCCCGAAGCTGTCACCATGCTCGATGCCGGAACCCCGTCGTCGGCCACTTCGTCGCCACTGTGCTCCGCTGAAAAGCGCATACGCAGCGACTTCGCTCGCGAGTCAGATATTTGCATCCAAAATGCCTATCCAATCAAGGTAAAGATAATAAAGAGCACGCACACCTAGCACGCCTTCGCGTGTGAACAAGCGTCTCCCGTCAGCGCAGTCCCGGGCTCGTGCAGAAGCAGCAACACCGGTCTTCCCGATAGCGCCAGCGACGCTTCAGATAGCTTGCGGGGTAAGCCCCCAAGGACGAGTAACACCAGTTGGGCTCGCCGTGTACCAACTGCGTGCGTCGGCGCTGATCCCTGCCAGTATGTCCGCGAGCGTTCTCAACGTTCTCCCACCCTGTTCCCACAAAGTTCATGTCACTCTACAACGTTTCCAGCGCGTACGTTTCACGCCAGTTGCAGCTGCAACAGCGTCGTTATCGGCGGTTTCGTCCCTGCAGCCGACGTGTCTCTGCTGGACGAAAGTGCTTACGCAGACCGCGTGAGCACCAAACAGGCATCCGTCGCGACGTTCGCGCTTGCGTGCGTGCGTGCGCAGCGGCGATGCGGCTGCTGCCGGCGTGCTGGTGATGCTGCCGGCGTGCGTGCATGTACGAATACGTGCGTGCGTGCGTGCGTGCATGTACGAATACGTGCGTGCGCGCGTGCGTGCGTGCGTCACTGCCTCGATGTGATCGATGCAGGTGTCAGCGGCGAGCGAGCGAGCGAGCGTTCGCGCGCGCTCCCACAGCCGCAATCGATGCGATCCTCGGTGCTGGGTGTCGATGCACGTACGCATCCATGCATCTATGTACGTCAGTACTGTAGAAGCTAGTCGCTCGCATCTATGGGTATGCTTCATCATTGCATACACCAAGGAAGACAGTCAGCAACTGGCGACCCGAGTGCTCAGCGCTGCCCGCATCGAGCGCCAGTAGCGCTCTGTGCATGCAGCAGGTAGCCTACGCAGCGTCGAGCAACTCGAGCGGCATGGGCGATATCTCGAATCCATACGGCCGTCTGGGCTGGAGCAAATGGGAACAGATCGGAGCACCGTGGTGGACACATCGGCACTGATGCCCGATAGAAGCGGGGCATCATACAGAGGAGGCAGCCGCCGACACCGGTCCGCTTGTGGATCGGCTTCCACGAAAGCATGCTGCTTGCCGGAAACGGTGTCCGAATACCGCGCAACAGCGAATTGGACTGGTGCTGGTGGGCAATTTTTACGTTCTCTTCGAGTTGCCTGGTGTCTGCTGGCTCTGAAATGCATCTGGAGCCGTCGAATGCATCGAAAGGCGTTGACGGAACGATTGAGGGCGTTCTCGTATGCACTGGAACGGTGGATGTCTCAACGTCGCACCCGAACTGCATTGAGCTGGGTATCTGTCGCCAGGCTGTAGCCTTCGCGCTGTCGCCGTATGTCATAGGCCAATAGTCGGTCTGGGAGGTCCTTGCATGAGTGCCAGGCCCGTGCATTCGCGTAACCCTGCTGCTGGAAGCGTAGCGCCAACATTCGTGTCGCGGCTTCCGCCTGAAGCACATCAACTACTTCATGGATATCCTGCAGAAGAGATGCAGGCTCAGCCATACGTATGAAGCTGGCTGCAAAAGTGATGCGTCTCTGCGATGCAAGGCAGGCAACTGAAGATCACAGGTGGTTGTTTCGGGGCCCAGCACGAGACACGTTCCCGTGAGAAGGCCATTTCCTGGCTCGCCAGTATACCCTGTATCATCTCGTTTTTTATTTTTATGAGGAATCGACCTCAGCACTGGACCAGTTTTCACAGACTGAGCGCGCGTGCACCGGAATCGAGAGCATATCCGTATGGAAGGCTTTCACTGTGACGGACTGTTCTGAAATGCTCCTTGCCAGCCAGCCAACCAGCCATCAAGCACCAGCGTCTTGGATGGACTCGAACAAGAGACTGCAGCCTGTTACGCTTGACCGGAATGCCACGAAAGCCGTCGACGAAACGCTGCTCACCGTCTGCGCACGACTGCATCGGGCAAGCGTCTGTGAACCCGGGTGCATCATGCGGCCCTCTGTGCAACGCCTGCCCGCTAGATCTCATACGCAGAGCATCTTCGCAGAGTCTCATTCTTAGTGTCTATCGTTCACAGGCATGATCATTACGTGCCCGCAAACTCTGTGTAATGTCGCAAGCGCCTATTCCATTCGCTGACGTCTTTAGTTCGTCATGCATTTCACTCGAGACGCAAAGGCATATCACAGAACGCATCCAGCTTCTCAGACGCGGCCGTGACCTCTGGAACATACAAAACAACATCGTGTATTCCGGTATGCGCGCTCCTTGACGCTGCGCCAAGCAAAGCCCTTCCCAGTCGTCTGCAGCCGCCGTCTCGAAGCGTCGATGACCATCGACAGCCGCTCAACACCCAGATCGGCATGAAAGGGGACGACTTCTCTACCTCGGGTGTGCACACTGAAGTTTGAGCCACCTCTAACTATGGTGAGCACCAGCATTTGCTGGCTTTTTCTGTAACAGCGTTCTTTTCTTCTCACCTCTCTATGGATTTACATACGCCTGTCTATGAAACACCTCGAGCTCTGTTATTACACTCGAACGATGTTCATGGCGGCAATAAACTCCCAATTTCGTTGCTTATGGCCGCTATCAATGCATTTCGTACACGGGCAGAGGATACGTTCCGTCCTTCGCTCGACGTTTCCATCTTCGTTCTAAACAGTCACAACGAGCTCTGCGCAGCGACGACGCTTGCCAGTGCTCAGGTGTGCCCAGAGGTCCGCCACATCACAGGCAAGTTCCAGGGGTGCCCCGTGGCATGCGAACGCCTGCTTCATCGCGTCGTACCCGCTCTTAAGGCGCACACAAGGCCTCCGTCGACGTCCTCTTCTGCTCTCGTGCGCATTGCCGTGCTGTACGCTCACGGGCTTCTTCGAAGCGATGCTCTCGGCGAGTATTCCGTCCGCTGTACACGCAAGCGAACGCTGTTCCATTCCATATTGGATTTGTGGACTACGATGTTGTCCATGATAAAACGAGAACCAGAAGGACTATCCAGACTAGGGAACACGTCCATAAAATTTCGTTCCATCTACGTGTCCTTCATGTAACGCTGTGACGCAGTCTCAACGGGAAATGATCGCAGTGATGACGCAGATCCGAGTCCAAGACCCGTCTCCATTCAGACAGCCAGGAACAATGTCATGTTTTTATGCTCCTCAATCGATCGGTGCGAATTTCGGCATCCTCGCATTGCCTTGAACCAGAGCGATCGAAAACTGGAAAGAAGCCCGCTTTTATCATGCCACTTGAAAGCAAAAGAGAAGCGTACAGGCATGCATCTCGGCATTGAACAATGATTCCTGTCATTTCACGAATCCTCGTTCGACACCATGTCGAATCATCTGGATCCCGAGGACGCACCGAATTCCAGCAGCTCAGCCTCAATGGAACAACTTTTGAAAACCCGACCGAGTATTCAGAAACGATCTATGAATCCGTGAGCCCTCATTGCTGCATTCGCAAGTCGAGGATGTTCATCCAAAAAGTACATCCGAACAGTATCGAAAGCCAGCAACAGAGTGCCAAGTTTCGTGTTCCATTCTCACCCGCTACAGATAAAGAGCATATTCGCTTCTATCCAGTCATGGATCATACCATATTTCCGCTGGATGAACCTATCGCTCGTATCTCCGTTGGCAAGACGCGAATCCAGACACAAACACCCACCCACTCGCAAGAGCACACACGCGGGCCTCAGGTTGAACGCCGCCACCGGGCCGCAGCGCTCGCAAGCCATAGACCACGTCGGACAATCCCAGCGTTTCGAAAGCCTGGTCGTCGTCGTCGTCTTGAGAGCGCCTTTTGGTCTATGTGTGTTGAAGAGAGTTCCTTTTGACCACTACAGCGCCTCAGTATGCCTGTATACCGACCGCTCTTTCGCTGCGCGTTGAGTGTGTTCCTCTGCCGCAACTCGTACCGAACACTGGGGCGTGCTGTAGGATTCTGGCGAGCCAACGGAACATCGTGGCTTCTGCGAGGTTCCCGTCTGGGTATCGCACTCTTGAGCAGTTGGCTTCTTCTTTTATTTATTGGTGAGTTCCTAGCGTCACTCGTGGAGTTGTCTGTGGACGTTCTTACCCGTATTGGTGTTGATGCTAGGCGCAGCACGGAGAGCGAAGCCCCGCCACGTCCTTCGCAGCACGCTCTGGGGGCCGCTTTCCTGGCTCGTGCCGCTCGAATCGTTCGACTGACCGCTCCCTTCGGCTTGGTTCAAAAGTTCAGACTCGCCTTTGGAACGAGACTGGTGTTGTGTTGGGGCACCAAGCCCTCACACCCGTGGGCTGAGCAAGGCAAGCGAGAGCTTCGTCCTGCCGCAGTAGACCCGGGCGCGCTGCTGGGGCAAGGCGTTGCTCGTCCGAGGGCCTCGAATACACCTTTGGACTGGGTACCGCACCTGCAATGTTGCCATGATTTGCTACCCGAACCGGAACGACGATGCCCGATGAAACGGTGTTTCGGCATCGGCGTCTATGTACCTGCTCTGGAGTTGGTCTATGGCGCTTCCGCTGCCGAGACAAGTGCTACGAGCAACGCAAGCGAGTCGAGCGCTGACCCGGTCGTTGTGACCATTCGCGTTGAACAGCTCTATGTTCCAGTCAGCGCGCTCGTTATTCTCCTCGGTCGCTATCTGTACGGGCGTCTTCAGCGGCACCACAGAGGCGCGTCTTCGTTCGGGCGCCGCGAAACGCACCCTAGTTCCTTTTGTAGAGTGTGGAAACAGCGGCTGGAGCATGCACTGGTCAAGATGCTGTATGGGATCCTATCTGGCATCCGAGCAGCCCAGGTGGCAACGGTGCTGGTTTCCGCGAGCAGTCCGGACCAGGGGGTCTTCACACTGCAGCGCTTAGAATGCGAACTTGATCGTAACACCCCAGCTGTGCAGTTTCATGGCCGTTATGGGCTCTATGCCAAACCCAAGCGATCCGGTGCTGAAGATCATCAAGAAAGCTTTGCCCGAGCATTCTTGCGAGCGCTCCGTGGTACCCAGTCTGAGCAGCAGTATGCCGGTATCGGAGTTTTTGGCTGCGTTCACCTCTGCCGTAGCCTCGAGGAGCGCAACACGCGCTGTCATCAGAACGCCGCCATCATTGCCTGGTACGAGACACCCGGGCAGTTGGGTTGTGGAGCCGCGCTGCTCGGCTCAACCCACGGTGTCTACCGATCACGTCCACCGGGTCGAGATGCAGACAAGGAAAGCATCGACTCGCCGCCGCACAGCAGTGTTGCGATAGCCACACCGCCGACCTCGGCGCGAAGGAATGCCGACCTTCAGTTCGAAATGGCAGGGATCGGCCTGGAACTGAGCTTCGAGCTCCTCGTTGAACTGGCACAACGCTACACCCAGCAGTGGTTACGCAGACAAGCACGAAAAACAGAACAGAATCGGGTCGGAAGGTCGCGTTCGGATTCTGGTGCGAAACTGTTGCAGAAACTCTCGCACTTGGCGATCTCGCTGCATTTGCGCAACGTCAAACTTGACTTTATTAGCAAGCGTGATGAGGTGCGTCTCGAAGCATCCGAGCTGGAACTTTTTCTGGATCAAAGCAAGGCAGGTGCATCCGCCGTAGGGGCATTCATGGTCCCCGAGGCTCGTCCGTTTGCCAAGTCCCTGCACATCCGCCTGGATCAGGCCGCTGTACAGCTGTTTCACAGGCTAGTGACACCTTCGATAACAACGAAGGATGACGGTGCCTTGAACGCCACGCTAACGACAGTGCTGCGCTGCGGGATGATATTCGGATCCCTGGAGGAGGCTGTGCTCGAGCGTGTCGAGCTGCAGGTCGCACAACACCCTCTGTTGGTGATTGCTCAGCTGGCAGTGGTGCAGACTTTGCGACAGGTGCAGGTACAGCGTCCTCGCTTGGACTGGTGCCCCGACGCCCAAGATGGACTCGAAGCGATCTGGCATCGTTGGCGAACCTTATTACCGCAGTTGGATGAGCACTTGCAGCGGAAATCTCAGAAGCGCAGCGAACTGGCGCCCACACGAATTCCAGAGGATTCCATCTCGTTGTGGCAACTCAGCGTTGTGGGCGAGGCCAGCGCCTGGGGTCGCTTTCCTCACGGCAATAACTCGGGTATGGTATTCGATGCCTTGCAGATGCCGCTGCAGCGGCAGCCGTGGCGCATACGTGTCGAACGCCTATCCTGGTTTGTGGATGACCGCTGTATGGGGCATGCAGCCCAGACGTCTTTCTGTGTGCACTGGGGCAAGGAGAAGCGTCTAATTGAGGCCCACACTGCATTGCTTCGCTTCCAGATGCCCTATGGATTTCGTTTCCTACAGCAATACAACCTGTTTTTGGCGCATTTGCGGCTCTACTTTCGATATCGCAAGACGTTTGGCCGCCATACCGGCACACGCTCCGCCCGAGCTGCTCCAGGCACGGCGACTTGGTCGGGTACGCGGAAGTCTATTTTTCCCGACGTGGACATTCGAGCCGATGAGGCGGAGTTCGTGCTCCGCGATCACGAACTGGAGCACTGGTTCAACGAACGCTTCCTGGTGATGGTGGACGAGGCGCAGGAGCGGGTTCTTCGAGAGCGGCTCGCACACTCCATGTTGGAGGCGAATCGACCCAGGCAGCAGGAGATATTGGCGGATGAACTGGAGCACCAGCACGCAACCCTCTATGTCAGAAGAATGCAGCAATGGCAGCAGCAGAGACTTGAACTCGAGCGGGCCGCAGCACTGCACCAGCAAGTGGTCGCTCCTTGGATGCCGGACGCTGCTTTCCAACAGTTGTTTGTGGCTAGAGCGATGAACGTACGTTTCCGTCTGATCCGCTCGCGACTGAGTCGCGCTGAAGAGAACCGCGAAGCAGCAGCGTTCGCGGCGCGTATGGACGCCACATTCGGTGAAGGTGCAGTTTCCAGCCAGGCGAATACCGAGACCGCTTGGAGCTCGCGTTCCAAGCAAGCCTCGGAAACTGCACCATCTGATGAACCGGCGAAACCGGAAGCAGGCAAAGGATGCACCCGCATTGCCGGAGAAGCTGAACTGGTGCACCGCAGCGCAGCTGCCTCGTCGTCTGGGGCACCCACGATGTCCACATATAGCACTGCTTCTGCTGCTGTTGCTCCTGGAGCAGTGCAACCGCCACCGTCACCGCCACCACCTTCAACACAACGAGAACATCTCTTGGACCCGAACCAGTGGTACACGCTCGGTCGCCGACGCCTCGTCATTGATATCGATGGTGAACTGGTCGTCCATTTGCGTCATTTCCCCTTTCCGGTGGTGCAGTTGGAGAAGGGACTCCGCCTCCGGGGAACCGTTGCGCTCGGTGAACTGCACGTTTGCGAGCCGTTCGCTGCTGAGCGAGACCTTCAGCTCAGTCAAAGCTGCTGGGTGCGCTACCGGCGAGCCATCTCCCCGAATCGCTGGTACTGCGACTGGGACCTCATGAGCGGTGGACGCTTTCGGCTGAACTGGTCCCGTGCGCTGATTTCTACCCTCAAGGATATGATGGATGGCTTTCAGGGCTTTGCGGGTGCAGGCAAAGACCCGAGTCCGCTGCTCAACTGGTGGAATCAACTGAGACTGTTGATTCACGGCCGTTGGCGACTGCACTGCCCCGAGGGCTTTCAGATTGTCCTGTTGAGCAGCGCGCCTTACAACCCTGAGTATGACGAGCGGATCGAGTGCTGCCTAACGGGACCTCGTACGGGGTTATGTATCGATCGCCGACTGGGAACAGTGGAACTTGAAGCGGACGCCTGGAAGTTGCTGTTCCATGTAGCGACATCGAGCAACCAAGGAGCACCGCTCCACGCCCCGAGTCGACTGTGCGGTGCTGAACCCATTCACTTGCTTTTCCGGGTCGATGCGGAGCCCGCGCTTGGTGTTCCCGTCTCTGCGTACCCACATCCACTGGGGTATCCTCGAGGTGTCCAGGGGCCGGGAGAACGCCTGCCTCCCGCTGTCCCGTCGACGTTGGTACCGCTGACTGCTGCCTACCAGGGGAGTTGCGCTCGACTCGCAGCGCGAGAAAACGTTACGTTGGGCACTTTGCCTGCGAGCGATGCCTCCAGTGACGCAGCAGGCGCTAGGTGTTTCACGGATTCAAAGCAGCTGATAATGGAGCCGGATGCGGAAACGGTTACCCCGTCGCATACTCGGGAATCCGCCGGTGTTCACGCAGATAGCACGCTCGCGGATACCGATACGAAAACAAGCGAACATGCCTCTTCTACGGCTTCGATTCGCAGAGAGCCGTACGCAGTGTGGTATACACCATTGGCGGACTACCCGCAACACGATACATACCGGAGCTTTCGGGCTCGAGCGCTGCACCTATCACTCCAGTGCAAGCTCTCGTGGAGTTCCAGTGTAGCATCCGGAGAGCACGATGCGCAAGGCGCTCAGCTAACCACGTACGCTTTGGCGTCAATGCTCTTCCGAGTGCTCGAACTGGCCGGAGTGAATCGACTACTGGGGCAGTCACCGTATGCCTTCCGCCCAGTATCCCGCAAAGTCGGCCTCATCCGTTCGGGAAAGCGGCGCTATGGTGTACGCTTCGGGGAACTCGTGTCAAGTTTCAGCCTCTCCGCATCGGTCCCCAAACCCTGGGCACTCCGCTGCTACGATGCTTTGCGTCCGACGGAGCACTTTACAGTGCGAGCAGGGCCCGTAATGGCGACGCTGTGCTGGTGCCGTCCAACTGGCTCCGCGTTTGAGTCTATTCGCGGCCGCGCCTTTGAGCAAAATATCCGAGTCTCGGCAGACTGGCTCCGCATCGACCTGAACCGTGGTCTGCTGCTGCTGCAGACCGGGCGAATCCACTATGAGCGTGCACTCGAAGTTGAAAAGATGCAGGGCCTGCTTCTGCCCAGCACCCTGGATACGCTTCGTATCTGGCCGGATTCCTTCGCTGCAGTATTCGCCACGGCGAAGAAAGTCTCACAGCGCACTCTGCTCGCCGGATCCGATGCACTTCATGCGCTGTTTCCGGGGAGCAACTTGGGGAAAGGTGCTGCTGGTGCTGCCGCCACTGCACCTGCTACCAGAGTCGCCAAGCCGGAGCGCACGCTTGTCGGGTCGCTACGGGACCAGCACGCCGCGGAAGCGGCTCAGAGCGTCGCCGGCACCGCTTCTGGTGCAGTGAACACCGGCGCTGGCACCAGCGGCAGCGGTCTCTGGAACAGCGCACTGAGCGCCCCGAAGAGCACCCAAAGTCAGCAGCATGAGCTGGGCAACCGCGCTCGACGTCTCGCCAATGCGCTCGGGATGTCGCTCTCGATGCAGCGCAAGCCAGAGACGGATGTCCTGGACTTGAGGGATTTGTTGCTGCAGGAGCATCTAGAGCAGGTCAAGCGGCAGCAGCAACAACAACAACAACAAGAACAGCGGCAGCGAACGCGTTCCGGAAGCGCTGCAGACGCTGCCGCACGCTTCATGTCCACGCGGGGCACTCCGGCGAGAGAGCGTGCCAGCGACGCTTCGCTTCAACCTCGAAGCACAGCGATAGCCACTCTCGATGCTGATACATCTGGAGCGGCTTCGACGACGGCAGCGAGCAGCAGACAAAGAAGAGCGCAGAGCCTGGAAGCGCCGCCATTGTGGCACCAGCGCGGCACTTGGACGAAACCTGGTCATCAGGGCGCTTTGCCGCAGTCGCTCACCAGTGAGCGACTCTCGGCAACGAGACGCCGTCCAGATGAAGCGAGTCGAGCGTGGGAGCAGTCACGAACGAGTGAGCGGCGCTCGGAAACGACACTCCATGCAGGCGAGACAACTCAAGTACCGGAGCCGTTGCCACAGACGACAGAGGCGGGCGCTCATGAAGCCAACCTGACCTCGCCAAACTGGATAGCTTCGTCTTCGGAACGTCCACCAGTTGCTGGTCAGCAGCCGCTACATCCACGCGTTCCCGAGACAGCCGATATCGGACTGCCGGATAGCAGTTCCGGTCGAAGTCGTTACACGCAACGTCGCCAACTGCTTTCCCAGCGTGTTCGCTTCCAGTTGACGCTCATCGAGCCCGCTGTCTGGATTCGCTCCGAACAGGGACGGGATGCGGTGCGTCTGTCAGCCAACCAGGGCATTCTGGATGTCGTGGAGGGCGTCTGTCACCGCGGTGCCCAGGACCTGGGTACCGAAATCGATTATCGAGTCTGTTTACGCGGTGTGAATATCACCGTCGAGGGCCAGGAACTGTCGCATCCAGCGGAATCGGCACCTATCTTTCTCTACTATATTCATCCGGTACCAGCGGAGGACTTGCGGGCTCGCCACGTGGAGGTAGTGGTACCGGCTCTGCACCTGGCGGCCACCGCTCCCGAGTTCCACACGCTTTTCCGCATTGTACGCGAAGTTCTTCTGAGCAAAGGTAGCCAGGCGTTGCGCGTAAGTCGCATTCTCAAGCCGCTCCGTCAACGCGCTGTGGTCTTCGAGGATGCCGACTTTGTGATTGAGCGAGCGCTGACGCTTCGCGCCTTGCTCCAGGATGTGGATCTCTTACTGCTTCATGGCGGTGAGGAGAGTCTCGCCTCTCTCTGGACGCAGCTGGATAGCAGCAGCGGTAGTACAATGCCACCAGAGAGCCGGCGCGGCAAGATATCCACGGAGGTCGGCAGCACAGGCGCTTCAACCGGTGAACGTCTCCTCTGGACGGCAAGTGGCGGTTTGCGCATAACCGGACGAGCAAGTGCTGGTGCTACTGCTGACGCTGCTCTCCGCGAGTCCGAGGAAGGCGCTGCATCGCGTCCGACGGCACTGAGCGTTGCGACAAGCGCCGGCACTGCCGCCCCACAACCCGTATCCAAGTTACCGACATCCGAACAAGCGTTTGCGTTCCGTTGGTGGCTTGCTGCACAAGCCCGGGCCTGGCAAGTACTGCTTGTGGATGCATTACGTGGACGCATCCATTATGATGATCGGTCTACAGCGCTGGCAGATGAACTCGAGGATCTCGACATCATTCTGGAAGTGGCGCGGGTGCGCTGGTCTCTGCTGCTAAGTCGCCGGCGAGCGTTCCTAGAAGTGAGCATTCGGCGCATCTATGGGTTGCAGCGGCGCTATATGAGTGGACGTGAGCTCAACGACTATGGCATTACGGATCTGGTGGTGCAGAATCGCTCACGAGACCTCGACTTGGGCTGCGTTATTCGTGGTGACTCGTTTCGCTATGTTTCGGTCTCTGAAGGCGTCATTGGTGGGATTATGCGATATTCGCGGTTGACACTGGACATGGCAAAGACGCTGCATATTCGCCTCTACGGTGTACTGGTGGATCGTCTCAATGAGTACTTTTTCGGGGTGGCTACGAGCACGAATGCTACCGCTGCTGCATCCGCCGCACAGGCGACAGTGCCCGCTGCGAGCACCGTAGCGGCACCAGTGCAGCCTCTGTCTGAGACGTCGTCTCTTCCGGGAATGTCGCCTGCAGTCGCAGATGGCAGGAGGTCGAGCGTATCCAGCATTCTTGCCGGGCAACCTGAGACGAGATCAGCGCACGAGCCGCTGCACGAGGCCCGCGAGGGCTCACTGAACGCGAGCACTCGACGCAGTCCGTCGCGTTCCGCTGACAACGAAACGCTTGCCCCGACAAGTGGTGGTGGTGGTGGTGCTCACGCTCACGCCACTGCTGGTACTGCTGGTGCTCTGGCAAGCGTTGGAACTGCACTCGGGCATGATGCCGCCACCTCAGCGTCACCGCCGCAAGCCTCGTTTGGTGCACCGCCTGTGGATGCTGCGCTTACGGGTACTCCTGGCTATCCCGCTGACCCTTCATCGACGCTATTTTTGCTGCCGCTGGAGGAGAGCGCTCAACGCTACGCCTCCGCCAGCGAGTCGCGGAGCAGTGCGCGTCCGGGTCGTGGCATCACCGCAACAGGAGCGACCAACACCTCTATAACGCCCGTTCAGATCGACTATGCGTACTTATCCTCATTGGAGATCATTGGCTCGTACCACAGCGGCACCGGGAAGGAGCACAGTTTTCTCGATTTCGACGATCTCTGTGTGCTGGTGCCGTCGCTCATGTACCAGGCAGTGACAGGTTCGTGGCAAGGTTTTATCGAAATGGTGCGTCGAGACTTTGCCTCAGCTTTTGTTCGCGACGCAATCGGGCAGCTGAGCAAGCGCAAGTTTCTCGGGTTCCTGCGACGGCCTTTTCGAAGTATATCTACGATCGATGATGGGCGCTCTGCAGGCGAACCAGGCAGCCAGGTGGCGGTACTGGCGTCGCCAGCAGCCACAGAAGCAGCCATCCGCCGACGTCGACAACGGGGACGCACGCCAATTGTACAGGCCGTGGAACAGGCTTCCGCAGCAGCAGCAGTACGAAGCACAGCTCGTGAGCATCTCAGTGAGCTGGTACTTTTCGGTAGTTTACGGCTTGTACGCAGGGCGCTGATGCGTGATCCCCCGGCACGAAGCGCTGCGATGAATCCGGAGCAGGCGTCAGAGCCACTGAGGCACGAGGATGCAGAGGACAACAACGAAGACGACGGCGACGAAGAAGAAGAAGATGATGATGATGACGAACCGTTAGCTTTGCCAGCCTAGAGCGACGCACCGCGAGGACAAAGACGATCATGATGATGAAGAAGAAACGGGATCAGAAACGGAAGCACCGGTAGATACGCTGGGCTGCTCGCGCATACGCCACAGATGACGATGAGCATCCTTTTGTACATGGTCATGATGATGCATCGTCGGCTTTGCCGGACCCAGATCGATACTCAGAAAAACGAATCCTGGACTACCTGTACCAGTAAATCTTTTTTGTTCTTGTTTGTTGTGCTGCAGGCATTCGAAAACGAAATGCAACCTCTAGAATAGAGGAAGGCCGCGGAACGGCTTGTGTTGTGATTGCGAGCTGGAGGGAAAGCTGTCTCAGTTGCACAATGCTGTGGTTCAACGGTCAGCAGGTGGATGCATCGCCTTTCTCGTCGTCCATGAGCTGAAGATCGGGCAACGAAAACAGCGCTCATGAACAGCTATCGTCGCGACTGCTCTCTCGTCGGTGCGTGCCACTCCATACGTTCTCCAAGCACTACGTTCAGAGATATCACAGGGTGTCACGTTTCCATACAGCCGATACGAAGGGTCAAGAAAGAGATGCGGAGAGGCGAAGAAACGAAACGGCATCCAGTGGAGAGCGTCACGCGCTGATGAACGCACCCCATTGATTTCGAGCTGAGACGTGAACGCCTAGAACAGGAGCTAAAGGTGTTCGTCGCACATGAAGAGCATTCGTTCATTCGAAAGATACGGTAGATCTGCATTTGGGCACTCAAACTGCAACAAACCGTTGTTCGTCAAGAACAGTCAAGCGAGCTTTCCGGCAAGATTCGTCCTAGCGACGATTTCATTGTGTGGTCATCTTCAAATCGGTAGACGAGCCGGGTGCTTCGGCACCCGGTCCATCGTCGAAGCCATTCACTGCTTCCACCTTTCATGCTCTACTGGTCTGCTCCAAGATAAAGTCGCTCTCCATCAGGCGAAAGCGGCCAAGTAGTACGCATACGAGATTGGCATTCAGTCGATCTTGGTGCTATCCCATGCTCCGTCATCCGATCCAGTCGAAGGCGTCTCATCAGTTGTAAAAAGTCATTTTCACACGCACTGACTGCTTCAAGAGTCATCCTCTTTCGTGACACCTTTCTTGAAAAAAGTCGTTCTCTATTTGCACCAGCCCTGACCCGTTGTGTCGCTGCTCAGCTCGTGCACAAGCGGTAGTTGAGCGGCGCACTTGTAATCGTTAGCGTGCTTGCAGCGGATAATGTGTTCAAGAGGTGCACGAGGCGTGGAAGATACAGATATAGATTAGGCGACGATTGGTCCAAGTGAGCCCAGGTGCGTCTGTGTTCCAAGTAAGAAGCGGATATGGAGTGTTGCGACCTCATCAATCCCATTTTGCGAAGCGACAAAGAAAGCGAAAAACGAGCTGATAACTACGAACAAGAATACAGGATTCGGAAATCGTAGTGTGGATCATTGGAGCAGCTCGTTCAAGCTTTGTTGCTCATCACGAGAGCACGGAAAAATGCTACGGAGCCGATAGAAACGGATGGATTGTCCCACTTTGAGCACTCTGTGATTTCTGAGAAGTCCAACAAGACGCTCAGTCGACCGCTCATGGCAGCGAACATGCAGATCTTTGTGATGAGCGTAGACCCCGGTCTACGGAACATCATCTCTTTTGCCGTACCTATAAATGAAGAGTGCGAATCCGAAAACCGGACTAGAAAGCAGATGAAGCTGCTCAAATTTATGGGTCATGGTATTATCGAGAGTAGCGAACTGCGCACGACAGCAGACATTCTAACAGGTGGAATGACGACATCAGAACCCATAACGAGACGCTGGGCACCACGTCGAGCAGAACAGAATACTTTCTAGGCTCTACGCAGATACTATGTGACTGTCGAGGTGGCTACTGCGAGGATCCTCGGCGGGAGTGCCCGAGACAGCGCTGGGACAGCCGACGTTTTCCGGTCTACGACGGCAAGAAGCGTGCATCGACCAACTTATTCACTCAGTTGGAAAAGCACATCACCCACGCGTCGCATCATCTACTGGTAGACTACGGCGCTGGACGTGCCGTAGACGCACAGGCTGCGCTCGTGCTCTCTCCACGAGAGCTTACCTCGAATGAAGGAGTTGCTTCTCTGTGGTTCCCGTCGACGCCTTTGGAATGACATAAACGCATCTCGAGCACGAGTGCACGGCGATGCTTGTGGAAAAAAAAGCGTGAAACGGAGACAGATGTCCAAAATGGTGAAGAGGGCGTCGACGGATCGTCGGATGTCGAGGCAGTGGACAAGATCGGCTTGTCATCGTTGCATTTCTGTAGCAGCAACGTCAGCAACCACTTTCTGCCGAGAGACTTGAACCCACTGATCAAGAGACGGGGACATATCGTGCTTCTGGAGCATCCAGCGGCTCAGTGGCGAGCAAGACTTTCAGGTAGTCGTTTATGATTCAGTTTAGGTATCGTACTGAACCAAGGATGACTTTCGATGCGAAAATCAGTGCCCAGAAGAGCGCGCATTGGATTCCCGTCAAGATCAAGGCATTGGTATAGTCCGCAATCCGCACAAGCTCGACTACAGCCTATAAACCGAGAACGAGTCTCCTGAGTAGTGCGTGAACAATAAAAGTCTTCCATTATTCAATATTACAGAGTACACACACACACACAGAAGGGCACGGTGATGCGAAGAGGTGTACGCATCCGATGGCGTGCTGCTTGGGGTGTACTATACTTTGCAAGCGCGCCCCAGTCTTCCGTGGTCATGGATCGGGGCTCATTGCACTTGGAGGATGGCAGACTAGTCCGCTGGAAACTGGGTTCCAACGGTGGCATCTGATCGATGACCAACACGCTCCAAATGGAACGCGAACTCCAGTATTACTCAGTTGTAGTAGCATCATGTGCGCTTGTGATGCGCTGCTACGAAACCGTCTTGTTGTTGAGGAGCCCGATTTCGTGCATTCCAATGACACCGTCCACAAAACATTCGTCGCGCATATCGAAACAGATTCCAGTCGTGTGAGAACCTTGGCCCGTCGGAACTAGCCGGCAACAACACATTCTTATAAAGACGGTGCTCTCGTTCATGTGCGCGGGATACGCGCCAGCAGCGAGCATCTCCTTCAGCCGTCGCTTGATCGGTACGACTGCTCCGCTGCTCGTCGCTGCCGAGCACGCCTTTCTCGCAAGCGTGAAGCGCAGCTCCGAGTTGCGCTGGATGCCCATCTGCAGCCGAGGCATTATGCCTGGCACACCCCTCTGCATGCGCTGTCGATCTGCATCCTATCGCTCTATTGCATACGATAGGGTTGATGAGACGGATTCCCCTCTTCGACCATGCTCCGGTTGCTTCACCGACACAGGTTGCTCTTTGGCTTTCGAGTTTGCCTCCGGCGATGCTGGTGCTTGTGGCACAGTGCGAGCACGTTGGCGATCGTGCAGGTCCTGAGCCATCTGGTCGGCAAGTTCAGCTGCACTTGCTCCTAGAGTGCCGTGCTGGTTCCCCAGCCGCCGCTGCACCAAACGCTTTGCATGGTACGCAAATGACGTTCGATCCTCCTTAAAGTTCCGCGCGAGCGCCAGAAGTGCCTTATCGCCGTCGGCCGCCAAGTCTACAAGCCGATCATACTCGGCGCTGCTCAGGGCGCTGCCACCGCCAACGCTGTACAGAATGTGCACGAGCTGTATCGCCAGATCCTGCATTTCAGCCTCTGTTCGAGGCGTCGTGACTGAGCTACCGCTCGTCTCAGGGGCAGCGCTCTTGACGCGACCTGGGACCTGGCTTGAGCGAGGTATCAGGGGCGGCGCGGACTCGAGCTTGACGCCTCTGCGCGGTATAACAGCCTCTTGAGGCGAAACCAGCGACCAAAAGAGCCAGCTCGCATCCGGGAGCGCTCGTACATCGGCGTTCGTCCGTACGGGCTCGGTGAATATAGGAGCATAAAACACGGATATCTGTTTGATGTCGTCACCACGCAAGACAACGGTGGGAAACGGGGGCGGCTGCGCTTGCGCTATTCGCTGCCTCAGCGAAGTTACGGTCATGGAGTAGAGTTTAATGGTCGCCAAGTCACCATCAGGGTACTCGATGCAGCGCAGCGGCTTCCCGAAAATATAGGACTTGATGACGTTGAACACTATCGAAGAACCTCCGAGCAGCTTGAACGTGGCGTCAGCTTTGCCTAGTACTGCCGGAATGAGCAGTGGGGCCGGCGCCATGCGCCAGCGGCGGCCAGTGCGCTGCACTTACAGCGTCCCAGTACGGTTGCGTGACCCACCAGTGATGAGGGCGCTGTGCTCTTGCCACACGACTGTGCTGCACCCGGAGTCGCAGTACGGAGTTGGAAAAGTTGCCGCACTCGACAATGCCAGACGACTCGAAATGTTCGAAAGCGTCATGGCGATATTATGGTACATACATGAACATTACGCCCTCGCCTGCAATCCGCACCGCCTCCTTAAGTTGCGGATCCCATGCTCCCGCTACTGGCGGTGGAGATTCTCTGTGCGCTCGTCGCGTTCTAGGAGCATGCCTCACAATGCAGAGGCACCGCATTGCATCGAAGACACCTCGTGATAAGTCGTTGATGCGTAAAGGCTCGATGAGGCGCACACTTTTCGATTATGCGCTGCGGAATCGTGCCAGCTTTCCAGAACGGATGCCACGAAAAGCGCTAATGAGGTGCTTTGCCCTGCAGCTCGCAGTTGGCGGTACGTAGATCTCTGGGCTATTGCCATGGATGTGCATTCGTCTGCACACGCTGCCTCGAGGTCAAAACGATGCAGCTTCGGATCAGCATAGATGGCTCGAATGCTGTGCTCCGGGCAAGTGCCTGCCGTTTTCGGCTTCTGCCGGTGCCATGACGCAGTCGTCGTGCGGGAACACGGGCATACACTGGGAATCCCGTTCGCAGTGTCGACTGCGACGTCGCTGTCGCCGCGCACAGGATCCGCTTCGGTGGCGCGGGACGCTACTCCCCGGAAGCGCGTGTCATACAGGCTTCGGCTCTGATCCAGATCAAGGCCAAAGGTTGCTCGCAACTTTTTCAGCAAGTCCGCTGGGCGTATCATCATCGTCGTCATGGTTACCAGAAAGCAGTTGCTTTCGTCTTGCGTTCAGGAAACGGCGACGATGCCGAGCCCTGATATGTAGCCGATTCGAGAAGGCGCGGCAGTCCCGTACTTTGCATTCCGAGCAAAGCTGTTATCGAAGTGCTGCTAGTCGTCATCAGGACGTCTGAAGAGGCTCTAAACGAAGCAATGAATAGATAATCTTTTGTGAGGATGAATCTTAGACACGGGTCGCGCGATACAAGAGAGAGCGCAGCTCCACTGCAAGCGTGCGAGCCTGGTGCCCACAGCCAGACTGCTGTTCGGTTGGAGCTACCCGGCGGCGGGTTTTGCTACCGTACGCGTCGTGGAATACCGAATCTTCTACACCCGAGTCAGAATTAATGGAGGGCGTCCTCCACCACTGGCATACGCATACGAGTTTGCATGTCTTTCCATGGTCATCAGAACTAGACTTTGCAGGATTTTTCTGCAGCTGCTTCCGTTCCGTTTCTATAGTATCCGGTTTCACATATGCCGGTCTCTGCCTCGCCTCGAGTTTCAGTGCCAGCACTCGGAGGGCGTTGGTGCCAGCGCTCAAGTCCGAATTATGCCGATTCCGGTATTTCCGAAGCATTTCATGCACGGGTGGAGATTGCGATGCTCACCTTCTTCGAAGTCAGCGTCGATGAACTCGTCGAAGCGTTGCCATTTGACTATAGTCAGTTGTTCCCGGATGTTCGTGACCACTTCTCCGCCGAGCGCCGCCTTGGAGCGCGTAAACGCATGCTTCATCACTGCGTATATGGTTCTTGACAGGTTTAGAATGCCCGCCTCGATAAGCACTCCCATTTTCGCACCACGAGCGGTCCGCGACGCTCAAGGGCATTTCCTGGGCAATGCGTCCTGTGCAGACGCTGGCCGCTGCACGCCCAGGTGCACGCTACGCATTTCGATAGAGAATCCGCGCAACGAAATGAAGTACGCGGTAAACTAAAGTAAAGGAAGGAGAACCCAGGCCCGAGATCAAGTCGAGAAATTTTGATGCTTCTAAACTTCTTTTGTGGAAGCAGTGTCGTACGCACCACTTGACGCTATCGCTGTGATGATTCAGGTCTAAATTGAAAACACTTTTGCATGCAAACAGAAGAGGCGGCTTCCTCTAGCAACGTATCTTTCGAACGGTATTATACTGGTTTCCAATGTTGTTTCATAGATGGCCACTAAGAGATGAGGATTCGTCATTCCAACGGAATCCATTAGTTTACTTTAGCCTCTCAGTGAGCTTTCGGCAGGAGCTTCTGAAGAAGGCGTCAAGGGACGACATCGGGCGTTTTCCATATTTAATCTACAGTCAGTGAAACTGCAAATATCCCAGGCCCATGGACGGTAAATGAATATGCACTCACAGACGCCCCGCCAGCCGTTTTCAACCGGTCGACTGCTATCGGCTCTAGTTTCTCCATTTACACCTCGACTCTTAGAGGCTACCCCGCAAACCTCGCTTGCGTCAGCTCCTCGGGTCTCTTGTCTTCAGCGCAGCACATAGTCTGCTATTGATAGAAGCGTTGAATTCTCGGTCCACGAAGTACATGCGTGTATTGCCTCTGGTTGAACTCACTTTTGCAAGAATTCGTCGAAAACATGCCCTCCGTGCCTCTACAGCATGGTCGTCTTCATGTCGGGCATACACCTTTTCTCCTCCATCCCCCTCTTCTTTTTCTTCGTCACTTACTTTTCTCTGCTCAATCGTCGGCGCCAAGATGATTCGTTTCGCTTTTTTCCGGGAGCCGGCAACGGCGGGACCCTTAGACCTCGCTTGCATCTGCAGACCTTTCTGTCGGATTTTGTATTTCTTCAACTGAACGTAATTCTCTATGCCTTTAGGTGAGGAAGTTAACGAAGGTAGAAGCACTTGCACCAGAAGACGGCGTGTGCCCGGTGTCACCGTACTGAAACCTTCCCTTATTCGCCACAAATGCAGTCATAAAGTTTAACGATAGAAAGCTCTCCTTCGATGGGGTTCAACCAAGGAGTGCCCGGAGGAATGAGAACCAAATCTATCCCCCACAGAATCGGTAAAAGCTCGGGCGCAAGGAGAATGGTGAAAAGCCACGGTGTTCAACAGAAGGGCATCACCAAACGTCATGGGAAAGTCTTCAATGATTCGACAAGGTGGTTGGTGCTATTGGATAAGCCTTCTCTACGAGCGAAACTGAGGCCACCAAATGAATCCCCTGCGGCTAGAAGAGATGATATCCTTGTTCTCCTCGGGTTTGATCATATGTAAAACAGGCGCGCTCTCCGCGAGTACCCATATACGTTGTGATTGTTCCGTCCGAATGACGTCTCATCGACTGAAAAAACCAACCGAGGAACCTGTGCTTCATACTGATCGCTGAATTTCAGGAACGTTGCAGGTGCGACTTCGATGGAGAATGGCCGTGAATGAACTAGGCTTTTTTGTTCTACTTTATTCCAATTTTTTCAGGACCATATGATCAATCTTGTGAGAATTAGAGACGCCGATAGCACCTTCTATCGTCGCTTTTGCTTTCCCTAGAAGATGATCTACTGGTTATTCTCTACCATTGACCGCAAATACGCTTCAAGAATACCAGTTTTTGTAATGGGGCACATGGACCTTACTCTTTCAGTGCTCCTCAATTAGCTGAGTACTGTGGTATGAATGACATGAAGGAGGAATGCAGTCCTCCTTGCACTGTTCAGTAAAGGATACATACCCTAGAAGTAACTCGTCTACGATCTATCGGGTAGATTGGATCGTGATGTCGATCTCCTGTTATAAACTGCGAAAAAACATTCGATGACTCGCAGCGGAGATGAAATAATGAGTTGAAAACCTATAATCTGACATGGGTGTAGAGGCCCGCGTACCGGTCCATTGGCCTTGCATCCTCTGGCAAGAAAGTGTCGGCTGGCAGATCGCGCGTCTTTGCCGCTTCCGCTCCAGCAGAGCTGATCACGCGCTTCGCAATGCAGCACTGCTGATCGATTTCCCTAAAGACGCGTTCATGACTATTGCAACACCATACGTCTCATCGATGTCGCTAGAGATGCATCATAACGAATGCGATGCGGTACCGCTGATCGATGTCGCGTAAGATAAATCATACCAATTGCAACATTATACTAATGGCCATTGTCTCTAGAGTCACTTCAAGCCTATTGCAACTCGATATTGCTGATCGATGCCATTCGCAGAGCACCCTGCGTGCTTCGAAGCGGCAGGCCTCTCTGGACCGGAAAGCGCGACCCGCTGTGCGAACAGCGCCCCGATCGATGTTCCCACATATCCCTTACTTGTATACCCCTGGGCACCAAGCTTCAATGCCTCCGAGAATCGCAAGACCCGGGCTGATCACACCTGGGAGCGTCTTCTATGACGCTGCGTTCGCTACCCGTTGCGAAGCTCGCGTTGTCGTGCGCTATAGCGCGATCGGATCGACGTCTGGATCCCACGAGCAGCAGCGCAATGCAAATTCATGGTACATATCTGAATATAATGAGTCAATATATCCAACCATCGTATGCTGCACACCGCAGCCACGTGCATCTGCGCCAGTGGCTGCCAAAGGACGCAGGGAGCGCGTGCCTCCAGACTTGCCAATACGTGTGCTTCGTTCACTGTATGAGTGTGGCATCTGCCGTCACACTTCGGGTGGCTTTTCAAGCCGAAGGGACCGATGTGGTTTGCTCTTGCGCTATGGGCTCGCCGAATTGTCGTCTACTATGTCGCCCTCCGGGTTTATGTTGACGTTCGATGGACACGGAGGCGGGCTCGAGCTTTTGGCGAGGACGACGCGCGGTACGCTCTCCTCTGGTCGCGTTGCCATCGACGATGTGCTCGCCGTCTACTGCGCAGCATGTTGCGACTGCGAGGTCTTTGGCTTAAAGCTGGTCAATACGTCAGCACTCGTGCAGACGTCGTGCCTGTCGAGTACGTGGAAGAGCTCATGCAACTACAGGACGCCGTGCCTGCAGAGGCGGGAGATCGCGTGCGGGCTCGACTTGAGCGCGAGCTCGCTAGGGCACCTTTCCAACGTGGTCTTCTCGACGTGTTTGCGAATATAGACTTGGAGGAGCCGTTGGGATGTGCGAGCATTGCCCAGGTGCACCGTGCTCGGCTGCGCGGTTCGAACGCCCAGGTGGTCGTCAAACTTCGACACCGCGGCGTGAAGCGCGTTGTCGAACAGGATCTAGAAAACCTGCGCATCATTTTCGATTGGATTGCATACTACGAACCAGACTTTGATTGGCGAGAGCTCGTTCGAGAGTGGTCATCACGCGTACGCGAAGAGCTCGACTTTCGTCTGGAGGCCACGAACCTGCAGCGCACTCGGAACTCGCTCGCCCAAGCCGGCATGCTCTACACTGAGGTGCTTATGCCCCAGGTCTTCCCAGACCTGGTCAGTGAACGACTGCTCGTGATGGAGTACATGGAAGGCGTGCGCATCACGGCGTTCGGACCAGACGGCATTGCCCGGAACGCTGACGGCAGCGTTCGCCTCCGGTTAGAGCCTGCAAGCCTGGAGCTGGTAATGCAGCGCATTAGCCGTGCTTTTGCACACCAGATGCTTGTGGACGGCGTTTTCAACGGAGATCCTCACGGTGGGAATATTCTGGTCTGTGCATACCAACCGGGGGTATATCTCCCCGTCCTGCTCGACTTCGGACTCGTCATCCGAATGGAGGAGCGCATGCGCCAAGGCCTCGCGCGGATGATGCTAGCCGCCTCCGACGGGGACACGTTCCTGCTCATACGGTCGTTTGCGGAGATGGGTATTCGTTTCCCTGGCATCGAAAGTTCGAAAGATGTACCCAAAGGGTCAACGCAACACGATTCTACGGCGGTAACGTTGGACGGCGATCCCGGTCGGAGCATGGAGGTTGTGCAGTTTCTTTTTCGAAGCACAGCGCCCATTGAAGAGGCCAAGCGCGAGCAGGAAGCGTTTTACAGAAAGCGCTCTCAGCCACGCGATGCGTCCCTGCCGGGTCGGAACGATCCCGAGGCTGCCCCCAAAAAAGCGGTTGCATCAAAACCAAAAGATTTTCCCAGCACTACCATCCCCGGATCGATTATGTTCATGATGCGCGTCGTGGGACTCTTACGGGGTCTAGCTTCCACGCTAGGCGTGCGGCACGCCTTTCTTCCAGTCTTTCGGGAATATGCGCTGCGGTCGCTGCCTCCAGCGCCGGATACGTGGATTTCTCGGTCACCAGCACGGTCCCTGTCGGACAAGGTGCTCGCATTGTGTCATTCGCTCAAGGATCGCGTCGTGGGCATACAAGTGGCGGTCTATCATAAACACCGCTTACTCGTGGACGTCGCCTACGGCCGAGTCGACCCATACTCCTGGAACCGGGACGGTAGCAATATCGTAACACCAAAAACGCTATTTTCTTCGTTTTCAACCACCAAGGGAATCACCGCAATGCTGGTTGCGCGTGCGCTGCACCGAGTTCAAACTGCAGCAGCGTCAACATCAACAGCAAGAGCAGAGTCTTACGACGAAGGCTCGCTTGCGCGCTGGCGGCAGGGTTATCACACACCGGTGCATACGATCTGGCCAGAGTTTGGCACGAGTACCTGGAAACGCGCCTGTACCATCGGGCACATCATGAGTCATCGGTCGGGGCTGCAACACGCGTTACCTGCCTCTTTCAGTATGTGCAACGCCTTGAACTGGGACCTAATGGTCTCTGAGATCGCCCAGGTAGAACCTGTTTTCGAGCCCGGCACTCGGGTTGCCTACCAGTATCTCTCGTTCAGCTGGCTTGCTGGCGGTATCCTCGAGCGTTGTCCGACCTTGGATGCGCAGCGTCCGTACGCTCGGGTAGCGGAGCATTTGGCGCAACTGAAAGAGGCTTTTGGAATCGAACCCGATGAAGCATATATCGGACTTGAGATACAGCAGGTCGGTGGCAGCGACGACGGTACATTCGATAAGCACGGCGCTGTAGTTTGTGATACTCAGGGCATACCGAATGGCATCAAGGAGCACATGTCGGGGAATCCGCCGGTATCACGCGACCGCCTCGCAGTCTTGAACAAGTTTGGTGCCGGTCTCACCAGTGACGCGCTCCTTGGTGGTGATGGTGCTGCGACTGCGCAGGCGGAAGCCGCGGCACCAGCGGGTGAGCGCGCTTTTCCCGCTCCTGTGGATGCTGTTGCAACTTCTACGGATCCAGCCGGTTTGGAAACGGGCGAGCGACCCGCCTCGAGCACAGTCGAACGAGCCCATCAATCTACCTTGTCCGTGGTGAGCGCAGCGAGTTCGGATCTGCTCAATAGCGGTCTGGATGCCATTGGGACGCTCATGGAAGCCAACGATAATCCCCTGGAAAAACAACAACTTAGCCAGTTGCGAGAGCGAATCCAGCGAGAGAAGTTGTTCTGGGTACTCGATCCCTGCTTCTTCAATCATTTGTTGGTACGCAAAGCTTGTCTTCCTGCAGCGAATGGTCACTTCACAGCTCGGGCTTTAGCGCGCTTCTACGATAAGGCAATGCAACAGCCGTGGTGGCGAATGGCAACCGAGGCCGTTCCCGACAGTGACTGGACTCTGGGCGGATTGCTTCGCTTTGCGGACGGTCTTATTATAGGCCATGGTGGTATTGGGGGCTCCTTTGCGCTGGCGATCCCAAAGGCCCAGCTCACCATTGCTATCACTGTCAACCGTCTGGAGCTCAGTCGGAATGGTCCATCTGTGGCCGAACATGTTCTGGAGTTGGTTGCTAAGGATCTTCACATCAAGCGCTTTGCTCCAAAGAGACTTTTTCGGAGGCGCTGAACAAGTCATCAATTCGTTGCTCTTGTTTCATGACGCCAGAAGAACACACAGAGCCGCTACTAGGGTGATGGACGCGTTGAATCAGTCATCACTTGGCTGTGCTTGTTCCGAGGCACCTGAGAAACACACAGAGACACTAGAAGTGTACCTGGCGCCTTGTTGTTGACCGCCGCGTGTACCAGCCGCACTGCAACTAAGACGCGCGATGCATTCCATTCCGTGGTAGTCGTCGTATCCGGCCAATGTATATAAGCTTCGAATGAACCCAGAGAGCGCCAATGACCTCCCCAGTGCAACTGGTTTCGGACTCGGGATACAAACTCGTGTCCAGGCGCTGCGCGTTTAGTTTACAGCGGTTGGCATCGAGAGAAGACGCCGATAAGCGCTGCTTTGCCAGCGGAACATGTACGTATTCGCCGACTCCCCTAAGAAAGTTCATTAGGTTTCGGACCTCGCTTGCTTTAAAGTCCAAATTGATTCATGCGGAAACCACCGATGCTGACAATCGGAAAGCAGCGTTCAGTATCGATAAGCACCGCTCCAGAGTGTGCACTTGTGTACGGTTACTGCTGGTGCTCAAGTGCGTTTCATCGCTTACCGAGCTCGTTCGTAGTTCAACGTAAGCGGCATCGTACGTATCCGAAAACAGGCATCATGCCTCGTTTCGAATACGTTCGGTGGTTGGTAAGGCTCTGATGCAATCACTACAGCTGCTGTGTTCTATTGCGGTTATGCTTCGTTGGGTGCCAAAGCATACTTCGCGAGTGGAACTGCGCACCTGGGCTACCCCAGCAACGAGTACAGCAGCGTGTCAAGCGTCGTGTTTCCGGCCTGCATGCCACATGAATGAAAACAACGTTACCTCAAGCAACCAGATAGCTTGCTTCCCAAGCGGGGTCGCCACTAGCACCTTCGGGACAAGCGAATGGCAGCGCTGGGGTCACCGCACGCATACGAGCCCAGCAGCAACGAAATCTTGCGTCAGTGTGGACGAGTGAGCGCCACGCAGCACTGGACTTGGAACCTAAGCAAGTGCATCCGTTGCCCCTCTGTTCGTCCGTCGTCGAGCACACTTCTGCGCCGACACAGTGCACTGCGCATAGGGCGTCAGCGCTTTTTCGGAAACGTTTGCAGCAGTGAAGCTCTTCTAGGATCACTAAGCACGTCTCTAATTGGCTTCGGAACGCTTCAGGTCTCGAGCACAGTTCCGCATAAACGCGGTGCACAGCTCACAGGGAGACAACGCCTTATTGCAGTTATTGTTAGTGGTAAAATACCTTCCCGTGCTCGTTTACGCATACAAGTCGATCAGTCCAGGGAAGCTATCGTCAATGAGCGCTGCTTTGCAGGAGCGCTTCCCGTCCAAGGCCCGCGGTCATGAACAAGCAGGACAGCGTACGGGCGTTACAGCGACAAAACTACGGTACGCTGCGTTTGTAGTCGAGAACTCGAGCGTGTTTTCGCATGCCTACGCCCTTCAGAGACGCTACACTGTTGAAACTGGTGGACGCGGGCCTGCTTAGACTAGAAGGTCATATTCATGCAAGATGAATGCGGACCAAGTTGCTGCACTCGCTCGTGCTGTCGCGGAAACAACCTGGCAAGGTACGCTTCAGTATATAGTTGCCAGTACCGCGTTGAGGCAAGAGCCTCTGAGCAAACCGCAACTTCAGTGGACATCAAGTTTGCGGAGGGCGCTGCATTTGGCCAAAACAGCAAATTATGGTGCCCCGACCAGCAACCAGGAGTCTGCAGTGCTGAAAGCACCTGCTGAGGCTGCGACTGTGGTACAAAGCGACGCAGCAGTCGCCGGTCAAACTACAGTCCTTGCAGCGTTTACAGGGGCCGCATGGTACCTCCAAGGTGCACCCGCACCCAAAATAAGTCTAGAGTGGAATGATGAGGTCTCCGCGGACGACCTATTGGACCCGTGGGGGCTCGTGCTTCCCATGTGCTGCTGGACGTTACCGGAGCAGTCAACGTCAATAGCAGCGACAGCGCTCGCGTTCGAAACTAACACGCACCCAGGGATATCTTCACAGAGTATCGAGCCAGCATGGAATACTGCCGATACACTGGATATGTTTCCAGCAGTCTGGGATCCGCAGTACTACGTGCGTGGTCGCGGTGACGGCATCAGGCGTTTCGCGAGACCAAAGCAACTGCAACCTCCAGAGCAAATGCGGCCGGTTGTGTCTTTATCCGGGCAAGTAGATGACCAGCTGCCGAGCAGGCCGGACGCTTCAGACGAACGCAACGATTCGGACTGGTGGAACGTATGTGTAGAGCGTATCCAGAAGTGGAATCCGCCTCTCTGGATGCCAGCAACACAGCCACCTAGCCAGCTCAATTGGGTACCTCGGAGACAGACCAAGCAGAACCTTCTTGATCGAATACATCTTGATGAAGCATACCTGCAGTCTTTGGAGCAGCGACGAGCACGCGAGTCGATCAGTAACCCCAATGGAGGAAGTGCCCTTGCCTACATCGCCGGCGATGCGGATGAACTCGGTGGACTCGCCTTCACAGGTCGAGTCATGGAGAGAAGCCGGCAACCCGGATTTTCCTGGGCACAAGCCTTCGAACCTGAGCAAGGCGATGAGATCCTTTTCGGTATTCGACTCGAGCAACTAGAGGAAGAACCTGAGGAATCGACGGCTGCTAGAACGCCTCGGATTGCTACGGCAAGGACGCTGGAAACTGCAACTGATCCACCGCGTGCGGTTCCTTCTCTGCCCGCGCTTGATCGACTGGATGCACGTCTGGCCTCAGTCGAGCGCTCACTGGAAGAGCTTCTCCGACCCGAACAACAGCAAAGCGACCTCGGCATTGGTGCATCAACTAATATGCCAAATGTATCAGCAGTAGCAGCAGCAGGAGGAGGAGGAAAGCCAGCCCGGCGCTCTGTCTATGCGCTGGTCGACGAGTCGGATCCAGTGGACTTTGCGCAACGCGTCCCAAAGCCAGCACTCGAGTTTCCCTTTGAACTAGATCGCTTCCAGAAGCAGGCCATTCTGCACATTGAGCGCGGAGAGAGCGTCTTTGTCGCAGCTCACACCTCTGCAGGGAAGACAGTGGTTGCTGAATACGCGATTGCGCTGGCTCGCGCTCATGCAACCAAGGCAATTTACACGAGTCCCATCAAGACGCTCAGCAATCAAAAGTTTCGGGATTTTAGTGATCGTTTTGGTTCGGAGTCAATTGGTTTGATCACGGGCGATGTCTGCATCCAGCCAACGGCTCCCTGTCTAATCATGACAACAGAGATTCTGCGCTCGATGCTCTACCGGGGTGCCGACCTCATTCGGGACGTCGAGTGGGTCATCTTCGATGAAGTCCACTACGTGAACGATGAAGAGCGTGGTGTCGTCTGGGAGGAGGTCATCATTCTGCTGCCGGAACACGTCAACATCATCATGCTTTCGGCAACGGTGCCGAACGCGCAAGAATTTGCCGACTGGGTTGGACGCTGCAAACAGAGACCTGTGTATGTCATCACGACGAGCCACCGACCAGTGCCGCTTCAGCATTATATCTACGCGAAGAACGATCTCATTCTCGTGAAAAATGCACGAGGGGATTTTCTCTCACAGGGCTACAAGGCCGCTCAGGATGTGGAGCGGGAACTCGTCGCCAAGCGCGGAGCGAAAGCGCACCTGGCACCTGCTGGGATACTAGGACGCCCAGCCTGGGGTACATTGGTGCAGTTCCTGCGCAAACGAGAGCTTCTACCGGCAGTAGTTTTCTGTTTCTCTCGCAAGAGATGTGAAGAGGCAGCGGACAGCCTTGGTACATTGAATCTACACCAGCAGAACCCGGGCGAAGCGCATCGGATCCACGTTGTGGTCGAGTCGGCACTCTCGCGCTTGCAAGCGGCGGATCGGCGTGTTCCACAGATTCAAAGAGTTCGTGACCTCCTGCACCGAGGCATCGGCATCCACCATGCCGGACTGCTGCCCATCGTGAAAGAGATGACGGAAATTTTATTTCAACGGGGCCTCGTGCGGGTCCTCTTCGCCACCGAGACGTTCGCCATGGGTGTGAATATGCCCGCACGCACCGTCGTCTTCAGCGGCATTCGCAAACACGATGGAAGGCAGTATCGACTGCTGAGTCCTGGTGAATATACCCAGATGAGCGGGCGAGCCGGTCGCCGGGGCCTCGACGCCTATGGCATCGTGATCCTCTTCTTCTCCGTAGGCGAACTCCCGACTGAGCTAGACCTGAAACGCACTATGACAGGAGTGCCACCCCGGCTTTCAAGCCAGTTCCGCCTCTCCTACAACATGATACTGAACTTGATTCGAACGGAGCGCGTGCAGGTCGAAGAGGTGATCCGCAGGAGCTTCACTGAAGCGGAGTCGTTTGGCGCGGAACGCCGCATCCAGCGCCTGCTGGTGCACGGACGCGCGAACCTCGCACGCATAGATTCGGAACTAGCGACATTTGGGGATCAATTTTCACAATACTATACCTATGTCAATCAAGTTGTACAGCGTGCCAGCGCTGTTCATGAGCAGCTATTCTCCGTGGGTCCGCATGGCTACGCCAGCATCACTGCGGTCCCTGGTCGAATGCTGTTGCTGCGTCGTACCGATGGTGGCATTGCTTTGGGGATCGTTGTCGGTGCAGCAGCGGAGAAGCGGTATCGGGCATCCGCGCAACATCTACTGGAGGAAATCCGGCGATTGGTGGTGCCAGTTCTGGTACTCCTGGGTGGCCCGGCGCTTCGCGACACCGTGTTTGCGCTATCCGAGGAGCCGTCTGCCCAGGTCGGAAATGCCGCTAACGACGCGGGTGCACGCTCGACGAGCGTGTTCACCGAGCCTGTGCGGCTTGCATATCAGCAGCGGTTGCACGGTCTGGAGTTTTGCATCGGAGATGCGGTCCCGAGCGAGATTCTCACAGTCTATCATCAGGTGCTGTCCATTCCGAACGAGAAAAATCTTGAGCGTTCGCTCTTCCCGCTGCGCGGTCGTCCAAACTTGGAGCTCGTGGCCACGCTGCTCGAGTCTTTGCGTTCCGTAGCGGAACGGTTCGGCGCAGCTGATGCAACATCGGAGTTTTTGGTGGGTATGCATCCACGGGAGCATTGCGGTATTCCAGATTTGGAGCTCGAAGCAAAATGGATTGAAAAAGAGCGTCTCCTTCGTGACCATATTCTGAACTCTGCGTGCTTGTGGGACGCCTATAATCGCAGCGTTCTTGCTACCGCGTTTGAACTTGCGGAACGGCGCCACCGTCTTGAGCAGAAGCTCGAGTATCTGCAGTATGCGAGCAGCTATCGCTCTCTGCAACTCCTACCGGACTATATGCAGCGTTTGGCCGTTCTCGAGCGACTTGGATACATAGAGCGCAGCGGTTCTGGAAACAACTTGGACTACGACCCGGTGACGTTCTCGGATGCCGAGCGGCCGCCGTCCAACGGGCTCATGGTGACGCTCAAAGGGCGAGCCGCCTGCGATGTGGGCACCTGTGATTCTTTGCTTTTGGTGGAATCCATGTTTGAGGGGATCTTCAGTGACCTTGAACCCTGCAGTATTGCAGCACTAGCCTCCTGTCTGGTATTCCAGGAGAAACTAGATCCCAGCGAGTACATCTTGCCAGATCAGGCCGCCCGTTCCGAGTTAGATGGCCTGCAGCTGGATGCAACGGCGATGGAGACGCTGGCTGCCTCCCTGAACAAACTCAAGCGCGTTGCGTTAGCTCTCGGAACCGTCCAAGCAGAGTGCGGTCTTCCGGTGTCACCCAGCGAGTATCAGAGCATGACGGTGAACCCGGGTCTCTTGATTCCCGCGCTGCTTTGGGCTCAGGGCGCTCCATTTAAAGATATTTGCGTATGGACGCCGGTGCAAGAGGGAAGCATTGTTCGCACGATTGTGCGCTTGAGTGAGCTCCTTCGAGAGACCGCCGATGTTGCTCGCGTTATTGGTGACAGTCGGCTTCTGTCCAAGGTTGACACCGCCTCGCGCTCGATCAAGCGAGACATCATTTTCGCTGCCTCGTTGTACGTTGCGTGAGAAGCAGGCGTTCTCAAGATGCTGCGAACACGGCGAGTATTTGTGTGTATTTATGATGCACCCTTAGTTCGTCTGGTCGAGGCTTGGATGCAAGCACCCAGCTTGTGCCATCTTGGGAAGGGTGTCATGCTATTTGGCCGAGCATCTATGGATCTAGTTCCTTGATCGGAAACAGCTGCGTCTATGAGGTTGCACCTTATGCATTGTAGCTGCCGATGACTTGCGGTACGAATGTGCATCTTGTTGTGCTGGCGAGCAAGGCCCTTGTTGGTGCCTCGAATCGATCGCTAATCGGCAGTCAATGGGGAAAGCTTCCAAGTAAGCCGGTTTGTCGGAGCATGGATCGATATTTTCTGCCGCGCGTGCACGCCCCGCTTTGATCCCTCGTAGCGGATTCGGATTGGAGTGCTCTGCGAAGCGCACAAGAAGCGCACTCCTTGAGCTGTCATGTTCCTCTGCGCAATTCCCACCGAGAGGCATGCCTGCGTCTTGGCTTCCCTGGATTCGAATCCAGGAGTGCAAAATCGAGTTTCTGAGGCAACCAGGCAGGCAGGCAGGCAGGCAGGCAGACCGATGGACAGACGAGATTGGCTCGTCAAATGCGTCTATAATGCGAGACCACATATTCAAGCATCGTTTAACGCGCGCTTTATATGCGTTCTCGTCCTGCCGAAGCGCTTCTGCGCGACCGATGTCCCAGCATCGGCGAGGCCGTGCTTGGTTTATGGGATCCTTGCATTGTGCTTCGAACGCGAATCTAATAGCGAACGGTTCCATTGCAAATCCATACAAAACAGGCGATTTCTGGGAAACGAAAGGCTGTTCCGTTGGCAGGACATGCAAGGCAGCAAGCTTTGTACACAGCAGAACCCGAGGTATCCGTGAATTCGAAACGTTCTATGGACTCTGGGGGCGTACCGGTTATGGAATAGCCATCTGTGCGATGTGTCGATGCCGTTTGGATCCCAGGCTTTTACATACATCTCCACGCAGGTGGAGGAGGATCGCGAAGCATACACCCAGAGTTGTGTTTGCGAAGCGACCCATAAACGGTCCAATCGTGTGCTATCGTCTTCCTGTTTCGAACGCAGCAAATGCACCGCTGAGCGAAACTGCGCATCGAGCGTGTGGCTGGGTAAGCTTTCGGGCTAGTCCAGATATGGTCAGTGTATCGACGCCGTCAGCTGCCTTGCCATTGGCACGCGAACGAGCCGGCGACATTTTTTCCATGGCAGTAATGCCGCTGCTTTTGTGGATGTGCTCTTACAAAGCGATGCAGATAAGCGCCGAGCGTGCATGGCTCTGTTTCCGTTGTGCAGTTTTCGCTAGAAACTTGACAGCCAATGATACGAGCGGCACTACTCGAGCGTCACCGCGCTTCTTTTCCATAGACTTCGTAAGAGCCTGGGCGTGCTTCGATTCCGTTGTGTTGCTGCGATATTCGAGAATCGTTTGGCGGACCGAGGCCAATTGCAGTCGAGGACATGCAGTAGTGCCCGCCGACATGTCGCTTCTGCACTGCTCTCGATGAGCGCTTCCAAGAGCGACTACAGCAGCGCGATATGCGAATCGCAGTGAACGCTTCCCCGCAGGAGCTCAGTTGCAACTGGATGCATTCGACATACATAAAATATTGGTGAGAGGTACAATCTCAGTAAGATTTGCCCCATTCACTGTTACAAGCGCTGCCGCTGACGCACCGCTGCCAGCTCCACAGCGATTCAGGGTGCAGTTCGCTAGGACGGCACATGGACAAAACTCGGACACCCCACCGACAGCTATCACCACAGCGAATGGGTTGTTTGGATTTGACGAGACCGCGGCGGCAACACGCATGCATGTCTGTTGCAGCAGTGCACCTACCGTCGAACAGTTGAAGGAGCTTGTTACAGAGGGCGACCCTGATGGTACGCCTGACGGCAACGCAGAAGCCGCTGCTAACGATGTCGTTGAAGGCGAACCTGAAGGTATCCCTGAAAAGGATGCTGACAATGTTCTCGAAGGTAACACTGATGGTATTCCTGACGGCACTCGTGTCAGGGACGCTGACGGTATCCCTGGTACCATCGCTGCGAACGGAGAACTCGAAGGGGAAGCAGAAACTTGCGTTTCCAAAACACCTATATGTAGTAACTCATCTGCTTCGTCCATAGTCGCGTCGACGGCAAAGTTTCGCGGACACGCTCGCCACAAAAGCAGCCAGCATAACAGGTAAAGAAGCAGCGAGCGGACACGCACCGATAGAAACCCACGAGTCTGCGAACCAGAAACGCGCCACCATCTGGAATAGAAAAGCCTGGACAATGACATATCCTTTTTACACTGACCACAGGAAAGCCAGTCAGCAGAAAGCACACACTATCCGAGCACCAGTGCACCAGCTTCGCAGACGCGGTTCAAGAGAAAACAGCAATTTGAAATTTAGACGCGCCAGCAGCGGCATGCGAGCATCCCTACAGAATGGTGTCTGGCGATAACGATGAGGTCGCAGATTCTCTACTGCTCCATGGGACAGCACACGGTGTGTCGTATGTTGACCACGATGCTGCCGAGCTCTGTTGCTCAAAGACGAAAACCTTGTGACTTGGTTCCCCTGGGAAAAGCGGCAATGACGAGGCTTAATTTTGGCGAGCGCTTCTCAGCTATGGATTGCTGACGGTTGCATGCACGACTCCAATACATACCATCACAGAGCACGAACTGAGGCAGTCAAGCACGCGCTTCGAAGTCCAGCACAAATTGTCTCCGATTCTCTTAGAGGACACCAGAGCATGGGCAGTGACGTTTATGCGCAGTCGACGCAGCAGGCGCGCATGGCGATACCGTGTACCATCTGCGCTTTACGTCGATGCTGTTCAGAGACATGGCGACTTGGGTCGTTGCTGCACGGCGACAACCGTAGAGGCACTTTCAGGGGTATAGCAGAAGTCCACAGCAGCTGTAGCTTTCCAAGTTTTCGCTGTATCTAGTTGGTGTTCGTTTGGGAAACACTGGTATAGAGAGTGAAGCAATGCTCTGCCCGGACAGTCATGATGCTCGCCTGACTGATGGCCAGCGCTTCGCCTTCGCGTATCCACGGGGCGATGTCAGTCGGATCCGCCTATCTGACGCCACGAATAACAGCAACCTGTCCGAGCTGCGTTCGTATCGCGTTCAGCACGTGCAACGAACGATAGGTAGAACACCCGTACATGAATTTCGAGACACGCCCAGCGGTTACTAATGCGACAGTGCTGACCCTATGGAGCGGATGCACGACAGAGGCAACAGTGCCGGAACGTGTTACAGCACGAAGCGTCCGCGGCGATCTAGAGACCTATGCATGACAACAAAGCGACGAACGAAAGGCATGTATCATCCGGCTCGCGGTGCCTCTGCCGATATCGCGATCTCACATAGTTGCTGCTCTAGACGCATCTTGCTCGCAATAACCGGCGTGATGGAATAAGCGCTGGCATCGAATTTCGTTGGACATTGACAGTACAGCCCAATGCTTGATGCAACAGGCGATCAAGCGTCAAAGAGAAGAATTGGATACCAGATTTTTTTGGTTTTACAAAACGTTCACATCGACCGCGGATTCCATATCGCGAGATGGGTATTGGCTTTAGGAAGCATCCGTCAAACTGGACCCTACCTTCAAGTTCCACCATCGGTACTTTTTCTCTGATAGACTAGTCGTTTCGTACGTTTTATCGTGTGCCGGGTGCCCCTCTTGCTGCACACGCAATCGCGTCGAAACCGCTGGAGCAGATGCAGCGCGGAGACAGAGCGGCGTTGCCATGCCACTGAGGGCGTCGGCTCGAGGCGTTGTTCACCCGGTGTCGAGTCTGATCTCATCGTTGATATGTACTCAGCCAGTCTGCGTATGCAGACTTGCCTTTACTGCACGGCACATTGGAGATGCATGGCAGTCAGGATGAATCCTGGGGGCCGCCCTTCTCCTTCGCTCTCGTGCATGGAACGCGTTGTCGGTTCGCGACGCGGCATTAGCTTGGCATCCGCCAGTGCGCAGGTCTACAAAGCGCTCGTCTCGTGTGCTCATCTGGTTCACGACACTGAAATCCAGCCTATTCTGGGACGAGGAAGTTGCGCTACTCGAGGTCCTCTGGATCTGATTCGTGAGCGTTGCGCAAATTAGCCTCATTGTTGATGAGATTAGTGTGACACCGCTGTAGTTGTTCGAGTCTGTTGGAGGATCCATTTTGAGAATGGGTACCACCTCAGCAATCTCCCGTACATCTGGGATGTACGTTTCTTCAAACATGCGTTTGATGAGCTCCAGCAAGCGTTTGCCTAGGATTGTGTCACATTCATCATGTATCGATGGGTCCCTGGCGTCTCATCTTCTGGTAGCACCAATTTGTGCCACTCCGTAAGGATACCGTCAGTGCCTGATGCTTTGCGGTTTCTTATGTTTAGCAGGGTCTCATCTAGTTCAGGCCAAAAGATTGTGTCGTCCTTTTCCGGTAGCGGGTCAAGTTGTCATAGTTTGGGTCTTGACAGTTTCCAGATTCGTCCGCACGCAGCTCTGTATAATGGTCTGTCCAGGCTCCATTCACTGAGGCACTTTCTGTCTCCAACTTTCCTTTCTAGTGGATTGGTTGGATCCCCACGGACTGTACTGGTTGGCCAAGCCTCGTACGGATGTAGAGCCAACTCTCATCTTCGTTGGTGCTCTCGTGGAGAGATTTGCCCAGAGAGGCGCTTTTGCGGCTTCTATCCGTTCGCATGTCTTCTCTGGTAAGTTTTTTTTCTTTTGATAGCTTCCTCGCGTTGCCCCTGTAGCGCCGGCAGGACTGCACTTACTTTCTTGCCTCCAGCTGTGGGTCAAATGGCGGTGTGGACGACGACCTTTTCGAGTTGGTAGCATTCACCAATCCGTCCTTTGGTACGTCATTTTAGGTACCGTGGTTTGCTACTGTTGCGTTCTGATGCAAGGAGTCCCAGTTCTCTGGCAATCAACTGATTCTCATCCACAAACTCGCGTCTCAAATTGATTGAGGGTTTGCTTGCACGTCTTTTAGGATCTATAGCGCTGTGAGCAGGGGTCTGGGTTTGATGGCAGTTTTCTGAGATCCTGCTGGGGTGCTATCGCCGGGGATCACTTGTGATGTGCTCGCGAGAGCCCCAGCCTATGGGCTCGTTTGGGAGTTCTTCTTTCAGTTCTTCTGTTTTTTTATTGGACTGCTTCTTCGGGCCCTTCCCTAGGCGGCTATCTCTCGTTACTGTTCTATTACGTGGATCATGAGGCCACTGTGTCTCTTCTTCCGTATCTCGTTCGGTATCTTTCTCTCCTGTAGAGTCCTCTACTTGCATCAGTTCTTCGTTACTGTACTGGTAGATCGATATCTCGTAGTTCAATTTCGAGGTTATCCCGCTAATATTCCATGATGCGAAACCTATCGAGTTGTAGCGCAAAAGGGGATAGGAATAGCGTTGGATACTCCAGAGATACGTCGTCGATTTAGTCGCATCCTCCAGAGGGTGTGTGAGCGCCCATGCCACCAGTGCCTCCTGGATTCCAGTCGTTCATTGAGAGCTTGGCTCAGCGCTAGCGTAGAATCATAAGTACATTAGTCAAGGTCAATTCGAATGCGACTGTCACCTTGCCAGGCGCGTAGAGCCAGCCTCAACCTCTGGGAATAGTCCAAGAAGCAATCTTTCAAGGCCTTTGTATCCACGCCCGAAACAAATAGGCGGGCAAGTCGCTTATTGCAACTTCGACCGCGACCATACTGCCAGCCGTCTTCTAAAGTATCCGCCGAGATTTTTTCCAAAGTTGACGTAGACACCGAGGTAGGAGGTATAACTGAGCCCGAGTTCGAGGTCGGTTTCAGGACTCGCGCCAAAGCCTTCGGAAACGTTTCGGGACAGGTGGATGACTGCTCAGGTATCTCGTCATCGGATGCTGCTACTGCCTCCGCCCCTTTGATCGTTGCAGTCAGGGGCCCTTACGTGGACTTCTTTCTCCAGTCGCTCGAATCTCACCGCTCTCTTCCGTTATCAGAATTTCTCCGGAAAACTGGACATGTCCGTCCGGCGTAGTTTTTAGTGATTTAGATGTTGTTTTTTAATAAATTGAGTGTGTCTGGTTTGTATCTATTTTTGGCGGGCGGGGGGAGGGGGGCTACCCGTTTTTACATCGTCTACAGGCAGCTGCAGGATATCCGTGATCCTTTCCCTTGATTTCATACAAATATGAATATTTCTGAACATCGGGTGGCGTTTCTCGAATCCTCGCGGCGACGCCGCCGGTACTCGTACACCGCGTGCTTGACCAGCAGTACTCGGTCGAATTGTGTGGGAAGTCACGAAGCCAACATAAACGCGTCTTGGTGAGATCTAACCTTTCGAACCCTTCTCTCGATATACTGAAGAAAGATGACAGCTAGAAACACATTTGTTGCCGGTAACGCTCCAGGAGCAGTTGCGTTTATCGCCAGTGTCCGTCTTGGAGGACTTTCGGCGAGGTCAAGTTCTTCCGTCTGTCGCTCAGTCAAGGCGCGGTCGTTCGGTATGGGGCGCACTTCGGTGGCTATCCAGCCGAAACCAGTCTTGTCGGCTCATAAGTCGGGACGGAACACGGGGCTGCTGCGAATGAGCGCGGCAGAAGCGACACAAAACAAGGAAACTTACGAGTTTCAGGCCGAGGTTTCACGGGTGATGGATATCATCGTGAACTCTCTGTATTCGAATACGGACATTTTTCTCCGAGAACTTATATCAAATGCCTCGGACGCTTGTGATAAGAAGCGTTTCTTGAAACTCACCGGAAAGTCCGATGCAGGAGACTCGCTTTCGGATACAGAGGAGCTTGCTATTCGTGTGAAATGCGACGAGAAAGAGCGGACCATTAGTATAACGGACAACGGCATAGGGATGACGAAATCCGAACTAATCAATAATCTTGGCAAAATAGCGGCCTCAGGGACAGCCAAGTTTGTTGAGGCTCTGAAAGAAGGCGCAGCAGACCTCAGCCTCATTGGACGATTTGGTGTTGGCTTTTACTCTGCGTTTCTAGTGGCGGATCGGGTCACCGTGCACACCAAGTCGCCGAACGACCAAAAAGCTTGGAGATGGGAGTCCGAACAAACCAAAAACTTTACGATTACTGAAGAATCCGACCCGCGGAGTTTTCTGCCTGAAGGCGCAACCAGCGGCACAACCGTAACGCTGCACATCAAAGAAGGTATGGAGAAATACCTTAACGACTTCAGCCTCCGTCAGCTCCTGGAGTTGTACTCAGAATTTGTGTCATTTCCGATTTACCTCTGGATGAGTCGAATCGAGTACGACAAAGTGAAGGAGAAGGATGAGAAAACTGGTGAAGAGAAAGAAAAGAGTGTACCGCGTACAGTCTACAATTGGGAATTGGTTAACAAGACGAAACCGATCTGGATGCGAAAGCCATCAGAAGTCACCGATGATGAGTACAACGAGTTCTACAAATCGATCAGTCGTGACTTTGAAGATCCCTTAGCTCGCACGCATTTTTCCGCGGAGGGAGAGGTAGAGTTTCGCAGCATTCTCTTCACGCCGCGGCGGCTGCCCTTCGAATTAGCACAGAACATGTTCAGTGAAGCTGCGCGCCCGCTGAAGCTTTACGTGAAACGTGTTTTCATTTCGGACAAATTCGATGAGTTGATCCCACGCTGGCTGACCTTTATCCGTGGTGTCGTTGACAGCGAAGACCTACCTCTGAATGTGTCCCGTGAGATCCTCCAGCAGAGCAAGGTAGCGCGCGTAATTGGACGACGTGTGACTCGCAAAGCGATCGACATGTTCAGGGAAATTGCCGAGCGCAGCAACCCGAAGGATTATGAGACACTATGGGAAAATTTTGGTCGGTACTTGAAAGTCGGTGCCTTCGAGGATAATGAATGGTCGAAGGACCTGCGCCCGCTGCTTCGTTTCCATTCGTCCAAGAGCGGGGACAAGTGGGTCAGCTTCGATGAATACATTGGCCGTATGAAGGAGTCGCAGAACAAACGCATATTTTACCTCGCGGCGGAGAATCGGCTCGCTGCGATGAATTCTCCGCTGTTGGAGCGTCTGAAGAAGAAAGATTACGAGGTTATCTTCCTGCTTGAGCCGGTCGATGAATTAGTTTTCCAGCAACTGAACGGCAAGTATGGAGATGGCTACACTTTAGTGGATGTTGCAAAATCTGACCTCGAGCTTGACTCAGAGGCGGAGGATTCGAAAGAGGACAGCAGCCAGACACAAGCGTTGTCAGAAGCTGAACTCGAACCGCTGTGCAAGTGGCTTGGCGAGCTTTTCAAGGAACATGTTGAGAAGGTGAAGGTCTCGAAGCGGCTGACGGATTCGCCCATGGCCATCTCACAGAGCACCTACGGAATGTCGCCAATGCTGGAGCGATTCATGCGGACGCAGGCCGCTATGTTGAAGGAGGACATTCCACCAGGTTTCGAACAGAAGAGGATCATAGAAATTAATCCTGCGCATCCAGTGATCCACCAAATGGCGTCGCAACTGCGCAACTCTGGCGAAGCAGACAGCGAAGCTGCAACCTTACTCTATGAAACCGCCCTGCTTCAGAGTGGATATAACATTCGCGATTATGGCGGCTTCGCGCGACGCGTGACCAAGTATTTGCAGAGCTCTTTGTTGAATAATTTGAATACGACTGGTGGTGGGGACAATGCTAATGCGAACGGTGACGCATCAAGTGGTGAGAGCAAAGCAGAGGCCGTCGAAGCGGAAGTGGTCGGCGATGCAGCGAACCCATGACGCGCATGGTTCTCCGCTCGACCCTGTGGCATTGTCCGTATGGTTGGGTTCTTTGGTCCGTCGAATTCGCATCTAGCGTGGACCCTGTGACAGGGATTCCTCTTTTCTAAACCTGAGTATTCATGAACGCGGCTTGTCGCGGAACCTTGAAGAGGAAATGTGGGAGCTTTCGGGCGAGCAACTCGGGAGTAACGCTTTCAGGGGCGATATTGCGAACGCTGTAGGATTGCTAAACTGAACTGAATTTTGCCGCACGGGCGATAGTTGCTGCTGATGAGACATGAGACAACATAAAGATCTGGGCATCCAGATTTCAAAAGGGTGCCTCTCATGATTTTCAACAGTCCGGTCACAGCGCGCTCGAACTGTACCCTTCCAGCGTTCGAATACTGGTGAGCTGTGGATGTTAGCAAGATTCAGCATGCTGGACACCAGTTACGATTCGGCAGAAATTCAAGTGATCCTGTCCAGCTATATGCTGTTGTACCCAAGTCTGACTGACATGGAGCGGTCTACTTGGCTACCTCGGGCGTATACTCTAAACATTGGGCGTCTCCCCAGTGTCACCAACACAAGCCGTTGTGAGCCTTTTCTGAAACTGCATCGCTTCTCGTTCTCATCTCTCGCTTTAAGCACGCCGGCTTCTAAAGTCCCTTCCGCTCTATCGCCAGCATTCGAAGGGTGATGATCGCGGCGTGATAACCCCGATTAACCTGTTTCCTGATGTCTTCTGTGCTTTTTATGCACAGGCAAAAGTTGCGATCTAAACATCACTGGCAACTACTCCCTTTCGTGCGTTCGGCCTGGATGCGCACTCCGCAATGGTATCACCGGGCTGTGACGGGGGTTTCTCAAACGTCCACAACTCTTCCTTTTCAGCGCACCGCCATGTCGAGCGTGAACGCGTGCTTCATGGCTCTATTGCATGCCCTTGACGGGTACAGAAGGCTATCGTCGATGCCCTGCTCCGGTTTTGCCCCAATTAGAGTGTCCAACGAGTACGGGCGTCTTTCTAGGCGATAGCCTCGGCGAGTGCATTGTCTGTTGCACACGCAAGCGCAAGCTGTTCCGTGCGACGGAGTTTCGCGCACTTGATGTTTCCCATGATTACATTGGTACTGGATGAGCAATCCAGACTGGAGACCAAGTTGCGCGATTTTGATTTTTCTACGACCCCTCATGTGAAGCGGTGACGCACATTGCGTGGTGAAGCGATTGGTGCGGTGACTGAAGTTCTAGACCAAGACTGTCTTCCATCGAACCAGAAGATATGAGCGCGCCTGGGAGCATGCCCTGTGGGAAGTATCAAGTCGGCGCTGAATACTGGTGCATGGATGTCCGCCAAAAGAAGAGGACTAGTCTCTCAAATGGAACTGCTTATTTGACAAGTTCCGTGAACGCTCGGCATGGGCCTGTAAAACAGTCTTCAGTCTAGCGACTTGAAAGCAGTCTTCACAAGTAGCCTTAAATGTGCAAGATCCAAAACCTGACGTATACATTATTTCAGCGTGCTACACGCAAGTAGAGGAGAAGTACAGATTGTTGTACATAAGAAGTCGATAGTTATTTTGAGTGTGTTACCCAATCTTTTCCGAGAAAGTCGCGAGTCATCATGATTCGAACGATGTAACGAGTTCGGAGGCTAACGAGTTGGATGAGCCACTGCAAAAAAAAGACCGAAAAAAGTAAACCTATGCACGAGTCCGTAAGCCCTAGTTGCTGCATTTTGGATGCCGAGGCTGTATATCTCACAAAAAGTTTGGAGAATTATCGAAATGCAGGAACAGATAGAGCTGTCCATTGTACAATTTTTATTTGGCATGGGTGTACCAGTAGTTGGCGTAAAGACGAGATTTCCCGTCCTACTGGACGACGTTGGCTGCGTCTGAGATGGAAGGTTTCGGAGTCTGGCTTTAAGAATGAATGCACGAGAATCTGGCGCTTCTTGAGCGAGAGTGTCTTAAGGCGCAACGAGTCCACAATGAACTCGAATCGTATGCCCATTCGCACGCATGCAAGCAATGAAACGTCCGTCATTGGCACGACTTCAGCATCCATTAGCATTCCTAAGGCGTTTCAGGTTGTCGATGATCAGTGTAGCATCTCCGATATTGAGAACCTCTCAGAGCGACATTATCCGAAAGATCTCCAGCGGGCGCCCTGTATTATACCGTAGAGCTGGTCAACCTCCGTGCTGTAACTGCACCGACGCCATGAGTGCTATCGCGGACGCTCAGGGCAAGCTCCATGCACGATAGAACGTGGAAGATAACCAGTATCTCCGAGAAAAAGAATGTCTATTGGGACATGGCAACAGGTTGAACGATGGATGCTTCACCGCGCCCTGAGATCGAGGGCGTAATCGGAGATTCGTGGCCTATGTAATCGAGCTGTAAAAATCAGTTGGCAGGTATGATCCAATAATGCACTATTTAGAAGCGGTGTAGGCATTCAACAGAAAAGGTCTCCTCGATGACAGTCCACGAGAAGTTCTATAGCTCGACGACGCAAATGCTTCAGAGCCGTGCGAATATGGCTCTCCTTCCACAGGCCTTTCCATGCTGGAATGCCCTATGCGAGAAAAATTAAGCGAATCTACCGTTGTCGCAGATCCGATGCTTCTTGCACAGCGGACTTTGCTCGATATGTGCATGCGCCTCGCTCCTGGTTTACTTGAATATACATTGAAACGAGTAATGCACATGGCAAACGATTTTCGCGTGCATGAACAGCACTTTGCACGTCTTGCGAAGCCAATTCTTATTGAGGATCGCTGAGCGCCGCGAGCAAACCATGTCGAAATCCGTAAAATGATTCCGTACGATTGGACGCTTCCTAACTGCCGAGAGCAATCGCAAAATCGGAGGAATCATATCAGATTCATCGATGATGTATGATGAAAACGATAGAATGCGTTCGCCAGCATGGGAGCGATTGCCCGGAAGCATGCCATGTCTTTGAGTGATCTCATTGAACCGGAGACCTCAGCTTTCTAGGCTCGGGGTTCACGCACATGGTCGCGGTTGAGTTACCTGAACAATTCCAGCAGATAAGTACAATTGTCTCTACTTCCAGTCCGGAAGGAAAGGATGATTCGAGGCAGGCGTGTAGAATAGAAAATCTCGATTGATTCAGTCAAGGGCTATTGGTACTATTCGTGACAAATCCACAACATCAGCCAGCACGATAGCTCGAGCGGAGCGATGCTAAGGTCGCTTGTAACAAGTCCGCAAATTTGAGACACTCGATCATTCCAGCTGGAAAAAAACTCGGATTATTCCCATGTGACCCGTAGCATAGAGCAGCTCCGTCGTTCCAGTAGGGGAAGCCTTGCAATGCTCGTACGAAGCCCGCAGCATAGAGCCGCTCTGCCCAACTTGGTTGTTCTAGCTTTAAACGAAAGAAACGGCGCCCCTGGCTATGCATGCCGTGTTGCAGCGGACAGGATGATGAAAATCCTCTTAATGAAGGCAACATATGCTCCACAAGATTGTTCCCCTGAAATTGCACAGCACCTTATGTGCGCCCTACGACTGATGCTACACCTGAACTGCTCGTAGATCTTGCCACCTCTTCGAGACCGCAGTCTATTTGAAGTTGGCGGATCTAAGCCATCGATCGAGAAATGTCGCCGTCGTGGAGCTCCTGCTACTGGGAACCAGAGATGCTGCAGCATTTGCATCTGAACAAGGTGCGGGCGCAGGCTTCGCGGAGACCCAGAGGCGAATGTCAAACTGCGCAGGAGCACAGGATCGGCCCCTGGGAAGAAGCGTTGACCTCTGGCGTGCTAATTCCGTTGCACTATTCGAGTCGCCCATCAAAGGGTGGCCGCGTACAGGACCACCATCGCCGTCAGCGAGTATCGATGAATCGGTGTTCAATCGCGTTCGCTTCCCAGACGCATTTTCGTTTCGTATGAAAGCTTGGGCGAGCGGATCATTGTTTCCAAGGAGCATCCCGCATTTACTTGCGCACATTGAACACACGTCCGGTCCTACGAGCGCATGCAAGCTTTCTGAGACTCGTCCAGGGGTGCTCCCAGTATTCTCAGGGAACCCAACGGCCTGTGAGCTGCGCTCATTGCAGACCGTTGCCGACTCTACGACGCTTATCCGTTCCGGTTCAGCAGCGGTTCCGAGGGGCGCAATAGGACCCCTCGGCAGCAGAAAGACAGCCTCGCACTGCCGCTCTCTCTCCATATCGAGCGCTGATTGAAGTAGCGAAGAAGGCTCGGTATGTCGATAAGAGATAAATTCCGAGAATCCAATGCCGACAAGCGTGCATCTTTGCTCAGTACAATCGTCCAGATTTTTCTGGAGAAGCTGCAGTGCCTGCGAGAAAAGTAGCCTCTGAGCTTGTTCTATAATGCCAAAGCTAGAGGTTGATACCAAACGCCTAATTGCAGCTTGCAGCGCTGAATGCATCCGGGTACTGCGAGAGCGTCGGCTTCCCTTACCAAGACGCCAGTATACCGCCACTCGGCGTGGCAGCCGACCATACTGTTGGCCATGATGCTTCATTCTCGTTACACAAGCGAGCGCAAGTGCATACAGCTTCTCATGAAATGCCGCAGAGAAGAGCTCCAGTCCTGGGAAGGAATCCTCTACATGTATACGCTGAAGGGGACCTCGAGAATATACCTCCTCTGGGAAATCCCCTCGCGCTGCCAACCAAATGTCTCGTGCTCGCTTCGCAAAGACTGCTGCAAACTTTCCGAATGTTTTTCGTATTGCATGTTCGAGCGTTAATGGAGAATCGAAACGCGTTCGGAGTTCTTTCACCGTTCGAACATGTAGCTCCTCCGAAAGCAGGCGTTCGAAGCGACGTCCCACGTATGGAAGCGATCGTAGCTCGAGTTCGGAGAGCCATGAGTCGGCCCTCACAGTGGGCACAAAGGTAGTTTGCCCATTCGGCTTATGCATATTCGCAGCAAACTTGGCGAGCATTTTGTTGAAACCCACCCCACAGGATATCGTTATTCCTGTTCGTTCGAACGCCGCATCCCGCATATTTTTGGCGATATCAGACCCAAGCGCAAGTCTGAGCTCTTCCTCGGGGCCTACGAGGCAAATATCAGGTTGCAAACTCTCGGGCATAAAGTCACGAGGAAAGACTGCGCCGACGTATTCGTTCAAAGGGCCTTTCTGGGCGCACTCTGCGTTCATGGAGCGGAGGCGTCGATCCACTACCGCGGTTAAATCAAAAATATATTCGTCTAAACCTACCGTTTCGCAACGATGCTCCCGACCCACTTCGTCGAGCGACCTCAGCTTTTCTTCGAGTGCTTCACAAATCCGCTCCTGGGCATCGCGATACGGTGTCAGGTCCTCTCCGCAAAAGAGGACGAGCTCTGGGCAGAGACGCTTCGCCTCGTCTACTCTCATTAGTTTGCCAACACCGTATTTCCTAGCCTCATAGTTACAAGTCACCACAAGGTGTTTTTGGAAAACTGCAGCGGGCTTTGAACGGAGAGACTCGTCGCCAACTGCGTTCAACTCCACCTGACAGTAGAAATAGTCGGCGTCGAACACTGCAACGACTCGCGAGGCGTCAAGGTTAAACATGTGTACGAAGGTTCACAAGAAGTGAGAGCAAACAGTGAAGTGCCTCGTTAACGTCATCAAAGAGCTTTAGATAGTGGCCTTTGTCTGCATTTCTGAGCAACACTACAGTCGAAGGGAGAGCAAAGCTCTAACTGGTCGCAAACTATTCGACTGCAAACAAAGCTCTTCCTGGCCGAAAATTCTGCAGTGCAGAGCCACGGGGGGACGATGAATGCAATCTAACATTGAGCTGCTCGCACTAGTCCAGCTTTTCAGTAAATCCGCTGCCTTGTAGGCGTACAGTATCGACGTTCCAACGGCAGCAATAAGACCTTAGGGATTCATACCAGCCTTTGCGGTTTTGGTCGTCTTTTAAGTGCGGCATCCTTGACTATTATCCGCTGCAACTTGTTACTTCACAGGAATAAAGATTATTCGCGAATCCATCTAGTAGTGGTTCATAAAATAACCGATATCATTGCACAATTCACACGCAGAAGTGTCCACTCTTTGCCTCAAGTCACGTGCAGCGTGTTAATATAACGCGTCTTTCAAGCTGTCGATTTTTCTGCTCTGAGGCAACTCGCGTCCGCTGCACTTCGCGCCGTAGATTGACAGGGAAGAAAACTTGGCGTCGTCCCCGAGCGACTTCTCTACAAGCTCATGCTAAAAGCTCACTGAACATCTAACTTCAATTAATCGATACCGTCTGAAAGACGAATTCTCCTCGTTTTGTCACTATCGAAAATTTGGCATTGGATGGCAGCATGAGAACTCTCGCGGGATGTGCTCGCAGAGGCATCCGTCTCTTCAATTTGCATACAAAAACGGACTTGGGCGCCGACAGTTCTCACCGCAGCCACCCTTCTCAGTGGAAAGGGCATCATCGCTTTGCAGGGGGGGGGTGCAAGGACGGCTGGAAAATTCTCGGCGTCTTCTCTAGCTTTGAATATTTTTTCTGGCGCATGATCCATCGCGGACATCAGTGCATTCAGCAAACCCGTTATCGAACAGGGTAGCGTGCGCCTGCATATGTAGCGATCAGAGAACTCGCTGAGGAAATCGCTCAGACGAAGCCCGTGAGCGTAGAGCATGGCACGGGGCGTTGAAACGGAGGAGGGTACCGTGGCGGGGCTTCTGCATATTTCAAGCGCGTGTACCGAGCGTTTTTGCAAGCGTTCATGCCCCGCAGGACGGAGTTCGTCGTGGGATGTGTGGTATACGAATTGGAACACTTGACTAAAGTCTAGCGTTCCAGCTAGGAGGAGCACACCCAGGCTACATACAAATGCGATGAAAATGGCGAGCGAAGTTTAGATCGCAACTGCCGTCTGTGCGGGAAATGCGCAGACAAGAGCAGGAAACTGCGTTTTTCCGACGTTAATGCTGCCGTCATCATCTTGAGAGTGTTGAAACCGGAGCTGGAAGAGAGGGTTAAACTGGCGTATTTTACGTCAAATACACGAGAGAGGAAACGGAATTAGAAGCAGAAAAATCCGCAAAGGCTCGCTCTGATGATATTAGGAAGAAACCGAAACATCAATGAGTATGCGCGATTTAACTGAGTGGACCCACTCCGTTTTAGTCTGACAGGATGCAACTGAAGACTCATCTACACATATCCTCACAACTGGGTCATTCTGGATGCGCGACAAGGAGCCGAAGCAACGGGGACTACGCTGCACCACCCTCTGCTGCAGGCTTTTGCGTACCAACGAGTCTACGATTAGTGCTCTTCTGAATATGCAGGCTTGCCGCATGGTTGTGTGACGATGAGCTCCAGAGCGCGAAACTCTGACAGCAACACACTCCAAAACACATTGAAGTGTCGTTTCTAAGCTGCAGGTCGCTGGGCTGGTTTCCTTTCCTCAGTGACAGGAAGAAGAGCACAAGTATTTGAAAACCTCCCTTGACGAAAGCATCATTTCGCTACGTTCCACTCTGACGTTCTAGAAGCTGTCGAACACCTTCCGTGGGCAGTGCTTCTTCATACCTGAGGGGATAAGCTTCCCGGCGGCGGCCGACTGTTGGTGGTGGCTCGTGGAGAAGCTTGACGCACACGGGACAACGAACAATAAGCGGACTTCTGGAAAGATACTCTCCAGTGCCTTTTTGGGAATTTGCGAGTTTCTGTCTGCACTCTCGCACTGTCTGTGAACCGCAGGTGGAGGCAAGAGGTTGGCACCGGAGACGACGTGCGGCAATGTCTCGTACTGACAACGTCGGCGTTTCCAGAACCCTGAACGCTGCACCGGTTGGAGCACCCAACGCTGCTATACCATCAATGCCTTTCGGTAACTTACTCCTTGTGGGGAGCTGCACTCTGCTCTTTTTATGCCAACAAGCGTTGCAAATACCGCTATCAGCAGTATGCATCGATCCGGAGCTGCAGATTTCCAGCAATACGTACCGCTTATTCACCGCTCCTTTTTTTCATGTGAACCTTGTTCACATCTTTGCGAATATGATTGTGCTGCTGGACATTGGGCCTCCGCTTGAACGCCGCCTTGGCTCCTTTCTCTTCCTATTCATTGTTTTTCTCATGATTTGCGTCTCTGGTGTTTTTAGAGCGATTTTGGCGATGTCTGTTCGGGTCGCCTTGACACCCTTCGAAATGTCGACTAGAGCGCCCCTGCTGCCGCTCCTTTCGTACATCCGTCGGCAGACGCACGCCTGTGCGGTGGGATTTTCGGGCGTGCTTTTCGCTTTCTTGGTGATCCACGTCCACCAGTTCGTCGCGACGGATATCCTATGGATACTGGGAGTCGTTCCATGTCCGTCACGCTTCTATCCTCTGGCATTGTTGGTACTACTTCAACTCATGGTTCCAGCTGTGGACCTTTGTGGTCATCTAGCAGGTATGCTGGTTGGTTACACTTACGTTCGAGGCTGGCTATGGCCGCTGCTTGTTCAACTCATACCGGGGGGGTTTATACGGAACCTTGATGAAATACTTGGCTCCCGGATAACAGTCTGGGCAGCAAAGCCTTCCGATGAGGAAGGCAATATAATGCGGAGCAATAGGTTCCATCCGAGCACAACGGCAACCTCATTCTCATCTATGTTCGAAAATGGTGCAAGATTCTTCGAGTCGCTTCTCCGAAGAGTATTGCCGTCAAGGCGATCGAGCCAAACGCGGATGCAGAACAATCTTGACGAGTCAGTTGAAAGCGGCATTGCAGCAGAGGTTAACACGGACCGTAACCAAGACGTTATTCTTTATGCTGATACGCATGAAACGGAAACGCAAGCTCCAGTCGAGCAGCTCGTTCGAGCAGGGTACCAGCCGAATGATGCGTTCGAAGCGCTCGCGGAGGTACAAGGGGACGTAGTGGCGGCTAGGCTGATCATCGACACTCGGCTTACCGCACAGCTGGTCGAAATCGGGTTTGATTCGACAGATATTGAGCATGCGCTGCACTCAGGCTGCCCCAAAACCATCACTGCAATCGTTGAATGGATTAGTTCATTAGAGCATTGAGAGTGCGCTCTTCGTATGGAGAGCGGTGGAAGCCGTCTGCGTAGCTGAATGCCTCCTCCCTGCGCAGGGTGCTTCAAGTGCGAGAACTGGGCTGGACCTGGAAAAACGTACAGGCAGCCCACATTCCGAGTGTGACAAAGGCGCTGACCACACTTGCAGGCTGTAACCATTCAGGCACTAGACCGACGGCGACTGCCTGCTCTATGTTGAACCAGCTGACGAGGGCGAACGCAAGGACGAAACCAATGCCTCCGAACATGAAAACGAGGCCCATCGTTTTCAGTGCTGCAGGTCTGTTAATGGGGCGCACCTCGCCAACGTTTCCAAATTCATCACGTCGAACCTCTGGTTGGCCTCTGTTGTATAAAAACGCCATGCTGGTGATGAAAGAGATCGGCAGCGAACTGGTCGCAAACCGTGGAATGAAAAATCCCAAAAGGCCAAGAATCGCCATGATAATCGAAGTCTTTCGGAGGTACTGCTTCTCTGGCACTTTGAAGATTCCATAAAGAAGACCTCCAGGGCTAGTGAGCTGCCGACCAAGCCAGCTTGTCTTCCACCAGGGCTGCTTCCGCAGCCGCTTCTCCAGCGGTGACTCGCGCACTATACCCTCTAGTTTTCCTTGAAGACGGCGTCGGAGCTTATCGTCAAATATCTTGTCCCGCAGCACCTCAAGCTTCGAAAGCTGCTTAAAATCGTCTGCGTACTTGATTTTCAGTTTCTCGAACGCTTCCTGGATTTCTTCGAAGGTCGCACTCTCAGAAACACCAAGTTCGCGATACGGATTCGTGCCGTCGCCGAAACCAGTGCCAGTCCGCCTGCGGCTGGAGCTCGAGCTGTCCCGCGTGGAACGTCGAAAAAACCAAAATAGAGCTGTTAAAGCGAAAACTCCTTGAGTCGAACCCCCAGGCAGTTGTTTCTGCGGCCAAGCGCGCTGAGTATGAAATTTTCGCAAGAACCCGGAGCGTCGGCTGCTACCGAAAGTTCCAAGACAAATCCTCCTTTGTAAAAACCCAGGCCACCGTGCTGAGGTAGGAGAATTACTATGTGCAAAAGAAGCAGAAAACATTCTTTTTGCAAAAGGCAGTGTTTGGGTACCGAAGTACTCGAAGCACGACTACTGAGCTTCTCAAAATAGCTGCAGACAATCATCGCCGTCGTCCGCATGCGCATCGCAGAGTAGTCGCTGGCGGCACCCCCAAATCAGAACGAACTTGAAAGGGTCTACTTGGCTACCTCGGGCGTATACTCTAAACATTGGGCGTCTCCCCAGTGTCACCAACACAAGCCGTTGTGAGCCTTTTCTGAAACTGCATCGCTTCTCGTTCTCATCTCTCGCTTTAAGCTCGCCGGCTTCTAAAGTCCCTTCCGCTCTATCGCCAGCATTCGAAGGGTGATGATCGCGGCGTGATAACCCCGATTAACCTGTTTCCTGATGTCTTCTGTGCTTTTTATGCACAGGCAAAAGTTGCGATCTAAACATCACTGGCAACTACTCCCTTTCGTGCGTTCGGCCTGGATGCGCACTCCGCAATGGTATCACCGGGCTGTGACGGGGGTTTCTCAAACGTCCACAACTCTTCCTTTTCAGCGCACCGCCATGTCGAGCGTGAACGCGTGCTTCATGGCTCTATTGCATGCCCTTGACGGGTACAGAAGGCTATCGTCGATGCCCTGCTCCGGTTTTGCCCCAATTAGAGTGTCCAACGAGTACGGGCGTCTTTCTAGGCGATAGCCTCGGCGAGTGCATTGTCTGTTGCACACGCAAGCGCAAGCTGTTCCGTGCGACGGAGTTTCGCGCACTTGATGTTTCCCATGATTACATTGGTACTGGATGAGCAATCCAGACTGGAGACCAAGTTGCGCGATTTTGATTTGTCTACGACCCCTCATGTGAAGCGGTGACGCACATTGCGTGGTGAAGCGATTGGTGCGGTGACTGAAGTTCTAGACCAAGACTGTCTTCCATCGAACCAGAGGATATGAGCGCGCCCGGGAGCATGCCCTGTGGGAAGTATCAAGTCGGCGCTGAATACTGGTGCATGGATGTCCGCCAAAAGAAGAGGACTAGTCTCTCAAATGGAACTGCCTGTTTGACGAAAAACCTTGAGTAATCTTTCCGCACACGTTTGCGAACAAGTCGTCAAAGGATTTTGTCGCGTTTTTTTCTATCTCAATCCAACTTCTCCAATAATTGAGCCCAATTAGTTGCAGTAAGACAAAATAGATCAAAGCTTAAAGATGGGTTCTTTTTGCATTCTACACGGAAGAAAAAGGAAGACAACAGATTTTTTATGAGGATGAATAGTATTATGGTATCGGTTGTTTCACGAACTCTCGTTCGAAGGTGTCGCAAATCAATTTGTTTCCGGTGACGTTACGAATTCCAACTGCAACATATCGAGGGAACCACTCCAAAAAAGCACCTTAAAATCCGAAAACTACCCGCGAATTCAATAGCTCTTATTGCTACTGCTTGAATGTCGAGGTCCTCTAACCAAAGAAAGTTTGAGAAGTCGAAAGGCATTAACACTGCAAGCAGTTATATGTACAGCGAAGAAAACAACATTCGTTCTACCACCATAGAGGATACATTGATACACACGGATAGACGCCACCCAGACTTTCTTGACTGGCCTCCTCAAATTGTTTCGGTTCATCCAGGTACAATAATAGCCTGAGAGACTGGTCCACGAAAATAGGTCACCTCAGCTCTTCGAGTATCTTCTTCAGTTCTGCAAACCGTATGATAATGATGGCGGTGTTAGAATCATGGTTCACGAATTGCTTGCTTTTAAAGCCTCTGGTGGCGCAGATCTATGCAAGGGTTCCTCGCACTCGCGCCCTCTGGGCGACTGCAGTCTCGTCATCTTGCCGTCAGGCAAACAACTTTTCTCGCCTATCTCCCCTCGACTTCTTCTTCATTTGCTTTTCTTCTCTCGGTGGGCGATGAGAGAAGGATTTTTGCTCTTTGTTTCCGAGGGGCATGCGATGACGGCCCTCCAGGATCCCCAGCATTCATGCCGATACCTTTCCCTTAGATTTTTTACTTTTGAATATGAAAGCACACCGACCTCGTCTGCTATAAACCGCGAGAAAGCATTCCATTACACTCTCCTAGGGTTGGAGCGCAGTCGAAATGAAACACTATTCACACTATCGCCTTCGATTATAGCCATTCAGCTCATAATTGTTTCACAAGCGCTGCATGCGCTCGAATACCATTTGTCAGTGTGGAGCAGGTGATCCAAACCACTCGGTAATCTACCGCATACATCATAGACGAATTGCCTTTGGGACATATATACTCTTTACTGCGCAGAGCAAGGAGGAATACATTCCTTCTTCAGGCCAATCACACAGCAGTACTCAGATAGTTGAGGAACACTGAAAGAAACAAGTATATGCGCTCTGTGCCAAAAGTCGATATTCGTGAAGCGTGCTTGGGGCCAATGGTGGCAAACGACCCATTGATCGTCTTATTGGAAGGAAAAGGGACAACAGTAGCCGACATTGGCGTCTCTGCTTCTCAACAGCTTGTTCTTGTGGTCCTGGGAACACCCGGATACAATTACAAAGAAATGACAGATTTCATTCACGGCCATCTTGCACCGAAATTGCAACTAGAGCGTACCTGGAACGTCGCGATCGCTATTAAGCACAGGACAGTCGGTTTGCGTTTCCAGTCGATGAGACGTCATTCGCTCGAAAAAGTCGGAGCTCATATGGGTATTCGGATAGAAAGAGCCCGTCATATGTGCGACCGAACTCGTTGAGAAATGGGACATCATCTGTTTCGGCTGGAACGGATTCATGTGGCGGCCTCATTTTCGCCCTAAGAGACGGCTTCCACAACAGCACCAAATACATCGAATAACTGATGACTCTTGCCTGACGTCTGGTGATGTCGTTCTGTTGCACAATGCGGCATTTCTCTCTTCCCCTAGCGTTCAAGCTTTTGTCGATTCTATCGAGGGGTAGAGCTGCTGTTCATTCCTGCGTACTCTACGTGGTTGAAACTCATCGGAAGGGTCTTCTCTATCGTGCAAACGTAGTGATCGCTCCACGAGGCAAATCGCTAAGGCCTTCAGCACACGGTGACACCGGGGCACATTTCGTCTTTCTTCCGCAAACCCTTCTCCGTCAATTACCGTCCGCATCTGGCGGCATAGTTAAGTGCGCTGTTTCTAAAACATTAAAGGACGGGCTGGGATATCCACTTCATAAGGTCAAGATGGAGCGAAGCGAGCGGGGCGCTTCGGCGACAGAAAAGCACCCAGAGCTGACAGAGCACCAAATTGCACAGAGGGCTCGAGAGGTCGAGGAATCCCTGATGTGATGCGTTCAATCAGAGGCAATAAACACGTGGAATTCGTGGATTGAAACTTGGACGCCGCCATAAATACCAGATGATATGTTGTGCTGAAGAAGAGACCCGTGGGGAGAACGTGAGCGAACTTCATGGGGCAGCCTCTCGGACTCGAATTGTACACGGAGAAACTGAAGCCGATTGCAGGCTGCAGGTCAAAAAGACTGGGAGGCCTCTGCCGATTGATATATATATATTGTATGGTTGTGAAAGATGTTCATTTTACTGACAAGCCAGGTGACCTTAGTTATGCCTTTCTTACTCCTGCACCAGGATCGTCACCAAGGCCGGCGGCGTTTCGTCTGCTCGGCAATAAACCTCACCTGAGTCTGCAGGGCGGTTGCGAGCTGTACGGAAACACGCCTGCGGCGCATGATCCAGAACACACCTGCGCGTCAATGTACTGTTACTACAGCGCTCCGCTGATAATTCTCAGAGGGACGTTTACTCGTGCAGAGACTGCTAATGCGGTAAATGAGATACCTCTTTGCACCGTCTTGGAGTGTGGGACATGGTTGGACCGTGCAGACGCAGCAGCGCTTTCGAGGGTCTCCTTCAACAAAGAGCGGGACGCGGTGCGTGCCCGCGCCCCGGCGCTCTGCGAGGTTACGGAAGGCCGGGGAGCAGCGTGTGCGTAGGAAACGGTCCATGGGCCTTAAGTGTTTATTAGCTGGGCCAGACACTGGTTTTTTTGGTATCGGGACATCTGAAGTGCTTGTCATTCTTCTCTGCGCTTGGCTCCTACTTGGCCCAAAAGGCACTTACGAAGCAGCCCGAAACCTTGGGAGTTTCATAGCGAATCTTCGTGAGGCAGCAAATCAAGCGCGGGAGCAGTTTATATCTGCTCTCGGAGAAGACTACGACAGCGCTCGTCGTGAGGTCGAAGGAATCAGGGACTCTTTCGTCGGGGCGCTATCAGGTGAGGTCGACGATTTTGACGGCGAGGCTGGTAAGAACTTAGCTGCTGCGACCGATGACAAGTCCACCGGAAAAGAGCGTGTTGGTCAAAGTCCGAGTTCGCCGCTAGATATTGCTACCTTTACGAGTCTGACTGGAGGGAAAGGGCGGTCCGAAGATGAAGCGAGAAGCTACTTTTTAGATGCTCTTCGAAGAGTGAATGATCCGAACCAGGTGCCACCGACATTCGCGAGCGAGCCTGCCAGTGCTGCGAAGGAAATCGAGTTGGATGGGCATTCTATCAGGGCCGAGCCTGAGGTTCGTGGACTAGAACGACTCACAACGGAGTCAGGGGCTCTCGATCTGCGAAAGCTTGAGCTACGTGTAGCTGCTCTAGAAGACGAGATTCTAGAGCTTAAGATGATCATCAGGGAGCGGCGGCAATAGCCTTGGAATGAACCGTAAAGTTCGTGCTCCGAGCGTCTGCTTTTCGGGCATCGAGATGAGTTCCGGAGGTGAAGAGCACTATAGGAATATTGCTTATAATATCAGATTGTGTACGCCGCACAGTAGGAAGACGCTTCTTTTATTCCGGTTGGCAATCATCTGAAAATAAGCCACAATCGGATCATGTCCTACTGAGCCAGAGATCTCGAATCAGAAAACGTAAATTTCCGTGGCGTAAGCAATTCAAATCCGCAAGAAACCAGACGAAACAACAGAGCGCAAATCTGTTACTCATTGTTAGACACTTACCAAGGGATCTGAGGTGACTGTATCAGAAACGGCGCAAGCGGAATAGTATGTAATGGTGGGGACACATCTAAGTATGCGAATTTTAACGAAAACTACAGAATGAGTTCAAATATGATCCAGATCGTTCGAGCTGAACTACCGCTTCTAGATAAAGCAAAAATTGAAATCTAATTGGTAAATTCAGAATGCGCACCGGCCAATTTTCGATGAATCGATTGGATTTTGCATCCGCACATCAAAATGTTGGAACTTGTTTTCACTGACACAGGTTCATTCCTCAAAATGTTGCTTAGTATGCAAACACAGCGCTCCATTAATCTTTGTCACCTTCTGGTTAAGGCTTGCACAATTCTGCTTAAGTATCGTGCTCAAATCCGAGATCCAGTACTCGCGAAGAAGATGTGGGTATTTCACAGCGCAGTTGAATCCTGGCTGTCTATCCATAGTACAGCAGAGCTTCCGATGCTATGTTTTCTTGTGGCTAACAACTGGTTTGTAATGAATTGCCATATGTGATGTTTTTACGGTGATGAAGAAAATTTAAGTTCCCAGTCTTTGCAAACATCATTGTCAACTCTTACTCTTCAAAAATTTCGCGACTGTACTATATGTAGTGCTTTGGGGAAGAACTGTGCGAGCCTGCCCTTTCGTTTTTTGTTTTCATCACGAATATGCAACCAAAATGGACGTATCCCGTAGATGGGAGAAAGGTGGCGGGGAGGCTTTCTACTATCACTGCTTATTTCGAAAAAACGTCTAAACTTGCTTCAGTCAAGAATCCGAGGCACAGCGGACAAATGCCCTGATCTCCTCCGCGCGCCTACTCTGGACGCCATGAAGAAAACATAGAACTCACAGAGCTCCTTCATATAAGACTGTTTCTTCGTAGATTCATTCCACTCAATACCTTCTCTAGAAGGCACTATCATAGAAGCAACAGGGTTCGAAGAATCAATACCGTCGCTACGAACCGTGATGAAAGGCTATCAGAGGACAAACAGAAAAGCAAGCTTGTATGGACACATACGCGCTACGAATAATGTTTTATCGACTTCATGCCGAAACGCGAACGCTTATTACAGGATAAAAGGGTGTTCGTCTCACTAGATGAAAATTCTTGATGAAAAAATGGTGGGCGAGTCTGTGTGTACTCAAAGAGCGTCAAATGTCTGGTCTTAGAGAATGTATAATCGAACAATGCGAAAACATAAACTCCAGCGGCCGCTCAATAGGGTTGTCGCTTACAAAGAATCACATAGACAGGATTGTTCAACACCTCGTCTTTCGTCCGTGCACTATTTGACTTCCCCGCCCAATATTCTCCTATATTTCTCTAAAATGATGTCGATCTCTGTTACAAAAATGCCGTCTACGAGTGCGCAGCGAAGATGGGCGCTCTTTGCTCTACTAATACTTCCGCTGCCCAGCTAACAGCCAGCGCGAGCGGCTTGTGAATAATTTCCCGGTACATGTAGATCGTGGTGCTGCTGGATCGAGCGCGCGTTTTTGGCGCGCTGTATGCATTTGCATTCATCTAACTGCGGTTTACGCATGGCGAGACTAGGCACTGAGACCACAGGGGGAAGGCCAAGTACTCCAAGTGAGCAGACTGCAACTCAGACAGCGAGTGCCCGGCGTACTGCAAAGCGTCGGAGGACTAACACCAGTAGTTTGGCTGACTTTCGCTCCAAGCGTGAGCGGGGAGGTACCTCCGGGCGGACACCGTCACAAGACGAATCAGTGGGTGCAGCCCAGCTCCCCGAGCCTGTTGCGCAGGCGTCATCACAGTTGCAGCTGGGCGAGTTGGCTGTGGAAACTCGGTTCCCTGTGAGCGTAGCGGTTCAGAGTCGAGCTCGGAGCTTTGCGCAGTACGGAATTCTGGAATGGATCCGATTGGAGAACTTTATGTGCCACCGTTGCTTTGAAGTCAAGTTTGGCCCGAACGTCAACATCATATCGGGACCAAACGGCTCGGGAAAGTCTGCGATAGTTGCGGCTCTTCAGCTCGTGTTTGGGTCCTCCTCAACGTCCACGGACCGTGGGCGACGTGCAAGAGACCTCATACGCATCGGTGCAAGCTCGGGGTTGGTTGCAGTTAGGTTGAAGAACCGGCCTGACGAAACGGATGCTGTCGACGGGCGCTTTCGACCGGACGTGTACGGAGACTCGATAGTCATTCAACGTCGCTTGACGCGTACTGGAGTCTCCAAGTGGAGCTTTCACAACGCTGAGGGCAGACGTGTCCAGACTGAGCGCTCCGCACGGCTTGAGCTCGAGGCCATCATGGATCACTTTTCGATTCAAGTGAGCAACCCTGTCGCGATTTTAACCCAGAAGAAGTCGAAGGAGTTTCTCTCTAGTGGCAAACCATCCGATCTCTACAAATTCTTTATGGAGGCGACGAAGCTCGGTGAAGTTCGTGACGCGCTTATGGAAGTTCGCAACCAGGCGGCTGAGATTCGAAGCATGTACGGTCGGAAAGAAGCTGAGATACCCCGTTTGCAGACGGAGCTTAATGCGGCAAAAGCAGCCTTCGAAGAAGCCCAACGCATCGAACATCTGGAAGAAGAGCTGAAGAGTCTGAGAGAACATTACGCTTGGGCTCTTGTCGCTGAGGCGGAGCACCGTTTGGCGCATGCTCTAGAGGACAGAAATAAGGCTCAAAATCTAATCGATGAAGGTGAAAGGCGCCTAGGACTTCTTGAAAATGAGATTAGTGCCAAATCTGATGAACTTAATAATCGGAATCGAGAGCTGCGAGAGATCAATGAGATGATTAATCGAGATATCTCAGAGGAGACAAACGTCGAGGCGGCGCTACGAGAAGTTCGCGCAGAGATTCGCCGCCTTGAGCAGCAGCGAGCGCGTTTGAGCTCGATCCAGACGAATCGCAAAGATGAGCGTGATGCTGTGCTCGCCGAACAAGAAAAACTTCGGCATCGTAGCATCTCATCAGACTCGCAACTCGTGCAGCACCACCAACAGCTTCAACAATTGATGGACGAGATTGCCCGCCTATCGACGTTGCTGGAAACGAAACGCTGCTTGTTGAACCAGCTCGAAACGCAACTGGAAACCGCGCGGGCCGATCAAGCTCAGTTACGCACGCGCCTTCAGTTACGGGAAAGTGCGCTGCGCCAAGCAGAACGCAGCCTGGTTGAACTGCAACAGAGCACTCAGGACCCAAGAGTGATTTTTGGTGGGCCACATGTCACAGCACTTTTGGCGGATGTCGAAAGGGCCATGGAACAGAAAATCTTTAGTCGGAAACCGATCGGTCCTCTCGGATCGTTTCTTCGGGTACGCGATCCCAAATGGACGCTTCCTATTGAGTTCTCTATCTCCGCGGCTGTTCTTTCGGCTTTTGTTGTCCATAATCTCACCGACGCAGAAGCGTTGCGTAGGCTAGCAGAGCAGCGCAAGTATCCTATTCCCCGTATTCTGGTACAGGATATGGACGCTCCTTTGTATCGTCCCCGTGCAGAACTGTTGCCACCAGCTGAGCTTATCACTGTCCACTCACAAATACGAATAGAGGCCCACGAACAGGTTCTGCAGAACGTCTTGATGGACCACGCAGAGACAGAACTGAATCTGCTTTTTGATACGGCAGAGGATGCACGGCGAGCCGCGTTTGAGCTGCGTCCCCGAAACGCCCGAGTCTGTTGGTCAGCTGGTGGGGATCGTGCGCAAGTTGGTGCTGGAGGCTCGAATCAATTCCGCGCAGGGCCTGATCCGTCGAGGTACACGCCGAAACTGGCGGGCGATATCGAGCATCAGATAATACTGAAGCAAAGGCTACTCGAAAATGAGCGACGGGAGTACGAACTGCTGAAAGTCCGCGAAACAGATTGCAAGAATACTGTAGACGACCTTGAGAGGCGGCGTTCGCAAATAGCTCAAGATTTGGTTGGTCTTGAAAACGAGGAGCGCATGAAGAGACACCGCATCGAGCTCCTGCGAGAGAGCCGAGAGGATGAGACCACTGATGCATTTTTGCCGGACGCCTATCAGGAACGCGTAGCGGCGATCGATGCAGAACTCGAGTCGATTTCGAAACAGCTCCAAGTCTACGAAGATGAAATAAAATTGGCTAAGGACAAAGAGAACGAAATCGAGACAAGAGATCGCGATCGTCGCCGCATGGAAAGAGAGCTCGATGAGCGCCGACGAGAACTCGCGAAAAATTGCCGCACTCTCGCGGCAGAGCACGCACAGCTGCAGGCGGAGCTCCAGGCTTTGCGCAGCGGCATTGAAAAGGAGCAGGTGAATCTGGGTGCCCTCGAGACGAGGCTGGAGACTTTGCGCAACGAGCTGCGGCGGGAGGAGCATAACGCGCTGCAAGTCTGTGCCCGGCTGGAATGCGAAATACGTCCAGTACAAGAACTGCGTATCGAGATCGCTAGCTTGGAATCACGCGTGCAGACAGAGCAAAAACGCCTGGACGGCTTTTCGATTTTGCAGTTACAGGAGCGATATGAGCGTGCGCAGCAGTCTTATGATACAATTAAGACGGAGCTTGGCGCCCTAGAAAGACTTCTGCAGCGCATTGAGGACGGGCTCGTCGAGCGTGTGAAGTCGTTTATTCAGCTCCGGGCTCAGATCCAGAAGCATGTTAGCGCCTATTTCGGCTACTATATCCACATGCGAGGCCATTATGGAAGCATCAAGTTCGATGACCGATCCCAGGAAATGCGCTTACGAGTCGCAATCAGCCATCACCGAACGCACGAGGGCGAATTGTGCTTCGCCCAAGACCTACGCTCGCTCAGCGGCGGAGAACGGTCTTTCACAACACTGGCGCTCATGCTCGCGCTCGGTGAAGCCATGGAGGCGCCATTTCGCATCATGGATGAATTTGACGTCTTCATGGACGAAGCAAACCGACGAGTCGCGTACAAAACGCTCATCGACATTGCGAAGCGAGAGAGCAGGCGTCAGTTTGTTTTCATAACACCGCTGACGCTGCCAAACCTGCGCGCTGACCCTGAGTGCGTTCGTGTTGTGCGACTCGTACCGCCAGTGCGTGGTACAGACAATGTGCAACAGACAATTCTTGACGATTTCGCCCCAAACGCAGGAGATGTCACTGATCCGCAGTAGCTGTAGGCGGAAGACGAACGGAATTCCATACGGTCAGTGCTCTGGAGCAACAAAGTTCGTCATCTACCGCAGACTACTAGGGCCTCAGCGATAAACGGCGTCTTTCATCCCGCTTGCTTGCATGCGAATGCATGTGCGAGCGCTGCCAAGATATGGATACTTTCGACGATGCGCACCACACCCTGAGCATCTCGCTGCATTGTTGTGAGCTCTTTTTCGTTTTGCCCCACCAGCCGGATGGGATGCGCTTGACTGGTTCCCATTGTAGGTTTTCATCGCTCTTCGGGGGCACCTTGGCGCGGAGCGCACTCGACAGCGGACGAGCGGAATGCCTTGAGTATTTGCTGTGCCAGTACTTGCGCTCATGACCCTTGACTGTTACGTAAGCGTAACTCCACACCCTCATCGGCTAAACAAACTGTGTGCGCTAGCAAGGGTTCATCTGAAAAGCCACCTGCTCCAGGCCTGCGAGGCGGTTCGATCGCTTGACGGGCGCGAAACCGCAGCCGGGGCACAGCCGATGTGGAAGGTGGAATGTCCCGCAGTTCGGACACTGTTGCACGTTCGGATAGGGTCGCAAGCCCTTCCCGCTGGCGCGCATTCGCTTCCGAGAGTGCGACGTTTTTTTCTTGGGAACCGCCAGCAGTACGTGCTGGAGAAACGGCCGCTCCGAGCAGACGGAGCCCACCACGACATTCGTTAAACGCTCCCAAGCGAGCAGCGCCCCAAGTCGAAACGTCTCAAGGCACGGTGCGCTGAAACAAGTCAGGGCCGAGGATATTAACGATCGCATCGGGTGCGGGGGCAAAAACTGTATCCCTAACCACAACCAGCCTTGCGGTTGTAGGCGTAAAGCTATATTCTTTCGTCGAGCAAACCTATTTGGAATGCAGGTACGCGATGATCGTTCAGCTCAAAATTGTTTCACAAGCGCTGCATGCGCTCGAATACCATTTGTCAGTGTGGAGCAGGTGATCCAAACCACTCGGTAATCTACCGCATACATCATAGACGAATTGCCTTTGGGACATATATACTCTTTACTGCGCAGAGCAAGGAGGAATACATTCCTTCTTCAGGCCAATCACACAGCAGTACTCAGATAGTTGAGGAACACTGAAAGAAACAAGTATATGCGCTCTGTGCCAAAAGTCGATATTCGTGAAGCGTGCTTGGGGCCAATGGTGGCAAACGACCCATTGATCGTCTTATTGGAAGGAAAAGGGACAACAGTAGCCGACATTGGCGTCTCTGCTTCTCAACAGCTTGTTCTTGTGGTCCTGGGAACACCCGGATACAATTACAAAGAAATGACAGATTTCATTCACGGCCATCTTGCACCGAAATTGCAACTAGAGCGTACCTGGAACGTCGCGATCGCTATTAAGCACAGGACAGTCGGTTTGCGTTTCCAGTCGATGAGACGTCATTCGCTCGAAAAAGTCGGAGCTCATATGGGTATTCGGATAGAAAGAGCCCGTCATATGTGCGACCGAACTCGTTGAGAAATGGGACATCATCTGTTTCGGCTGGAACGGATTCATGTGGCGGCCTCATTTTCGCCCTAAGAGACGGCTTCCACAACAGCACCAAATACATCGAATAACTGATGACTCTTGCCTGACGTCTGGTGATGTCGTTCTGTTGCACAATGCGGCATTTCTCTCTTCCCCTAGCGTTCAAGCTTTTGTCGATTCTATCGAGGGGTAGAGCTGCTGTTCATTCCTGCGTACTCTACGTGGTTGAAACTCATCGGAAGGGTCTTCTCTATCGTGCAAACGTAGTGATCGCTCCACGAGGCAAATCGCTAAGGCCTTCAGCACACGGTGACACCGGGGCACATTTCGTCTTTCTTCCGCAAACCCTTCTCCGTCAATTACCGTCCGCATCTGGCGGCATAGTTAAGTGCGCTGTTTCTAAAACATTAAAGGACGGGCTGGGATATCCACTTCATAAGGTCAAGATGGAGCGAAGCGAGCGGGGCGCTTCGGCGACAGAAAAGCACCCAGAGCTGACAGAGCACCAAATTGCACAGAGGGCTCGAGAGGTCGAGGAATCCCTGATGTGATGCGTTCAATCAGAGGCAATAAACACGTGGAATTCGTGGATTGAAACTTGGACGCCGCCATAAATACCAGATGATATGTTGTGCTGAAGAAGAGACCCGTGGGGAGAACGTGAGCGAACTTCATGGGGCAGCCTCTCGGACTCGAATTGTACACGGAGAAACTGAAGCCGATTGCAGGCTGCAGGTCAAAAAGACTGGGAGGCGTCTGCGCGAGGAGATTAATATACTCTCTGGCTGCGAAACGTTCACGGACCTCTGACCGTTCGTCTATGTACAAGCTAACTTGGTGTCTGCGCCACTCGCGTCCAGTTTTTGGACGGAACTCTGTGTCGAATAATCCCGGCTCCCGGCACCAACTCTCTAACTTTTCTCTCACTGCGAAAAAGCCAGTCCAAATCGTCGAGGTCGGTCCACGCGATGGCTTGCAGACGGAGCGGCCTCTTCCGGTTGAGGACAGGACGGAGCTTATACGCCGCCTTGTACTCGACGCTGGATTGCACAAGGTTGAAGTTGGCAGTTTCGTCTCTGAAAAGCGAGTACCGCAAATGGCTCAAACGGAGCAGGTCATTGCTCGACTACAGGCTACTCTTTCCACCTCCGTGCAGAAGCACGTAACTTTTCCTGTTTTGGTGCCAAACGAGAAGCATCTCGAGCGAGCTTTGAACGCTGGCTGTCAGGATTTTGCAGTCTTTGTTTCATCCACGGAAGGGTTCAGCCAACGGAACCTAGGCTGCTCTGTAAGCGAGAGCCTCGAGAAGGTGGACACTATCTTTCGCCGGCTGGAACAGGAACCTAACCGCGACGCCTTTTCAGTTCGAGGGTATGTTTCATGCATTTTCATGTGCCCCTTCGATGGTGACGTATCCCCGGCTCATGTACGGCAAGTTGCGAGCGCACTGCTGGAGATGGGTTGCTACGAAGTGTCTCTCGGGGATACGCTCGGCATGGGAACTCCGGCTCATGTGCGGCGTCTTCTGGATGAACTTTTTGGTCACGAGACTAGAACGGCTGGCAAGTACGCCGTCCATTTCCATGATACATATGGCATGGCCGTTGCTAACATTTTATGTGCCATTGAAGAATACGATATTTGTGTAGTGGATAGCTCTGTTGGGGGTCTCGGCGGTTGTCCGTTTGCACCTGGCTCCACGGGAAATGTTGCCACAGAGGACGTCCTCTACCTATTGCAAGGCCTAGAACGAGCCGAAAGGGGGGTTGATCTAATGAAACTCACTAACATAGGGGCCTGGATTAATGCGAAATTCGGGCGTGAAACACGATCAAAAGCTGCTCTAGCCCTTTTGCGGAAGCAGCGCAGCGACGAAGGATAGGTTGCTTCTCTTGCGAATAGCTTCAATAATCTCTCTAGAAATTTGCGGTGCGCCAGACAGGCGCAAATAGGGCCTGCCTGATAGCAAGAGCGGTCGAAGTACTAGGACCAAGTTCTTTTACGCATACTCGCCGCTCAAACGGAAGGCGTCAGGAACCCTCTTCTGCCGAGGCGTCATGGCATCGCTGCCTTTCGAAGCAGTTGATTAGCGCGCAAGCGTTTCTGTATAGTGGAACGTTTGGGTTTTGAACATACTCTGAAGTATGCCGCATATGCCCGTATAAAGTGAACCATATCCATTTCAGACTAAAATGAAATAGATCCACTACGCTAGGTCTGACGTCAAAAGTACTGTTTTGGTTTCGTCTAGATAGCACCAGCACCAGACCTTGCCGGCATTTTCGGCGATTGCTTCCTTTTCCTCTCTCTCATCCCCAGTGTTGTACACGCAGCTCTCTCCTGGAACTCTGGCTCCATTGCCAGCAGTCGAATGATATTGATGGCTGCAGTAAATTCCAGATTACGCCGTTTCTAGCTGCTGTCAACTCAACTCCTTCACATGCGGAAGTTGTTACCTGCACTTCGCTCGGCGTTTCTATCTTGTTAGTATAAAGGCTCGGTGTGCCCTGTACAACGGCGACATGAGAGAGTGGTAAAGTGTTCAAATATGCCCTCCAGACCTCCTCTCCTAACAGTTGCACAGTGGCGCGTTACGCGTGCTTCGCCGCTTCCTAAATGTCCTTGACGGTCCGAAAGGCTGCCTCAACAACATCCCCGTTTTCCGCACCAGGGCCGAATCATAAGATCATGGGCTTATTCTGAGCGATCCCAACGGCGAATACTCTGTCCGCTGCACAAGCAAGCGCACGCTATTCAATTCAACAGAGGTTTTTTTAGAACGCGATACAATCTATTACGGAGCATTTTTAGAAAGGAATGTTAAGGCTGGAGAGCAAGTCGAGAAATATCGATCCGTCAACGCTTCGCTCTTCTAAAGTGGTGACGCACTCTACACTTGAAGTGATCTCTGGGATGAATCAGGCCCGAGTCCAGAACCAATTTCCATGCATAATTAAGAGAGTGAAGCCTCTGGTAGCATAACCCTCGAGAGTTATCATAGTGCTGTGGAATTCGAGTTCGACGATGGCAACAGAGAGACGTGATATCGGCTTTCAAACATGATCGCTAATTCGACGAGAGAAGCTTACTGAATTATTTGTAGTCAGCATATGAATAATTATTCAGTCGCCAACGTCAAATTTATTTTGTATTTAATGCAGAGGCGTGAGTAGTTTGACCCACACGCTGCCTTTTATCAGTGAGATCGAAAATTGAATAGTGCGCGATGCGCACATGTTACTAGGAAAGAAAGAAACGGTTTGATGCTTGCGCTTATGATTTGGATAAGGAAGAACATTGCTGCTGGAATCGCTCTTCAGCGACGTCATCCATTGTCCTGATTCCAGTGCCGTTTTGAATTCGAACGGCGAAGCGTTTAAGGAGTCACTCCGCAACGGCGATTACGAATACTGAAATTACGAATGCCCCCGTAGTCCCCAATTGATGCATACGAAATGTTGACTTTGCTCATCCGAAAAATCGGATACAAATCTCAAAGCAGGGACAGAGCGAGCAGCTCAGCCTTCCATTCTGATATGATACAGGACTAGGGACCGAGTCACGCCGTTCTGCGAGCGGCAACATAGGCAGCGATCTCTTGAGAATCGCACACCCCAAAAAGTTCGATACTTCACGAATATGGCTTGTTCGGGTTCAGGGTCACCCATTTCGTGTCGACGAAGATACGCCTTCGATAACGTCTCACAGGTTGGAGCCACTGGGAAAATTGCACAGTGCTTGCTCCAGTCTGCGTCCAGTTTCCTGATCCGTCCCGAAAAATCTGGCAGTAGGTGCGTGCGCGAAGATGTCGCTGCCTCATTGATACATCGGACAGGGTTGGACTCCTGGAGGCCAGGCAACGGCAGTAACGATGGGGTCTGTTTTAGGCAAAATAGCGGTAGAAACACCGCAATTTGAGCTTCTGAAACGCACTGATAGCTACGAGATACGAAAGTACGGTCCTTTGGTGGCTGCGGAGGTTCGTGCCTCAGAAGTTTTCGCGGGTCAAGAGCACAAAGGCAACAAGCTTGACAGTACCGGGTTCCGGCTACTAGCAAGCTATATTGGTGCGATCGGAAAACCTGCAAATGTTGCTGTGAGCGGCGAGCGGGCTGAATCCATCGCTATGACTTCACCAGTGGTTAACCAACCAGAGAAAATTGCCATGACGGCGCCTGTTGTGAGCCGCGCTGAAAAGGTTGCAATGACAGCTCCGGTAGTCACGTCAGACACAACAGAAAGCGGTTCTCGCAGTTCAGCAGGAGGGTTGCGCGGTCAGTCTGGCGCAATGAAGACCGAAGAAGGTGGCGTCATGGCTTTTTATCTGCCAAGCAAATACAGCTCCGTTGAAAGCGCTCCGAAGCCACTTGACGAGCGTGTCCATCTGGTCCAGATTCCACCGCGAAAGGTTGCCGTGGCTATTTTTAGCGGAAACACAGACATGCGCCGGTCAAGGACACAGGCAGAGGAACTTTTTGCTGCTCTGAAGGTGGACCAGATTCGGATGAAAGGAGATCCGGCATCCTTGGATGATGCAGTATGGTGGCTAGCACGGTACAATCCGCCCTGGTCACTTCCCTGGACAAAACGTAATGAAGTTCATATCGAACTCGAATCATGAGCTCAAAGCACTCGGAGCAGTGAACCAGTTTGTGCCTTACGCGGTGTTTATGCACTAGTTAGGGCTATGGCTAAGAAGATCGCGACTGCGGCAGACACGCTGCCAAGGATAGCGGCTGGCATGACTTTCCTCGTTTTGGCATATCTGATCCCGAACACGACAGTCAACACAAGGGAAACGCCAAGCGCAAGGGCTATTGATGATTGTGAGTATGCCACCCCAAGGAGTACCGCGGCACCTAAGCCGCTAATAATACTAGCCTTTGACTTGGTGCGCGCATAAGCACCCACCCCACCTACTGCCATAACGGCCGCATAGACAAGGGTAACAATTTTTACAGTCTCCGTCATCGTGGCGCGCAGCCGGCCGAGCCGGCTTCGTTTGGAGTTGTAAACTTCAGAGGGCGAAGCATGCAGCACTCTCCCAGCTCGAGACGGAACCAAAGCACGCCCAGGGAGAGCACTGCGCGGGACACCCACGCGAGGAAGCGTTGAAACCGAACAGTAAAGTTTGCTGCGCTCCTTATGAAAAACCTTCGCCTTATCTGGAACAACTACTGTAAACATAACTAGTCTCACAAACTGGAACTGGCGGTGGCGAACGCTACTCGAAAAGCTCGACAACAACAGCGAATTTGTTTGAGCTGGCTGTGCGCAAAGCGTGCACCTCCTGAACGCTTTGCAATCGCGCGCTGGAAGTCAGGATTGAACTAGATTCTCACGCCACTGGCTTTACAGCAACATGAGAATAAACTGGTACGAGTCCATTCAGCTAGCTTGCGCGTGCACATTAGAGTTTGGGTCTCTTTCCATTGCCGCTATGACCCGCCTTTGCTGGCTTTCTCTGCGAATGCTGCCTTTTCCTCGCATATTTCAGGCACTAAGTACGCGGGTGTCTCCTTTCTCGCAAGCTCCGTTGCCAGCTACCGGAAGAGGATAACGGCAACGTTCAGGCTCTGGTGGCGAAATTTTGGGTTGAAGCCGACGCATCTCATGCACAGAGGGAGGTCACGATCTACGCTTCGCTTGATATTCTCATCTTCTTTGTTCAAAGCCGCGGTACGCACGTCGCAGTCGTGGGGTTTGGTCGTGGTCATACTGTCTTTTTTTGTCCAAAATACCGCCTCTTCTGAAGTCTGCCTGTGGCGCAGGAAGACCGCTTCATCGCTTTGTAGATGTCATTTACTAATACTATAGGCACCGCTCGATGCGCCACTCTGTTTCCAGCACGGTGACGTACATTTTGGTCACGAGCTTCTTATTAGCGATCCCCAATGCTATTATTCTGTCTGGTGCTCGTTCAAGGGCACGCTGTTCCTTTCCATAGAGGATTTATTGAATGGGATATTGTACATGATGAAAAGAAGACCGAAAGGAAAATCCAAGCTGGAGAAAATCGAAAAATTCCTTTCGGTGAGGGCTCCATTCGTACAAAAAGATTTCTAAATCTCTACCGGAAGCGATATCTACGACGCCTGAACTGCGAGTCGAAGAACACATTCATTCAATATAGAAGAGGCAGGAGCCTCTAAGAGCATATTCCGTAAGAGGTACTATGTCAGTGCCGATTCCCGTTTCTTCGATGACTCCAGAACGAGGGTAATTGGGGTCTGTAACGGAATCGATTATTTTGCATGACGAGTATAATGCAATTTCGGCATGAGCTTGTGAAACAGTCGTCAAGGGACGACTCTGGATTCTTTTCCTGTTTCATTTAGCGACGCGAATGGATCCGCCCATGGGTTGCCTTGGACAGAAAGATCAGAACTTCAGAAGTGTGTGATTTGAGCATGCCACAAGCAAGGAACGACGGTGAGTGGAGGCTTCTACCTGTGAATTGAATAATGATATCGAATATTTTACGGAAATTTGTTCGAAAGCGTCGCGAATAATCGCAATGCTCACGATGTAACAAATTCTGACGGCAAAAAGTCGAATGAGTCACTCCGGAAATGCGGCCAAGAATCTTAAAACTGTGTATGAATCCACACGCCCTGGTCGCTGGAGTTCGAATGTCGAGGCTTTCTATGAAAACATAAAGTTTGGCAAAAATCGAAATGTGGGAACACCGCGAAGATTTCGGAGCCCCTTTTCGTTCTGGCGCTGGTGAAGCAAAACATGCGGACTTGGACATCACACCATGAAACCCTAGACACCCAATAACAAATGATTCCCCGTAGATAAAAAGGGTTGGGCTTTCCCTTCTGTAGGTTGAAGAAACTGTTTTTCCAAAAATTAAACTTGTTCGATAAAAGTAGGATGCCGCATGTGCCTCGAAAAAAGATAACAGCTGCTAGGCCCGCTTTCCCTGATTTCTTTCCCAATTCGTCTCCATTCTCCTTGCTTTGGAGGTACGGAGCTATGTTCTTTGATGATATTTAATCGAAAAAAGGCTCCATTGAAGATCTGAAAAGATGAGCCAGGTGCGATTTATGTATTTCCGCACTTGTGTATAAGGTCTTATATTTCTCTAATGGATGTAGAAGGGCGTTTTCCTCACCATTCGACCGTGAAATCCTTGTCCCATGCCCCAAGCGATTTGAATAACACTGCGGGATTTGTCTCGGAAGGTTCGGCATTCATTTCTCACGCAAAAAGCCAGGATTCAGCCTTCAGGGTCAGGGAATGCGGAGATTTTCCCCCGGATACGGAGAATGTGGGGTGAATAGAATACAGATCATTGCTCGGTACTCTCGAATAATGGAGCACCGCGAAGTTTCACCGATTACCCAGCAAAATCTTGCTCGACGTTCATATATCGGGCACCAGCCTTTCTGGATTTCTGACTGGATGATCCGCGTGCCCTACTCCAGGCATGCATCCACTGCCATCTCCCCGAGCCACTGATGTTTTGCATCGCTAGGCTCCAGCGTTTCAGCATCGCACCCCAAATTCGTACCGAAAGATGGCTTCGACATTTCGATAGACACATAGCCGTTTGGCGCTACGGAAGCCCGAGCCGCTTCCCGCGGTTGGTCGATGCGTTCATGCCTCGGTTTACGAAAGTGCTCGAGCACGTTGCGGGGCAAGCTCACGCCCACCAGAGAAAACCTCTCGCCTTCGATTGCAACGCAGTCGGACACTCCGTCAGCACATCGAACACCACCTCATGCATCCGTCTATGCTTCACGACAATGTTCTCTATCTGTGTCAGCGAACACCGGTACTCAAGACGCGCGTGTGCGTCGCTCTCAACATATCGACGTGAATCTTGCAGAATCGATCCCGGGTGTCGTGGTACGCTCTCATGGAAAGCGCAGGCGTGCTGCAAATGCGCGCCGCAGCCCCTTCAGTACCATACACTGCCACCATCATGCGACGCGACTCGAAGGTCATTACCATTCCAACCGGTTGAGCAAGCTGGCGCAAGCGCGCTTCTTGCCTCCCTACAGCCGAGGGCTTCGGCGATCCCAGCACGGTCTCATGTACTCCTGCCAGAGGTAGTGCGCATATGACCTTTGCTCGCTCACGTACGCTCTGGAGCGGGGCACAGGGCAGCTCATGGCGGGTGCGGGCAGCGATCTATCAGTCGGAGACCTCCGGTTCGACGGCTGGGAACCACTCGTCTTGAGACCCGCGAGCGTAAAATGGCGTTTGACAAGAGAGCACACGCTTTGTAGTGGATTGAACCAGAGGACAGCCTGGCACGCAGAGCAGCTCGACACCTGTCTCAACTGCGTACGGCTTGACCGCGTGTGATTGATGGCGACCGACGTTATCGAAGCGCTGAATAGAAGGATATGCGAAGGAGAAGCCAGTGAGCGTGCGTCGACGGAGGACGCGGTGTTGAGCGGTGCTGTACTTTTGGGAACGTGTAGGCGACCGCTGGATAACATCGTCGCTCGAGAAGGTGTTGTCGGAATGCTCGCGTGGCTCTTCTTTACGAACAGCTGTGTGCGCCTCCCTGAGTAGCCCTAGTCAGGTCTGCTAGTTCTCTAGAATAAGGTCGCATCGAGCGAGACGAAGACGCATCCCTGCAGAAGTAAGCTTTCGCGCCTCACTGCGACGTCGATAGAGCAGCGTTCAGCGCGGGACACTGGAGTCTAAGAGCGTGCTTTGCGCTTTGTCTACCCGCATCTCCTGCTCTCCGCTCGTGTGACGGGGTAGGGGATCTGCGCGCACTGGTGCCTCTCTGAGTGTACGATTCAGGAAACGTATGGAGTGGCTTTGATTCCCGTGGAGAGAATCTGCTAGGCAGAGAATGCTATGTTCTCTTTTGGATGTGCGCTGCTCAGGATGAAGGCATCGACACAGGTGGTTCATCGACCAGGTTAACGCGGATGTACTGACTCGTAGATTTCAAGGGGTTATTGTCTGGCTCGCTTCAGCGTAGGGAAAAGCGCCTTCTCGACCTTCCCGCAGTCTACAGGAAACCTTCATATTGCAGATTACCTACGATAAACAACGGACAAAAGTAGAAAGTTAGAGTAGGTAGAGGCTTTCCAACACTTTCTCCATCGAGGTAACTGCGCGCTTAAATTTTTGACAAGACATTACCACTGACCACGGATCCCATACAGCGGGATGGATGTTGGCTTTCAAGAAAGTGTCCATAATGGTGTTCCGCATCTTCAAGTATCATGACCCAGAATTCGTCTAGGATGCACAGATTGTTTTGAACATTCGATTGTGTACAGAGCCTGTCGTAATCGCCCGCCGCAGCGGATGCAGCATGGAGACAGTACGGCTCTGCTATACCACTGAGGGCGTCCGCTCGACGCACGGTTCGCTAGTCACAGGATCGGGATTTATCATTATTGTGAGAGCCTGGAATCTGTGCATACGCACTTTCTGCATGCAGCAGCACGAGGCGATATGCTAAGAGACCACCGCGATCAGGGCGACGCCCGGACACTGCTTTAGCACCCCTAGTCCCGGAATAAAGTGCGTTGCGGAGTTGCTGTTCAGGTCTCGCAACTGCAGCCAACACTGCAGAGGTGCACCGAGCACGAACCTGGCAGACTCGTCCTTCTCGCGGGACCTTCCGCCGAGAAGGAACAGTTTTGAAAATGCGGAAGTCTCTACCACCTTTTACAGCCTACCATAGAATACGAAAGCAGTTGTTATCTAGTTGCTAGATAGTGGCTAGTTTCTGTTCTTTTAGCGCAGTTGCAACTTGTAAGTGGATAGTTTCTTTCAGCGAGCTTTGATGAGCGGCGCATACCTTCTGGAATCATCCGCTCAGTGACGGAAGTAGCATGGAATTTTGGATAGTTTCTTTTCGAAAGAGTTGCTGCCAACAGTGTTCTATTGCAGACCGCACTACTGCAGCCGATTCCGGTTGATGCCGTGCTCATCAACGTGAAGCAGCGTTTGTAGCTCCTTTACAAGTATAGAGACGCAGCGAAAACTATATCTCGATGAAGTAGTGCACTGCTCTGGGCAAACTTGGCACTCAGAGCTGCGTCGCCTACTGAATCAACCGCGTTACGAAGCTGCTGGAGGACCTCATCGACCCGGCGCATGCAGCGTATGAGACTTCCCTCAAAAACTTTCGCAAGTTTCAAGGCTTCAGAGAATGGCTGGCCTTTGCACCACGCATGAATAGCGGAAATGATGTTGGGGTCCCAGTTTGGTTCCTCACAAACGTATTCCCATCGCAGACCGGCGTCTCTTTGGACTCGGGCAATACGGCCCACGACGCGGTGAATATCCTGCTGTACCTTTTGCAAATGTTCTCTGATATCCGCATCTTCTGCTACAGCCATTTGGCTGTCTTTGGCTTTCTCATCCAGCACAAAACCGCTCAGAATGGCCGGTATCAGGGGCTCTGGCATGTCCCTGAGGATGCCTTCGAAGATGCATTCAGTCAAGATGAGTTCGTTTGCTGCGCTGATCTCGCAGCATACGCGGCCCTTGGGAGAGAGCTGTTTGTTTTCGTCGAGGTAACCGAGCGCGTGAAGAACCCGATTCATCGCTTCGAGCTCGGCAGCATGAATAAGATGACTTCTGACACGTAAGTCCCTCTGGATTTTCTCCGCTTGTGGAGCAAGTTGGAGACGCAGCCCATAGAGTTTGATATCCTCATGTAACTCGGGTTTCGATGCAGCGCACTTGCGCATTTCCTGCACTAAGCATCGGCGTTCGTGCATCAACGCACGCAAACTTTTTTCCCGAATGCCAAAGTCGTAAATCGGGTCCAAGAGCGGCAAGCCGCCGCCAACCGAGGCGTAATGGCGCTCTGCCGACTGCACGCGTTCGCTGATGATGGAGCGACTCATTTCTGTATCGACTGTTTCGGGCATTTCGATGCAAACCGCCGATATCAACTGGATCAGTGAGCGTTGCAAGTTTTGTAGACGCCATACACCGTCGACTTTTCTTCGGAATACGGAAAATCCGTGTGTCTTATTCGGAAGGCCGCAGCATTTTGGATCCATAACGACGGACCAGTGCTGGTCATCCCGTAGTTTCAGAAGCCGACCATTCTTCAAAAATAAGTCAACATTCTCGCACCGGTAGTAGCGTGATATGTTCCGGTCTATTTCAGCTAATCTCTGATTCAATTTGTAGAATTGCTCCACCTCTTCTTCTTCGTGTGTAAAGTGCATTTGCTTCATTTCGGCCTCTAGGTTTTCCAATTCCGCAACCGCGTTTTCCGCCCGTTTCACTGCCTGAAATTGGGCGAAGGACCGGACCATAATTTGCTCCGGACGAGACTCCTCTGACCGTTGTAAATTCAGTAGCATATTGTAGCCAAGGCGGAAAGCGCTGGTCAACTCGTCCGGACGACCAGAGAGGATTCGACGCAGGCAATCCTCGTTGGTGTCATCTTCCAGTCTCAGAATCACAATGCCCCGCTCATCCAGACCTCTGCGCCCAGCACGGCCGGACATTTGGATGTACTCGCCACTCGTGATGTACCGCACATTGCGCCCGTCGAACTTTTTCAACGCAGTGAAGAAAACCATCCGCGCAGGCATGTTCAGTCCCAGGGAAAATGTTTCTGTAGCCAACAGAACTTTCACGAGACCCTCCTGAAACAGAATCTCGACGATTTCCTTAACAATGGGAAACAAACCTGAATGATGAACACCAACGCCTCGTTTCAGCATTTCGAGCATCGTGCCGATCTGGTCCAGCTGTTGGTCTTGCGAGTTCAACGTCGCCATTGCATTCTGGTAGACGTTTTCGACGAGTGCTTTCTCTTCCTCGCCATTCAGGTCCATTCCAGAGATGCAGCGCGCCAGAGCTTCACAATCCTTGCGGCTGAACGAGAAAACAATCATTGGCTGCAAGTCCTGATCGATTGCAAACCGAATGATTTTCCGAAACTCCGCATTCGAGAGGGTGCGGCCTCTGCTCGGTCCGCGAAATCGATCAATCCTTAAATCCTTCCGGATTCGTTCGAAATTTTTGCGATAGAATCTGCCGCCCTCGTCTTTTAACAAAACGAGTCGGTCTTCCTGATTGGAAAGCGCGAAATGGCGAAGCGGCACGGGTCGTTTTTCGGTATAAACTGTATGACAGGGGGCTTGATGGAGTGCCACAATCCATTCGGCAAATTCTTCGGCGTTCGGAATTGTTGCCGAAAGGAAGACGAAGCGAACACTGTCTGGAAGCAGAATAATGCTCTCCTCCCAGACGACGCCACGCTCACGATCGCGCATGTAATGAACTTCGTCGAAGATGACCCAAGCGGCCTCTCGAACAACATCGGAGCCCCTGTACAACATGGATCGCAAAATCTCAGTGGTCATGATCAAACAGCTCGCATTTGGGTTCAGCGTCACATCACCCGTAATGAGACCAACATCATTGAATTCGCTTTGAAATTCTCGATATTTCTGGTTGCTTAGAGCCTTAATTGGCGAGGTATAGATGACCCGACGATGCTCACGAAGCGAGAGCGCAATAGCGTATTCTGCAATGGCAGTCTTTCCGGCTGAGGTATGCGCTGCAACCATGACAGATTCTCCCGCTTCCAAGCATTTGCAAGCTTCAATCTGGAACAAGTCTAAAGCAAACGGGAATTCTTTCGCTGGGGGGCGTCCTTTCGGTGGCCAAACAGACAGCTTAGAAGAATCATATTCAGAGAGTGACGCTGGAATAGACACAGTATGGACGCACGCGCAACGACTACCTGTGGAGAGGTCGAGCACGCTCAGATCATCTATCACAGCGTCAGCTTGGGAAGGCTCTGAAAGAGAGGTTTTGCCGGTTTCTGTCAGGGTTTCAAGCGTCAGCGTCCTCGGCCGCGAGCCACTGAGCAGAGGGTGTTTGAGCCGCAGCTCCGCCGCGCTCTGCCCAATCCAGGGCGGATCAGACTCGACCTTTGAGCCGGTTGGATCCAATGCATGCTGAGCAGCCGGACGAAAGCGCTTCCTATTTCCATCGCGACGAGCACGGTGCGGGACCCACGAGTTGGAGCCGTGCTGTGCTTCGCGACGCTTGGTCGCTGTCGTTGAGCGCTTCTGTTCAGCTTCTGAGCCTAGCACCTGCTTGGCGTGTACTTTTTTTCTCATTATTCTGTAAAAGCGCAGAGGACTCGTAGGTTCGTGCCAACTTTAACACCAAACACAAAGCGAGTTTGAACAGCGCCTGATGAAATCGAGTCTCAAACACAATTCTCTGTGCACGAAGCCCGACGCTATTACGCCCCAGATTCGCTGCTCATATGCATACGAATAAGTATCTCTGTTTCTGGGAAAGGGCTTGTTATGGCAAAATATCTGAGGACAGCAAGAAATCTCCTGCGCGAAACAACGTCACCAGGTGAGAATTATATGGTTGGCTGTTTCTTATATGAGAAGGAAGGCCTCGAAACTCTGTATACAGCGTGAAATATCACCTCGGCCCGGACCTGAGAACCTCTGCGGCTTGGGTGCGAGGCAGGTCGTTTCACGCGCTAAGGAAGCGCGAGTGGGACGGTCATTACCATTCCAACCGGTTGAGCAAGCTGGCGCAAGCGCGCTGCTTGCCTCCCTACAGCCGAGGGCTTCGGCGATCCCAGCACGGTCTCATGTACTCCTGCCAGAGGTAGTGCGCATATGATCTTTGCTCGCTCACGTACGCTCTGGAGCGGGGCACAGGGCAGCTCATGGCGGGTGCGGGCAGCGATCTATCAGTCGGAGACCTCCGGTTCGACGGCTGGGAACCACTCGTCTTGAGACCCGCGAGCGTAAAATGGCGTTTGACAAGAGAGCACACGCTTTGTAGTGGATTGAACCAGAGGACAGCCTGGCACGCAGAGCAGCTCGACACCTGCCTCAACTGCGTACGGCTTGACCGCGTGTGATTGATGGCGACCGACGTTATCGAAGCGCTGAATAGAAGGATATGCGAAGGAGAAGTCAGTGAGCGTGCGTCGACGGAGGACGCAGTGTTGAGCGGTGCTGTACTTTTGGGAACGTGTAGGCGACCGCTGGATAACATCGTCGCTCGAGAAGGTGTTGTCGGAATGCTCGCGTGGCTCTTCTTTACGAACAGCTGTGTGCGCCTCCCTGAGTAGCCCTAGTCAGGTCTGCCAGTTCTCTAGAATAAGGTCGCATCGAGCGAGACGAAGACGTATCCCTGCAGAGGTAAGCTTTCGCGCCTCACTGCGACGTCGATAGTGCAGCGTTCAGCGCGGGACGCTGGAGTCTAAGAGCGTGCTTTGCGCTTTGTCTACCCGCATCTCCTGCTCTCCGCTCGTGTGACGGGGTAGGGGATCTGCGCGCACTGGTGCCTCTCTGAGTGTACGATTCAGGAAACGTATGGAGTGGCTTTGATCCCCGTGGAGAGAATCTGCTAGGCAGAGAATGCTATGTTCTCTTTTGGATGTGCGCTGCTCAGGATGAAGGCTTCGACACAGGTGGTTCATCGACCAGGTTAACGCGGATGTACTGACTCGTAGATTTCAAGGGGTTATTGTCTGGCGCGCCTCAGCGTAGGGGAAAGCGCCTTCTCGACCTTCCCGCAGTCTACAGGAAACCTTCATATTGCAGATTACCTACGATAAACAACGGACAAAAGTAGAAAGGTAGAGTAGGTACAGGCTTTCCAGAATTTACTGCTGTGGGCATAACGCCGGTTGGTGTCACGACATGCTGTACCGAGAACCTCAGTTGAGGAAGACGTTCCATCTCAATGTTTTCGGAACGCAAACGTGCATGGGGAAAAGCTCTATGAGTGTAGCTGCAACAAACCTCGGTGGGTACGCGCACATGCGCAAACTTCACATCTGAAGCAGTGCTGCACTTCGCACATGTACACTGGGGAGAGCATCGGGAGACCTGGAATGACATTGCGTGCTCGTTTCTCATCTGGATGCAATAACTGACTTACTTGTGGTATCTGGCGGAAAGAAGCGAGCATTTTTCCCGCTCAGAAACGGCCTTTATCCGTTTAATATACAGTATGGGTTGCTGATCTTCGAATAAAGCGGAGTTGTGGAGCAAGCTGCATTGATTCGCGGGATGGATAGAGCCTCGTCTGATCCAGCTGACAAGTAATGCATATTGTCTCGTTACCGTGCACAACCTGCAATGATGTTCTCTGCTCTGCATGGCGGATATTTCCATCCTTAGAGGGAACGTTCTCAGCGGATGGCATTGTTTGATATGTCACAAAAGATGGAATACGGGCACAGTTCTTAGTGTTGCAGCCGGAACTCGCAACCCTGCCTGCTGACGGTAGCCGGCTCAGACGGTGGGGTCGTAGAGTCAATTTTGCGTTAGGCCCTTTCGCGGTGCAAGCCTCTGATATGCTTTCATATATTCAACGTTGACGTGGTTCATGGCGAGACTCAGGCACCCTACTCATTCGGAAAACTCTGCATCATAAAAGCTGTTTAGTGCATTTCGTGCAAACGAGGCGTCTCTTCCGTCTTATAAAGGATGAAAGGGAAGGAAGAAGGAAAAATTGAGGCGCTGCAGTTCTGGACGAAGGTGCTCGAGCGAGGCCAGTTTCACCTTTTTGAGTTTGACTGGAGAAGCAGTTCGACGACTGGTTGCTATTCAGCTCTTACTTATGGACTCGTTCGGCATTTTGCCACCTACCTGTGCACCGAGCACGCAGCACTCGCGGAGAAAGGCTTTCCTGCAGCAGGTTCGAGCGCGTCGTGCTCCCCGCCGACGCCGGGTGACGCCCGGCTCATCTTCTGGTGCGCTGACCAATGCGTAGAGTGTTTGGTACCACCCAAGATACGACGGCTTGCAAATGATAGACTTGTATTCACGAAGAGCGTCACCAGAGAGGACCTAAAGGACACGGCGCACACCATATTGGTGCTGGTATCCCTGAGTCCAAACTTGTGCAGGCGATCGGAGTTCTTGGACTCGCTCCTGCTTCCGGCTTTACTGTTTGAGAAACCACCACAGAACCTGACAATAGTGATGGCTATCCGACCTCTTGAATTTCATGGATGTATATGTGATAGCTTGCGATCGAATGCGACGAGCTGCTGGACTTTCATATCAAAGTCTTGTTTTGTTGGATGGACTCGGGTGCCGCTGCGTGGCCGATGCGTTCACTACGGTTTCGAATGTAGTACGGAGGGAGAGCATTTATGGCGGCTGAGCGGGAAGCAGCTAAGCGTTGTCGAATGGGCCTCGCAGCTGGACACACTGCCCTGTCTGTATGACGCGCGCGGTGTGTTTTCCAAGGCATCCCCGGGGGCCAGATTGGAGCCATACGCTGCTACCGTCCACACTGAGCCGGTTGAAGTGAACTCGAACGCAAAGATGGGCAGTGTGGCCAATCTTCAACCATCCACGGAAACGAAGGCAGAGCCGCTCGAGAGCTTCCTTACATCTTTGCCGTTCCGAGTTTCTCTTTCGGAGCGGGAGGAACGCTCGCGATCGCGCCTAAAACTGCCATTTGAGCATTTTGATGAGAGCACGGCAGATGCGATTATCAAAAGTCCTGAAGGTTTTGTAATTTTTGAAAATGCCGAAGCGGATGAGCCGGGTAGTGACCCCGAAATCTCAAGCGACGAGGATCTAGACGTTTGACTGCAACTGGAAACTCGACATGCCCAGCACGATGAACCAATGTGAACGGGCTACCGCTGCCAAACGTCTCATGGATTCCGGGATGCATGCTTATCATGTTGCCTTTACGCTCGTTGTTCGAGTCGACAAATCAGCGTTTTCCAGACAACGCCCCGTAAAGTTGAACGCGGCGCCTGCATGTTTGCTTTGTGACAGGCATAAACATACTGGCTTGTCGCGTTTCCAGTCATAGAGCGTTCCATGCGTGAGAAGGATAGATGCATACCGCTAGCGCTATCGTGCGCCATATATGGAAGGCTTTGAAACTTGTTTTCATGCGGGACAAGGGCCACAGTGGACAGGAAATCCGCTGTACCCATTTTGGCGTACCTCTGCTGATGATCGTTCAATCATGCGGCACTGTTGTTGCTTGGCGCGTTGCGCTGGAATGGTTTGCAGCACTCTAAATGACTCTTTCAGAAGCCCGACGAAATACATCTGCAGATTGCGCAACACACATTGCTACGGACGCTCGCCCTTTCTGGATAAGGACAACACGTATATTCCTGGCTCTGAGCCCCCGGGACCCAGGAACGAGTAACAGCGCATTACCGTACCCGCTGTTCCCTGATCGCATGTGAGATTGAAATGGGATACTGGATTGCGCGCTTTGTTCTTGCCTTTCGATGTTTTCCGATTTTTCGATGTATAGCTTCGACGTTCGAAGTGCAGAATTAAAGGTCTACGGATTCGCTTGCAGTGTTTGGGTTTCTCGCTCGTCTTTTCGGTGTCGCTCCTTCGATTCTTTGCGTCAGGGATTCGATTCGCCACTGGAATCAGGATGATTCGCAGCGTCATTGAATAAAAGGTGCGTAAAGAATCGATGTCATTATCCAATTCACACGAGCAAGCCTCGCCGCTTCTCCATCCCTACGAGAATACTGCTAAAATCACGCATTCGTCAAGTTTTCAATCTTTATGTCTCAGGCAACTGGTGGACGTAGCATTTCGCGCCACTGGATAGCCGACGAAAAATACTCGATGTCCGCTCTTGACGACTTCTTCGGACGCTCACGCCGAATGTTCGCTGATCTTCTCACGTCACATAATAGATTCCGTTCAATGCACGATTCATCATCTCTTTGGTACGAACGAGGAATCGGCATTCCACAGCCGCACAATATCTCTCTTGAAATATGTTCCTAGAGTCTCGCATCTCTTCTGTTTGCAGGAGACTGGATCTTGGACTTTGGCTTCAGTCGTCGCTGAAATCATTTATACTCTAAAGTACATTACTCCGCTGCACAAAGAGAATGTAGACGGATCAATGTTCCGCGCATTGTTCTCCATCCTGGATTTTCCTTTCGGTACTTGTTTCATAATGCGCATCATCGCGTTCCACAAATCCTCTGTCGAATAGAACGTTGCAAACTTGCATGTCCAGCAGCCGGAATGCTCACTGAGAGCATCGCCTAGAAGATGCTCGTTTGCATAGGGAATGTCGCCGCTCGCGGGAACGACGAAGGGCGTCAATGAGGATCTTCAGTTCCCCTCGAAAGTGTGCACCGAGCAGTGATGTAAGCGTACACGCGCTACAGAGTAGCATTAGGAGAAGGAGGTGCAATGGAAGTATGAGAACGCTTTATCACAGCCAAAAGTCTTTGCCGTGAAGGACCCAGCGTGGATGTATTTGAAGAAGATGAAAATGGCTCGCGGAGCGTAGATTGCACTATTCGCCTGTGCATGGAATGTGTTGACAGCGGTCGGGAGCAGCGAAATAGTGACTTTAACGCTTACATCAACATCCTTTGACCACAAAAAACGGAGATGGAGTTACAGGAGAGACCGGCAAGTTGAAAGCCAGATATAATAGACAAGGAACAGAAGTATTAGTAGAAAAAGCCGGCCAAATCTGGTGTCGATTACAAGATGAAGAGACCCAGACTTATGTAAATACGTACACGCTAGATGACTGGTTCTGCTCCTTTTGATTCTGAAAGGGGTATAGTTAGGGAGCTGCAATAGGCTGGCGATAGCTCTCGAGAATAGACTATTTGGACAAATTTGTAGATCAGAATATTTCACGCCTCAACATGTCTTCTGTGCTCAGTCGGCGCGCAGTCGACTTCTTGTAGCCCGAATATTGCCCAAGTTATCGTAATGCAGAATGATTCGACAAGTCGATCGGCAGCAGCTGCTGGCAAAGTCTGGTTGGTATCGAGCGCATTCGCTGGTATGCTCAGTGCCCTGTAGCTGAGACGACCTTCGCGTTAGCAGAAGAGTGGTAAGAAAGGTCCTCTTTTTATCCAATGTGCAGACTTTTGTGATCAGAATCCTAGTTTATCCATCGGAATGAGCATAAAATTGCGTTTCGGAGATGCACCGCGTAGGCGCGTAGTTTGGAACGCAGACTACTGCCCACAAACCGATCCGAATACGACAATACTGCGGCAATCTCTGCCAGAAACGCTGCCGACAAAATTTATACATGGAATGGAAAGAGAACAGTACTGTATGGATCAACGAGCGCTTTCCAAAACCGTTTGGCGGCAAATATTAGAGAGCATTGTCGATGATAAATTGGCTCTTCTACAGCGTATGGTTGACGCTTCAGACCGGTAGATTTTGGCGACGAAGCACATCGTTCGCAATGACGACATCCCGTGAAGTGGTTCATTATTATCTGACTCGATCGCATTATTGGCTGATGATCAGACATTCGCAGAGCACCTGGCAACCGTGCTCCGTACTTCAAAGGAAAAACTGCGGTGCGCTTTCGCTTTACGAATTTCAAAAGACGGCAATTTGCTCATGAATTCAGACACGTAGGCAGCGAATGCCAGGGAAGCTATTGAGCACCAGCGGTCGACCAGAGCGTCCATGGCTGTAAAGACTGGTGGGATGAGCGCACCATTTCGCTTGTGCAACGCTAAATTTGTGGTATGCTTGCCAGTTCGAGGACGACATTTAGCTGCTGAGCGACAACTGAGAGTCGAACGCCCGCAAGTTTCGATTCGCTCATAGCTCTAGCGCCATAGTGACATCATGTTTTGCTTTGGAACGAGCGATTGACGGCAAAGCATACGTCTCTGGCAAGAAGCGCTAACTCTTGGCGGCAATCGCCTAGGATTTTCAGGCGTCCGCATACCACTTTGAACGACTCGCAAGTCCTCGACGTTCGAGTAGACTCCGTCCAACGTTGGGTGGCACCAAACGCTTCAGATTATCCCGACACAGTAACTTCATTTACAAGGTTTATTGCGTTGTGTGTATGCAGTGGGCGCACATCGAAGAGCTCCAAGCACGGATGCTGGAACCGGAGTGCCACGTTCGGTACGTCGAGTGGTTCTGCAGAGTGAGGTATCGCTGCGAGCGCTTTGGATACCATTGCAGCTTTTCACGCAAAGAACGGATCACCCGAATTTGCAGTCGAGCTTATCCGGAGCAGTTTGATTCTTTGTCATGGAATCTTGGAGAGTACCAGGTGGCTCTGCAGAGGCCCCTGCGGGTTTCGGCAACTTGCAGGCACGCACGAGGCCCATGGGTGCCGCGCGTCCGAATCTGTGTCCTCGAGCGCGAAGGGCCACATTTATGGTCAACAAAGATAAGTGTATGGATGCCCATATAGAATACAAATTTTGTACATTCATTTTGTGCCACTGACAGCTTCATTCTCGCCTGAGCCTGTCACTGAGCACGGCATCGATTCCGAAGGCCGTTTTCGAACGTGTTTGTTTCGGATGCGATGCACAACGAGCGATCAACCCGGTGCTTTGAACAGCAAAAGCAGTCATGGGGGAAAATAAGAGGCCATGCTCCTTGAAAGATGGGACGGCTTCCGTGAAGTCACGTGCCACTTCGCAATAGTGCATCTTCTATAAAAAAAGGCCCAGGAAACACCGCTCGGAGCGGCACTAATGCCAGCTTTTTCATCACTCACAGGAGAACACAATCACACAAATTGCAAGAATCCTTTCTTTCAAGTATGGTTCTCCAAATGGTAAAAGATCCTTGCACCAAATTTTGATCACGTCGACAAAAACATACGATATGCAACCATTCATATTCGCTAGTTCCATGTCATTCGGGGATCTGGTTACCCCGACTATGCGATACTTTCTCCTCGAATACGAAATTTGTCAACTATTCATATCCGCGAGTCTCATATTACCCAAGGAACCGGTCATACCGAATATTCGATACTCGCTGTTTGTCAGGGAAGCTTCAGCGGATGCAGTTGTGATGGTACCTGGTCGCGACCCCGAAAAAGAGCCCCCAGCTCCAGAGAGCGATCGACGCGATCGCCTGCCTGCCTGAGTACCGGACTGGGCGTCCGAGCCCTGCGTTCCCGCCGAGCCTGACATCGGGCTCGCCCCAGTTGGTATCTCGTGTTCGGTTGCGGACTGACGCAGCGTCCCATTGAGCATGGCTAGTTCCCGAAGTTGTTCTCGTTTGAGGGTATCCCGGTCTTCCGGGACGGGGATCAATAGCAGTTCTACCAGTTCCTTGGCACGCTCGAGGGCGTAATCGGCCTGACTCTCCTCCATCTCTGCCTCCAGAATGACATGGAGAGGCTCACTGAAGACGTGTTCCCAGCCAGGCTTGCCGCGCACTTCATTCTCTTTGTCTTTGCGGATAGAACCCTTCCCTCGAATCATAATCTTACAGCCTGTTTCTTTCTCAAGTTTTTTCAACGTGGCCCCGCGTGGGCCTAACAACCTGCCAACAAAATTGTAGTCTGGATACTGGTCAGCTGGGACGGATACTCGACATCGCTTTTTCACGATGTTTCGGGCAGACATCTTAGTACCTGTGCCCTGGGGAAGCGCATTTGGAAAAGCCGCAGCATCCGACTGTGGTCCACCAATCGGGCCTGGTCGGGTCAGCGATCCTCCTTCAGTAGCATCCTTGAGTGTGGGATCAGACGGCAGCCCCGCAGCACTGCCCATAGCATCACCTCTCGCTTGCGTTGCCGCGAGCGAAGCGTTACCATCGCTGTTGAGGCTTCCACTGCTAGAGCATGCCAAACTGAACTGAGAGTTTCCAGATGAACTCATGCCTTGGCCCTGGCTCGAGAGTGGGCGCATTCCATCTGGAACACTATTAGCAACGCTTCGGCCGGGTGCGAGGGATTCTTCTGATGTGCTCGTTGCGCAACACTGCCGCAGAATCTCCTGAACGCGATGGATTTCTGCACACAGAAGCAGCCAGACTCTTGGCACACGTTCTTTCATGTTCTCCAATAATATTCTCTCTTGTCGCAACTCCTCTAGCACAAGCCTCGCTGCATTAGCGGACAGAGAAGTTGCCACGGGAGCCGCCCCGTCGCTCGGAAGCGCCGCAAATGAAGCACATCGGCGCGGTGGAAGCGGCGCCATTCCGCTCGATGAAGCGCTCTTAAGTGAAGTCAAAAAAGGTCGATGATTCCAAGGTTCTGCCCAACGAGGACCTGAAACACCCAGTGTTAAGTGTGAACCAATATCTCTAGTCTCGCTCCAGATATCTCGATTATCTTCCGCGGGCCACAACTCGGGAGCTCTCATTCCATCATCGTCACGGAACAAGTACGAAGGAACGCTATCCTCGTAGGTCGTTGGCAGCGCGCTAGCTCCCAACGAGCTTCTCGGTACAGGGCCGAAATTGTACGACGAATACGAGGTTACTCTGACGGGTCCGCGGGCCTCTGGCGGCACGTCCACATGGCGACCAAACCCTGATCCCGGAAAGCACGAGCCAAGGCCGTCTGGATGCGGAGCCATTCCGCCTGCGTTTTGAACAGAGACCGCTCGCGTCCAGCCGGTTGCAGCACTGCTTTCGCTTTCCGGCCCCTGCGCAGAGGTACTCTGGCCTAGATTAACGCTCGAGTTGCTCAGAGAAACCGTCGATCCCCAAGGGGTAGGCGCGGGACTCGTCAGAGACAGCTGACTTTGCAGACTTTCGAGTGACCCGGTACGCCCAGTCAGGAGAGCTTCGGGGTCCAGCGCACCAGCACCGCCCTCCCGCTTCGAGTTCTCCACTTGCTCCTCTTTCGGGACACTGTTTACCCAGAGTCCATCGACCCGCGAAAAGTGCGTGTCGTCCATCTGAAAAAGGAGGTTTCTATTTTGCTGCAGCGCGTTCACCGGTAGTGACACAGCGTAGACGCACCTGCTGCTCTCTGCGTCAGGCACGTTGCGCTGCATGGATCTGCAACGCGTGGCTGCGGGGCGCCTGCGATGCCTCCGGCGCGTTGTGCGGCGACGATTCGTCGACGCGCGCGGAGCCTAGACGCTCCTGCGAGGCGCTCTGCTGAAGCGTGCGGATCGCGTACGCAACGGTGCGCGATCGCCCATGCGTGCAGCGAATCCGCCGCCGCCGCCGCCGCCGAGCAGGCCAGACGTGTCCGCTTAGGCGGCAAAAACGGCGTTTTGCTGCAGAGCGCACTGTAGGTACAAGCATTCAGTGAGACAATGGAGATGCTGTCGCGTGGCAGACGTGAACGTGAGGTAGTCAGTTAGAGCTGTATTCCTAGCAAGTTGTTGCCCAACAACGTATACGTTGCGTGAGGCCGCGGCTCTGTCCGTCACGTTAGCGCTGTCCGGTAGCTGTGGCTGCTTACGTTCCCGCTCAGACGGAGAGACGGGGTGAGGCTCACGCCAACGCTTTTGTGCTCCGGGGCCTCTGGTTAGGTTGATGAATATGCCGTCATCAAAAATCAGCACTCGCTTTTCTTTCGGACTGGGACCTAGGACGATACGATGAAGCAGGCGGGCGACTCGGGTTAAGGCATCACCAGTGGGTACCTGTGCGCGAAGGGTGCTGGTCGAGCCGGCGATCCTCGGCGGCAGCAAAGTCGCCTGGAAACACCTGTGCGCCTTCAATAAGCTGATATGGCCCAGATCGCGCTCCGTCGCTCTGTTGATCTTTGTTAGAGCTGAATATTGCTTGAGCGTTGGGAGCTCTGCTGCCCGTTATAGACTTGTGTCCACGTCGTTCCTCCCGAAGGCTTGCGCGCTCTTCGGTTTTGTGAGAACTCTATCACCAAGCCATATGGAGCGGAGACCGTGGTGCATGCAAGAGAACGATTATTTTTAGCAACTGCCTCCAAAACCCTGATCGCCGCAAGATATACGCAAAAAGCTCCTGCCTAGGTATCTTTCCATGGGGCGTTTTTGGAAACGGGTACAAGATCGGATCGCAGCCGTGGAGTCTCGGTGCTGCAGACAGGAAAGCTGCTCTGTGAAGTTCCATGCTTTGAGGTTGCGGGCTACTGCCAATGTGAGATTTCATAGGTAAGAATTTGGTTAATGTTCGTCGGGACGTGCAGTGGTTGACCGCACTTTTGCCGCTGCAGCAAGGTCTGAACAATTGAAACAGCGCACCCTCTTTTTCCTTTTTATTTATTTTTCTCGCAAGTATTCAATAGATGGAATGTGTTCTCAAGTCTCAAGAAAGGCTGCGGAAAGACTTGATTTTGTCCCTGGTTACTGGCCAGAAACGCCTTGGCTTGTACTTCTCAGGTATTCTTCGGTCATAAAGTGGACGAGCCACTCTACCTCGACTCTCTCTTCTGAAACTCGTATATCGAAACAAAGCTTATGAAGCGCTATCTACACAAATGCCTCCTCATCTGAACATTGTACTCCAGAGGATTTTTAAGATGAATTTCAGAAGGAGCTACAGGATACGAAGTTTTCGTACAGTTCGTTCGAACGGTGATGAAGAGACACGTATCGACGTGCAGAAAAAAAGCACGCTCGTATGGGTGATCGTCTCGCCTTGAGCAACACACTACCAATGCCGCCGTGAAACCCGATATCTCATTACGGGATAGAGCGGTGCTTTTCTAAGTCGATGCGACTGGTTCCCGGATAAATGTTAGAGCTATTGAGGGGTCCTCAGCGAGCGACCAATTGGCTGCACTTACAGAAGAAACCAGCGAGAATGACGAGAACATCAGCACTAGCAGCCATTCAAACGAGTGATCGCCTAGAAACCACCAAATGGACGGGATCCTTCAACAACTCATCCTTGGTTAGAGCTTTTCGTGGCTCCTCTTTCCCACATTATTATGACCTCTTCTCAGGAAATGGTGGTGTGAGTCACTTGGAAACTTTCACGGAGTGTGCAGCTCAGCCTGGTGTTGAGCTGCGCTCTCTGCCATCCTATCCGCCCTGCTTCCTCCTGGTCGAAGGCGTCTTCCCTGCTGTTCGACGCCATGCTTATAGTCACGACTCAGTAGATGTGTCGTTCACTCCTGTGAAACCGCTCTCCATCTAATAGTTCTATAATTTCACAGGTCGTGGACAGCTCAATTGCCTCTTTGCTCTAGTGCAGGAAGGAGAGAAGTGACTCGCTTCGTTCAGAGAGCGTGCTCTAGACGGTTCAGTTTGAGAAATGGTACTTGTTGAATTGTGAATACGCGTATCGAGTAGGCGAGATTCAGTCACGCCGTCCACACAGTGCGTCTGAATCCCGGCGAAAACGGATGCGGAGTACTGGGACCATACGGGAATCATCCCGCCAACTAAATGGAACGGACAAGAAAAATCCAGACAAAGAGCCGAAGGATCTTCTCGAAAAGCGGACGAGGAAGGACAGAACCCAAAACTCTCGGAGCCAATTGATCAGTCCTGAATGGCTGTAAACGTCCTACATGAAAACCAATCAACGGATTCAATGTTCCCAAACGTGAGATGCAGGACGCCATCAGGGAACAGGTAGCTCCATAGAGTCTTTCAACTTTTGTTTCTGTTCCAATCAGGTTGCGGTGTTTAGCAGGATATCTACATGACGATGCGATATACCGTATAGATCGTAGATGAATTCCACGTATGATATATACTTTTCTGATCAGTGCCAGCAGGACTGCATCCTTCCTTCGGGTCAGTCATGCCACAGTGCTCAGATGGTTGAGGCACACTGATAGAAACAGGTACATGCGCTCCGTGCCGAAAACCGACATTCTCACAGTGTGTTTGCGGTCAATGGCAGAAAGCGACCCATCGTTCACGTTATGGAGGGTGAACGTGACAACAGTAGCCACCACGGGCGTCTCTGTTTCTCAACATCTTGTTCATGTTGCCCTGAAAACACTAGGATTCAGTTGCAAAGGAAATAACAAATTTCACGTACGGTCATCTTCTGTCAAAGTACCTACGACAGCGTTCATGGAACGTCGCAAGCGTTATGAGGCAAAGGACGTCGATTTGTTTTGTCATTCGATGAGGTTTGTTTCGGACGAAACGGTCGGAGCGTATGCGGGTATTCGTGGAGCGGCGCGCCCGTTCTTCGCACGATCCAACTCGAGAAGAACGACGACATCTTTAGCTGTTCTAGGTGCAGTGGATTCATTTGGCGGCCTCGGATTCGCACGTAGTCAAGGCTTGTACAACAGCATTCACTTTATCGAATCATTGAAGACTTCCTCGACGTCTGGTGACGTCCTTTGGATTAAGCAACATGGCATTGCACCATTTCTTTTTGCATTCATACTTTTGCCGATTCTGTCCGAGAAAAGCTGCATTTCATTCCTCCGTTCTATCTTTGTTTCAACCCAATCGAAGGAATGTTTTCTATCGTGAAGCGTAAGGATGGCTCCACTGGGCGAATCGCTGAAGCGTTCTGCAGACGGTGACACACTGGGAGCATATATCGTATTCCTTCGGCAAGTCTATCCTTTCCGGGAAAATCCTCCACTAAGAACATAAAGAAGCGTGTTCATTTCAAGAATTAAAAAATCCAAGGAACAGGCATGCACGTGAAATTCGAGGATCCTGGAGGTCCGGTGTCGTTGGGTTCGAAAAAACGAAAACCTCCTCTTCTCGCCGACCGTCGAGCAAAGAAGAGAAATTTACGAGGAAGAAGAAGAGGGTACATAGGCGAGAAAAGCTATTTAATTTACAGGATGATGACGAGACTCTAATGACACAGAGGGCTCGAGTCCTAGCAATCCTTGCAAAGGTGAGTCCACCAGATGCAATGCACGCTAGTAGTTCGCAAACTGCGACTTCTACGCCGCCGTCAACATTCGACAATATGCGGTGCTGAAGACGAGGCCCGAGAAGCTTTCGCGACGCGACTTTGTATGGCAGCCTCTCAGACTCGAAGTTTTCAGGGAGAAGCTGAAGCCGATAACAGGTGGCGGGCAAAAAAGGCTGGGAGGCGTCTGCGGCTCGGTATTATTTTACCCCACGGTCGCGGAACAGTCTCGCTCCTTTGAACTTTCTGCATGCGTATCTCTAGACGGGGTACACTTGCTCCCAGAGCACACGTTGATGACCTGGAAGCTGCCTATGGGCAACGTAAGGATGTGTGTCAGATGTGTGCGGGCAGTGTGGGGTATGGACCCGCCCCAGCTGCCCTGCAGGCGGTTTCAAGGCTTGAGGAACACCTAGGAGGTGGCTACGGTCCAGTCGCCGGTGAGTCCGCTTTATTGGCGAATCTTAGGGAAAAACTTTTCCTGCACAATGGGATAGACGTTGACGCACAGCGCGCAGCAGTTCTTGTAACTGCCGGTGCGAACCAGGCGTTTGTGAACGTGCTACTCGCGGTCGCCGATAGCGGCGACGCGGTTATTCTGTTTGCCCCCTACTACTTCTCACACTACTCGGCTGCATTATTTGCCGGCTTAAGACCGATAGTTCTGAACTCGAATTCCCACGAAAGCGTTGCCGGCGCTCTGCAATATTACTCCGAGAACTTGCTTCATTCTGAGGTGCCCAGCGTTGAAACGGTGCGAGCTGTGGTTGTTTGCACGCCCTGCAATCCTACAGGCAGCGTCTTAGATAACGCCGAGTTATGGAAGATTGCTCATATATGCGAAGCTCATGATTGGTGGTTAATCATAGATGAAGCTTATGAGCACTTCGATTTCGAGATGCAACTTTTGGAGCGGGACGGAGAACTGACCCTGACCTCGATAGTGAGCCCGTCGTGTCTCACGGGGCTACCGCAGCGAATTCGTCGTCCGTACCTTATGCATAATCGGTCAATTCATATCTTTTCTATGTCGAAGTCATTCGGCATGGCGGGATACAGAGTGGGCTATATCCTTTGTCCGCAAACGGCCCCTATTCAAGATGGAGCGGATCTGTTCGATGCACTCGTGCGGGTGAACGACACGATCGTGACCCATGCATCCCGCCAGAGCCAACTTCTGGCTCTCTGTGTGCTTCGGGATCCCGCCTGCATTAGCACGCTCCAGTCCAGGCGACTAAGAGTGCTTCTTTACGTACGGGAGCTCTACCAGTTCGCTTTCAAGATGGTCAGAGCCGGACTGATCGAGCTCACACCATCGATGATGGAGGTACTCAGAACATGCCAAAGAAACGGGCGCCCCTTTCGCATTGGCGCCTTTTACCTTTTCTGCCGTGCGTTACCGAAGAGGAATGGCTCCACGCGTGTTGCTCGAGCTAGTGATCTCGAGTTGTGCCATTTTCTCGCAGATTCATATCGAGTGCTTGTTGCACCGGGGAGCATCTTTGGCACGGATGCGCGCGAATGTTGGATACGCGTTTCTGTCGGCGCTTGTTGTTGTAATGATATCCATGGTTTGCGAGATGCGCTTCGTCGTTTAGCAGCCGGTATCGCTGCGTTTCAAGAGCAGAAATTAGCGCGCAAGGTGAGTAGCGTCGATAACGACAACTTGGTGGTATCTACAACGTTTTGATCGTGTCTGCTGCTAAGACCCGTAGCGGTAAAGATCTGGTCAAGAGCATGATCGCACAAGACAAGCCTCGCATGACCAATATCCGACTGCGGCTACTCGATCGAAAGAGCAGTAAATAAGCACATTTCTGAAAAAAAAGCACAGAATGCGCGGGCTCGACGCGAAACCGAGTTAGACGGCAGTGTAACTCGGGACGCAGCCTAATTTACTTCCAAGGTATAGTGCGTACGCTTTCAGCCATGATTATTCCGGAGCAAAAATGAAGCATGTGAAATGCGCACAAGCTGAGGCAGCCGCTCTGTTGGCTAAGCGCTTCCAAGCTATCTAGCTTCGCACAAGATCTGGAATTTTTCTCCATTAAGGCTCGCCTTAGCTCTATGCTCGAGTCTTGTAGCAAGAACTCTGCGCTTCGGACATAGAACGAGCTGACGAAACAAACACAACCTGTTGGCATTCAGAACTGAAATGCAAGACACATGTACTCGCTTTGTTCCTGCCTCGAGATTTGCACGGCCTTGCTTTAAATAAAAAAGCTCGACTTCCGCAAGAAGTAATATGATCTTACGGACACTTATATTGTTTTAAGATTCCGGATGTCTTTTTTGAGTAGCTCTCTTGGCGCTTTTCCGCTGGAAGTGTAACGTCAATGGAATCAATACCGTTCGCGACGATCTCGGACAAAAAACGTCTATCAAGCAACCGATGTCAATATTCATTGCATACGTACAAGCACCAAGTTCTCTCGTTTCATTACTTGGAGCATGCTCAATCCAAGCATGCTTGAGGTTTTCGACTTTCTGCATGGGTGGAACTCTTCGGGAACAGCAATGCGCGCTGCTGGATTGACAACGAACATAACCCGACGTCATCCCTTGCCGATTTCTGCACACGCCCATGCCAAAAGTTCACTTAATTTGTCATATCATATCATAGGTTCCGTTTGAAAGACGAATCCTCCTCTCTCTGTCTATAGAAGCAATAGAATTTGACTTCGGCAGCAGGGTTCCTCCCGTGGGATATGCTTCCAGTCGCTCTCGTCTCTGTTCTTTGCATTTTCAAGTGCCTTGAAGTCGGACGTGAGTCATTACGGGCATCGTTTCCAGTGGACATGCGTCACCGCCTTGTACGAAGGAAGCGCGGAAGACTCGAAATATCTCGATTTGTCTCGGGCGTGGATTCTCCTTCTACTATTTGTTTCATGATGGAAGAAATCGCGTTCTAGAAATCCTCTGTCAAATGCGACAACGTGCGCTCGCATGTGCGGAGGATGGAGTAATGGCTTGGAGATGGTGAAAAAACAAACGCGTGATTGTAGCATATGGCATCGAGCGCAGAGACGGAGAAGAGCATCGGCGGGGAGAGTTCTGTATTGGTCAAGTGTATGTACCTGGCAATGAAACAAGCGCTGACGCATCACAGGGCAGTTCGCAACGGACGTGTGATGCACCTGCGGGAGCCCATGACCGAAGTTAAGTGTCAACGTTGCAAACGGGGCAACAAGTCTGTACACGAACAAGATGAAAATGACGAGCGATGTGTATATCGCGGCTTCCGCCCGGGCACAAAACGCATCGACAACAGCCTGAAGCCGCAAAAGTGGGACTTGGGCGCTGTTATCAACATCATTCGAGTGGAGACAACGGAGCTGGAGTGGCAGGAGAGGCCGGCGTGTTGAAAGCGAGACAAAATTGAAAGGAAAAGAGAGCAGCAAGAGAAAAGCTGGCACGCGCTAGTTTTCATGATAGTGAGAATCAAACCAAAAATTCAGAGGGTCCACCGGAATCAATAACTGGACCCCCTCAACTTAATTCTGATATGGGTGCGTTTTCGTTTAGTTCAAAGAGTGCTTGGCCCCAATCGCTTCGGCCTCGTCGCTCGCACAGCGTGAAGTCGCGAAACATGAAAGCGTTTCCCCCTTTTTTCATGACAGTTGGAACCAGACCAAAAAATCTAGAGTGTCCACCGGAATCAATAACTGGACCCCCTCAACTTAATTCTGATATGGGTGCGTTTTCGTTTAGTTCAAAGAGTGCTTGGCCCAAACGCTTCGGCCTCGTCGCTCGCACAGCGTTAAGTCGCGAAACATAAACGCGTTTCCCCCTTTTTTCATGACAGTGGGAACCAGACCAAAAAATCTAGAGTGTCCATCGGAATCAATAACTGGACCCTCTCGAATTAATTCTGATATGGGTGCGTTTTCGCTTAGTTCAAAGAGTGCTTAGCCCCAAATGCATCAGCTTCGTCGCTCGCACAGCGTGATGACGCGCATTACATTCGGGCTTGCTCATTTCTGCAACGACTTGGTATGTTTTCGAAGGCTGGCGTGCAGAAGCAGATAGGTGCTGATGCCTTCGCTATCGGAGCTTATAAAACTGGAATTCTTCCGTCAAAGAAAACGGGTTGGAGCAGCATTTTCTTTCTCGTAGTTGTTGCGGCGACTTCTGGTTGGTACGGTTACGCTCTTGGTCGCGAGCAGGCACGTCGGACGCTCTGTCGGGAAATTTCTGAACTTCGACAGTCGCTGCAAACTTTGGAAACCTCTCAGGATCGAAATGCTCAGCGATAAGCTGCGCGTTAACAGTTCCGTAGCATTGGTAGGCTATTTTCGAATCACGTAGAACATCTGGACGACCACTGTCACGTGAGACTGCTGGAGGTGTCGAGCGCTCCTCTGCTCGTGTTGAACTTCGGAAAGGGGTTTAACGCCAAGACCAAGTTTCAGTAGATACGAGCAGCTGCATCTTTGAGCGTGTGGCTTCTTTGAAGAAATCACTTCGATTTTTTTACGGGGCCTCCGGTTTGGCAGAAGAAGCTGCAACATACCAACAGTCTGCAGTGAAGGCACAAGATCTCTGTGTGTACGGATCGCGAGGCTTCTGGAATGGCCCGGGGGAACGCGCTTGATGCTTCTTTGGACAATATTCGGTACAAGGAACCACTGCGCCATATAGATCAGACTCGGGCCGACGCCCTGTATGTGTGTTTGTCCGAGTCGTAGCGCTCGTTTTTTTTCTCGAGAATGCTGCTGCCATGCGTATCGCGGAAGGCTTCGGGCATCAGCGCTATCGCACGTAGGTCTTTTGTATGACGCTGCTCCATACCAAAGCTCAGCTATTCGTCGCCCGAGTTCGTGACAATTTTCGATTCAGAGCTGCGGATGCGACGCGTCGCGCTGGGGACCTCACTGGCCTGCCTTCCGACGCTGGTGCCGCAGACCTGCACGGGCTCCCCAGAACTCCACTGCATCGTGGGTCGGAGGAGATAAATTCTCCTCCCATGAGGTGCGACCTGCATCTCTCGGGGACACGAGTGCCTCAAATGCATGAAGCCAGTCGGAAGTCTCTGCTCCTGTGAGGAATATGCAGTTGTTGGCACTAAAGCCCGCGTGGTCATGAAGCTCCCGTACTGTCAGCCTACCGAGCGGCACAATCCAACGAATCATGTAGCCTCCTTTTCCGTGCCGTGATGTGTGCGGCTCCACTAGCATGAGCGCGTCGTCGAAGAGCACGAGGCGTCCCTCGCGTGCCTTCTTATGGCTCAGACGACCTCTCTGTATACCACCAAAATAAGCAACATTTTGCATACGGATGATTCGCCGTCCTGCAGCAATCACGCGTTGATCGCCACCGCACTCGAGACAAAGGGCGGCAAGCTTCCGGCTGTCATCTGCTAGCTCCTGCCTTTTGTTGGCCAGCTCGGCGATATCGCCAAGTCGGCGCGCTGCCTCAGTCAGTTCCTGCTCGCATGACCTGCCAGAGCCCTCACTCCTTATCTTGTGTAGCAGAAGGCTATAGCGAGTGAGACGCTGGACCGGTTTGATTAGGAAAGAACCGAGGCTTTCGCCGCGGCACAATTCCGAGCTTTCGCATCGATGAAGAAAATCTCGTATAACTGGAGCTTGGCGGAGCATTTTTTCCAGTCTTTCGCTGCGCTCAAAAAAGTCCGAACAGTACTGCGAATACAAGTGGAAGAGGAACGCTTTCGAGAGCAGGACGCGAGCGACACGATCCAGAGGGCAAGTCGCTGATGCCTTGGGCTCTGGAGGCGTTCCAAAATTGTACATGGAGGTTTGCTGCCATTCGCGAAAGCAGTCAGAGAGCTCTTGGAGGAGATCCTCATGTACCTTTGCGAGCACTTGAGTGTTTGAAAACGAATCGATGAGCTGCCGCTCGTACTCGAGAGGCAAAAGCCCCACCTTGTATGCGTCACGAATTGGGTACAGAAAAGCTCGAAGGATCGTCTGGAGGTCCGCCACATAGAGGGCCTCAGTCGCCACGAGCTCGTAAACAGCGTGCACGTAGCGTTCATTGACTCCGCTGAGTGCTGCCTTGCTTCGGAGCATCTCGTGCACAAGGGTTCCGAGTATGATACTCCGCTGCTTCTTCTCCGCAAAGATCAGGTTTCCGGTGTCTGTCGAAGAGTCATGCATGTTCATCGGCTGCAGCATCGCTAGAGGTGAGGCATCACGTAGCCCCACAAGACCACGTGGACGGTATCGAGGCTTCGAACTACACTGAGTTCCTGCACTCGCAGAACCGTCGCTATAGTACGTGATACAAAGCGTAGAGGTTCCATCCTGGAACCTCCAGAAACAGTGTCCTACGTCGAGCACTAGCTTCGGCAGCAGCGTCGATGGCGGATCATAGAAAGCCAAATAGACACCGACAAGATGTTGTTTATTCAAAGGGACATTCTGATCGGAAGACTCCAGCCACAGTGTCTCAATGAGCTCAACATGTGCGGGCGTCCAGACTGCGGCACACTCCGGCTGCAGCTTTGCGTTCGTTGGGGAGCTGCTGTTCGAATAATCAGCCTGCTTCCGCTGCTTGGAATGCTCTTGAACACCGACTTTTTCTGAATGGAATTCGTAGTTCGTCTGCTGAAAGCACGCAAGTACCCGAACTCGCTGCACCAAGCGCTGGGAAACACCTCGCCATTCCATAGAATTTTAAAAGTGGAAGAGAAAAATCGTGTTCGCGCCAGCCTACTACGTGTGCGCAAATGCCTTCGCGTTCTGTTGTAGCCGGAGCGAAGGCGCATGCGGTATCTATTCGCCTTGTGTTCCTAGTCTGCGTCGTGCTCTATTTTGACGGACGATTTGACAAACCTGTGACGCTAGACGGACGCTCCGAGACAGTCACGACCAAAGCTGAAGCTCAACTTCTTGCTCGTGCGGGTTTGTTGCAAGAAGCGCGCGCTGCAGTGTCGGCTCGGGCGGACACGTTTTTCCATGGCCAGCAGAGACGCACAGGAACCAAGTCTGCATGCTGCAGACCCAAGTATTGTGCGCCCCTGCGAGCAACACGGCGGAGTGTTAGCCGGCAGTGTGAGCAGTCACCCGGCTGCTGCGGAGTGCGCGTCGCACACACCAACCCTGGAAACAGGGGCACCTTGTGCTGCCGGAAGCGCACCAAGTGCTCCTATGACCGACCAGGGCGCTCGGTCCCCTCGTGCTGCCGACAGTATGCCAGCTTCGTCTCTGGAACGCGACGAGCGTGCAAGGCGCATCGCATGTCGCTTGCCGTCGTCAGCGATACGCCTGCCGGCCTTTGGCGAAGCCGTTTCCCGTCCAAACGCGGGATCCAGCGTCGACGCAACCGCGACCAAAGCAAGCCTACCGTCCGCCGGCGACGATGGGCTGGGGAACTCCAGAGAAGAACAGGGCACCACTTGTTCTGAACCTGACCTGCACGGAGTGCCGGAAAACGACCAGGTTGAGGTGTGCGTAGGTGGCAGAGGCATCCTGCGACCTCGTAGTTATCAGAGACAAGCACCTCAGCGCTGCGGACTTCCGGGAATGGCACCTGAAACTGCCGCGCGGCCGGATCATACCGCCCGAAATGAGCTTGAGGAGGCGCTCGCTCGCCAAAGAGCCCGACTCGCCGAGCCCGACGCTTCAGGGGATATCCATGGAAGGCACGCAGGGTAGCGAATGGGAGTAAGCTCGCGAGCTCGCCCTGCAGGGGATGCTGTCGTTCGCTCGCAAACACCAGTGGGCAGGCACTGGCGCAGACATCTGTATGTCGAGACTTGATGCGTAGGTGCTGTTCACCATACGCTGCGGTCTCATAGACGAGCAGCTCCGATGTTGCAGCATGTGCTTCTCGCATCGCTGCTGCAAACCAGCGACCCGATCCGCAAGAGCCGTGGACGTGAGCCCGGATTCACGAATACAGCATCTGCACCACGGGCAGCGATCGCTCAAAAATACAAACACACACACAAGTGTAAGTTTAGGGTTGCGTGGCGGATTCCCGCCTTGTCCGTCGATCGAATGCAGCGGGCCGGAGACTGTACATCGCTGCTACTGATGCCCGCGTTTGCACATGGACCTCGGGTTTGCCGCATCGCCATCGTCACTCGTACGGAATCACAGCTCTAGCAGATGTGCATAACGTGCCATCGAAGCTGCTGCTGCTGCTGCTGCTGCTGCTGCTGCTGCTACCCGAGCACCATTCTGAATGATGTCTATCAAGGCGCGCGTACATGAAGCTTCCGCAGCATCATCCCCAACGCGCTTCGTGTTCGAGCAGCAGCAGCAGCAGTGTGTGGATGCGGCTATACCGGTGCAGATGCATTCTATAACGCTCGGACGCGGTGACCTCGCACCGCTCTGAAAGTTACGCGGGAAATCGTGAACACGCACACGCACACGCACACGCACAATTGATGCGTGCACTGCATTAGCCGCTGATGGCTGCATGCAAATGCGCTAGGGCCCTCGCGAAACGGCTCGCAAAGGGGAATGCATTGTTATAGGAAGCACCATGATGCGTGACAGGTAAAGAGGTGGCGTTCATCGTGCTGAACATTTCATTCCGGTGCCGAAGGCAGCTGCAAATCTACGCTCTCACCGTCCAGACACTGTAGGCTTAGACTGGAGGCGCTATCCGTTGAGGAAGACGAGACAAAACTAGATGCAGCAGTGGATGCATAACGCAACGCATCGCTGCTGAAAGCTGCGTAAACCCGCGCACTGCCCGCAAACAAGCTGACGATTGGCCTGAAGGTGTCGGATTCAGTGGTTCTATCACCTGACGGACACAACCACTCGCCGTTGTTAAACACGCTTTCGGTAAGTTCGGACGGCAGCGGCACCACCTCGATGCCATTCACGAAGAATCGCACCCCCCGTTTCGAATGCGTTCGCAGGACCCCAATGACTGATTCGGCTTTCGCCAGTACGGATTCCACACTGGAGGCAGGCGCACCAAGAAAGACGACTCGGTGCCATTCAGGAAGTTTTCGCTCGGCGTTCCATCGTACGACATAGCCTTTTGTGTGGAAACCAATGCTGCCGGGTTGCCCTCCGAGAAGCGCGTTCGTCAAAGGGCCTTCTGCTTCCGGAGCGATACCGACACATGCTGCAGCTACCTCTGTTCGCTTGGCGGGTGCTCGGCTCGACCCTGACACATTGCGCCTTCGTCCTTGGACCTTAGAATCAACGATGGAACGAACGGGCTGAGGACCAGTATCAGCGTCCGCGAGTGGCGCAAATAACACCTCGAAATAGGACCCTGGCGGAACCGGCAGCAGTCCTCGCACGCTGCGATACATGCCACTGTGCTGTGGGCGAAGACTCGCGCACTGGTTTCCTGCCGATAGAACAATATCCGCAGCACAGGATTGTGGATCGAAGCCGTAACTGGGCGAGCTAAACTCTGCTCGCAAGGCGTACTGGAGCTCAAGTGGAACCCGTTTCGGCCGCATAATCGCGTCAACTGACGACGTTCGTGCAAGGAGTCCGGGTTTGGGGACCGCCTCAGTCCGCGGTTGCGTGCTATCCCCAACTCGGCATGGCGCCGCCGCCACTCGTTCCGGTGCTTCTCGCGATCCGCTCCTGTTGTCTGTACCGGCGATTTGCACGTCTGACTCGCTCATCAATAGCTGCGCATGCTGCATGCGTATTTCATTGAGGGAACTCACACGCGACATTGCACCCTCGGGGATAACGTCGCCACCGTCCCGCCCGACGGCGTTACGACGTGGCGGTCGCTGACGCGGTTCCCAGGGGCTGGACTCTGCATCCGATGCTGGGGTTTCCACTGGGATCTCGAGTTCGGCAGCGCCCTCAGACGACGTATTGTGCTCAAGAGGCAAACTACGTGCTTTTGCAACCCATGAAGAGTCTTCCCCATGACCGCTCTGGTGCTTCGTCTGCCATGACTGCACGCCGTTTGATTCACTTTCTGCTGCTGCAACTGTTACAAGATGCATGACGCGCATCGTGCGGTCATGAGACACAGCTTTTGGTGACAAACGCCCCGAAAGAATCTGGCTGGGATCGAGGCCAGACGCGTCCCCCTTACCAGCTGTCTCGCCTGTTGGGAAGACGCCTTCCACGCCGTCTCTTGTTGGCATTTGTGCGTGATCCCCATTGACAACTTGTGCCGTTGAGATATGCTCAGGGTCTCTATCCTCTTGCTGACGTTGTTCCTCGAATTTGAGAACATGCTCCAGGGGAAAAAGCTCCGTCGCCGCGCTAAGAAGGTCTCGCGCGTCGGGAACTACAGTTGCTTCGAACGGCGCATCATTGATGTCATGGTGCATGAAAGTCTTGGACGGTACTGGAGTTTCACTATCGAGATTCACTGCAGCGCTTGGGTCACAGCCGCTCTGCATTTTGCTGTCAGCTGCAGTCAACGACGCCCGGTCGCCTGCATCATGGGATGAGACTGGCAGTGCCTCGTCAACGGTTCCGTCGCCCATTCGCTGTGCTGTGTTCTGCGAAGCCGCCGTACCTTGAACATCATCTGCCCGTCCTAGGCGAGCGTCTCCGCAATCGAGGCGGCCCTGAGCCTGCTCTCGTTGAATCCCTACCAGGCTAGCTAGCGATCGAGGGCGAAGTTCTGCGACTGCGCGCGACCCCTTTCCAGCTCTTCGTTTTTCTTTGTATTCCAGGGCCACCCCGGTGTGACCTTTAAGTGCAATGCGCTGGGTGTTAGCGGATGCACTGTCTCTGGATATATTTCTCTCGTCGCCAGCATTGAGGGGCTGGATTGATAGCAAAGAGCGGTTGCCCGCTGGGCCGGGGAGGTCAGCATGACTGCCGTCAGCCCCGCCGCCGCTATCGGATACTCTCGAATTAATCTTGTTATAAATGCGCGCACAGAAACAACTCTGATCGCCGCAGAGCTCGACATTGACGATGAGGATATTGTTCACGATCCCGCGCTCATCTACGATGGTCGGCTGATCAGGAGAATGCCGCCAGACGTTGTCCACGATGAACTTGTACTGGTGCACCCCAGGAGCCAGCGGCTCCGTGTGCGTCCAAAGGCGTGGATCCTCCGTATCCCGCTGCAGTTGGCGAACTTCACGCCATTTCAAAAAAGATCCCGTAACAAGCACAGTGTTCGGGGCCGCGCTTGTGTTATGGACCCAGACGAACGTCACGTCAGTCACGAGGTAGTCGATTGCCTCCTGGGGCAGGTCAGCTTCGAACGATGCCGATATCTCTGAAACCCTTCCATACGCGCCCAGCGCTGATTGACCTGGACTTGAAGTTCCAGCATTAAAGATGTTTCCTAGTGGCACGCCGGCAGGAATCGGAGTCACGTTCCGTCGCGAGCCGAGCGCTCGACTGGGCTCTACTCCGAACTCACGCGCTCTGCCAGAGCCCGTGTGTCGCCTCGCTGTCCACGCCTCAACTTCGCGGCGCACGCGTGCATGCGATACTGACCACAGACCTGGAGTCGAGGGAGTACCCGTTGACGCAGCCGAGGAAGAGTGTGAATGTGGCGTGCGTGGCGCCTTCGAAGCTGAGGAGCGAAACTCCATGTGGTGAGCCCGTGACAACGACGCCAGCACCAGCTGCACCCCCTACTACCAAACCTGACACTTCGTCTCAGCAGCCACGACCTACTGCAGGCACTCAGCGAATAACGTTGTCTGTACTCGAAACAACGACAGGCTTCCTCGTCTTTACAGAGAAACGCTCGCAGTCTTTACCGAGATGCGAACGCGTGTCAAAGCGTTGCAGACCAGGAATGTCACGTCAAAGTGGACGCCTCCCGGATCCTGACGAAACTGTACTTTATGGTTTATAAAGGCCAACGGTGGAGAGCGGCCCTGCGGGCCCTCGACGTGCCCGCTCGGCGCATGATGTGCGTGACTGATTTCCGCGCTGGGTTACGCTCGCACTGGAAGCCGGTCATGTTGGTGTTCTATTTGCAGTTCCCAAGTGACAGCTCGAAAGCTCAGGCCCGGTGAAGTCACAGGCAGCAGAGCCAATTCGTGGGGATTTAAGGAACTACATTCTAGGTGCATGTGTGTCATAATGAAATAAAACGTGACAATTACTTAACTCGGGTGTGAGCACGAAATTTCGGAGTCCTTCCCGTAACCATGATCACATGCCTTTGCGGGTTTTTTTCTTAAACAGCTTCCTTAGCTTTTCTTCTATCCGGATTTCAATACATTGGTCGATAAACTCTCTCCAGCTCCGTTGTCATCAGTTGAAGGATGTTGATGGCAGTGCACAAGTTGCGATTTCGGCGATGACATGTGGCATCAACGCAGCTCATGCACAGGCGGAATTTGCGATTGACGCTTCGCTAACCATTTCCATCTCCTTCGTAAATAGAGACTGTGTGTCCTTTGCAGAAGTGATGCTTGGCGGCGGTCAGGCGTTCGCAAACATCCACGACACTTCCTCCTCTGAGCGCAGGCCTGTGACACGTCAGGGCTTGCTTCATCATTCGGTACACGCCATTGTTGGTTAGAGAGGGTTCTCGTCGACGCTTTCCTCCGTTCTCGCGCCCAGTATGTACCCTACGTTCAGAGGCGACTCCGCAGGCGACTACATTGTCCGCTGGACACTGAATCGCATGCTGTTCTATTCAGTGCACCATCGTCCGCGTCCTAGCACACTCGTCGTTTTCTGCGCACCCTTACCAAAAAATACCTCCGTTAGTGTGACCGGCATCAAGGCACCTTTCAAACTCGTGAGCATTTTTTGTAGCATGTTTCACTCAATGGCAAGAGTGCGTACAGGACTTTTGGGACGCTCTTGTCTTGCGTTCGCATGCTCGTCATACAATTCTTTCAAATGTCTCCTTTCGATGGGATGAAGATGACGAGCGTGCGAGAGCAGCATACGAGTGCAGCTGGAAGCCGCAGGGTCCGAGACTCGTTCTCCACAGCGCCGTCGGCTGCCACAGGGTGGTCGGACTTTACTTCGGATCTCACTGAAGCAAACGGGTACACGTTCACTCTCGCTGGGTCCAGGCAGATGCAGATCGCACGGGGAAGCAAGTTCGCGAGAGCGTGGATCTGTTTTGATCCTCGTTCATCTTCGTATTTCCCCTTCCGAGCAGATTTGCGTTTGAGCTCTGAGATCGTCGTGAATCGTGTACGACGTTCGTGGTTGACGACGGTGAATACTGTCGTGCCATCGATGCCGATGGAGAAGAGTATGCCTCGCCTCCGTCGTGTGAACATCTCCTTCCTTCTTTTTTTTCCTTCTCATTCGCATATTTGTTTGTGTTGCACCGCTTTTCGTTCCTCTCGCGGTGCATGAACGCCTCCGAATCTCCAGGCGAAAGGAGCATATTTCCCTTCATGAACCTCATGGACAGAATCGGTCCAAATCGTTCTCGATGGATTTCGTTCTGTCCATCGTACGTTTCTGGGCGGCCTTGTTCGTGGGCATCCTCCATACCGAAACAAAAAAGGCGTGAATCGAAGCGCAGGTGCGAACGATAGATACATGCGTTCGGAAAAGGAGATAATCTCATCCGATCTGGCACAATGAGACTGCACTAAAGATGCAGAAGCAGCATCGCGTCCGGAGGCCGGTTCCTAGCAGGCTGCAGAACCAACCTCTTCTTGTCGTCTCCGACCTCAATAAATATTCGACGTTCGCGCATCAAGCTCTCTATTCTCCGTGTCGATGGATGTCTGTGAAGAACCGGTCATGAAGAGATCTTTCGAGTTACCAAGGCTGGTGATCGAGTGGTCGAACTTTCGCCTCCACGTCATCGAGTCGTTCATGCATCGGTGAAGATGAACGCTCACATGGCTCAGCGTCGCCACTATTTTTTTTGACCACGCACTTTTTTGTGAAATCAAAGCCGGTTTGACTCACCAAGCGAGTAAGGGCCTCGACGACCGCAAGATCGCTCCGCTAGGGAATCGAGTACGCCTGGCGTCGATGAAAGCACTGAAACCAGGAACTGTAACCGGTAAATGCTCGAGAACACTGGGGACACGACAGGCCGCCTATGTCAACAGCGCCTGTATGAAGATCCCCTCTTTCGGACTGTAGTCGACGCGTTCGAAGCACGCGTTCTGTTTCGTGAGGTGAGCGCGTTGCTGGAGTGTAGAGAAAAGAACTGCGAATTCACCTACGCGGGCGCGATGTCTCGGCTATTGAAAGTACGTTCCGATGTATCCCATTTGCGGCTGCTCTGTTATAGATCAGCGATGAGCGCAGCTTCTCGTCCGGAAGCATACCAAATTGATGAGCTTCGTCCAGGAAAGCACAACGTCGGAGATTAACGGCATTCTCGGGGAGCAGTACACGCCTCTATTCGTGGTACCAGGATTTGTATGTTGCTCTTATGCTGTTGAATTTCCTGCCAGACCGGGTGGGCAGGGGATGTTTGCCTCTTTAAGTAAACATGCTACATATATTCATTCTTTCTGCCTTGTTCATATCTCCTCCTCATGGCTCTTTTGCAATCCACCTTCGGCAAAAGGAAACGAATTGCGCAAATTAAGCGCTGACGAGTTATCAACAGATGTATTTGATGTACTGAATCATTCCTTCACGTGTCCGGAGCCATTATCGATCGGGTTGAAACGCGGGAAATGTGCTGGAATGCACAAAACGAGTCATCCTCTATACTCTGCTCGTTTCGGAGCAGAAGCGGTTCATGGCACGGCATAGTGTCCCTGATGAAGCAAGGACCAGTAGAAAAATCCATGCTAGAGAAATACGCCGAGGAACTGCGATCCGTCTACGCTCCCATCGTGCACACCTCCGGTGATGAACGCTCAGATCCAGGCGATCGCTGCAATGACTCGACGCCGTGTCCGGTACCTGTTGTCATGCAAGCGGAAGAGACGAGAGCGTCTGGGACCACATTCCTGTCAGAGATAAAATGCTGCAGCCGATTTTTGTTTCGACGATGCGAACCAAGGGTCGATGATGCGCCACTCAAACGAAATCCATTACCTGATGTGAAACGTTCAGCCAAGCTCCCGCGTGAGGTCTTGAGAGAGTCGTCAGCGTACGAGGTTGAGTTTTTTCCATCGTCAATGTACCGCCGCGAATTGCTGCGCGTTCCCAAGCTACACTGGCATGGAACGATCGAGAGCTTGAAGCATGCGTGACAAGCGCATGCTACACGTAAGGAAAGCAGGGGGATGGAGGCTTCCATGAATGAATTTTGACACTGGTATCGGCTATTTTACGAACGCGTGTTCCAGGGCGCCGCGGAACATCTCGATTCGCATGACTTATCGATTACCAGCCGCATAGCGTCGAAGAATCCACCTCGACAAGACGACAGGGAACCCTAAAACTGCCTATGAATCCGTGCGCCGTTTCTGCTGCATTTCGAATGTGGATGCTGTATATCTGGAAAAGCTCGGGAAACAAAGTGCAAGGCAGGAGCCAGGCGCACATCAACGTCCCATTTTAACCTGACATCGGTGCAGATTGCCACGCGAGGAGCTTAGGATACGCGCTCACAACACAGCAGCAAGCATCATCTGTGGATCTGTGTTGCTTGTATCCCACGCAAATGCGACCAGGTTGAGTTACGCAGACCGAGCCAAATCGCTCTGTGTACAGAAAAGAACGAAATCCTGGCAAAAGGATTCATGAACGAGGACATACTTCGTCGTTTATGTCGTAGACTTCTCTAGTTTGGAGAGGTATACCGAGAATTGTTCCTGTGGAGGCGGCATCAATTTCGTCTCTTTCCATAGATCGGGGGTGAGGAAGCTGTATGTCTTTTTCAGTGCATCGTAAGTCGCTTTGGCGAAATTCCCCAGAGTTTTCGAGTGGCCAGTGCACTGCGTATACACGTCCTGCAAACCTGCAAACTGAAGTATCTTCTTCGGTACCTGCGCTGCCACTATACCGGTACCACGTGGAGCCGGCACTAATCGCAGCGTTACTGAGCCGGCTTTCCCACTAACCTTACACGGCACAGTGTGCGGTAGACCGAGCTTGCTGCCCCAGAAGCCGCGTCGCACGGGAACGACTGCAAGCTTCGCAGCAAGCATAGCTCCGCGAATTGCAGTCGCAACCTCCTTCGCGCTCTTGACTCCGAGACCGACGTGCCCGTTTCCGTCACCAACAACAACAATAGCCTTAAAGCGCGTTCGCTGACCCGCCTGCGTCTGTTTCTGAATAGGCATGATCTTCAATACCTCATCCTGGAGACGAGGTCCGAGAAAATAGTCGATAATTCCTGGCTCCTTAATCGGAAGCGAGAACAGGTAAATGTGCTCAAGCGATGGTATTTTGCCGTCTTTCACGAGCCGTCCCAGCTTAGTGGTCGGGATCCACTCCTCGTGCGCTGCTGTGCCGTCGCGACCGGCTGCTCGAGCCCCACCACGGCCGCCTCTGCCTCCACGCCCACCCCTACCACCTCGTCCACCTCGGGCACTGCGACCACCACCACGGCTCTCACCAAAACCGCCAGGGAACCCTCCACGTTCAGCCATGATCTTATGCACGAGTACTTGCTCGCTTAGAACACAGCAAATCCTTTGCGAGACGTGTGCCCAGCGCGACGACGAAACGCGCCGTCCTTACTGTCCTTACTGTACTAAAAAGTACATTTAGATACAGTCTCCACGGGATACCTGATCGTACGCTGATGGACCGCGACCTGCGCGATCGCTCGTCGCGCTCAGGGCGTCGTTTCGGCAGGCGCGGGGCGCTGGCGACCTGCGCGCGATCACACACGAAGCAGTGTAGCGGAAATCAGGTCCTTTTTGCAGACTCGAGCGTAAACATCCAAGTTTGCGTCTCTCCCACTGTCATCAATATAAATCTTTAGGAAACTATCCTAAGGCTGCTGCTTTTTTTCTCCTTTTTATCTCAGGCTTTTAAAACGCCTGTACCGCCCGTACGTCCAGCTACGTTGGCAGTAATCGCGGGGCGTTGGGGCAGCGCTAGAGTTGCATTTCGCCGCTTCCGGCTGTTGTCGGTGTATTTCAAGCATGGCCCGACGTAGGGATCTACGCTTGGCTTGCTACTTACCTCTTTGTCACGTACAACCTCGATTTGAGCTTCGCAGCGGTGAAACTTGGCTGGGGTCTAGTGTTGCCATTTGTCCATTGAACCGCGCATGCTTCAGGCGATGACCGTGAGGCGCGGAAGGCCCTGCTTCATGGCTCGTTACATGCCCGAAAGGGGCACGGATACCTCTTTTCGATGTCGTCCTTCGTTACAGCGCCCAGCGCCATACCCTTCGATCAAAAGCATCTTTTAGACGATCGCTACGGCGTGCATGCTGCCGGCTGCGCGAGCAATCGAACGCTGTTCCGCTCGGCACGGGATTTCTGGAACGGGATAGTGTCCCTGATGAAGCAAGAACCAGTAGAAAAATCCATGCTCGTTTCGGAGCAGAAGCGGTTCACGGCACGGCATCGTGTCCCTGATGAAGCAAGGACCAGTAGAAAAATCCATGCTAGAGAAATACGCCGAGGAACTGCGATCCGTCTACGCTCCCATCGTGCACACCTCCGGTGATGAACGCTCAGATCCAGGCGATCGCTGCAATGACTCGACGCCGTGTCCGGTACCTGTTGTCATGCAAGCGGAAGAGACGAGAGCGTCTGGGACCACATTCCTGTCAGAGATAAAATGCTGCAGCCGATTTTTGTTTCGACGATGCGAACCAAGGGTCGATGATGCGCCACTCAAACGAAATCCATTACCTGATGTGAAACGTTCAGCCAAGCTCCCGCGTGAGGTCTTGAGAGAGTCGTCAGCGTACGAGGTTGAGTTTTTTCCATCGTCAATGCACCGCCGCGAATTGCTGCGCGTTCCCAAGCTACACTGGCATGGAACGATCGAGAGCTTGAAGCATGCGTGACAAGCGCATGCTACACGTAAGGAAAGCAGGGGGATGGAGGCTTCCATGAATGAATTTTGACACTGGTATCGGCTATTTTACGAACGCGTGTTCCAGGGCGCCGCGGAACATCTCGATTCGCATGACTTATCGATTACCAGCCGCATAGCGTCGAAGAATCCACCTCGACAAGAAGACAGAGAACCCTAAAACTGCCTATGAATCCGTGAGCCGTTTCTGCTGCATTTCGAATGTGGATGCTGTATATCTGGAAAAGCTCGGGAAACAAAGTGCAAGGCAGGAGCCAGGCGCACATCAACGTCCCGTTTTAACCTGACATCGGTGTTGCGCCGCGCAGCCCTCGGACAAGCCGACGCTCTTCGAGGCAGCCCAGCGCCCTCTCGATCTACGGAGGAGAATGAGTGCTGCGCGGGCAGCGCGTACGGCATTGCAGTAAAGCGCGAACGGTCGGCACTCGGCGCCAGCAGGGTCTACGCATGCATCTGAGCCGTACACTTTCGGCAAGAGGGTTAGTCTGGAGCATGCAGACGTCCAAATGTTCATAGAAGAGCGATGTTCAGATTTCTTTCTGCCGGTCGCAAGCGTACATGCACGGGACATCGGATCCGATACATGAATGACACATCATGGATTACCATCATGCATTCGCTGGTCTTCCAGGACAAGGAACTGTTGGCACATTAGAGTCTTTCATGGCAATTGTGCTTCACCTCCCAGGTACGTGCAATCAAATGCTTTTTCGTGGTTTATAGCGGATGCTTGCAAAGTATGTTCATACGCAAAAAATCCAAGGGAGAGGTATATAGTAAAAAAGGCGAGGTACCTGGAGCCTAGGTGTTGCCGCGGTAGACAGAAAACCGAAACGAAATCCTCTTCCCGCCGACCGTCCAGCGAAGAAGAGCAAGTGACGAAGAAGCAGAAGAAGGGAGGAAATGGTCAAGAACAGGTAGTTGCCCGACGTGATGATGACGAGACAGTAGGGGCACAAAGGGCAGGAATTCGAGGAGTCCTTGCAAAGGTGAGAACAACGAAAGCCAGTATACGCATGGAATTCGTGAACCGAGACTTCAACGATGCCACCAATACCAGATGATATGTGATACTGGAGGCGAGGCCCGCGCAGCTGACGAGCGCCAATTTTGTCGGGTAGCATCCCAGACCCGAGGTATACAACCTGAGGTTGAAACCGATAGCAGGGGTCAGGCCGCAGAAGGCTGCGAGGCGTCCGCGGGTCGATGTATACAGGCACTCCACGACAGCGAAGCGTTTTCGTGCGAACGAGCATTTCGATCGAACGTTGGCCGAACATCGCGAGACCCGTTGTTCTGTCAGAAAGCTGGCATCCTGCGTTGGACACGAGCGCGAGGCACCGACGAAACGACGCATGCAATGGCCCGTAAGCCCCGAGTGCATCCCGTTTCGCTGCTATTCCGGACGCTTCGCGTCACCTGGATCGCTCCTGAGGAAGGATTTTGGGTGTGTGTGTGTGTGTGGTCAGTGCAAGCCGGGTTTAGAGTGGAGCAGTGGACGCTTCGATCACATCTGAGGAACGACGTTTGGTGCGCTCTTCATCGCAAGCCGGGGATCGTGCAGCAGCGCCGGACGCATGAAAGTCAGCTGCGGGACAGCGCGTCTGGTGCACGCGCATGAACAATAGGGGTTTGGAATGGATCGGTGGCTGCTGCCCCGGATGCGCGATTGCTATGGACATGCAGGTGATCTCCCTGATTCGACTCATCGATCCTCCAACGTTGGAAAACATGGGGCACGGCGCGCGCTACAGTCGCCACTAGGACGCGACTGCCGCCTTCGCTATCACCTACCAGCAGTCGTTCCATTGGCTTGGCATCATCGTTGCGGACTTTTTCTTGAAGAATAAGGGCGATCTTCGGGGATTACCGCGCAGCAGTGCTCATTACGAGAATGTACAGAGAAAGCAGAGCATCGCTGGGCGCGACATCACAGACACACCTGACTGCATCTCGAGTGTTCGCATCGAATCTGATCGTCATCAGAGACCAGCGTCTGGAATAGACTGGAAACGCCGCGATGACTTGACGAAGCACTCGCAACCTAGGTCATCATGACAGCGGTTGTGCATTCGTCTCCAGAATGCGTCACGTTCATCAACTGGTCTGTTGTCGCAGCGAGGACAAATAGTCCCCAATAACGTCCACGAGTAGATCGACTGGATCAGGTCCGTCGGAAGCCGCGTCGCGGCGACTGCGTCGGCCGGTGCGCATACCCCCACCCACGGGATACCGCACATTGGGGCGGGAGTCGGCGTACGCGCGACTGCTCTTCGTATCGAACGGAAACATGCGCCGATACGCAGCGGACACAGGCACCAGGTGACCTCCGGGAACCTGACGGAACTCAAAGGCCTTTTCGCGATCGGCAAAGCGGTACCAAAGCGCCGCAGCGAGGTCATCGCTTTGGTCAATGGGGTCATCTGCGAACTTCACAATCAAATTACTCGCACAGCTGTAATATGATTCGATAAGGCGCTGAGTCTCCTGCGGGCTGGGTGTAAACTCACGATCACGTAGAGCGCGTGCTGCCCCGGTCGCTAGGGAAGCCCATTCGGGCCAAATACCCAGCAAGCCGGGATCCTGGCTGCGCACCTCTTCTTGTTGCGGCTCCGCCAGGTCTCGAAAATATCGCTGCACGCCGCGAGCCGTTTGCAGCCGAGCGCTGCTGCCGAGAATCGCCGCATCACGCAGAAAACTCTCGACGATGCGCCATCCGTCTGAACCAGCTACCGCATCGAGTGCTTTGGTAGCGTCCTCGAAAAAGGGTATGCTCTTTGAACTCGAGTAATTATTATAGGCCAGAAATATGTTAGCCTTTGGCGCCAGTCCGGCTCTTTGCTTTCGATTGGGCGCCGTTGTTTCCTCTGCATGCATCAGCGCCAGTAGCTTCGCGCCGAGCGAGTGACCCATGCCCACGGCAGGGAGGCGCTCCGGCGATGCAAGCAGTCGCGAGAGAGACGCGGAGGCATCCCGGAACCGCTCCCTGAGCTTTTCCGCTAGCTGCAGATGGTCGAAGAAAAGAGTCGTATCCGGAACGGGATGGCTGGAAAACGCATCCGCCCCAACTTTCGCAGAAGCACTCGTTGATGCCTTGGAGGGCGCCACGGCCGCCGAAAAGAACGGCGCTGCGATCACTGCCATCTGGGTTCGGCGTGCAATTTGTTCAAGAAAGGGCCCATAAGTTGCCCGCGGAAACTGGCCCACCAAGAACCCGCCAATGAAGCAGATTACCCCACGAAGCGCGCCAGACGCAGTGGCGAGCTTGTCGCTCGGCGAACCCGCCGGAACACCGTCCGGGATACACACGTCGCAACCGGCGAGCACCAACCAGCGCCCTTCCGAGTCCTCGACTTTTCCATCGACACTCATCTGGAGCGAGCTGAGCCCTAGGGAACGCCAAACACGGCCAGTAGGTCGACAGGCCTCTATCGTTTCACCGTGTCCACAACGGCGATAACCGTACTGAAGACGCCTCCGGGCAGCAGATCTAGTGTTGACGCATGTGCGGCGTCTCACGCGAAATGCAGGCGACACGTCTGTAGCCCTGGCAACTATGGTGCTTGCAGAACAGCGACTCCTTGTGTGAAAAGAGCGCACGACAGCGGGCAGTACTAGAAACGCAGTCGAATCCAGCAGCAGGTCGCTTTTACACGCAGGGCACTCCGTGGAGCCACGAAGCCGTTGGACGCGTTCCGTGGTTGTCTGCTCACGAGTTTGTTGGGAGGACCCACGCATTCTCAAATGCCTTGGTTCGAAAAAACGTTCCTGGCGACTCACGAACGCTACGTGGTGTCAAGGTCGAACGCCCAGCGTCGAATGCACAAATCACTGGATATGCGTCAAACTTGCCTCGCGCCCGGGCGCCGATCGAACCGCAAAGATGCCTAACGAACGTTGGGGGCAGGGTTCGAGTTCGCAGTGCGCTAGCACACAGACAGTGACCGTTTCATAGAATGCATGCAATGCTGGAGCGACACCAGACCTCATTTCGTTGTCTAGAAGCCAGATTCGTCATCACAGACTGTTAGAGAAGCTGCGTTCATTCCCGAAAGTTGGACGGCACGGGGTCAAAGTGCGTCGACTGGAGGCAGCGTACCTCAGTGCAAACGCTCAGGTGCGTGCTTGCGCTCGGCTGCGCAGCCTTCTGGAGATCACGTGCGATATAGCATGCCGTTGAGAACGGCACGCGGCGTATCGGTCCGTGGTGGCCCTCTGAAGGACGCCTCTGTCTGGGACGCGACGTCCAGACCCTGGACACTGGACAGGTGCGTGGAGCGGCCAACGTTGCGCGCGGTTCCGCGAAAGGACTCGGGGTCTTTTCTCCTGGCAAGCAGCAAAGCGCAGATCAGCGGTCCTTGACGCGGCGTTTCGCAACTGGCGGGGGCCTTTGAGCGCTCGTAGGGTATAGCGCCTCCATAACAGTTCCCTCGCAGTTGCGCATGTCGTGGTCGAGCAACGAACGAGCTCGATGAAGTAGCAAACTTCCTCGCTGCCGACAAGCAGCACCGTACACTGCGACCAGGCGCTCAAGAGCAAGTCACGCGAGCTTAACGGTTCCGTAGAGCTAGCGGCCAGTGGGCACTCCTATGCTGCATGCTCTACTTTTACGGACACAAACACGGTCCACGGTCTGCAAGGGCAGACTAGCTGGAATAAGATGTTTGGATACACGTATCATTGACGAATGTGCGTTCAGGATAGCGGAGGGCGACCAAGGCCCCGTTGGTTGGCCTGTGCACGCTCCACACGCCGCCGTGCACAAGTCCCCTGCACGATGAGGCGTCGCGCTTGTAGATCATCACGCAATAGTGAATGCTTGCCGGATCAATTCGTTTCTTAACGACCTCGAGACTGTAGGCTCGCACGCCACCACCCCACTCTACACGTGACGCCTTTCTCGAATGGTCATGGAGACGAGGGGCTTTTTGACCGGGGACTGTCGACGCGTAAAGCCCCCATCTGCGCTTCCACTGCCAGGTTTGCGTGCAATGCGAGCTTTCTCGCGGCGCTGTCATCAAACTGGCGCCAAGGTCTAAACCGATCCGTACATGAGCTGGCTCGCGGACCAGGTCCGCTGCTTTTCTCCGAATGAGCCAATTCACCCGTGTTTTCCACAAGTCTGCGACGATCTTCGGGGGGTAGTCTCTCTACCATGGAATTGGCGTCCTCTGCAGCGTATGCTCGGAGCGCCCCAAACAGCTGACGGGCAATGAAGCGCACCTTAGCCTGCGAGTCTCTGATCGCCAAACGAATGCAAGATTCGATTTCCGAGCGAATGGCGGCATCGCTCCACAAGGAGGACGCATCTTGTCGGAGCACAGTCGTTTGTGCGGCTCGGGGAAGCGCAACGGCCGACTCGGATTTTGTACCGACCTGTAGTACGAGACAGGCATACATGCCACAACGCTCCCGAAGCACAGGATGCTGTTCAGCACCAGCACATGCTTTCAACAGGAATTGAAGCACGGGGAATAAGAAAGACGGATGCGACGCAGCGTCGCGCAGTACTTGCAGCAGTCGATGGGCGCACGCGTCTGCAGCATCATAAAAGACTTTTTTTGTGCGTATCAATACCGGAAAAATAGCGAAGCGAAAAAGGTAGAGCGCGATTTCAACGGGAGCCCGCCGTCTCGATGCGCTCGCGGATGCGTTCAGCTGATGCGTCACTGCGCTTTCTCGCTTCGATGCCGCTGCGACTGGATCGTCTCCGAAGACTGCTCTTGCCGCATCCATCTCGCCGCTGGCTGGGTTGCTGATCGATACGAGTTGCTGCGCCTGGAGGCAAATGAAGGATTCGCTGTCGGAGGAACGCACAGGGGCTGTGCCGGGCTCGCACGCTGCAGGTCGTCTCCATGTGGACCCGGATCGCAGTCCGCACGTATCATTGATCTGCTCTTGTAGCCGTTGTTGTTTTAGGGCAGCAAGCTCTCTCTTGAGAGCCTGTTTTGGCTGGCTTCGTCCGGGATCGATCATCGACGCACCGCGCATTGAGGTTTCCAACTCGTTGATGGCCGCCTCTAGCGCGGGGCCTAGGACGAATTCTCCAAACCAGCCAAGAAAATCGAGACCATCCTTCGCGAGCTGGGAGCGAATGTCCGCGCAAACCTTCACCAGTGCTGTAAGGAGCGTCTCTTGGTGGCCGTTCGCTCCAACCGCAACGGACGCTTGCTCGCAGCTCATTGCTTGTTGGTGTAGCTTCCATACAATCTCACAGAACTCTAGTGCTGCGTTCTGGTTCGCCAGTCGTGCACTACTATCGCCGACAAGTAGGGTGCGCTCTAACAGTGAGCGCAACGCGTGCAACGCAGCTGCTTGGTTTTGCCAGGGCAGAACTGCGGGGCAGGTGTTCTCGTCGTTTTCTACAGCCTCCTCAGTTTTATCAGAGGGAAGACAGGCTGAAGTCGCTCCATCGCGAGTTCCAGAATAGATGCGCTTCACAAGCTCATAGCGCTCTATTGAGATCCAAGCGTGGGTAGCGGAATCCATTGTGAGAAGTTTGAGGGTGCCGCCTGAGCACACAGCAGCATCGCTGGTGGGCATTCAAATACGCCGGGCACAGCAGCACGCGGCCGCCGTCGTCAACGATCGCCGCGCACCGTTGGGTGCAGGTCGGACTTCGAACTGCTCCGGAGAGCGGATCGCACGCGGGCGCGAACGGCTGTCAAGCATTGTCCTATTTGATACAGGATGGTACAGATCGCAGCGGCATCAAAGACGCTACGGAGCGATCGTCGGTGAGAGCGGTTTGGCGACTGCTCTGCAACGCCAGCGTACGCTTCGTCATTGCCAGATGCGCGCCATGCCGTCGGATGTCGACGCCATGGCGCGATCTCGAGGGCCGTACGTGAGCGCGGTGCGCGGTTTATCTCGATGAGTGCAGTGAAGACGTTCATCGCTTGAGGATTGGTACCGTGTTGACTCTGGACGGCGAGCGTATTGCCCAGTCAGTCCGTCTCCACTGACGGAGTGTAAACATCGAAAATTTTTCGTGTTTCGAGATCAATGCATCGAACCTGATTCCCTTGTATGTGCGATTGCGTTAGGCAGTCAGGAAGTGACGACCGTGCTTTTCCAAACGTCTTAAAGTACCACCATGAGCCTTGCACCAGAATTCCAGGTGTGAATAGCAGTTCGCTGAAAGCAGCGATGCTCTTGGAGCCACTTCTCGGATTCATGTTCGCTATCACGGCGGGTGTGCGGCCCCGGCCGCCACAGAGACGCAGCAAGCCCTTTCATTGTCCTAACAGGCGTCGGCTCGATGAAGCATTGAACATTTGGAGCGAGACAGCTGAGGCTCTGCTCTTTCGACCTGTCGGAATCAATACAATGAAAAGAGGCGACTCGCTGAGCATGTCCACGGTTGCTCCTCGGGTTTCCATTTTTTCGATATCTGCGCCGCCTGATCGGCATCCGAGTCTTCTGCTGCGCTTTTACTTTGCTCGCATGCGCTGGGGCGACATCTTACCACTGCCGCTCAAAAAGGGTTCTCCCACGGTTGCTCCTCGGGTTTCCATTTTTTCGATATCTGCACCGCCTGATCGGCATCCGAGTCTTCTGATGCGCTTTCACTTTGTTTGCGTGCGCTGAGGCGACACCTTACCAATGCCGCTCAAAAAGGGGCCTCGGTGGCGACCAAGTTGCTACCAACTGGGGCACGGCGAGAATCTCAGCCGTGCCTCTGTTGCTGGGGCTGCACGCGAGCGCTTCCATCCCAGTTTGGGTCCCAGACGCTGTCGCACCATGACGCTTGCTCTGGAAATTGCCTTGTTTTCTTGGAGTGCGCGCCCCGGTCTCCCGGTGGCATTGGCGGCACATAGGCTGGAGGATCCGGGTCAGGTGCTGGCGACGCCCCAAGGGTGCCGAGTTGCGATGTGCGCGCCCTCCAGGCCATACCAGGCCCGAAACCGAAGATTGATCCAGCATGCTCATATCCGAAACCTGCTCTTCACAAAAGCTGTTTAGCGGTAGTTTTCATAATAAGAAGCGCGCAGTATAGCCGATCTGCCATGCACATGCAATTCAAGCACGGTTGCTACCCGCTCTCGAGAATCGTTCATCCAGTGGACTTCCTTAGGGCGCGTGCCAGCACTGGAGCGTTCGGAGCGCTCCTTCGAGCTGCGTGTGGGCTCGTGCGCTACGACCGGGTGCGCGTATTCCCGCGGCCGATGCACCCGCCACACCTGGCCCCCGTGCTGCAGGGTGTATGCTACGCTTTCCAGGGTGCATTGCAACGCCTCGATGTATGTCAAATTGCATTTGAAAGGTAACGAGCGGACTCGGGTCAAACCGTCGTGTCCATACCTTATCATATACAAAGAAATGAAAGGATTTTAGGATGCGCCACTAGGTCGTTGGTTGCAGCGGTACCGATCGGGTTGGTCATCGAGCATTGCGGAACATAAAACATGGTTTTTTTTCATGGACAAAACGTTTGCTTCGGCCAGCGTTCTCCGATTGTGCACTTTTCCTTTTCTTTTTGTTTGTGTGTGGTGAGGCATCCATGAACCCCCTACTCCCAAGTTACATTACGTATACTTCTTCTCGGATATTCTGCTCATTTCATACGTCCTATCGTGTGCCGAGCCTGCCGAGCGCGTCAGCAATGGCACCTGTAGCGCCGACAGAACACGGTGCTCGCGTCGAGCCGCCGGCGTCGGAATCGCCATCGCGAAACGATTGTCCATGATGTCGCAAATCAAGATGCCATTTCGCTCGCGGCCTAAGAAACGCTCGGATCGTGCGCAGCGTATATGTGCAGGCCTTTGTTAGCGAGACTTTGGCGAATACGCGCTGGCTCGGGCGGCAGCAAGCCAGCATTTCTCGGAAATGGTAGCACAGGGGGGCCTCATATCGACCAGAGTAGGCGGTACAGGAGTTTGCCTCGCTAAGTGCTCGAGCACGACGATACATCCCCCGTTTGGTACGACAGGAAGCGGCGCGCTTGCCGTCGACGAACAATCTTGGCGCAGTGCCGGGCGTCAACTGCTCTACGCTACCATGTACGTGACGAGCTCCGGGACGAGTCGACTACAATCGAGGCGCTTCGTGTACGGCGCAGCGCGTCGGCGGAACTGTTCTCGGGTTCTAGGGACGCGTCGATGTCCTTACGAGCTGGGCGCTGGAGAAGCACGCACTGCTCGGGCGAAGCCTCTCCACGGAGGCACGAGCAACCGTATGCGTTGCGTGTCTTCTGGGATGGAACAGCGCCCGTCGTTGAATGACTCACGCATACCACAATCAACCTTTTCTCCGCGGATAGGGAAGCCCGGGGAGCAGTTGCAGGAACCCAGCATTACGCCCCTGGAAGCCGAACAGCGCCTCGTTCGGTCGGGAGACTGGCTGCTGTTTGCGGCAAGCCTCTGTACGCTGTGCTTTGGTGTCTGCCTGGGTCCACGGCGAGTACACGCCCAGCGTCACGAGCGTACTATTGCTGCAGCACTTGTTCATGGCCTAGCCACAATGGATGCTCGCGTCGTTTCCCAAGATACGAGGCGGGTATTCAAGTCGTCTACGGAGCGCCGGCCGATGGCCACGGTATCCGTCCCAAAAGCGGAAACGACGAATCAGCTCGATATAGGAAAAATGGGATATTCCCTCTACGATTTCGTGGATAAGAAGAAACTTTTCTCTTCGGATCTATCCGCGAGAACAGAGACACAACTGGAATTGGAAGAGATCGAAGACGAGGAAGTGCAGAAAGCTTTGGTGTTAACTGTTGGGCGGCTTCTGCAAACGGTTGGCGCTCTCGTTGCTGCTTACTTCGTTTACGTCGGCAGTCGGCGCTGGGAAGAATGGATGCGAGAAGAGGAACGATTGGCGACCGAGAAAGAAATCAGCTTGACTGGTACCTACATTGACCCTGCTGTACCGCGTGAGGACCTCGAAAGACGACGAAATCCCGAGTCGTCTACGCCTTCCGGCGTTTCAGACGACGACAGTGGCCACGATCCTGACACCGGAACGGGTAGCACAAAACGCCCCGGTCCTGGACCGAAACCACCGTCGACGGACCGCGGCGGAGCGCCAGACGAAGGGCTTGACCTTCTGGACGACCTGCTCGAGTAGCGCAGCGGTGCACAGATCGTTTACCTAGGCCGTTCTGTACAAAAGCTAGGCGTAGCGCCCATGCTGACAAGCGAGCAACGCACGAATTGTGCACCCAAAGAGCTTTACAGTGCAGTGAGGCTTCCTCCGCATGCCAATCACACATACGAATTCGTGCAGTCATTGCGACAAGCGGAGCGACTCGCGCATGCAGTCGCACCGCTTTGGGACTGGCGATCTGCAAGACGCTCGTTCAAAAGACAGCAGGGCGGTGCTCCTTTGACAGAACAGGACAGATCAAATTTGCAGATGGAGTACTGTGCACGAGGCCTCGCGGAGCTCCACTAGGGCTATCGCAGGCAAGACGGATTCCTCCAGCGCGAGTCGCACGCTTGAGCAGCTGCCACCTGCTACCGCATGGCAATGCTGCTCCAAAATTTGGTACCAAGTGCGGCTTGTGTCGCCTATGGCGCAGATTCGGTGCCCGTGGAGGAAGATTTGGACTTCTCGGTGGACTTGTTGCGCTTTTTGATGCTGCTTTTTGGTTGTTTCAGCGCTTCGGATTTGGCTGGCTTGCTGGCGCTTTTCTCTTGGCGTGCAGCAGCCGTAGACCCGCTTCCAGCACTTGCGCGTTTGCCGGCAGCTCCTGGGGACGTTGCCGCCGCTCTGGTCGTAGAGCTGCGCTTCGAACGAGTTTTGCGCACAGTCTTTGGTGAGTTTGGCGCAGCGTTTCCATCCAAAGCGGATGTGCGGGACTCGTTGCCAGAAGGTTCCAAAGTTTCGGAGCGTGCTTGTTTCACGGACGGCGACGCGGTCATATCCACACTGGCCGCCGAACGCTCGGGCTGCTCATCACGCCCGGTCGGACGTGGTGCAGCCTCTGCTGACTTTGTGGGCACACGCTCGGAGGCGTGTTGCTGCGCAAGCTGGTGCTCAGAGGGATGTTGTGTAATCGATTTTGCGGACGATCCCGGAGCCTCGGACGGTTCTTCGGCACAAGCTGGCGACGTTACATTGGCATCCGTACGCTGCACATCACCGGCGCCATTTCTGCGTAAAGGCAAGTCCAGTGAATCGATACTGTTTCGGGTAGAGGCCTCTGTCCATGTCGGTCCTCCACGTGCTGCGACTGCGAGCGGCGACTTCTCATGCTTGTCTGCTTCAGTCGCTGCTGCGGATTCCCGTGGTGCGTCGACGACACGCGTCTGTGGCGGCGTGTCCTGTTCGACATGTGATGGCGAGCGGAAGCGTTCAGCCTGCCTTGCATCTGGTATCGCCTGCTTTGGAGCCGTTCCAGTGGTCTGTCGTCCACCAGCGGTATGATCTGAGGGTTTTTGTTCGAAACGCGAGGGTCTTGCACTGTCCACAGGTACAGGCGTGTTCGCGCTTGCTGCTTCAGCGGCTTGAGCTGTGGCAGCTAGCGAGGCTCCTGGCAGCGTCTCTGGCGCCGTGGTAATGGGTGCTGGATGCTGCTGCTGCTGCTGCTGCTTCTCCTGGGATAGCGGATTCTCTCGAACGGCCGACTGCTGGCACGTTTCGGATGCGGAGCTTGCTCGATCCTGAGCGTCTGCTCTTGTGTGGGTTTCTGCGCCCATTATGGAGGACGATGCATTCGGTACTTTGCCTGCTGATTCATTGGACACACCGGACTTTGGCGATGAGGGCGGTGCGCTGCTTGCTAGGTTTGTCGTCGCGGATTCGATAACGTCTGTTTCCGAAACTTTCCTGTTCGGCGCTTCTGCGGTGCGCGCGCGCCCAGCTGCTGCTGTCGAAAGTGGTGCGTGTAGAGTGGCTTCATCATCACTGGACGTGGCTGATTTTTGCTTTGTTTGAAAAGCCTCGAGCGCCCTCAGAACATGAGATTCTAGATCTTTGCTCCAAGCAGCATGCACCATATCGGGATTCCACGGTAGAAAAGGGCATCTGCGCAGTGCGGTAAGCGTTTCCTGGCTCTTGGCATGCTTCTGGCGCCAGTGCCGCTCGATCTCGCACACTAACTCGCCAACGGACCCACCGTCGTGCATTTTCTTCGCAATCTGGCGAATCAGAGACATATTGGCTCGAACCAAAGCCATCGCTTCGACAAATGCCCAGCGCAGGGTGAAATCCTCCCAGTCGATTCGCTGGAGATCCGAGACGTCGTCACCAGGGCTTGAACGCTTATCCATCTGGGCGCTCAGCGTCCGAATCTGGATTCCAAGACTCTCCTTGACAAAGATTCGGGCCTGACGAGTCTCGCTCTCTATGAGTTCCTGATCAAAGCAACATTCCGCCGCAGTGCGCGAAAGCAGCCAAACTGTGAGCAAGGCTATATGCTCCTCAAGCAGAGGATTCACTTGCTCAGCATCCTTCTGGCGACTGCATTGGTCGGCAACCTTCTTGAACCATTCCAGGCAAAGGCGAGCCCGTGGGCGGAAGGCAAAGTCCGGAATTCCAAGCAGATAGGCAACCACAAAAGACGCTGCGTCGCAAAACGCCTCGCGCTCGCGATTGCCGCCTACGATGCGACGTATGCCCTTGTCCACCGTGTCGGAGATCCGGCCTTGGAAAAGGAATACGAAACGATCAAGCGCATAGGAGCCAAATAGCAACGTAAGAACGAGTGTTTCCTCGCTGCCATGTCGATGAAAAATAATAGGATCGATGATTTCTCCAAGAATCGCCAAGCTAGAAAACGCCAGAAACCCGAGCCCAACAGATGCTTGCACTAGTTCTTCACGAGGGTTCGACGGCAGCGGCGGGAGCGCACTATACGCTGCCGCACCAGCCGGATCACGACACCAGATGCTGCGCATCGAGGGCGAATTCGAGAATCGAATCCGAGGCGGCGGATGAGTATTCAAAATTCGCTCTTGTTCAATGCCAAATGCCTGGATCGCGCCGAGGTCCCATAAACGGAGCAAAAGCAAGGCGAACCCGAACCCGAAATTTTCATCCAGCGCGCGCCGGATCCGTTGGCCATCGAGCTCCACAGACGGTGCCCGAATGACCGCATCCACTAAGAGCAGAACGAGCTCGTCGCTTTGTTTTGTATCAAGATCGCGTACCTGAGAATCACGTTGCATCTCTTCCAAAAGCGCCAGTATCGAATCCAGTGACAGTGGCGTTGGCGAACTATCGCTGTAGTTGCTCGAGCCCGAACGGCTACAGACCGCTTCCAGTGCTGTTTTGTACGCAGTAGAACGCGGCAAACCTTGGAGGATCTGCTGCAGCGTGCTTTTAGACTCGTCTGCTGAGTCTCTCAAAGTGCCGGGGAATAAACCTCGCGCTTGCTCTTGGAGGCGGCTGTCTTCTGCAGGCGTTTTCGCCCAAACGTCAAAGGCGCGTCGCTGTCGAGCGCCACACGCGCGCCTCCAATCCGTACAAGACTTGCGAGACCAGGTATAATAATTAATTTGGCAGGTCCACCTGCAGAGCATCCCTCCAGAGGTGCGCGCATCATTTGAAATGCGCAGCGCCCTAGGCGCCGTCACCGTGAAGGCCACGAGCGTAGTTGGTGAGCGCCCACGTCGCGGCGTCGGCGCCTTGCTCCACAGAGACAGCGTTCCAGAAAAGTTTTTGTAGACGTTGTCACGCTTGCGGTCCATGATTCCGTGAAAAAAACAGCTGTAAACGTTCGGCAGGAGGCGTCTCGGGCGCACCTCTTACCCAGCGGTCGCACAAGCGGCCCAGACGCTGTGCAGCTATCGCCACATGAAACGAGATTCGCGCGCGCATGGACACGCGCGCTTTTCAAACTTGGACACTTGCGGACAAGAGAGATATTTCGTGTCTTCGGCATTCTCGACCAAATAAGCGGCCGAAAGTGCACTTCAACGGGATGAAAAATTATTCTATTGGGAGTAGGGTAATAGATGCTCTGGCTTACCGAATAAATCTGCCGCTTGGCTTCTTCGTTGAGAGAAAGGACGATAAGCGGGACGACTTGACCCCAGGGGGAACTTCCCGTCGTCAACTTGAAGCTGGGCGCTTTCCACCAGGACCCTAATCGCGAACGAATAAAGTCCCTCGTCTCACATTGCTTTAACCTTGTCAACTGAAAGCAAGGGGAAGCCAGCACTCTCGCGAATTTCCGAAAACTGGGGAGTCGCTCTTCCGATTCTTGACCCAGTTCACGCGATGGACTGTTTCCCTCTTACGGACACAGAAAAGAATTGGTAAAAATTGTCAAGAATCGGACGATCGAAGGGCCAAAAATGCGCTCCCTTTCATGCATAGAAAAAATTGTACGCCTGAACCATCGTCTGGACCGTCAGGAAAGGTAGCGGCTTCGAGAGAGCCATCGGCGCAAGTCTCAGGTCGATCGTTGATGAATACGATCGTCTTTGACCCTTGATGAACGGAAGGACGAACCGGAGGGAAGGACCTGTGAGTTTCGACGATGGTGGATATCTGTGGGATGACGCAGATGCTCGCGGCGCTTTCGATTCCGAAGGCGACGATCGCCACGAATCATATCCAGATGAATGCTGGGTGTCGCGTCGCTTATTATATCAAGCTGAGGTACGGAAGCGAAATCAAGGGCGTCTAGAGAGAGGGATTGTTTGTGCCGTACGAACTCAAACGCTTGCGAGTCTCGACGTTCTCCTCTTCCAGAGCGATTGAGAAGGGAAACCTGGGATGAAATTGGCGCGCTGAAATCGCGGAATATCGAAGCAAGTACTTTCCGAAGGCTTCTCTCTGACTGAAGCATCTATCCAAGACGCGTATGGCCGTTCCTCTGAACTATAAAATAATGGAAAAGAGTGCAAACACTTCGGATACCTGGATAGAATAGAATGGAACCGGCCCAATAGGTCAACGCCGCCCCAAGACGTTCTGTCTCCTGTCGACGAGGCGTCGTATCCCAATTCGTCATGTTCCTTCCAGTTACTTGATCATCATGGGCATTCTACGACGCCATGGTACCGTGGACATGAAAGAAAGCGGAAGGAAATTGAATGAGTAAATGTAGACTAAGGTTTACCAGGAAAACCTCAATATCAAAGCTGCTGAAACTATAAACAGTCTATTCGGTTTCCAGCTTCTCTCGGATGGACACGGTGCCAGTGTTCAACTGAGCGCACCGCTGCATATTTCGAGGGAAATGGGAGACGACAAAAGCTGTTCGCCTCTGAGGGATAAGCAACGTCTCATGGGCGAGAACCCGGGTCTTCCAGACGCGGTCACCTTGGTGGACACGAGTCCCGGATAAGAAACGCGTCATTACACCAGCAGAAGACACGACCAGGAGGCGAGGTTCGTTTACAGCGCAGGGGAAACGCAAGAAAAAGAACCAATGGAGAGAGGATGTGACTGCTCGTCTCCTCATTTGTGAACCGACGAAATCTGCTTTCAAAACCAACCTGAGAACGGATTTGCGTGTGTCCCCTGAACGACTGAGACAACGAGCTCGTTCTGGATACCAGTGAACGAGATGCTCCCGGTCACATGTTTGAAAAGGAACCAATGCCTGGGATCTGCACCCTCTTTTGGTACCGAATGGCGAAAAGACCGTCATCGAATTCTGGAACCAGGATGCAGGAGCCAAGCGTTCGATATCCCATCATAGATCCGGTGTGCGGAAATCGACCAAACAGAAGTTTGGGGGAATGCCGGATATGCGTCTTGGAGACATCGATGAATGCGGACGTGCCTGACGTGTTCTTGTTGCGGAATTCACCTCACGAACATAAAAGAACGATGACGAGGGCTATTTCCAATGGAGAAAAGAATGCGAAAGAAAGAAGGTCCTATCTTGCTCAGATCCACAGAGTGCTGCACTGAAAGCGAATAAGGTGCAGGGGTCTGGGAGAATCTCCCAGCCGAGGCACCACGTGGAATTGTGACGACAAGGAATGCCACAACATTCCTGAGCTGCTACAGATCAGCGTGAGACGAGGCCAACATCGTGCACCATTTCGTCACGCGATAGGAAACAAAAAATCATCGCCCAGAGGCAAAAAGCCGCAGCATCCTTCCTGACCAAAAGACTCGAGGCGAGCGACAGGTTATGTACTCCTGGGTTTCTTATATAGTAAGCGTTATATTTTGATTCAGTCATACAGGAGCAAGTGAGATGACACGACTGCCCCACAATTTTCGATCATGCCAGAATGCTCAGCGCAACTCAGTTCGACCTGCGTTAGAACAAAACGGAGACGGACCCACTTGGTTGACTCGGGCGTCCACTCAAAGGTTTCGATTTCTTCCGAAAATCATCACCATGAACCTGTGGAGGTATCTCCTGAGACCGATTACCTTTCCGCTCTCTTATCTCTGGCTTGAAATACGTCGGTTTCTCCTTAGACTCATGCATCATTCATTGCAACGGAAGGCTGATTGCAGCGCGAACCTCCTGATTTCGCCGCTTCAAACAGACGGTGATGCGTCTCATGCTAGGGCAAAAATTGCGATCTACGCATCACTTTCCATCTCCATCTTCTCTGTATACAGCTTCTGTACGCCCTTCGCAGCAGCAGCACTAGAATGCAGTGCATTGTTCCAGTGTGCCGACTACATCTCGTCGTCCGCGCACCAACCTCTCTCGCGTGAACGCTTTTCTCGTTGCTCGCTACATGCCCTTGACAGTTGCAGAAGGATAACATTGATACTCGCATTCGCTTCGACTCCGGTGTGATACCTGAATAACATATGGTTTCTCTGAACGTTCGCCTTGGCGAGTACGCTATCCGCTTCGCGCGCAGGCCTTCGGTGTTCCATTCGATCAAGGATTTGCGCAACGCGATGCTTCTTACGATGACCCAGGTACCGCGAGCAACATCCAGGCTGTAAACCAAGCGACCCAGTTTTGGTCTATCTGCGGCCACTTCGTCCGAAGCGGTAATGCACGCTCCACGAGCAGTGATTACTACGATGACGAAAGTCCAAGTCCGAGACCCCATTCCACGGAAACAGGAAAATGGGTCTCTCCGGGACCATCTCTCGAGAGGGGTATCACGCTGCTGTTGAATGCCGTTTCGTCGATACACACCAAGGGCGGATCTTGTAGCTTTCGAACAGAACAGATTATATCACGCTGCTGTTGAATGCCGTTTCGTCGATACACACCAAGGGCGGATCTTGTAGCTTTCGAACAGAACAGATTATTTGGCATGAGAGGCCCTGTGAGCCTTCTGCAACAATTTGTGAACCAGGCGTCAAGGGAACGCCTCGCGTTTTCTGTCCCTCGTGGGTCTAGCGGCACGACATGCTGCGTTCACCAGGTGATATGAAAGATGGAAAACTTGAAGAATGCATGATTTGCGCATGCTGCACGCAAGGAACCGAGAAGATAAAATCCTTGTACATTTTCAGTGGATAATGATTTCGATTAGGGCACGAACCCGTATTCGAGGGCGTGGTGAATCATGCTGTATTCCGCGGACATAACGCATTCCAATGGACGATTTGAAAGAGCGCCGCTCTGAGTAGACGACCGAGAATCCTGGAAACGCGTACAACTCTGTAATCTCTTATTGCAATGAATGGAAAATCGAGTCCGTGTATCTAACGAGGTTCGCAAAAATCGAAAAGCAAGAACATCACAGGCATTCCAGAGCTCCAGTCTGAAACGGATGCAGCGCTCGAGATCTGATCAGCTTGCTTGTCGTACCCTTGATCTACAGCGCGTCTGAGGTGGCTTGCATCAAAGTTTTCCACATGCCGAGCTCCTGCTTGTCAAGGAGAATCGTCGGCCATTCGAAGCGTCCGAGTGCAGCGCCTCATCCTCTGTGCGTATGGCTGTGTCTCTACGTGCTGGTTCTTGTTGCCATATATCGACAACGACAGTGAAGCTCGTCGAACACAACACCTCTGGTGACGGCAATGACGACAAATGAAGGTGAACCTTTCAAAGAAGTTAGCTGCAGGGAAGCAGCAGCATGGGAACGGCTCTCCAGGTGGTCCAGTACTTGCCGGGGCGCGGGTGACGCCCAGTGACACCGTCATAGCGGAAATACCTCACCAGTTCAAGCTTCAGACCGAGTTGCAGTCAATCAGTTCGCTTTGGGTGCATTTATCCGAGTTGGAGTTTCGGTTTTTTTTCCAGTTTTCAAGGCTTGAAAGCCACACGCATGCGAAGTGTTGATAAGAGCGCACGAGAGGCTGCTGAGCCTTGAAGAGCGCTCTCGATTGAACCGAATGTTTCTGCACTAAGCCTGCAGTGCACGACACAAGCACAAAGTAAGAGTAAGCGTGCGTTCAACTTGCAAAAACTGGAAGTAACGGTTGTCCGCTGAGGTTCATCCGAAAGCTCGGACAGCAGAAAGTCGACCATGCGCCCGGCAAAGACAGCAACCGGGTGGGTGTGGACGGCCTCGTCTACCCGAGTGGCTGTACCCGTTGCCGCCAGCGTCTCCCGAAGGAGGTTCCCGTAGCATGGAAGCTCCCACAGCGATGCTGGCGGGGCAAGCTCGTCGTGACTGTCACCGCAAGCGCATTCCTCTTCAAGTTTGGAGACCAAGCATGGAGTGAGGACGCTAATCAGCAGCTGCATACGTTTCCGGAGCGCTGTGCGTAAGGTACGCACCAGCGCACGGCGAACCAGCAAGTGCTCAACTGGTGACCCTGCAGCAGAGGCCTCCGCCCACGGCACCGGTTCCAGTGGTGACATCGCGCCGACCGCTTCCACGACGCTTCGCAAAGCGCTGCAAAGCAACTTGTCGATTGCGGCGTTTGCAACATCTTGCTGAGCGTGGCAGGTAGCATGCGGGAGCAGATGCCAGGCAACACGGCAGGCAGCGATCACGTTCGGTGCCATCAACTGTTCGCCAACGCGGTTTGCTGTGGCTTCATCCAGGCCCTCGCCGGCCACAGGACCGAGTGCCAGACATTCACTCAAGTACAGGGCCCCTTCTTGACGCAATGTTCCTATCGGATTGCTGTCTGTGACGTTTGTAAAGGCCCATTCGTACGCATCCAGCAAGCTTCGAATGGTTGCTGCTCGGATGCAGTATCGCGCAGGAGCTGTTTCCGACTTTGACTGTCCGCCGCTGTGATCCGAGTGCCGGGCTCGCTTCCGGTCCGCATCCCGAACGAGGCCATTGGCGATTATGAGACATCCCAGCAGCTTTGCTGCGATGACGCGCACTGCCTGCGATACCTGCTCCTTGGCGTCCAGAAAACGGGTCAGCAGGGCCTGCAGGGCCCGGCAGCTGCGTATGAACCGATGATCGCCTTCAATGTGAGATCGAAGCGCCGGCTGGAACAGCACCCATTCGCACAGCAGGGCAACTGATTCCATGGTCTGGACACTGCAGTCTGAAGCTCCATCTGAAGCCGTCTCCAGAATGCTTGTCAAGTGCGGCAGCAGAACTCGGGAGCCGAACACGTCGGCGCCGCGTCCCCAAGCAATAAGTGCCTCAACGGCAGGCACGAACGATTCCACCTGGGCCCCGATTCGAAGAGCTTCTGAAACGCTACTCAGGCATTCTTCGGAGAGATCTTCCATGAGACTTTTGGGTAGAGCCGAGAGCAACCTCCAGAAGTGCATCACGCTCCTGGTTTCCGCTCTAGCACCACCGAGCAGTGATGCTTTCTCGCTCGGAAGCGCGTCCACCAATGCGAAGAGCGTTTCCAAGGCAAGCTGCCTTTCGAGGAAGACTCTGCAGTCGCTATGCTCGCCATCGTATACTACCGCTGCGATGCTTCGATATGTTTCACAGAGAATTACGAACAAAGGCTCTACGAGCTCCTTTTCGCAGCCTCCATGATCCCTCTGATTCAGCGAGCTCTCGTCTGCATTGGGATCCTGTTGGGTCAACTCGATCACCGCTTTTCCGAGAACCGCGATGAACTTGCATATGGAGCGCACGCACGGAATGCTTATCGGAGGCAAGTTCCTGAGCCAATTCCGCGGTTCGAGCGCCAGCGGCCCCAGCGAGGCGTAAAAGTGCCATGCTGCGACCGCATCTAGACGGATGAATTCAACGCACCGAGCCAGTGTGTCCGTGTAACGCAACGGATCCACATCTTCATCCAAGTTGGCATCAAGACCAGTGAAGAAGCTCGGAAGCAGTAAGCAGGTAAGGCGGCTGTCCATGGTATCACCGGCGCTCATGTAGGGCAATATATCTTCTTGCAGGGAGCATACATCGTACCAGCGTAGAGACGGGGATCTACTGACTCCGAGAACGAGCTCTGCGGCCGCTAGCTGGACCCTCCTATTCCTGTCATGGAGACACGTCCGAAGGCCGCGTAGAAGGCCAGTCCGCAGCGTGGCCTGTGCTAAGGGCTGCTCAAGCACAAGTCGTAAAATTCCGCGGCAAACGCTTTCTCGAACGGTTGCCGAAGCAGCGTCTAGTGCAAGCTCACCGGTTAGAAGCTGAAGCAGCTGAACCCGATCAGCGGCCGGAAACAGATCCCAGAAGATGGTCAAGAGGCGGCAGACACCATCCACGGCCAGCTTTCGAACAACGGGGCTCTTATCGAAGAGTACACGCGGGAGCACAGCGAACTGTCGTGCAAGCTGGGTATCCAGGTCGTCGAGAACATCGCCGCGAGGCGAGCTCGGTGCCAGTGTCTTGGTCTGTTCGTCGTCGGAGACGTCCTGCGTGCGCTCGCTGGACTTGAGCTGGAGCAGATCGGTGTCTGAGCCATCTTCTCTCAGCAGCGGGAAGGCATCGAAGAACAAGTAACAGGCATTCTGTCGGATGCGAGGATTCGTCGAACGCAGAAGAGCCCGATAGATGATCGGCTCGTAGCAGTGTGCAAGAGCATTATCGACACCAGGCAATCGCTTCTGCGCATGAAACGCTGCGAGAATTTGCCGGCAGACTCGGGCCAGACGTGATGATTTGCTAAGGATGCTCTTCTCTGCGAAATCTCGGAGACAGAGCTGCTCAAACACACTTCTAGCCAAACCATACTGGAGATTTTCTCGGCAGGCCGCGTGTGCAATGCACCATGCTCGAAAATAAATTTCAGCGTAGTACTGACAGAGTCGCTTTCCATGCAATTCGAAGATGATACTCTCGATGAAGTGCTTATGAAGCAGTCGTGTCAAATCTTGAGAGAGGACGCCACTCAGACAGAGAGCCAGCCACTTGCGCGCGTAAGAATTCTGAACCACGAGTGAATCCTCGAACGCTGCGATCAAACTGGAGACCAGGACGTGCTCCGCTGCTTCTGGGGGATCGCTTCCTGCTTCGTTGCCGTGGGCAGTTTTGTTATGATCACGAATGTTCTCCATGGGGATACAGAAGAATGCGTGTCGGACTTGGTACAAGCGACGAATGGCGTCTTCACGAAGGCTCGCGCGGGATTGGCGTTGCTCTTTGGAGGCGAACCCGCGCGAATCCGGCAAAGCGGGGAGCGTGCATTCTAGGTAGGTTGCTGGACCCGCTTCGAAGCCGACGTTTCCATATCTACCAGCGGCAACGGCAAGGAGAAAGAGGATCATGTGCGGTCCGACGAGGTGACGATCTGCCCAGTTATGGCTCCAGAGGACCTCACAGGTCTCAGCAATGGAATCCTGGACGACTAGCGTCTCCAACGGTGCATCACGCTCGGTCTCTATTGGAACACGCTCCCGGTCGGCATTCCGCAGCTGATTTTCGCTCATTGTACCAAAATGAAAATTGTCTACAGTCGAAAATGCCGGGGCGACGTCTTGCATAGCCTCGAAGAGCATGCCCACTCCCTTCGCTTCCGAAGGCGGCGAAGGAGACGTTTTTTGTCTCTCTCGGTGCTCTGCGGTAGAATTATCAGCTACGCGAGGCAGGGAGAACATCATGTCATGCAGGACTTGCACAGCCTGAGCAAGGGCTCCGGGCAGACACAGACCGTCTTCGTGCCGATCAAGAGCTGCACTGAACTCCACGAGCGCTGTCGCTAAGTGCGCAACAGCTCCGACGCACAGGAGTCCTATCATTCGGTAGTCGTCCGCGCCGAGCTCTAGGTGAGGTGCAGAGACATACAAGCAGTTGCAGGCGTCGGCAAGAACGTCCAACAGAGCTTCGCAAACAGCCTCGAATCCGTGCTTGCGTGCGAGTCGCCCCAGCAGGAACTGCTGTTGATCAGAAGCTAGCTCAACAAAAAGGGAAACTATTGCCGGCAAAGCGCGGAGAACGCCAAAGTTCGGCTCTTCATCTTCGAGCGCTGGCGACCGAACGTGTGGAAACAACAGATTTTCCAGTGAGGACACGAGATCAGACACATCCTCCACCGCTAGCGAACCCTTTGTTACAGCAGAGCGGCTGTCGTCTGATAGACGCTTTTCTGTGACAGAAAGGTCAACGTGAGCAATGTTTCTGCTCATGAACAATTTTCTGCACGACAGCGTCCAGAGAACAGTGTGTGGACTCGGCTGCCGGTGCCCTGGCAACAGAACGCCTGAGGAAGCTGCGCACTGCGCGGAGCGCGCGTTTCAAATTCCCGGGTGCGACGCAGTACGCAAGAAGCGAAAACGCTTCTCTTCTGTGTATATCGACCCGCAGATACATTCCCGTCTCCCTGGACCGACCCTTTGCTATCGGTTTCATCTTCTCCGTGTCCATTTCAGGCCTGAGAGGCTGCACCACAAAATTAAGATCGCCTCAGGTCCTCGGGTCTCGGCCTCAGCACCACATATCTTCTTATATGGATAGCAGCGGTAAAGTCTCGGTTCACGAACGCCGTGTGTTTATTGCCGCGGCCGCTTGAACTGGCAAGTGCAAGGAGTCCCGGAACGCATGCTTTCAGTCCCATTTGCTGTTCGGTTGGCTCTCTGCGCGTTTCTAGTGCCGGAGCACTCCGCTGACTTTTCTCCATCTCGATCGTCTGAAGTGCACTCGCTGGATCATCCCTTGGTTGTTTTACTTTTGAAAATGAAAGCAGTTATTGATGCCCCTAGCTTGAGACCTATTCGGAAGGGGAATCACTTGTGCAGGGAAGAGGATACATGCCCCGGTGTGTCGTCGTGTGCTGAACGCTTCAGCGATTCACTCAGTGGAGCGATCACTCCGAATCAGGACTGAAAGCACCCCTTCGATGTCGCTGGACCGCCGAGCGTATGGAGGAGTGATAAGCAGCCCAAATCCGATAAAAGTCGCAAAAGCTCAAAGGCGAAGGCAATGGTGAAATACCACGTTGTCTAATAGAGGGGCGTCGCGAGACGTCAGGCGGAAAGTCTTCAACGATTTGGCAAATTGGGTGCTGTTGTGTTTGCCCTCCCTGCCAACTAAACTGAGGCGGTCAAATGAAGCTACTGCAGTTCGACTAGATGAGGATACCTTCGTTCTCTTCGAGTTCCATCGCACATACCACAGGCGCCCTGCTTCGCGAATACCCATATACGCTCCGAATGTTTCGCCCGGGGGAAGTCTCAACAGCTGAAAAAGAAAAGAAACCGACGTCCCTGTGCCTTTAACCGATCGCGACGTTCCAGGAAGGCTGTCGCCGTGATTTCGGTTGAAGATGGCTATGCTTGAACTAGGACTGTTTATGCGACAATATCCCTGTGGTTTGAGGACTATATGAACAAGCTGTTGAGAAACAGAGGTGCACACTCTGGCTGCGATCGTCGCTTTTTGCTTTCCGTACGTTGATCAACTAGTCGTTCTCTACCATTGACCGCAAGCAGTCTTTGACAATACCAGTTTCGCCGCAGAGCGCATATCCTTGTTACTTTCAGAGTCCCTCAAGCATCGGAGTAACGTGGTATGTCGTATCTGCAATCGGAATGCAGTCCTCCTTGCACTGTCCAGTACAGAATATATCCTGCAGGCAATTCTTCTACGATCTATGCTATACAGCGCATCGTGATTTTCATCTCCAGCTATTCACCACAGCGGAGGAAGTGAAACCGAATTGACTTACAGACTGAAACGGCGATCTAGGATCCCTAGCAGCTCCAAGAGACACATAACTCCGCACCCGTGCGCATCGCCGTAGATTGTATACCTGCCGACATTCGCTCCGTGTGACTGGATAGCACTTTTCACCGCTTGGAGCGTCGTAAGCGTATGTCGGGCTCGAGCAACGGTCGTTTACAGGCAAGTGAAGCACCTATAGCCAAGTCGGCTGTACTGTACGCAGCCGCTAAAGAAATTGGTATGCACTGCCGCGAGGAAAACCAGAGTTTTCTCCAGTGCAAAGCAGTCGAGTCCGATCCTGCCAAATGTTTCGAAAAAGGGAGATCTGTGCAAAGGTGTGTTCTGGAACTCCTGATGAGTTTGAACACGACCTGTCCACAGCAGTTTGAGGCATATGCACGATGTCTGGATGAGCAGAGTGCACCCTCGTACGCTTTTGAACGCTGTCGACGGCAGGAGGCGGCCCTGGTAGACTGCCGTCAGGCAGGGACGCTTGATAAACAGCGCGTGGAGAGCCACGAGGTGCTTCTTCGAGAGTGAGAAACCGATTCGTGGTGTTCCGAGTCATGCACGTCGTGGAGGTCTGTGGCGAAAGCCAGTGAAGGCCAAAAAACGCCGACGCTTCAACAAGCGCAGTTGCAGAGGCGAGGTTCTCCGTCGATATTCGTTCGTCCTAGTTGTACACTGCGTGACGCTTTTGCGCCCGACGATCCGGTTCCAATCTAGTGGTAAAGTTGTTCGGGCATGCCCGTGCCTATGCGTCTCTTCAGGTCCGTCAGAGAGCTTCTCAGGAAATCCCGACTGCTGAATGGCTTCCACCTTGTCACGATTTGAAGCTCACCGTATGTTCGCAACCACCAACGACGCTCTCTGGGCGTTGAGCGTCGTTTCGGAGTGGCCCAGCGTGCAATACTTTGGCCACTGACGCTGGATACCGACCTCTCGTGGAACTGGTCGCGAGACGCCAGTATCCATGCATTGCTGCAGTGACCGAGAGGCAATCGATATGACTCTGGATCCAATGATCCCTGTGTTTTAGGTTTTGTTTCAAGCTACCCGACCGGTGAACAGAGGTGCACTGCTGGTTCGTCGCGCTCAGTGTAGCTCACTCGCAGCGTCCAGACTGCTTCGTTGCAGCTCGCGCACTTGCTCGGCGCTCGATGCCTGCTGGCTTCCATTCAGGGCACCGGGATTAGCGCTCGATGTTGTTGGACTCTGGGAAACGTCCAGCGCTGCGACTGCGCTGCTCAGCTCCTGAGAAGACTTTGCTGCTCTGCTTTCGACCTCGGACACTGATGTTGGACACTCGCCTGTTTGGACGCATTGCTCTAGCGCGATGCCCTCTTGAATCGGCGCAAAGGCACAAACACTCTGGATCCAGAGCTGAACCATTTCAAACACAGATATATTCACGTACAGAAGGAGCACGCGCAGGTGCAGTGCGCGACTTCCCAACGATCGGTCTATTTTCGCGGCCTCTTCAGGGTGGCAGTACGCTCTGATGCTTCGGAGAAACGCACTCGCGCTCAGGTATGCCCAGCTGTCTTCTTCCACTGGCGTTATCGCGGATCGAAACGTAATCGCAACACCGCGACAGTTCCGTTCGAGATAGTGAGGCGAAGGGAATGCAAAGAGAAGTATCGGAAAATGGACCACCGTTGCGTCGGCGTGCTCGTCTGAGGCCCCTTCTGGAATCACTGTGGTGCTGATACGGATGATGGGACCACCAAGTTCCCAGTCAAGAATATGTTCCATTTTCAACGGATATTCCGGAGGCAAACACTTTTCCATGGCGAGTGCCATTTCCCTGCGAACGGTATCCATGAAACGATCTCGCGGAGGCTTTGTATCCGCGGCGTTCATCTCAAGCAACCCCGGAAGAAACGTCTTTGCATCTGTTTGCTTTCCATCTGGCTCACGTTCAGCTACGAAACAACTCGCAGTCTTGCGCTCCGCACCTGGGACCGTATCCATGGAGGGCTTGCTTTCCGTTTTCACCGCAACCACGTTGCCGTGCTCACCCAGAAGCGTGACAATCTTCGGCATAATCGTTGGTGTCTGTGCTGGTGATTGATTTGAAGACACCGTAACCGCTTCAAAATTGGTCTTCAGGAGCTCGGAGTCACCGCCAGTTGCGGTGACACCGGAAGTTGGCAACACGCCACCTTCTCGCCTGGTGGCTGCGTTACCAGATGGGGCGCCATATCCCAACGACTGCATCAGCCCCGCATTCAAAGACGAGTCGGACGACATGACCAGAGCGGCTCCAGCTCGATTCGGTTCTGAGTGTGGTGCTCGGCGAACATCCGCCGGCGTGGCGCTACGCAACGCATGCGGCTTGTTCGAGTCAACGGCGTCTCCGACCAAGAGGGATGCGGGGCTCTGTCCTCCCACATGCAAGTGCCCGTCTCTTTCAGTGGATAGGAACACTCTGGCGTTTGTCGACGCGTCCGACGGTGCAGGAGGCGCGGCGGCATTGCCGCAGAATCCTGCGGTGGAGACCTCGGTAGCAGTGCGGCCGGGAACAGCCGTCTGGAAAGTGGGCGCGGTGCCCTGTGCCCGTCGCTCCGTACGCCGTAAAGTGCTGGACGTGCTCCGACTGCGTCCTGCTACATCTTGAAGAAGCGCCACCCAGCGCTGCACATAGCTTCGCGCCCGCTGGATCTCGGCAAGCGTCGGGTATCGTGTGCTCGTGAGGGTACTGGGGTTCATCTGAATCAAATTCAAGACCGCTTGGATGTTCTCCATATGTCGTTCCCGGAGGAAAGGATCGGTCTGTTTTTGCAGCGCAGTGCGTATGATGCCCAACGCACCTCGAAATACCTGACCCTCCCGGGCCTGGAAGTCAGCGAGCTCCGCAAAAATTCGCGTAGGCGACTCGTGCACTTCATTTTCCATAGCATGTCCAGATAATGGACGAGTCATATTCGGGCTTGCAGCAAAGAGGGTTTCCGGTGCTCCAACCGAGATTGATCGTCTTAGATTTGGGCTTGACATTTGCGCGGAAACGCTTGCAGCAGCCATCGAAAGCGATTTCGAGATTGCGTAGCGTGCAGCTGCCTCACGGGCAGCATTCAGTGCAGCAATAAAGCGCACATACAGGACTTCGCGCTGTGCCGTGCCGACAGCCATCGCTGCTGCAAAAGCAGCAAAGACGATAGGGTCGTTCGGAAAGACTTGCGCCAGCCTTTCAATCACATGCGGTGGCAGCGCACCAAATCCATGCGCCCGAAGCTCTTCAGGCATCTCTTGGTACGCGTCAAGAACTGTCCGAATGACCTCTTTCTGCTGTGGATTGAACAGATTCGGTGCCAAAGGTGTGTTGGCTCGTTTGAAATTCGTCGTCGATCCACTGATTCTGCCGCCAATCGGCGCTGCACCGGTTGCCGTTCCATCTGTGCGGGAAACCTGGGCGATCTGGGCAGCTCGTGCCCCGTCCACAGAAGAAGAAACCGAGAATGAGCATGGAGAACGCTCATTGTCTGCTGGCGGAGCAGACTGCACAGATTGCACGCGAGCTTCCATTCCAAACGGAATACTCGTCATGCTCTGTGTTCGTGGTGGCCGCGTCTCACGCACAGTCGGAGCAGACGAATTCGAGCAGGCGCTCCTGGCTCGCTTTCGCTGCTCGTCGAGCTGCACTTCCGTCGCGTCCACCGGGTGCTCTTGCCACTCGTTCAAACGTCTAGGTAGAGGCGCCATCAGTAGTGTATCTGATGACGCCTGAGCCGGTTGCTGCTTCGCCGGCCTAGAGGCTGGTGCACCCTGTGGCGCCTCAGCGTGGCCGCCCACAGCGCGTTCAGCATTCTGCAGACCAACCGCTATGCGATGAAGGTACTCCTGCTGGGATGACGCTCGCGCAAACTCACGCTCCTCAAAGGTAACCGAACGGGCCCACAAGTCCTTCTCCGAGACGCCCTCAACGAGCGCTGCAAGGCGAGTGAAAATATGTTTCTGTACGCTAGCCCGCTGCTGCGGAGTTAGCGACTCTCGCCAGTTTCGCGACGCGTCTGCAGACATCACAAGCCGGCCTAGCCACAAAACTAGCAGGTTTACTCCTGAAGCGGACTTCAAGAATCGCACCCGCAGCCGTCTCTACGAAAAGAAAACAATCCTTTTCTTGGCAGCGAAACGAGTCCTCTACAAAACGCCGCGCTCGCCGCAGCACACCAAAATCCAAGCAGCAGCTCGCAGCACACGCCTAAAACACACCGGAAAACAGGAAATCAATGTCAACAGGGTATGCACGAAGCACGATGGAAATAGATCCTGCAAACCCGTGCCGAAAAGTGCGACCACAGCTCTCGGGCTCTGCAGCTGGCAAGCAACCCGAGGTAGCGGTGCTGGCGGCCGTCGGCCGGTATGCAACTTCACCGCCTCAGCGATGCAGGTAGATCGGCAGCAGCGATGGCGCTCGCGCCGTTGAGGGTGCCCGCGCGCGCCCGCATCGGATGCGCGTGCCGCAGGTGCCGCGTGAGATCGCCACGCCGAGGCGCGTGCGCGCGCGCCCTGGGAGATGCCGGCTGATTTCGCGTTTCTCCATGAGCAGGTTTCCGACAGAGCAGGGGTACCAGATGATGTGATGGATCGCGGCGCTCGGGCGAGCATCTGTCTTTCTAGATACCTCCAAGTTCTATGATTTGTGCTTGCTCGTAAAGAGAATGGTTATTTTTTGCGGCCCATTGTTCGCTGAGCTTGTCCGGTTTGGTGATCGGCGGTATGCGAAACCGGGTCAGATGAACACGGAGCAGTGGACAGCTCGTTATGTTGTTGCGTTGAGATTTGTTTGCGTTCGTTTTTTGGGTGTGCAGCCGCGGTAGTACAAGAGCGGCAATGGGGGCTTACGGATTGGTACGTGGTTTGAAGATTCCTGGGTGTCGTTTCCGAGAGGTTGCATCGATGCTTTTCTGCTGGGATTCGGCACGGCGTCGGAATCAAGATCATTCGCGATGCCCTCGAAAAAGAGTTCGTCAAATAAGCGGTACCAGTATCCAATTTATAAGTGCAAACTTCAATTCTGATGCTTTCCGGATGTAAAGCATGGTCCAATCTTGCATTCTGCGAGTTCTCGACCTCTCTGGTACAAGGCAACTCGGATTCGCAGCCATTCGCACAGCTCGATCGACGCGGCGAAAAGCCCGAGGTCGACCCCTGCAGGCCTCTGCAGGTGCTCCTGCTGAAAGCGCACTGAACTCGTCACGGCAAATCATCGATTTCGTTTGGAAGACGAATTCTACTGCTTTTACAGTTATTGACGATGCTGTACTCCACATCGGCGTGGTACCTCTCACAGGGACGAATTCTACTGCTTTTCCAGTTATTGACGATGCTGTACTCCACATCAGCGTGGTACCTCTCACAGGATATGCATTCAGAAGCTTTCGCCTCTTGTATTTGCATAGAGAAAGGTATTGGACGCGGACTCGAATCATCGGAGCGAACGCTTCCAGCGGAGCATGCGTCGCCGCTTTGTACCGAGGGAGCGTAACAAGATCGGAAATTTCGCGACTTGATCTGCAGTCTGGATTCTCTTTCTGGTACTTGTCTCGTCATGGGCAGTATCGCTTTGCAACAATCCTTATTCGAATGGAACAGCGTGGCCTTGCGCATGGAGCAGAAAAAGTCCTCGACGAGTGCAGCATCCAGAGGAATACCGCTATGGTCAGGTACGACACCTCGTGCGGAATCCTCGGAAGGCATCGAGCAAACTCTGGTTTGCCAGTCAAGGGCATATATCTAGCTATGAAAGAAGGGTTCACGTGCCACAGGTCGGCGCCCGGACGTACAGATGAGGTGCAACTATGGGAAACCTTACCAGAGCCAGGTGCCGCCGCTCCGATAGGCACGCCGAGCCTCTATACGAAGGATATGAAAAAGGCAAGCGAAGCGGAGAGTGTAACTACCGCCTCTGCATGAAATGTGTGCGCACAGCTGAAAGCGGCGAAATCATGACTTTAATCCTGCAACCAACATTCTCCGACTGCTGACTGCGGAGCTGGAGGAACAGTTGCGACCGGAGAATTTACAGCCGGAGATGTGCTCAGTGGAGGCGAAACGTTTCGCAATCCTAGAGTGCGAATGTATATGCGCAACTTCAGACGGCTCACAGCTTTTTTTCGACCGCCCCCCTGGTATCAATTTCAGCTTCTCCTTGTACACTTTTAGCCTGAGAGGCTGCTCCACAAAGATGGCTCGCGTCAGCTCCTGGGGTCTCGTCTTCAGCACCGCGAATCGTCTGATATTGATGGCAGCATTGAAGTCTCGGATCACGGACTCCATGCGTTTCTTGCCGCTGTTTAAAAAAACTAATCCAATTAGTACTCGTGCTCCTGCCCTCTTTGCCACTGCAGTTTCGTCATCGTCCCGTCGGGCGACCACCTTTTCTCGCCTATCTCTACGCTTCTTCTTCTCTTTGATCTTCGTCGCCTGCTCTTTTTCTTTCGGTGGTCGCCGAGAAGAGGATTTTTCGATTCTTTTCATGCAGCCGGCAATGACGGCCCTGCAGGATCCCCAACTTGACTGTCCCTACTTTTCCCTTGGGATTTTTATGTTCAAAATTGAACGCACTTCGAGCTGGTCTGCTGGAAACCGCGAAAACGCATTTCATTCCACGCACGTGGGCGTAATACACAATTGAGTCCAACGACTGTCATCGAGGAGGGCTCGTCCAGCTTCTCTCTCGATAACTTGCCTCGTCAGGCGGCAGGTTGCAGGAGTTCCAGATGCAAGGCTGCCAGGTGTCCCCATTCGTTTGGAATTTTCGATGAATTCTTCGTGCGCCAACTCATCTGGTGCACTGGACAGAATATGGAACATGGCTTGATCGAAGAATCAGAAACGTGCGCACAGGCTTTCCCGAGCACCTTGAGATGTTGCCGCGCATCGTCGGCGATTGGAACCTGTGAAGCGCCCGTTGCCAAAAAGCATCAATTCGGGGAAAGAAACTCATCTCCAACCGACCTGGATAGATAGAGAAGAAAACGTTTTCTGTGAGCGTGAATCTCGGCTTGAGGAATCTCGTGGCTGCCGAGGTACTTGGCAATCAAGAGGACGGAGCCAAAGAACGCAACGGAAACGAGACGAAGGCGCCGAACATTTCCCTGACTTGGTATCAACGAGTCGGCCATGCTGGACGCTTCAAGAGATGCCAACGACAGGAATGACGGTTTCAGGACTATTACTGAACCGCTGCGCACCCTGTCGAGCAGAGACGATCGCGTTGTTTGCTTTATTCAGGGCGTACAAGAGACCGCGCTTGGGTAGCCATCGGTTTCTGTTGTACGGAGACAAGACGCGGGCATTCGTCAACTTGTGCAATGCGTTGGAAAGGAAATGAACGACAAGTCGCGTCGTTCGGTGCTGGGCTCTATCGCTGGACCTCCCCTAGCCCGGTCATATTTACTCGTGCTTCCTGTACGAAAGCTTAGAGTTCGTGCAGGAATCGATGCTGTGCGATTCCCATGGATGCGTGCAGAGCGAAAGAAGAGCATCATGAGCACGCGTCCACGCTGGAGCACATAGAGAAGCAGAGCCAGATGCATTCGATGGTGTTTGGTACGCTGACAGAAAGTCAGGCGGCGAGGTCATCAAAGCTACGAAGCTTGAGATGGGATGACTCCAACAGCGATCGTGCCCGCAAGCGCTTTCTGCATCGAAACCAAAAGCGCCTCGGTCAACATCCGGAAATGTCTCATGCTCCCGGAGCGTCCAGTTGCGTTACATCGTGCAAAGTTTCCAGGGATCGTTTTGTACTTTGTGCAGGTATTGCCCGTTACCGCTGAAGACTTGAGATGAGAAAATCAGTGGCCACCAGAGATGGTATTTGATTCTCGCTAGGGGCAACAGAATTCTATACGAAGTTTGAGAGATTTGGCAATGCTGACGCCCTGCAGAGAAGCTCCGGGAAAGGTATCCCCGGACAAGTGGTGAACGATCATGGTGTCCCGCTATTCGATCTACCGAGTATTTGTGGCAGGAAAGGTCATTCATGCATATCTGGCAGGGCCCGCCGCTCTCGACATACTCGTGTCTGAGACGCCATTGCGGCGTTGATCTAGCCGCTGCGACATATGAAGTTTTTTTGCAATACTCCCGTCATGCGTGCTGCTATTCGGCGCCACATTTGGCACCGGACACGCTACCGATTCTCTCAGTCATCTTCGGTACCAGGGTGACAATCTTAGAGTTCGAATGCGCGCGAACAGATCTCAAGGAAACTTGGATGAACACTGGCGCATGTGCTGCTCAAGGCTGTCGCTCGCAAGGGGACTCCTGAGCCGTCCAGAATCTGCAGCAACTTCGCTATGATGAAACGTCCGCCGCCGCCGCCGCCGCAACAGCAGCCAGCATCTGGAAAGAGCTCTATATCCAGAGCGTTGGTAGATTACTTCAGCGTCTAATTCTTCGAGCAGGACTGCTCCTGGGTGGGCGAAATAAAATAGCGTCCATGGAGCAACTGACGTCCCTGGGCGCTTACCGGCAAGGAGCGTTCCCGTCGAACCCGGATTCGATTCGTTGATCTGCCGCCGATAGAAGGCACACGGCAATGACGCCCCCAGCCTGGTATCGCATGGAGGAAATAGTCTGGCAACTAAAATAGGCATATTGTCACCGTATCTCTCTGTTCAGCGCTCACGCACGCTTCCGCGCCGCACCCAACACGCAAAAAGTGTCGTGCATACGACCATGTTCGAGGATGCACCGAATTTCTTGAGCGACCCTTTTGTATACGTCGCGGAAAAAGCAGAAGCGCCTCCAACCATTGCATGACTATCGCGCCAGCCAGGGCACTGCCGGATGCTCTATCGCCTCTTATTGCCGCACCACGACGCTTCCAATGACGCCACACGACAGCCGGCGGAACACCACTGCGTGCAGCCGCCGCACGTGAATACTGTAAATTCCGAAGTGGAACTGTCTTTGTTTCTCTGCATATCGATCATTATCTCCCAGTTTGTGTCTCCAGAGTCGATTCAGTGATTCTGCAGCATCGATAAACTACGGCGAGCGCTTTTCGCGGATGCAGCGGCGCACCAGACCCGCTGCTGGGCGCTTGAATTCCGAACGCAGGCGCGCATTGGCGGCACGCACACACGCACGTAGACACGTTTCTTCCTCCGTGCGTGTCGACTGCAACACGCACGCTCTTTGTTACCTGATTAGGAACTGTTTCAAGAGTACGCATCAAAAAAAGAGACTGCACCAGGTCTAATGTTCAAGTAGACGGCTTGGGTTTCTATGCCGCTTGTGCCGGAGTTTCGAGTGATTTTCAGGTGCTCGAGCGCCGTGCGAACTATGGAGGAACTTCGTGCATACCTCCGCGAGCGCAGACACGCTGAACTCTTTGGGTTTCTGAATCGCCACGCTGGTGTAGATGATGCTGGTAATCTTGTAACGGTGGATGCTGGTGGCGCCTCCCGCAGCACTGGTGGGTGCGCGGGTACGTTCCCTGAGGCGCTTCGAGAACCGGACTCAAAAACTACTGCTCGAGGGGGCGCGCTCCAAGCAGAATCTTCTGGACAATTACTTAACCTTGATTCAGAAATGAAAAATAGGGAATTGGAGTCGCAGCGCTTCCAGAACAGTCTATCCGCTGCTGGTACGCTTCCACCCGATGGTGGAGTCTCGAGCCCGAAAGCCCGCAGCGTGTCGGAGCGCCCAGCAGCGAGACTGGTGCGAGATCCAGCACAGCCGTATCGCGGAGCTTCCCAGCATGGCGCGCATGGTGTTAAGAACATTCCCGAAAGTTTGGACCCGAGCCAGCCTGACGATAACGAGCTCTGGCTCGTGTCGGAGCTCGGGGCGTCCAGTAACGACGAGCGAACAGTTCGTAGTCACGACAGTGTATCTGAGGTGCCGGACCCGCCCGCAGCAAAGAGCAGGCCGGATGAAGGGGCGTTCTCGATGAACCTGAGACCTGGAAGCCAAACACACATGAAAGCGCTGCGAGCCTCCGACGTAGAATGGGTCTGTGAGCGCCGTTCCTTGAAAAGAGGTCCCATTGCAGGGAGCGATTCCGGCGATTTGGTGATGAATTATGATGGGACAAGAGAGCATGAGGCGAGCAATGCGACAGTTGCGTTCCCTGAGAGTACTCATGGTGGAACGAGATCTCCTGTATCGGGCACCAGCTCAGACGAGGATATATTTGAATCCATCCTCGGGGAAAATCGGCAGTACACGTTCTCTGTTCCAAAGCGTGCTCGCATTCGGTGCATGGAATTGCCGGATATGGATGAAATCCTTAGTTCGTTACGGGAGGCGGAGCCTGTGAGCGCTAAGTGTGAGACAGACCAACGGGAACGAAGCGAGGCGAGCGTGTGCTCGGGAACAAGTCACTGTGGCTCACCCAAAGCAGCAGTTTCGCCAATCGACGGACATAGAAACGTTGTCAAGCCCCTAGGAGATTCTACCAAATCAAATGTGCTGCCCGCTGAAATAGATTTGCGGGATCAATTGCCAAATAGTGGAGCGGTTCCTGCGACGCCGCATGCACCGACAACATTTGGAGGCCGCACGTCCTTTGTCTCACCGTATGTTGCGCCCAAACAACAGCATCCTCAAAGGACAGCAAGTCCAGAAAGTGCATCGATGCGGTCACCAGGGAAGGCCGCACTGCCAGAGACAAAGCACTCGAGCACTCGAGTGATTCCGCATGCTACGCGTCATGGTGAATCGCCAAGCAGCCCGGTGGTGGTGTGCGACACCTCGTCAACGCTTCCCCGTGAGTTGAATGAGTCCAGTGGAACAATCGCATCTACTGATCATCGCCGAGAGGGTCCAGGATCAGATCGGCCCAGTGCTCCTGAAAAGATGCGTTCTGAGCCTTCTGCTCTTCTTCTGAAAAAGCGGCAGGTTGCCTTAGAGCGGCTTATGCGATTGGAAGACGAATTTCTCGAGACCATCGATGCAGAACAAGCTGAACGGCTGCACACGCTCATCGAAAAAACGAAATCAGCCATACAGCATATTGATCGATGTCTCGGGAATGACGTTGCTACGAAGAAAGCAGCAAGCTGCATACCGAATCCTGACGTAGATTCACAATCCCAGCGAATGGCGAGCTTAGCGAACGCTGCGGCGCTCTCGGCCAGCGGTGCTCGCCCGAGCGGAACACATGACGCAGAAAACGCGTCTCCCGCGAATCCCGCAAACAGCTCATCTGGCGAGAGTGCGTTTCGTTGCAGCGCCTCCACTAAGGACGTCGTCACGTTAACGGGACTGCGAAGCGAGCGCTACGGCTCCATGGCAGGTGCATCAGGAGCAGCGCCAGCTTGTGTCGGCAAGATTGGTGAGACCTCAGATCGTGCTGTCGACGCAGCCGAGGTTCACATGGCCATGACTGACCATTACCATGAAGAACAGCCCGTATCCAGACTTTACGACAAATCAAGTGTACCTGTAATCGAAGGCAGCACGGGGGCGCCCGCTGTCCCGGTCCAAATGACAACATCAGACGCAGTGGATCTCGATGAGGTCTTCGAAGCGGCCTGTGCTCAAGCTTCTGCCGAATTTGCTGGTGATAACTATCCGTGGTCAGCACAGCTGCATCACAACAACCGTGTTCAGTTCGGTAATCAGGGATTTCGTGCCAATCAGAAAGAGGCAATCAATGCGGCCATGTGTGGGCGCGACGTTTTCGTCCTGATGCCCACAGGGGGCGGCAAGTCTCTCGTCTATCAGCTGGCCGCGACGCTCACGGGACCAGCGGGCTGCGGTGTTACTGTCGTGGTCTCGCCTCTGAAATCGCTTATCATGGATCAAGTGATGCGTTTGCAGGCGCTGCGTATTCCATGCGGTGCCCTGTGCGGCGCGACCTCGGAAACGGAATCTCGAGAGCTTATGCGTGATCTTCGCAGCTTGCATCCAAAGACTCGGATTCTTTACGTGACTCCCGAGAAAATAAGTCTTTCGGAGGCGTTTCGGTCCATACTCGATTGGCTTGCCTCTCGAAAACTTCTCGCTCGATTCGTGATCGATGAGGCGCACTGCGTGAGTCAGTGGGGCCACGACTTCCGCCCCGACTACAAGCGGCTTAGTCTCTGCAAGCAACGTTATCCGTCCGTCCCGCTGATGGCTCTGACGGCCACAGCGACAAGAGAGGTGCGAGAAGATGTCAAAGTGCAGCTAGGCATCCCACGCTGCGTTACTTTCAAACAGAGTTTCAATCGGCCGAATATTTCGTACGAGGTTTATCTCAAGGGGCCTCGTTCCAAGACTGTGGAATGGATCGCCGAGTTCATCCAAAATGAAATGCCGCGCGGTGCTTCAGGCATTATCTACTGTTTTAGTAAGCAAGAGTGTGAGGATGTAGCGAAAGCATTGCGACGCCAGTTTCGCATCGCAGCGGAGCACTACCACGCTGGTCTCACGGACGAGAGTCGCATTGCGGTCCAGCAACGTTGGATGAGGCGGGCCACGCAGGTCATTGTCGCCACCATTGCCTTTGGCATGGGCATCGATAAGCCGGATGTGCGCTTTGTCATTCACTACACCATGCCAAAGAATGTTGAGGGCTTCTATCAGGAAAGCGGGCGCGCTGGGCGCGACGGTCAGCCCGCCCGCTCTATTGTACTCTTCTCTCATGCGGATCAGCGGCGGCTGATCGGCATGATCGACAAGAACTCGAACGGTCTCACGAGAGCGGCGCTATCGCTTCAGAAAGACGCTGTCAAGAGAATGGCGGCCTGGTGTCTCGACGACGTCAGTTGCCGGCGCGTGACAGTGTTGGCTCACTTTGGCGAACGCTTCGATCGTCGAGCGTGCAGTCCGCCGTGCGATAACTGTCGGAACCAGGCTCCCTGTCAAATGGAAGACTGGACGGCTACGGCCCGCGGTGCGTACCAACTGGCGCAATGGATGCAGGACGTGCGGCGGATAACGCCAACTTCGGCCAGGATCGCCTCTGGTCTGCGAGGTTTCGAATCCTTTCGTACTACCGTAGGCGCTTCACCGGACGTGGATATACCGGGTTTCGGGAGCGCCCCGCCTGGTGCCAACGACAATGACATCTTTCGTCTACTCGCGGAGATGGAGCGACTGCACATTCTCCATGAAGAGGTCTACCACAACGAAGTGCACGGTGGCGTCTGCGGTTGTTTGCGTCCAGTACCGGGGAGCCAGTCTCCGATTGTGCACGATTTACTATACGGTAACGAACGGCGTATTTATCTGCTTGTTCGACGGGGCAAGCACGGCCTTCAGGCGATCCGGCTGCGTTCAGAGATGGTGCGCGCTACTTCAGGACGCAAGCGGGGCGTCGCATCTGCAACAGGTGCCACCGATGCCTTCCCAGAAGACACCAATGATTCGGTATCGATCGGGAACACCACCAAGTCGCACGCAGAATCAGTTCGAAATCGTCTTCTGGAGCTCCGCCGAAGCTGGTGTAAGCAGCACAAGGGCCTGCGGGCAGACTCAGCCCTTTCGACAACAGAGATCGACAGCATTGTGCGTATAGCACCAAAGAGTTTGACAGAACTTGCAGCTCTACGGCGCCGTTCTCGTAATCCCGATCGCCAGGTCCCCGATGCCCTCGTTTGGCAAGCCATTCATGGCGACCAAAGCGACTCTGCTGTGATATCTGGCGACGGCATGTTGCCTCGCGACGCGCTGCCTGGCGCATCGAGTCGACATGCGCACCCAACTGCGAGTGCCAGCGCTCCCGGAGTACTGTTATCCGACGAGGATTCCATAGATTCCGGTGATGATGTAACAGTTGTTGGTGCTCGCTCTGCGTCCATCGACAGTCCAGCGAAGTCGGCGACGTGCATCCATCGGAAGAACGGGCAGCGTTCAACAGGGCGCCGCCAGAGTCATCGCACTGGTCACGCCCCGAAGGCGGCGCTGGCGCAGCGTACGGGGAAACGTCCCGCACGGGTCAATGAACGAGGACCCAGGTTGTCTCGGAGCCAGGAGTCGTGCCCCGTGGGCCGGTTTCAGCGCAGTGGCGGCCCCAGTCGCAGAAAGCCAAGTCGCACAGAGGCGCTCGCATCCAGCGACTACGGCAGTGCCGCCCCGTGGACTGGGAACGAGGCCATGCCCCTGTGAGGTGCCAGTAGCTGTCCCTGCTCGGCGTACCGCGGTACGCCGATCCTCATCACCAGGCCTTTACAGTCGCTCGAAATGCAGGGTGCCTGGCGGGTGAGGCAGGTGCCTCGCAGCAACGTACCAGTTTGGTTGGCTTTTGTCGTGAGCCCGCCGAGGGACTGGGCTTGAGCGCTTAACCGACCGCAGGTGATGGCGTTGCGGACGCAGCGCAGCTGTGAAACCCGTACGCCACTGTAAACGCTACACCGTATCCGTGTCCCCGGAAAACACTTGTGTGGTGTCTCTCGACCTGTGAGGCGTCCTCCAGCGGAACCGTGTTCTCAAACGGTTCGGCGTTGCGCATGGCGAACACGCTAGTGTCGCTCCAGTGGATGCAGCTGCGCGACAACGCGCTTCCAGAGCCGTTCGCGAAGCGTTACCCCCGTTTTTTATGAATGTGCAGTTTTCGTCTCACGAATAGACATGGGCAGCGAACTGAGAGCTTTCACGATATTCCGGCTTTCCGCTAGAGAGTTTCCTCGGAAACCTGCAGATAAATAATGCACCATCGAAACACCTTTCTTGAATCAGGGATCGTTTACACCCGTCAAGTTCCCCGATCGTGCACCAGCATTCACCAGCCAGGCAGCAGAGCATCCTCCAATCCCGAAGCAGACCTCCGAGTTCCAAGATTGCCACTGCCACAACCGCCCCCCAGACTCGTATTCGAAGTCCATGGTCTGTTCATATGATCACTTGAGCGCCAACTGGCAGTGACGCGCACCCTTTTTCATGTCCGTAGCTCTGCACCAAACACATCACGGAAATAGAGTTGCTGCTGTATGCAATCTTCGAGGGCATGCTCTCAACGCATCTACGGCGGCGGATGTGCGTGTCGAATCGCCCGAGTGGACACGCAGGCGATCGTTCAGCGCTGTGACTGCCGAGCCCCGGTGCTCGCAATGACGAACAGCGCGTACAGTCGGGCATTCTAGTGTATGTCTCGATGTGCTGTGAAACGAACAGCACACCATTCCGCACAGGGCTTACCATCGTCGATTCTGGAGTTCGTGCAAACGCTCCGCGACACCAATGAATCATGGAATCCCGCGCCGGGCGTGCAGCAGGCGGCACGCATGGCTGCAGCGCTGCCCGCAACCGGCGATGCCGCTGATCGCGCCTCGAGGCAGCGGTGGCAGATCGCGCGAGCCGCCCGCCCTGCACAAACGTCGCCGCTCTGGCTGGCGCACGGGCCACTGGCGATAAACAATGCGAATTTTGCCGGCGACTAGAACTCCTGGTGTGTAGCGGCTGCGTTCGGTCCGCCCAGCTATCGCCGGAAACAGTGTTGAACATGACTCGAGGAAGGGTGACTCTTGAACTTTTGAAGGATGAGAAAGCGAGAAATACGACTTTTTCGAAGCGGAAGAACGGATTATTTAAAAAAGTTCTGGAGCTGAGCGTGCTCTGCGACTGTGAGATCGGCATTGTGATTTTTAACCACAACGGGAAGCTAGTGGAGTACAGCAGCAAAGGTGAAGATAGTCTTGTTGACTTGATTAGACGATGGGGAGCGTACACAGGCACCGTTGAGTCGAAAAGCAACCTCACGGCACTGCAGCCTGCAGCTGGGCGCTACGAGCAGCTGTGTCCCCGCTGGAACGTGCACCCGGTGCGTTCGGAGGTCGAACCTGCTCGCGTCGCTCGGAGCGAGGGTTCCCCACGAGCGCCTAGACTCAGGCCTCGTTATTCTTCGAAAAATAATGACGTGGTCAGCGCCGGTGAACCAGGCAACCAACCAGATTCACGTTCTTCGACACAGGACGTGCTTGTACCTAGTATGGCGAACGATGACCAGTTTGTTGAGTGTGAGTCTCTTAGAAAGATGTGTGCCGAGGCAGATATGATGCAGGACCTGCGGCGTCAGTATGAACGATATCGGGAACGGATCCTGCGTTGGTCGGGCAAGCGCCGGCGTGGTGCGCAGTCGACCGAGCACACCACATGTAGCGGTAAACGCTGCCATATCGAGAGCGGGGACGATGACTCGTCGAGGTTCCCGTCTGCAGACCTGGTCGATTTGCTGAAAAGTGAAGATACCCGGCCTTCGGGGGCAGCAACGGAGGAAACTGGATCCCCAGCTTCCCGGAAGAAGCGCTTTCGGCCAGAGGCGCTGTCGATCGAGGTGGATCCGCTGGGTATGGCCTTCAGCGGCGCGAATAATGAGAAACAATCGACTGGCACCTGGGATCAGACCGCTCTTCGACCGGGTTTCTTCGCGTCCGACGAGACTTTACGCAACCAGACGCCATCGGTAACGTTTCCAGAAGCAAGCACCAGCGGCAGAGGACCGGTTCTTGAGGCACCGTTCTCCGGCCAATTGTATCCTTCGGCGGGCGTTGGGAGCCAGCTTTCACCGCGGCTCTCGTACCGCTCGCTTGTGTCGTCATATCCAATTCTGGTTCCATCACCTGCAGGATTGCCTTCTACAACAGGCTTGGGCGTCCCTGGTGTGATGATACCCACACCAACTGGAGCCAGTACGAGGCATGTGCCTGGTTGCCCTCAGGGAGGCGCAGGCACTGGCGCCGCCACAGCCACCGGAACAGAAACCGGAGGACCGCCATCCCATCCGCGTACGCAGCCGGCGATGTTGAGTCCAACAGCGCTCATTTTCGAGCAAATGGGACTCGCTACTCCACGGGAGTCAGCCTCTTGGGGCGGCTACAATGGGACCTGGTTTTCGTTTGTTGGTACTGGTTCTACTCCGCGGATGGGCGCTTATATGGAGCGCGCCACTGGAACAGGAAATCAGAGCACCTCTCCGTCGCAACCATTCTCGGCATCCAACGATGCGGAAAAGAATGCTCTCGATAGCCCGGCTGGGACGTAGCACGCCCACATCGATGCAGCGTTGGATGGTGCTGTGTCTCTAACCGGGGCAAAGTGCGCCAGCGATGAGGCCGCTTCTCTGTGCTCGGAACTCAGTATCCAGGGCTGCGACCCGGACGCGACGCCGTCTCACGCCACGAACTTGTTTCATTGATTTATGGAGCTCTGCAGCTCCGCTTTTGGACGTGTAGCGTGCAGGGGTCTCTCTCTGCAAGCCACTTTGAACCTTTTGCTTGCATTGGAAAGAATTTCCGAACGGATCGATGCATATGATCGTTCGATGGGATGATTAAGGCGCCTCAGGTGAATCCAGTGGAAGCCTGGTGCAGTGATTGCGTGGGAGGAGCCGACGCCCCCCGCTCCCCGCAGCCTCGCATATCCGCTGAATTCAATGCTTCTTTGCCCGATGTCAAGAAGATTGACCTGGGCTCTAATGCTTACCTCTGAGACCAAGCGCCTGCGCGACTGTGTGCCTGTGCATGAATGCATGCGTACCCCCAGTGCAGAAATGTCAGGCACCGAACCTTGCTCCAGTGGCAAGGCCTATGCCTTTTTTGGGGCACCCGATTGTCCCAGGGCAATGACCGAGATGAAGGCGAGTGCCCAAGTGAGCATCCTCGTCATCGCATGAAGTCGCTGAACACTTGCTCAGTGGGAGATTGTGCTCGCGTCCGTCTTCTATGCCGCTTACACTCGTGTACGAATGGAATGGGACAGGTGCCCGATCAAGGCCGTATACGCGGTAAAGATTTGGTCTCTTTCCGTTGCCATCAACACCAGCGTTTCCGGGGGGGTTTCCTGTGACTCGTTTCGTCTGCTCCCTCGTACCTCGGGTTTTCAATGCACTGGTCGTTCCGGTCTCTCAAGCGCTATCGCTAGCAGTCAAGGATGTTGAGAGCGGCGTGAAGGTTCAGATCTCGCCGCTTCTCACTGTTATCGACACAGTTGGTATACCTGCGGTAGCTGCGATCTTCGCTTCGCATGCCGCTTTCATCTTGTCTATATACAGTCGCGGTATGCGCTTCGCAGCGGTGGCGCCTGGCCTGGTTCAGGCGCTCTGATACGTCGAGCAAGCCGCTTACTCCGCGAGCCGGCTGGTGGCTCGTGAACGCCTGCTTTATCGCTCGCTAGGCGCCCGGGACGCGTAGCGAAGAGTCCCGCTGATGCCCGCCTGCGATGCAGCGCCCGGTGGGGTACCTCTTGCGACCAGAAGCTTCTCGTGAGCGATCGCTTTCGAGCATGCACTGTTTGCTGCACAGGTAAGCGCGCGCGCTTCCATTCGGTAGAGCGTTTGTGGCACGTGGTGTTGTTCCCGGTAAGCGAAAGCCGGACTCCTAGTCTAGGCAGGGGAACAAGCCGAGATACTCCGATCCGACTACACACGCCTCGTGCGAACCGGAGACGCGCTCTCCACGGGGAACCTTCGCTGCGCTGACCCGAATCCTGGTCCAAGACTCTTTGCGCTTCGAACGCGCAAGTCACGGGATCCTCGGTCAGCATGCGCCATGCGAGGTATCATGCTGGTGTCGAATGGCAATTCGTTGAAGGGTCTAAGAATCAGAGGGCTTGCGCTTCGAGTGGAATCGATTATTAGGGAGAGGAATGCTCGGCGGACACTTGGCGTGAGCTCGTGAAAATGCCTGCAGAGGAGCGTGTCGAGTATTTTTCGGCACCAGTACAGCGGCAAGAAAGGCTGTGTCCAGTCGTTGCCTTGAAACAGGAAGAAGGGAAACGTGAGGCATGCTCTATGTGAGCGATCTACGCGCAAGCCAGTAGAAGAATCGAGGCCAATGCGCTTGTACTGTTCAATGATATTGGACGTTTGACGAACGCTTGCTCGAAAGCGCGGTGGACCATGCTGATTCAGGTACTGTGAAAAATTGCAGATGCACGGGGTCGAAAGAGGCACTCGGAAACCTCCGCCGCTAATCCTAGAAAACCGTTTGAATTTGTCGGGCGCAATTGTTGCACTCCGAATGCGGAGGCTGTACATCGGGAAGAAGATGTTTGGAAAACGTCGAAGGGCACGAACACAGCGAGCAGTTCAGTATTCCATATGATTCGTCCACAGATGTAGGGAAGTGTTGCACGTGTCGCAGAAACAGCATGCACACCGTAGCATCGCCCACGGGTCAGCGTCTTCGTCGCCCTGGCACCGAACAACCCCGGCTCTCTTGATATGACAGAGGCAACCACGAAGGCATTTCATGACCGCCATTGCCACTGCGAGCGTACCAGTTGCAACCGCGACTATGCGCGTGTGCTTCGAGCGAGTCCGTCTAGGTCACCGCCGGCACGATAGCTCTCAACGAGCTATTGTGCGGAAACCTCGTGGCAACGAGAAAAGCTCTGCCCTGAATTGTGTTTCGGCAGACACATTATTTTCCTCATTTATGTATTTTTGTCTAGTCTCAATCATTTCCAAATGCAGGAAAGTAGACAGGTAGAAGTGTCGTCACTTCCAGTGCATATCACCTGGAGGAGTTCGCTCGACGCTGCGCGAATCAGTGAATGTGCTCGAGAGCACATGACTCCTTCATGTGACCATCTGCAATGCCGAGCGTGTCTCACGAACGTGTGTCCATTCGATGCCATGCAACCCGGTGCGCCTGCACGTATTCTACATGAACCCGGCATTGCATGTTTTTCATTTTGAAATAGAAGCATCCACCTAGAAAACGAATCCTCATCTATGTCAGGAGAATAGTTCGGGAAACTAGCATTCTTTCTTATCAGCAAGCGATTTTGTCATGCTGCTTGGGATTCGGCTGGAACAAGGCACCGGCGACGACGCAGCAATGCTGCTGGAAAACGGCCACCATAAAGATTTCCGTATAAACGGGAGCTCGGAGAAGCTTGAGGGGCGCGTCTCTGCAACTGTGCGGAACCATGGGAACGGATGATAGCGATACCCTTACAAGTGACGTTCAGTATCAAAAGCCGCAATCAGCAGTGATTCCGAACGGTACAGAACCAGCTGACGCTGACACTCAACTCTCTGCCTCGTCGAAAGAGGAAGCACTATGGAGGGCGAACGTGTTACGGCCGAGCAGAGATCTGGAGCTACTGCGGAGCGCTCCTTCTGTACAGGGTCCCGACTTTAACACAGTCAATAGTGCAGATGATGTGGTGAAATCCTTTGCAACGATAGGATTCCAGGCTACTCAGTTCGCACGCGCAGTTGACGTTGTTCAACAGATGCTCCGTGACGAGCGCGGTTGTGTCATTTTTTTGGCGTACACTTCAAACCTCGTCAGTAGTGGTGTTCGTGACGTGATCCGGTACCTCGTGCAACACCGCATGGTCGACGTCCTTGTGACAACAGCAGGAGGTGTCGAGGAGGACCTCATCAAGGTTCTGGCTCCGACCCTCATCGGCGACTTTCGCTTGCCTGGGGCATTGCTGCGAGAGAACGGCCTCAACAGGATAGGCAATTTGCTTGTACCCAATGCGAATTACTGTCTTTTTGAGGACTGGCTCATGCCACTGCTTGACAAGATAGTTGATGAAAGACGAATATGGACGCCCAGCGAGTTCATCCATCGCCTCGGCCAGGAGATACAACACGAGTCGAGTATCGCCACCTGGGCTGCACGGAACGGAGTGCCGTATTTCTGCCCAGCGATTACGGATGGCTCGCTCGGTGATATGCTCTTCTACCATACATATCGGAATGAAACTCCACTCATCCTAGACGTTGTCGGCGATATCCGGAAACTGAATCGACTCGCGATTCACGCCAAATGCACGGCGATGATCATCCTCGGTGGCGGTGTCGCAAAGCACCACACCTGCAACGCAAACTTAATGCGCAACGGAGCTGACTATGCCATCTACATTAATACTGGTCAAGAATATGACGGAAGCGACAGTGGTGCCGCTCCAGACGAGGCTGTGAGCTGGGGCAAAATCCGCGGCTCCGCTGAAGCGATCAAAGTTTTCGGTGATGCATCGATATTGTTTCCGCTCCTGGTATCACAGACGTTTTGCAAGGTGCCCAGGCAACATCGACCGGACTTTGATGAAATCTCGGGGTAGTGGGCCTCGAAGGGTGTCCGTTTAGATCATGCAGGGTCAACGTGCACATCTGCGTCGCATGGGAATGCCGTGGAATGCGGCATGGATTGCGGGAACACCGGCCCTGTTCTCGCGCTTTGCACTATTCATGTCTTCGCATTGTCCTAGGAGCTACAATGCTAGGTTAGATTTTTTCGATCTTTACGAGAAAAACTCTGTCTCTGAAAGGCACGACGGCAGCATGGTTCGTGAAAGTGATGAATGCCGCAACGCAGCTCCGATTTCCAGTCTAAAGCAGAGAGACCGGTGGAATCTGGTCCTGTCCACGGTGACTTTGTGCCAGTCAGTGCATAGTATTCACATCGACGCTTTCACAAACATGAAGGGCATCATTTTTGCTCGGTCTGGGTCATACCAATGACGCATTACGGAGCGCATCGCACTCTGCGTCAGCGTCGGAGCTGTACTTGGCTGCAGCGATTGATTGCCTCGTGACTCGCCTGGACTGGCTCCTGTTGCCACATTCGGTCTCAGTGGAAGATTCTCGGAACGCCCCAGGCGTTTTGTGTGTAGTGCGAGGTCCGGTTTGCCATGCGAGAGGACGTCTCGGAAGGAGACGCCTATGCGCAGCAGCTGCCCCAGGGTGATGCCGTTCTTAAGAATACCGTTGGGAGTTCTCGACGCTGGCCCCAGCGTATTCGACTTCAAGCATCGTCAATTAGGCAGCATATGTGTGGCAGATGAGCATATACCCTGGAATGGAACTCGTTTTCAGCGACGTACGATTGCGTATGGGGAGATGAGCACAACCGGACCCAGCCTGGTCGCGATCTAGAGTGCACTCGAAGTGTTCCAGCACAGCGGTTCACCAGCATGCTTGCGTTGGATAACCAGGCGATTGGAACTGTTCGTTAAACATGATGGACCATGTGTGCTATGGGTATTACAACCGTAAAAAGCGTCTGAGTTTCGAACCGAACCGGAGCGACCGCAGCTGTCAGGATCCCGTCCAAAAGTTGGCCGGATACGGCCCAAGGGAGAGCACCCCGCTGTGCTGCACATCCCACAAGCGGACACTCTTCAAAGGGCAGTGTAACCGGTGGGTCTATGGAGACTGACCGCGGTGGCGACGCACTCAACTTTGCAACGAGTGCGTATAGTAGGCCGTCCGGCCTCTGGCTTCTTGGACCATGCTTCTGTTCCTGGGAGAGCTCTCTCTGGGAGTTGGCGCAAAGCGATAGCATCTCGTGAATAGAAGTATTTCCATGCGTTATCGCAGCAAGCGCCCGTATATCTATGGATCCTGGTTAGCGTGTTGCACTCTGTTGGGATAAAAACTTCTCATACAACATGCAGGGCAAACTCTAGTCTTGTCGGATAGGGACGGAATACTGAACTGCTCGCTGTGTTCGTGCCCTTCGACGTTTTCCAAACATCTTCTTCCCGACGTACAGCCTCCGCATTCGGAGTGCAACAATTGCGCCCGACAAATTCAAACGGATATCTAGGATTAGCGGCGGAGGTTTCCGAGTGCCTCTTTCGACCCCGTGCATCTGCAATTTTTCACAGTACCTGAATCAGCATGGTCCACCGCGCTTTCGAGCAAGCGTTCGTCAAACGTCCAATATCATTGAACAGTACAAGCGCATTGGCCTCGATTCTTCTACTGGCTTGCGCGTAGATCGCTCACATAGAGCATGCCTCACGTTTCCCTTCTTCCTGTTTCAAGGCAACGACTGGACACAGCCTTTCTTGCCGCTGTACTGGTGCCGAAAAATACTCGACACGCTCCTCTGCAGGCATTTTCACGAGCTCACGCCAAGTGTCCGCCGAGCATTCCTCTCCCTAATAATCGATTCCACTCGAAGCGCAAGCCCTCTGATTCTTAGACCCTTCAACGAATTGCCATTCGACACCAGCATGATACCTCGCATGGCGCATGCTGACCGAGGATCCCGTGACTTGCGCGTTCGAAGCGCAAAGAGTCTTGGACCAGGATTCGGGTCAGCGCAGCGAAGGTTCCCCGTGGAGAGCGCGTCTCCGGTTCGCACGAGGCGTGTGTAGTCGGATCGGAGTATCTCGGCTTGTTCCCCTGCCTAGACTAGGAGTCCGGCTTTCGCTTACCGGGAACAACACCACGTGCCACAAACGCTCTACCGAATGGAAGCGCGCGCGCTTACCTGTGCAGCAAACAGTGCATGCTCGAAAGCGATCGCTCACGAGAAGCTTCTGGTCGCAAGAGGTACCCCACCGGGCGCTGCATCGCAGGCGGGCATCAGCGGGACTCTTCGCTACGCGTCCCGGGCGCCTAGCGAGCGATAAAGCAGGCGTTCACGAGCCACCAGCCGGCTCGCGGAGTGAGCGGCTTGCTCGACGTATCAGAGCGCCTGAACCAGGCCAGGCGCCACCGCTGCGAAGCGCATACCGCGACTGTATATAGACAAGATGAAAGCGGCATGCGAAGCGAAGATCGCAGCTACCGCAGGTATACCAACTGTGTCGATAACAGTGAGAAGCGGCGAGATCTGAACCTTTACGCCGCTCTCAACATCCTTGACTGCTAGCGATAGCGCTTGAGAGACCGGAACGACCAGTGCATTGAAAACCCGAGGTACGAGGGAGCAGACGAAACGAGTCACAGGAAACCCCCCCGGAAACGCTGGTGTTGATGGCAACGGAAAGAGACCAAATCTTTACCGCGTATACGGCCTTGATCGGGCACCTGTCCCATTTCATTCGTACACGAGTGTAGCGCTGTACACCCGCGTATGCTCTCGTCATTATGCTCGCACGCGGTCCACGCGAGTAGGCTGTACAGTTCTCATGAAAGATTTCGGTAAAGCTTCCCGAATTCCAGGGACCGCAGGCGTTATGGCGTCAAAGAGAATCCCTTCGCGATGCGCAACAAGATACCCAGCGGCTTCTGCATAGCTGCGAACCCAGAGAACCCATGGCGCCTCATCTGAGGCCACGCGCTGGTGGCGAGTCAAAGCTCCATCATCGCGTACCTCTAGGACGTTCACGGGAAAGTCCCAGGGAGACCCATTCAGGCAGGTCGTGTTCTCTTTGACTGCAACGACAAGCTTGCCGCGTTGAAGCGTTGCCTGCACTGCGGGACTGCTTAAAGCATTGCTGGGCGTCACCAATGCCGCTACCTCATCTATCCAGAGTGCATATGTGCTCTTTTCGCGCTCTACTTCATCTTTCAAAATGAGGCGAGGCGCACGTGCTAAACCAGCAAGTACGCAGGGCAGGAAGGTATGGCCGAGTTCCTCTGCTGCGGCCTTGGGGTTGCAACGCTCGGCGCTGAAATGCAACTCGTTTAGCGCCGGCGCATGAGCGCAGGGTACTTTCAACGCCGTCGTAACCGTACGCGACAGTGCAGCCTCCGCGCCAGCAATGGGATCCACCCCCTTCCCTTGACGATATCGTTCGAGCATTTCTCCTGCGTTCGCGATCATATCTGGGGGAAAGTAGCAGATAATTGCCAGCGCATCGCAGTTGTGGGGCGGTTCGAGTAAGCTCGCCGCCGCTTCAATGAGCGTCCCGGGAGCGTCCACCACGCCATAGCTGGATCCATCGTCGTGCAGGCCGCATCGGAACCTTACGGGTTCCCGCGTGACGGTATAGGCGGTTACCTGAATACCCAAGGTAGCCCGAGCGGCGTCACAGACCTGGAGGTGGCGCTCTAGGAGCGTCGACGGCACCGCTCTATCAAACACGACGCCAATCCGATTCGCAGTACCGCGCTGCGGCATGAGCCCCCAGAGGCCTTCACAGAACCTATCCAGGGCGTATCCTTCAACGTAGAGCGCATTCGGAACCGCCCAGTAGAGCATGGCTCCGTTCAGTACGTTTGGATGGGTCACGAGCGTATCGCAGACGCCCGCGAGTAGTCGACAGGCGGGTAACGCGTCACCGGCAAAGCCACCGATCCTAGCAGCGGTTCCGGTCGGCACGATCATGACGGCATTGTAACCGTCAAAGCTGCAGAGCAGACGGCGCGCTGTAGTGTCCCGGCACTGGCGGGGCGCGAGGCACCACGGTTGTTTGCTTTTCGGGGCAGCAACGAAGGCGTTTCGGTTGCTTTTTCCCGACCGAGACGACGCGAAATTGAGTGCGCTGCGAATACTAGCCACACCTGTTTGGACCGATAGTGCCCTTATTCTATGACAGCTCCCGACGACGCCACAGTCACTACTCAATGACGCGTTCCAGCGTTCAGATCCAGCGAGAGATCGTACCCCGTTGTTCACGACTGCCGTCGAAACGAAGGCGCCCTGTCCCGCGGCAGCGAAACGTACCATAAGAGCCTGTGTCAGATTCTCAACGAGCAGCTCGTGCTAGCACAGCGAGCACCCGAACCCCACTAGATGAGACCACTCGAGTGGCACTCTATCCACAAGGGACCCGGCTCTGAACGGAGAGCACCCAAACTCGATAACCAGATACAACTCCAAACCGACACAGTTGCAATGTAGATGCATCTATCTCGCACCGATCGATGCGTCCGCGTTGTGCAATGCATCCCTGGGTATGTGTTTGTGTGTTTGTGTGCTCATCTGCAATGCCCGCATTTCATGGGATACTGGATTTGGTCATCCTTTCCCGCTCAAAGCATCGAGTGCAAGCGGACATCAACACAGCTCTGTTGAAACGCTGCATCTGGTGCTGTTGGTGTACCCATCATGCCGAATAACTCCGAATACAGTCATTATGTTCGGTGCTGCAACTGCAGTAGAGGCACTTGCAAACAGTATCTGTTTAAGAGTCAACTAGTTCGATTGGTGACCTCTTGAGGCAGCATCAGTCACAGAAGCAGGCAGAGAAGATATCCTGTTGGGAAGCGGGTGATCCGATTCGAGTCCGCTTCGCAGCGGCTGTCGTCTTTGGCATTGCACAGAACGCCGTGCCGTGCTGTGTTCCCACGCCGAGCAGTCTTAGCTTTCCCGTATTGGTAGGCAACAACAGATCGAAGCGCCGCGGTTACTACAGAAACTCGAGACGTGCTCTTCACTCGCATGCTCCAGTCAAAAAAAACATCTAGCTAGAGCGCCTTTCCGGTATTAAATCTGCTTGACAGCCACCGCATTCATTCCTGACCCGTGCTTATCGGGATGGATGCGCTGTGGTCGCCCGCAGCAACCTGCTTCCACACAGAACCTCAAGCTGTTCCCCAAACCAACGGGATGAAGATCTCCTGCGGGAAAGCGCACATACTGGGACCCGGATCCGCATGGAATTTCCGGTTCGCTTCTTTGCGTCAAACGTTCACCACTTACGACGAGAAGACATGGACTTGTTTTCAGTTATTCTTATCGCAAGCTGCGTCGCGATTTGCGGAGATCCCGGCGCGTGTACTATGGCCAACAGCTGCCAGATCGGCAGCGGACTATCGGTATCCTGGCACACATTGCAGTCTCACTGCGAAAAGACTGCAAAAGACGGATTGCTCAAGTGGAGAAGAACGCTGCCACCGAGGTCGCGAACTTGTTGGACCCAGTCAATGCCGGCCTTCTCCAGCCAGGCTCTACCGCAAAAGTAGATACGCCGACTTTGCCACTGATCGCATGGGTACAGACGATCAAGAATACCGCCTCGCGTCGTTTCGAGCACCCGTTTGCCTCCTCGTGTCTCGATAACAGGGGTCCGCCGCAGAGCGAACTCACAGAGTGCCCTGCGGACCACTTGGTGCAACTCATACGGGAACGAAAGATACCCGGTGGGGTAGTAGATGACCAAGCGTTGTGCCTCAGCTGGTCCTCCGGCTCGTTTTGAGTTCACAGAGGAGGAAGCCTTTCGCTTCTTCGCCATAACTGCACTATACGCGTGCAACTCTGAGTCGTGTGGTTAGACGTTGGACCAGCAAGTCCGTTCCAGCAAGCCAAGGCGAGGTCTACGCAAAGGAAGACGTGCTTCGCGCTTTCCGAGCCCCTTGGCGACCTATTGGGCTCCAAGAGTTGCGTGCCTTGCGCGATCAGTTTCCGGAGAGAGCGCGTCCAAGTCGCCCGGCCCCAGAGGAGAACACTTCGCAAACACCTGCTTCGCGAAACCACACACCCTGGTAACCAGGAAGGAAGCGCGCCCCTTGTACGTGCAACCTTGGAGCAGTGCGCCCCAGCCAGCTCGCAGTCCTATTCGTCACGTTTCCTCAAAGAACAGTGACCTGTGAAACACGTTCCTCCCTTGAAAAGGCTCCGAATCCTCCAAGTCGGCTGAGACTGCTACGTTTACCGCAACCCGCAAAATAGCTCAACGCTTTCGTAGCGCAGGCAATGCGCTGAATCGTCCGCCTCAGGTCGTCAAGGACGCCTCACTTGGATGCCAGTAACTAGGATGGCATCGAGGATTTCCGGGGCCTGGCGGCGACCCTGGGCCGAAACATATCTGGCTCTGTTCTGAGCAGCTTTCGTTGAACAGTGCGCCCGCTGAACAGTCATAGTTGGAGGATGCTTTCTTTTTTGGACTGGGGATCGAGCTTCCGCTCGAAAAAAGTGTCCTCCAAGGATCAAAATGATAACGCCGGTTGGCCGCCGAGCTTTCCACAGTCGCAGCTGACTTCGTTGCTGGGTACGGCTCCCGCACGCGAACGACTGCGCTCGTTGCTGCTGGAACGACAGCAGCTCCAGCTGGCTATTCGCCTTCCGGAAAGTGAAAGCGTCGACGATTGGATCGTTTTACACTGTATCGACTTTTTGAACTTGCTGAATCTTCTCTACGGAATGGTCTACGTGCACGCTTGCACACCGAATACGTGTCCACGAATGACCGCAGGACCGGCATACGAGTTTCTCTGGCAGCGCTCGGACAAGCGGACAATGGAGCGCTTGCCGGCCTCCAAGTATATTGAACTTGTGCTTTCCTGGGCAGAAGAGGAGCTTCGGCGCCTGATGGCGGGCAGCGCAAACCGCAAGAGCTGCCACAAGCTGGCACAGCGTTTCCATCGGATATTCGCCCATCTCTACCATCACCATTTAGCAGACTTGCTTGATATGGACGCTATCGCCCATTTGAATACATCATATCTTCATTTCTATTTTTTTATCAAAGAGTTCGACCTCGTGGGCAGCAAGGAATTGGAGCCTATGCGAGCGTTGACTGAATGCTTGCTGGCGTAAACCTCGTACCTAATGGAATCGGAGCTGAACCATTCTGCTATCTGGAAGCGTACGTGACGCCAATAAGCGCTTTGCTTTGAAAACAAATACAAATCAGTATACGAGCCTCCTGGAAAACTTGTTTTTTGAATTCGGTCGGATTGGCGGAAGCAGGATTGACGGATACCTGGCTCGGCGGAAGCGCTACGTCCGTGCGCTCTGCGCGTTGCGTGTACTCAGTAGTAGTATCGAAGAACAGAGCACCATTTTTGTTCACCAATCACTCAGGAAATCTGTTACCCGTGTACATAGATGGCGCGTCAGACTTACTGGATTGACGAAGCGTACCAAAGCGCAGCCTAGCTCGAGGCGGGAATCTCATGCTCTCCCGCCTATCCACTGATTCTTTTTCATCGAAAATCCGTAACGTCTCTGCACGATACCCGCATTGACTAGTGGACGATTCCAATAAAATTTCGCTCGACGCAAACCCGCGACACGCTCCCGATGCATGAAGCATTCCAAGATATCGATCATGGCATCGAAGACTTGGCGCGAAGAACGGGTTTCCGCGCATAGTTGCTGGTGGAATCACACCAAAGCAAGCCGCTTATCTTCGAATGACTCGGGATCTGACGTCGGGTCAGCGTAGCACATACCACCTCGTAGATGCGGATCTGCTTCACGCACTTCTTCTGTGTCTGGTTCACCGTGCAACGCTGCTCGTGACGCGTATACTTTGTCCAAAAGTCATCCATGGGGAAAGTATAGAAGCCATTCCTGGACTCGATGTATGCATTCGTTCAGGGAGCAAGCATGCGGCATCTCCGCGGAACAGAATGTCCAGCGTCATAGGCCAGAACCGAGTTACGCGGCTTCTCAGGCATTTGCTTTCCAAACTCATTGAAGAAGCTCGCAAATGCACGCGTCTTGGATCGGTGCAACCATACCCGTTGGCGAGCACAGCGAGGTCCGGTACACTCCTGCCGAAAATCGTTTGAATGAGCCAATTGAACGCTAATGTGCTCTGCGGATACAGCGTCGAAAACATCCCGTTCTATTCGAAAACGTGTTGAGAGAGCGTCAAGATAGGTCCTGATGCCGTCCTTCTCCGAGCGGGAATGGCTGCTGACGCCGAGCATGCTCGAGTCGCTAAGACCCGGAGCCATGGACAAGTTGAGCAGCTTCCGTGACATTCCATTCAAAAGCTCCGGGAATGCCGTCTTGATTCGGTAGCGTGGTGACGGCCGAGGTGTTGTTACGCCCGCGATCCACGCCCAACACGACATGTTTATCTTTATGTACCTTGAACGGTTGAAAAGGGTTGCGTTGCCGGGCTCATGTCGAGCTCTCCCTAGTTTCAGTAAGTGCATACTCATTGACAAGTCCTCTTTCTACATGGTTCCTGTGAATTGCTTTCCATTGGCCCCGTGTTAACGAGAACGCTCGATGAGCCCCGCCAGTGCACTTCGCAAAGTCGTTCGATTGCTTCGTTGTTGCTCGCAGAGCCCAGCGATAGCTCACCGTTCAGGCCATCGTGGACAATACTCCAGCGTTTATGATGCTAGACTGGGACTTGCTTTGGCATAAAGAGACTACATCGACCTGAAGCGCATGGGGGCAATGTCGCTCGCATTCGCAGAATGATGCCGCTCTGCCCTGAGCGACTCTGTTCAGGAGCGCGTACCGGCACAATACGCAAGCACATCGGGCATTACGTTCGAATCATGCTTTGGATACGACATTGGTCGGCCCGAGTCCGGGCGCAACCCGAAGGGTTTCCAGCATCTTACGCGACGCCTGCTCTCTCTGTGTGATATCGCTTCGGAGTACGCGAACATCACGAGCTCTTCCACATCAGCATCAACACCACCAGCACCTCGCTGGCCGCCTTCGACATCCCAAGATTCCCTTGCTTCAGTTCCGAGTTTTCGGGCAAGAATGGCGTGCGTACACCGGCCACAGCCTGTGCTTCATGAAGCGCTTGACATTGACCCTGCATCTGAGTTTTGAGATTGGTCGTCTACTCGCTGGCACAAGCGCTGTCGACTTTTCTCGATCCCCAGAGTGGGCACGGCAGGCCAGCAGGGCGCGCTGGCAAGCTGGTTTAGCACCTTTCTGATCCAATGGTCAGGCTATGCTGCATCTTGGGTGCCCGGGGCATCAAGTACGTTGGCACACGAGGGTTCCATTGAAAAATTCCAGAGCATTGTAGGCACCTAGCTGGATTGCGTGCAGATTCCCCACGAACCGTTGCTTGACGAGCAGCGTGCATGCGAGTGGAGCTCGGCGAGTGCCCGTCTACAGCGAAGCTTTAGGATCCCTAATGACTTGGTGCACCGTTCTTTGTGGAAGATGCTCATCGAAGATCTGTTCGAGTCGCGAGGCCTTGGCAACGGTTCCAGATTGATCGGGTCGCTTCGACACTTTTTTCATTCCTGTCCGACCTGATCTTCTTTGGTGAGGATATTTCCATTCCGTTTTTCGTGTTGTGGTACTTCCTCTCGTCCACAGCGCTGCATAGCATAGATATGGACGCCACATGCCATCGTTTTCATTTCCGGGACTCAGATGCACTGGCTGGACAATGAGACCCCAAATCGCATGCTCTACGTATGCCTATTCTATTCCTCAGGTGCATTGTCGTCATCGGCTTTGGTACGAGCACGCTCAGCGACCGAGGCGAGCCATTCTGGTTCCTCGCACTCACGACTGGACAAGCAATACTGCAGTTCAGGGCTGGGAAAGACCGAAAGCGATTTATCGAGGAACGTCATGTCGCAGATGCGAACGACTTGTCCATGAATCCATCATCGTGAAAATGGCGTACAGCATCATATAAAACGCTTCCGAATGCATACGATAAGAAACGCAAGTTGCGACAAAGAGCAGCTGAACGCCAATCTCGGTTGCGTACTCCTGGACGACTTTTGAGTATTGAAAAGCAAACTTATCTGAAAGCTGGTCACATGAATGCGGTAACGAGGAGCCACCAAGTGCTTCGACGACGGACATGGTGTTGAACGGTCCAGTGCATTTCGCGAGTGGTACGCTACCAAACCACTGAATTGCCCCTGAAGCTAATGCTGGCGAAATGCGCATTTGTCCCTTTCTTAAAAACAGCGGTTGCCCTGGTCGAGTACCCCATTCTCCCGAACCGAGTCGCATCGAGTGAAACGAAAATCCACGCTTCCTGGAATGAACGTTCGCGTTTCAGTGCGAAACTGACAGCGTGTTGTTCGACGCGCGACTCCCTCGCGTAGAGGCGTACGTCTGTTGCGTTATCCATCGGTGTCACACCGCTGACATTCGAGTCAACGATACGAAATCTTTGCATCCTATTGTCTCTTTGGTAGTATTTCTTAGAGAATCAGTCATTGGAATGGACTGACGAGGTGGTCAGTCATGTGCATGGAGCTCTACATATTCTAGTCTGGGTGCCAAACGTCTAGGATGGAGGCAATGAGAAAGCCGGTGTATTCCCCCGCATCCACTAGAATGACGGACTTGTCAAATTGATGCCGATTTTCGATTGACAACAATGACATTCTAGAATCTTTGCGTGACGTTTCCCCAATGTACAACGTGCATTCCCATGCTCGAATACCTGGGCGAAAAGCAAAACAAATACAAAAAAGGCGCCCTGATACTGGTATTCCGGAATTCGATGCCCATTCACTCACGTGAGCCGCAGGCGTACCCCGAGAGGCGACGGCAAAACAATTCCAGGGTCTGAATGCACCATAGTTTTGCTCCTTTCGAAGCTGCAATCATCCGATTACATATCCTATTCGAAGACGCGACTGCACAGTGATGGCAAAGCGAAGCAGCCCCCGAGTCTCTGATGCGCTCCCCCGTAGTGCATCTGGTGCTGCCTTTCGCGTCTCGGTTTCCAGCATGTGCAACACCAACAACACCAACAACAATACTATGGTAAAAGCGTTTGCTGGCTCGCTCACTTGTACTTAGTTGTTCCATAGCAGTCCATTCAAACGTCTCGTCGCCAAACGCAGCAAGCCCGAGACACGAGCGACCACGGAACTAGTCCACAGGGAACCGGTTTCACGTCTGGTGAAAGCGTCACCAGTGGCAGCTAGCGCCAAGGGGGTAATTGATGCAGTGCCTTGCACTGCTCCACGCTCTAGTCGTATGCGGCTCAGAACGTGACTTGCACACCACAAACCAATCGGGTAAAGAAGGCTTGCACGGTGGCGCGCATCTCCGTGACTTGTCTCGGAGCACGGACTTTTTCAGTACGCTTGCGAGTAGGATCACGTGCCGGCCAGCGTCGTACTCTCCGTGCCTGGTCAACAGGAACGCGCTCCAGCAGCGATCAAGACGCCCGAGGCCCGCTTACCGAATACCTCGCTAGCGAGTTGCGGCACCAGGTTCCCCGAACCTGCGATCAGGGCTTTGAACCGGAAATGTCTCCCTAATGGCATCAAACTCCCGTTAGGATACCGCAACCGAATTTCTACAAGGTCAGAAAACTTTCACCCTAACCACCACTGGCGAACTAGCTGTCCAGTCACTGGAGCATACGGCACCGCACCGTGCAGACCAGCGAGTAGTTTGCACCTAGTTCCGGGAGGCAAGCACAGGAACCGACGCTACAGATGCCGCTCGTTCCCGAGCTTTCTCGAATCCAGGCCCTATGAACACTGTCCCACACCGTGCATCGGTCAGTGCACTCCCTATGCAACAGCAGTCTCTGACTGCATTCCAGTGAAGTTGCGGACTTGTCGGTTATCGTACGACGTTCGCTGGCGGTATCGACACGGGGCGGTGCTGCGTTGCGAACGCTTCAACGCAGTGCCCGACAGCGTTCCAGCTAGGGGTTTTCTCATCGGTTCGGGTTTCAATCGACGACTTTTGTTACGAGCGCGTTGTGCATACGCCGAGAGTCGTAGACCTGCGTACACACAACGAGCACCGCTGCGTCACCGCGGACTGCGAGGAGGCAACGAGGCCTTGCAGGGACCGGGGGAAGCCCCAGGCCTCAGTCGCCGGCCCAGCAGCGGTACGCTTCGCTCGGGACACACTGGGCACCTGGACTTTGGATGAGGAAATGCCAGCCGAAGAACAGCACTACTCTTTACATGGACAACTTCCAGGCTCAGTGATGAGCTACGTCTTTCAGCTGGCCGGGGACGCCCTCACAGCGAACCCAGCTGTTCCGCTGCACCGCTATGTGCTCGCAGCACAGCGACTCATGCGTGAAGCTGACCGCCAAGGTGCGATGGGCAACCTCCTCATACGGTCAGTCTTACTGGTGCGTTTCGTTCAGCTCGTTACCAAGACGATGCCGCAGCACCCGGCCTGGTCACAGGAACCAAACCGAGCACTCCGCGAAGCGCTTCGACAGGACGCCAGAGAGGTGCTCAACGACCTCGAGCAACTTCGTGCGACGCTGACGGCACAGTGGAATGAAAGCGCCACCGCACCGTCACACACAGAGGTGATGTGTGCGGTTTCAGACACACACGCTACCGCAGACAAGCTCGCCGAGGATGAGCAGGCATGCACTGCGGCATCGTCGTCGTCGTCGTTGTTGCCACCAGCACCAGCACCAGCACCAGCACCAGCACCAGCACCAGCACCAGCACCAGCACCACCATCTACTACTACTACTCCTCCTCCTCCTGTAGCAGTGAATGGATACCAGCAGTCGGGAATCGATGGAAGCATCGGTGCCGCGGCGGGTGCGGCAGCCCGTGCAGCAGCGCTTCTTGCATCTGGTCAATGTGAACAGGGCAATGACGAACAAACAGTGTCAACAGCGGTACTGCCGGGGGTTCCTGCAAACCACAGAGCGCACGTGAGCGCACAGGCACCGGGGATTGCTCAACAAGGCGACCCGAGCTGGTTCGAAACACCCCGGGGACGTGCCTACACGGAGCAGCAGTTGCGAAGCCTCATGTCACGCACCCACTTCATTCGCGACATGTTTTGTGAGACCTGGCACGTTGACCCAGAAGAACGAAAGCAGCGGATGATCTTTTACCTCCTACAACATGCGGATATTCCACCGCATGGCGCAGCGCTGGAAGTCGCGGGTACGATCCTGAACGAGTATCTCTTGGTCACAGATTCGCCACGATTGCCTGGACCAGCAAACCCTGGCCCTGGTGGCACAACAGGCTGTCGAAGCGCACTGGAGCAGACGACCTCACAGATTGGTGTCGACGACAAGTACCGTGGATCGCTCGCCACAGGAGCACCGCTGCCCCACGGCCTGCTCAACAGACATCCCCGAGCACGTGGCGGTGCAGCGCCAGCCCTGCAGCGCGATCATCATGAGCTGCCACAGGCGGACGTCAACGCCGTAGTCGAGCGCCCTCGGCACTCTCTGAACCGAATGCAAGTCTTCGCGGATGGCGACACGAATCAGCACAGCGCTGCAACGGAAACGGCAAGTTTCAGCACGGCCTTCAGCATGCAGTGGTCGATCGATTTCAATGACGTGATTGTTGGACCGAAGATCGGCTCTGGGGGTTACGGTGAGGTCTTCGTGGGCAGGTACCGAGACCAGCTGGTAGCTATTAAGCATCTCCAGCCGGTGGATGGGGTCGACTCCGCGCAGCTGCTGCGCTCCTTCCAGGACGAAATGATGCTGATGAGCAAACTTTCGCATCCTAATATTGTCCGTTTTATCGGAGCCTGTATCACGCCTCCGAATCTTTGCATCCTGAGCGAATACGTACATGGAGGCACGCTGTATCGCTTACTCCAGAAACGTCGCCAGAGACGACTTGATCCGAATACGGGTGAACCCACCGGCGAGACCGTGGTGACGAGTCATCTGCCCTGGTGTGGGATTCTACGCATTGCCCTGGGAATAGCGCGTGGGATGCGGTACCTGCACGCGCAGAGGCCTATAGTCGTGCACCGGGACCTCAAGTCTCCGAATTGCTTGGTGTTCTCGGCGACCAGTACAATACAGGATGAAGGTGCCGGGGACACGAACGCGGTGCAACGTTCGGCGCTATCGTCGCCGCAGGCCACCGTGCAGGTGTATGGCGGTCCGATTCGTTCGGATGAGGATTTTGCGGAAATTGATGTGAAGCTCATTGACTTTGGACTCAGCAGGACGCAGCTCAGGTCGTATATTTCGACCGGAATCGCGGGAACTCCCGAATGGATGGCTCCCGAGGTCATTCGCCAGGACCGGGTCAGTGAGAGCGCTGATATATTCTCCTTCGGTGTTATACTGTGGGAGCTGGTGACTGGACGCAAGCCCTGGGAGCATCTGACGCAGACCCAGGTAGTCTATCGAGTCGGTTACCTGGAAGAGGTGCTTCCGATGCCGCCGGAGACGCACCCGAGCCTGCAAGCGCTCTATGCAGCGGCTTCACAAATGAACCCCGCTAGTCGACCAAAGTTCACAGACATCGTTTCGAAACTGGAGCAGCTTTGTAGAGAGAGTGGTGTCTGCACGGAAACCGGTGAGCAACTGATGCGTCGTCGCCAGTTTCAGGAAATGACGTGAGTCGAACGAGTCGACTGAGTGCCAGCGCTCTGGGCCCGAGTCCTTTGACGGAGCATCATTGCTTTGAATCTGAGCGGGTCCTGATTCCAAACACGCGGTTTGCAGGAAACCCGGGCTTCCGTCGTACGACGGCGGGTGAACTCGCTGCATCTGAGCATCTGTTGACACCATCGTGCAGATCATTGGGGAATCATGTGATGAACGCGGTCAGCCGATGAACGCAGTTTCCTTTTCGTTCGCCGGGGTGTGCCTCGAGCATTTCCTCTGTGACCCGGAGGCGAGACTGCGTACGGACTGGGATTTCGCAACACACACAGAGGCCTGGAGGCCTCGTCTCGATATGCCCCAACGAATCGCTCAATGGTGCTGTTGGCGGGAATGGATGCTAGCGCGGCAGTTGGACAAGCGAGCAGCGTGCTATCTCCCAGACGTAATCACGAAACCAGTTGGACGTCCCGGATATCCAGATGCCAGTTCCGAATGCATCAACCAAAGGTTCTGTCTTCGTCTGGAACGCGAAGCGGCATCGGGACATACGCTCAAACAGCGTGGAGTGTAACGCAGTGGCCTGCAAACGCGCGCTTCTGCACCTGCGCTCCAGCGCAAGTCCACGTGAGCACTAACCCGAAGTTTCAGATGTATGGTCATCTCCGGACGAGCGTGTACGCTTGATGCGAAGCTTTGGATCAGGAACAGAGTGCGCTTCGCTCGTCTACAGTGGTACAAGTGAGACTCGCGGAACACATCGGAGTCCACGTGAGCACTAACCAGAAGTTTCAGATGCATAGTCATCTCCGGACGAGCGTGTACGCTTGATGCGAAGCTTTGGATCAGGAACAGAGTGCGCTTCGCTCGTCTACAGTGGTACAAGTGAGACTCGCGGAACACATCGGAGTCCACGTGAGCACTAACCCGAAGTTTCAGATGTATGGTCATCTCCGGACGAGCGTGTACGCTTGATGCGAAGCTTTGGATCAGGAACAGAGTGCGCTTCGCTCGTCTACAGTGGTACAAGTGAGACTCGCGGAACACATCGGAGCGCGGGCGATGCCCTAAGCGGTGCTCCCCATGGCGCCGCTGGTGTTTTGTCTGCAGAATCCGTTAGAAACAAGCGTAGCACGTTCTTGAGTGCACATTCAGAGGCATCTGCAAGGACGTTGTTGGCATCGTCATTCTACATCTTGCTCGCTCGCTGGACAGACTTTCAGGTGCGATCCAGGATGCACGGTTCCGTTCTGGGGCTGCATCCTCGGCATAACCATGGCTCCCAGACAGCAACGAGCGAAGCTCTGAACGGGCATATGGACATTAGCGCTCGTTATGCGCTCTCCACTGGTGCTTTCGATCGGTCCCCTGGTGACGCACCATTGACGACGCTAACCAGAATACGCTTGTCGCCATCGATGACTCATTGCTGGTCCGGAATCACCGCTCACCGAACGCGAATACGCTGTATCCACACCAGATGATCAGCGTGACGGCCAGGAACTGGGTCATGCTCGGCAGTATCGTTTCAATCACGCTCAGCTGTTTTGAGTCGCAGCATCTTCGAATTGCGACGTAGGGCTGTCTTTATGTACTGACTCGATTCACACAAGTTGCAAACAGGAAGAAGATGAAATGTTTGCTTCGCCAAATAGTAGTAAAACGCCTTTCTATTGTGGTGAATGTCCAGGCAATACGCTAGTTCGTCGAAGTTTCCTTTGATGCCTGTTTCGGTCACGTTGGCTGCTCACCGGAGGCCAGCACGGTACCGTCCGAAGCGACGCCGAGCACCAGCGGTGCCGCTCTACGCGTTACCAACCGGCTGTTCGTCGTGGACTTGCACGCGAACATGCCACGTGATCTGGAACTTGAACGCGTTCAGCGCTTCATAGCTGACACGCGAACATCAGCACCGATCAGCTGTGTTGTCTATGCGGAAAGAACAGGCTATCGATCGGTACGCTCGAGCTGCGGCACCCTCGAAGCCAGTGAGTGCTCAGCGCGTCCGCAGGGGCCGCCTCTCAGCACGGGTGTGCTCCATCGCTGATCCCCAGGCACATATAACCTGAACAAAAGCAGCACTTCTAGCGTCTACTCTTGTATTGATGGGTGTTCCGTCTTGAGCAGTGAGCGTCGTCACGAGCCCCTAACACAACCTGGTGAAGACGACGTTCCGCAGCGTTCGCAGGTCCCTGGAGGCGTCCCGCAGAAGCCAGCGTGCGTCCCGACAAGCAGAAACGCCTCCTGGGTCTTTGTTCGACTTTTGCAGGAGGTTGCCAGGCCTCGTTGAACGGGGGCGATGTTCTGTTTGACGAGCGCCCATCCAGGTACACAATGGGTACCTCAGTCTATACAAGCGTGTCCTGGACAACAACCTCGGAGAAGAGCGCCGTGTAGAGAGCGCATCGCTGGACTGGTTGTGAGGCCCCAGCCGCAGCGGCAAGCGGTTGCCACGGTGCTACGAGCCGCTTCCCGTGGAGCATTCACCGGTCCGGGGTTAACTGAATGCACCTTCCTGGTGCATTCATTGAACGTCACCAACGTCCAACAGCGAAATCGAACTGCGTCACGAGCGTCCGCCAACACGTGCCGGTGTTGTACCGGTGCCGTAGAGCCTGTCGACGAGCCGAGCGCCCGTCGTGATGAGCCCAAGCGCTCACCGGGAACACCACCTTTCACTGACGCTCTGCGTACGCGTAGCTTTCTTGGTCTATCGTCGCTGACACTAGCCCGGCTTGCACTTGTTGGTACAACGCTGGTCTGGGCTGCGAACAACGTCCTGGTGAAGAAGCTCTATCGACTCGGCTTGCAGCCGGGCATGGTTACAGCAGTGCGGTTTTCGCTTTCGGCTTTGGTCTTGTCGCCGTTTGCAACCTGGCAGGCTTTGCGACCTGCCCTCGGCCTATCTATGACCTCTTTTGCTGGCAATGCTTCCTTAGCGCTTTCACTTCGATTCACGAGCACGGGCAGGGCCTCATTCTTCGCAGCGATGTCGGTCGCTGTGACGCCGTTGTTAGAGTTGCTGCTCTACGGCAGTCCACTTCGCCCAGGTTTCCTGACAGCGTCTTCGCTCTGCGTCATTGGTGTTTTCCTCATGTCCAGGGAAAGTCTGCTGCAAGTCCGACTTGGACAGCAGACAGGCCTCGCCAGCGAGACTGGGGCTGGGCTCGCCTCCTGCGGTGCGCTCCGCGGAGACATGCTGGCGCTCTTGGCGGCTTTTTGGTTCGCACTCTATAACGTTCGACTCAGTCGAGAAGCGCCAAAGCACCGCACGGAAGCATTGAGTTCCTCACTTCGAGTCTGGACGGCTTGTTTCTCGACAATCTGGGCCTGTTTCGAGATTGTGCTTGGCAAGCATGCAGCACCCACAGGAGCGCATTCCTCCGCTAAGGTCACTGTCGACGGCGGTTCTGGTGCTCTGCTCGCTACCTTGAGTATCATTCGCGAAGCGGTGCGTTCCCTGTTTACCCGCCTCCATCAAGGTGGAATCACAGCTTACCTCGGCCTAGCTGCGCTAGCAGTGCTCGTGATTGTTGGCGCCTACTTTCAGGTCTATGGGCAGCAGCGCATCTCAAGTCAAGAGGCAGCGGTGCTGTATACATTGAATCCCATATGGGCTGGATTGGCAGGGTATCTGTTTCTGGCGGAGACCTTCACTTTGGAGCAGGGGCTGGGCGGCCTATGCATTCTGTTCGGCTGCCTTGCTGCACGACGGCAGCAGCAGCAGCGCTCGCCTGTGACGAGCATTCCCAGAAAGTAAACGCTGAACGACTGCATGCTCCGTTCTTGGTCAACGTTAGTATTACTATTGTTGTTGTTGTTGTCGTAGCAGCAGCAGCAGCAGCGCCGCTCGCCTAGTCCACGTATTCCGATAAAGTCAACGCTTCGCAACTCTACCCTGCGCCCGTGCGTAACCGGGTTGCTGCAGCAACAGCGGCAGCAACAACTGGCAATGCCACGCGCTCGAACGTGGCGAGGCAGTTCTGTTCCCGATGAAACGTATGAGCGACACACACTGCTATACTGGAAAGTTGCGTTTATGTCGCAGCCGTGCGTTGGTCCTCGGAATGCCGTCGTAGGCGACGCCCTCAGACAACACTCGGGACGATGTCGTACGAACCAGTGAACAGCACTGCTCGATGCTGAGACAACGACTGATTCGGAACAGTACGTCTATCGCATGCGCTGTGTGGAACGGGTAACTGGAATCTCCAGTTGGAGTGCGCTTCTCTGTGTGTCATCGCTTTGGAAGTTTTGGGAACAAGGCTCTATGCATGCCTCTCCCTGGACATTTTTTCGACGCACAGGTGCTTTCGATACCCGACACACTACTGTGGAGCACGTTAGTCGCATCCTCAGGGCTCGGGGCCGCACATGTGAACGTGCCCAGGTCGCTTGCCACTCCTACGGGTTGCATCGTTCCTCTGCTTGCCAGTCAGAAGAAGTAGCCTTCGCTCGGCTGGGTCAACTTGAATCACCAGTGCGTACCGCTCTGCGCTGACTTGTCGACTGCCCCAGGCATCGACGTGGCTGACGAGTGCGTCTGGAGCAGTTTGAGCGCTTGACGTGGCTTCTCCTCAGGTGCACCCCGGTTACATTCGAACGTCTCGGAACGCAGCGCATGCGTCGGCAGAGAGTCCGACACTGGTTGCACCCGACGGTAGAGGAGCAGCTCGTGCAGCGGAGCCTCCTCGGTTATGACGCACGGGCCGAGCCAAACGGTGTCTCGGTTGTTGATGTCGACGTTGTCAGGGGATAACGAGCTTTTCAAAGTCGAGCACGCCGAGTCGATTCGCCAACGACACCAGTAACCGGTCGGTAAGTAGACGCTTCGTCGACGCTGACCATAGGCGAGGACGGGTGCCACCAGCAGGTCTGTACCGATGAGGTATTCGTCGTCAACGCGGCTCGCGACTCCACTTAGCGGATGATCCGCGGTAAGGCGCTCATCCCAGCAGACAGGACGCACGATAGGCTCATCGTTCTGGAGTAGCGTGAGCAGGAGCGGAACGATGGACGTTTCGCGAAAACGCAGGTATCTCCGAACGAGGTCGACGACGGTTTCAGAGAGTTCCGGATGAGGTGGTAGCAAGCGATCGAATAGTTGCGGCTGCAGAGAGAACTGCACACAAGGCATGGCGATGCTGGCTTGCAACCATCGAATATAGAGCTCTCGCAGCTGAGCGGGATCAGTCTCCAGAGCGACCTCATCTGCATTACCATAAGCGTTTCCACCAATCATGTCGGGCATCACGACTTGGACGCCCAGTACGCTGACGGTCAAGGCGCCTGTGACGACACTCTTCAGGCCGTTATCGGTGCCCCATTTAGAGGATTTGTCGAAAAGGCGAACCACGACGGGCGCGAAGAGGCTATCAAACCAGGAGGTACGCACCTCCGCAATAGGGAAACTTGAAGCCATGGCAACGTACTGACGCGTGTACTCGTTCTGCTGGAGTACTGCATCTGCGTCCAAGGCATCGCAGCGGAGAAGAGCGCTTGGGACAAAGGCACCTTCGCCGGCGTCGAACTTGAAGCCGTCGATTCCAGTTTCGTGTTGGAGTTGGCGGAGCTTGGACTGCCACCAATCCCGCGCTTCCGGTTTAAAGACATTGAGTAAATGACCCTGGCCTTGCCACCATTCTACTGGCCGTTTACCGTGGCCGAGAAGGAAGCCGCGGTCTCGAGCTTCGGCAAAGTTGGTACTCTCCTCGGTGATAAATGGCGGGATCCAGAGCGTTACGAGAAAGCCGCGGGCATGCAGGGCATCGACCAGTTGTCGCGGTTCCGGGAACTTGTTCGGATCGAAGCTTGTATCGCCGTAGTTTCGCTGCCACTTATCGTCTATCTCAATGATACCGCCCTGCAGGTCGAGCGAACGTAAGTTATCCGCCATAAGCATGACCTTGGTCGCGGTGACGTCGGCTTTCATTTCGGCCCAGGTAGACCAGATCACGCGCTCGATGAGGGCAGTGCTCTTCCAGGAGCGCTGCGGTGCGCCAAACCAGCGACGCAAATGAGAAAACGTCTGGTCCAGTCTTGGTTCTGCTGCAATGAGCAGCTCAAGTTCTAGACGCTTTGCTCGCGCGGACCAAGCACAGAGCCGCTGGTCACCGCGAGTCGTGCCAGGCTGCTGCACGGGCGGGCACTGACGATGCGGTCGCTGGCGGCTGCGTCTCGTCTCGGCGTCCAGTACGGATGAATAGATCGGTATATAGACGTCCGTGGTGAACTTTTCATGGGGTATCGCCGGCTCCACCTGGGCATTCGACGAGACGTGTAAATCAAATGGAGGGTGCGGCATCACAACCGCTACCCCGGTTGAGGACAGGAGCACGGGAGAGAGCACCGAACCGACTCCACTGGGTGCATTGTCCCAGGTCACAAATGGGGTCGGCGGTAGCATTGCGTCCGACAGAGGCCACGTCTGATTTAGGAACTCACCTAGGCCGTACACCACCTTACCCTTAGGCTCGTTGAGCACATACGACCAACCGAGCAGTGACAATGGTTTCCCAGCACCTGCAGCCTGTTTTCCTGGTTCAGTACGCTCGGCTGTGAGACAAACGCGACAATCTTGACGGTCGCAATGCACTGCAATGGTAACCTCAACAACGTCATCGGGGTCGGCTGCGTCGTGGTAGCGCAGACGAACACCAGCAGCTCTCGTTCTTTCGTTACATACGACCTCATTGCCGCCCTCGAACGCCAGTATTTTACGCTCAAATCTAGAGTTTCCGTCCTCCAAGCCCCAGAGCAACGAGCCGGTAGCGCAGAGCGCACCGTCTCGATATATATGGTACGTTGCAAGCGCCACCGTCACGCGTACAAGCAACTCGCGCGGCTCGTGCCGCAAAATGTACCACTCACCCGCACGCTCGGTAACTTTGAAATAGTTGCCTTCATATACCTCTTCTTTGACTTGAGTTTGCAGTACATTGGACTGTACCGCACGCGACAGCAGTGCGGCAGCGCCCACAGCGGAACTCAGTGTCCGGGCAAGCACGGTGCCGCCTGCAAACGCAGCTGCAACGTTCGCAGCTAACACGTCCGAGTTTCTCGGCAGCGACCCGCAATGCTCTAGTTTCTGAGCGTCGCCCTCCTGAAGTTTTTGGAAATCCTTGCTCAAAGCGTGCGCAAACACTGGTATCGAACGTGATACACCTTTCATATTGGGAAAGCGTCAAGCGTACGAATGCTGGAATGCCACTGCATGCTCCGGAAACGTGAGGCGCAGCGAGCGCACGCGATGCCGGAATTTCGAATCGCCTCGGAAGGCGTCCGGCGGCGTCCATCGCAGCAGACACCCAAAACGGTACCATTCTGTACATATATACACACAAGTGGATCAATGACATCGAGCGATGGCCAAGTCGAATGCAGCTGCGATGCGCTGGCTGCATCGTAGGCGAGCATCATGGAGGGCGGTTTTCCGGCGAATGACGAACGTCCTCTGCACAGGCAGGTGCATGTATCCTAACGAGCGATGTGCACGTGGTAATGCTGCTGCACCTGAATAATCCAAGTAGTTGCTGGTGCTGAATCGTTGTTGTTGTCGTTGTTGTTGTTGTCGTCGTCGGAGTGGTATATCCGTGTATGGGTATCGCGAGGCAAGCGGTGCTCGAGTCCGGCGCGAAGATGCAGCTCAATCGCCAGCTGTTGGTGTATCCTGTCATGAATCGTTTGCACGACAATCGAGTCAGTGTAGAACGGCAAGGGTCTGCTCATTCGGGAGTACACACGAACGATTGGGATTCGTTCCGCTCGGGTGCCAACAGTGGCCTTTAAGGGGCCTTTATTCCACAAATGCTGTGTTCTCCTCTGTCTTGTATTTGGCTTTGCATACGCTGGTCTGCGACGCTCCTTCAGCTTCGTTATCAGCAGTCGATGGGTGTCGAAAGCGGCGTTCAACGACCAATGTCGGTGCTTCCGCCTGTTGTCGACGCATTGCATGCAGGTGCACCAGTTACGATGCACACTTTGCTTGGCATTCTCGTCTCGTTTGAGCACGGCATCTGTGCACGCTTCGCACTGGTGGCACTCGACCGTCATTGGAGCTCCTCGAATGCTCACGAAACCTCCTTCTTCGAAGACGACCTCCAGGTGCGACGGGACTCGCTCCACCGCTCCTTAGGTGGCCCCGACGGGTATCGGGGGCTTCACGCGATAGACGTCTCCGTTTCCGCTGCTGAGGGATCCCGTCGACGATGTCGTTGTCCGCTGGACACTTGAGCGCGCGCTATTCCATTCGACAGAGTAATTGTGGAGCGCGATGCTTCATACGATGAAACAGGTGTCGAAGAGAATATCCAGGCAGCAGAGCAAATCCAGAGACTCAGATCCTTGTACGCTCCCTCTGTAGCGAGCGGTGACACACACTCCACTGACACCGGGCTCGCTGCGTAGACTCAGGTCCGAGTCCAGGGCCCTGTCCCCGTGAAAGCGGAACAGACGGGAGCCCCTGGAGACGTCTCTCATGCGTGGTACCATGCTGTTGTCGAATGCAGTTTCATCGACAGCGGAGAAACCGAGCGTGATTTGATATTCGACCATGATCACTTACTCTAGGTGACATGTTCAGTGAATGTTCGACGTAGCGTCCTGAGGGAGCTTTCCAGAGTCGACGTCGAGCTTCTTTCCCTGGGAATCGAGCGACACGAATCGCAGCGCCCGCAAGTGCCCTTGAACCAGAGAGATCGGAAACTGTCAGCATGCGTCATTGGCGCCTGCTCCACACGGGCAAAGGAAAAACCTGGAGGCCTCTGCATACGAACCGGATAATCATAGCGATTGGTGTACGAGCCCTGGTTCGAGTGCTTTGCGAATCACCTTGAGTCTGGTATCGTCACGAATGCCAGCGGTGAGCAGTCGATGCAGCCAGCTCGTGAGAACGACCGTGACACCTTTGACCATTTACCAAACTCGTAAACTCTTATTACTGGACTTTGAATCTCGAGCCGGTGCACGTTGAGTTTGGAAACATCTAGAGTCAGGAACAAGCGAGCAGTTCAGGGCTCCGTATCTAGTCTGCTACATGTCAGCGCAGCATCCTTCTCAGGTGGGTGCAAGTGCCGGCTGCAGGCATACGGCGTATGCGTTACAGCTTCCGTGCCGTGCGCTCTATTCTTGAAGCGAATGGTATGCGCTATCTCTGTTCAGTGTCGTCTCTGATCTGGGCAGCTGCTGGATTCTAGTGCGGACGCCACAGAGCCTTGCACCGTACCCAGGCTGTTTCGCACTGGCGGAACTGCCGCTAGAGGAGGTGCTTGTTGGAGCGCGCGGCACTTGGGCCTCGCTTGCTGAACCTGCTGCAGCTGGAGTGCACTCGGTGACTCCGCAGCAGCAGCAACGTCAACAGCTGCAGATAGGCAACTACATCAGAAGGAAATGAGCAGTTCCGTGCGCTATGGGGCACTGCGGACGCTCCAGGGCGTAGCGGCACGTGGTGCGCACACTGCTGCTTTTCGCCAACAGTGCGGCGACCGAGGATCGCTTCTACGTGCCCTGGGGAAGCGCGCTGAGGCACCCGTCGCACAAGGCTGTAAGCAAACACGCAACGATGCAGAGTCTTGGCCTCGAGGTCTCGCTCGTGGCCCCGGCCGGGCGTTCTTTAGCAACCACACCGGCTACCAGGACGCGTACCGACAGCAGCGTGCTTCCGAGGTCGCCGCCGCAGAGGAAAAGGAGATGCTGCTGCTGAGGAAGCTCAGACTAAAACTTACGAGGCCGGTCTCGCAGGCAACCGGTCATACGCATCCACATCTCCTGGACATAGACCAGGTTACACCTGGTATTCCACTCGCGGAGTATCGAGCGCGACGACAAGCACTGGCAGCGCTCATGCCGCCACATTCGCTGCTCATTTTACCCGCTGCTCCAGAGCAGTTTTACTCAATGGACGTTCCACATCGCTACCGTCAACACACGGACTTTCTGTACTTTACGGGGTGTCTGGAACCGCAGGCTGCACTCGTGGTCTACAAACCGCGCTCTGCTGCCGTTGACGCCTCGGCCATCGAGCCGGGCCCTCAACCGGATGCACTGCAAGCTGAGTTTCTCCTCTTCGTCCGCGCGAGAGACGCATCCCGGGAGCTCTGGGATGGCCCCATGATTGGCATTGAAGACGCTCCGGCAATGTTCGGCATTCCCAATGTGTACCCAGTGGAGCGCCTGGGCGCTCTCGTTGCCGAGATTATGCATGGTGGCGAGCCGACTCCGCCGTCACTCTTCTTTGACGCAAATGTGAATTCCGAGTTCACGAAACGTGTGGGTACCGCTCTGGCACCCGACAAGTCCATGGAATCCGCCGCCGGCGCCGCCTGGCAGTCTTTTGCGTCGCGTCTGTGTTCACCGGTGCCTCTGACGCAACCGCTGCGGTTGTTCAAGTCACCGAACGAGCTCGCATTGATGCGTCGTGCCGCTGCAGTTACAGCGGATGCATTTATCGACGCGATGCAGCGCACTAGCGCCGGACTTGGTGAATGGCAAATCGCTGCGCGCATGGCCTATACCATGGGGTTTCGTGGCGGCCCCAGCGCTCGCCTTGCGTTCCCCATGGTGGTGGCATCGGGTCCACGAGCCTGCACGCTCCATTATACGGAGAACGCAGCGCTACTGCAAAAACACCACATGCTCATGGTCGACGCCGGCGTTGAACTGCATGGCTATTGCAGCGATATCTCTCGTTCGTGGCCTGTCGATGGCCGGTTCCGAGGAGCTGCCAAGACCCTCTACGATATGCTGCTGAGCATTCACGAGGCTTGCTTGAAGCTCGCGCGGGAGCAAACGCACCCATCGCATACCGCTGGTGATGTCGCCGGTGAATGCCGAGCGCCAGCGGCCAGCCTGGAGCACCTTCACCGAGTCTGCGTTCGGATGATTGCGGAGAATCTGTATGAACTAGGGTTTTTCGGCCGACGACACCGGGTAGATGAGATCATCGAGCGCGGTCTCTACGGACGGTACTTTCCGCATGCGCTCGGGCACTATCTGGGCATGGATACACACGACACTCATCAGTTGAGCAAGGCGATTCCGTTTCGAGCTGGCATGGTGATCACTGTGGAGCCCGGCGTATACGTCCCGGTGGCAGATGGTGATGCACCAGCAGCCTTTCGAGGTCTAGGCATGCGCATCGAGGACGACGTGGTGATTCGCCCGGGCGGAGCCGCCCCGGAAATCCTCTCCGCGGGGATTCCTCTGCAAGCGCGAGATATCGAGGCGGTTATGCGTGAGATAGCCACGACAAGCGCGCACTATTGAAGCTAGTTTGGATCGCTCGGTAGACGCTCTTCTATCGAATGATGGAATACTCCATGATTTTGGGCCAGTTGCTCAGGAAACGCCTAGTCGGTGTATGGATGCGGCGCTGGAGCCTTTCTTGTACGCTGAAACGTACCATACCGAGGCATTGCCTGTGGCAAGCGTTCGATTCCACCTCTGCTGGCCGCTGCTATTTTTCCAACGGGATTCTGAGGTCACGTAGCACATTGCCCGCCCAGAGTACGAAGCGACGGTCTCGAAAGTTTGCTCTACAAAACGCTGCTCGACGCCCCGAATCCATGAGATACTTTTGAATGATGATCGAAGCGTTCAAGTCGGGGTGCAGAGCATGCCAGCGCGCATCGTTGCTGGTGGAATCATACCGCACAGAGCCTCTGAACTTCGATTGTCTCGCCAACTGACGTTTGTTCCGTCGACCGTAAACTGTCTCGTGGACCCGTCTCTGTTTCATTGTTGTCTTCTCTGTGTGCCCCAGCATACATCCCGTGCTCGTGATACCTGTAGGTTATCCAGGACGCATCCAGGGGAATCGTGCACAACCGATTCTTGCTATCGTTGGTCGCTCTCAGCCAGCAAGCAGGAGTGCACTTGCTGCGTGGACCAGGATGTATAGCGCAACGCGCGACTAGAAACCGACGTGACTTTTCGGCCAGTTGCTTTTTTTTAACGTACTGAATAAGTTGGTAGAGGCGCGCTTCCCGCCTCCGTTCATCCGAAATCGTTGGCGATCGAAAGCGTGGTCTCGTGGATGCCTGCCAGGGATCCAGTGCATGAGCCATTGACAGGCTCATGGACTCTATTTGAGAAAAGTGTACAGTGCAGCTCGCTCTGCTCCGTATGTCGCTCAGAGCGTCGATACGGGTCCAGACGTCTTCACTAGACTTTTTGGTATGCCATCTGGTGTCTGTCGGGCCTGCTGCTCAATTGTATCGAGCCCGGGAAGCGTCGAGTGGCCCCAGCTGCTCTCGGTTCACCTCTTTGACGCCGTCGTTTGGATTTGGAGGTACAGCGACGGAGAGGACGTTGTCCAGCCTGCGATCGAGTCCCATTGCAACGCGCTTATCTTCGATGAATTTGAACGGTTGAAAATGGGTATCGTTACGCGTCTAAGGTTGAGGGTTTCGCGCTCCTCATGAGGTGTATACTTATTGATATTCTCTCGCTCTTCATATTCCCTGCAAACTGCTTTCCATATTCTCCCTGGGAACAAGAAAATATGAATGTGCTCCGCCAATGCACTTCCAGAAGTTTAATGAATGCTCCTTGCAGTAAAGCATGATGTGCGGCGATGGAACGGGCCTTGAAAGGATCTCTGGAATAAAATCGAAGTCAAGCTTGATGAGGATCGGGCGCTCGGACTCGGGAATGCGTCTGCTTTGGCTATGGAGGGCTCTTCTTTAGATCTCTTTGCAATGTACGGCGCAAGGTGGGCGTCATGTTCCGAGCATCCTTTGGATATGACGCATCTCTCTGTGTGCGAGGCGGGACCGTACACTATGAGCTTGGACGAGGTGAGTCGACTCTCGCTCTGGTCGCAGCATGTGTTCAGAACTCGCTACCATCCCGAGCGCTTCTGGCACCACCAGCTCGACACTTGCCTCCGTCGACGCACCGCAAGTGCCTTGCATCAGAGCCCACATTTTCGGACCAGGATTCTGAGGGTTCGAAGCTCACAGGATGCATCTCGTGAAGCGCTCGAGACTGAACCGCAATTAAGATCGGATGTTGAGGTTCGTTTGATACGTTTTCACAACGGCGTTGTAGATATACCGATCGACGACGTTTTGTGAAGACGCATCAGGTTTATTTGGGGAAAGCGTGTCCACAAAAACGCGGATCCTACGACCAAGCGCCTCTGCAGCTCCAGTACTGCGAAGCGGTTGTGTTGCCGCACTAGGGTTGAATCGAAAAATTTCAAAGGAATGTCGACAGCGGGCAGCCCGGTTCCCCAAACTGAAAGGAACAGTTGCTTGATGAGGTCCGTCAACGCGACGGAGGCTAGAGAGGACTTGCTCGGGACGGAGGAGGAAGCGGCTTCGTCGATAGTTGTGTCGTGCATCTCCATTTTCGTGCACATTCTGTCTGTTGGGATGGTTTACTGCGGCGATCTTGGCCAACCTTCCTCACCGATGTATATCCGCTCTGACAGTTTCCTCTTCTTGGTTCACCTCGTCATGTATTCCGAACGATTTCTGGCTTGATTGTCCGTTTTTTTCTCGTAGTTCTTCTCTGGCATCTCCTGGACTCGGTGGGATGACATGCATGTGGGCGCGATACCCCATATCCACTTGTTCTTCGGGATTCAGACGTATTGGGTGAATGTTTGGAACGCAGCTTGCTTTCTCCGTTGATGCGCGTACGGGTTTTCACCAAAACATTCTCGTCATCTTCAACGTCAAGAATACACCCATAGACCGAAGCATGCATCTCCGCTCCCTCGCAGGCGCGAGCAAAGAAGCAACAGCATCTTTCAGAGCAGGTGGAGTTCGAGCAAAACCCGCCAAACAACCTCGATGTCTCAAATGCGAACGAATTTTCTATGGATCCCTGAGCGTACAACCGGCTTTTGACGATAGAAAAGGCTCGTTGGAATGAAGTCGACCCAGGGCGACAGGCTGATTCGAAGGCCAGCTCAACGCCAATGCCAGCTGCGAGCTCCTTGAAAGATTTCGAGTCGTGCAGAGAGATGCTGTCGAAGAGCAGGAAGTACGTAAACAGTACTCTGTCACGAAGAATGCTTTGATCAAGGATGAGGCGCTGAAAGATGCTGTCTGTTCGGTGGTTCACTGGCGAATACACCACTGAATCGCCATCAGGGCGGTTGGTGTCGTGATTCTCGCTTGCCGCTTCCTTACGAACAGTTATTTGTTCGAGCTGAGAGCCCACATACAGGTCTAGACCGTTTCCGCCGAATCAGGTCTCATCGAGTTGGACGAGCATTCCAAGTCCTGTGATGAGCGTTCGGGTTTTCGGTTTGCAGTCGGATGTGTGCTGGTCAATACGCGATCGTCTTCCACAGAAGCGCGCCTTTGATATCGTCTATGCAAGCCTCTTTATCATCGTTAAATTCGATGGCAAACAAATTCACATGTTCCACCTTCCTTCCCAGTGCTGTCTGGAGAGCGTTTGCTTTCGACTCGTTCGACACGAAGAGGATCGTGTGGATCGAGGTTGATACCCCTCTGTTCGGAATGCACCATGTTCAGGGCACGGGCTGTGCGAAAGCTCTTCATCCATCCGTTGCTCGCAGAATGACGGACTCGTGGAATTGAGATCGATTCCTGCAAGCTAACGGTGATAGCCTACATTCCTCCCGCGACATCTCTTCAGCCTGCGAGAAAAAAGTCCCATCGCCCAGTACCCGCGACAGAAAAGAAACAAAACAAATGAAGCGAGCTGGTACCGGCATTCTAGGATTTACTGCCCGCAGATCGAATGAGCATAGCAATCTCTGGGAATAAATGTATCGTTCAGAATGTAATGGAGTATGCTCATACGAAGCAGACTAGCTTGCTTTCGTTGTCTTTTCTCTGGCACCAGATCGGATGACGTGAACACGTCTGTTCCGCAACGTGCTGGAGCGCGGCCATCGTCTGGACAAGGCATCTAGACATGTCGCTCTGGATCCAGAGACGGTACGTTTGTACGTTCACGACCGCGTAGGTCGATCCGTTTCGCGGGCGAACGTCCGCAAGCGCATCGCAAAGCCGTTCCATGTCCATGCGATGCTCACGAACAGGACTGGTACCCGCAGGGTGGTCGCATTCGTCCAGTCATTCTCGCCGCAGGCATCACTGCTCGAGGCGAGCTAGCACCCGGACGGTTCTGTGGATGAGCAAAAACCTGTTCCTATGCTCGTGAGAAAGTTCATACATCCCGGGGGCTTGCCAGACTCATTGATGCACTCTACTTGTAGCAGACTAGATACGGAGCCCTGAACTGCTCGCTCTGTTCCTGACTCTAGATGTTTCCAAACTCAACGTGCACCGGCTCGAGATTCAAAGTCCAGTAATAAGAGTTTACGAGTTTGGTAAATGGTCAAAGGCGTCACGGTCATTCTCACGAGGTGGCTGCATCGACTGTTCGCCGCTGGCATTCGTGACGATACCAGACTCAAGGTGATTCGCAAAGCACTCGAACCAGGGCTCGTACACCAATCGCTATGATTATCCGGTTCGTATGCAGAGGCCTCCAGGTTTTTCCTTTGCCCGTGTGGAGCAGGCGCCAATGACGCATGCTGACAGTTTCCGATCTCTCTAGTTCAAGGGCACTTGTGGGCGCTGCGATTCGTGTCGCTCGATTCCCAGGGAAAGAAGCTCGACGTCGACTCTGGAAAGCTCCCTCAGGACGCTACGTCGAACATTCACTGAACATGTCACCTAGAGTAAGTGATCATGGTCGAATATCAAATCACGCTCGGTTTCTCCGCTGTCGATGAAACTGCATTCGACAACAGCATGGTACCACGCATGAGAGACGTCTCCAGGGGCTCCCGTCTGTTCCGCTTTCACCGGGACAGGGCCATGGACTCGGACCTGAGTCTACGCAGCGATCCCGATGTCAGTGGAGTGTGTGTCACCGCTCGCTACAGAGGGAGCGTACAAGGATCCAAGTCTCTGGACTTGCTCTGCTGCCTGGATATTCTCTTCGACACCTGTTTCATCGTATGAAGCATCGCGCTCCACAATTACTCTGTCGAATGGAATAGCGCGCGCTCAAGTGTCCAGCGGACAACGACATCGTCGACGGGATCCCTCAGCAGCGGAAACGGAGACGTCTATCGCGTGAAGCCCCCGATACCCGTCGGGGCCACCTAAGGAGCGGTGGAGCGAGTCCCGTCGCATCTCGAGGTCGTCTTCGAAGAAGGAGGTTTCGTGAGCATTCGAGGAGCTCCAATGACGGTCGAGTGCCACCAGTGCGAAGCGTGCACAGATGCCGTGCTCAAACGAGACGAGAATGCCAAGCAAAGTGTGCATCGTAACTGGTGCACCTGCATGCAATGCGTCGACAACAGGCGGAAGCACCGACATTGGTCGTTGAACGCCGCTTTCGACACCCATCGACTGCTGATAACGAAGCTGAAGGAGCGTCGCAGACCAGCGTATGCAAAGCCAAATACAAGACAGAGGAGAACACAGCATTTGTGGAATAAAGGCCCCTTAAAGGCCACTGTTGGCACCCGAGCGGAACGAATCCCAATCGTTCGTGTGTACTCCCGAGTTAACCAGGTACCCCGCTTCCATTTCCTTCCGACATGGGTTATTGTGACCTCGAGCTGTGACCAAGTGTACGGCACGATCGTGCTGACCATCGCGATACATTCACTTTCACATCGCTCGGGTATTCGTTTAGGACGACTGCATCCTCTCGCTGCATTGCAAACAGAGAGAATTGTTCTTTTGCTGCACATGTTTGCGCACACTGTTCAAGCACCCAGAAAGCGACTTCATCAGACGCTTTCCGCTGTTATACCCGGTGAGCAGTGGGAGCGGCTCTGCCGCAACGAAGGCGTCTACCCGGGGACACTATCGCGGTACGAGCCTGCTCGCGTGAGTCTAGTTGGTACTCCGCGACCAACGGAACTGCATATCACGCCCAGAGCCGAGGACAGGGACTCTGCTTGGGTTATCCTCCGCAAACCCGGCGATCGGGATGCAACGCAGTTCTACTCACGCGCGCTGGATGCGTCTACGCTGGCACAACAGGGCATGGTCTACGCCCAGGACGGCTCTTTCTGCTCGGGAAGCGTGTTGGTGCGCTCCGGGGAAGGTGGCCTCAGTGCGCTCATCGTTGAACAGAACATAAACCACTGGGAGTCGGGGCGTATCGCAGCAAGACGACGCGTCGTCGTACATTATAGGGGCCGGGAGCTCTCAGCGCTTTCGCTTTATCGCGAGCTGGACCAGAGTGACTATGTAAGTGAGCGACCGAGAGCTAAGGATTTTGTTCGCTTGCTTGAAACAGGAACAGGAGCATGGCAAGGTCGAGCAGCGTACGTCTATGCCCGTGATCAGCGGAAGGATGCCCACTTCAACACGGACGCCAGTTTGAGCATCGAGGAGCTTTCAATGGATGGTGTTGATGCTGGTGTTCCAGCGGTTGTTACGCGAGTCGCTGCACCCGGTTTCGAACGCGTCTCTCGGGGGCGCCTCGATGAGAGCCAGAACAAAATCGTTTTCGATCCTATTCATCCGAATCTGCAGTATCAGATGCGTTTTCTCGGGAGAGATTGCACAGTATTAGCACCGCATGCCGTGCCGCTCGGTCAAGCGTTTCTCGTAGAATTCGCGTGGCTTGTTCGACCTGGTCTTCGAAGAAGAATCGTCAGGCAGTATGACTCCGATGGCATGTACGAGGGATCCGTCTTCATCGAGGAAATAAAGCAACCCTAGTTGAATTCGGCATGGCGCGTTACGCGGGCTTGTAACAGCAGACACCAGTCGCGTGCACGAGATGCGCACCAGCTTTTCGGCTGGACGTTTTGACGTACTTGACACGGTTTCAGGTCGTTTTCATCATTCATTTGCTGACGTGACGAGTGAGGGCTTCTCGGACATTGTAGCGGCTCATGGCTCTGGTGCACGGAGCACACGTACCCCGGAGCTCGGCCATGCTGCGTAACTGTGGCCGTTCGCGCGCCGACGCTTCGAGAATCAGGGTACTGCTGCCGACGAAGTTTCTCTGGTTCGGTGCGGATTCGACGAGTGGCGACCTCGGGGACGACACTCGGCCTGCTCAGCTTCATTAGAGACTGTCTTGAACACTTCGCATAGACCTGGAAGTTTTCCACATGGCGAATCACTTTCTACGCAGATACAGAGAAGCTTTTGCGCTGGATCTGGTGTCTCTGGCATGTTGCGGAAACCTTTTGCCGCACTCCACTGTAATTGATTTGGGCGTCCTTCCAAGATGCGTTTTCCGTGGTACCATCATCGGTTCAGGGCCGCAATGCGAACCAGCTGAGAAGCAGGCACGAGAAATCCCTCAATATGCGCGCTGGCATAGCCTGTGTACTGTGCATCGTGCAGCAGCGGCTTTTGGACACAGTTCCAGGGAGCTCCTGCTCGGAGATGATGCTCCCAAACGCACACACTAGAGCTCGCACGAACGGCGCCATGGACAGCAAGACAACCGATCGAATCACGGAGAAATAGGGTTGTTCACGAGGCACACCAACAGTCATTAAAGGGAGTCTTTCATCAAAGGTGGTCGAAACAGATTGTGCGCTGGTGTCCTGTCCTTGTCGTTCCCGCCCGCGCGATGCGACATTGACACCCCTGAGGCGTCCCGCTAGGTATCTAGTGCTTGTCCGCGCTGTATTTGAGATCAAGTTCCTCTCCTTGTGCTGTACAGTCTGAAATCGCGTTATCAGAGACAGTTAGAGATGAAAGTGCAGGAATCGAGCAATGCCGGGGGTCCCATAGCGTAGCTCCGTCCTGGTCATGCCTACGGTTGAGGAGCAGGCATCCAGGCAGCTGCCCTGTTACTTGTCGCATGCTTTATTGGTGTTACGCACGACGGGTGTTGCTACGCCCTCTTCCAACAAACGACATTGCAAGCGTTTCATCGAGTAGACTCCTTGGATATGTGACGCTCCATGGCTGTGTTTCCATTGAACGACATTGCAAGCGTTTCATCGAGTAGACTCCTTGGATACGTGACGCTCCATGGCTGTGTTTCCATTGAACGACATTGCAAGCGTTTCATCGAGTAGACTCCTTGGATATGTGACGCTCCATGGCTGTGTTTCCATTGAACGACATTGCAAGCGTTTCATCGAGTAGACTCCTTGGATACGTGACGCTCCATGGCTGTGTTTCCAAGTGAGCCCGATCGCTAGAAGACTGCAGCGTGAAATGCCAAGCAGGGAGCCGCTCCTGGAGCGCTGGCTCTGGCTAATGTTCGAAAGCAGCTTTCGTCTACTGTTCGGAAGACTGCTTCGACGAGTGCTTGCACTCGCACTCCCACGCAATCGCTCTAAGCGAGTCAGCAGCCCAGAGAGGTGCCGGACCAGGGCCTAGAGCCCGCCTTTACACACGGAAAGAAGCGCTCCTAACAATTTGTTCTAGAAGGTGCTCCATGAGCACGTCGTTCTTCTACACGAAACCCCGGGTTGGCCGCTTTCGCGTTCATACAGGGCTTGAACGAGACTCGCGCCCTTGTACACGCGTAACGCGTCAGCTTCCGAGGAAACTTCTGCTCGATTCCAAGTCCTCACCTCGAGGCGTATGCTAATCACGTGGGTAGTCTCGTTCGATGCGAAGAATCTCAACCGTCTCGTACCGAGAAGCACCGCTACAGAGTCGGTAACACTAGTCCAGTACGGATCCATCCTGAACGCTTTTTACGCGTTGCGCCTGTTATTTTTTTGCTTGAGGGTTTTGGCTCGCAACTACTGTGTTTTCGACACGCTGGCCTGGGGAGCGAAGGTTGTGCTTGGTACCTGCACCCTGCCCGATATACAAGGCGATTGCAGCTGTGCGAGTCCTCGCAGGCGTAGAGTCTCCCGTCCATGCGACGGAAAGCGTGCCTCTACACCTGACTAGGTACTTGCGGGGAGTTTCGGAACAGCGTCGACGCCCGTGGACCCAGGTTAGGCGTCGTTCTGAAAAACCATGATGCGGTATAGTGCTCCGCTGCGGTTGCAGCAAAGCTCGAACACATCCAAGCGTAAGAAAAGCGTGCTAGCGGGTCTGATCACGAGTCACCTCGGCAAACGAGGACTGGCTGTGATGTCGACGCGAAACGTGCTGCTGCTCACCACGGGCTCAGCACTTGCTAACGGATCCGCGGTTCTAGTACAAGCCCTGGACTCAAAAGCAGATACTGACGCCCTCACAGCGTCCTACTCGGCGTTGACGATAGGCGACGAGGCGAAAGCACCTAGCCAGGAGTTCAGCGCGCAACGATCGGTCTCTGTGTTGCTCTGGTTCGACGACAACGTCGCTCCGAATGCCCTGGTTGTAGACCCGGAAACCTATCGGCTCTTGAGCGGTCCCTCGACCGAGCGGGACGCTCCATGCCCGCCGCTAGCACGACTCGCCTACCTGGATGCAGGAGCGAAGCCATCGACATTATCCGTATCGGAACTGGCAGCGATCCCGACCGCTCGAAGCATCTACTGCACGATGGAGGAGACAACGGCAGCGCTGCTGCGACAGCGAGTTGATCCTTCGGTCGACATACGCACCGAGCTCGTGCGACACATACGCTGGAGCGCCGCGGGTCGTCTGCTCTGCCAGGGCGGCTGGCTCGTTGGTGTACCTTTCATGGGCGTTCTCTTGAATATCTGCATTCGGGGCGTGAACATCCGGTTATCCCAGCGAAATGCAGCAATGATTGCGGACAGCGACGCAGCAGGTGTCACTGGGGAGACTCGCGATGGTTTCCAGCTCGACGCGCGTACTCGTATCATGCTGCAGACGGAACCGTTGCGGACGTGCTCTGTGGAGGGCGCTCCAGCGCTACACACAGAGCACGCTTGCATGGAACGGTCTTTGAACGGTAGCGCAGCGCATTCTCTTCCAGAAGCTCGCCTTGAAACAAGTACACACATGTTGTGGGACACACTCCCGGGCAACGCTGAGGCACGAGCAATACTCCTCCGCGCCGCTTTGGATCTCTTTCGTGATGCCGCCCGGGATCACGTATTCCGTATTGAGGGAATACTTTTATGTGGACCCAGCGGGATAGGAAAAACCACCTTAGGACAAGCGCTGGCACGCAAGTTGCCTGCCCACTTGGAACTGCTTCGTTGCGCAACGCTCGCGGGACTCGGAACGCGTCAGATCCGACACCGCTTCGAGGAGGCCATTGAGTTGGCCATCATGGACGCGCCCAGTGTGCTACTTATCGATGACCTTGACGCCCTATTGATGCGTCGAGATGCGTTAGATGCATCCGAAGAGGTCGAACGCACAAACGCGATGCTTCTGCGCTTTTTCATGGACCTCCGCTCACACGAAAAGCGTCTGGATATCCGGTTACCTGATGGATCAGGAGCGGTGCTGGTTGTTGCCACCGTTCGTGAACGCGCCAGTGTGGACCGCGTCCTTGGCTCGAGCGGCTTCTTTGGTCTAGAGGTAGCGCTGCGTATGCCGGATCATTCAGAGAGACTCGAAATCCTCCAGAACCTGACGAGCGGATCGTGTCCGGATGCCTCTGCCGTTCTTCCAGAGGTAGCTGAGCAGACACGAGGCTTCACAGCAGCCGACTTGACGGCGCTCTGGAGGCATGCGTCGTTTGCAGCATGGAGCCGACGCTCGGCAACGAATTCCGATGCAGACGCTGTAGATGCGTCGACCGGTGAAGCGCCGCACCCTAGCTCAGCTGACTGGCGAGAAGCGCTGGTCGTCACTCGACCCAGCTTCGCACCAGACTGGTCGTTGGAACGGCCTGTTACGCGCTGGTCCGATGTTGGTGGCCAAGCGTATGCCAAGCGCGTGCTGCAGGAGACCTTGGCGCTCCTGCAGGGCAGCGCGAAAGCACTGGAGGCACGCGGATTCCGCCTGCCCCGCGCCATCCTGTTGTACGGACCTCCGGGCTGCAGCAAAACGCTGCTCGCTCGTGCTGCCGCCGCTGAGAGTCGTCTACCCATGCTGATGGTCCGAGGCCCGGAACTCTTCAACAAATACGTGGGCGAGAGCGAAAAGGCAGTGCAACGCGTATTCCAACGTGCTCGTGCCGCCGCTCCATCGTTGCTCTTCTTCGACGAAATTGACGCTCTGGCCACGAATCGTTCCCGAGCGGCTTCCGACGGATCCACGGGAGCAGAAGAGCGTGTTCTTGCGCAACTCTTAACGGAACTTGACGGTATTGATCCACTCCGCGATGTTGTGGTGCTCGCGGCAACCAATCGACCGGATCTTTTGGATGAGGCGCTTCTACGACCCGGTCGCTTCGACCGGTTGGTATACGTGGCATTACCGGAAACGGAGGAACGTGAGCATATCCTCGCGATTCATCTGGGGAAAGTGCCTCTCGCTATGTCAATGCAAACCTGTGGTTCAGATGCTTCGACCGCTGCTCCCGCAACATCTCGAGAGAGGCTCTGTGCGGAGCTCGCTGCTCGCACCGAAGGCTACAGTGGTGCCGAACTCGCTGCGCTTGTCCGAGAGGCATGCCTGCTGGCCATGGAGGAGAATCCAGCGAACGCCGACTGCATCCAGCCGTACCATCTGCTGGAGGCGCTGCAGCGTGTTCGCCCGCGAACAGACCCGAACCTGTTGCGTGTATATGAGCGCTTTCAGGCAACACCACGGGGTCAGCGCTCCTTGTCCAGACTGAAAGCATCCAGCAGATAGGCGGAAACGCTCGCGCTGTACACCGTTGCAATCCTGTACCGCTTGCTGGGTCATGGTGGATCCGGCTTGGCGCCGGTATCATGCGCCAGAGGCAGCAACGCTGTGAATCCTATCCTCATTGGTTGCTGCTCCTCCGCATCGGGAGCGTCTGTTCAGATCCAAGGCCCCTAGCACCTCATCGATTGGAAATGCACCGTCCATATATTTATGAGCAAGTTTGCTGTAAGGGCGCTTTCTAGCCTACCGCCGAGAATTCCCGCTAGCCGTCCCTTGGAGCACCGTATCGTAGCGCTCACTACAGACTCGGCAACAGGGAGCAAGGTCAGTGCTCGTGGTAGCGGTTGAAGACGGCTGCGCTGTAGACGCTCGGCGAGCCTGCAGCGGTGGTTGAAGCATCTGCTGTTTAGGGTCGAGCGTGGACGGCCCCGAGTGCTGCTTGTCCTTGTGCAAAATCGCTCTGAACGAAGCGCTATTCGATAAAGATGGCGTTCTCTTTCCATGTATTCACTGGACGGCATCCTCGGGCGTACCATGTACAGATAATCTGGAATGACGCTGGTAGACGGCGTACTGACCTTGTTCCTGCCCGCTCGAATGATGCGCTGCAGACGTGAGCAGGTTTGCGTATGCTCCATGCGCCGTCACCGGATACGTTGCGTGCCCCGGATGACGCTTCGATACAGAGGATGTGGAGCGGGTAGCTACTCGCACCCGAGTGGAGCAAACGTCAAGCAAGCTGGGACGCAAGCTGTTGTCTCTGCGCTTCGCCGTCATGCTTCCGCTACTGGATGCGCTGTGCGCGTGACCTACTGGCATGCGTTGGGCGGTGGTGTTCACACCAGTGGTGCATGCGTTCAGAGAAGCAGCACCCGCACGAATGCGTTGTCACCAGCGGACCCTATCTGAAAGGTACCACGGAAAAGCGTACGAGTACGTTGGTGCGATTTCTGTTGCAAGCATGAGGACGCTTCTGGTGCGTTCCGCACAGCGTGATCTGCGACGCTGCGAGCCGCTATTGGTATTACCGACATGGAGCGCGCGCGCGCTCTCTTTCATTCACTCTCTGGATAGTCCGTGCCATGCCAGTGAACATCTTCACGATCACGTGAAAGCAAGTTGCACCGGCATCTGTGCAAGGTCTCCACGGGTGACGAGAATCGCTGACGCGGTTGTCGCTCGCTTGAATGCAGGATGTCTCGCACCAAACGCATATGTATGATGGCTGCATACAGAGAGCTACCTCTGGACAAGGAGCGCGTTCTCAAGACTGCTCGTCGCTTTCAATGCGCGCAGCCTACAGCGCCAACGACCGTAGATGGATGCCATACTCGGATGGTGCTGCAGAGACTTGAACTGTGAGCACACGTCCTCGAGCTGCGTTTTTGTATCGGACACTCGGTAGCGGCTCTAGTGTAGCGTGTTATTGAATAGCATTTGCTGTCGTGTTCATGCATCAAAGCGAGCTAGTGCACGACCGATCTCGGTACCGTCTGCGCTGGCTTGCAGAAGCAGCGCCACGTGTGCGGCAGGCCCGCACTGTAGTTGCTCCGTTTCTCGAAAGGATCCCTGTTCATCATGATATTGCTGACGGCGGTATGATGGGTGCACGCGATGACCGGAAAGAGGGATGTTGGCGCGAACGCCTGAGGCATCGCGAAGACGCTGCGCTTCGTGAGCAGTCCATTGCACTGTGCACGCTCAAAAGATGCATTTCGCAGTGAGCCAACGCGGCCCCTAAAACTCTATGGCCGCACTCAGTGGTTGCCACTGGCCTGACGCAAGCAACGACGCTGTTTGTCTGTACCGGTGTCACAGAGCGGAGCAGTGACGAGAGGCTATCCGCCGCGCCGTCGATGCAAGGGCGTGCGTTCGATGAGCATACATGAGGCAAAAAAGGGTTTTCTGCTCCCTGTCGAATGTGACGGTGAACGGTGCACCAGCGGTTTCATATTACTGGTGCTACCTTTATCACCGCGAAATGCAGCAAGTCACCTGTAGCATTCAACCGATATAGATTGCATGCAGAGCAGCGCGGCGAAAGCAGGGTTTCTCGCTGGATCCTGCGGTCGCGATGCACTCCTTGCGTGCCCCAAGTCACAGCCCAAGCATTTGGGATCCGTTTTCACCAGGAACGCGCTCTGGTCCCATAGATGCACTCGTTTTTGAAAGTAGATGACCTCATCATCGTCGACACGACGAAACGAAACCGCACACCGGGGTACACGACGTCGAAGGCCCTCGGTGGAGCGCGGAAGGCTCGTCCAGTGCGAGCCTCAACGTCACAGAATAGACTACTCATTGCTGTATAAAGATATATATTTTTGTATTTATCATGCCTGCGGAGGCGCCGCCGTCGGCGACCCGCGTCGACCGCTCCGCCACCCCGCTGGCATCCTCATTCGCATTCATTCCACACGCGACAAGTCGACTGTGCACAGGAGCGGTTCCCGCTTGGACAGGCTCTTCATTACTGTACCGTCATGGATAAGGGGGCTGTGATCATACGCACGCGCAAGTTCATGCGCAACCCGCTCCTCCGTCGGCGGCAGTTTGTTGTGGAAATCCTGCATCCAGGGCGCGCCTGCGTCTCGAAGAACGAGACTGCGGAACGAATAGCCCAGATGTATAACTGTGATCCCCAAAACGTTGTGCTGTTCGGGTTTCGGTACGCTTTTGGAGGCGGTAGAACCACTGGATTTGGGTTGATATACGACGACCTGGACTCGTTGCTCTCCATTGAACCGCGATATCGTCTTGTGCGGAAAGGTCTAGCCAAGGCGCGTGAGGGAAGTCGCAAGCAACGCAAGGAGCGCAAGAACCGAGCGTTACGTGCTCGCGGCAAGGTAAGAGCGAAAATTCTTTATGGATAAGAGCAAAATCAGCAGCAGTAGGTGAGACGCTCACGAGGAACCCTATACGACAGTTGCCGTTCCGCTGGTGACGAACTCAATTTCAGTACACCTCGATCGACATTGTCCGTCAAGGAACATAGAGAGAACGTGCTACCGCTATCGCCTATTGTTTTGACACTGTCAGAGACGAAACCCTGCGTCGTAAAGCTGCACGATAAACTTGCCAGTCATCCCAGCAGCGGCCACCGCTACAAGACCACTCGGAATAAACTTTTTGCTCCGCAAGTATCTACTGAGCATGCTAACAGTGAGCAACGCCGAGAGTACTGTTGCTATAACCGGTTTCTCGGGCTGCATGTTCGCGGCAACCGCGATGCCGGTGCCAAAGCCCACGCCCGCTACCAGCGACGGTGTCGAGCGCTTCCGTACGTAGCCCGCGACGCCTGCGAGTGCCACCGCTATACCAAAACCTGTCGCGGGTTTATCGATTGCATCCCAGTCGAAGCGGTTGACCATCCTGACCCCAGTGAATAGTCTCTGGTTTGTCCCCAGGGAAAGCAGAGCGTGCCGGAAGCGTTCCCAAGAAGTAACGGCACCTGCGCACCGCTACACTGTCTGTCTGTCTGCAGTAGCGACGCCCTGAGCGCCTGCCGTGGACGCCCGGCACACGACAGCCGGAACGAGTACGCCGCTCACAGGGCGAGTCCACGCCTTGTGCGTAAATGTTTGGTTACATCTAGATCCACTGCGAGGAAGCGTTTCCAATCATGGGAAGAAAACGTGTGAAGCGTTCACAGCTTTCTGGCGGTCATGGCGCTGGGTCCGACGATGCGCTGGTACAGCGTCAGCTCCGGGTCGAGGGCACTGCCGGTGTTCTCAAGTTCCAGAGCAGCGATGCACAGTACGCGCTGGCCTCCTGGTGGCTTACACAGTGGAAACAGGTCACGCGTAGCAAGCTGGACGCAAAAGGAGGTAACGCGCGAGACTCGATTCTAGAAAAACTGTGCAAACTGGCAAACGCGGAGCACCTGTGGGAGCAGCCACCGCTCGAGACGTCCGTCAGTGCCGCGGACTGGGGTTCGCTCTTTTCCCAGATGAAGAACGATCCAAAATACTTTTCCTCAAGCGTGTATACGGCGCTAAGTATGTGGATGCAGCGAGCAATGACGCGAACAAAGGCGGCCGATTCGAGCGAGCTTGCGACGCTCGTCGAGACACTGACTTGTTGGGCGACCTGCGACGCACGCGCTCTGGTTCCTCTGCTTGCGTACTTTGCAGGCACCGCAGTGGATGCTACTGACGACCGGCTCCAGCATGAGCTACGTGAACGCAGTTGGTCGATCCTAACAGCGGACACGTCGAGCATGGCCGAGCGACTCCTTGCCACCGAGGCCCTGAGCATGCTCGCCATCGCGGATCCCAGTGCCTTGTTGTACAGGGCGTTGGATGCTCTTCATGAACTGGAGGAGCGTGCCCTGAGTCGGTGCTCTGAAACCCCCGAAGCGCCCAGACATGACACAGATGATGCCGAGGCGGCGTTCACAGTCGCGATCATGCTCAGGGACAGGCATCGCGCCCTGAGCAGGTTGGTCGCCCAGCTGCTTCGGCACTGGCATCGACTATCCGAGGCACCGTTGCACCTGCCCGCACGGCACCTGTCCTTCAGGGCTATCAGCGAGGATAGCATCAACGTTTACAATGACGTCAATGGTGCGCTGCCGCTGCCACTGGAGCTATGGCTGCATGTACGCCCAGCATGGCATCAGGATATCCTCCTGATCTGGGAGGCATCCTTGGAAAGGTTCGGCGTTGCAACGCTTCCCGTGGTAACCAAGTGGCTCACCGACGCGGTGCGCTGTTGCCCAGGGAGCTCCGCATTGCACCGCCTGCTTTACCAGGCGTGTTGCCGAGTCGGGATCGCTGCAGCACCGTCTGTGGAACGCTACTTGGTGACGTATGTGGCAAAGCGTCTTACGAATCTGAATGAGAGCGCAAGCTCCCAGACGAGCTGGTGCAAGCTCATCATCGCCGTTTATCGATCCCCAGCAGCGTGTGCGATGCTATCGTCGGGTATCACGCAGGCGTTGGCAGAGGCGCTTCGCGTTCTCCTTTCCCAGAATGACGTCGCTTTTAGGGAGCAGAAGACCTGGGCGGCACGAGCACTTGTCGTGATGGCGGGTACAGCGCGGGATGCACACGCGCTGGAATGGGTTGCCCGCCGCATCCAGCGCGATAGAGCGTTGCGGCACGAGGCAGGGGCGCTTTTCGAGGCGCTCTCGCATCCACGCGGCTTTCCGCTCGAGTCGTTTGCAACACAGTCGATTTTACTCGATGCAAAGCACCAGAACGGGGAGCAAGAGGCTAAGCGGAGACCCGCTCACGGGCTGCGTTCCACTCCGGCGCTGCCTGCAAGTCGCGGCGGGGCGCATACCGACGAGCCGGACTGGCGTTTGCAGGTCCCGGGCCAGTCGGACTCGGTGCGTACCCGGCCAACCGCGGATGCCGCTCTAGCGTCAGACCAGAGCAGCGACCTGAAGGCGGCGGCATTGCTCGATGCGACTCCGTCGTCCGCACAAGGCGAGAATCCTCTGCACCCGGAGACGCTTTTCGCGAGCGTGCGCCAGCCGACCCGAACAGAGGTACCAGCGGTGCAGGTATCATGTGCGGTAGACGAGAATTTGTATGATCAGGGGAGCATGGCGTTGTGCGGCAGCGAGCCGCTGAGGTCAACGTCGGATACACTGGAGGACCACGATGGTGCGAGCGACAGCGCTTCGGCGTCGTCGATCGAAGCGCTCGTTCAGCGGGTTGTGGATGCAAGCCCGTCACCCAGCCCTAGCTCAGAGCAATGGAGCAGTGACGACGATTCCGAGGCATCCTCCTGTTCCTGAGGAGGAGCCTGCAACACTACATCCATGAACCGGATCGACAACGCCGTGTGTTTATCAGCAGCACTGCATGCAGCAAGCGGATGTGTGCTCCGCATTCAAGGTGCTGCGAGGACGCTTGTTTTCTCACGGAAATGCCGGACGCTCCATGCGTATGGACCCTGATATCGACGCACTTGATCTGTGGTTAGATGTATCCAGAACTAAGCGTCTCCGGATGTTGCTTCATGTCGCACAGGCAATTGTCCGTTGGTGCATCCAGTCCGGAATCCGTTGATCCCTGTCGCTGATATGAGAAGAGGCATCGCGGATGTGTTTCGGAATCCGGTACGGTCGTCTGGAATCATCATCAGCTGCAACAGATAGACCCAGAGGTGCATCGTGCAGGACGGTACCTGGATCGCTTCCAGAGCCTACGACACGCCGTCGACGCGAACTCGTTGCGCTGATATCCGCAAGCGTTTCGAGACCGTTCTCGATGACCTCAAGTGCGATGGTGACGACGACAGCTCGTACACCCCCCGAAGGAACACCATCCAACGCGCACAAGCTCGACACTGACCGTGATCACTGTGCACCGAGACCATATTCAGACACAAGCTCGGCGCGTATCGTATCGACTGCATTGATATGAACCGGACCATGCATCATCGTCGTGATTCGCATCGTGAGGCAGAGGTCCGCTCCTGAGCGTCCCATCGTCCAGAAGATGGTGCACTAGGCGCTCGACGATGACGCAGGAGTCGCGCATCCGCAGCGGCGACTCCCTGGTCCTCGCTGCATCTTCATCGTATGTGTGTGTTTGTGTTTGCGTGAGCAGCACAGCTGATGCCAGCGGTGTTCTGTGCGTCCGACGCACTGCCCAGCATCCGACACGTTACGAGAAGTGGGTACGCTCATCGTGTCATGTCGCCAGTAGGTGTGCCGTTGCTTGGACTCTTTCTCAGACGCCTGGGGAAATGTTTCGTTCATCGTGAAAACGGGACAAGATATGGCACTGCTTCGCATGCAGCCAAGGCAGCCGCGGATATGGCCGCAGCAATGCATGAGTCGCTCGTGCCTGTCGGTTGCTTCCGCACAGCGACTCGCGAGGTGCTGCTACCACAATGACGTTGACGCTGATGATGACTCGAAGAAAGGCACATGGGAACGATCCCTCGGGCGTTGATCTCATTTCGGTCTGGACACGTTCGGGGTGCTCGGAGGATCGTTCGGAAGTGACGCTTTCTGTGGGATACGCGGACGCCAGCGACAACGGCAGCAAGAGTCGCACGCTGGAGGCGGCCGCCTCTTGATGATAGCATCCCCTGTGCCGTGTCCTTCTAGGAAAACGAAACGCACATGCGATATCACGACCCCGTTACACTCATTGGAAACTCTAGTGGAACGGATGCACAAATCTCGGTCGTGGACACCAAAGTCTTCTTTTCATTCCATTGTCGTCAAAACGGACGTTTGTAGGCTCTTTCTGTGACATGGTTCGCTTCCCCTCATGTATCGAAGGCTTTCATCACATATCGATCCCGCATTTGCGTCAAGCGCCGGTGTCAGTAGTCGAAGCAAGTTCACGGCAGCGTCCGAGTCTCGATGACGCTGCTTTCAGTTGGAGCCGACGCCTTTCATGCACAGGCGGTCGTTACGACCTACGCTTCTCTCGCGCTTCTCATCTTCTTTGCTTGGAGCCTCTTTGCGCCCGTTGGAGCGTCGATACTCGACAGTGATCAAATGTTTCTGGTTTCCACCAGATAACCTCCAGCGGGTGTCGTGCTGCGGTGCATGAACGCTTGCGTCAGTGCTCGGCATACGCCTTTGACTGGTACCGGTGGCTACCCTGGTTGTCCTTTTCCGGTCCCGCGTCCGATGGTCTGCCGTACGATTACGGGCTTCTCCTGGTCGATGCGCTTGTCGCGTACGCTCTCTGCTGTACGAGCAGCTGCAAGATATTCCATCCAATTCGGAATTAGTGGAACGCAGTGTTATCCATGGTCGAGTGAGCACCGAAATGAAAATCCAGCAAGGAGAACAAGTCGAGAAATATCGATCCTCGTACGCGCCCTTGTTGCAAAGCAGTGACAGACACTCCACTAGACGCGATTCCTGCAAGTTCGCAAGTTCGAGTCCAAGATTCTTCTCCCATTCAAGTTCATGGAACGGAATCCTCTGGGAGCATATCTCGTGAGAGGTATGATACTGGCGTGGAATCGCACTTCGACGATTGCGAAAAACGCGAGCAGGATATGTACCCCAAACAGCATTGATGTTTGTTCCATGTGTCCAATGAAGCGATCATTCGGCAGCTGCTCTTGAAAACGTCGTCGATGGACGACGTTGCGAATTTTCCATCTTTAATCCAGGAACGTGAACCAGTAAGCCCAAGCGTTTCTTGGAAACGCCAGTATCGAAAGTTTTGAAGCAGGCACAACACAGGCATGCCGCACGTCAACGACGGAGACCATTGGCGGCTTATGTGTCATATTTTAGACAACCATATGCGTTCTTTTACGGACTCCTGATGGAAAACGTCACGAAACATCTTGGTTCCGGTGACGTCAAGAACACCAGCAGCAAAGCGTCGAAGGTGCCACTCCAGAAAAACAAAGCCACCGAGAATCCAAAACCAACATACGCATCCGAAAGCCCTCTGTTGCGGTACTTCAGTTCACGGCGCTGTTCATCTAAGGAGCTGTGCGGAAACGCAATGGAATAACAGGAAAAGAGCGCGCAGTTCAGTGCTCCACTTTAAACTGAAAAGTTTTCAAGCACGTTACCTGCCCGACATACATACACACATACATAAACATACAGCTTCGTCTCTGAAGCGTCTTGATAGCCACGACGACAGCGTCTCCTCGAAGTGCGGCATGCAACCCGGATGTATCGCCTCGCAGGGCGTCTGAGTGATCCAACGACAAAGCGATGCCGAATGGCTTCACGAGACGCTGGCTCGTACAGTGTTCAATAGCTTCTCGAACAGGTGCACTGAACGCTGCCCTGGCTGTTGACAACACTTGAACGCATCCGAAGGCGTCTGGTGAAGTGCACTGAGCGGAACCGGTACGGAACGCTCCGCAGGGGCCCTGACCTGAGCCCTGCCCTCGAGTTACCTGTTCTTGTGAGGAGCACCCAAGGACGCGAACGTCTGCCTCGAAGCTACCGAGGCGCTGTACTCTGGAACGTACGCTAGAAGGAGCCGGGACACCAGATTCACAAGTTTTTGGTTCGGTTTCCCAGGACGGTACACCGCTACGACTAGCCGGCTCTCTGGCTGTGCTGTGATGCTGGGGTTTTGCGCCGGTTGGGCACGTCCCCGAAGCACACATCGACGACGCTCTTTACCTTCGGACGCATGGGCGCTGACCCCTGACCCGTTGGCTCGACAACAGCAACGCACTTCATATGCGGAAAGGAGCGCCGCCAAGCGTGGATGCACCCGGTGGTTGCGAGCGGCGCAAGCTGGGGATCCTGCAGCCTGCCCGGCGACGTCGACCTCGTTGCAGGCAAGTACGAAGCTGATCCACACCGCTGGGGTAGAGCGAGTGTACCTCGTCCGCTGCAGCCGCGTTTGGGTCCCGCCAGCGTGCCGGACGCGTGCTGCTGGGCTGCATCTTGCTATGCAGCCGGTGGCAGCGTCGCCTCCCTCTGGACAAGTAACAGGGGTGACTCGCTGGGAGCCGAACGTGCTCCTCTCAGCGGTCTTCCTGGGAGCACTCGTCATGAATATGGGTCTTTGGGTATGGAAGAGGCTTTCTTTGAGGCCTACCCGCACTGATGACGTCGTATCTGGCCAGGATACTGAACCGGCATTGGATCCCGACTACGCAGACCAGCAGCGTGCAGGTACGCGGCCAGCAGGCCTCAAGACCAGAGTCCGACAACCAGCTGAACTGGACCAGGTCTCTGGGCCAGCGGCAAGTACAGACACGCCCAGTGCAGACGACAGCGAGCGTGTCGGGCTCGGTGAGACGCTGCGTCAGCTCAACAAACGTTTACGAGAGCTCGAAACGCGGCTTGCAGAGCAACAAAAGAGCAACCAAGCGCTCGAGCGCCAGAGTCGAGAGCTCGAGCAGCGGTATCGTGCAGAGAAAGCACGAAGGCAAGCTCTACGGAAAGAGCTTGCACAAATCGAAACAGCCTATCAACAATTGGAGAAAAGACATGAGGAGCAGATGGCTGCCCTGCGATCCAAAGCAGAGGCACAACTACAGGGTCTGAGGCGTACAGCCGAGAAGCGTTTGACGACGCTGCAGACGCAGCTTGAGGAGAGCATGGTGCAGGCAAAGAAATGGCAGAATCGGGCACAGGTGCTTTCGGCTCAGCTGGCATCACTTTCGGCGGATATGGAGTCGTTATCGGAACGCGAACAGGAGCTTCGGGGCCAGCATTCGGAAAAGTCACAGCGATACGCTGCGCTTCTGCGTGCATGGAAGCAGCTGCGTACAGACTACGAGGAGCTTCAGTCCAAACTGGACGCACGAACAGGGATGCTAGACGCCGAGTCCGAGGAGCGCGCCCGACTCGAACGACAGAATGCGCAGCTTCGCCAGCAGATCCAGGCGTGGATAGAGCATCACCGGGCATCCATTCCGTTCCCGGATGGTGCACCGAATGACGCTGGATCATCAGCAGCAGCAGCAGCAGCAGCAGCAGCAGCAGCAGCAGCAGCCCCTGCGACAAGTGCTACGAAACCGGAGAAGGGGCCCTCGGAGTCGGTAGCGTCCGAGACGCCACCTGCCAGCCCCGATGCGTCGTCGAGGATCCCGAGGCATCCGGGATTCTCTGGGCCTGCAACGAGCCGCAAAAGGCGAATCCGCGTCGATGCAGTCGATCACGTGCTCGAAGTGGGTTTCTTTCGGCAGGAGTTTAACGCTCCTGATACGACATCGTCAGCCGTCCATCCAGACAAGGCGCATTCGAATGAAGGCGTATCTGAGACCACACCACAAACGATGGCAACGAGGCCCGCCGAGCCCCATCCACCTACCAGTTCGATGCGAGCAAGTGTTTCCGTCAGCGCAGCAGCAGAAGAAGCAGCAGAAGAGACACGGGATGCGCGACCGCTCGAGGATACGGCTAGCGAGCAAGCGAGTGGCGTCGAGAAGCAGGCCGCCGATTGAATGGACCCTGACGACCTGTGATGCCGGGCAATGGCACCATCACCGATTTGCTGGATGAAGCGTACTACGAGCGGCAACAGATCACGCGCTTGCTCACAACCCCGTTAAACAGCGTACCTGGAGACCGCAACGATGGTGCCGAGAGCGTCACCAAAGTGGCTTGGTGCAACCGCCGGTCCATCTGGGCCACATGCCTAGAACCCGAGCATTGCAACACTGGCCTGGCGCTTGCAACAGACGGACACTCAGGCAAGGAGGCGGGTTCACGGCACTAGAGAAAAACCGGGAGCAGACATGACGCTCTCGGACGATCGATGTGATTCACGAGCGAATTGATTCGCAGTTGCGTCGTGCCTGGGATACGCAAAAGGCGGCGGACACAACAATGTACAGGTGCTCAATACTGCTTATCCCATTTGATCGAGAGCGAGCGCTTCGATCAAATGCGACTGTCCCCGGCTACTGGCATCCAAATGGCTGCTATCCGGCATCAACGTTCGCCATGCGCGGGTCCGTAATACGTGTCGGCGGCTGGGCGTTGCTTTCGCGGATCGTCGTGGTGTCAGGTCGTCACGCTCGCGCTCTTCCATGTCGCGCGTTCGTGATCTGGGCAGTCGTAACAATCGACGCAGGGATGTCGAGTCAACAAGATCCACAAAAACGTCTGCACATCGATTTCCAAATACCAGACCGTCTAGAATGTAGTCCCATTCGGTAGGGCGGAGCGCGCGCTGAAGTGCCCCCTGCATCTGCGACCATTGCAATGCATTATCGAGCAATATGGTATTCGGGACGCTGTGTCCTACCAGGTCTGCGGGTTGCAAAGCTCGTTGCGGAGCCTCATGCCCAGGTTCGCTATCGACAGGTGTGCTCGTTGCCGCGAACCACAGCGCGTCGGAAGCATCGTTTGCACAAACCGATCCTGGTTGCAGCTGGATATCTGTGGAGGTTGCTGGATATGCTTCTTCTTCTTCTTCTGCTCCTTCTTCTTCAGCCGCTGCTGCTGGAATTGTTGTTGTTGTTGTTATTGTTCGCGGTGGTAGTGGTGTTCGTTCCAGCGCAGCCTGCGCATCCTGTTGCCCTCGAGAGCGCCCTGGCTGGTCAAACGGAGCTGATGCTGATGATGTGGCGATCAGGGCTGCTGCCCCTGGGCCCGGGACTGTACTGCTAGCAGAAGCACCAGGCATTCTGGGTTCGGTCGCAGTCGCGCTAGAGGAGGGCGATCCTTCGACAACAGCAGTCGTGGCGGCAGCAGCAGTCGTCGCACAAGTGATCATGCTGCTGGCATTCCACGACGACGTGTCCCCGGGTGTCGGTACACGGGACGGTCCTGGACCGGGCCGCGAACTCGCCACGCGAGCAGTGCCGTTCATCGATGCTGCGTCTATGTACCGTAGACGTAAATAGGGATGTCGGGTGATACGTCGACCGCCCCAAAGCCAGTACGGCAGCTCTGAGGGCAGGGTGATCTCGGCTTTAAAGCTCTCGACGTACTGGGACTCACTGAGCCGGATCTCGCTGCCCTTCACGTATCGACAAAACTCTGAAAATATGACAGAGAGGTTCCAGTTCTGTAGTCTTCGCAAACACATAATAACGAGACCGGTATTATGCCCTCCGTCACGACAATGGATAAAAAGCGGTTGGTTTCTCTGATCCAGCAGACAGAAGAGAATCGACGCTATCGTGCTTGGCGCAAGCGTTGGCACATCCTCGAACTTGTCCGCGTGCCAGTGCCACAGGCGAATTTTTTCGTTTTGGCAAAACTCGCGCAGGTCTTTCGTCGGTGCGTCGGCTGAGAGCGTTACGATCGACCGAAGTTGCAGACGGCGCAAGAAACGCCAGTTCTTCAGCGTGGGGTACGCGCCACGGTAGAGGCCGTCCTCCACGCACCCGAACCGGAACGGTGTGACCAGGGCGGGAAGCTCCCACTCCTGCATTAGTGAGGTTGTGTACGAAGCGAACCGCTGGAGTACGCAGTTACGCCCAAACTTGACCGGAGCCTCTGGCCCGCTTGCCCTGCTCTTATCCCGGTTCGCAGAAGCGTTCTCGCGTGCACAGCGTTGCCACCACGTGGAGAATAGGAAACCGGAACGCTGAACAACTGGCTATGCGCTGCCTCGGGATTTGTTTTGCGAACTTGTTTTCCATGCAGAGTTTTGATATTCACAGTGAAGCTATAAGCGTTGACAGACTCATGCGTGGTTTGTGGATTCTCGGACGTCTTTTCGGAGTGGTTCATTCGACGGTTTGCTGTTGGAACGTGTGATGTCAACGGAATCAAGATGACTCGGTACGCTCTCGAGCACGGGTGCATGAGATAAGTGATTTGATTAAGCTGTTCATACTTGCAAGCCTCTATGATTCTCATTTCCCTCCGTATACCATGCTCAAATGCCGCATGCTTCAATTGTTTGGAACAGTTCGTTTTGAGGCTGCTCGTAGGGCAGCTATCTGTGCGGACGCACTGACGAGAAAAACTTCAGCGTCGTCATATGCGGAATCCTCCACAAGTTCAAGGAAAACGTTCTTCGAGACGAGCACGTCAAATCATCGATCTCGTTCGGAAAGACAAACCTTCATCTCTTTGCGGCCATCAATGAGATGGACATCGACACCCGGCTGATTCCCCTCATGGGATATGCGTCAAGACGCCCCCGTCGCTTCTTTTTTGCACGGCAGAGCGCCTTGAACTCCGAATGCAGTCACCACAGCCATCGCTTCCGATGTCGAGTTCGGTACCGTGTTGCACGAAGCGAGCATGCGAGGATCGAAAATGCTCCGCATGATTTCCGATGTTGATTCTTATTCGGTTACTCGTTTCATCATGGACGACATCGTGTTCTAGAAATCCTGTATCGAATGGACCAGCGTTCGCTACCCTCTGCAGCAGATAGAACAGGCTCAAAAGGGATCGCCCAGAAGAAAGCACGCGATCGAGGGATATCGTAAGGGGTACGGCATTGGGGAGGCGCTTCGAGGAGAGGCCCCACGGACGTGTTTCAAGAGCATGCATCAAGCGATGATATGAGTCTTCATGCGCCACAGGGCAGCGCCCGACGGTGGAGCTGTTGTTGAGCTTTCGGAAATACTGTCTATAGCAAAGTGTAACCGCTGCGGGGAGTGCACTGCAGAAGTAGGCAAAGGCGTAGAAAACGGCAAGCAAAGCGTAGCTCGCGACGAACTTCGGTACCTGAAAAATGTCGACAACAGCTGGAAGCTGCAAAATCGCGATGTTTCTGCTTCCATCAATACCTTTTGACTCCAAGCAATAGAGCTGAAGGGAAAGAAGAGCCCGGCGTGTTTCATGCCAAAGCTCAACGGGAGAGGAAAACAATGCAGTTGAAGAAAAATCCGCCAGAAGCTAGTGTCGATGACAGTGGACAGTGATACAAACTTCAGCATGGACGCCCGAGTTGGCTGCGTGCGCCTTGCCCATTTCATTCGAACATGAGTATAACGCATCCGGCATTCTACAGCAGCGATGACACCACATGGACAGGGACGAAGGATCTGGGCCCTAGACGATCCGCAGCGTTGCACGACGTGCGCACCTTGCGTATCCAGCCCGCTTCCCCGGATGCCTCCATGAAAACCATCATCGGGTATGTACCATGCATGGCGATGATGCGTTATTCAGTGAGAGGGAAATGCAAGCCTGCACGCCTTGCCCGAACGCCTCTATGAAAACCATCATCGGGTATGTACCATGCATGGCAACGATGCGTTTATCAAAGAACCCGGGCTCGCGTGCTGCCTCGCAGCTGGTACGCCATTTGCGTCGGACGCGCTCCAGTGCGTGGATCCGACTCGAGCGTGCGACAGTCAAGTTGCTTCATGGAGGCAGCTGTGGTGTCTGTTTAGGTAACCAGCGATCATCATCATTTTGCGCATTGGATTCTTTGGGATTCGCGTGAGCAAACCTATCACGGACGCATTAGAGAAGCAGAGGAAACACCTGATCTCTCGAAAGCGGACACCTGCCAGGGTACACGACAGAGCCCTTCTGTACTGATTCAACAGCCAGGGCTGCGCATTCAGCGCGATAGCTAACCCATGCACTCGACTCGAAATCGTCAAGTTTCCAGCAAGTACGGCGTTTCTCTATTGACACTGCATGCATCCTATTCTAGATGTTGTTGAACGCGACGGCTTCGTAACATCTACTGCGCTTTCATCCCTACCAACAAGTACAAGTGCCAGATCCACAGCCGGATCGCCAGAAGTATCGATCTCGTCCCGGAAAAAAGGACTTGGAGCCCGCATTGCCAGTCGCCCGCATCTCTAGGGCCGTTTGATGCACGCCGCAGCGGCACTGCGTCCATTGCTGGTGCAGCGCCAGCGCGGTACCCTCGGCGATGTCCGCTTTGTCCAGACCTAGGATCGATTTCGAGAGCGTGCCTCGCCTGCGTTCGACGCGAGGGCGTACACGTGTCCCATTTTCTCCTCCGACGGTTCCACGTTGTAGGCCTACCCGCGATCGCCGGCCATTCTTTTCTTTGCAGATTGGTGCACTTACCCAAATAAGGCAGTTCGGAGCGGGCATAGTTCTCCGCTCTATCTCTACTGCCAAGTCCGACACTTTTGGGGTTATCGGTGCAACAAGGCAGGTCTCGGTGTGAAACAAAACTGGCTTGGGCGCTAGCTGCCGGAACAAACCGCCTCGTACAGCATACCGTGCCTCAGGGCGAATACCCCTGGGAGCGGTGCTGAACATCGTAAAGTGCGTTCCAGATAACAAAGACTGTTCAGGGGGGTTTTGGTATCTGATTGAACTTATTGCGAAAGCCTTTGACTCCATTGTTTTATTGGTTTGACATGTACGGATCAGGTGCTGGAGCCTTTGCGGGGCAGGAGCAGTTCGCCGCGCACGCAAGTCGACGGACCTCGTTGGAGATGCCGTTGCAGGAGCGGGCCACGCACGCGGCCCCTCGAGGTGAACTCGAAGCTGTCGGTCAGAGCGCTGCATCGCAGGCGAGTCCGAGCGACGCTGCGTCGCCCGCGGAGCGTCCCAAGCCCGCTTCCTCTGCGAGTGCTTGCTCACACGCGAGCGTGCCGCTCTGGGAGAAGCGGTCGTTACCTGGATTCCGCATCGACACGACACCCGTGGTCCATACGAACGGAAAGGATTCGGGTTTTGGAATTCGCTCGGGCAGTACGCTGTCGTTAGCTTCGCGCTCAGATGCGCCTGGCGACGCGGTGCATATACCTTCTCGCAGGGGTACCCTGAGTAACCTGAGCAGAGCGAACCTAAGCGAGCAGCCCTTTGCTATCTCGCCGACGAAGAAAGAGCTGAGATCGCCCGGTGCGCTCGAGCCGAATATCGGACGCGGCTGCAGCAGCTGCCGACCCGCACACACAGGAAACCGGACTCCCGGCTGGGGCGCGCAGTCGCGCACATCTACGCACGAGACACGTCCAGAAGCGCACCCATGGACAACACCAACAGCAGCAGCAACAGCAGCAGCAGCAGCACATCCACCACGGACGCCTGCAAGTGCACCGCCCATTGGCGCCCACGCAGTCAACGACCTGTACAAAACAGAACTGTGTCGGTCGTGGATAGAGACTGGCGCCTGTCGCTACGGGAGCAAGTGTCAGTTTGCGCACGGACAGGAGGAATTGCGCCCGCTACCCCGCCATCCGAAATACAAGACCAAAGTGTGCAAAAACTTTGCGGAAAATGGAAGTTGTCCCTACGGGAGCAGGTGCCGCTTTATTCACGAACGTACCCGAACGGGAAGCTTTGAGGGTCTCGAGCCCGAGCTCCTAGCTGTCGTGACGGCTGGCTCCAGCGCGACACCACGCAAACTGCCCATCTTCGAGCAGCTCCACCACAGCATCGAAATCGATACCGCCCGCCCGCTTGGCGCCAGACCTGCGACACCCAGTCGCGAGTGTGTCTCGCCGGAGCGCCAGCGAGACCGCTTTTTCGGAACATTCGTTGCTGAGCCGCCTTCGCCTCCGTCGCCTGTGCTGTCGTCGCCTGTGCTGTCGTCGTCGCTGCCGCCTAACTGCAGCAGCAGCAGCAGCAGCAGCAGCAGCAAGGCAGCCGCCGTAAGTGCACAGACGACAAACGCCCTCGCGAACTCGTGGCCCGAAAATCCTTTGCTGCCGTCGCCAGGTTCGGGCGCCTGCCTGTCGCTGCCTCCGTCGGCACCGGAAGCGACGGGAAAGCGGTCTGAGCCCAGCGATCGATCACAGCTGTCGCCAGCGCGAAGCGTGGAAACACCGAATTCGAGGCCGCTGGATGCAACCGCAATATCGTATTGGAATTGGTGGAGTGCGGAGCACTCGCCAGTGAGCAGGCACGCACTCGAAGCCGCCAAGGTGCTTCCCATGGACGCATTACCGCTATCCGTGAAGCAAGAGCGCGTCATGACCTGGCACAGTATGGAGGAGAGTCTCAGCCCAATAACGCCGGCAAATATCGTCGCGGGTGCTGCCGCTGAGGAGCTCCCCAAATCCGTGTCCACCACCTGGGGTAGTGCTCGGAGTCTGTGGACGGCATTCAGTGCGGCCTCGATGCCGCTTTCCGCGACGCCATCGACCCCGTCGCCATCTTCCTCCTCTTCGTCTGCGTGTCTTTCGGCATTGTCTTCGACAGCGACGCTGAGCCTGAAAGCGGAAAGCGGCGGCGTTGCCGACTCGAAAGAGCGGTGCACGGCGGGGAGCCAGGACCAGGGCCAGGGCCAGGCCTTGACGCCTGTCGCCGGTCAGAATACCTGTCACGGAAAAGACGCCTTTACATGGATTCATTGACGGTTCGCGCTATGTCAGACGTCTGGAAACTCAAACACAACATCCTTGCCCGTAAGCTTCTTGTAAACGATGGCATACGTGTCGATACGATGCTCGACCTGGTTGCGCTCGTTGGGGTCCAGGTGCACCCGCAACAGGCGCGTCTGGTCCGTACGGTACAGAATCCGTTTCCCGACAATATCCGTGGGGTACACGACGTCTTCGAGGTATGCCTCATGGACAGCTGTGAGCGTGCGTGAGTGTGGACGTTTCTGTTTCAAGAGCCGGCGCCCGTTCCGCTCCCTAGGCAGAATGCGTCGTTTCCCGATGATCACGACCTGCTTCCCACTGAACTTTTTCTCTAGTTCTCGTACAAGTCTCGTGTGCACTCGGTGGTACTTGGACAGGAGACGGTACGGAACAACAAGCAAAATGGCGCGACGTCCACCACCACCTACATCGATTTCCACGGCGCTATGAAACACGAGCTCGCGCAGGTCCGCGCGCCACTCCGCCGACCCCGACTCGAGATCGTACATCGCTTGTGCCACTTGCTCCTCAATCGGGCTTATGCGCTCTTTCGTTTGTTTCACAATCCTTCTCATGATAACGCCCGAGTCGCTGGGAACGGTCTCCATCGTTTCGGAGAGTACTGGTCAGCGTCTGCACGCGTATGTTTCCGCAAAAGCGCAGCCCAGTGCTCGCCAGGGGTCGCAGCGGCAGGGACGGGCCGGGCGCGGCGGCGACGGCGGCGATCGCGGCGATCGCCACCACATCATTACGCTTTATATATCAATTTACGAGAGCAAATCCCAAGACGTACGGGACCCAAGGATCGAAACCTCGTCTCGCTAGGAGCGGATGCGGCCTTCGGCGGCGGCGGCGGCGGCAACGATACACCACCGTCAGAGGCAGGCACCGTCTCAAAAGCGAGATGGCGCAGCGGAAGCGTGATGGGCTCATAACCCATAGGTCCGACCGAACGCTCTTTTGCCACTCGCCTCGCTCCAGAATACATCGCTTCCCCATATCTGCCCTAGCGTCGACGCATCTCGGGGGCGTTTCCCATGTACAGGACCATGGGCACCGTCCAGGCGAGATCGACTGCAGCACCACACCAGGCAGGAGACGTCGTGCGACGTTCCCCGAGATGCCGCGCACCAAGCACCGCTTCGGGATTCAGGCGCAGCAAGCCTGGGCGTGCATCGACCACACCGATCGATGCTGCCGGAGACCGTCGGGCATCCCCGATAAGCACTCGAACCCGGCGCACGAAACGGACAATCAGTGAAGCTATGCGCGTTCATCCGCAACTGCGCACCGATGACGGTGTTCACGAAGCGTCGCACAGCGGGTGCCAGCGCCATATATTCCCATTGCTGCCGCCGAGCAGCGCATCATCCACGGCCGGTATCTGCGTACCAGACGGCATCGTCGGGAGCGCCCGCGGCTTCAGCGCTTTTGGGCGACGGCAGCACACATGCGCACAGCGACACAGTACGCATCCCATGCGTCTACCTGGATGTGATCGGATGCACCTGTGCCGCTGATGCCCAGCGAAGCGATCTCACGTGCTCTACATGCATGGGAACGTTGGGCTAGTTTCTGCTCTGCATTTCCCAGATGCGAATGAGGCTTGAAGAATCGAGCGGGTCTGCAGGTGCCGAGCCTCACATGAGCGGTCACTGCAACGCATGCCATGTCGCCACAGTCGCGCAACAGAGACAGGCCGAGCGCACCGCACACCCCTGCATGGGCATGGGTTCAAAGCGCGTCTGCTGAGGGGCACGCTGTTGCGGCTGCTGGGGCTTCTCTACCTCGCCCGGCAACCGGGGCATGCCAAGTGCGCGCCCTGACGACACACCCGGTCCGAAGTACCCGCGATAGCGATGCAAGCGCACGCTGATTCTCGAGAACAAATACGCATCATCGTTCGGCGTTGATGGGCGCGAAAACCTCCACCATTCCGCTGGCTGCCGCAGCGGCAGACTGTAAGCGCGGATTCGTAACCAGCACCCGGGCCTTGTCATTGCCGTGGTCGATCTAGACACGCGAGGAGCACAACCCGACCAGGAGCGAGTACGGAGCAGGCAGTGCTGTTGCGTTTATCGCTCGCGAAACGAGTATTGCTGTGGAAGACGCAAATGCGCTCGAAGCGCGCCGCTGTTGCAAACACCTACACATCAATACACAAATATGCTGAAGGAAGCTTCGCAGGAAAGCTGCTTTTTAACGACGCGCACCACGCGGTATGCATATCTCGTCGAAAAAAAGCGCCCGATATGAATGTACCAATCCGCTCATCAGGCCTGAATAACCATGAACTTTACACGGGGATACGGCTGCACCGATTCATCGTCCTAAACCGCTACTCCCGTTTCGTCGAGAACGCACCCAGTGCTGGTCGGCTCGCTGGTGTCGCCAGTGTCACCGGTGACGTCCGCTGATGTCCATCCGCAGTATGATCATAGTCAGCAGGAGCAGCAGCAGCAGCAGCAGCAGCAGCAGCAGTAGCAGTAGTAGTAGTCGAATGTTGCAGCGACGCGTAAAACACGCGCAGTTCCTCAAAACGAGCAGCGCATGCGGCTGCGCTTCGTGTCGGAACGAGGGAGGCGATAAGCTGCCACCGGGCTGCACCTTTGGAAGCACCAAAACGTCGCAGCGCCTCCTCCAGTTGCCGCTGCTCACTGACCGTCCAGGAAGCAACATTCGGTGGCGTCAGGCTGGCAATGCGTTGACCAACGCTCTGTGGCGCCCGCATGAGCGCCTGCGCTTGAGCCCGTATCTCAGCCGGCGTATACCGGTGCTGCAACGCTTCCGCGATGCGCGTCCAGCGGTCTCGCGTACCAGCGGGATACTTTTTCAGTGCACGCGAGAGAAGCGCCAGCTCCTGCGCACTCCATGCATCCGCATTTGCAGCGCGCTGCGTAGACGCGGCATCAGGAGCAATCGTCGCTGCCCCATTTCGGCAACCGCCCACACCGCATGACGTTTCGTGCGATCCCTCTGCGTCTCCGCTGAGCGATGACAACCGCGACGACGAGTTAGAGCCGGCAGTCGTCGCGAGTGCAGCTGCATCGCCACCCGCATCCATGGTGGTGCTTCCAGCGTCTGCGAACTCGCCGCGATGCCTCTGATGCCTTTCGAGCGCATCAGCGCGCCCGGCACGTCCGGTACCCTCATGAACACCAGGCGGTTGTACCAGTGTCTGGCACTGTGCCCCAGGCGTCACTCGATGATCCGTGGACGCATGCGACGCCACTGCGTCTACTTCCACAGACGCAGTGCGCAACGCAGGGCGCACAGCTTCTCCATAGACGGCTGCATTCTGAGATAATGACGTTTCCGCGGGATGCTGCGCCTGCGCAGGCGCTCCATCCGCTGCCTCCAGCCACTGCTCCCGAAAGCGTCGCCGTGCTGCCCGCTCAGCCGCTTTGCGCTGGCGCTCAGCTTCGCGTATCCTGCGCATACGCGGATCCAACCGATAACTCCGCTCGACAAGCTGCCGAATACGTGCGCGCTCCAGCTGCTTCCGTCGCAGGCGCGCTTTGCGCTCCTGGCGTTCATGAAAGCGACGTTCCTCGCGAGTCATACTCTGATCCTCCCACAGCTGATCCGCATCTTCCGAAGGGAACTCGCGCCACGACTCAAACGCTTGCCAGAACGCGTAAAACGCTAGCACTTCATCGTCTGGTGTCGAGGCATCGCCGAGAAGCGGCACCGGCTGCCGGCAACTCCAGCGTGCATTGCGGCGAAACGTTGCCCCGAAGACTGCGTAGAACGCAGCTTCATCGTGCGCATCCTCTTCATCCGGGACACTATCGTCAAAGTTTCCGTCCTTCGAGTCATAAATCAGGCGACGTTGCGGGTGTAGGAGCACCCGCAGCGCCTGCTGGAGTCCCTGGAATACCTCATGCGCCTGCTGACGTGCGTTCGGAGACAGACGCACCACTCGATCCGGGTGCACAGCAAGGGATACCCGCTTATACGCTTGTCGAATATCGTCTGTGCTGGCCAGGTATCGAATGTTTTCCAGTCCCAAAAGCCGGTACCAGTCGCCTTGGCGAACAGCGATCAACAATGCGTCCAGCTTTGCCGGTTGTGGTGCGTTATCCGACACGCTCGGGTCGTCGTGCGTGCCGGTGGAGTCGGCTTCAGGCAACGCATCGCGAAGGCTGGACTCAAAGCACTCGAAGAAGGTACGCCCAGCGCACTCGAGGCGCCTCGGGCGACAGCGCGCTGCGGACGCGAACACCGCACTAGCCGCTGATGTCGTGCTAGCGTACGGAAGCGCCCGCCTGGGTCCCGTCTGTGACCGGGATCGGCTCTCGTGCTCCATGCATGGAAGAGGAGTCTTTTACCAAGGCACAAAGTCTGCAGGGATGTTCTCGAAAACCCCAATGGTGCCGTCGTGTGCTGCAACGACGACCACCAGGCCGTCAGAAGTGGACGTTGCGCGCAGCAGTGCCGCCGTACCAGTTGCAGACGACGACAAGGGCGTTGCTGCTGCTGCTGCTGCTGCTGTTACTGGTGCTGGTGCTATTTTCGCACGTGTTGGGTAGATGGAAGTGGACGGGCTTCGCTCGATGACGTCCAGTCGATTGGTGCTGCGCTGGGGTGCAAACACCGCAGCTGTAACGTGCGCTTCACCGAACGGCATGAAGGCCTCGAAACGGTCGTTACGGTAACGACGAATACGAGGCAGTTGACTCGAACTGGTACCGTCGCGGCTTGTGCCTGCTGCTGCGCTGCTGGACGGATTCGAGGTCAATGCGGATGCGGATGCCCGTTCCGACAGCATACGGTCTGGATAGTACTGCTGCTCGGTACGGGCCGCATTCGTCGTGCTACTCGGGTTGTTGGTGTTGGTAATGGGCCCTGAGTGCCGCGTCTGCGGGTTACTCGCAAGTGCCGCTGACGCTTCGGGTGCCATTTCATGAGCTGCAGCAGCGGTGCCGCCACCTGCGTCACGCAACCGGGGCGTGCCTTTCGACCACTGGCTTAGGTGCAAGGCACAACCGGGTGCGCTGTGGTGTCCGGCTTGCTCGTACAGCACCGTATTCCAGATGTAGACGAGCCGATCCTCACTAGCCGTGATCACGTACCGAAAATCGTCACTGAAACTTGCCCGGATATGGTTCCAAGTACAGGAGTGTCCGACGAACTTGCTTACAATGCGCAAGTCCTGAACCCGATACAACCGTATACGACTGTCGTTGGTGCTGATCAATACTTCGTAGTGCTGAGAGCTGTTGCTGCTGCTGCTGCTGCTGCCGGTGTTGCTGCTGCTGTGTGCACTCGGTGCCATGGTCGCTGCAAACTCGTTGCCGGCGTTCTGTCCAGGTACGAAAACGTTGGAGGTCGTCGACACCGCTGGAGCGGTACTGCCGCTGCCGCTGTTGGTGCCTCGACCAGGGCCTCGATCCGGTGTTGGCATCATGGCGAAACTGGTGATTTTGCTGCCCTTGCTATTGCGTCCGCGACGACTGTGCACCTCCAGGGTCGTGATGTACTGGAGAGCCCGTTCGCCCTCCTCGAAACGGACAACGTTGTAGACTTTGCACTCACCGCGATACGTGCCAACGAGCGCCTGCTCGCCGTTGGGTGTAAACCCACAAGCGGTTACGAGGCCCCGCACTTCTGCATAGTCTGAAACGTGCCGCGAGCTAATGTTCCAGAGACGAATACGCTCGTCCAAAGAGCCACTGAGGAAGAAATTCTCGTTCCGCGGATGAAAGGCGACACAGGTTACAAAATCGGCATGCAGGAACTTGCGCAACACCTGGTTGTAGTCTACGTGCCAAAGACGCACAGTTTTGTCCATAGAGCTGGATAAAAGGAAATTATTGGCAGACCACGCGACACAGAGAACGTCACCCCCGTGTCCGCGAAACACTCGATGAGGCTCTCGGACCTCGAATAGACAGCGTGCGTACAGACGCTCGGGTCCGTCGTCCACGGTGACCGCTGCTCCGTCGCTGCTTTCCGGAGGCGGGGTCAGCAGCCTTTGAAACGCTCGCGCGCCTGCCGTAGCCGGTGAGCGCAACCAGCTGGCAATCTCCAACAAGTCCGCATTCGAATAATTCAGCGTGTGCGGCTCGTTCTGCACTTTCCAAACCATGATCACGGCGTCTTGACCGCCAGTCGCCAGATATCGACCATCGGCAGAGAATTCCATACTCCAGACAGGTCCTGTGTGCGGCCTGAAGCACTGTACCAGACACATGTTGGCGGTGGTGTTAGCTCCTCGCGACTTGTTCGGAGCATGGACGCGCACAAAGCGCTGTGCAACACGGAATTCCCGAAGCAGCCGTTGGTACTCGCGCTTGTTCAAAGCGCTACCCTTTTCAGGGAACTTGAATAGAAAGCGCGGCCTACCGAGTACGGTCGTGTCCTCAGTGATAGCGCGTTGCGTCGCTGTACTGGCAGTAGCTGGTGCGGCGGCTTTTGTAAGCAGGCCCCGGTCGAGGCTGCCCGCGGGTGACCGAAAATCCTCGACTGTGTCGTCGACTACGGAGCCGAACGCTTTTCCATCGCCAGCGAGCGGCGTCTCTGCGGCCGCACCGGCGGTTGATGTCAGCGATGTGAGCGAGTCTGCACCGGCTTGCACTCGCTGTGTATTGAGCATTGCACCGTCTTGCCTGGTGCGGGTCGCTGCCGACTTGCTGTGCTGCAAAGCCGCGGCTTGTGTCGAGGATATCGAGGGCGACGCATGCGTCGGTGCTGTTTTCGCGCGCGGTAATAATGAAAATGCTCGAATTCGCCCCAGTGGCGTCGAGGAAAAGGTACGTGAACGGCGACTTTTCGTACCGGAGCTTGCGCCCGTCGGATCGTCCTGGTGGGGGTCACGACGCTGCATGACGGAACGTTGTCGCCGCATCAGTTGCTGCACTGTATCCGCGGAAGTCATCTGGGCAACTTCCTGCTCAGTGAGATACCGTTCTTCACCGGTATCCAAGTTCTTAATAAGAAATTCTACACCCTGCTGCGGCTTCCTCGAATCACCCGCGGATCGCTCTCTCATCCGAGTGATCACTTGAAACCCAGCTTGATCCACTTCAGCAGTACCGAACTCTAGAAGCAGATCTCGTCGACTCGAATCCGGAGACGGTTTGCGCAGTGGCTGGGTTAGCCTGTGCAGCAAACTGCGTCCCGACTCTGGGGCAGTGCTGAGGCGGCCCCTCAGGTCCGTGTCACCACCTGCACTGGTGCCGATTGGTGCAGCTAAACTGCCGCTTCCGCTCCTTTCGAAAGCCGGCGGGTACGTGGCGTCATCGACACTGCGGCTGCGATGCCGCTGACCGGTGCTGGAACCCGAGCGCTGATGCTCCGGGTGCCTTGCACGCGTCTCCGAAACTATACTGGTCCGTTTGGGAAGGTTTTTCCCGACGAAGCCTCGAACGGAAGAGAGGAAGCCGCGGAAGCTCAACCACGAGGAGTCCGAAGCAGGTACATCGGAGCTGGAGCCCACCTCACCGAGTGAATGTCGGGCAGCAGCTGGTCCAGCGATGTCACTAGTTGATACAACGGCACCGCCAGTGCCTCTTTCGATTTCCGATACCAACGACTTGCAGTCAAGGGGTGCGGGATCCACTTCTGTGGTCTCTTGCGGAGTGGCAGCCAGGTCGAGTGCGCTACCGTAGGAGCGCAGTGACGAATAACTCATTTCAGGAAGCGCAGAGCCCCGGGAGATACGCTCAGGGCTCGAGTCAAAGCTCTCTGTTCCCGTACGCGATCTTGAATCACTCGCGTCACTGCCGATACGTACATAACGCCCAGAGAGCGTCTTTTGATTCATAACCTGCTCGGCAGCGTTGCCGCTCAGCGTGTTCCGCTCTGTTCCGCGTTATTTCCGGAACCTTACGCAAGGTCTTGAGTGCTGGGTTCCACGGAGACACACACACACACACACCGGTTCGCAAGCCTTGCACGCTCCACTGAAAGCAACCTTGTCCGCGCCACGACAAGCTCACCCGCTTTTCCACCTGCAATAAGTGCACTGGAGCTCCTCAGGAAGCTCAGGTTCCTGGAATTTTACTCGTACAAACGAGTTTCTTACGATCCGCGTTGACTCGTTCCGTTGGCGTCGCACGAGCACTAGTGCCAGCTCGCAAAGCAAAACACCCCTGACCGGAATGACGACACTCGGGCGCCACTGGCCTGTCTCCAGCAAGCTTCGCAAGAAGCCACTGACCACAGACTGATAAAGTGCGTTAACGAAAACTTACCTCGACGGAAGCAGGCACCGCTAAGGGAGTAAAGAGCGCGTTCCTCCGAGCTACAAAGGCAGCTCACTGGTGTCGACGTCGAAACCCGTACAAAAACTCCAGTATCTAACCAGTAGGTTCTGCAACTGCTTCCCTGCGCACAAGTCGGCGCGATAGAGCACGCCACACCGATCGCCTGCTTATCGATGCACCGACGTGCACAAGTCTCCCAGTCTTTTTGACCGGCTCCCTGTTACCGGTTTCAACTTGTTCTTCTACGTTTCTACCTTGAGAGGCTGACCGACAAAGTTGTCTCTCGTCAGTTCCAGGAGTCTCTTCTCCAGCACGGCATAGCTCTTTATATTGATAGAAGCACTAAAGTCTCGGTTCACGCACTCCAGGCGTTTCTCGTCGCCGCTTGTACTCACCAGTGCAGGGAGTCCTCGAACCTGTGCCCTGCTTTCCATTTCCTGCCCTTCCGTCACCGCTCCGTACTTTTGGATATCCCCAGGGCTCCTTTGGCACTTTTCCATCTCAACCCTCTGAAGTGTACACCCTAGCTCGTGATGAATGGATGACGTTCCGAACGCATTTATCAGTATCGAAACGAAAAGGTGTGCGCAGTCCTTGTACGCTCGTGTCGACGGAGCTGGTATACAACCTTTTGTGGACGCCCAGCGTCCTGATCCGTATGCTAATACGAGCATTTTACGCTTGTCCTCCTTGAGGGCCCTCAACTCATTGAAGAACTTGTCAAATGCACGCTGCTTTCCTCTGTGCAGACGCATATGCAGACGAGCCCATCTGGTCTTGGTGTACTGTTGCCACAGCGCCTCCCAATGAGCAGTACAAACTTTCATGAATTCCAGAAAAGCCTCAAAGTCCGCTCCTCGGCTAGTCACCTCGCTCAAAGCTTCCAGGTGCTCTTTCACTCCTCGATTCTATTCCTTAATTTTTTCCTCGCGTTCATTTTTCCGGATTCTCGATCGTATCTTGCTCTCGAGAAATTTAAAAGACACATGTCTTCTGACGTAAGCTGCCGTCAGTGCCATCTTCCGCACGCTTGGGTGCTGCGATGGTCATGATATTCGTGTCCCCAGGGTCCGCGCCAACGACATTGTCGTTCTCCTGGACCTCCTGCATCACAGGATCCGCCTCGTATATATGTTCATGTTTCGTCGCGGGCGAAGCCGGGGACGGAACTGGACGATCTACCTTCAAGCACTTATAATCTACAAATATGGCTACTCCATCACTTTTGATCATCCCAGGGAATAACTTTTGCTTGCTCACTTTGAGGCGTTCGAAATCGAACATATTCTTCCAGTACGTCTCCCGGTTTTCACCGGAGAACTCGAAATTCCTTACATCGAACTCTGGACTGATCTCCTTCATGATGCCATGAAGGACGCTCGAGTCGATTGCCACAATATCTGACTTGACGGTGCACAACGGAGCGACATGGAAGCGCTTACCCATTAGGGCAGCCTCCCGTCTCTCCGACTCTTCATTTTTTCCCCACTCAGCTTCATCTCTGCCTTGCGTTCGAGTTCTCGGTCCAAAAACACAAAATACCGTAGAATGAGGCGATAGTATCTTTCCGTATCCTTTTTCAACTCTGATATCTTTTCTACTGGATTCGCTAGCCCCAGTACCGCACGACGCTCTTGAATAGACGCACGGATTCCAGAAGCTTCATTCCTTCTCATGTGTGATGTCTTCTTGTCTACGGATTCGATCCTCTGTTCATTCTCCCTATCGTTCGTGATGCCATCGATGGTGACCCATCTCGCCCTGTGAGGCAGGGCCGCCTATAATGCAAACGCGGTGCGTATCATGAAACGTTCGAGGTTCATAGTCATATCGCTCATCAGGTACGTGGGGTACTTCATCGCTCCGTAGGTGCGAATTCGCCAGTCTCCCCTCTATCGAGTACCGTTGAGGCGGTATTCGGCGTACTTTTTGTGCAGTATACACACTCGCGCATTTTTCGTCGACATATCCCAGGTGCTTACCATCCGGTAGCGTATAACGGTCTCGTTGAAAAATTCCTCCGGAACCTCGACTTTTTTGGTGTCCGTCACGTTGTTGTATATCTCTTTTACCAAATGCACTAGTACTGGAAAAGCCTTTACAATACTCAAGGAGTACGACTCGACACGGTTTCCGATGGCCTCTCGCAACTTCTGCTTGTACGGATCCTTGATACATCCAAGAAAACGAGCTTTCACTACCATCTCGTCGTACTGTCGTCTTTGATGCAGGCATAGACGTCTGGGATCCTGTCTCAGCTTCTTGGACGTGTCTTGTTCCTCTTTGCTCGGCACTGTTCTCCGTTTTCTTCCGGCAGCCGGTGACACCAGGCCTCCAGGATCCTCTACTTCCTTCTCCACAACTTGCCTTTTTTCTATAATTTTAGATTGAATGCTCTTTGAACGCCTCTGCTGTAAACAGTGTAAAATCACTTGAATTCACTAACTTGAGGGTCGAAGCATAAGTGAACTGAAAACTATACTTTGTTATGACTTGAATGTAAATACAAGTTGTGCGTTAGACACCAAGTCAACGAATGATCAGGATCGCATATCCCTTCAATGCCGAGATGCTCGTCGCGTCTGATGCCTCCAAGATGCGGAAATGCGCTAACCGACCGGACTATATAGAGCAAAGAACAGAAACGAACCATTAAATAGCAACGAGATGGCAATTTCTTTCCCCTCTACGGTAAACGTTAGAAAATGGCAAACGCTTTCCGTATAATCGAATGTCTACAGGTGGCATGTCCCGCGTGCCGGACGAGTCTGCAGGGCTAATGCTTCGTGCTCGCCCCAGTGGCAGATGCTTTATTGAGACCTGCGCAACTCGTCCGAAACGCTGCTTATTCTGGGACTAGGAGCGGCTAGCTTGCATCTGGGCATCGCGCTTGTCTCAGCGGACTCCTCGTGTATTCCTTCGCGCTGCCGCATGCAGTAGATCTGTCTGAACAGATTCCAAGCCCCCAGAATAATAATGAATCGCGACCCGGTATCGCGCTAGCCACGCCTCGAGCCAACGTCATCACTCGCATGGTAAAAACGATCTATCTCCGTGATGCTTGTGCTCCAGCGGCATAGGCGCTCCTGCAGGTACAGCACGACAGGCACTCGGCGCTCGATCGAACGCACAAAACGAATTGTATATCCGAAAAGAAGTATAGGTCATGCAACTTGGAGAAAGGATGCAGCAGCACGATGTACGCCTCCTCGAAAGCCAATATCCATCCAATCCGCAACCTGAAATCCAAGGTCAACGGACACTTTTCAGCCATCGACAGAATTCCCGCTGCGCTACGCCGCGCGTACCCGCAGGCTGCGCGCAGGCGCCCCGTTTCCAATCGATTCGAGCGTTTTCAAACGCAGTGCTCCGTATAGGCACGAGTTCCAGCGCCAAAAGTGCGTGATAGAATGCCGGCTCAGCAGATACAGTACTCGGAAAAATATTATGATGATACATACGAGTACCGTCACGTTATTCTGCCCCCAGATATTGCGCGTCTTTTGCCGAAGAACAAACTTCTCAGCGAGGCAGAGTGGCGGAGCCTTGGCGTGCAGCAGTCACGGGGCTGGGTTCACTACGCTATCCATCGACCAGAGCCCCATATTCTCCTATTTAGACGCCCGTTGAACTACTCGCAGGGTGCTACTACTGCGACGACGGGGCTATCGCAGAACCCTTCTGAATCTGCCTCACACGCCGTTCCGTGAACAGCAGAGGATGCGGGGAATCGCTCACCGGCCGCGTCGTTCGGGTGACAGCGGTAGCATTCCCCAGCAAAAAACGTCTTGATGCAAGCGGTACTAGATGCTTGTATTCGGTTGCGTTGAAGTTACTGCATTCGTTCTTCTGAAACTGTCGCGGAATGAGACCGGGTGTGGTACGACTGGTCAGGGGTGCTTTGCAGCAAGCCCAGGCCTCGTTTGACGGGAGTATGCGAGCTAGCGCCCCAGCGCGCTCGCCACCTCAGGTACACGCTTTCAGTTCAATGCCTCTGGTTGTCTGATTGGCATGGTCCGCTTCGGATTCGGTCTCAAGAGTTGTGACGCTGCGTGCGCCGCCTTGCCCTACTTTCCGCAGCAGCAATGCTGCGGGCCTGCTCGGCAACCGTGAGAGTTGACGTTGTCTGGGGTTCGCTGAAGACGCACAGGCAACTGATTCCCCTGAAAAGGTTCGAAGTAGCGGTGATTGCGCTCCAATGTCCAGAGATGCTACGCAAATAGCGTTATAGCGGATCTTTTGGACCAACAGGGACGAAAGCATGGATTGCGCTTACCCGACAGCACCTGGACGATGCTTACAACCTGACGAGTGAGGGCCCCGTGTGCTCGTAATGAAAATTTGCACAGTTTAATGTGAACGCAATTTCGTAAAATCGAATGCTCACATCTAGCATCTGCACCTGAAGCGGTCGAGGAGGCAGCGTCTCTGTCGCGGCGCATCAGACATGGACGCCAATGCAGCAGCCCTGTTACAGGAACGGATTGCACACAGCGGGTGTACGTAAGCTGTTCAAGCAAGTGCCCGTCCCCCGCCTGCAACGCACAGGGCGGGATCGCCTGCTCAATAGTGCGGTATCCGTGCGCCCCAGCACGATGCTAGCCGCTCTAGAGATGGGTGTTACCTGGCGCTTTCCGCCGCTTCATCCGCCTGCTCCGCGAGCTCAACACAGTGTCGAACTCCAGGCTGCGGCGGGTTCAACGCAGGCTCTGACGACTTCGAGAACGACCAGTCCAGGAACGCCCCAAAAGCACCGAGCACCGCGCAGATACCGACCCCAGTGCCGAGCGAGCCAGCGCGAACCCCAAACGCGCTGCCCGCGAGACAGCCGCCTATCGCGCTATTCCAGGGGTCTTGTTTGTCACCACGAAGCGCTCGTGCTGAGTATTCGCCCACGACGAACAGACCGCCAATGCTGGACAGGAAACCAGCGTGCGCAGCTACGGTGCGCCACGGTGACTGCAGAGCCGGGTGCACAGGCGCACCGCCTTGTGCGCTCGTCGCGGATGTGAAGTCTACAGGCCTGACGCTCCTCGAGAGACCCTGGAAGCTAAACGGGGCACGACGTGGACGCTCGCCCGGTTTCGTGGCTTGGAACTGCGCGAGCGGGTTCTGCTCGTAGCTGTGCCAGTAGACGATGGAAGCACCCATTGCAGTTCCTAGCAGAGCACCTGTTACCATGCTCTGTACCAGCGTAGGCAAGAAGCCTGCATCATCCTGATCCGAGGCCATGAACCGATCCCTCGTCTCGGTGGTAAGCGCCGCGGTGCTGCTGCCGCACAACTGCAGCTGTGCGCGATCTGCTGCCGTCGAATGCCGTCGACGACGCGCTGTGCCTGCGGGAACGCGCAATGCCCTGCAGACGTCATTCGTTTGGGCGTCGTTGCTCCGGAAATGGGCGTCAAAGGGTACGCTCCTTGCGACGAGCTTGCTTGTTTTGGTCCCTGATACTGTGCTTAGCGTTTCGCGGAACCCGCTTCCGCATACATTCCCAGAATGGCGACGACGGCGCAGGAACACGGACGAGGTCCGAGCGTCCGAGAATGCCAACAAGCGGTAAGCGTTTCTCCAGCGCTTCAAGTCTCATTGTTGTACCGCGACGCGACCAAACATACCACGTACTAGAAAAGAGTACGAACGCGCCCTGAGCTGCATATCGTGACCGGAACACCCATGGCGCTGCAGCACCACGTTCGCTAGGGGCTTCAGTTTTCCGATCGTATATAGAGATGTTCTCGGGGATGCGTCCAGTTGTCATATCTACGGAGGATCGTGCCAGGCACATATTCATCGCTCCGAGCACGCATAATCTGCCTATGCTTCGCTTTATCCGTATGTGACAGCATGCCGATCAAGTGCCCCGTACCCATAAAGCCAATCCCCATCGAAGCCGTATTTTCATAGCACTCGCATTCGGAACGCTCCCAGGATAGACGCACACTCCAGGTAGGACGTGTACGCTGTACACACGAGTCTATGCATGCACGATTCACTGATTTCTTCGAGCAAATGTTCATGCATGCATGCATGCACTGCGATGGACACGTCACCCGCAGCCTCGACGAGTGCACGCATCGTGCGCACGCATCGTCGGGCAACGGCTGTGCGTACAGCGCTCGCTGCGCGCACACGCTCCCTCCGCACTCATTGATTCATTCTCTTTCGTGTTTTTCACGCGACAACGTGCGTGCGCTACTGTACAGGAACGTGCGCAAGAGCGTTCCGGTACACCCCGGAGCACTTGGTGCACCCATGGGTAACCGACCCTCCACGGAGCGACGGCTGGCGGGTGATGCAACTCGGCAACCGCCACCGCCGCCACCGCCTGGCAGGTCTGTGAATGCACGCAACGGGCCGACTTCATCGACGTCGACCACGTCAGTACCGTGGATGCCGCAACAAGCTCCAGGCCCTGCATCTGAGTCTCCGCCAACCTTTACAATGGCGGCAGGCACGCGACACATATACGCACCGAGTCTGCCGATACGGCCGCTGACCGAAGTACCCTACTATCCGTACCTGCGGTATCGGGTTGTTGTCGAAGACGAGTACGGTTCGTTGCTCGTAGTGACACGGGAGGGTCTTCGTCGTCAACGGGATGCCATTCGAGTTGCTTGTGAAACGGAAGCAGATCCTTACGCACTCATCGCGCTGGCCACGTGGCAGCAACGCAAAGCACGCGTGAGTCCAGTGGAGCTCGACCAGGTTTGTCCGCCGCAGCGCTTCGCATCGCTGGAGGCCAACGACGCCCACACTGTCGAGACTACAGCTGCGCAGACTTGATCTATCTGTCTGGAGAACTTCGCACCGGAGTCTGCTGTTCGAAAACTGCCCCGATGTGGTCATGTTTTCCATGACGATTGCATTCGCGGTTGGGCATGCCACAAGCGTGCACAGTGCCCGGTGTGCCGAACCTGGGTTCTTGACGACGCTGACATGTTGCGACGTTCCATGGCCGAGGCAGCGATCAGGGCTGAGCTGCAACATGCAGCCCTTGTCGAAGAACGAATACGGGAGTACTTGCGTCGTCAGGTTGCTTTATCCAGAGCATGCGGTTGCCGAACCGATACACAGGTTCCGAACGGAACCTGAACAGTCTCGGGTCAGAATTTGTTTTCTGAACTGAACACACACTCTCGAAGACGCGCTTTCAGATGCTCGAAGGATTCCCTTTCATCGCGAACCTGTCTTACGAGTCGGTACCAGCGACTCGGAGCGGAGTCGGGTGATTCCATGGACGCTTGTGATTGCGGATCATTCGGGGACTGGCGATTTTCCGCTGGTAACGCCCCAGCAAAGCCCCACGAGGCAGCACAGCGCGTTTGCTGCGGCCAAAGCGTTGCAGGAACGAGCATATCCGCTGCCCCAAGCTCCGTTAAATGACGCACAACCCAGCCCGCCAGCTGCGTTTGCAAATAGAACGATTCATGCTGCTGGTTTGCGTCTGTCATGGTAGCTTGCAGGGTCGTTACGCACTGCTCTGTGATCGTTGCGATTTGATAACATGTCTCCGCGTGGCGCGAGTTCGTTCGGACATCGGCCCAGCGTCGAAGCGCACTGGCCCAGCTCGCCCAGCGTGAGGCAATACCCGCAACGCCACTTGCGGTGAAGCTGGTGTCTGTGGGCGCGTCACGAGTCGATTCCGCAGCCACCGTTGGCACATCCGTCTCACTCAGCTTGAGAAGCACAATCGAGAGCGGTAGCATCGGCATTGGCTCAGAAATACAGGGGAATGAGATGCACTGGGTTTGGAACCAGTCCCACAGAATGTCGAAAGAAACGTTTTGTGTATGGCGGACAGCAAAACATGCAAAGGCAGATTTGCGGTTCTCGTACACGAGCACTGTATCGTGCAAATGTTTTGTGCACGAAATACCCTCAGGCGTTGCTCTCTTTGTCGTCATTGCTGACGTTGGTGTTGGTGTTGTCGTCGCCAGTGGCGATAGCATCATGAGCACCACCAGCGGGAATCGTCGTTGGCGCGCAAAATCCGTGGACATCTCGGTCGCTTTCGATCGAATCACTTGTTTGAGCGGAGACGCGCACACTGATGGTGCGTCACCGCGCACCACGGCCAGCAGACCAGCCAGGTTATCGGGACACATGTTCCCTGGCAAAACAAGCTGCAGCTGTTGCCGCTGATGCTGCGCATACGACTCGGAATCATCTTGCTCGTTGCATCGGATACAGAGGTCCTGACAGAGTCCTTGGACGAGGTCTTTGCACACAATGTCGTGCGGGGGCCACCAGACACCAATCCGCAGGTCTCCTGCTAGGGATGATGCCAGACGCAGTACCGCGAAGGTCTCAGGTGGCGGCGCAGTTTGCTGCACGCGCGGGCTTGTTGATGGATGCTCGGGCGCTGCAGCGGCCGCGACCGGCGGTAACGGCAGCGACACTAAACGAGTCAGCGGACTGGGGCGAAGTACCAGCTCTTGTACGAGGCGATCACGAAGCAGGCGTTGTGTCTGTGCGATGGTGGCTTCTTCACGGAGCTTGGAAGCCGCCTGGACCGCACGCTCAACAGCGCTTTGATACGCAGCGATTTGGCGGAGTAGGCGGTTGATTCGTGGGCCAACCTCTGAAGCCGGTCGACTAGCTGCGCTCAGTTGCGCAGCAGTCTGTTTGAGCTGACCCAAAACATGATGTGTTTGCTCTAGACGTGATTCGAGCTCGGTCAATTGCTCCCAGAAAGATGATGGTAGTGCGCCACCACGCTCACGCAGATTTTGCGCAAGATATCGTTCTAGCATGAGACCAGCGAGCACCAAGTACTCGATGGCATAGGCGGGCTCGTGGCGCGCCAGGAGCCACTGCGCATCCAATTGTTCCAGGGCTGCTTCGACTTGCTCATCGTGTGCTGCTTCCATTCGCACCAGAGCAGCGCCCGTGGGCGGTATGGGCGGCGGCATTGCCGTCACCGGGCGCTCGCGTGGCACGTCACTTGGTGCGAGGGTTTTGTCATCGACAGCCACCGAGGAGTGCTCCAGCCCAGACTCGCGCCCTGTTGGCGTTGCTCGCGTCTGGTGTGGTGTCATCAGTGCTGGGATCGCTTCAATAGGCGCTCTCTGGACGGCATCCGAGGCCATTTCTGCAGCAGCAGCAGCAGCAGCAGCAGCAGCAGCAGCAGGATCTGTAGCCTGCCTTTGAGCCTTGTTGTCGAACTGAAAAGACGCGGGCGCTGGCTTCGTAGGCGGCACGATTCCTGTCTGCCCTGTTGACGACCATGGCGAGCGTGCAACCGCACGCTCCGATACCTCCTCCGGCCGTATGGTGCGTTGCGAGGTCGGTCCCATCACCGCTGCGGCAGCTTGTACTGGAGCGTTCACAGCTGCCGTAGCAACTGCGTTCCATTCGCGCCGCCGGCTGCCTTCAGCTGCAGCTGGCTGTTGCGCATCCGCGGCATAGGCGTCTGCGGCAGAAACTTTGCCTCCTCCACTGATAGACGCCGTCGGGGTGTTGGTCCCAGTTTGGAGCAGCAGCGGCCGCGCATCCTGCAACCTCTGCGCTCGTTCCGAGTCGTGCACGTCTCGGTCAACACCAGCAGTACATTCATGCATCTGGGGCGTTCCGACTTGTGAGCCAAATGCTACCGGCTCTTTTGTTGCTGCTTCCGGAGATGGACGCGGTTCGAGAAGCGATTGCGCGTTGCGGACACATGCAGTTGGCAAGTCCACCGAGATGCCGTTGCCACTGCCGCTGCCGCTGCTGCTGCTCGCCATCTCGTTACGAGGGCATGCGTCCGACCACTTTTCGCCACCAGCAGCGCCAGGCACGCCGCTTCTCAACTCCACGCTCATCTGATGCGAATCGCTTCTATCCTGAGAAAACGGCGCCGAGTTCGCCGTTGCAGGCACGGCCACGTGCGGGTCTTTGGAAGCCACTTGTCGTTCGGAACGCTGTCTGGCGAGCTCAGCAGCTATACGCTCCCGCAAACACTGCTCCCGGGATGCGGGCGGCACCTTGCCTTGGATAATTTCACTGGGTTTGAGGCCCAGCGCCTTGCGTTCGACACAACGCTGGCCTACGAACCAGTAGAGCGGTCGCAAGGTCGCCTGTGTGGCGTCGGCTGTCTTTGCACGCAGTCTGGACACGTGTGGCTCCAGTGTCGCAAGCGCGACGCTGTCACCGTCGACGGTAACGTGCAAGTCGCAGCTCCGCAGGAATGCTGCTGCATCGTCATCATCATCAAAGGCAAGCAACGACACCAGCGCGCTGAGAGGCCATACTTCCTGACGTGCTGCGGCACGAGCCAACTGCTCCAGCGCCCACAGCCGCATCATACCAAAGTGCCGATGCATCATACACGCTTGGAGGAAGGAGACTTGCGCGAGCAATCGACCGAAAAACGCCTGAAAATCGCCAGCTTGACGAGCCCGAATCACTTGCAGTGCAAGCTGAACTTGCTCACTGTGCAGTGTCTCCGGATCGAGTTCGCGCAGGATCTGGATGACGGCGTCGTTGCGGTTCTGGAGTAATAGATAGTACGCCTCAAACTCGCTTCGATGGGCACTTACAGAACGACCCTGTCGAGCGGCTTCTCGATAGAGGTGACAAAGCGCTAATAAACATTTGTCAAGCTGCTCCATATTCTGTTTTGAGGAGAAGACCTCTGGTCCAGTGACGGCCAATCGATACTCGGCGAGGATGTGAAAGCGTACGCACTGCTCATGCACCCAGGCACAGTTGGTGTCATAGATACCCTGGTACGTGAAATCCTGTCGAATACTGCGTGTTCGATCCCGTAAGAACGCGTAGACTTCGTGAAATGGAACATCTTCACGATCCACAATATGCTGCAACAGGTATTCCATTGTCTGACGCAACACGTGCGGTGGGCGCACTTGTTCCGGACGCACGGCTTCTGCACCGGCAGCCGGTCGCGCAAACTTTTTCACCATGAGTTGTGGGTTCGGCTCGAGGGTGCGCTCCGGGTTCAAACTCATTTCGAGAACATGCACGTCACGTTGCATCCGACGTTGGTGTTGCTCCTCCAGGGGACACATCATCAGGCAGGTACCCAGGAGCGCAGGTTGCGCATCCAGCGGCAACGGCAGCGCAGTGGATGCGCTGCTCCCAGCCTGTTGCTGAGAGTCTCCGTGCTCCCCAGAAGCGAACACGGGCTCCCGATGCTTCGTCCAGGGATCGGTTGTGGAACGAGCGTTTGGTGGCAGGGCGTCGCTTCGGAGGGTCTCGTCGTGCTGAGCATTCAGGTCTTCATGATGGGCGTCACTGTGTGCAGTGGTTGTTGCGGGCATCGATGCTTGAAAAACACTGATACGCTGCTCTGGAAACGTACCGACAGTGGAAGCTGTTCGTGATGCGGTTTCCCAAGTCTCGTTCAACGTCCCGGGTAGTGCTTGATATCCACTGGTCTGGGTCGGCGGCGGGAAAGCGGCAGCTTCTGTGGTCGAACGAGTTATCGACTGCAGGGATGATTTGGCGGCGTTGACAGATGCTCCTGCTGACGTTCCCGTACGCTCTTCGGGAATCATCGCTGGTCCGAATGCGTTCTGAGGAGGATACGCAGCTTGCCAGCGCTGCAGGGACGCTCGTGCTGCAGGCGGGATATAGTAACGAAGGCGAAAGTTCGGTCGGTTTCCCAGCGCAGAGGTGGTCGTGTTGGGAGCCTTACGAAGCGCTGCAGCTGCAGCTCTTTGCGTCTGAAACTCTATGAGCGCGCTCCGTTTCTGCGGACGCACCTGCACGCGGGTCACTTGTTTGGGTACCACCTGTTCGAAGTATGTGCGAAGGCGCTCTTCATCGCAGTACGCTTCAGGGCACTGGAGCAGCAGCAGTGTCCGGCCACGGTACCGCACCTGTCCGGTTGGCGAGAGGTAGATCTGACCTTCATCGGGTAGCGCTTCGAGTACTTTGCTTCTTTCGTGGAACTCAGCGGTGTCCATAGGCTTGCTGCCGGCAAGTCCTCTCCCGGTACGAACAGCCGCGCTTCAAGCGCAGTGCTCGCTCGTGAGTTGAGAAGCTTCCTCCTGGATTCAGCTGTAAACCTCAGCGTCGCAGACACGGAAGCAGCAGTATGCTGCAAGTGCGCAAGGCAGTCCAGAGAAGTTGGATGTTCCTCGGTGTCCTACGCGGGGCCGTGTGGAGCTGCCCTGGCACTCGACCATTCGCCTCGGGGACCCGGAGCGTCCGACCTACAACTTCCCGTCTTCTAAACTAAACCAGTACGGTGCGGTACGAAGTGAACGCGTAGCACCAGACGCTCAAAGCACGAACCAGTGGTGGCACGTGGAAGAACGCTTCTTCATGACCGTAACAACGGCAAACGCAAGTCTGCGTTGCTGGATGCGCTAGCGGTGTTGGTTTCTGGACTTGTCGCCGGTAACGCGCGGTTGCACTAGTGACAACGTCTCTTGAGCGAAATGGCCTGCTCTGGGACAAGCCAGCTTTGATGCCTGATAGCTAGAAGCTTGCTTCAGCTGTGAGCGTTCCGGGAACGGGCGTCCCAGCTCCGGCTTCTGACCAGCTGGCCGAGAACTTGCTTCGAAGCGAGCAGGACTCGTCGTCGGCGTTGCATTCGTTATGATCGAAATCAGTCGAGCGAAACAGAATCTACACGAAGGAACCGCCTTGTATGATACTATCACTCGCGACGTGTTGCTATGGAGCAGACGCTGGTGCACGCTCTAACGAGGCGCTCGTTCGTTTGTTGCGTCTCGAACCAGGGGAAACGAGAACATTGACTCGTAGACTCGCTAGTCTCCGATAGGGACACCTCACTTCCTGCCAAGTTGCAACATATCGCGCAGCGTATTCTAGCGGCTGCTCGTGAGCGAGCTCCTTGGCTACTTGTTGCGAACGCACTGAGTGGAAGCGCGTCGAGCCTCGGCGTGTACCTCGTCAAGAACGTTGTTTTGTGATGTTGCTGACAAGCTTCACCGGTTTATGAACCGAATTCGCTGCGTGGCACCTGCCCATTGTTGCAACGCCAAAGAGGGAGCACGGGCTGGGGACAACCTTCGAGGAGCACGTCCCGCTGCGGGAGTGTTCAGCGTATCTGCTCACCGCCAGGTGCAGATACAGCTGCAGTCGCTTCCTGTTGTCGGTCGCAAGTGACAGAATTTACACCTGAATGATATCGCGCAGATGATCGCATGATCCTTTTTCTGCCAATACGGTGACATGGGTACTCCACTAGCGTTCTGTAGCATTCCTAGACCCGAGCGTATTCCATTCGCGTTCACTGCTTCGATGGTATGGAGCGACTCGTATACGACACATATACGTCACCTATACACATGCTGTGTCGCTACATGTCATCCACACAGTACCGCAGAGCGCCCACTGCAGCCGCATTCGGATACGTGTAGGCTGTGGGTGTCGGGCGTTGCCTGGAGGGCGTGAGTTCGCCAGATCGCTCTTGAGCTAGTCGACTTTGGTATTGGGCATCATCGGATGCTGGAATGGAGCCTTCTGTGGTGACCAGTTCGTTTCTCCTACGTGACCCAAGAAGGCGCTCATCGTTTCGAACGGTAAGCGGTCAGAGGAGAAGGCAAAAACTGATACCGATGCACACTCGGGCACCTTGCTCTACGAACTGCGTGGCGGCCTCGATCCATCGAGCAGCTCAGCGGTGCATCGATCTGCAGCAAGTGCAGCGGATGATACCGGTGCTGCGTATCGAGACCAACGCCTCTAGAGCAGTTCGATAACGGAATCGGGTCGAAAGCAATCTTTCCAGGAGGCCAGCGCTCAGCTAGTGTGCACGCTCATACTGGAAGCTGTTGGAGTGCTTTTTGGATTCGTCGCGGGCGATAAGCGTTTGCGAAGCGTGTGCGTCAGAGCAGCAAACAGACCCAGCCGGATAGCGGCAAATACAAGCGATATCTAATGAATGGAGTGCCTTAGGTGCCGGTGCGGTGCGAGAGCATTCGCGAGTCTCGTGGAAACAACAGAGGAAGAGCGCAGCTGCAACTTTCGTGGCAACTGCTGCACAGACGGCTGCTTCCGATTCCATGACCCATAACCACTGCGATAGGTGATGCATATGAGTTGCTGCAGCCGCCTCAGCGTAAAAGAGTGCCACCTGGTTGCAGCGCGCTTGCGGTGCATGCATCAGTCGTGCTCAACGCTGCGCTTCTAGTCCGAGCATCGCGCGTCATCTACAGGCCTGTTCGTTGGACTAGCATCCGCCCCTACCCGCGGGGTATCGATACAGATGGTGCATTGAACTTTCGTCGTGATCATTCGAACGACGGATCTGATTTCCCTCAATTTCTTCGTGGATGACAAGGCTGCTTTCTATCCGCCGCATTCGCAAGCGCGTCTTCCTCCCAAACTCTTGACGCAGCGAGTTCGCATTAGCCTTGATCCGCCATTGCAACGCTCGAATATCCGATCCAGAAAGCGGTGTTTTGAATACTCGAGCCGTGTGTGCTTCCCGAACATTCGAGCTGTTTTCGTCAAGAGCAGCGATCCGGAGAGGTAGCATGGCCCTGGTCAGGACTCCACGGCCCACATCGCGCACGTGACGTACAACTTTGGTGCACTGACCAGCGCTGTCGTCTTGCGCAAAGCATTCGACGCACCATGCACATCGTCTGCAACTCGCCGCGGCTTGCAGCGAATAAGAAAGGCACGGTTGCGTCAACCTTACCGACGATGCAGGCATCTACCCAGCGAAGATCGTGCAGCGCATGGTCGCTGCGTGATTGGCTCCCAGGAATGCTATGATGGAAGCGTACCAAACTTTTGCGATGCCAGGAGCGCACTGATACCAACGTTGTGACGGATCTCGCCAAATGCAAACTCAACGTTTGCAGCTCCGACGTTCGCCTCTGCTCTAGGGAATGGTCTCGAACGGAGCAGTGTCGCGATAACATGGTTCAAATGCACGTTCTACGGCGTCTCGAGCTTCTGCTTCACTACAGTTGCGGTTCATTTTGACGCTCATTTCGGCTCTGCGCTTGATGCAACGACGGAACTGCCCGCCGATGCGAAAATGGCTACGAGCGACTTCACGGAGCCAGTCGCAATCACCGCTGAGTGCAGCGGCTCGAATCTCACTGCAGGCATGGTGGACGCAGTTGCTCCAGTCCAAATATGCCCTACACTGATCGTAGGCGTGAATAAGTTCGTGGACTAGCGTCGTCGATGTCATTGACTGCGACTGCAAATGATTGGCACACAGGATGACGGTGCCATCGTCCTGGAAGCCACCGCCAACAGCGGCCTCACAGTGGCGACAGCAGATCCGAGAAGACAACTTCTCCGCGGCACCGGGCTCCAAGGACTGCACCCCGGGCGAAGGCGGCGTTCCCGTCTGTTCAACGAACACTGGGCACCCGGCCTCGCGGAGCGCTCTCACCATGAACTGCACAGTCGGGTTCGAATGAACTGCTCGTTGCACGAACTTTTCGCATCGCTCGAGATCGGCCGTATTTCCAACTCCTTGGTCCTCGATTTGCGCTTCAACAACCATGATCAGGGAGACAAAAAGCTTGTGACAGATTGCTCTGCCAGTGCGCTTCCTGTTTGGGTCTATGGCACTGCGATTCGCTGCCTGGTCGCAAAAAAGTAAGCAGCGACAACGTCCTTGTTTGAACGTTCTAAGCGGCACTGCACAGTCTTCCAAGCACCTTGAATAGTCGGCACCGAACACAGCGTCCTGGTAAAGACCTGTTCTGTTTTACGTGCCCTTCTACCGCTAGTCAGAGCCCGTCGACGTGTCTTCGCAGTGAGCCGGAGTTCAGTTAAAGCTGTTTTCTAGAGCGTATTCCTTGACCTGGGACTCAGACTTGTCCAATATAGTGTAGCAAGCCCTCTTCGCCGTGCACTTTTTCCGACGACTCGAAAAGCGAATGCCACCGCAACAGCTGCTGCAGTTCGGCGTCGACGACGCTCCCGAGGCGCCCGGCTCGAGTTTCACAGTGCAGCGTACGCCCTTTGAATAACGACACACTTTCGTGCACCCAGTCTCCACTTGATCGAGCGGGAAGTCGCCCACTCGGCGAAGACTAGACGACAAGCGCTGCCCGTACAAGTCGCTTCGTGCGCCCAGGTCAATGGAGCGATGCGGTGCGGAGACAGGTTGCAAGAAACTACAACAAATAGGACATAAATGTATTAAAATGCCCTGTCGTTTGGAAAGACTCGCTGTCCATCGTCGAGGCTCGTTGAAGCGATTTGCGGACGTACTACAGCACTGTAGACAAGTTGCTTTCAGGAGACACTCGGTTCGAGAGTTGAAAGCAATCGCCGCGTGCGAGATATGGTGTGAGTCTAGACGAGGCTGCGGACTCTGCTGATGCTGTCCACAAACAATGATCCGTTTTATCGTTTCAAAGCTAGCGTGGAGCAGCAGTTGACTGCGCTCGAGACAAGCTTACGACAGACGAGTCCCAACGGCTTTGGGCTTGAACTCGCTTCTCATGATGGCTCGCTATCAGTCGACGGATCTTCCAACTTTGAGGCTAGCAAGGCGAAACTGAAAGAGAATCTGCGAGAGCTTTCCGAAACCGTTCGTGTTGTTCGAGGCAACCGCGAACGTTTCCCTATAACGGACGCGGAGCTTGCCGAACGAGAGCACGCCATTCATGAACTCTGGCAGCGACTCGACGCTTTGGAGTTGTCAGGAAAACAACCTGCTGTAGTGGACTCTCTTTTCTCCGCGCGACCTGGGTCGCGCTCGCGTCAGCGAGACACGGAGCCGTTTGCGAGCACCGCGTCGACCGGACGACCCCTGGACTACGCAGCACAAAAGGCAGCGCACCGAATTGAGCGCGAAAATGAGGTATTTTTGGATCAAGAGCAAAAAGAGCAGCGAGTTTTGATCGAACAACAGGATCAGGACTTGGAAGATATGTTGTCTGTCGTGAAGAGGCTCGGCGATATGGGTCTGGCGATCCGAAGTGAGGCTTTGCGGCACGTTGAACGCATCGATGCAGTCGATTCGAGCATGAGCGCAGTCCAGTCTCGCTTCAGGCAAGTACAGTCCCGCTTGGAGTCGCTTATTCAGGAGACGGGACGGGAACGTTTATGTTCCTTGCTGGGACTGTTTGCGGTATTCGTTGTTCTGCTATTGTTGGTACTCTATACCTAGCAATTGGCAACTGACAAGTTAGGACAATGGAAATTGCGTCATGTCCACGATCTTTGGTTCGAAACTTGTCTGGAAGCCTAAGGTCTCGCATAGCGGAAGCGATCGAGACGGCGGCTGGGTGCTCTCAGGGTATTCGGCACGTCGTAGCATAGGACATGAGCACCATGTTATGCGAGGCGTGAACCACGAGTGCATCAACTGCTGACGTCGGGTTACCGTTGGCCTCGCAGGACCCCAGCGTTAGCTGCTTTGAGCGATCGCATACGAACCATTCCCAATGGATATCAGGATACATGACTGGAGAGAAGCCATCTGGACACCGAGGAACGCTCGTTACCCTCGGTGTCATTAGTAGTTGCCGGCTTGGTGAATAATGCACATGTGTGGGTCCAAAGTCTCCTGGCGCTCTCAGCGAAGTCAGCAAGACTCCCGCGAACAATAGCACTATGCTTACAATCATGACACGAAAACGCTGCACGGTCAGTCCGTCGACAGCATTTCACAGCACCAGCGTCGAGTGCCAGCTCGTGCGCCCATGCGTCCAACAGGGCAGCGACAGGGCGAGGCGCTTACTGCGCCAGCCGTCGTCTCCGACGCCACCACTAGTATTCGTAATATTTGCGACACCAAGCTAGCGCCATAGAGACAACTTCGCAGTGTAATGCGTTGGTCAGGTGCAGCGGTTTCGCACGCCCACTGAAGGCATCGCTGCAGCGGGTTGCAACAACTAGTATTTGTAATATTAGCGACACCAAGCTAGCGCCATAGAGACAACTTCACAGTGTAATGCGTTGGTCAGGTGCAGCGGTTGCGCATGCCCACTGAAGGCATCGCTGCAGCGGGTTGCAGCACGCGCGCGCTAGGATCATGTAAAGTTACCAGCGCTCGATGCAGGTGCCATGTGTTACTTTTTTGAGAGCCCTGGTGTCCGAGTGCACATACAGATTGTAGAGCGCACATCTGGAACCCTGGTTGACGAACCAGGTTTGCTCCCAGACATGGCCACACCAGCGACCCAGGGAAAACGTGCATGCGACGCATGCGGACGGCCCGGCAAGAGCAGGTGTCAGCGCAGTTGTAGCTGTACGTCGCGGTACCGAACCGACTTGGTATTTCCATGGTGTCCTGGACGAGGCATCGACACTTGCGTATCAAACGCTCGAATTCATCATTACAACGATCCTCTGTCATGATTCGATCGTTCTGGGTTCAGGTTGTGAGCAGTGTTCGCACTTACCAGCCCACGCATCGAGAGCGTCTTGCGAAGACCTCTGCATATATGGAGTGATTCATGGCACAGGCTGCGCCCGTGTCAGATGAGCATGGCGTACCGAAACGCTCGTTCCGATCATGCCTTGTAATTTCCTACCCAATGTGTCGTTCACATCGATAAACTCGACATTCATGTTGGAGCAAGAACGGTTCATCGAGTCCAATGGTTTTACAGATTTTTTGGACAGAGCTTCTCGACGCCTTGCCACTACAGTTCCTTATGTTACCGTCATCATGATGATCGGCGACGTCCGTGAGACACAGTTCGTAAAGTAACCAATAGCTTCGTGTGATTCACGCGTACAAGCCTCCACGCTGCTCTCAGTCTCAAACGTAGCATGTTCGAATCAGGTATTCTCCATGTTTTCTATTTTTATGTTTCAAAACGACTTGGAGGCGCTGCAATGCGCTGCACTCCATGGATGACAATCAGTGACTCGAAGCTGTCCATTGACACCTGCATCATAAGCATCATGGCGAAATGCCACAATGCTACTGAAATCAAATAATCGGTTCCGTTCCAGAGACAGATACTCTTTTCTTGGTGTCCGTGGACAAAACGGGAATCGACAGCAGCATGATACCCCTCACGAGAAATATGCTCCAAAGCTCCGCTCTCTTCGGTTTGGACGGAACGACGTCTTGCACTCGGACACAAGTCACTGCTGCGATTGCCTCCAATGGTGCGTGCGTCACGGCCTGGCAAGACCAGAGCGTAGATGGATTGAAATCGCCCGACTTCAACTCCAGCTTGGATATCTCTTCCAGTCCGCGTGTTTATCATGGACAGCATCGCGTTCCATAAACCTCTACTGAATGGCACAGGGCGTGATTGCACATGCAACCGACAGCGTACGCACCGAGGGAATCGTCCAAGAAAATTCCGTTTTCGCTAGGGACGGCAGCGGGCGCGATAACGAAGGAACACGTATCCGGGAGCGCCTCCTGTACCCGTCGGTGGCATGTATCGAACGAGGAAGCGAGCGTTCACACGCCATTTGGGGCACTCCTCAAAGAACCAGGAGGTGCTGCAGACGTAGCGGAAACACCGCATCACAGTCTAGTGTTACTCGTGCAAGGAATACACCTGAACGGTCGATATCGAAATGAAAAAATGGAAAGCGACGCGTAGATCGCAACGTCCACCCGAGCCCCAAACCCATCGACCAATGCTGGATACAGCGATATCGGGACCAGAATCATCCGACCAACATCTTGTGACTGCTGACAACGAACCTCGATCATAAATCAAAGACTGACGTGTCTAAGAACGGAGACAAGGAAAAGGCAAATTCGTAGCAGAATCCCTCAAAGCCTTCTGTTGATGACAACTAGGGGAAACCAAAACATTTGTGCAAACATCAGAGCTAGCGTCTACAATGCCCAGCTGCTGAACGTCAGCATCGGTATAGATCGTATCGAGGCAGCTCTCAGTGTCCATATCCAACACGCTATTCGCCCCAGCAATCCACAAAAGAAACGAGTCGTTATCCAACCAAGTCCCGCGGGTGCATCTGCATCATCCGATGCGCGATACGCCCGGGCGCGCTCCATCGCCAGATGCGGCGATGCCAGATGCGGATTCCGCCAGGCGCGCATCGCCGCCAGCCCCTTGAATCCACACCACAGCAACTCGCAGGTACAGGGATGCTGGACGCTTTCTTATCAGAGACGAGCTCTGCTTCCGTGAATGTTGCGTCGTGTCTCTAAGCGACAACAAGAGTTCTGCAACGTTCTGACTCTGAGCTCGTATTATCGCACGGTACTGTGACTAGACGACTTGACGGGGTAGCGCAGGCTGCATCCGGTGTGACTGCGTGCTTCTCGTGCTGTGTTCGTGGCTGGTCTGGTCACGATTCTAGAACTGACTGACGCTGTGTTTGTGTTGTTACGTGCATGTTGGCACTTGATCGCTGGCTGCAGGAAACACCTATCCTGCTCGAGGGTGCTTCTCCAGACTTGAAACGGCAGCGGCTACGACGGAGCCTTCTCTGGGCGCTTCTCTCGCTGGTAGCCTCGCACCTCTTATGCTATCTTGATGTACCGGCTTTCCTGGAGATAGCCGAGCACCAACTGAAGGCCCCAGTGCTATTTTTGCGGGAGCATCGCGCTCGCAGTGTTTCGTCGACGGCGCTCGTGCGACTGGATCATAGCGATGTACGCGCGGCGCTAATCAGCATCATTTTAGCGCCGATTCTATGGAATGGACTCGCTCGCCTCGAGTACCACTATCGCCTGTGGACAAGAATGACACGGGGACGGAGCGTATTCGCACATCGGCTGTTTTCTCTCTTCATCATCGCATGCTCAACGATTCGAGAGTACTGTATCCATAGAGCTGTTCGAACGAGTTCAGTATGGAGTTTGACGCATCTTCACCACGGTGCGGAGATTGCTCGCGTGCTTCGCTTTTGGGGTGCGTTCTTGTACACTACTGGTGCTGTGCTCAGTTTGAGTGGGTTCTGGCGGCTGCGTCTCTACACGTACATGCCCGAGTATTTCGGGCTTTTCTGCTCGGAGATGGTTTCCAGCTTTCCGTTTAACGTTTTCTCAGATCCCATGTACTTGGGTAGTGCACTCATGCATTTCGGCTATGCGCTCTGGTGTCGTTCATCGACGGGGCTTGTGCTCGCTGTGGTGCTGTCGTTGGTATACTGGGTCGCTGCGCGGTTGATTGAAGAGCCATTCATGTACAAACTCTATGCAGAAGAATTCCGGCGACGTGGAATGGAGCAGCAACGAGAACATCTCGAGCACAGTGTCGATATCATACGCAGTACGACAGCGTGCGTCAAGATGGCGTCGGTGCATGCGTCCAAGAAATGCACTTGAAGGTACCCAAGCAGAAAATGCTGGCATTCTGTATCCGGTACAAGTAGCGTCAGCATCCTTGAGCAGAAACCTGCAAGCTTCTCGCGGAATCGTCCCGATTTGAGGTGATGTCCGTCTTTCGCTTGTGCAACTGGAAGAGTGGTCGTTTGCGCACCATCAATTGGTTCGAAGACGGAGCTTGTTATGAAAATAGAATATTCAGAGGCGCTTGAGAAGAATCAAGTGTACATTTTAAAATTTCGCTAACGTTCAGGTATCTGAAAGACTCCGTTCTGATTGATCGACTGCATACCCCGAGCATCTGCACAACGGCTAGACCTTGACATGAACTGGGTGCCTAAGCTCGAAACATACCGAGTCCTTCGCCTCGTTATCGTCTGCGTTCGCGTCATCGATGGAATCCTCCTTGAGCGGTGTATCACTGCGTTGGAAGAAAATTCTCGTTTGCGTCTGTTGCGTGCGAAATACCTGGACTGCCGCTCCGTTATTCTGCTGAGAGGCCAGGAACGAGCATACCTTGTGAACAACCTACAGGGCTTCAGGCTATCATGCCACAACGACCGAAGCGACCGAACAGAGCTAGGGGCGAGAAAAGCACACTCTGGCTCGTGTTCCTTTGGAGCGGTTTTTTTGGCGTTCTCGCGGCTGTTTGGCGAGCGATCATTGCCCCAAGCGGACCTTTTTCTATCCGCACGTGGTTCCATATTTGTGTCGACGTGGCTCGGGCTCGTCTCGCGGCCCCGTCGTGGAACGTCAGGCCGCTGGAACAGGTTACGGAACGTGCAGTTGCTATAGTAACCGGGGGTAACTCAGGTATCGGCTTCGAAACTGCACGCGGCCTCTGGCTGGCAGGCTACAACGTCATCCTGGCGTGCAGAAGTGAAAATCGTGGCCAAGAGGCCTGTAAACAAATACTGGAGACGGAAAGGCACCCATCGGCTTCGGCGAAGCGTGGTACGCTGACGGTGCTCCCGTTGGACCTGAGCGAGCTGTCCTCTGTTGTGGCGTTCGTAGAGCGCTATCATCAGCGCTGGAAGACTTTGGACCTCTTGGTACTGAATGCAGGCATCATGTCACCTTTTCGCTACGAGGAAACAGCCCAAGGTTACGAGGCACACCTTGGTGTGAATCATTTGGCACAGTACTTGCTGGTGCGTCTCTTGATGGATATGCTGGAGCAGCGTCGAGGTCGTGTGGTGCTTGTCAGCAGTATTCTCGCGCTGCTCGCGGATGACCTGAGCTGGCACGGTCCACAGTGGTCGAGGCAAGGTCAGTGGCCCTTCATGGCCTATGGATGGAGCAAGGCGTACAATTATATGCTCTCGCTGGAACTGCAGCGGCGAGGTCTGGATGCTCGGTGTGTGCATCCCGGTGAGGTTCGCACCGAGGTCGTCCGGCGACTTCCTTCTTGGGTCCAACGTGCCTATACCTGGATCGGATCGTTTGTGCTTCGTACACCTGCTGAGGGTGCTGCGACTGTCCTGTTCGCTTGCTTTGCACCATTAGCGGACGACGCCGATGAAAGGGCTGTATCGACACCGTCCAAGAGTGCACGGACTCCGTCGGGGAACCAGTCAGAGCAGGAGGTCACTGCCTTGACGGTTGCTCAGCGTGAGGCGCTCATTCTTGATGCTGGCACCCGGTTTCTCGCGATGCCGCTGTGGATGCGTGCCCCAGCGAATACACAGCAGCTGTGGATGCTCTCGGAACACGCTGTTGAGCCGTACTTGCGTACATCGACAGGTTCCTGAACCTGCCTTGTTCGGGGTATTGGTTTTTCTTCGGTAGCTGCGCTGCGCACGACCTCGAATGACCGCATAGCGGGGGCAGTATCCACCAAAGGCGCGCTGTAAGAGGAACTTTCATCGAGTCGCCGATGCAGGGTGCGTTTGCATCTGTACCTTGTAAGGCTCCGGACTGGCGCCGGCTGCTGCTTCATGGCGTGAACGTGAAAGCCTCAAGCGCAACAGATGCTTTTGCTCCTGCTGTTGCTGCTGCACTGAACGGGGCAAGTTTCTTGGTACCTGGAAAGCATGCAAGTTGTGTCCTGATCCGAAGCTGCACTAGCAGTGTAGAGGCTGCTGCCGTTACCGCAGAGGCATGCTGAACAGGCCATGTTTCTGGGTACCTGGATCGCACGTCCGCAATCGGCAGCGTGCACTCGGTACATTAGAAATCGTTCTTGATAGCATATGTAGGCCAGCAGCACTCTATTGTCAAGCAACCTGGCGTTGCCTGTACAAGGGCGCAGCGTATATTAGCGTGAGAAACCTTTGGCAGTACTCTAATACTCACCTGAGGCATCGTCATGGATGTTCTGCTTGCACATAGGCACCCAGCCTGCTCAGAGGCCTTTTGTCTCTGAATCGATGTAACATGGGCATTCGGGGCAACGCAGTGCCGCAAAACGAGGCCCTTGTAGCGCCAGACGCTGATACTTCGCACCAGGTGTACCGGCAATAGCCGTGTCCGGCTTCGAATGGACAAGCTCGGTACCCGCTTTGCCGCGCGTGACGAACACGAACAGGGCGGCTATTGCTGCTCGCTGGTCACTGATGTTGTCCAATGTTGCTTTGTGTTTCGTTTCGCGGCTACAGACCGAGCAATGCCGCAGGACAAAGATGCCCACCGAGAAGTTTCAAGGATGCCAGCGAAACGCTCTGCTATTCATTGGATTTGTGTTTTCGCCATTGCAGGCAACTTTTCCATGGACCAAGACAGTGGAGTATAATGCTCTTATCTTGTCGACCAGAGCCCGAAAGCGGAATCCAACAAATACTCGCAAGCGCGCGCTCGAGGACAAGAACTCGAAAGCAAGTTCCCAGCGCGGGTACCACTGCGGACAACGAACGCCAACGCTGGTGCCCGTCGACGCTGGTTTTGTGCAAAATGGACCACCTCTGGGATCCCTGCAGCTCGGTAATTGCTGAGTCTCAGAAGCCTCGAATTCTGTGTGCTGAACACGTTGCTGCGATAGAGCTTCCCAGCATCTGCCGCTGCCGCAGCATCTCTATGCATGCACGCTTTGCCGACAAGTGCTAGAGCCGCTGTGGATTCTCCCGTCTCTCAGCAGTGGCACTGCCGGTGTCCTTTGCTTCGAATCAGGACGATATCCGCTGACTAGCGCAGTCGTTTCGCAGCATTCGGTACAGCGCAGAAGCTCGCACTCTTCTGTTGCATGTTTGCTGTTCTCGTGGTGCCGTTTACCCAAGCTCGCACACGAGACGACCTGATAGAAGCGGATTTGCGTATTCACCTTAACACAGGATGTCCGAGGGCGTCTTACTCGAGACGCACTCAGGAAACAGCCAGAGAGAAGCATCTCTGCGGGACAGCTTCCACAAATTACTGTATGTATCCTACGCCCTGTTGACTACTGGATGCATATGTATTACTTTCGATTAGGTTGTGGAGGGACTTCCAATTTCGTGTGTGTGTGTGTGTGTGTTTGCCTATGTGTGTATGAGCAGGGAGTGTTGTGAGAAACTGCCCGCATGATTCATAGGTCATCAGTACCTGCTTCTCTTCCTTCTTCATTGACTTGAGTGTCCATAGATCCATGGGAGAGACTTTACGGCATCCGGCATGACCAGTGCAATCCACTTGTATTGCTAGACGATCTCGAGAATCGATTGAATCTATACGCGATAAATTTTGTGAACGAAGCTGTCACAGCTGACGAAAGCATACCATTCGGGTATCGAGTACGCGCTTCCGATGCTGGAGAACAGCGTCATCGGCACCAGGTACCACTTCCTCGACACCGTGTTCGCGGGTCCACGACGAGAGGTATCAGTTTGGGACTTGTGTGGTTAGGCGAAGGGAGCACGTTTCCCGTCCGGAGCAGCTCCAAGCCAAAACCGAAAGTTTCTCGAATAGATATCGATTGTGCCTGGAAAGCCGGCGAGCAGGCGTCAGGCACGTGGCGTCGGACGAGTGTTTGTTTATTTGTCTGGCTATATGGGTGTGGAGCTTCGTTCGACACCAGTGTCCCGTCCAGGCTTTGAAGCCAAACCTCCAAGTCTGTAGGCAAGGCTCGTTTCGCACTGCAGACAGGACCTGGACAAGTCAACCAATCGTTCTTTAAGAATAGCTGGTGCGCTCCGGTGCCTCTACGACCGCTGTAAATACTGGGAGTTTGGGTCCCTATGAGCGAGCAAGCGCAGGAATCACTGCCGCCGCTAACGCCAGGCTACCGTGAACTCCTGGTACGTCTGTTGCTAGCGTCAACAGCGGTTGCGACGCAGCCGTCAACAGCGCTCGAGTCGACGCAGTACCTGGAGCGCTTGGAAGCTGAGCACCCTGGACTATTTGTCCACGGGCTCTTGGAGCTTGCGCTGGACACGAGTGGAGCGCTAGACCTCCGCGTCCTGAGTGCGATCTGTGCGAAGAATGCGGTAACAAGGCGCTGGTCCCACTACATTGCTCAGCGTGTCTCCGACAGGGAGCGTCACCGGGTTCATCAGTTCCTCTGGCGAGCACTGGACTCTACCGAACAGCCCATATCACGAGTGATACTTGAGGTTACTGCGGTGGTGGCTCGTTACGACTACCCCAAAGCATGGATCAACTTACCCGAACAACTACTCGCGTGGTGTCCAGCCACTGCCCCACTCGAAAGACAATACCGCTGGCTCGTGATTGTGAACCACATCTGGAAGACCTTGAGCCGTCATCGAAGTCGTTCCCAGCTTGAACATGTGAGCGTTATGGCACGTTCATTATGGCATCGCCTGGTCGACCTGTGGTTCCGTTTGTGGAACCAGAACCTCGCAGCGTGGTTGCCTGGACTCGTACCGGCACCGGCGAGTTGCTTCTGGCAGCCAAGTGCCGACCAGCTCGACCTCTGGTTGGACTGCGTCCGGGAAAACCTAAAAGGACTACGACGTCTAGTAGCGCAGGAGGTTTTCCAGGGTCCAGACGCCAGCACGCTGATAGCGTTGCTGCAGCATTGTACACATGTAGAGCGATGCCTCGCTGGTGTTGTTGGGCATGCGGCTGCTGCGCGTCTGCGGTATCTATTGATCAAGTTCAAGTACATTTGCTTTACGAATCACCGCTCTATCGAGGATTTTCCTCTTTCCATGTTGTTACCTTGGAGCGAAGACATTTGTGCGATGCTCTTACAGGTACCAGAGAAGCGCGAGCGCTCAGATGCGGCGCTCGACGAGTCCAACGAACGTCGCAGCCTCTACGCAATGCGCTTTCTCCGAGACATTCTCGGCGAACTGCGGGATCTGGAAACCGCTGATGATATCGAAGAAGCCTGTCTAGCTGCCTGTGGCGATATCGGTGCACAGCGCGCACTCGAGGATCGGCATCATCCGGTATGGACGACGCTGCAGGCACTGGTGAAGGCACAGTACGCAGCGCTGACTTGTGCCCTGCTCGATCGCTTTGTGCGACTCTCGGCGACGGAGCTGGCCACCTGGCTAGAGCGTCCCGCTGCTGCATGCTACGACGATGAGGAATCGGAATGGAACGACGATCAGATGCGTTCACTGGCGGAACAAGTGTGTGCAGCGCTGGCCGCCATTGATGCGGATGCCTTTGTCACCACGTTGTCTGCCCGAATAGGCGCCTTGCGAGCTGTACATGACTGGCTCGGCATTGAGGCTGCTTTTCGTGTCCTGGGACGTGCAATATCCACGCTGGGCGACGCCCTGGACACCAGGGCGCTCCTAGAGTCGATGCTGTACCCGCTGCTGCAGAGCGAAGGCGCTGATGCGGCGGAGCTGTTCCTGCAGGCTCGTACTGCAATCCTCACGGGTCAGTGCGGTGAGCGTCTCCCGAAAGTGGATCGTTGTCGGTTGTACGGGGCGTTGGTCTCAAAACTCGGGGACGTGGCGTCGCCAGCGCACCTGGTACGCGCCTTCGGAGCCGCACGCGGATTGCTGATGTTGCTCTGTGATCTCGGATTCTGTGCGGATGACTTTTGCCCTTATTTACCGGATGCGATGACTCATGTTTTCACGCTGATGGAAGCATGTACGGAGGAGCCGAAGTCCATGTCGCAGCTGCTGGATCTGGTCGTTGTTCTAGTAGAATCTTGCCCAGGCGCGTTTTTCGACGTGCACGACACTGAGAGCATGATCTCTTGGATTAGTGTTCGCCTGTGTGACGTTATGGAGCGGCTCTTCTTCGGTGGACACGACGACGGAACCCTGCACCTGGTGCGTTGCCAGCTGGTAGCGCATCTGACACGCCTTCTTGCCGCTGATCGAGGCGGGGTGCTTGCACGTCAACCAGCCGTCATAGCGCTGGCGTTAAGGATGATCACGTTTGGCATCGGCTACGGGAGTGATGCCTCGACATACCTCATAGATGATGCATTCGAGTTGCTTCATCGCGTGCTGCTGGTGGCTTCCGAATACGACGTAGTACTGGATCGCCTATTTTACTCTGTCATGGATTGGCTCGGAAACGGTGACCTGCTGCGTCCAGTGCTTCGGGTTGTACGCGCCTACGCCATGCTCGGAGGCTGTGTCTGGTATGCTCGGCACGCTGGAGCGCTCGCTGGACACTTTGGCAACCTCTATGCTTCGGGATTGTCGGATCGAGTTGTCGCAGAGCTTTCGGAGCTGCTGCTTGCTTTGTTCGCCTGTGCAGATGACGCAGAGCGATTTCACAAAGACTTTGGGATCCTGCTCGGTGCACTGGAGAAGGATCTCCACGCTGGTCAGTTTGGTTGCGGCCCGCGAGCGAGCATCGCTGTCCTTCTGGCTACTGCTCTGCGTGACCATGTGCTGATGGATGATGATCTCGCGAGGATTTTCCTCGAAGCGGCTGCGGTGACGTTCTCGACGACCCAGCGAGCGCGCTTGGCTCTGCTCTTGGCCAAATACTTGGACGCGCATGAGGGCCAGCATTGTTTGCATAGAGATCGCATCCTGCGGCTGCTACGACAAGTGCATCGTGAACTTGGCGAGGACTCGACCCCCGACGATGATCTGTCGGCACACAATGGCGATGTGGAGCACGTTTCCGGTGTACCTGGGGACACGGGCCTGCTTCCAGATTGTACAGCGCAGGACATACGTGGTGAATGGAATCGCCTTGTTGAACGACTGCTCGCTAGACACATGTCAGATTAAACTTAAACGCTGAGTTGCGGGTCGTATTGATGGCTCTTGATTCTTTGTGGGACTTTGACATGTACAGCCCCGAGTTTGGGAGTCAACAATAAGCGTATAGGGATGCTTACGAGTATTTTGGTGATTCTTGGTTGTGTTTCTCGGAACGGCTATATTGCGGCTCTGTGTCACCGGCATTCGTTCCATCACCCCGGGATCAAGAACATTCGCTGTGACCTCAAAACAAGGCATCGCATATGAAATGATGCAATGATCTCATGCATAGACAGACAATACCATTCGTTTACTGGCTCCGCATGTAGCGTGGTGAAATCATGTATGGTTCCCGTTTTTTGTTTTTCGTTTTTCGCTCCGTACTGGGCGACGCTTGCGCAAAGGCGGCGCAGGAATGCTCGGAAGAACACGAAGCGTATCGATGAAGAACACGGTTGTTGACTTGCGACATGGAGCTCATGAGCGTTATGTGCATCTTTGTTTCGCAGATTCGAAGGAACTCACGGACTGCTTTAGAGCGAAAGAGCGAGGGAAGTGAAATGAAAGCAAGACGGATCGATTCGCACTACATGGACAAGATGTAGTGTTTCGCTTGGCGGCCAAAAGCGTTGCAATATCCATCGTTATCAACCGCTAAAGTAGGATCTAATTCAGTACCCCTTCGGAGCTTAAATGCAATCCTGCACTTCTGAGGGAATACGCGGAGGAGCGACGAGCGATATCGCAGTGTCGTTTCGCGGGCATGCTCGCCGGTGTGATCTGCATCGGCCCGTAGCCAAGGCGTACGAGACTCAGCACCTGCACTTTCGTGACATCCAAAGCCAAGTCCGACATTTCCTTGGTAACAGGCAACGCTCTTGATCAACGAGTTTCGAGCACGTCGACCTGCTTCCGCGAGGAGTTTGTTCCCAGCGCATGCACGTCGTAATTTCTCAGCGTTTGCGAGTGAGTGAAATTAGGGTACGACCTGCAAGCGCGTGATCGAAACAGACCGGATTCGATGACGCCCTATTCGAATGATCCCAAGCGGACTGAAAATGCATGGGCCATGTAAACGAGTCGATTAGGTACCATGGTGCTCGCCACGCGCATTGGCATGTGTTATGGAAAGGGAACGCGGAGATCGAAGAGAGAGCCAGGAAGCGGATCGCGAGGTATCGAATAGGATAGCGTCTGCCTGCGCCTGCAGCGGAAACCGTACACGCTGAGCGGGTTGTCCAGCAGAGGCTTAGGATACGAGGGTAAAAAACCGGACTCGAAACTGGAGAAGCATATCCTGGCGATCCGTCTACACCAGTCGAGGGCATGCACCGGGCAATGAAACAAGCGGTCATGCGCCTCAGGGCGGCGCTCGGAGGAGGACGAGGTTTAAGGGATTTCCATGGGCACCTACCTACCGCCAAGCGTCTCTTTGCGGGCCGCAGATCGAGGCTCTGTACATCGAAGATGAACATAGCAGCCGTGACGTAGATCGGAAACACCGGCTGTGCTTTGCATGCGTCGACAGCAGCCGAATTTGGCACGATCAGGGTCTTAAAGCGGCCTTCATGGTCCCTGGGCAGCAAACATCAGATCTGAAGCGAGCCGAGTGAACGTCGTACTTGAACCGGGAGATCACTGGGAGGAAACCAAGCAGTCGCCTTAAAAGCCACCAAATGCACGTGTTGGCGTCCATGAGAGGCAAACAAAACGTTTTGCGTGGACGCCCCAAATCAACGGGCACGTTCGATTTTCGTCTGATCTTTTTGTCGAGGTTTCTGAAGCGTTTAGGTATAGAACCTCGGGAATTAGTGAAGCCTGCATCCGAAGAATGCGTTGTAATCGGGGTAGCGATCACCCAGAGACGGGCAGCGCCCCATTCGACTTTGGCAGCTTGTCGAGCCGCTGACGTCTCGGAGACGCCGTCCGTAGCGGACCTATCAAGCGGTATGACGATCGAGAGGCCGTGGGCGAGCACTCTATATCGCAGCTCAGCAGCATTCATCGACGGGTACCTATCACAAGAGTAGCGGACCGGTTCTCATGTGTTGATCGGTGATCCACAAGGAACTCAGCCAGCGCGATTGCCAGCCACCGGAGCGCGTTTTTCTCCGTCAAAGCGACCTGGTTATCAAGCTGAAGGCAGGCGCAGCGAGTCACAGCCAGCGTCCATGGCCTCAGTGTGCTTCCGGGGACGTGATAGTACGCACGCCGGCACTTGTCTACCGGCAGCGCAAAATACCGCTGCACCCCGCGTTGAATGACAAAAACAGTGCAGCATGAATATCACACATCGGTAGAACCTCTGCCTGTGGCGTGCGGCTCTATACACGCTCGGACCTGGTGGCGTAGTCTCCAGACGATTGCCGCGTACCTGTTTCTATTCACGATTCCGATTATTACATAAGCGCCGTGCTTCAAAGCGAGAACCTCTCCAATCGATGCCGGTGGCTTTCCTGTGACGACGCCAGTGCTCCGTAGCGTCCCTGGTTGTGCAGAGCCGGCTCCATCACAGAGTATCGACGCCGCCGCAGAGCACCAGCGGTACCGGCGACGGGTCCGTGGAGCGCGCGCCCTGCCGCCTAGACGTCTGTGGCACGCAGTGCACTGGTAGTGCACCCGATGACCAGAGCCCCCGAACAGAAGCGCTGGTCAAGGAAAATGGAGCTAGGACGTAGAGAGACGGATGTTATCGCCAGCGTCCGGCGCACAATCGAGGATCCCGCAGTTCGTAGCAACCTTCGATCGAGCCATGAACAGCGCACCCGATAGCCGTTACGGATTTGCGGGGTGGCGCGCGCGCCAAATGCGCACGCACGCATGCACGCACGCACGCACGCACGCACGCACGCTGCCAATATTTTTCGAGTTTCAGCTGTGTCAAGCACGTGAAGAAAAAGCGCTTCTGCTGCTGTGTTTGTGTTCCCAGGCGGTACCAACGACAGGTCCGTGTTCTTTTTTCCTATCCGATGGAAAGTCTGGATGTTATAGAGGCGAACATTGGCGAGAATGCTCCGGTTCCACGTTGGAAACGGCGCCAGCAGCGCCAACTCGCCGAGCAGCTCGCCAGAGCCGACTCCGCGAGGCCCGTGTCCATTCGCTCCCACGACGACAACGAAACACGCTCCGTTCTTGAGCGCAGCAACTCAGCTGCTGCTGTTCTTCGGGAGAGAAACCAGATAACCAGTCCATCGTTGGTTCATCGGAAGCGCTCCCGGTCCACGTTACCGAGTCCAGCATCGCATGCTGCGTCCCCGCGTTGCGACCGCTTCATTCCCGATCGTTCTGCCATGGACCTCGAACTGGGTCGTTTCGTGATGACGGCTGCTCTGGGTCGTTCCATCACACCAGGAACAGGGCCAGCGGAAACGCTGGAAAGCGTAGAGGGTTCACAGGCCTCGAGAACAGAGGTGACTGTGGAGCGCCCAGCCTGGGGCTCGGGCGCATTCAGTGCTCCAGAGCATGCTGTGCATACGCATGAGCTACTCGATGACCGAGCGAATCGGCCAGGTGCATCTTCATCATCGCCGACCTCGAGTACCTACCAGAGGTCGGGCACCCTCAGTAGCGCACAGAGCTGGGCCTCTAGCCTCGACACGTTTTCTTCGATACCGAGCACCGCAGACGAACTCACCGGGGAGTGGCAGACAAGTGACGTGCGCTCGCCAGCGCGTCTGGCTGCAGCCGCAGAGAAGATTCACGCACCTGGAGCAGTCGACCCTCGACAGCTCGCCCAGAGCCTAGAGTACCGGAGCCAACTCGCTAGTGAGCTTGGTACCGCTGGCTTGCTCGGCTCCGTGATTGATAGCCCCAGCGATGAACCATGGCAAGCACACGAAGACACCAGCGGACTTGGCAGTCGACAGACGGCAAAACGAGGTAATACAGCCGAGTCCATGCCCGGCAGCGGTACCAAAATCCTCGCCTTCAAACCGAAACCCCCGGTGCACCTCGGCGATAAGGCTGCTCATGCGGCTATCGCTGTGGTCTATACGCAGAACCGCCTCGGTGCAGCTTGTAGACGACACCTCCATCGACATATCCCGAGTGCGCCGGAGCGAATCCTCGATGCTCCCGAGATGGTTGATGACTACTATCTGAACCTGTTGGACTGGAGTGCCAACAACGTGCTGGCGGTGGCGCTCGGTTCGGCGGTTTACCTCTGGAATGCCAGCACTGGTGGCATTGAGCAGCTCACTGACCTTGCACCTGGGGATCAGCACACCAACCAAGACTATGTGTGTTCGCTTAAATGGGTCCAAGGCTCTGGTTGCGCTCCGCATGCAAACGCAGAAGCTTCAGCACCGTACCTAGCAGTAGGGACCGCCTTTGGTCACGTTCAAATCTGGGATGTTGAAGCGAACAAGCGGCTGCGAACGCTGCGAACGCACCAGGGACGCGTCGGCTCCCTGCACTGGAACGGACCGCTGCTGTGCTCGGGCAGTCGGGACAGCACCGTGCAGCTTCATGACGTGCGGGAAGCACGCCACCTTGCCTCGACACTTGTAGCGCACGAACAAGAGGTCTGCGGCCTGCAATGGAGTCCGAACGGTATGCAACTGGCTACGGGCGGTAACGATAACCTGCTGATGGTTTGGGATCGTCGCGCACTGCAGCATCCACGACTCCGTTTCGATGAGCACACTGCTGCGGTTAAGGCACTCGGCTGGTGCCCCTGGCAGAGTCATCTGTTGGCGTCGGGTGGTGGTACCACCGATCGCATGCTGCGCTTCTGGAATACCCATACGGGCGTCTGCTTGCAAGCCGTCGATACCGAGAGCCAGGTGTGTGCGCTGCAGTGGAGTATGCATTATCGGGAACTCGTCACGGGCCATGGATTCAGCCGCAATCAACTTGTAGTCTGGAAGTATCCCGACCTGAACAAAGTCGCTGAGCTAACTGGCCACGGGGCACGCGTCCTGCACCTAACCACCTCACCGGATGGTCAAACCGTGGCAAGTGCTGCCGCCGATGAGACGCTGCGCTTTTGGAAGATTTTCCCCAAACCCCAAACGAGTCGTTTCGGAGTGGGCAAAGCCCTGCTCGCTGGAACAGCGCGGGAAACGCTGGTGCCCGAGGACACCAGGCAACTTGCGCATGCTGGCACAGCCTCGTCGTCTTCCAGCAGCCAAAGATCTCATGCAGGTGACAGGAGCGCTTCAGCAACCGGGCGCTTACCTTTCACAGCGATGTGGAAGTCGCTCGGTTCGGCGGAAAGCGCCCCAGCTGGGGATACGGATGCATCGCCCGCTGTCGAAGGCACTCGTTTCACAGAGGCATCAGCGTCGGCCTTCGTTCGTGTATCCGCTGCTCGCACAGCGGATGCTTCGCGCACGGGAGACACAGCCTCGATGACGACACTGGAGCAGCTTTCGTCGCTGCGGAATGAACTGAACCGACGGATCGGAAGCCGACCCTTGACGACCATGCGCTCAAGTGCGATACGTTAAGGTTGCCTGCTACTGTTGCTGCTGTGCATTGAATGCTGCTCACAGGAGCGGCGTTCGCGTAACTCCTCCTGGGGCACCCGTCAAACGCGGTGCTGCATCTCGGAATGCCAGGGCATGACCCCTGCTTGCAGCCTCCCTCCGCTTCGTTGTTGCACGGAACGCAGGCGCGCTCTGCGGCATGAATAGCATGCTCATGGTCGTCGCAGAGGCTGCTGTCCTCGACACCGTCACAGCAGAGTGCTTGCGGGCATCACATTCCTGATAGGCATGCTACTGGCCGTTGATATCTACGCGGTTGGCGCTACACTTGTCGCGATGGTGTTTCATCGATAGTTGGCGCAGTACGCGCACCAGAGTAAAAAGGACCGCGATGCTGCCTGATGAAAAGTTCCCAGTGACTGCTGCTGCTGTGCGTTCGGCGTTGGCAATGAGCGTTCCTCAGCTGAATGCGTCCGGGCATTCTCTGAAGATGCGGGAAAGAAGCAGCCTGGCACAAATCATGGAAAGGCGGGGCTATTTATAGTTATGCCCAAACTGCTGAAGGTCAACGGGCTCTTTTTCCAGAAGTCATCAGTGGACGCGCTGATACCCACGGTGTGGAGGCAAGCCGCACACGCCCTGGTGTAGGGTTCCACGGGTATTCGCGGCGTGAATGCGCTTACCACTCGTGGGAGCGAAAAGAGCAGTCAGAAACAAGAGCCTGCTTCTCTATCGTTGAGCGCGTCATATGCTTACTGGATTTGCGGGACGTCAGGCACAGCCGCTGGAACCTATCGTGGCAGGCACCTCCTACGCAAGCCCTAGAAAAGAAGGGATTCTGAATTCGTCAACTGCATGTGCCTTTTTGTTGTTGTTGCTATTGCTACTGACGTCTGGTCGGTGGGAAACGACGGACTGGAGTGCTATCTGTGGTGCCTGAGTTTGCTGCTGCTTCGTCTACACCGGCGTCGGTATGAAATGGAACCTAGACCTGCTCGCTCCATTCTTGAATTGAGATTTTGTCCCGAATTTGTTTTCGATAATCAGGCACAACGTTCCGAGTACAGCGATAATGGCTCAGGGACTAGTTCGTAGAATGAGGATTGTTGGTGAGCCTTAAAGGGTGCTTCTTCAACGCCCTGCCGCTCGGTTTCTCTACGTCACTGGAATTACGACGATTTACAACACCGCCGAACACGGGTTCGTACCAAAACCATCATCATCATCATCATCATCTTATGCGAAGGCATGAGCCTTCACTCTGTTTCGTTCCTCAGGTGTGGCATGCTGCAATGCCGCTTGCCTCAAGTTTTCCATATTTCTGTTTCAAGGCCTTTCAGGGCTAACGTCATGGGCACCGGCAGGTCGACGCCGAGCAGCCATCAAAGCCGTCCTCGACGTCTTCTCTTGAAAGGCTCACAACGAACAATCCCGACACTTTTCATGCCAAATAATCGATACCGTTCGAGACGCCTATCATCATCATGCTAGGGTCATTGAAGGAAAGGCGTCCAACAGCATTCGCTAGATTCCTCTTATCCGACATGCTTTCAGAGGCTCGCTTGCCTTTCGTTTGCATGGGAATGTATATCTCGGACTCGGACATCTGGTATCGCTGCATTGACCTCTGGCGGAGAGTGCGTCACTGCATTGTCCCAAGGGAGCGCAGAAGAATCGAACGTTCTTGTGCGGCTCTCGACACTGGGTTTTCATTCCTGTACGCGATCCATCATGGACAGGATTGCGTTCAACACGTCCTTGTGCTAAATAGGACAGCATACGTTACCGTATGCATCGGATGAGGTACTCGCCAAGGAAAACGCCTCAAAAAAGCATGTGATTTTAGAGTACGAGTGTAGGGCGCAAGAATGGAAACGGGCCTCCAGCGCAGCCTTCTCTCCCCGTCGATAACATGCACCTTGCGGTGAAGCAGGTGTTCATGCTCCACAGGGCCGTGTCCGACGGAGCAGCTGCGATGGATATACGATATCATCTGACGACTGGCAAGCGCCACCGCAGCACATGGCGCACCGAGACTGGGCATGATCAAGCTGAAAATGGAAAGGGAATCGTAAATCGCAACTTTGGGGAGTCTGTGTGTGTGTGTGTGTGAGGCATGCTGAGAAAAAAGCTGGAAGCGGTGAAATCGGTACTGTAATGCAGCTATCAACATCCTCCGACTGCTGACAAGACAGCGCGAAGGAAACGAGAGTCCAGCGTATTTCAAGCCGGAAATAGGAGAGAGGGCAGGATGCAGTTATGGGAAAAACCCGAATAGGCTGGTGTTGATCACAGTGGAGTGAGCGACTCGAGCTTTAGCGTAGACGCCTGAGTCAGCACAGTGGACCCATTCCATTCCATTCCATTCCAGTCTAGTCTCGTCTACTCCAGGCTAGGCAACACAGAAAGCACACACATGGCTAGCTTTACTGTGAATCCAACGGACTCGTGTACCGGTCAGCTGTGACATCTGGACAGTTCCTGGTCTCTCCGCTGCTGCGCTCCTTCTATTCGCGTTTGTTTTCAACTCCGCCTACCTAAAGCGTCCATTCCAAGCCGAGCGCTCGACGCCAGCATACGCAACAAATACCGTACCACTTTTGAACAGTATCATAGCGTCGAGGCTTGCAAACGAAGACAAGCGCTGCATCCAGCGGCTGCGCACGCAGTCGACGCGCTCTGAGCCTACGGAACACGTCAACGCTGCACGTGCGGAAGGTCCTGCTCGTTCCTCGTCCGAGCAGACGAGTTACCAAAGCGCTCAGGGTTTCGATGACGCTCCAGCTACGCGCGTTTACTCCAGAGTGATACAATTACTAGCGCGCCAAGTCGGCTGAGTAGCCTCGTTACAACGATTCTACTCTGCTCTGACCGCGAAAAGCTTATGCTGGATGTGCATACTCCGCCAAGTCATACGCTAAGCGTAACGAAGAAGTTGCTTCTTCCCTCGGGGCAAACGTATGCGCCCAGACTGAGAGCTCTCGCGACGTCCGCACCTCACGTCAGGATTCGGAGCCGGTTCAGCTCGGATCGACGCGCCAGCACAATGCCAAAAAGTTCTGTCTGCACAGGTTTAGGCCACAACATTGAAAGTACAACGCATTTCAGTTCGTTGCAGTGCAGTTTCGAAGACAACAAGGCGTGCCTGCGGTAGTCCCAGTGGAGTCATACGCTGCGAACTTGCCACTGCGGGGAAACCGCACCATATGACCATTGCGCAGCAGTGGTGCTCTCGGCGAAGCGTTCACGGGAAACTTGCTGGAGTCGGGGTCTCGGAACACTTCCAGGAAGCCTGCTGAACAAGCGACTCACCCTCGATCTATACCAGGGAAGCAGCCTAGGCGAACCGCTGTGTCCGACACACACACACACGTAAAGACTGGCAAAGGTTGTTCCGGAGCTCGTGTCTTCGCAGTCGTACAAACGGCTCGCGCCGTCGAACGAGGCTTCCAAGAAAGCGCGTACGCAGCTGTTCCGCAATGCCGCTTCCGTCAGCACAGACGCGTCGCTTTATTAAAAGAGCAAGAGGTGCTGGTGCCACTGGGCAGGCCTCGGTGCTCCGCGTCTCCCGGGAGCACTACTTGCGGAGTGATCTACCGCTGCCTCCGGAGCCAGCCCTGCGGCCGTTTCTCTTGGTACCCGACACGAACGTAGTGCTGCGTGCAGCGAGCCTTTTCGAACTCGATGCCGTCCAGGAGGTTGTCTTTTTGCAGACCGTGCTGCAGGAGACCCGCAAACAAAGTCCAGAGACCTACGATCGCATACGGCGACTGTTAGCTTCCCCGGAAGCGAAGCGCCGACACCTCTACCTCTTCAGCAATGAACACTGTGCAGCAACGTTCTCGGAGCCACTAAAGGGTGAGTCACCAAACGACTACTACGACCGGCTGATTCGCAAGTCTGTGGCGTGGTTGAATACTCAGTACAACGCACTGCAGGGGCCGCGAGTGGTGCTCCTCACCGAGGATCGCGAGAACGCTCGTCGAGCCAGAGACGATGATCATCTGGTTACCTTCAGCCTCGCGCAAGTGGATGCATGGTGTGCGGGCGCTGCAGACACGCGAGTTAGGGACCTAGTGGCAGACTCTGGCGGTCACCATGATGCAGCACTGAACGAAAGCGCTTCGGAAAAAGCGCATGCAGCACCTGCGTCCAGGACGGAGTCTGCGCCCTACCCGGAGTACTGGCCAGTCGACAAGGTTGAACGCGCGCTCGCCAGTGGTAAACTGTTCCGTGGCGTATTTCGTGCAACCATGTATGAGCCGTTGGAGAGCGGTGTAGTGGTCATTCGGTCGCCAGCGGGAAATGCGGAGCCCCAGAAGACACAGGTCGCCACACAAGTGCAGCCAGCGCTGCGCATTCGGGTCCAGGGCGCTGCCGCCGTGAATCGTAGCGTTGACGGAGACCTCGTCGCTGTGCTACCACTGGACGGCGTTGTCGACGGAGCAGCCAGTGCTGGTCGAAATGCGATACCGACCATCGACGCAGACGCCTTCAGTAGCGTGACAGAGCAGGTGGTGACAGCTGCCTCTGCACTGGGATCCGAGTCCTCGGATCCGCTGGCTTCGACGCCTTCCCAGGGGCCTCGTCTTGGGAAGATTGTTGCAGTGCTTGAGCGCCGTTGGCGTGCGCAGTACTGTGGATCGCTGCAGGCCAAATACACCGCAGATACATTGAGTTTCCAAGGTCGCAGACGACACCTCTTTTTGCCGGTGGATCGGCGGATACCCCCGATCCTACTGGAGACACTGCAGGCAGCGTCTCTCTACGGCAAGCGGGTGGCTGTTGCTCTTGATCGCTGGGATACCCAATCGCGTTTCCCGGTTGGTCATGTGGTCAGCGTGCTGGGGCGCATTGGCGATGAGCAAGTCGAAACGCAGGTTTTGCTTCTGGAGAACGGCATTGTGACCCGACCGTTTTCGGAGGCGGCGCTAGCGTGTCTGCCTCCACCAGACTTTTCCGTTGCGCCTGCCCCGATGGATACCACGCTGGTTGGTCGCCTCGATTTGCGGTCTATGTTTGTTTTCAGTATCGACCCACCGGGGTGCACCGACATCGACGATGCGTTGCACTGCCGCCTCGTGGATCGGAGCAATGGACAGGGAGCAAATGCGAGAGCGTCGACTCGCCTTCAAGTTGGCGTGCATATCGCTGATGTGGCGAGCTTCGTTCGAGCAGGGACAGCACTCGATGAAGAGGCACGGGAGCGTGGCTGCACTGTCTACCTGGTGGACCAGCGCATCGAGATGCTGCCGGCGCTGCTAACGAGCAACCTGTGCTCGCTGGTTGCGGGCAAGGATCGGTATGCGTTCTCGGTTCTCTTCGAGTTGGACGTTGAATCTGCCCAGATTAACGATGTCCAGTTTACACGCAGCATGATTAGGTCACGAGCATCGTTGACCTACGAACAGGCTCAGTTGATGCTGGATGCATTGGTTGTCGACAAACAGAGCGCGAAGCAACTGGGGATACCGCCCGAGCTAGGCGAAGCGCTGCCGCTTCTAGCCCGCGTTGCAGGAAGACTGCGGGCTGAACGACTCGCCAATGGTGCGCTCATTCTCGCGTCACCGGAGATCCGTTTCGAGCGAGCGGATGGTGAGAGCCCGAGTCCCAGCGTTGGTTCAGGCTCCAGTTGTCGCAGTTTTGACACGCACCACCTCGTCGAGGAGTTTATGCTGCTCGCAAATGTGACGGTAGCTAAGCGCATTGTGCACCAGTTTCCGCACTCGGCGTGCTTGCGCCGACATCCTCCGCCGAGTGTCGAGCAGTTTGAGCCACTGGTACGGGCGGCAGCAGCATACGGAATCGAGATGCACGTGGATTCGTCCAAGGCGCTTGCGGCAAGTCTCGACGCCGTCTCAACGACCTCAGCTGGCCAAGAGGACCCACTGCTGGAAGAGCTGTTTCGGATGCTTGCAACTCGTTGCATGATGCAGGCTGCATACTGCTCCGCTGGCTCGGCTCCTGCGTCATCCTACTACCACTACGGACTCGCAGTGCCGCTGTATACCCATTTCACGTCACCGATACGGCGCTATGCCGACATTATTGTACATCGCCAATTGGCAGCAAGCTTGGGGTATGAGGATGCTCCTGGTGAGTTGCTCATGAATGAGCAAGTCGAACGTATCTGTGAACACGTGAACGAACGCTATCGCAATGCACAGGCCGCAGGACGAGCGAGTTCTGCGCTCCATGTGTTGCTCTGGTTCCATCGGCAATGCCAACGCCCAGCTCATGAAGCACGCGATACGGCCTCGATGCTAGAGACAGACGGCCGAATTCTGCGATTCTTGTCGACTGGATTTGTGGCGTACCTGCCCAAGTTTGGTATTGAGGGCGTCGTTCGCGTAGACGGTGCAGAGACCTCCTGGGTATTGAGCCCTGATTCGCAAACGATCCTCCATAAGGACTCGGGAGTGACGTACCGTATTTTGGGCGCTTGTCGTATTCGAATTGTTATTGATGAAAATGCTGTCGGTGCCGATCGTATTCGATTCGAGCTGCTTCCTAGGAACGCCAACAACGCCGTTCAAAGTCGAACGACGTCGGGCGTGTGCAGTAGTGGCGGCAACCGCGCCCAAGACGAAACGTCTCCTACTGACGTACAGATGCCACCAAAATAACATACCATCGGAGGAAATTCCCTTATACCTCCCCTGCGGTATTCCTCGGCGAGCTACGTCGAAGCTCATCTACGATCGTTGTGATCTCTAAGCGCAGCGCTGCGGAACCCTTGGCACTATGTACCGGCGAAGTTGTTGTTCGAAATGGTCAGAGATCTGCCTAGTTTCTGAAAAGGCATTGAGCGCTTGTGCTAGTTGCGCTGAACGCTAGACAATCTACGGGAGATTTAGCTCGGACTCTGGACAATTGACGGGCGGTCACTCGTGCCGCTACGCAAAAGAGGTTTTTGACTGGATACGCACACTTACGCGATCGATTCTAGCCGATGACGTGATCGGCAGCTTTCGCACCGGAGACGTCCTAACCCAAGAAAGTACAAGGCATGTTTGTCTCTGATCCGCTGTACCAGGGCTAAAGAGTAGTTCGCTCACCTGCTGTAAGTAGAGCACCGTTTCCGCTGGGTACCGCACGTGACGGGTGCTTCGCAGCTCGATACCGTCACCACTGCCAGCGTCCGCTTCCTTTGGTAATGCAGCGTTCGCCTGTAGCGCGCCGGCAGCACGCGCTGCATCTTCGAAAGGGCCCGAAGCAGTCGCAGATCGCCGTGATCACTGGCGCGTCCTCTGGGGTCGGTCTGTATGCAGCTCGCGCTCTGATCAGCAAGGGCAACTGGCACATCGTCATGGCATGTCGTGACATTGATCGGGCGGAACGCGCAGCAAACAGCGTGAACCTTCCAAAGGACGCCTATACAGTGCTGCATTGTGATCTGGATGATTTCGCCTCTGTACTAAAGTTTGTGAGAGAGCTGTCAAGTGTGGCGCGCATCGATCACCTAGATACCCTGATCTGCAATGCCGCTATCTGGCATCCGCGGGACAAGAAACCGCGTTTCACGGTGGACGGCATCGAGAAGACCATACAGGTTTGCCATCTGAGCCATTTGCTTCTATGTCGGGAGCTGTTGCCGAAGCTGAAAATATCGCGCGGGCGCATTGTGTTTCTGACGACTCAGACACACTCGCCGAATTCGCTGCCGGGAAAGATCCCCCCGCAGGCTCGTCTCGGTGATTTGTCTGGTCTAGCCGCGGGGCTTGGTCCGCAGACGACGGGCATGGTGGACAGTGGCCCGTTTGAGCCCACAAAAGCTTACAAAGACGCCAAAGCCGCGAACGTGTTGACAATGAAGGCGCTCAGTGATCGATACGGCCGCGACGGGGTGACCTCTGTGGCGATTTTTCCGGGATGTGTCGCCGACAGCAACCTCTTCCGCGAAAAGCGTGGCTGGTTCCGCTGCGTATTCTTTCCGATTCTTCAAAATACATCACTCGGCAATACGTTCCGAATGATGAGGCCGGACGCCGCGTAGCCGAAGTGGCGCCCCAGGGACAGTTCCCGGACTCGGACTGGTATTATCAGTGGCGTGGCAAATATACGGAAGGTCGACAGAAGACGAAACCGCAGGTTATTGAACCAACATACGAAATCCACAAGGCAGATCAGTTTTTCGAACTGAGTCTTGATCTGATCGACCAGGCGTTGCGGCGGCGAGGCCTCAAGTCGACTATCTTGGCCCCTGTCTAAGGTTTGTTAGTGATGAAAATGAGATGCGGGCTTCGGAGCGCAGACCGCTGCTTCAAGAACAGATGTGGGAGCAACAGCGTAACGATGAGACGGCACCCCACAGTCACGATCGGATCGTGATCGGGTGAAAGGGCACTCATCCTGACGTGGTGAACCAAAATCGCTCCGCGAGTCATGAAGCGTACTGCAATAGTGATTAATATAGCTATAGCTATGACCTACTTCGGATCGAATGCGCCAGAGTATGCTAAAATCGGTCGTCCGTGAGTGTAGAGCATATGTGCGGCCACTGCATATAGCGTATCCGCTCTGGAGTGTACGCGAAAGCGTTCAGAATTAGGGACATTTATTGTTGAATCTCATCGTGGGACCTGGTACTGAATATGAAATGCATCCGATTCTTTTGCTCCGGCCGTGAGACAGATGCATGGAATCAGGATTTCCCTGGTCCCTAGGAGCTGCCTGGGTACAGGGGATGCTACGAGTGCCCTCTTCCGAATTTGAATGGATTCTACGAGTTGCAGAGCGGTCTCTCATGTTATATTAGTGGGTCGTACCTTCCGGGCAGTGCGCTAGGACATGTCATTAGTCTGCGACAGCCGAGCGACAGCCATCGAGTGGCGAGCTAGAAGAAGCTAGACTACTACGGCACGGTGCTGACCAACACAGCCTTCCCCGTGTGTACTGGGAAAGCGGTGCCGAAGAGGAGCAACGTAGGTCGTGTTTGAACACCGCCACTACGGCGAGGAAACGGGATTTACCATCTCCACAGATTTTACCCTTTCGAGGCAGATTCTGCCAAGAAGGCGAATCGTCAAATTGAAGGATGATTTCAGCTTTCAACTTCTACTCTGGGGGATTAATTGCGAATATCTAGTTGCGAGCATGTATTTAGCTTCTGTTTCCTTTTTTCTTTGGATACAGTAGGGCAAGCAGCTGAACCACGCAAGCAGCCCGCATGTTAGATTGCGAAAAATATTGCAGAAGCTGGATCGTAGCATGAAGAAGCTCTAAACTCCAGAACGCGCCTTCACATGCGAGGAAATCCAAATAAACCCCGATGAATCCGTAGCAGCGAGCCATCGAACACAGAACAATGCGAGAGGCCCAAGGAATGGATCATGGCTCCGCTCACTGACAGAGCCGGTGATCGTGCCTCCCGCGAATCATTGGACAAAAGAGAACAAGGAATCCAGGGCAATATGTCTGGGGAGAGCGTTCAAGAAGAAAGGATATGTACTGGGCAATGTGCTGTATGAAAAGCACATTGCGAAACAGGTGCTGGCATCATTGCCTGAGCACGGTTGAAGTTCGAGATAGAATTTGTCCGTAGACTTGGTCGCCAAGTCTCGCTGTTTGCTCGATAACTATGCGGAGATTTTCGTGGATCCTGCTGGGAAGACTGTCGGATCGCCAAAGGTATATATGGTACTTATAAAGTGCCCGCTACTCAACTAAACAGTTACGGAACGACGCCTCTGGGAATACAATTGTTTATGATGCTAGGCACCGTCTTGAAAAAGCAGCTACACATTCAGCGACTCTGATCAAGCAGGCAAACATGATCTGATTTCAGTTTTCGAGCCCCAGACGTTGGATCATTGTCTTGGCTGCTGCCAAAAGACCAATTCAGACTAGAGCATTTTCAAAGTTCAACAAGTTCCCACTCCGAAATGCGAGCATGGATATTCATTGGTGTCATGACGCCCTTGGCGGGTTACGGATCGAGGCCGACATTCATGTAGACAGTGTCATCTGCAGCAGCAGAGCTCTCTTTCCGGGGAGGGGATGTAAAAATACACTCCACGGAGGATTTTTCGGTAAATTGGATGAAACGTGAGGAAGTCTCCGATTGTGAAAGTATTCTACGCGGATCATTGGTCTGCGCCAGCCCTGCAAATGCATGGTGATGCAAGGCTTGCCAGCGGCAGTTGAAATACATGCTCAAAGCTTACGCCGAATAAGGTTAGATGAAGAAGTGACTTACGAGTTCCCACTTCGTGGGTTGATAGCTGAAGCATGGGTACGGACATGTGCGGGTGTTTTCGAGCAACGAGGGAGGGTCCCGAATCAGAGACCACATTCCTCGCGAGCAATATTGTTTAGTATTCCTCGCAATAGAAACATTGGAGCTCACTAGTTAATGTTTCTTATCTAAGACAAATACCAATGGTACAGACCTACATAAACCTCCCAACTACTCAGCTTGGCTGTCACCACGAGAACAGGACTGCAACACAATAAATCTAACACGGAATATTTCCACTACAATCGTCTCCCTAAAATATAAAATAGAAAATACGCCTTAGAGATTCATCTGCCTTTCAGGTGGAAGACGAACCTCAGCAACCGATAGTTCGTTATTCGCTATCCTTCTTACCCCAAGCCATAGTCTGTTGAGCCCTGCTGACTCGCACCTGGAAGGAGCAGTACTCGGGAGTTACTCATTCCAATGAAATCCCACTAGCCTATATATAGCTTTCAGTACCTCTCTCAACTTGGATATTTCGGACTATGAACCCCGAAATCCCTACGTCCGTTACGCTCCAGTCTCGACATCAACGTGAATTCTTCATCGCATCATGATGACTCCAATTCAAATTCCTCTGCAGTGCGCGCGCGCGTTTCGCGTTTTTGGCGCTATCACGTTGTGCGTTGTTGTTTTGGCTTTCACAAAACACGGCGGTTACGTTCGTGTTGACCATAACGAAAAAACAATAGTGAAGAAATATTCACGCAAGAAAGAACAAATATCCGTATTTATTGGACTGAGAGAGCATCGAACGAGATGTTTCGTGCTCGCTCTCTGGTACGTGCCCTGGGAGTAGCTGTTTGTCTATTGTTGGCGGCGACGTTTTCCGTTTCGCTTGTGGCTGCGTTGTCGCCTGTGAGTACGGTTAGCTGGACCTGGATAGGTGGAGAGACGGGTGTCAATAATCCTGGTAATTATGGAACGCTGAACCAGACTTCAGCAGATAGTGTTCCAGGAGGCCGTTCCGATTCAGCAGCCTGGGTCGGAAGTTCGAGCTTGGTATACTTGTTTGGCGGGCTTGGGTATGGAAACCCATATCTGAGCTACTTTAATGATCTATGGACCTTCAACTTGACCTCATATGAATGGACGTGGATAGGAGGTTCCTCAGAAACCGACCAACCAGGAGTGTACGGCACAGTCGGCACAGGCAGCCCAAATAGTATACCCGGCAGCCGTTACGGAAGTGCGTATTGGCAGACGGACGAGCACCATTTTTGGTTGTTTGGAGGACTCGGCTTCGATGTGAACGGTAATCAGGGCGAACTGAACGACATGTGGCGGTACGATACTGAAACGGGAATCTGGACGTGGTTCAGTGGGAATGATACTTTTAACGCCAATCCAGTCTATGGACCGAAGGATATCTACAGTCAAATTTACAACCCCGGAGGCCGAGGTAGCGCGGCATTCTGGCTAGGCGCGGACGGTTTGTTTTGGATTTTTGGTGGTGCGCGTATTGCGTATGATCTTCTGTCAGATCTCTGGTCATTCAACCCTGTTACATTCGAATGGGCATACAGAGGCGGATCACAACTTGTTAACCAGCCTGGTAACTATAGCGCACCTGGCGTGGCGAGCAACTCAAATGCCCCAGGTGCGCGCGGCTTCTCGCATACGTGGACAGATTTTGAAGGAAATCTCTGGTTGTTCGGCGGCTATGGCTACGGAAACAGCACAGCACTAGGGCAAGGCGAATTGAATGATCTCTGGGTCTACAACATAAGCCAATCCGTATGGATTTTTATCACAGGGAATACCACTATTAACAATCCAGGATCATATGGAAATCTCGGTGCTTTCTCCCCAACCAGTTACCCAGGTGCAAGATTCTCAGGCGTAAGTTTTGTGGATCCTTTGGGTAATCTACAGCTGTTTGGCGGTGCGGGACTCGCCAATACAAGCGAATCCTTTGGCAATTTGAACGATCTTTGGGTATTTGATATCACACTTGGTCAGTGGGCGTGGATCAATGGAAGCCAAAGTGTGGATGCTCTTTCAGTATATGGAGTTTTGAACGAATCCGACCCGAGTGTTGTACCTGGTGGTCGCTTTGGACCAGCTTTCTGGAACACCAGTGGGACTGATCCGCTCATATTTGGTGGAAGTGGATTCTCGAACACGAGCAGAGGTGGCTTTCTCAATGATGCCTTCGCTTTGAGAGAAACGTTCTTTACGCCTACCTCTACGCCTACGCCAACATCAACGCCAACTCTGACACCTACAATTACGGCAAATGCTACTGCGACCCCGACACCCACGCTGACACCTACACCAGTCTGCACCATTGAGATCTGCGGCTCTCCAGGACAGTACACCAACCAGGACGCTTGCGAGCAAGTCGGATGCTGCTTCAACTCCCAGACAAACGCGTGCACCCTGAAGAGCGTCTCAGTGGCGTGCAGCGCTGTTCCAGTGACGCAGCGCGTCCCCTGCGGCTGGAGCTACATCTACCCCGACGAGTGCACTGCGATACCGGGATGCTGCTGGCAGCCCACAGCGAACGGCATCCTCGCGCCCTGGTGCTACTACGACATCAACCATGCACCGCAGGCTTCTGTAGCGCTGCAGGAGGTGCAGGCACCAGTACCCGTCTGCCCGTCACCGGGAGCGCAGCGCCAGCCGTGCGGCAACGCGGGTATCAACCAGTTTACATGCTATGCCCAGGGCTGCTGCTACGACTCGCAGGCGCAGAACCAGTGGGTGCAGAACGGCAAGCAGCAGAGCGACTTTGAGTCGAACCCGTACTGCTTCCAGCCCGAGAAGACGTGCGCGGTGGGCGAGTTTGAGCGCCAGCCGTGCACGAATGCGGTGAATCAGAACCAGCAGCTGAACAATAACATCAACAATAACCAGTTTGTGCGTCTGCTGAACACGCTGCTGTACGGAGAGCAGCATCGGACGCAGCGCACGAGCTACTCGCCGCAGCAGTGTCTGGAGGCTGGTTGCTGCCTGGGGCTCGGCAACGAGTGCTTCCAGCCGATGACCGAGTACGTGTGCCAGACCTACGGGTACGTCTCGAACTCGCTGAGCGGCACGACCGGCAACGTGTCGAACTCGAGCTATATTGCTTGCGGCCCCGAGTGCTGCAACGCCGAGACGCAGAACTGTACGTACAACCCCTTCAGCAACAACAACAACCAGCAGCAGCAGCAGCAATTGCAACAACAGCAACAACAACAGGTGCTGCTGCCGTCATTCTGTGTGTGCAAGGACCCAACGAAGCAGTGCGGGACGTACCTGATCCCTTCGGATAACCTTGTGAACAAGGTGCGTTGCTGCCGCGCTGACGAGGAGTGCATCAACAACCAGTGTGTGGTGATTAGTCCAACACCGACTCCGAGTCCCGTGGCTGTGACAGCGACACCCTCTGCGACGGTGTCTGCAACAGTCTCTGCGACAGCTTCTGCGACGGTGTCTGCGAGTGCATCAACGAGTGCATCAGCGAGTGCTTCAGTTTCAGCTTCTGTGTCGACGTCTGCGAGCGCCTAGGAAGCAGCGACATCTTGAGCTCCACGGACTGCGTTGGCGGACGTGTCAACTGTTAATTTGCTCACAGTCTAGATCACGTCTATGCTGATACTCTGTTGCGACAATATTCCACTCATGTTCACAAGACCCGAGAGTACGAATGAACGAATGCGTTAATGCGGATAAATGTGCGCGGAGTGTCATCTGAGGTCCTCTTCGGGGACTGACATTCAGAGATCAGATGAACAGAAAGAATGGACCAGAATTTGCTTTTGGAACGTAAAGGAATGATTACCTCTGCCTATGAGCTTGCCCCCGATGATAGCCTTGGTGGTAATGGCGGTATATTGGTACCCTTTCTTCTCTTTGTAGTCAGAATACGGTTTCCGAGTTGCATGTAGCGAGTGTGTCTGCAGTAGGGCGTCTGGAACTGTTTTTTTAGTTTCGTTGTACTTGAGCACATTCTAGTCCTGAGGAGCGGTTCTGGAGCAAGTTTGACTCGATCCGTACAACCGCAAATTTCACCAAAATCCGATTCCTCTTGAGGAAAAGCTAATATTCGTGACGCCTGCATACGGGCTCCGGCTCCGCTTGGCACGAATGGAAGCAGGGCCGCCAGCCTCACAGCGCACTTATAGCTTGTTCTGTCGGTCGAGGCATCGTCTCGATATATTCACCACTGTTGCCTACCGTTGCTCGTAGGCTACGTCAATAAAACCGTCTGAAGTGTTGTGCTGATTTCCGGATTATGTTTATGTCTTGTACACTAGAAAAAAAACGAGAACGAAGTGGTGGTAAGCCGTGAAGACGTAGATGCGCAGTTACCGTTACTCGGTCCAGAGGCACACCATGCCAGGCAGTCACATCCTGGGACGAGCTGTACGCTATGTAAGCATTAGCACAGCACCTTGAGCACAGCTGGAGGCATTCTAGAAGCGGCCAGTATCGATTCTAAACAATTGATCTTGTTCTATATCATTGCAAACAAATTGGTAAACGGATCCGTTGCTAATAAATGGACACAGGGCCCTCGGAAGATAGATAAACGACAAGGCAGCTGATGATGTATCGAATACAGAAGAACTCGAGTTGCCCATTTTCCACATTTTCTGTCACATCAGTCCTGTTACAGCCATGGCAGCGATATCTTCACGAAAAGCATCAACTATTACCACATATACTCTAGGTACTCTTCGCAAATACGGTCTGAATAAGCGACGTAACGCGCCCGCACCGAACGCTTCTCAAACGACGAACGTCGCCGCCGGCCGTGTACGGTAGTGGAGGGAAAACCGCGCCTTGGACAAATCGTCTCCAACTGATGTGCAGACGCCCCCCGCCTTTCTCGACGAGCCACCCACTACTGCTTCCAACTTCTTCTCATATAGTTCGACTTTGAGAGGTTGTCCAATAAAATCCTCTTGTGTCCACTCTGGAGGTCGTTTCTCCAGCACCGCACATCTCCGTATATTGATAGCGGCATGAAAATCTCGGTTCACGAACTCCATACATTTCGTGCCGTTGGGAGCTGTACTCACCAATACGAGTAACCCTTGAACTTTCGCCTTCCTTTCCATTTGCTCCTCCGCCAGCGGTCCGTACTTTTGCAATTTCCTCAGCGCTCTTCTGGCACTTTTCCATCTCCACCCTCTGAAGCGTGCAGCCCAGTTCTTGGTATGTATAGGACGTCCGGAACTCATATACAGGTATCGTAACGAGACGCCGGGCGCACTCCTTGTACAGCTTCGTCGCTGGAGCTGGCGTAGTTCCTTTTCTGTTCTTCCAGCGCCCTGCTCCATACGCTTCTACGAGCCTCTGACGGTCATCCCCCTCAAAGGCGCTCAACTGATTGAAAAAATTCGCAAACGCCCGCTGCTTCACACCGTATAGATTCATTCGCAGACGAGCCCACCGGGGCTTTCTATACTCCTCCCACAGCGCATCCCAATGGGCAACACGAAATTCCATGAATTTCCGAAAAGCTTCATGGACCGCTCCGCGGCTCGTCGCCTCGCTCAAAGCTTCCAGGTGATGCTTTATTCCTGCATTCCACGTAACGATTATCATCCTTGCATTCACTACAACGGATTCTCGATAGTATCTCGCTCTCGAGAATCTCAGCAGACGCATGTCTTTCTGGCGTAAATTACCGTCCATGCCATCTTCCGCACGCTTCGGTGCTGCGATGGTGATGATATTCGTGTTCCCAGGATCCGCGCCAACCACAATGTCTTTATCCTGCACTTCCTGTGTGGCAGGATCCGCCTCTTTCTTTCCTTGATGCTTCGTCGCGTCAACCATAAAGTCGTTATCCTGCACATTCTGTTCGGCAGGATCCGCCTCCTTCTGACCTTCATCCTTCACCGCGCCAACGACACGGTCGTTATCCTGCACTTTCTGCATCACAGGTTCCGCCTCTTTCTCTTTTTCATCCTTCACCGCGTCAGCGACAAAGTCGTCATCCTGCACCTCCTGTGTCGCAGGATCCGCTTCTTTGATTTTTTAATGCTTCGCAGAGGGCGAAGCGAAAGGCACAATCGGACGGTCCACTTTCAAGCGCCGATAGTGTACATACAAGGTTACTCCATCGGTCTCGATCAACGCAGTGAATACCTTTTGGCTTCTCACTTTGAGCCGTTTGAAATTGTAGATGTTCTTCAAGTACGTCGCCCGGTTTTCACCGGTGAAGTCATCCCTGCTAACAGTGAACACTGGACTGATCTCCTTCATGATGCCGTAAAACACGTCCGAATCGATATTCACGAAATGTGACTTGATGCTGCACATTGGAACCACGTTGAAGCGCTTACCCATTAGGACAGCCTTCCGTCTCTCCCAATCTTCTTTTTTTTCTTCACTCAGCTTCATCTCCGCATTTCGCTCGAGTTCTCGGTCCAGAAACACGAAATAGCGCAGAATAAGACGATAGTATCTTTCCTTATCTTTTTTCAACTCTGATGTCTTGTATGTTGGATTCGCCGGCCCCAAGATTGCACGGTGCTCTTGTATAACCGAATGGATTACAGAAGTATCATTCGTGCTGTCGTTAAACGCCTTCGTGTCGACGAATTCGACATCACCTTCATGCTTGCGATCGTTCTTGATGCCATTGATAATCACCTATACTCCTTTGCGAGAGACGCCCGGGTAAAGTGCAAACACGGCGCGTATCATGAAACGTTCTAGGTTCATTGTCAAATGGTTCGTCAGGTTCGTGAGGTTCTTCATCTCCCCATAGTCGTAAATACTCCGGTCCCCCTTGTATCGAGTACCCTCGAAGCCGTAAAAGGGATGTTTTTCGTGGAGGGCATGAACCCGCTCGTTTTCCTCCCGCGCTTCCACTGTTGCAAGCATCAGGTATCGAATAAAGGTCTCGTCGAATAACTCGTCCAGAATCTCGACCGTTTCCATGTACGTCACGTCGCGATACATATCCCTCGCAAAATGCATCAGCCCTGACCATGCCTTGATAATACTCTTGGAGTACGAGTCGACACGTTTTTCGATAGCGTCTCGCAAATTTTCCCTGTAAGGATGCTTGATATGATTAAGAAGACAGGCTTTCACCATCATCTCATTCTACAGTCATCTTTCCCGCCGCCTTCGACCTAGGGCCTCCCGCTTTCGGTTCTTCTTCTTTTCCTGTTCTTCTGGACTCGGCTCTGTTTTTTGTTTTTATTTCTGGCAGCAGGCGACACTGGGCCTCCGGGATCGTCGACTTGCTTTTTCATAGCTTTTCTTTTCATTTTTTTGTGTGAAAAAGAACGCTCTTTGAACCCTTCTATTATATACTGCGAGAAATCAATTGAATATGTTTACTTGAGGGTTGAGACACAATCGAACTGGAAACTATGATTTGTTACGACTTCCACGCAAATACAGCTTGCCCGTTAGAACATCAAGAAAACGTGTCGTCACGGTCGCGTTTCTCTTCGAAGGCGACAGATGCGTCGTGTCTCGCAAGTGCCATACTTGGAGATGCACGTATCGAGCGCGCCATACAGGAAAAAGGACAGTGACCTACGATTTACAAGAAACGATATAAAATTTTTTCCCGCTCTACGATAAGCGTTTAAGGGGAAATAGATCGCCGTTCTATCGGAAGCTTATGTTCGAGGCGGAAGGTCCCGCGAGCCGGTCGAGTCTACCGGGCTAGAGCTCGGTATCCCTCTTAAGTGGCTGCTGCCGCTGCTGCTGCAAGACCTGCGTAGCTCGTTCGCAACGCATTTTATCCTGAGACTATGCACAGGATGCTGCGTTGGGCCTCGCCCTGGTCGCAGTGGAACCCTAGTACAGCACTTCGCGCTGACGCAGGTAGTACGTCTTTCTGCGCACTTTGCATGTTCCCAGAATGACAAATAGCCCTGATTCCGTTTCAAGTGAATCATTCCTCGAGCGGACGCCCTTAGTGGTATGGCAAAGCCGTTCTGTCTCTGTACAGCACCTGCTTGAGCGGTATAAGCGCTACAGCGGGTGCTCACAACAGGCTCGGCGCTCGATAGAACATACGAAACGACCAGTATATCAGAGAGGTAGTATGGATAATGGGACTTGAGGACAGGTGCACTATGATCGAGATATCCCCGGAAGCCATCGTGCGTTCCGAATTCTGGGATGCATGGGCAATGCAAACGTTCTTTCATCGAAAAGAAAAAAACGCTCCGGAGGCGGACTCGTCATCGAGACGCGCATCGCTCTGGATCGAATCTCCGGAAGGCGCTTCTGGGCGATCGCGAAAGCGCTCAAGCGCATCTTTGTGTCCTCAACGGATAGCATGATTTATTCGGGGCGCTCAGTCTCGAGCGTTCCCTCTGACTTAAAGCAATAGCTTCGTGGATCCTACAGCTGTGTTGTCAAAGAGCACTGTACCTAGTTTTGGCGAGGCCTATAGTGCTGGAGAACAAAACGATCACGGGTTTGTAGCGATCTCGGCACCAGTGCTGGAAACAACCCTGCACTGGAGCTCGGGCGATCTGAAACCTGTAGTCGGACTTTTTCGAGGATCTGTCTCGCAAGGAAACAAATCGTGGAACTGTGCTCTTTGGAATGACGTCGGGGATCGACGAGGCAGCGGCTGAGCTTCAGGGAAGTCTCTTTGGGGAGGTCTCGCCTGCGATCGACTCGCCGGGTGCGGCGCTTGCACGTTCGTACCCGGTCCGCATCACCGTGGTTGGAGCTGGTGACGTTGGCGTTGCTTGCGCCTATAATATTTTGACCCGAGATATTTGTAGTGAGCTGGTACTGGTGGACGTTCTCAAGGACAAACTCAAGGGTCAAGTTATGGACTTGCAGCATGGAGGTGCGTTCTACAGCACCCGCATCCGGGCTGCCGAGTCCTACGAGGATACAGCACATTCGGCAGTATGTATTATAACGGCAGGTGTGCGTCAGCGGCCCGGAGAAAGTCGTCTTGAGCTCATGGATCGCAATGCCGCATTGTTCAAAGGCATTATTCCGCCCCTGGTGCAGTATTCGCCGAACACAATCCTGTTGGTTGTGAGTAACCCCGTTGATCTATTGACACATCTAGCGTGGCAGATGAGTGGCTTGCCCCGCGAACGTGTGATTGGCTCAGGGACATATTTGGACTCTTCGCGTTTCCGCACACTTCTGGCGCAGCGGCTGGGCATCGATACCGCTTCTGTCCAGGCCATGGTACTGGGCGAGCACGGAGACTCCTCGTTCGTGTACCGGAGTGGTATTACGGTTGGTGGCGTGCCGTTGCGAACATGCTTCGAGCGCATGACCGACGCTGCGAGCGCGTCCACAGCATTCTATGATCTGGTGAAAGGTGTCCATCAGCAAGTTGTAGCCGCGGCTTACGAGGTCATTAAGCTGAAAGGCTACACCAACTGGGCCATTGGCAGCGCTGTTGGAAGCATCGTTACAACGATTGTGCATGATCGGCGCAAAGTGCTGCCAATAACGACGCATGCGGGCTCGTTGCGAGGCCTCGAGTCGGCGGATGTATTCTTGTCGTTGCCTTGTGTGCTAGGTCGGAATGGTGTCGTTGAAGTACTACAAATACTGCCGTTCATGGAAAGTGACGAGAAAGAAGACCTCCAATCCAGTATAGAGGCACTCCAGAGCACGCCGAAGAAAGCATCTTGAGCATGTTGCCTGCGCATCGTAACGCGTTGGATGCGGATCGTTTACAGGGACGTTAATCAAATGCCTCGTCGAAGTGCGGGCTCTGCACAAGCGTGCTCGGTCTGTACTCAAAATAAGCGGATGGACAAGGAGGACTGAGATATGCTGGATACCTATGCCAAACTGGTAGGTCTTGGCACCGTACAAAAGGTGTGGAGGGGAGCGTCCGTAACCATCTCGGCGAGCTTGTTCCAAATGGACAGCATTGCTGAAGGACAAGGTGGCACCAGAATTGCAGCTGCAGAGTAGCGTTCGCCTACTATCATCATTGTAACCTGCTAGTCGTGTCATGGATACCGGACGTGCTGGAGTTCGCATCCGCAACAGCGAACAAGGATCAAATCAACTGACTCAAAATTCTCCAAAGCGATGCGTGGATGAAAGCTGGTGAAAGTTGCGGGTCTGGTACGGCATAACGTACGCTTACCCGGATGCCGATATGCATCGCGCCTGGCCCGAGATACCCTGGTTCAGGTCAACCATTCTAAACCGCAGGATAAAAGTATGCCATGATTTAACGTTCACTGATGTTGGCTGGACGGCATCGCAACGCTCCACGAACCTGGGCGCGGCGCCGAAGGCTTAGTTTCCGAGTATGACCGTGACAGACTTTGCTCTATGCGTACGGATCTGGAAAACACGAGCCGGAAGTGTGCATCAGCACGCATGGGCGACGAATAAAACCCTTAAAGCGACGTACGAACAGTGACCTAACGATGCAAGTGGAACGAACCGAATACCCTGAGGAAGGTATGATGGCACAGCTTCTGCCTTGAGAGCAGCTGCACAAGCGCTTCAGTGCGGTAAAGCCGAAATCGTGCCGAAACGTCCGAGTCGCGTCAGCGCTTCTAGTGAACAGGAATGTGCCTCCAGCTTCTCTGACGTTCCTCTCGCGTCCCAGCAATTCTGGTACAAAGTTTCGCTCTATGCAGCACAGGCGCTGATGCAGCGCTCCTTCGGAAGCCCTGCCTTCCGCAAACTTACACCGAGACGTTCCGTACGCAGCTATCGTGGTTATGCTTCAAAACCGGAACGGTATTGCAGTGTCTTGGAAGCGTCGGCTAGAGCTTCTGAGGCCGAAACGTCTCGGACGACCTCCGCACCCGACGACGACAACAAACACCTTTCAAAACAAAAACGTTGCTGCTGGCAGTGTACAGTACTGGCGAGAAACTCGCCCTAGACCAAAAGTCTCCAGCTGACGTGCAGACGCCTCCCCGTCTTTTTCGACCGGCCACCTACTGCGGGTACCCTTGTTTCTCATACAGTTCCAGTTTAAGAGGTTGTCCAACAATGTTCTTTCGTGTCGACGCTGGGAGTCTTTTGTCTATTCCCGCACATCTCCGTAGATTGATTCCAGCGTTAAAGACTCGGTTCGCGAACTCCATACGTTTCTTGCCGATGGTAGTCGTAATTAGTAATGCAAATAGTCCACGAGCTTCTCCCCTCCTTTCCATTTCCTCTCCCGTCAGCTGTCCCTTACTTTTTTATATCATGAGGACTCCGCTGGCACTTTTCCATCTCCACCCTCTGAAGAGTACATCCCAACTCATGGTGTGTATACGATGTTCGGAACTCACCTACAGGTATCGTAGAGAAACACAGTGCGCATTCTTTGTACATTCCTGCCGTTGGAGCTGGTGGAGTCCCTTTTTTTCGGAGCCCAGCTCTCTACTCCATATATAACAACGAGCCTCTGACTTGATCCTCTTTCAAGGCGTTCAACCCATTGAAAAAGTTCGCGAATGCGTGATGCTTACCACAGCACGGATTCATACGCAAACGACCCCAGCGGGGCTTTGTATACTTGCCCTACAGCGCCACGGAATGAGCAACACGAACTTCCATGAAATTCAGAAAAGCTTGAATGTCCGCTCATCGGCTCGTCACCATGCTCAAAGCCTCCAGGTGATCCTTCATTGCTACATTCCACGTAACGATCTTCTTCCTTGCATTCATTACACCGGATTCTCGATAGTATCTCTCTCTCGAAAACCTCAAAAGACGCATATATTTCTGATGCAAGGTGCCTTCGGTGCAATCTTCCCCGAGCTTGTGAACAGCGATGGTTCTGATATTCGTGCTCCAGGGACTAAGGCCGACGCCAAAGTGGTTTTCATGGGGCTTATACGTTCCATAGCCCGTAAACCTGTGTTCGTTCTTCGGCAACGCCCGTAACGAAGACGGGATAGGACGAGCTGCCTTCAACCGCTGATGGTGTACACATATGTGCGCCACATCGAGATCGATTGTTCCAGTGAATAACCTTTTTTTGGCCGGTTCGGGACGCTTGAAATCGAAGATATTCTTCTCGTAGGCGTCCCGATCTTCACCGGAGACCTATTTGTTGATTACATCGAGCTCTGGACAAATCTCTATCGTGAAGTCGTGAAGTACTACGGAGTGGTTACTCACAAAATGTGACTTGAACGCGCATAACCGACCGACATTGAAGCGCATCTGGAGAAGACTTCAATGTCGTTTCTCCCACTCGTCATTTTTTCCTCACTCAGCCCCATGTCGGCTCTGCGGTCGAGGTCTCGGACAGAAAACATGAACCAGGGCAGGATGAGAGAGTAACAACTCTCTCCGTCGTTTCTCATATCCGAGAGTTTTCTCTTGGGTTGACATGACCCAAGACCGAACGATGTTTTAGAATAGTGGCGCGAATTACAGGAGCATCATTCATTATCCTGCGTGATGTCCTCTTGTCGACGAGTCTGATCTCCTGTTCATGCTGGCGATCGTTCTTCATACCATCGATGATTGCAAGCATCGCTTCGCGAAATATGCCCGGGTACAGCACAAAGGCGACGCGTATCATGAAACAATCGAGGTTTGCCATTCTATGGTTCCTCATATTCGTGAGGCACCTCTTTGCCCTGTATTCGTAAATGTCTGCGTCACCCTTGTGTGCAGTACCACTGAGGCGGTATTTGGCCTTATTTTTAAGGAAGGCATGCACTCGCTCACTTATCCCCGATGTTTTCCCATTAAAAACAATCAGGTAGTTGATGAAAGTCTTTTGGAAAATTTCTTCCGGAAACATCACTTTTGCGATGTGCGTTACGTCCCGATGCAGGTCGCTGTCCAAATGCCAACGTCCTAAAGAAAAGCTCCAAACATACCCGGCCTACGATCCGCCACGGTTTCTGATAGCGTCTCGCAACAATCAGTCGTACGGATCATTGATATGTTGGAGAAGATAAGATTCCACCACCATCTTGTCGTACAGAAGTCACAATTTCGGCCTTCGATGTAAGGCCCCCCATGTTGCTTCTTCTTCTTTTCCTGACCCTCTTCGCTAGGCAATATGTCTCATTTCATTCTGACATCCGGCAGCACCGGCCACCCCAAACCCACTACATCATACTACATAAGTGTCAGATTTTTTGGGAGAACATCTCATTGGACGCTTCTGCTTTGAACGGCGAGAATCTGGTGAATAGAGTTACTTTAAGATTGGAACGCCACTGAAGCCAAAACTATACTTTGCTACGATTCGATCGCAAATACAAGTGGCCCCGATAGAGCAGTCGCTCCAGTAGAGGTCATTACCGCGTTTTTCTTGATCGGAGAGGCGCACGTTGGGTGACGTGACGGCCAGATTTCGCGATGCGTTACCAGGACGCACGACAGAGAAAATGCAAAAAAATTAACCAATATGCACAAACAGGATAGCAAGTACTATTGCAACCTAGTATAAACGTAAAGAAGATGATTTCGCGTATGGTCAAAGTGTTACATTTAATCGGGAGGTCTGCGTGCCGCGAGACTACCGGCCTGCCCTCCGTGTGACTTTCAGTGGAGAGTGATATGAGACACTTGGGCAACTCATCCAAAACGCAATTAATTTCGGGACTAGGAGCAGGCATGCTGCGTCTGAGCACTAACACCGTCGCGGTGAACAGATAGTACGCCGTTTTACGCTACCGCATGCAAATCGTCTGCAAGATCCGCTTGGAGGCTCCAAAGAAAATAAATCTCCCTGATCCCATGTAGCATGAACCAAGCCCCTTCCAACGCGCCCAGTGGTATGTCAGAGCTGCCCTGCTTCCGGAGTGCACCCACAGCGGCGATAGAGAGGCTACAACGGGTGCTCAAGGTAGGTAAACGGCGCACGATAGAAAGTCAGATACAATCAGTACAGCCGAGATTAGGTAAATGCGACAAAAAGTACCGAAATTGTTCAGCGTGACGAAGGATTTTCCGAAACAAGTATCAATCCGGCAATCTCGGCGTCTGGTCAGTAGAACAGGCTCTGTCGAAACAAACCAAAGCAAAGCGCTGGAAGGAGATCCATAAGGGCACTGGTGTGCTGGATGTAGATAAGAAAGATGCGTATTTGCTCAGATCGTACCGCCGGAAAAATACCCGAACGAACCTGGATTGGTAGACATCGCTCTGACAGATGCTTTTTCTCTGAGAACACCGCAGTAATGGGGCATTGCGTCGAATGGGGGGAATGGGGGGAATGGGG